GTACCAACCACCGGAAATGTTCATACCAGTGGCAAAAAATAATTCATACCGACCCCCGGTATTTTTCGTACCACCGCAGCGGGATTTATTCAGACCATCTAAGAAAAATAATTCATACCATTGCACTTTAATTATTCATACCAACAGTATATAAAATTCATATTAATTCCTTTCTTTTTTTTTATGTGACTGGCTCTATAAGCCTCTAAGCTACTCAGTTTAATCAAATTATACTCATTTTTTCCATAATTCTGTGCTACTTTCTTTGAAACCGGATATCTATAATAATATCAATAATATCACGTGATTACGGTTTTCAAGAAATGGGAACGAATGTATGGTAGGAGCTGTTCTCCATTTAAGATGATGAATTCCCACTTTTGACATTCAATTTGGTCTTTATATGATCACCAGATTACTTACAAAAAAAAGCATAAGATTTTACCATCAAAACTAAGTATGGACCTGAAAGCCAAGCTACTAACTGATGGGTATGTTGATGGCCTAGGTAATAGATTCTATGCTGAACCCAGTGAAATGACTTTAGAGTCTGAAATAGCACCAGTTGAAGCTTGCTTTAGTTACAGTGACTATAAGCATTTTGAAAAACCAGGTATCATGGATATCATGGAAATTGATCCTATTTTCGAAGAAGAAGAAAATGCCGAGATGGAAATTGAAATGAAAGAACGAAGATATAGAGGTTCGTACCAGTATTATAATCAAGCTGTCAAACAAAGATTTTGGCACTTGGTCATGGAAGAAGGTGTATCAGCTTACAAGGCTGCAAAATTAGAAGATATACCTTTGCAAACTGCTTACACATGGAAAAGAAAGTGGAACAAATTACTTGTCAATGAATTAAATGGTATCTCGAAGCCAATAAAGAAAAGAGGTCGTAAACCCCTTCTCACTGATGAACATAAGGAATTCCTTCAAAAATTGATAAAGGAAGATGCTACAGTGACTCTCGATTTTATGTTGGAGAGACTCAAGAAAGCCTTCACCAATGTAAGAGCCAAGGCTACAACAATCTATAACTTTGTAACCAAGGTCTGTAAGCTAAGTCTCAAACGTATTTCTAAATGGGCTTTGAGAAGAAGTCTGGAGGAATTGAAGAAACAGAGACTCGAGTGGGCAGAGAAGTATAAAGACAAGCTCGACTTTAGTCAAAACTGTATTTTCATCGACGAAGCAGGTTTCAATATCAGTATGCGGCGTGAGTATGGATGGTCTGCTGTTGGTGAAAAAGCAGTTCTTACTGTTCCCGTAACCAGAGGGCTTAATATTTCGTTCATTGGGGCAATTTCTGTCAAAGGTTGTATTGAATTAAAGGTCAGAACTCCAGTGGCTACATCCAATAAGAAGAGAAAACTTGATTCAGAAACGACCATTGACAAAGTGAGTAAAGGTACTACAGCTAATCACTTCTACAGTTTTGTAAAGTCAGTGATCCAGCAAATAGAAAATAACGAGGAGCTCAAAGGTATGAAATATTTGATCCTTGATAATGCTGCCATTCATAAACGACGTGATCTTCAGTTACTAGTGGCACTGAGTGGGTTGGAACTTGTGTTTTTACCTCCTTATTCTCCAGGGTTGAATGCTATAGAAGAATTCTGGTCAGTGTGTAAGAGTAAAGTCAAAAGATCAAACTTGAGCAAGAAGGAGCAATTAACTCCAAGGGTGAAAGAAGCCACAGAAAATATTTCCCTTGATAGTTACAAGGGATTCTGCAGACATGCTTCTAGACATATTGATCTCTGTTTACAACAGCAGCTCTTTTGAAAACAAATACCAAAGATGAAGAAAAAAAATTAGAAAACAAAATACAGAAAACAAACCAAAAAAAAAAAAGTAAAAACTATAAAAAAAATTACATAAAGACGCAACAAAGCTCCAAAACAAATTAATGAAAATTTAAAATTTTAAGGAAGGACGAAACCACTCCAAAATTTGGTTATGAGCCTTTGAAATGGTAAATGAGTATTGCAAAGGGGCTTTATTGGGTGTGCGGGTCCCCTGTAACATGTTTAATAATATCAAAGATAAAATATTAATGAAAGCATAAGAATTTTATGCATTTAGTATGAATTTTGTATTCTGTTGGTATGAATAATTAAAGTGCAATAGTATCAACTATTTTTCTTAGATGGTCTGAATAAATCCCGCTGCGGTGGTACGAAAAATACCGGGGGTCGGTATGAATTATTTTTTGCCACTGGTATGAACATTTCCGGTGGTTGGTACGAATAAAAAATGAAAACACTGTACACAGATGATTTATTGCACGTACAGTGCTTTTATTTTTTATTCGTACCAACCACCGGAAATGTTCATAGCAGTGGCAAAAAATAATTCATACCGACCCCCGGTATTTCTCGTACCACCGCAGCGGGATTCATTCAGACCATCTAAGAAAAATAGTTCATACCATTGCACTTTATTTATTCATACCAACAGGAAATAAAATTCATACTAAATGCATAAACTCCTCATGCTTTTAATAATATTTGATCTTTGATATAATTATAATTATTTATCCCCATTGAATAAATCCTCTTTGCAACAATCATTTACTAATTCAAAGGCTCATAACCATTTTTTGGAGTGATTTAATCATTCCTTGAATCCTTCAAGCATGTCTGCAGAACCTCTTATAACTATCAAGGGAAATATTTTCTGTGGCTTCTTTCACCCTTAGAGTTAATTGCTCCTTCTTGCTCAAGTTTGATCTTTTGACTTTACTCTTACATACTGACCAGAATTCTTCTATAGCATTCAACCCTGGAGAATAAGGAGGTAAAAACACAAGTTCCAACCCACTCAGTGCCACTAGTAACTGAAGATCACGTCGTTTATGAATGGCAGCATTATCAAGGATCAAATATTTCATACCTTTGAGCTCCTCCTTATTTTCTATTTGCTGGATCACTGACTTTACAAAACTGTAGAAGTGATTAGCTGTAGTACCTTTACTCACTTTGTCAATGGTCGTTTCTGAATCAAGTTTTCTCTTCTTATTGGATGTAGCCACCGGAGTTCTGAACTTTAATTCAATACAACCTTTGACAGAAATTGCCCCAATGAACGAAATATTAAGCCCTCTGGTTACGGGAACAGTAAGAACTGCTTTTTCACCCACAGCAGACCATCCATACTCACGCCGCATACTGATATTGAAACCTGCTTCGTCGATGAAAATACAGTTTTGACTAAAGTCGAGCTTGTCTTTATACTTCTCTGCCCACTCGAGTCTCTGTTTCTTCAATTCCTCCAGACTTCTTCTCAAAGCCCATTTAGAAATACGTTTGAGACTTAGCTTACAGACCTTGGTGACAAAGTTATAGATTGTTGTGGCCTTGGCTCTTACATTACAAGGCTGCAAACTGCTTACACATGGAAAAGAGGGAGATCACCCTCTCTTGATTGACCATTTTATTATGGTTCTGCTCCTTCCTTCCCACATTTTATACACTTGGTGAAGGCTTTGTTGAGTCTCTCCAACATAAAATCGAGAGTCACTGTAGCATCCTCCTTTATCAATTTTTGAAGGAATTCTTTATGTTCATCAGTGAGAAGGGGCTTACGACCTCTTTTCTTTGTTGGCTTCGAGATACCATTTAATTCATTAACAAGTATTTTGTTCCAATTTCTTCTCCATGGGTAAGCAGTTTGCAAAGGTATATCTTCTAATTTTGCAGCCTTGTAAGCCGATACACCTTCTTCCATGACCAAGTGCCAAAATCTTTGTTTGACAGCTTGATTATAATACCGGTACGAACCTCTATATCTTCGTTCTTTCATTTCAATTTCCATCTCGGCATTTTCTTCTTCTTCGAAAATAGGATCAATTTCCATGATATCCATGATACCTGGTTTTTCAAAATGCTTATAGTCACTGTAACTAAAGCAAGCTTCAACTGGTGCTATTTCAGACTCCAAAGTCATTTCACTGGGTTCAGCATAGAATCTATTACCTAGGCCATCAACATACCCATCAGTTAGTAGCTTGGCTTTCAAGTCCATACTTAGTTTTGATGGTAAAATCTTATGCTTTTTTTGTAAGTAATCTGGTGATCACATAAAGACCGAATTGAATGTCAAAAGTGGGAATTCATCATCTTATATGGAGAACAGCTCCTACCATAGAAATGTGCTAACATACATTTACTAAATGTCGTGGATGAAGCCTCGTGCTCATAACCTTTATTTTTACACAAATTTCATTATTATTTTATTACTTTCTTCCCTTTATATATATTCTAGAAGACATCGAATTTAACCTTAATTTATATTTATTATTTGTTTCTTTATCTTAGCGATAGAGCTAATCCCAATTATCTAGACCCCGAAAGGCAGATGCAGTTAATACTGAATACAGTGTCTTGGGTGACTCGGTTCAGTTAACTACCCGGCTTAGTTTTATTACGAAAGGTACCAGCTACAGAAAAACATAATCACGTGCTACTATTAATATTGTTACAGATATCCGTTTTTGTGGAAAGTAGCACAGAATTATGGAAAAATGAGTATTATTTGATTACACTGAGTAACCAAGAGGCTTATATAGCCATTCATATGAAAGAAAAAAAAGAATTGATATGAATTTTATTTCCTGTTGGTATGAATAAATAAAATGCAATGGTATGAATTATTTTTCTTGGATGGTACGAATAAATCCCGCTGCGGTGGTACGAGAAATACCGGGGGTCGGTATGAATTATTTTTTGCCACTGCTATGAACATTTCCGGTGGTTGGTACGAATAAAAAATAAAAGCACTGTACGTGCAATAAATCATCTGTGTACCATTGGTGTGGCCTGTTCTTATTTTTTTTTTTTTTTTTTCTTTTTCTTTTTCTTTTTTCGGTGACCGGTATCCGCCTACCATCGCAAGACCCTAATTTTTTTTTTTTTTATGTTTGTGAATATTCCCACTCTACCACAAGGACTAATGCTTTTACGTTGTATCAATGATCGCTTATTTAGTGTTCTAATATGTCAATGAATACTATTTCTAAAGATTCACATTATAAACTAACCTCAGGAACTCAGATACCTTTGATTGGCTTCGGGGTTTACTTAGTACCACCTCTTCTTACTGCTAACTTGGTATACCAGGCTTTGAAAGCCGGCTATAGATTGATAGATACCGCCCAAATTTACAGAAATGAATCAGAAGTTGGTGAAGGTGTTCTCCGATGGATATCTGAAAACCCCGAGAGTAATAAACGTGAAGATATCTTCATTATAACAAAAATCTGGGACTCTTTCCATGGTTATGAAAGTGCCAAACAATCTATCAAGGCAAGTATCAAAAAGATATGTGTACCAGGCATCGATTATATCGATTTGTTTTTGATCCACTCTCCAAATTCAAATAAGCAGAAAAGGTTGGAGACGTATCAAGCTTTACAGGAATCTAAGGATTCAAATTATGTTCACTCTATCGGAGTTTCAAATTATGGGATCAATCATCTCGAAGAACTTTATAATTGGAAAGATCTCAAATATCCCCCAGTATCTAACCAGATAGAAATACACCCCTGGTTGATGAGATCTCAGCTTGTGGATTACTGCTCTAGAAGACAAATCATTTGTCAAGCTTATTCGCCACTAGCAAAAGGAAGAAAATTTAATGATCTCACCTTGAATTCGATTGCCAAAAAATACGAGAAAAATAATGCACAAATCTTAATTCGCTGGTCAGTGCAAAAGGGTTTTGTCGTATTACCGAAGACTTTGCAAATCGATAGATTAAAGTCAAACTTCAACATCTGGGATTTTGAGCTCTCAAATGAAGATATATTGCTGTTGGAACACGAGGAAAGTTACTTTATCACCGGCTGGGATCCAACCTTGTACAATGGTTGATCGATTTTTTTTTCCAGGTTCATATTTGATGGAATTTCTACAAAGAAGTTTTGGTCAACTACATTTTTTCTGCATATATTAATGATGGGTTTTCGGGAGGCCAATATTCATTGCCATAGTTACCCAGAGCCTTTTAGTAACTAATTGATCCTTCGCGTCACGAACCAGAAACCTCACATGAAAATTTCCAACCCAATTTCTTTTTACACTTGTTCTTGTTCTATCTTACGCATTGCTCAGTTTTTTGCATATTTTTGAAATTGAAAGAATAAATATGGAAATTCAAAACAGTTTTGATTTATTACGTAGTAGACATGGATCGTGCTCAGTGACAATAGGTTGCCGATTTTATTCATTTTAACAGATTTTCCCTCAATTACCTTCAAGTTAATAATAATAATAATAATAATAATAGGAATAAATCCAAGGATACTACTAGAACTCGATTTTTACACTTCCATTTTCGCTACAAACTCTACAAAAAAGAAAAGCGTACGTCGAGAATGTTCATGGTAATTCTAAATTCTAACTCTTTTATTCTGAAATTTTGACTCAACAAAGTTATTTAATTAATAGCGCGTAGAAAATATGTGAAATGCATGAAATTCTGAAAGCTGTGTGGAGCTGATGAGGTTTTGGGCTCTAAAGATAATTCCTTGCCTGATTGAAAGGTTAGCCTTCAATCGTTACTGCTTATTATCGTTTATCATGTGAAACATATTCAAAGCTTGTCCAGAGCCTAGAGCTACCATATAATGAGGGATAATAATAACAGCAATGACTGGGTGGTAGTATAGTTATCTGCTTGTTTATTTTAGTGTTATTGAAATGAAACATTGACTTCCATCTTGATTGAACACCTTGCCATAAATAATATTATTACTGTTTTTTATTTCAGCCACATTCTTCACTCTTTCCGCTTAATTTTGTTTCAAAAAACACTTCCTGTATCAATTATCAACACTACTGACCGAGACTCTTATCGCCAGTCTGCTCCTAACAGTTTTTGACATTAATGCGACCTTCATAACATTATATTATTGTGTGCGCAGCACTTTGTATAATTTTCATAGTGCGGCTAGTAATGTGACTTGGAAACGAAACCCGAAATTTGGAAATCCACAATAACAATTTATGTGAATCAGAAACGAGTGTTCATGTATTGGATCAGAAAAATGAACCCTTTAACAGGAATTTATATCTCAGATGATAAGAAGTAGGTCTACTGTTATGCACTATTATTTTCTTTTCTTTTTTTTTTTTTTCTTTTTTTGCTCTTTTTTTGGCTTTCCCAGATTATGGGGATGACCCAATTGACGATTCTTTGAGAACTAACTGTCTTACAGCAATTTGGTATTTGAGTATTCACTCTCTTCTGCTGCTCCATCGTTCAAAGAAGTGATAGCCAAAATTGCTTCCGCCACAGGTAAATCGAACTCGTCGAATATAGATGACGGTCCAAGTAACCTGCCACCTGTAATGAGGCTATCGCCAAACGAAGTAATTTATCACCAAGCTACAAAATATTTGAGATATTATGCGGTGTGTGAACTAGAACAAATAGCGAAGCAACAACAAAAGAATACAGCAAACAATAGCCATGAAGAAGATATAAATATGATGTATCAGTATGATAGCAATAAAAATATAAAAGAAGATTATGAATCATTCCAAGAAAACGATCAAGAACAAGATAGTAAGGCTGATGAAAGTAGTGAGGCTGAAGAAGACAGTGAAATTGGAAGCGAAGGAAATTTATCCGTTGGTATATCTCTGAGCTCATTCAATCCTTTAATTCCACTAGAGTTCATAAAACAACTTATTGAGGTTATGGTAGATTATTTTGGTGACCCATTAGTGCCGCTAAAGATTGAGGCCAATTACGATATTCTTTGCCTCTTGCTTAGTGAAATGATTGAAGATAATTTTCCCTTCATTACTGATTTAAACCAGCTTAAGGATGTCGTACAGTTTGAGGGAATTCTTAGTAGATTCCTTTCATCCACCAGCAGTAATATTTCCAAATCTTCCTCTAGTTCTAATTTGGGCGGATTTAGTTCGAATACATCCTTATCGTTGGTTCAAGACAGGCCTAGTATTCCATGGAGAAAAAACAATGTGAAATATACTAATAATGAGCTCTTTGTGGACTTTGTGGAACATGTTACTCTTGTGATGTCTCCGTCTCGAGGAAATGGTGAAGATTTTAGAAGTGTCGGAGGGTCATCTGCCTTTTATTCAACTACAGGCAATTACAGAAACCATTCTAGGCCGATAATATCTCGTATTACGGGTGAAATTCTCTTGACCTCTCATTTAAGTGGGATTCCAGATCTCCAAATGATATTAAATTTGAATGGCCATAATTTACACTGTCCAACTTTCCATCCTTGTATTAGAGTTGATAGATGGCAAAATTCCCCTGGGGTAATGCTGTTCATTCCACCTGATGGTAAGTCAAGAATTGCTGAGTATGAAATTGATCTTGGTTCATTGCCTCATGCTAATCGGATTTTGCAGAATATTGGTATTATTCAAGGAAAATACACTACTGATTTGGGATTATTGGGTAATGAGTTTGAAATCACCTTATCCATCAGTAACTTGAAAACTGTGAAAAATATTGAAACTTTGAAGTTAGAAATTAATACCGAATTGCAGAAAGATCGTATTTCGTCAATTAAAATCTTAAGATTGAGCAATGGAGATTTTCAGTTCAATAGAAACGGAAAGAGTGAATGGATATTTGATAAAAATCTCGCAACTGGAATGAATCCTGTTCTACGAGGTGTGATTGTCCCTATTAATAATGTGGATGATGGTGATAACGAAGAATTACCATTGAAGATTTTTCCAAACCATATTTCTTTGTCATATGGTTATAAGGGTGCTCTACCAAGTGGTATTAAGGTTACTTCATTGAAAGTAGTGAGTGCAAAAGGGATGGGAGAAAATGTCAAGCCCTATAAGGGAGTCAAGTATATAGTGAGAAGTGGACAAGTGGTGTTGCGTTAATGGTATTATGAATCAAACAATATACGCCTCTCAGTATCGAATTTGTTGCTGATGTGTAGTTGTTTAATCGGAGTGGGGTTTTACATCATTAGAAAAGAAAGTATCTGTCAGGTAGGCCGCTCATAATATAAATTTCGTCTTGTATGAAATAATATACTAGGATAGATCCATATTAAAAAAAAAAAAAAAAAAGAGAAGAAAAGAAAAGTCATTTTTGAGTCAAAATTTTATTCATATGCTTTTCAATAAGGTTTGTTTTGAGGATTACTCCATTCATTTCTTATTCACTTCCAATACTTATCATGGAAATATACCCAAATCTACCATTCTTATCTCTACCAATCTGACTCTGGTGGAGATCAGATTGCAAGCCAAGAAGAGGTTTGTCTCATACAACCTTGCAAAATACAGGAGAATTAACCTACTATGTAAGAATCTTCTCTAAGGAACTCTGTTGCCTATTTTGTTATGCTCTTTTTGTGTCTGACCATTTTTCGTTTTCTCGTGTGCAACAGCTGAAATTGAAGTGTCAATGTCGTAGTTAGTAGAACCTGAATAGAAATAAAATGCTGTTCTATCACTTATTACAACTACCCCGCCTTCTGAAAAACCTTATCTAACGGATATTCCTTCGTTCTTTTCTTTTTTCCCTCCTGAGCCAAGGATAAAAAGAAGGCAAAATTTTACGCTTGGCACCCCCACGACCCCCGAACACTTCACCAACCAAAGCATAACGCGGTAAAATGAACTAATTGGCCACTGACGTCTAATGCCAAAAATGGTATGGGCAATAAAATATTAACAACTTAGAATCCTCAGTACACTCACATTTTTGGGGAAACTGCATTAAAATCAACGCTCAGCACATCGCACTGCATTATCTTCCCAACATGAAAAAAAAAAAAAATACCAAGAACGATAACGAAGAAAAATTTTCCTATACTGATGTTATTGGCCAAGAATTATAAAAACTTGATGTTTTTTCCTTCAAGCGGCACCATCCTACTAAACCTTCTTCATCATCACCAATATAAATAAAAAAACGTATCCAGATTATTTTTTTCCCTTGATCATCTGTCCATCTCCATCCTTTTCTTTTCTTTTTTTTTTTTTTTTTTTGGCCTGTGTTATTCGTTATCGAATTTTAATAAGGCCCAAAATGGAATCAAATTCTAATAATGCCTCCAACCAAGGATCAGTCGAAAAAATTCCAGCTAAAGACTCAATCCTCCCTGTTCACACCCAAGAATATGATTTAGCTGTCTCCAGGAGTACCCCTATGGCCATGACCGAGGGACATCGATTGAAAAAAGACTTGCAATCAAGACACATTACAATGATTGCTATAGGAGGTGCAGTAGGTACCGGCTTGTTGATTGGTACTGCTTCAAGTATTTCCACTGCCGGTGGTGGAGCAACTTTTGTGGCATACTCTATCGTTGGGATTGTGGTATTTTTCGTTATGGCTGCACTTGGAGAAATGGCTTCTTTCATTCCTTTACCAGATGGTTTCCCTGGTTATTCTTCAAGATATGTGGATCCAGCAATGGGATTTGCAGTTGGCTACTCATATTTGTGCAAGTATCTTATTGTTACACCAAACCAATTGGTCGCCGGCTCCTTAGTGATGCAGTACTGGGTTAGTCCAGAAAAGGTCAACCCTGGTGTTTGGATTGCCATCTTACTCGTGGTCGTTTTGTTAGTGAACTATTTTGGTGTAAAGTTCTTTGGGGAATTTGAATTTTGGTTATCATCCATAAAAGTCGTCACTATCTTGGGTCTAATTATTTTGTTGTTTATTATTATGTTGGGCGGTGGCCCAAGCCATGATAGATTGGGATTCAGATATTGGACTGACCCGGGGGCCTTCAAACCATATAAACATATAGAGCCACCTTCGAAGGGAAAATTTGTTGCGTTTTGGGCTGTTTTTGTGTACGCTGTGTTTGCTTACTTGGGAACAGAATTGGTTGGTGTTACTTTTGGCGAAGCTAGAAACCCAAGACATTCTATCAAAAAGGCCATCAAATTAACCTTTTACCGTATTTTGGTATTTTATTGCGCATCCTGCTTCTTGTTGGCTTGCTGTGTCGCTTATAATGATCCATTGTTATTGTCTGCCAAAGGGACTTCAGCTGCTGCCTCTCCATTCGTTATTGCCATCAAAAATGCCAAAATAAGCGTTTTGCCTCATGTTGTCAATGCATGTATTCTAATTTTCATTTTTTCCGCGTCAAATTCCGACTTATACATTGCTACTAGAACCCTATATGGCTTATCTGCAAATGGAAAAGCTCCAAAGATTTTCTCTCGCACAAACAAAAATGGGGTTCCAGTTTACTCTTTGGCTTTTGCTGGACTTTTCTGTTGCTTGGCATTCATGACATGCTCTTCATCTTCCAAAACTGTGTTTAATTATTTTGTCAATGTGGTCTCTATTTTCGGATTGCTCACTTGGATTTCCATTCTTGTGACATATATTTTCTTCACAAGGGCAGTCAAGGCACAAGGATACGTCAGAACAAGAGATTTTGTATATTATGCCCCACTTCAGCCTTATGGCACTTATTTTTCCCTCTTCATGTGTTGCATGATTGCAATAATCAAGAATTTTACAGTTTTCATTGGAGGATTTGATTATAAAAGTTTTGTCACTGGTTACATTGGAATTCCTGTTTATTTTATTTGCTTTATTGGCTATAAGATTATTAAGAAGTCAAAGTTTATTAAACCTGAAGAGGCTGACTTATTCACCTACAAGGATGTCATTGACGCCGAGGAAAAAGAATGTTTGAGAGAAGAAGAAGAAATGGCCAAGTTAAAAATCAATGGGAAGAAAGACTGGCAATGGTTTTATGATAAATTCATTGGATGGTTGTTTTGAAAAAAACTGTCGCTTTTGTCATCCATTCTTTTGTATTTTTTTTTTTTTACTTCAAACAATCTCTGTCTTCATTCTTATTATTTTTGTTTACCTGTGCTGCCTTTTTGATTATGTATTGTTTCATGGTTTTCAGTTTATATCGATAGTTTTCTTTCACACACTTGGCTTTCAGAGATATCTGAGTCGATTACTTCCCTGTAAATATTTCCATAACATCAGAGACAATAATTTTTCCCATTAAATTTTCAAAAAAGGAAAGAAGAAAAAATAGTAAAAGTAGATGAAAAATAGTAACTGTATCTACTACACAGGCATCTTCAAAGTTGCTTATGTTAGCATTAAATTAATTATCGTAAGCGCCCTCAACTCGTGCAATTCGAGGAATTAAAAGCCCATGAATATATTCCACTACAGCTGGTTGTTTTCTACATATTGTACCAGTAGATACTGTATCAGAAGAACTAATTACACTCATAGTTTGATGTACCATACAACCACTTAATCAAACTCGGATATTTTTTGCGAGAGAGTTTTAATATTTTCACATCTTAGAAGTCAAATATTTATCTCGTGGGAAAACTTCTCATCTATATCCACGATAGTAGATTTTGTAAAATTCTTGCGATAACTACCGCTAAAAACCCCTGGCTTTCGCAGATGCTATGTTACACTCCAATATCATGAGTGTATAAGATGTTTCTTACGCCATCAGCATACTTGTCAGTCATTAAAATTGCTTAAACATTCATATTCATTTTATCTATTGTTTATAATCTGCATTAACTAACCTAATATGGTGTGTATGATATTTAAATACATCTACTCCAGAATTGGACTTCAAGTTTAGTAAAAGTTTCAAATATCTCAATAACTCTATCAAGTTTTTGCTGGCTTTTACAACGCTTTCGAATTAATGCATTGAACTCTATCTCCGCAACCTTGCAAGCTTCACTATAAACTGTCTGCAAATTGCCATCGATCCAACGGATGTATACTTCAGTAGTTAATTCATCAGCTTTATGATACTTCTTGACTGAATTATTGGCATTATGAGCAGCTATGGAATAGCCGTGGAAGCACGGTGTAAGTGCAGTGGAGATGTCTAAAGCATCACCTGTATTGGTTGCAATACAGTGTTTTCATTTCTTATTGGTACCAACCACCGGAAATGTTCATAGCAGTGGCAAAAATTAATTCATACCGACCCCCGGTATTTTCCGTACCACCGCAGCGGGATTTATTCAGACCATCTAAGAAAAATAGTTCATACTATTGCACTTTAATTATTCATACCAACAGAATACAAAATTCATACTAAATGCATGAAATTCTTATGCTTTCATTAATATTGTATCTTTGATATTATTAAACATGTTACAGGGGACCCGCACACCCAATAAAGCCCCTTTGCAATACTCATTTACCATTTCAAAGGCTCATAACCAAATTTTGGAGTGGTTCGTCCTTCCTTAAAATTTTAAATTTTCATCAATTTGTTTTTGAGCTTTGTTATGTCTTTATGTAATTTTTTTTATAGTTTTTACTTTTTTTTTTCGTTTGTTTTCTGTATTTTGTTCTCTAATTTTTTTTTTCTTCATCTTTGGTATTTGTTTTCAAAAGAGCTGCTGTTGTAAACAGAGATCAATATGTCTAGAAGCATGTCTGCAGAATCCCTTGTAACTATCAAGGGAAATATTTTCTGTGGCTTCTTTCACCCTTAGAGTTAATTGCTCCTTCTTGCTCAAGTTTGATCTTTTGACTTTACTCTTACATACTGACCAGAATTCTTCTATAGCATTCAACCCTGGAGAATAAGGAGGTAAAAACACAAGTTCCAACCCACTCAGTGCCACTAGTAACTGAAGATCACGTCGTTTATGAATGGCAGCATTATCAAGGATCAAATATTTCATACCTTTGAGCTCCTCCTTATTTTCTATTTGCTGGATCACTGACTTTACAAAACTGTAGAAGTGATTAGCTGTAGTACCTTTACTCACTTTGTCAATGGTCGTTTCTGAATCAAGTTTTCTCTTCTTATTGGATGTAGCCACTGGAGTTCTGAACTTTAATTCAATACAACCTTTGACAGAAATTGCCCCAATGAACGAAATATTAAGCCCTCTGGTTACGGGAACAGTAAGAACTGCTTTTTCACCCACAGCAGACCATCCATACTCACGCCGCATACTGATATTGAAACCTGCTTCGTCGATGAAAATACAGTTTTGACTAAAGTCGAGCTTGTCTTTATACTTCTCTGCCCACTCGAGTCTCTGTTTCTTCAATTCCTCCAGACTTCTTCTCAAAGCCCATTTAGAAATACGTTTGAGACTTAGCTTACAGACCTTGGTGACAAAGTTATAGATTGTTGTGGCCTTGGCTCTTACATTACAAGGCTGCAAACTGCTTACACATGGAAAAGAGGGAGATCACCCTCTCTTGATTGACCATTTTATTATGGTTCTGCTCCTTCCTTCCCACATTTTATACACTTGGTGAAGGCTTTGTTGAGTCTCTCCAACATAAAATCGAGAGTCACTGTAGCATCCTCCTTTATCAATTTTTGAAGGAATTCTTTATGTTCATCAGTGAGAAGGGGCTTACGACCTCTTTTCTTTGTTGGCTTCGAGATACCATTTAATTCATTAACAAGTATTTTGTTCCAATTTCTTCTCCATGGGTAAGCAGTTTGCAAAGGTATATCTTCTAATTTTGCAGCCTTGTAAGCCGATACACCTTCTTCCATGACCAAGTGCCAAAATCTTTGTTTGACAGCTTGATTATAATACCGGTACGAACCTCTATATCTTCGTTCTTTCATTTCAATTTCCATCTCGGCATTTTCTTCTTCTTCGAAAATAGGATCAATTTCCATGATATCCATGATACCTGGTTTTTCAAAATGCTTATAGTCACTGTAACTAAAGCAAGCTTCAACTGGTGCTATTTCAGACTCCAAAGTCATTTCACTGGGTTCAGCATAGAATCTATTACCTAGGCCATCAACATACCCATCAGTTAGTAGCTTGGCTTTCAAGTCCATACTTAGTTTTGATGGTAAAATCTTATGCTTTTTTTGTAAGTAATCTGGTGATCATATAAAGACCGAATTGAATGTCAAAAGTGGGAATTCATCATCTTAAATGGAGAACAGCTCCTACCATACATTCGTTCCCATTTCTTGAAAACCGTAATCACGTGATATTATTGATATTATTATAGATATCCGGTTTTATAGAAAGTAGCACAGAATTATTGAAAAAATGAGTATAATTTGTTTAAACTGAGTAGCTTAGAGGCTTATAGAGCTAGTCACATAAAAAAAAGAAAGGAATTAATATGAATTTTATATACTGTTGGTATGAATAATTAAAGTGCAATAGTATGAACTATTTTTCTTAGATGGTCTGAATAAATCCCGCTGCGGTGGTACGAAAAATACCGGGGGTCGGTATGAATTATTTTTTGCCACTGGTATGAACATTTCCGGTGGTTGGTACGAATAAAAAATGAAAACACTGTAAGCACAGTATCAGGTATTCACATGGGAGATTGTCAACTAAAGCAATAGCATTACTCGATGAACCTATTACGATACTCACATTTTATGGATGATTGTAGAGAGATAATGTGATGATTGATTGCTATCGCTGCAAATTTTTTGTAATCTTATGATTCTTTATTGAATTCATACTTGCTTGATTATTTATCAAAAGGCTACTATATTAGTACCTACACTACAAGAATACTACGAACGACACCTACAGAAGGAAGCGATCAACCTATCACAGTGAAAGGATTGTGTACAATATGATGTTTTTCCTCTGGCACTATTTTAAGCGACAATATAGGAGAACTATAACATTCTACCGATGGTGACAAGCGAGAGCACCTAGTGTTTTATTGAGCAAGAGCAATCCCAGAGAAAATAAACCCAGGCTGCGATGAACGTCACTTCCAGTTCCCCGATTTGATCATGTAGCAACCACAAATCACTATAGTCCAACCACGCCACGAGATAGTCATGTAATTAGTAACCAAATCAACTTCCAATCCAGCCATTAGGGATAGTCACTCCCATGACCTGGGTAACTCTCAATCTATCAAAGAAATTGATGCATTCTATGTAACACTGTAACTAATTCTCTTTGTGTTAGAATCCACTGGCATTTATATACAGTAAGAGTTTAAACAAGACAGAAAGTTGATGATTTTGTTCACCCTACATTTAATAGAGCTGGTACTTTAGATCATGAGGTCCGATCCAGTGGGGTGAAAAATAGAAATATTCCGATAAAAAAGTGAAAGAATTCAAGTTGTTGCTCCTTGTATCCAGATAACGATGGATAAATAGCAAATAGAAATAAACAAATTTTAAAAAAGTATCTCATGAATAACAAATCTTTAAATTTACACATATGTGTGTGTATATTCTTCAAATGTAGAAAAATAAATGCTTGCTCCAAACAGATCTCATTTTGTTTTGTCACACAAGCATTGTGTTGAGTAGTTACAGCTTATTTTATTCTGCCCAGCATGTAGTCACCCCACCCCTCTCTTGTGATTGCTTGAAAAATCGCAAATTATAGATCCAGGAGAGTTCTCTAATTACTATGGAAGTACACTCGTATTATAAAGACTACACATTATCAAAAACCTCAATTTGATAACCAGTTACTTATTTGTGATACAAGAAACAAAGCGTGTTTTTTAGAGCACCAAAGATCGACGTCATCCAAGACTAATTCATATACTAGATATGGAGAAAAGTTCAAAAAGTTGCTGTTCTCACTCTTGAAAACTGTAATCTGATTTTGAAAAAATTAATTTTCTCACTATCCAAGCCATCATGATCTATGATGAGATATGCTCTGCTGTAATGTAGTTGAATTTTATGCTAATCAACAGAGTGGAAGTCTTATATTACTATTTTTTTGAATAATAGTGGTGATCGACTGAAATAAAATGCAATTAATTGTATGAGTATGTAAATATTGCACGAAGATTTTATAACAAAAATAAAGTGTAATACAAGAGAAGAGGCTTGATCATTTTTCAGAACTTGTAGAAAGTTATAGAAATAATAGTTGAATAGAAACCAATTGAGTATTTAGTAAGTAGCTCTTCAGGTGTGAGATTTGAGTAAGAGGCTTTGTAAAATAAATTTATCATGTAAAATATTGCTTGAAGGTTTATAACTCAAAAATAAAGCAGAGAGAGTACAACGACAATTTTAGACTTTTACTCGGAGATGTTGAGAATATAAAAGCTTAAACCTAATCTATCACACAATTATTAATGAGACACAAATTTAATTCTAGTGCAGAAGATAACATGTCAGTTACTCTTATCAGCAGAGATGTTTCTGTGGGTCCCATTAGATCACAACAATTTACACAAGTAAACATTCGCATACTCTCAAAAAAAACTTCATCCTGCTTTGCCCAGTACTACATTTGCTAACGTAAATAACGGAGGGCAGCCTCTATGTTACTCTAAAGAGTCTCGACTATTATGTTATGCAAGATAGTTATTATTTCTCCAGTAAATGATAATATAATAATAGTTATATAATGGTAGGAATAATTGTAATGGCTATGGGCGAGTCTGGTTAAATGAGATTAGGTGACTTTTATTCATACTATACATATTTACTTGTACTGGACAGAAGTCTTCCATATATAGTTCGACCGGAGACAAAGCCCCCTGGACGCAGCTATATTACTGGGAGAGACTATTATTATTACAAAGCGAACGTTTTTTTCTTTGTGTTTGCTTGAAACATTTCAATGATTTAAATAGTTGATATTCTTGAACAATAAACATGGGAAATTTCTTGAACTGTAAAGTATTGAAGATAGTGGAGTTTCCACTGGCTGATGAGATTTTTTGTAACCAAAAGCGCCAATGGAGATTGATATACTTCTTGTAATGCCACTGTAAACTGCACTTTCACTTTGAGCAAAGCGGTGGGGAGACATGCCTAATTTCCTTTTGAAAAAGAAAAGCTCGAGATGACTCTGATCCTTCTATATTTCAAACTATTACGCATTCAATCACGTGCTACTATTAATATTGTTACAGATATCCGTCTTTGTAGAAAGTAGCACAGAATTATGGAAAAATGAGTATTATTTGATTACACTGAGTAACCAAGAGGCTTATAGAGCCATTCATATGAAAGAAAAAAAAGAATTGATATGAATTTTATTTCCTGTTGGTATGAATAGTTAAAGTTGCATTGGTATGAACTATTTTTCTTAGATGGTCTGAATAAATCCCGCTACGGTGGTACGAAAAATACCGGGGGTCGGTATGAATTAATTTTTGCCACTGGTATGAACATTTCCGGTGGTTGGTACGAATAAAAAATGAAAACACTGTATGATTCAAACGCTACTATTTTTTATTTTTTTTCTCTCTCACCGGTGAGAATATGAAGCGCCGTGAGCTTACATTCAGGAGCAAATTATTTCCAATATGTATTAATACAAAGATGGGATCTTCGTTATTATTTTTTACTCGCCAAATTTTTCGGAGACCTTCTCCAGTATGAAAAGCGGTAGATTATCCACAAAAAATGGGCCTCCATGAGATCTTTATTCAACCAAAATGTTAGACACAACTTGTCAATTAGCTCTACTGAACGTAGCAACAAGTGCGTTTATCGTTGCTTAGTAGTAAAACACTACTGGCACCGTATTGTAACTATACACACAACCATCAATCTTCAATAAGCTATGCATGCTTACAGAGGCTGATCATCATTCGTATAATAAGAATCGACTAGCTTAATATACCACAGTAGCGGTAGGTCCGACAAAAACAATTGTTCCAACTTCTTCAGAAAAATGCATTGTATACTAGATACATGTGTAACCTCCATCGACTAGAATGTCCGTCCCTGTGGTATAAGTACTGGCGTCACTGGCCAAGTACAAGTAAGCCCCCACCAATTCATGGGTGGCGCCTTCCCGGCCCATGGGAGTCAAGGTCCACCACTTCTCCTTCAACGAGTTGTCAGCAAAATTGGTTATGTCTGTGCTGATGTAACCAGGGCTCACGGTATTAACACGTGCGAAACCCGACCATTCGATGGCCAACGATTTCGCCAAATGCTTGACAGCAGCCTTCGAGACATTGTAAACGGTTTGTGACTGCGGAACATTGATAATGTGCCCACTGATCGAAGCAGTTATCACAAATGAGCCAAATCCCTGTTTTTTGAAATATCTGCCGACAACTTTGGCAGCGTAATAAACCCCGTTCAAATTAATGTCGAGCAACTTTTTCCAGCCCTCGGAGGATTCCTGATCAATGACATCATCACCCGGGGAGGTTGCCCCAGCATTAGCAACAAATATATCTATTTTCCCACCAAAGTCTTCCAACTGCTGCTTGATAGTTTTTTCAACCTCCGCTTCGTCTGATATATTACATTTATAAGCCTTGGCCTTGATGCTGTATTTTTGGGCAAGATCATCAGCTTTTTTCAATGCAGTTGGGTTTGAATTGTACCAGATAGCAACATCGGCGCCGGCTTGGGCGAATGCTTCGGCAACAGCAAATCCAATGCCGCTGGAAGAGCCAGTAACCGAGGCAAACTTTCCCTTGAGCGAGAAAAGATCGAGGACATTTTTGCTTTTTGGAGCAGGAGTTGGTCTAGGCAAAGGGCCGAGGTTTCTAGCAACGGTGCGAGCCATGTTTATTGAAAGTAGATGGATGTATTAGGTATTTCGAGTTGGATAGAGAGCAACCAGTTGTAACAGAGGCTATTTTGAAAAAATTGAGGAAGAAAAGAAAGAACAAATGTGCAAGAAATATCCTCGGTAAGCAACGAAAGGAAGCAAAAGAACGTATTTATATATATTATATACCGAGAAAGTCGGTTGCATTGTGGTCATGTGCAGTCTGCCGCACCCGCATCCGCACCCCCCTCCCCCCTCTCCTGCCCCTGACAGCTGGAGCAAAAAAACGCAGCATTAGTTGGCGATCAAGAGGTAAGCTCAAAGTTCCTATGTTCATGTCTTTGGAAACCATGTTTTCAACCCCGTAGCTGTCAATGCATCAATCTTGGGTCGTTGTACAGGCTGATTATGAAATAATAATAATTGGTTGTCAGCATCACCCGGATATGTCAATTGTGAGTATGGGCGGGTAATATTTCTTGAATGAAAAAACACACACACACACACAAAACAAAACAAGCGAAGAAAAAAAAAACGACGCGAAATCGAATTCTAAATAAAGTCTACACAGACGTTTTTTTGCGTTGAGCGATAAACAAAGTGCCCCGACGCTATGAATATCGCTAACAATGTGGATCCCAAAGAAATGGCGCGCTTTCAACAAATGATCCAGCGTATAAAAGAGCTCCAGGAGCAACTACGAGCAAATGATGCCTCAGGCAACAAACAGGCCAATCAGCTAATATATCCAGAATTAACCCAATTGAGTCAACAAGCTCAGCAATTCATTCGCTCTCACCAGCAGAATAATAATGCGAACAATACAGCCAATACTGGTACTACCAATAGTAATCAACAGCAGCCACAGCAACGACAAAATACAGCACCAATGGCTCCCTCTCAAACACCGAATAGTATTTCAGGCCAACAGCACCTACCCCATCAAAATATGAGCAGCAATATTGGTAATAACTCTGCGTCGCTCCCTACCACACCTCTCAGTTGCAATGATAGTGTGTCTTCGGCTCAACCTCTAGAAGCTTCGGCCCAAAATAACCAACAAAATTACCAAATATCAGACGCGCAAAAAAAACAAAATCTCCAGATACAAACCGACCTTTTCGTGAAAACTCTACATGATTTCCTCAAAGCTCAAAACAAACAAGTGAACCCCAATCTGTTTCTCATAGACAATAAACCTATCAATTTGTTCCTAATGTACTTCCTTGTCAATAAGATGGGTGGTTTCCAACTGATCACAAGTAATAATCAATGGGAAATAGTTGCGATGCGCCTCAATTTGAGCTCTCCAAATAATCCAAACCATAGTCGAATTGCTTTGCAATTGTTCAATTTTTACCAGGAATATATCATGCAATTCGATATATATTTGAAAACCCCAGAAGGCCAAAAGCTATTGGAGCTGAACAAAAAGGAAAAAATTATGGAATTGCATCAAAGGAATCAACCTCAACTGCAAAATCAACCATCTAAACCAGAACCAGATCAGCCCCAACAAAACCAGCTCCAAGCCCAATCGGAACCGCGACAACAACAACCGCAGCCTCTGCAAGTATATCCTTTTCCTCAAAACATCCAAGCCTCTCCTAATGGATTTCAGTCCATGCCCCCTCCTTCTTCTGTTCAGACATTGTCTAATCCAAACACTCCACAAATTCCTCCAAATTATAACCTCAGACCCCCATCTAGTGCTTCTAATACAAATCCAAGTTCGCCATCGGCAAGCACCGCAAATATGACTGTGGATTCAATGACAGAATATTCTAAAGAGGATCCTGTGTTTATCAGAAAATATGATCCTATGGTGAGATCGACGAGTATGCATCATGCAGGATTATCAGTAAAAAAACTTCTAGCAATCGGAGATCAGTTTGAACCTTTGAAGCCAAATTACTTGTTTCCTCCGGAAACAGGGAACCTTGATATACATGCACTCACGATGTCTCTTCAAAGCTATTCTTTAAGCGAAGTCAACAACGTTTTGAATATGTTACTTGTTATGACCTCTGATCCTAGAATAGACATTACCATCAGTGAATGCCAAGAGCTTTTAGATCGATTAAGCGAGCTTGGGCTTTCCATTCTTGATGAACTTGTGTTCGATCAGTTGAACAAGGATAATGTTAAATATGATGAATCGATTTATGAAGAACGATCAAAAAAAAGAAAATCTTGGAATTCAGATTCAGGTATTAATCACAGGAAGAAAAGAATTTTTAAACAAGAGAGTTTTATTATTGATGAGGTTTACAAAATATCTCCTTATGACAAATATTATTTTTCATCTATTGATGATGAGTTTGTATCATATGTTTCAAAGCATAAAGATGAAAAAGAAGTTGTGATTACCGTTGACAGTTTCACTGGTGCTGAAGTGCCAAGTGAAAATCTGCTGAATAGTGAGACAGTTTTTGAAGATCATACTGAAGGTAAATTGGCCGGTGAAATCCATGCTTTCTTGAATCCCAACACTTTTAAAAGATATGCTCGAAAGAGAGACATTTATAGACATGATAGATTGGAAAAATTCAAAGATCACTCATTCGAATCCCATATTACAAAATTTAAGCTCCCTCCTTATATGGACCTTCTTATGTTATGCAACGAGGAAATGGACGAAACTTTTAGCGAAGTTAATATCCGAGCATCCGAAAAGTACCAAATTATGTTGGTTGATCAAATTACTACAATTTCTATGATTGCCAGAAACTTTAGTTTTATTGAGTCTAATAAATCATTTCTTAAAGACAATCGCTTGTTCAAGAGATTTGTTTTCAGCTTATTGTTTGCGTGCTTTGCCTTTGATGAATTTTTCGTCTACTCTAGAAGAAAATTGGCTATTACCAAAGACTGCTTGATAACCCTTATGAATATTGGCCACCTGTTACGTCTTGATGATTTCACCGATGCTTTGCTTATTGTGGCATTGACTTTACAATTTGGAGGTAGTACTAGTAAAGATCCAAGTGAAATTAATAAGAATCTTTTGCCTGAATATATTCCACTGTTCGAAAAATATCAATGCTATGCCGTCGATATGTTCACCAAAGTCTTGGCCAATAGTCGCGAGAACAGACTTTTAATCAAGTGTGTGCTAACTGGTAATTATCAGCGCGATGTGGTACAATTCAAACCACTCCCTAGTAAAAATAAAAGAATTGAAGAGGATACTGAGGTAGACGAAGACTTTGATAGTATTGACAATGATGCTTTTTTCAATAATTTGGGGCTACCGATCGGCGACGAATCAATAACTGATAATTTAGCCTATAAATTGAGTGAATTTTACATTAAAGATATGTTTAAGGAGGCTACAAAACCTGAATCATGTATTTTGGTTACTAAGATGTTTGGCTACATGATGGGTGTCCTACCTTCTAGCACTTATGATACTTTGGCGATTGAAGAAAAAACCCCTATAATTATCCAAAGTTTACTCTCTGCAAACTTGTTGGTCAAAATGATTCCAGTGCATAGCGGGGTGAGCAAAAATGTGTCATTGGAGTGGATTACCAGTCATGAGTTGGTTGGTGGCAACTTAATTCGTCTTGGGCTTATGATGACACCAATTCGTGCTGAAAAAGGGAAAGAATTTCTTCCATTGATTGCTTCTAGGTCACTCATGACTGTCAATTTACTCCTTGAAAAAGTTTTCCAATTTATTGATATGAGCGTGTCACTTGGAAAATCTGATGAGGAAGACTGTATTCAATTGGCGAAGTTGCCTCGGATTGTTCCCACGCATGACGCAATCCTTGGGACTATTCTTTCAGGAAATATTGATTCTAGCATTCTCAAGGAGGTTTTAAAATTGGCAAGTCATTCAAAGAAGTTGAATGATTCCCTATTGAAATTTCAGGACAATAAAGGTTGATATACTGTTAGTTTTTTTTTTTTTTTTATTTTTTTTTTTTTTTCAAAACTTCATTCCCATAGTTTCGGTGCATAGAATGCTTTTTTTTTCTCGTGCTATTGATCTTTATGTGTTCTTTGCGAATATATTCTCTACTGCAGATAAGCTACATGTAAATATACCAATAGTTAGTCCATTATTGTTATTATAACAGCCTTGTTAATTTTCATTCCAAATATGTACGGGGTCCATCCTCACTTGTAGTGTCTATCAAAAAATCGCAAAAACTTCCCAAATACTCCTTGCTCTATGAATTCTGGATACACAATTCAATTCATTTTCGTTCAACCACTTCAATTGATTCAATTCACTTGTTAATAACATATCCTCCTCTTTCCCTTTAATATCTTCTCTATTGGCCTTGCCTAATAGCAATTTATTTTTTTCCTTGGTTTCATTAATATGATTGAAAATCAAAGAAATTTCATGAAGTAAATTGTTTTCAAGTAAGCGAGTATTGAATTTCTTGTTAAATCTATAAGCAAATGCTGAGCGATTTGCCTGACGATCGACGGTCTTTGGAATTTCTTGGACTTCAATCGCTTGAAGTTTAAATAACCTATTAATACAAACACGCAAATCATCGTCTTTAAGAAGCGTGTGATTGATAAGAGCCTTTTCATCTATCAATTTGGACTTGATAATACAATTCAAAACCTTGAATTCATTACGTCCAAGAACGGATTTGACGAGATACATGAAGTTCATTTCCTTTGTTTTAGACATCAATTCAGAAAATGGGACATAATAAGCACCATTCGGATTCCTTCTGAGGAATGGAATACTAGAATTGGCCATTAGCTCCAAATGTTGATATAATGCGCCAACTGAATGTTTTTCATCCATATCTTCGGTATTTTCATCACCCTCTTCATCGCTATCATTATGATTACCATTTAACACTTGCATCGCCAAAATTTCATTTTCTTGTTTAATTTTCTTGGTAGCTGGCCCCATATTTTGATTATCTCTATTTTTCCGCTTGTTAGAATGGACACTTTTAAATTTGATACTATTACTTAAATCAATATCTTCTCTTTTTTTAAGCAAAGCAGCAATATCTTGTAATGTGAAGCAAACTGAATTTTCGGCGTCCAAAACGAGTTTTGCATATGATAAATACTGCGGTAAACTTTTGGCAGGAATGTCTGAAGAAGCGATAATAGTAGAGTCTCCTTGGCTCTCCATCTTACTATTAAGATTGAGATAAACATCGGCAAAATCTAGAGCAAATTTAGAGCAATCTTGACTATTTTTCTCAATCTTTTGCATCACAAGACCAAAGACTTTCGAAGACACCGGGCCCAATCTTTGATTAACAATCTTGACGAGACAAACACTTCTCATATGTTTAAAAAATCTTGCAAGAGAAAATTTGAAGGCAAGATCTTGTTTAATTTTGCTTGAGCCGAACGAATCTGAACCAAACATTGTGTTGGCACCCTTGTTAAAGAAACTGTTATCAGATTCATAGATATCCTTTTTCGAGAATTCAAAAAGTTTATTGAAATCAATCTCTGTACTATACTTCACCTCCTTCTTTCTTTTGATCTCACTAATACTGGTGGCTTTTGGATATTTGGCATAATTCTTCTGGTACAATTCTCTGTAAATATCATATTTATTTTGAAATTCAATATCTGATTTAATAGGCACTATCCACCCGTCTTGAATAAGGATGTTGAATTTTTTCTCAATATCAGATTTTTCGTCAAGGTCTTCATCATTATCATCTTCGTCTCGGTTTTCCAGACCGTTCTCATCCTTTTCTTTGTTTTGATTTTCTTTGTTTTGATTCTCATTTTTATGTGACTCCAAATTGCTCAAATAGTCAGAGAGAGTCAAATTTCCGTAGTTCAAAAAGTTTTGAATGATCTCTGCCATTAGATCATCACTATATTTTTTCTTAATGGATGCAATTATTTCTCCTGAATATAAAAATATTAACAAACCCTCTTCGTTGACATAATAATTCACGGTAGGTTTCTTAGAGCCTGACGGGGCAAAATATTTAACACATTTCAACTGTATCAATTTAACAAGAATCCCCTGAACTTTTCTTTTTCCTATTTTGGTCTTTGCAGACAATTCTCTTAATGTCAATCTTCCATTTGAGTATAATTTGGAGATGATTATTGAAGGCCCAAGACCAAGCAAGTCCTTAAGAAGAGTTGTAAAAAGATAAGACTTGGCCGATTGGATTCTAGAAGCCTTTTCAGAAACAGACTCTATTGATCCATTGTCTACCAGACTCATTATCCTCAGATCTTTTGGAGATATGGAACGCCAAATAAAGTGAAAAACATGGACATATAAATAAATAAATCAATCAATGCAGAAAAAAAAGATGCCTTCTACGAAAAAAAATTTTCCTGAATTGTTAGACGCACTTGCATATGCGGTACCAATGTACTGGTTATAATATAGCGAACAACAGTTCAACAACTTTGTACTGTGAAAACAACATAAATATATTATAGGATGTTGTTAGAAAGCAAGTTTCCAGTTTCAATAAAGATAGAAATTTTTGGAAAAAATACATCAATTTCTCGGGAAAATAACACATATTTTTTGGAACATTTCATTGAATTACAAAATATTATTAACAATACAATTATAGAAAGACAGGAGAGAAAAAAAAATGAAGAAAGAAACAGAGAGAGAAAAAAAAGTTGAACAGACCCAATGAATCAAAAAAAAATGGAAGGATTTTAAGCTAACCCCTAATCGAAAGTCTTTTTAGTACCAGTGAACTCAGATGATCTCTTCTTCAATGGCATGCTGTTAGCACCAGTTGATCTTTCTCTACCACCTCTACCACCTCTACCACCGAAGCCGCCTCTACCACCTCTTCCGCCTCTGTCACCACCGAATCCACCAGTTCTTGGAGGTCTTGGGGCAGAGTAATCCAATCTAACTGGTCTACCATCAAGATATTCACCATTCAAAGTTTCCAAAGCAGACTTAGCTTCATCAATACTGCCAAATTGAACATAACCGAAACCCTTTGGTTGTTCGGTTTCTGGGTTGGTTGGGATTCTAGCGCTAATGACGGTACCATATTCACCAAAAGATTCAATCAAACTTTCCTTTGTGGTCTTGAAAGACAAGTTACCAACGAACAAAGTGTCAGATGGCTCACTCTTGACATCACCAAATTTCTTAGCTCTGTCGTTGACTCTTGGGGCACTAGATGGTTTTGAGGTAGAGAAATCCAAATTTATTGGTCTGCCATCAATTTCCTTACCTTGGAAAGTATCCATGGCTTTTTGAGCGTACTCCTTGCTTTCAAAGTCAACGTAACCGTAACCACGGGACTTGTTGGTATCTCTTTCCATAATGACTCTAGCAGCAATAACACCACCAATAGATTCGAATTCACTCTTCAACCAAGCATCATCAATATTCCATGACAATCTACCAACAAACAAAGTAGTTGGTTCTGAGGCTTCAGTCTTTTGCTTTTTGGTTGAGTCTTCTTCACTTTCCTCAGCCTTACGTTTTTTAGATTTTTCATCTTCCTTTTCTTCATCAGAGCTGTCAGAACTACTGTCAGAATCACTGTCGCTGTCGGAGTCAGAGGAAGATTCCTTCTTCTTTTCTTCTTCATCATCAGAATCTGAGTCGGAATCTGAAGATTCCTTCTTCTTTTCTTCCTTTTCTTCAGAATCAGAATCAGAATCAGAATCAGAATCAGAATCAGAATCAGAATCAGAATCAGAATCGGAGCTATCAGAGGATTCTTCCTTCTTTTCTTCCTTCTTTTCTTCCTTCTTTTCTTCCTCAGATTCACTATCAGAATCAGAGTCGGAGTTAGAATCAGAGTCGGAGTTAGAATCAGAGTCGGAGCTATCAGATGATTCTTCCTTCTTTTCTTCCTTCTTTTCTTCCTCAGATTCACTGTCAGAATCACTGTCAGAATCGCTGCTGCTGTCTGAGCTATCAGAGCTAGAGTCATCAGAGCTAGATGCAGTGCTGCTTTCCTCTTCCTTCTTAGCTAACTTCGAGGCTTTTGAAGCTGACTTAGCCTTGACAGCTTTAGAATCTTTAGATGATACTTTCTTAGCCATTTTGTTAGTAGTTTGCTATTTATTTTTGGATTATTGCTAAAAATGAGAGCGTTCTATAGATTTTAATAAAGAAGAGGTAAGTAGTCACAAAAGAAAAAAAAAAAAATTTTATATAAAATAAAAAAAAAATATAAAATTTTTCATATACCAATTTTGTGGGTGCGATGAAGACGGGTAAAGTACCAAAAAGACGGGACTTTTCTCAAGTTTAAATCAACAGTTTTTGATATGAAGAAATACAAGGAAAAAAAAAAGAAGAGAAAAAAAAAAACTTTTTTTCAGAAGAACTAAAACCTACTGGGGACTTTTCCTATTGGTTCGGTTAATGAATGATCACTAGGGGTAGGCATAGTAGATTTCATCATGACCAGCTGGAGACCATATCTTGAAGCTCATTGAACTCCTTGACAGAGACAAACCCAATGCTATCTTTGGATTCATGGTGAGTTGCAATTGGATCTGGCTCAGCAATAGCTTGGTTGGAGGTGTTAATGACTTCAGCCTCATGATTGTCTTGGATGTATAACTAAATATCGGCACATAAATGGTAATGTAATGATAATGAAGTATTAAGTAAGTATAAAAGTTCAATAGTATAAGAACTGGAAATTTTTTTGTGAGTCTTATTATCTCTATATATCTGATAGAGGTATGAAATAGTTTTTTTCACTATTAGATGTTTGTTAGCCTTCTGGGTTATGGGCCCGTGATCTGTATGTTAAGTCGGTGACATTTCCAAACTCTCATATTACAATTATGTTTCCCCTCCAACAGCATTCTCATATAGAGGTCGTCTGACAGTTCTACTGTTTTGGGTGATGCCCTGGCTATCATAATATTATTAGATACTTATATCTGCCATCACGCTGTTCATGGTGCAGTTACCATGCATGTTGAAAGGGCATCACATACTTCAATGCGGCATTTGCAGATTTCTTTGACGTCCCCCAAATGATATTTATATCCCACGCTTCCCATGTTTATTACTCGATTTGTGGATAGCTCGTGTGAGTTTTTTGTTGGTTTACTGAAGCTGTAGGCCATCTATGGGAATGGAGAAAGTTTAGCCATAGGGCTCATATTATGAACAGTGGTATATAATATGTCTCCATTGGCTCTAAAAAATGGAAAACCTTCAAGTTATGTATCTCTGTAGCCATAAAATAAACCAGTTCCCATTGATACAAGGAGTGATCAAAGAAATTATTAAAATTCCACTTTTCAAAAATATCAACTACTATACTTATGTCAGATAAAAACAACCTCACTGAAGGTGGAAATGCCGCTTTCCACAATTACATCAATGACTTCGCTGACATCGAAGATCCGATGGAAAGAAGAAGATTGGCATTAGAAAAAATGGATAATGAGGGCTTTGGTCTTGCACAAGTGAAAATTATCGTTGTTGCCGGTGTTGGTTTTCTATGTGATGCTTACGATATTTTTGCAATCAACTTGGGGGTCACCATGTTAGCTCATGCCTATTGGGGAGGTAAGATTCCTGCTTCCACTGAAACATTATTGAAGGTTTCAACTTCAATCGGAACTGTTATTGGACAAATTTCCTTTGGCATTTTGGGTGATGTCCTTGGTAGAAAAGGTGTTTATGGTTTAGAATTGATTATTATGATCAGTGCATGTTTAATTCAATGTGTCTTGGGCGAATCTCCAGCCATCAACTTCAGTGCCATCTTCACGTTCTGCAGAATCATTATGGGCATTGGTATCGGTGGTGACTATCCATTGTCTTCAATCATCACTTCTGAATTCTCAACTACTAAATGGAGAGGTGCAATAATGGGTGCCGTATTTGCCAACCAAGGTTGGGGTCAATTATTAGCAGGTCTTGTTGCACTCTGTTGCGTTTCTGGATTTAGAAGTGAAATCGATAAGGACCACTGTGATGAAGCTTGTATAAAAGCGTGTGATATGATGTGGAGAATTGTTATCGGATTTGGATGTGTGCCTGCTTGTTGCGCCTTGTATTTTAGACTCACAATTCCAGAGTCCCCAAGATATACCATGGATATCGAAAACGATATTGAAAAAGGTGCTGCTGACACTAGTAAATTCACCGGTGATGAAAAAAAGGGAGACATCGAAGAAGTGGTTTCTCAAAATGGCACTATTATCGAAATCAACAATTCAAAGAAAGGAAAAGAAGAAGCTGCTTCGACCTCTGCTTCTTTCAAAGATTTTTGCAGACATTTTGGTCAATGGAGGCATGGTAAAATTTTACTTGGGACCGCAGGTTGTTGGTTCATGTTAGATGTTGCATACTATGGTATTGGTTTGAATTCTGCAACTATCTTACAAGCTATCGGCTTTGCATCTAGTGAAAACGTCTACAAAAAGCTTTATAACTCAGCTGCTGGTAACTTAATTATGGTTTGTGCGGGTTCAATTCCGGGTTATTGGTTTTCCGTATTCACAATTGATCCAATAGGTAGAAAACCCTTGCAGGTTTGTGGTTTTGCTGCGTTAACAATTTTGTTGTTCGTCATTGGTGGTGCATATCATAAATTGAGTGAGGGTGGTTTATTAGGTTTATACATCATTGCTCAATTTTTTCAAAACTTACCGTGAGTATCGATATTATTAGGATAAAAACACCCGGACAAAACTAAAAACAACCTCAAAGAATATTATTTTTTTTGGATGTTTTTCCTCACTGTTCAGGTTTTTTGAGCTCTAAGGCCTATACAAGAAAAAATATATACTAACAAAATCAATAGTAACGCCACTACCTTCATCATTCCAGGAGAAATTTATCCAACAGCTTATAGAAGTAGTGCACATGGGATCAGTGCAGCATCAGGAAAACTTGGTGCTATCGTCGCACAATGTGCCATTGGGACTTTAGTCAACCGCGGATGTTCAAAAGATAATCAAAATTGCTTTTTGCCACAAGTCATGATGATATTCGGGGCTTTCATGGGGGCAGGTACATTGTTATCTACTTTGATTCCAGAAACTAAAAGAAAAACTCTTGAACAATTGGCAGAGGAGCTTCATGGTGAAGTTCAATATCATGGCCCTTCCATATCCGCTGCATCTGATTAGAAAGGAATGCCTTACTAAGTCTATTATAATATTGACTAGAAAGAATGGCCATTTTGTTCTTCCATGTGACTGAAAATGGCCTCATCGTTTGAACGATATACAACTCCTCACATATAAGTTTAGTTCTCCTTTTCCAGATTTTATGCTGTGCTTCTTCATTCATTTCTTTTTTTTTGTCATTTTTTTTTTTTCATTCATTTCTTTACTTTACTTTGTCCTTTAATTCATTTGTCGTTTTATTCTTCTCTTCAATTATTACGCTGCTGAAGGTTTAGGAATTTTTTTTTGGAACATTCTATTTTCATCAAAACCACTTAGCATTATGATATGTACGCTAGCCTATAATAAAATAACATAATCTTGAGTTGTTTATAAGAAACCAAATAATAATAATCTAATTCTCGATATTGGTTACTGACATTTATTAAGGCTCTCAGCTCCATACACGGGAAATTATTCTCTCAAATTTACCGAAAAAAGAATATTAATAAAATCTTTTTTAGAGGGATTATTTTTCGTTAAATGATATTCATTATTATTATTATTATTATTATCACAGATTCTATTTGGGAGACAAAATTGAAAATGCAAAATTCAAAAACTTTTAATTATTTTGATGGTCATCAGTATCACCTATGACCCTATCAATTTTTATCAATTCTCAAATGTCTAGCTTTGTGTTTTTCATTGCTAGTCAAAATCCAATCCATTTCTTCCTCTTCAGTTTCATCATCGAAGCCCATGATCATGATAATTTGTGTGATCCTAATGAAATTTTCTCTCAAAGAATAGTTGTCCTTAGTAACTTCATTAATAATTAAACTAACATCCTTTTCCAACTTAAGAGCGCCAAGCAAATTGATCTTTTTATTTAGTAACCATATTTTCTTTTCTATGATATCGACAATCAATAAAATGATTAGCTTATTAACTGAATTAAAAACTTCAGGAGACAATATCCGGTAATACGGTTTCACCAAACTCAACCAATTCTTGAGAAACTTTTTCATCTCTACATCAGAGTTGCCTGAGCTGGAACTATCAATCAAGTAGCTATTAGAACCGGCAAAGAATTCATTAATTATTGTTCTCATTCTATTTTTGAAAACTTTATTGAAAAACACCTGAGAATATTCTTTGATGATAATATCGCAGGTCTTATTGATAAAACTCACTAAATTCCCATCTACCAAATCCTTTAACTTCTCCAAATCTTTGCCAAACTTGAAATTATTCTCCATTATTGAGTTCTTGTTGACTTTATTATTATTATAATTAGTCAAATTAGTCACAATTCTATTGAAGTAACCCTTGAAAACTGCAACAGAATTAATGTAGATTATAAAATTCACAATGTTGACTTCATCGTTCAAGCTCAAGGAGTTCAATGCATCTGCACCTCGCTTCAACATATTGGATAAAACATTTTGTTGAGCATTCGCTGAGTTAAGATCATTTCTTAGACTGCTTAAGTTACCAGTTATAATATTTCTATTTGGGTCATTCATATCAACTGCAAGGTTGGAGGCTTCTGATTTCTTTATCGATTCAATCGCAGTCAATAAATTAGAACCCAGAGGGGGTTGGAACGCGTTAAGTTTGTTCAATAATACTTTGAGGAAATGATTATTCAAGTTCTTTTTCACATTAGTGAATACATTCTTCGCATGAACCGGTTGGCCAGTTTCTAAAGCGTTAGTAAGCAAAGTATTCAAAATAATAATAATATCCTCAACAACCGAGGAGACTGGTGGCGACTCAACAGGTTTAATATCTTCAAGAGACGACAAATTACCAGCATCACTTGCTTTCAAGAAAACTGACATTTGTGAAGCAATTTCAGGAAGCTCCTCGAGTTTGAAAGATTTCTCGATAGACTTCTTCAAATAATAGTTTGACAAATTGTCCAAACATGGAACGAGTTTTGTTTCCACTTTAGACAAGAAAGTGCTTTCAAGCAAAGGAGGAACTAAGGACAAATGCTCCTCATCGCTTTTCTTACTCTCTGAAGAGTATTGCCTATATTTTATAGCGATAAATCGGCAATATAAGGACCAACGGTTCAATAATGTAGATATTTCATTGATATAGTCACCAATATCCACAACCGAAATCAACTGTTCAATAGGATCCTCATATATATTAAGGCCAGTTTCATCTAGATTAGAGTTACTATTATTCGTTGGGGTAGAAGATGATCTGAGTAGCACGCTTTCTTTTGAGGATGAAATCTCTATCAAGTAAGGAAAGGAATAACTGCTGATATCATGGACCGTTTTATCAAAATTTCTTGCATCCCAGAAAGTATCAGCAATTAATCCAGCCTGTGAATCAACCTCTCTTTGAATATTTTGCAAAATTGCAACCATTGCATCAGAATCGTAATATTTGAAGATAACACTGGAATGTTGATTAACAATTTTAGAAACCACCTCAAATAATTTCATTATTGCAGCACTATAGAAATTCAATTTATCTCGAGGGGCCCCTACCATGAGTTGTCTAGCTTGACCAGCGACGATATTATTGATGAAATCAGAATAACAGGAGATACCTGTGGCTGGTTCACCAATCATTGGGAAATAAGAAAAAAAATTCGTTAAATTAACAATATCTTTTGCGGCCACTGCTTTTTTAAATTCTTGAATATAATGCCGTTTCAACTCAAAGGTCCATTGAGAAAGTAATGTTGCTGGAGGGTCAGGTATTTCCGAAGTTGGGATCATTATATCAGCAAATTTTGATGACTTCAAAATCTCACTAGGAATTTCATTCAATATGAATGATATTGATTTAGATACGGTTTCCCAATTTTTTCTAGGAAGTGATTCATAGATCAATGTGATTTTCGATTTTAAATCAATGACATTCTGAACATACTCTTTAGTTCTAGCCACTCTGGTTCTTTCATAATCTAATAATTTCACTTTCCTGGTTAACTTTCTTGATAAGTATGAACTATCCAGTAAAATCTTTATCAATGACGATGATGATGACAATGATGTTAAGAGATCAGTCTGAGACAAATCCAAATTGACGGCGTTTCTTTCATACGAGAGGCGCGAATGGTAGATTAAATTGTCTAAATGATTATTTGTGGACAAATCAAGAGATGTTAGATGCGATACAAGCTCCAATAATTCTGCCTCATTGGTTATGGATTGTAGCTGATTTGAAACTTCAAGAAGATCGGAGCTCAACTTATCCACGGACAATGCCTCCAGTGTCTCTGATGAAGATGCCATAGCTCCAAGGTTTAATAAAGTGAAATGATGACACTCTTTTTGGCGGTGTATTTGCTTATACATCTTTTAACAACAGCCTGGTGGTTTTCACACCGCACATGGGTGGGTGAAAATCTGCAGATTTTTGTATGTATGTTTACGCATACAGGCGCGTGAACCATGTGGAGTTGATTTCCAAAGGAATTTTTTCCCAGCGAAATGCTCAGATGTCATATCGACAAGAAATGATCGAGATGATGTTAAATAAGTTTTAATACAATAATGGCAAGAAAGCATCTTCCAGAACCCGAGGATGCAAACTCTCGTTTTGGCATTCGCCCTGAGTATAGGTTGACCGGTATTGCATTCATGACTTCAATATTTGGTGTTTTTGATGGATTTTACCGAGGGTTTACATCCCAATCGTTAGTTTACCTAGCAGAAAACTCACATAGACTCCCTAAGACAGTGGGTGGTTGGTATTTCTATCACAAAAGGAAGAATTATGTCTGTATCAAGAATGGAATTGTTAATGGGACGAAACTCTCTGCAAAATTGACACTTGCAGTTACCGGTTATTTCACTCTCGAGGCAATGTTGGATGAAGCCCGTGATAAGGTTGACTTTATTAATACTCTTGCAACCTCAGGAATAGCAGCCTTAGGATATGCTAAGTTAAAAAACTTTGGTAGCTACCAAACTAAACAAATTATTAAGAAGGGTATGATTGTTGGAATGATTAGTGGTTTGGCTCAAGATTTATATATTTGGACCAGAGGTGGAAAGGTTTGGTATTTGGATCAGTTGGGAACTGCTAAGCTAAATAGAGATGTGAAATTGACATAATTTGCACATATCACCATCGTGGTAACTTTGCAAAGCATTGCTTGTAATATATTTGTCTTTTAGACCTAGTTGTATAAAAGACTTTTGGTAAATAGGACTTTTGGTATGTTACAATAATTCATAGTGATGAAGCGCTTTCGAAGATATTTGATCAATTCAAAAACTTAAAACTATATTATAAAAAGTACACAACTTTTTTTTTTTCCTCTAATTCTTTTCATTAATGTCATAAAATGAAAATTAATCTCTTCCTTCCACAAACTCTAGAAAATAAAACCCTTTATAGTTATAGTATTCTTTGTTTAATAAAAAAAAAACGAAAAAAATACAAAAAAAAACAAAAAACAAAAAACAAATAGACTAGAATGGTCAATAAAAACATCTTTACCATAAAATAGTACCCATGATAGCAAGAACAAATGTGAAAAAACAAACAAACAACCAAAAAAAAAAAAAAAAAAAACCAAAAAAAAAACTTGGTTTGAACTTATTTGATTTCAGAGGCAACCCTTAATTGATTGATATAATTAAACATCAAAGGCATTTTCAATGTGACTAAGCAAATAAACTTCAAGTGGCGAAACTGGTAGAAATCTCAAAGGACTTTTGGTATTTAACCTCTTCCACTTCTTCTATTAGCAAACACAGCGTCATTCAACTTTTCCTCCCTCATTTTCCCTGTGCGATCAATGATAGGCCATTTGCCCCAACCATTCAATCTGATCACCAAACAGGTTGCGTTATCATCACCACCAACTGTTTCAATGTAACGCACTACTTCTTCTGCGCCACTTTGGGGCGTGCCACGCTCTGCACCTTTAAGATTATAGTTTGACATTATCAAATCAGCAATTTCTTGATCATTACAGTAGTTTGTCACCCCATCACTGACTAGAACGATAAAACACTCGTCACCCCCAATACCACCTATGGTTTGCGGTTTTAATTCAGGAGCATGTTTAGCAATGTAATTGGAATTTCCAACTATGAAGGATTTGATATCTGGCTCAGCAATCACTCCTTTGTTCTTCACATTGAAGTCGCCAAAAGCTCTGGTATTAGCGAGATTCCAAAATCTTTCTTCACCAAATGAATCAACATTGACACCAACCTCGGTGGCTAATTTAGTCAATCTCATGTTCTCAACTGAAGAATCTGGATGGTGATCTGAAGTTAGGGCATGCGAATTTCCAAATTTGTCCACTAAAATACATTTTGTGTCACCCAAATGAGCAACAATAAGTTTCGCAATAGATGAATCATCAAAATAAAGGTTTGATGGAGAATTAGATAAAATATTATGAAGAAAAACAGACGTAGCCGTGGATCCTCCCGAAGGAATGTCAAACTTTTCAAGCCGTGGATCAAGGAGTTCTGGATGTTCAAGAAGCTTGATGTCAAGCAGAAGATAGACTAAAAATAGCCGTAAAGCTAGATCATCTACGGAATTGAGGTTTTCCTTGTATAGTCGCTGGTAGTTCTTTTGCATATACCGTAGCCATTTGTTCCAATATGATCCTTTAGGTGCATCAGCTTTGGTTTCCAATCCTTTTGTATTTTTTTGGGATTTTTCATAAAAGAAATCATAATAGCGGCTGACGACATCTTCAAAGTATTCTTGGCCTAGATTAGCAGTCTGGAATGCCTCGATTTCCCCACTGAGGTTGGCAGCCAAGTACTTGGAAATTAAGCTACCACCATGTCCATCGTATACGCCGAAATTAAAAACTTGCAAATTTTCTCTGGTAGTTGATATACTTGATGAATTATCGTTGATGTAACATTTTTTTTTCCATGCACCAATATTTAAATTGTAGCTGTTAGGAGGAAGGGTGATTACCAGGGCATTATAAGCATCCTCATTATATACCCTATTTAGTCTTGAAGTGTAATGGCCGAGGTATTGCCCCGACTTTAGCAAGGGGATTTTGAACTTTGCATGGAATTTTCCTTGTCTATTGGTTATGTTGCTGTTGGAAGACGATTTTATGAATGAGGTTGTGGGAACGTTAAAGTAGAGGTAACTTGATACATTTCTGGAGCTAGGTACTGAGGGATGCCTGCTACGAGCCAGACGTATCATCAGGGAAGAATATTTGCAATGGGTAGGGAGGTACCTGGTGATATGATAATCCAGATGCTGGCTCGCTCTGATGATGACTTGAATGGCTGCTTCCTGCTAGCTTTGTGCGTGCGTGCGGGTAATAACAATGCTTCTCGTTGGTTCCCCAATCTTTGACAGAATTCTTCAGCCTTCGCCTTCGCCATTATCTGTTGATTGTGATTCTGAAAGAAAGAAAGAAAGAAACATAACGTTCGACCGCTCAGAAGGAGTCCTTGGCTTTGCCTAATGTGAAGTTGTGATCGTGTCGCATATAATCATAAGTTTATCTAGCCATTCTACGTATTAAGTCCTCCATCTTCTATTCGTTTACCTATTATCACTATTATTCTCAGCGTTATTATCACTATCATCATTACCACTATTAATACTACTACTTTTTTTGCTACTAATTTTATCATTACTACTTTTATTACCCATTACCTTAATCACTATTTTTTTTTTTCGCGTTTCCCAGATGGCTACTCCCCCTCCCCAATTTACAACGCCCAAGATGGAAATAATGAAAGAATATATATAAACAGGATCTCTCAAATAACTCACAAAATTCCCCACCATCCTTTTCTCCTGTTCTCCTTCTCAGACGCTTCTTCTACAAAACACCAACATTTGTAAACACCCCCAACAAAAATCTCTATCTGACCACGTTTTTTTTTTTCTATTATTTTTTTTCTACTGCAGAATTATTCAAGCATCAAAGAAACTGTACTATTGTCAGCAACACAATATACTTACTTTGCCTCATTCGCTTGTTGTGTCACCAAAAATGACATTCGGGGTCCCCTCTTTGCCCTCTCCCAACCTCGGGAGCAGAAAGCCCCCTATCCCAAGACTAAGGTCCAAAGCACCGTCCCCGAACCTCAGTTCACATTCCGGTAACCATCGCCCTTCAAGCCCTACAACAATAAACCCCACATTGGCCTCATCCACGTTGGTGATACGATCACCCCAGAATTATGATCATTCAGGTGAAAACACTACGACCACCATCAAAGCAAAAACCAATACTAAAAGCTACATCATCAAGACACGAAAAAGCATTAATGATATCAGATCAGAGTCTCAGGAACTGAGAGCTAGCCCGTCCCCCCGTTTAATGGGCCTGCCGAATGGCTCTCAATCTCCTTCATCGTTGTCTCATCATAATAGGAACCCCAACCCATCAATAAAGTCTAAGCGCAAAAAGAAAAAGAAAGCAGAAACCATTATCAGTTACGAAAATCAAAAAGATTCCCCTCTGCCCCCGATAGGTCCTTATCAAATCGCAAGGGCTGAGATGCTCAGGAAATTGAAACAGCAAAAGATGATCGAAAAGCAAATCCAGTATATCAATGATAATAATTCTCCTCCTCCAAGCATCATGAGTAGTTCCCTTTCATATAATGAGAACCGTCGCAAGCCCACTACTTCATCTCCTCTCCCTCAAAAATACCCTCCCCGTACCGTCATTGAGAGCCCGTCAAGTATCAACTTCAGAAACTCAAACAGTGGGATCATCATGAGTCAGGAGTCTCAAATCTCTCCAATATCAATGTCTCCGATAGCTATTGATCACACAATATTCGGTACTCCATTAGAGATTTTAAATAATGATAATATTCACAATGCAGATGGCCATACAAGTAACACAACTTCAATCCAATCCATTGATGATATTATGATAAGGTCTAATAGAGATCCTAACAGTTGGAGCTTAGGCACCATCAAAGAATTGCAAGTCAATCCTTTTGGTGACTGTGATGGCTCTTCGTACACTTCTGCTATTTTCCAAAAACAACAACAACAACAACAACAACAACAACAACAACAACAACAACAACAACCGTATCAGTGGCAGCAGAAGGATGAAAAAATTTCCTATCCTTCAGGAACTCAACATAGAATGATGCAACGATCTCCAAGAGGCTTTCATGAATCTCAACATCGGCAATTGGCTTCTTCCAAATTTCGGTCATTCAGGCCTCCAGATATAAGATCTGATATCATTCCCAAGAATAACAACTATACATCACCTATCATTGTGTCAAGTTCCTTGTCCCCTGCTAGTTCCCGTAAAACCCTTGACCCTTCGGCTTCTCAGGAGAAAAGTGGAACGGGCACCCTAGTGTTTTCAGTTTGTTTTGATAAGCGAAATAAAAGTAGAGACTCGGGTTTGTCTTCGCCCACCTCACCAGTTACAACAATCAAGAATATTGATGGAAATGAGCCACCAAGTCCCTTTGATAAACATACTTTCAAACAGGAATTGTTTAAAAATAAGATCAATGAATATCATGAGAATGAAAATCAGAAAAAAGTCAATGCATTTGCTAACATAACCCTGGAACAAGATCGTCCAGAAATGAACTCATCATCATCAGTGCCTCAAGAGATAGTGAAATATTCTTTGAATTGGGAAATTGAGAAACAAGCTAATTCTGTAACAAATTCACGGGAAACCATGTCTACGGAGTCCGTAATATCTTCTGCTGATCCTCAGGCTCCACATTCCAGAAATTCTATTGAAGTTCATAATCTGAATGTTGGTTACAAATTCAAAGAAACTGAAAAGCGAGATGAAGAAAAGCTGTCGAATATGAATAGACAAAAGAATGATGGCGATACCAATGAGAAAATAATAGAAAAAATTAATGGAACTCCCAAGGAATCTCTCTCGACCTCACAACAACTTCATCTTGGAAATATTCATACGAAGAGTGAGGATACTATGAAGCCAGATCGCAACCAGGAGCATTCTAAAACCCATGAACTGGCAAAAACCCTCCGTCCTGACTCAACTATTTCAAATGTCCTGGAATTTGATATAAAGGAATTTGAAGAATTGCATACATCTAAAACCCAAGAAATGGCGATCGCAGTGAACTTGGGCTCACCAAACGTAAAACTAGGATCCCCGAAAGTTAGATTGATTACCCATAAAAAGTCAATAGGTAAATTGAGGAAAAATAAAAGTGGTGAAGGGACTCCTCGAGCTAGGAAAGAAGATAGTAACTCGAGCGTGTGTGGTGCTCGTTCAGTTATCAGTGCAAGTAATTCTCTGATATTTAAAAATGCTGCTTCAAATGGATTGGATATTACATACATTTCGAATACTAAGTCAGCCAATGCGAGTAATGATCACATAGACCTGACTGATGTACTAACAATTACTGATATCGATGATATCAATAACTATGGTGTGCCAATTACTGATTATTTCTCCGATATAGATAAATCTAACAACAGCGAAAATGTTGCAAAAATTGAGAACACTGAAGATAACAGTGCCAATGAATATCAGAGGACCTCAGACAAGAAGTGTCATGAATCATATTATGATGATGAGTACGGCGATAATATTGTTGAAATTGAAAATCAATTTGAAAATGAGTTTGACAGTGAGAGACGCTCTATGGTCTCATCACTTTATAGCGACAATGTCTCAGGCTTTAAAAAACGAACAAAAGTGGCTCAGCAAACCAAGCAGGAGCCTTTGGATACAACCATGCCCCATTCTTACAGCCTTGGGGATGGTAGTTACTATAGAGTGGACATAGATGGTTTGGCCGAGGAACTCAAAGAAATGATGACATGACTATCTTTTAAGTCTGATAGTCAGTGTCCATTTGTTATAATATATATATATATATATATTTACGAACTTTACGAATTAACTATAGATTAATAATTAATACTCGAAATCTGAGGATTGTTGTAGATCATAGATTATTCAAGTTCATTTTAGCAGAATTGACGCGAAAGGAAACTAGAAAACTTCTTGAAAGAATAGTTTCAGAGACCTCCAGTAGTTAAAAGATACGTCTCCAGTATTCACTATTCAGTACTCCATCTTGTAATCAATAACAATTTTGTGCTCACTATCATTATGTACCGATATCCATCATTATTATGTGACAACTTCCGTAAGTCGGAGATGCAACGTCAGTCAGAAATGCTGATGAACATGCGCAACATCATTGGCCCATTTTGGTTATGTGCTCTACTTTGAGCACGTGAGAGTCATCATCCCCAGCTATTTTTCTTCTTTTAAATCATCAATTATTAATGAAAGCTTCCTCCCTCCATTACTCATGCCTACCTTTATTACAAACACAAGATATATTCAACCATGTTCAAAAACTACTCATCGCTCATACGCAAACTAGGATCTATAGAACAAAAGAGACTTCTATCTGATTCAACTAAAGGTTCTAAGCGTTATATACAAACTATTAACCAGGCTCCAACATCATCTACTTTCTCATATGTGCCTTTGAAGAGTAATCCATCAAGCGTCGAACAAAATTCTGCTTCCCAGTGGAATAGACATACTCTTGCAAGCGGAACTCGCAAATCACTAAACAAGGCAGCAAACAGCCCCGACTTAGGAGGCAATAAGTCCGCCAAAGATAACTCAGGGTCCAATATGATAGGAAGAAAACTTGGTAATTCATTATCAAAAAGGGCTGCAAATTCAACATTAACTTCCGGAAACACGCCTTCCGCTTCATCCACTGACATAAAACCAAAACCAAGAAGAAGACAATTAAAACCAAGAAAATCCCTAATAACATGTACGTCGGGCGCCAGAGAACGTCTTCGTGATTTATTTAACCAACCAAACCCTCAATATATTAAAGTTGGCGTCAAAAACCGTGGATGCTCTGGTCTCTCGTATCATTTGGAATATGTTTCCAAGCCAGAAAAGTTTGATGAAATTGTGAAACTTGGTGATGATTTGATGATAATCATTGATTCCAAAGCATTGTTTAGTATAATTGGTAGTGAAATGGACTACGTTGAAGATAAATTATCGAGTCGTTTTGTGTTCAATAATCCAAACTCAAAGGGCTCTTGTGGTTGTGGAGAATCCTTCATGGTATAATTTACTATTTTTTTTTTTAAAAAAACTTTCTATTATTGTTGAGCTTAGTAATAAGCTTTGGGTGTTTGCCAAAATGGGCAAGTTAGAGTAGTACTGATTCCCAACCTTACCCACTTATAACTGCTTCAAGCTTTACCAATCAAATTCTTTTTAATTGCATATTTTGCATAAAGAATCTGTCTGTTTTTAATCTTTTAACAGAAAAAAAGTTTTGTTAAACCACGATCTTCATAATGATCTGCTCTATAACCATATTCCACAAACTTGTACGATACACTATTCCTCCTCACTTGGAACTTTCCTTTTCTTCTAAAGTATATTTAATATATAATACATATGATTTTATTATTTTAAACAAGAATATTTTAAGTGAAAGGAATTTTATGGTCTAATGTTACACCTCCAATCTGAAATATTCATAGCAATAATAGAAGCCGTATCGGTGTTTTTTGTCTTCAAGCCACTGTTTCCAAGAATATTGGAAACCATTGAATCAACGCGCATTGAATATTCATGATTTCTGTAATTGGATATTGAACGAACTTAATTACCTACAAGCCACTATAATGTACAGAATCTATTATATTTATAGTGTATTTGTGGTATAATCAAAGAGAGAAAAAATAGAAAAGGAAAATCTAACACAATTCATTCCCAATTGAGAAACTTCTTTATCACTGAGGTGAAACCCTGTGGGTTATCCAAAAAAATATTATGTCCACTATCTGGGATGATTTTGAAACTTGATTTGGCTCCTAAATCCAGTCTGTTGATGTAATTAGAAGCAGCTCTTCCCGCTTTAACATCCATCCAATCTTTGTCACCGTATATCCATAAAGTTTCAGGAAATTTAGCTGCGATTCTTCCGTCAGCCTGTGCCTCCTTAAAAGCTACAAGTTTATCAAATCCAGGGTCTCGAGCAGCACCGATAGGCGCCAATAGTCTAGTAATAGCCTTTTCAGTAGATGATTTCTTCCAAAAAGTTGCTAAAACGTATTTTGATAGTAAATCGAGTTCTTTCTCATCAGTGGCACTTTGTTGGTACCTTCTTGACGCATAACCTGAAGCCATCCACACGCCAACAGGACCCATATTTCGAAGAATGCCAAATGGCAAGCTAGAAGTATCCCAAAGCTTTATAAAAACAGATGGTAATCTAGTTAACATTCCGAAGTTGGAATAGCTGAGTGAATCTGCAGAAGCTTCAATCCCAGTCAAAGCCTTTTTATCACTGAGCTGTTTCATAGAGTTGATAGAATAAACAGATCTTTCTATGCCCACAGGTGATACTAATATCAACTTTTCCACATTATCGGGGTATTTCAAAGCATAGCATAGTGACAAATACCCGCCAAATGAATGACCAAGCAAATTGATTTTTGACAAGTTTTTCAGCTGTCTCCACTTCTCAATAGACTCGACGTAATAATTTTCATACAATTCAGTAGTCTTTTTGGTGGTTTCTGCAAGCTTTCTTAGGGTGCCTTGGTCATCTAAAAAATCAAGGGATGGTATTTTCACTTCAGCTTTGATTTGAGAGCTTGGTAATTTCCCTAAAGATGCTACGCTGGACTGGGCCTCTTGGAGCTGATTTGGCTCTTTTTTGTAGTAAAAACTCACCTTAGGACTTCTAAATCCTTCCTCTTTAAAATTGAAAGGCGTTGAACTAGAAAGTGAGTGGCCTAGCATGTCTATTGAGAAGAGCTGAAACTTTCTGGATTTATCCTCCAACCGGGTCATCGAGTCATAATTGCGGCAAAACACACCGAGACCAGCACCATAACCATGAATCATCAACAAGTTATCTGCTACTTTATCATCTTCACCATTGAGGTTGCTGATGGAGAGTTCATTCAAGTAGTTGCCATCGCCATCAAGCATCGCCTTCGAAATTCGGGCGGTCCGTCCCAGCCCATCGTCTGCATTAAAGAAGGGTAAAGAGTATTTTATGAGCTGTTCTTGGGCGAGCTCTAGCTCCTCCTTCTTCCGTATTCTTATCCAACTGCTTATAGATTCAAACATCACTTTTGTCTTGCTCATAGAAATGAAATACAGCTTATTCCGTTCGGATATAACAAAACGGAAAAGAAAAAGAAAGAGAAAAAGAGAGAAAAAAAAAAGATCCGACTTCTGGGTGTAATTATTAGGTCCGCAGCGATCGGCGGTGAAACTTGACCGTCGCATATATAAATTCCGTTAATTCCTATCTGTCCTTTTCTTTTATCAGTCTCTGTCCAGATCACTAAAAAATAAAATAAAAAAAAAAAAATGACCAGTGTTGCCACTGTTCACAAGGAGGGACTTCCTCCTGCTCCAATTTACAATGATGGAGACTCTGTTGAGGATGTCATTGACAGAATTCCCGTATATCAGCATTTGAGTGACTACGAGGGACTTGTCGAAGTCCCTGGGCCTAAAAAGCCTGGTTACTCTCCGATCTTTAGGAACCAGGTTGCAAAGGACAACCACTTAACCATTTATAGTCCAGAATTATCCACTCTTTACTCCATTTTCATAAGGTCTTATTTCCGCAATCCTGATAAAAAGTTTTTGGGTTATCGTGCCTCTACTCAAAGTCCTTTTCAGTATTTGACATATGCAGAAGTTCATGACTTGTCCCTTGATTTGGGGGCTGGGATAAAGTATCTTCTTGCCGCAGAAAAATCTCAGATTGTGACCTTTTACATGCCAAATTGCTATCAATTTCCGATCATCGATCTTGCAACTCAAGCTCATTCCTTTGTAAACACCTGTTTGTATGATTCATTGGGTCAGAATGCATTTGTTCACATATTCGGCTTGACAGACTCTCCAATTGTTTTCACTCAGAAGAGCAAGGTTGAGAAGATTGTAACTTTAGAGGTCAAAAGTTTGAAATTCATTATTACTAATGAAGAATTGGATTCAACTAAAGATTTTGACCTCTTTGATAAATGCCAAAAAAAAGGTTACTTGTTAATGGATTTGAAGTCACTCGCTGGTCTTGGGAAGAAACATCATGTTGGGGTCAGCCTTCCTAAACCAGATGATATTTTCACCATTTCTTTTACTTCTGGTACTACTGGTATGCCTAAAGGGGTGATCATAACTCACAAAATGATCGTTGCTTCTATTTCTGTTACCACATTATTCACAGTAGGAAAGCGGAGTCTTTCAGTTTTCGTGTTTTTACCACTAGCACATTGTTTCCAAAGACTTGCCATGTACCTTGATACTTTATTGGAATCAACACTCCATTTCCCAACTGACCCAACCAATCCTGCGACTTACTTCGAAGATATGAAGGCTTGTAAGCCAGGATATTTGTGTGCTGTCCCAAGAATTTTGACAAAAATTGAAATGGCTTTGAAATCAGTTCTTCAGAATTCAAAGTTTTTGTCAAAATGCATCTATTACAAAATTGAGAAATTAAAGAAGGGTGAAGATGCATCTCATTTTGTGTACGACAAATTCTTGTGCAAGAAGATTAGAGCTGCTTTTGGTTTCGATAATATTAATTACATTGCCTGTGGGTCTGCGGTTTTGCCAATTGAAACACAATATTTCATTAGGGCTGCTTTCAATTTGCCTATTATCGAAGGTTATGGATTAACTGAATCAGGAACAGTTGCTACTATGAACCCCGGCTTCTTGAAAACTTTGGGGTATGTAGGATACATTGGTTTCCAACTTGATATGAGATTTCGCGATGTTCCGGAAATGGGTTACTCTTTCGAGAAGAATAGAAGTGGTGAATTGTTAATCAGAGGCCCTTGTATTAGTCCTGGCTACTGGAAAGCTGAAGCTAAATGGCAAGAAAATCTTGACGATGGGTTTTTCTGCACTGGCGATATCTTCAAAATGCATCCGGGCAATTTGCTTAGCGTTATCGATAGAGTCAAAAACTTCTTCAAATTATCACAAGGGAAATTCATTTCATCTGAAAAGATTCAGGACTCCTACTTGAATACTTCCGCTTTAATTGAGCATATGTTTGTCTACGGTGACAGTGCGAGAAATTTCTTAGTGGCTATTGCATCGATTAATGTTGCAGAAATTGGTAACTATCTTCTCAAACATGACATTGCTTTTACTGTTGATGGTAAGAAGTATACCGCTGGTGATTATATAGAATTAAACCAGCAAGTCATGGCTAACAAGGCTCCTTATAAAATCACCAGTAGTTTGCTTAATTTGCTTAATGACAAACTGCTTAGAGTAAAGATTTTAACCGAGCTTAACAAGCCTCTCATGGGCAAATTTTTGTCATATGAAATGATAAAGAATATCCACTTCGGTACAAATTCATTCAGTATCGAAGAAGACACATTGACCCCTACCTTAAAATTAAAAAGGCATAATGCCAAAAGGAAGTATGATGAGGAGATTGAAATGATGTACAAAGAAGGTAATATTTCTACCGCCAGTGTTAGGCTTTGAATTTCGGCATTCTTTCGTAATTTAAATACCTTTCTTTCTTTTTGCTATTGGAAAAATAAGACTTCTCTGGTGTTTTATCACCCTACATCTAGTATAAATATTCTAAAATCTTTTTTTTTTTTTTATTGTATTAATGTATTTTTGTCAGATAGATTTTCAGTTACTTTGGCGTTTGAAAACTTGTACCGTGAATATTCTTTTTTATGTGTTGGGAGCACTTCGTGTTGATCTTGTAATCGCTACTTGTTCATTTTTATTATCGTTTCATTTCAAACACTATAAACAGAGTATATTATTAATATCTTTACAAAAAATAAACATATCCTATTGATTATGCTTTTCTCTTCTCAAATTGCCAATATAATTGATGGCACTACCGGCTTTGAAGAATTCTATTTGATCTTTACTCATTGTGTGCTTAGCCTTGATAATGAACTCTTCTTGAGTGTCCTTCTTAGTAACTTGGATATCAATAAAACCGCCGTTATCGCCGTTTTTAGCAACCATATCACGCACATTTAAAGTTTTCAAGACATCCCCACTACCAATTTTATCATAATCAGCTTCATCAGCAAACCATAATGGGAGCATACCCTGTTTCTTCAAGTTGGTTTCATGAATACGAGCGAAAGATTTAACAAGGATGATTTTACCACCGAGAAAACGTGGAGATAATGCAGCGTGCTCACGAGCTGAGCCTTCACCATAATTATGTTCAGCAATAACGATCCATGGACGATTTTCTTCCTTCCATTTGATCATCAATTCTGGAATTGAGAACTGGGCTCCATCGAGGTCATAGACTTTATTAACTTCGCCAGTTTCCTTGTTTTGGGCACCAATAAGAGTATTGTTGGAGATATTTTCAAGATGACCCTTGTACTTCAACCAAGCACCAGCAGCAGAGATGTGATCAGTGGTACATTTTCCTTCTACTTTCAATAATACAGTTGTTTCGAGTTCTTCACCATTCCAAGCTTCGAATGGTTCTAATAATTGCAAACGAGTTGATTCTGGAGAAACATTGACGTTAACTTCTGGGTGTATTTGAGGAGCAACTTCTGGGTAAAATTCTTCGCGGCCCTTAATGAAACCATCGGATGGAAGATCATGACCCACAGGTGGGTTAAACTTGAAATTTCTGCCATCTTCAGTGATGATTTCGTCAGTAACTGGGTTGAAGTTTGCATCACCAGAGTAAATCATGGCGGTGACAATTTCTGGAGAGGTCAAGAAATTCATGGTATTACGATTACCATCATTACGGGCACGGAAATTTCTGTTGAAAGAAGTGAAAATAGCGTTAGTTTCACTCGATGTTTTAGAAACATCTTGACGGTCCCACTGACCAATACATGGGCCACAAGCGTTAGCAAGAACAGTGGCACCAGATTCTTGGAAAGTTTTGATGAGACCATCACGCTCAATGGTAGCACGAACCTGTTCGGACCCAGGGGTAACAAAGAATGGAATTTTAGGTTTGAGACCAAAATCACGAGCTTGTTTGACAAGTTCCACAGCCCTGGTCATATCTTGGTAAGAAGAGTTCGTACAAGAACCGATAAGACCCACGGATATCTTTCCTGGCCAACCATTCTTTTCGGCAGTAGCTCCGAATTCACTGATTTTAGTAGAAAGATCGGGGGTAAATGGACCATTGACATGTGGCTCCAAAGTATTCAAATCAATTTCGATAACTTTATCGTATTCGGCATTAGGATCAGCCTTAAGGAATGAAAATTGCTTGTTAACCTTCGCAGCGGCATCACCAATAGCACCACGCCCAGTAGCATGCAAGTAGTCGTGATGGGCTTGTTGGAATGGGAAAGTAGAGGTTGTTGCTCCAATTTCGGCACCCATATTACAGATTGTAGCCATACCAGTACAAGAAAGGCTTGAAACACCTTCACCAAAATATTCGACAATATAACCAGTACCACCACGAACAGTAAGGATACCTGCGAGGGTAGTGATCACATCCTTTGGAGAAGTCCATCCATTAAGTTTACCAGTCAAATGAACACCCAAAACCTTTGGTGCTTTCAATTCCCATGGAGTTCCAGTAAGAGCATCAACTGCATCGGCACCACCAACTCCAATAGCGATGGCGCCAAGACCACCAGCGTTAGGGGTATGTGAGTCGGTACCAAGCATCATGAGACCTGGAGTGGAGAAGTTTTCAAGAACGATTTGATGGATGATACCAGACCCTGGTCCCCAAAACTGGATTCCATATTTCTCAGCACAACTTTGCAAGAAGTCGAAAACCTCTTTGTTGGTAGCGATAGAAGCCTTCAAGTCAGATTCGGCACCATTTTTACCGACAATTAAATGGTCACAATGAATGGAAGCTGGAACAGCAGTGTTTGGCATCCCACATGTCATAAACTGAAGTAAAGCCATTTGTGCCGAGGCATCTTGCATTGCAACACGGTCAGGATTGAGCTTCAAGTATTCTAAGCCTCTGAGATCTCTCACGGTCTTAATTGATGAGAAAGTTTCCTCTGGATTGACAAGATGGGAGTAGAGAATTTTTTCAGCAAGCGTTAAAGGTTCATTATTCAAGATTTCCTTGACTTTTGAGAGTTTGTTAACGAGCTTTTCATACGGAGGGGCTCTGGATTTGAGATTTTCAGGAATACCAAAGTCCAAATTGCCAGTAGCAGTAGCGAAAGTTCGTACCTAATGAATGAAAAGTTAGTATAAGAAGAGTCCTTCTGGCAGATTCATTTGATAGAAGTGAGTAATTTGCAGCTATACTTGCTTGGCGACGGTGAGCACTGAGGGTTGCTGCTCTAGAGGCACGAGAAAGCATTGTCAATAGGAGATCTCTGACTGATTGCTATTTAAAAGAGAACGTTAACCCAGAAAAGAATTGTCGAAGATATATATGACACAACAAGAAAAATTCAAAAATTTTGCCAGTCAAAAAGATTAGCGTGAAAAGTACGATGACTAACAGCTGTGGATGCTGCGTGCCGATGCAGAGCAGTACAGTGGTGATTCCCCAGGGAAAAAAAAAAAAAAGGACGTCAGTTAGTCACCACCATCCTTCAATGTTGGAGAAAAAAAAATCACACAAAAAAAAAAATTCATGATTAGTACTACTGAGTAGTTAGCCAAACACCAACAACAACTAACACAATGACGGTCAACAAGGTCTCTATTCTCGGAAGAGAATGTATCCATGTTGGTTACGACATTTCAAACCATATTGTTGACACTGTGCTTGCTGAAGAGAAATCTTCAACCTATGTCATTATCACAGACAAGAATATTGAACAAGCGGGTCATTTGGCTGAATACACCCAATTGTTTGAAAAAACCATCAACAGCAACCAACTCGCCTCTCGTGTTCTCACCTATGTGGTTCCTCCAGGAGAAAACCACAAATCTCGTGAAGTCAAGGCGTCTATTGAAGACTGGCTTCTACTTCAAGGTTGCACCAGAGACACAGTGATCATTGCCCTTGGGGGTGGTGTCATTGGCGACATGATTGGTTATGTTGCCGCCACCTATATGCGTGGGGTCCGTGTTATCCAGATTCCAACCACCCTATTAGCCATGGTTGATAGCAGTATTGGTGGTAAAACCGCAGTCGACACCCCATTAGGTAAGAATTTTATTGGCGCCTTCCACCAACCTCGCTACGTGTTTGCCGATGTTAAATTCCTAGAAACTCTTCCGGAGCGTCAGCTAATTAATGGTATGGCTGAAGTCATCAAAACTGCTGCTATCTGGAACGCTAGTGAGTTCAAACGTTTAGAAGATCATTCTGCAAAATTTTTGAAATGTATCGGCGCTAAAGATTTCGCTCCAATTAGAGAGCATTTACTTTTGTGTGTATTGAATTCTATTGCCGTCAAATGTGAAGTAGTTACTGCTGATGAAAAGGAAGGCGGCTTGCGTAACCTTTTGAATTTGGGACATACCATCGGGCATGCTTATGAAGCTATTCTTACTCCTCAAGCTCTTCACGGTGAGTGTGTGGCAGTTGGTACTATTAAAGAAGCAGAACTTTCCAGATATCTTGGTATATTATCACCAGTGGCTGTTTCTCGTCTTTACAAGATTTTCCAAGCTTATGGATTGCCAACTTCTATTCATGACAAGAAATTTGCCCAAATCTGTCATTACAAGAAATGCCCACTTGAAACTCTCCTTAAAAAGATGGCTATCGATAAAAAGAATGATGGTTCTAAGAAGAAAGTTGTTCTTTTAGAATCTATTGGTAAGTGTTACGAACCTCATGCGTCTTATGTTAATGACCAGGATCTTAGGTTTGTCCTTACCGATGAAGTACTTGTTCACCCATATCCACAAGTATCCAATAAGAAATTCACCATTACACCACCAGGATCTAAGTCTATCTCTAACCGTGCTCTCACTCTCGCCTCATTGGGTCTTGGGGAATGTAAATTGCGTAATTTACTTCACAGTGACGATACCGGAGTCATGTTGAAAGCCATTACTGACCTTAAAGGTGCCTCTTTTGAAATTGCTCCTGATGGAGAAACTCTTGTTGTTCGTGGTAATGGAGGTAAATTCGTTAGCACCGAAGAAAAGCAGCTTTATCTTGGTAACGCTGGTACCGCTTCTCGTTTCTTGGCTTCTGTTGCTACTCTTGCCAAGGGCGGTTCAAGAGTTATCCTTACTGGTAACGCTCGTATGCAAGAACGTCCAATTGGTCCTCTTGTTGATGCGCTTCGTGCAAACGGCTCATCTATCAAATATTTGAACAGAGAGGGCTCATTACCGCTTGATATTGCCAGTACTGGTTTCCAAGGTGGAGTTATTGAACTCAAGGCTACTGTGTCTTCACAATATGTCTCCTCCATTCTTATGTGTGCACCATATGCTGAAAACCCTGTTACTTTGAAACTTGTCGGCGGTAAACCAATTAGTCAATTCTACATTGACATGACCGTTTCAATGATGGCTTCATTCGGTATTGAGGTCACCAAGGACCCAATTGAACCACATACTTACCATATTCCACAAGGTCATTATGTCAATCCTCCAGAGTATGTTATTGAATCGGATGCTTCATCTGCCACTTATCCTTTAGCTCTTGCCGCCCTTACCGGTTGTGAAGTGACTGTGCCAAATATTGGATCCAGTTCTTTGCAAGGCGATGCGCGTTTTGGTATTGATGTGTTGAAAGCTATGGGCGCTAATGTTGTACAAACTGCCACTTCCACCACTGTCGTTGGTGGTAAAATTCCATCATTAAATGCTTTGACAGAGGTTGATATGGAACCAATGACGGATGCTTTCCTTACTGCTAGTGTTGTTGCCGCAGTATCCAAGGGTAAGACTAGAATTATTGGTATTGCTAATCAACATGTTAAAGAATGTGACCGTATTCAAGCAATGGTTGACGAACTTGCCAAATTTGGCGTCAAGGCCGAAGGGTTTGATGATGGTATTGAGATTTATGGTATTGATAGATCAGAGTTGAAAATACCGACCTTTGTGAAGACTTATGATGATCACCGTGTGGCTATGTCTTTCAGTTTACTTGCTGGTTTAGTTAATGATGGAAAGGGTGTGAGAATCTTGGAAAGATCATGTACAGGCAAAACATGGCCTGGCTGGTGGGATATTTTACATAGTTCTTTTGGTGTGGAATTGAATGGGTTTGAACCAGAAGCTGTGACAGAAAGTACCACTGTCCAAAATGACAAATCTATAATTGTCATCGGAATGCGCGGTGTTGGCAAAACCTGTCTTAGTGATTGGGGTGCTGATACTCTTGGGTACAAACGTATTGATCTTGATCATTACATGGAAGAAGTTCTCGGTATTAATATTAGAGAATTTATTAATACTGAAGGATTTGATAAATTCAGAGTTGAAGAATTTAAGATTTTCCAAAAAGCTCTAACTGATTTCCCGACTGGCCATGTTTTATCTACCGGTGGTGGAATTGTTGAAATTCCTGAGGCTCGTAAGGCTTTGAAAGAATATATTACTGCAGGTGGTAAGGTTATTCATTTGCATCGTGATATTTCTGAAACTATTTCATTCTTAGAAAAAGAAACCGATAGACCTAAGTATCTGGATGAAATCAGCGTTGTGTGGGAAAGACGTGCTAAATGGTATAAAGAATGCTCAAATTACCACTGGTATTCGAATCATTGCGATGGTGCTGAAGATTATGGTAGATTACGCTCAGCATTCACCAATTATTTACAAGTAATTTGTGGAATGAAACAGATCAATATTCCAAGCACTAAATCTTTCTTTGTGTGTTTGACGCTTGGTGATTTAAAAAAACACACTAATCTCATCAAGCCTGCTATCATGGGTTCTGATGCCGTTGAATTGAGAGTTGATTTATTAGATAAATGGGATAATGAATACGTTTGTCAGCAATTAGCCATTCTTAAGGAATACAACAATAATATTCCTATTGTTTTCACCATTAGAACTAAATCACAAGGAGGTAAGTTCCCTGATGATAACTACAGCGCTATCAAGGATTTGATTTTCAGTGCCATTAGACTTGGTGTTGAATATATTGATTTGGAATTATCCTTACCTGCTGATGTCAAATTTGAGATCTTGGCTAAGAAAAAGTTCTTCACTAAGATTATCGGTTCTAATCATGATTTTTCAGGTAATATTAAATGGGATAGTGATCAATGGGAAGCGAACTACTCTTTAGCTACCAGCTTGGATGTTGATGTGATTAAATTTGTTGGCACTGCCACAAGTTTTGGAGATAATGTTGCTCTCGAAAATTTCAGATTAAAGCATGCCAGTGGTAAAACACTTATCTTAATGAATATGAGTGAATTAGGGAAATTTTCAAGAGTTTTGAATACGATTCTTACTCCTGTTACCTCATCTTATTTGCCATCATCTTCTGCTCCAGGGCAATTGACAATTCAACAAATCAATAAGTACTCTTGTGAATTTGGATTATTGCCTGCCAAGAAGTTTTACATTGCTGGGTCTCCAATTGGTCATTCACGCTCACCAGTTTTACATAACACTGGATTCAAATTACTCGGATTACCGCACCATTATGATTACTTAGAAACCGTAGATGCCGCTGAGGTTTTTGAAAAGACCAAATCAAGTGATTTTGGAGGTTGCTCTGTAACTATTCCATTGAAACTCGACATCATGAAATATCTAACACATTTAACTGAAAATGCAAAGGTTATTGGGTCTGTCAATACCGTTTACAAGAATGTTCAAGGTGAATTGTGTGGGGATAATACTGATTGGATGGGAATCTATGGATCATTAACCAGACACAATGTTGCAGCTAAAGGCTTCACTGGCTTAGTGATTGGAGCTGGTGGAACTTCAAGAGCTGCTATTCATGCTTTGCACAAATTGGGTGCTTCCAAGATTTACTTGATTAACCGTACTATCGGTAAGTTGATTGAAATTGCTGAGAGCTTCCCAGTTGAATATAATGTGGAGATTGTTAATGAACCAGTTAATGTTGATGTGGCTGTGAGCTGCGTTCCAGGTAACTTGCCACTTGACAATGAATTGAAACAACAGTTGATGACTATCTTTGAAAAATCCGCAGGGTCATTGTTGGTTTTGGATGCCGCTTATAAACCTGAAGTCACTCCGTTGATGGAGTTGGCGAAGAGTGTTGGAGCTAATGTTATTGGGGGCAAAGAGATGCTTGTTTATCAGGGCATCGAGCAATTCCAAATCTGGACTGGCTTTGTCGCGCCATTTGATGAAATTTATGATGCTGTAGTTAACCATTGACCTAATGAGTCTTGCTATGAATGAAGTTTTTAAGGTTAAATTATTCTAGAAGTAAATAAAGAATATATATAAAGAAACGATTATAATTTTTAAAAGCAGTAATGTAGCAAATATTATAACTTTTTATTAACGGCAATCATTTATGCCAATGCTCTGCTTATTCACCGTGGTGCATACGTAGATTGCAACTTTGTTTTCCCCATTTGAATTTTTTTGTAAGGCTTAGACCCCGGGATCCTACACATTTCCTGCGGGTCGGGTGAGGGTTGGCGCATGTGTGAATCCCGAGAGATATAGATGGCGTTGACCTTGTTGGTTGTGGACAGACATTATAACACATGGCGAAACAATATAGAGTGTAGTCGATACGATACAAGAGTCCATATTAGTGTTCTGTTTGTAGTGTTTAAATATAAGAATTGTTTGTTCGGAAAGTGGGAGGAAAAGTGGGGAAAAGAGTAATGTGTGTGTGTGTTTTTATTACCCGCCTTGCAAAATTGTTGTTTGGTGGCGCTGCGCCTCGGCATTCCAGGCAGTGCGTGGTCAATCACCGCCAGTATAAAAACAAAGCAGTCGCCGGACAGATATCCCTGCCAACAGAATGCCGAGAAGAAGAAGCAGCAGCAGCAGAAGAACAAGAAGAACAAGAAGAACAAGAAGCACCACTGAGTGAAACAGGAGGATTTAGAACAATACAAGTACAATAAGGATCATTCCACCTCTGATTAAAAAATTATTCCTGCTCCATGTACCAAACAGCCACCATGGAACCCTACTACCATAGAAACAAGGGAATCGAGAAGAACATTAACAATAACCCAAATGTTACTGATATCTTCTACTTCCCACAATCTCTTACTATTCCACAGCAACAACAACAACAGCAGCAGCAGCAACAGCAACAACAATCTCTTTCTCAGCAAGCTCTCGTGGCATCAAGCATGAATTTGAACAACCGAACTAATTTTGTGCTTCCTTCATTACCGTTGCTAGATACTTCCATTTCTAATGATAGAATCTTCTACATACAACAACAACAGCAGCAACAACAACAACAAGTATTTGGGAGCCATGACAATATGAGATCCCAATCAAATATCATTGAAGGTTATTTAAATATGCCTGCAGTGGCTGACAGAACATCCCTTAATCCTTCATTTCTTGAAAATTCCGGTAATCGCCTTAGCCACCCCCGAAACCTAAATTTGAATTATCAATTATCGGGCACCAATTACAATTTACCTCCATTGAATGTTGATATTCTCGCAGCCAATAATTTGAATCAAAAAGATACGACAAATTCCACTTTTAATGCGGTTATCTATGCTGCTGAAATGTCTGCCGGTATCACTCCCCGCCGTCGCAGAAAAAAAAACCAATCTTCAGCTTCAAGCTCTCCGGATGCCACGGATGGGGCCATCGTGAAATCATATCCCTGTGATAAATGTGATAAGGTATTTCATCGACCATACAATTTAAGATCTCACTTGAAATCGCATTCTACTGAAAAACCTTTTGCTTGCAAGCATTGCGGAAGAAAGTTCACCAGAGGCCATGATAAAAAAAGGCACGAATTATTACATGAAGGGTCCAAGAAGTTTCAATGTGGTGGTTTTTTGAAAGATGGTAAGACCAAATGGGGTTGCAACAAGAAATTTGCTAGAGCCGATGCGTTGGGTAGGCATTTCAGAACCGAAACTGGCTGGTTATGTATCAAGCCATTAATGAAAGAGGCAAAGGAAAAAGAAATGGACGATATTAATAATGAAAGAATATCGTCACTCCAATCATTATCCCCATTGACTGATGGACAACTGCCATACCAGAACCAAACACAGGTTAACTTAGTTGCTCAGCAGGCGATTGATCAGTTAAGGCAGAATTATTCTAGTAAAGGATACATTTCTACGGCGCCAATGTTCGAGTCGATCCCGGTTAATTCGCTACATGGTTTGGATGTTTCATCTTACGACGGTATTGGTGGCTCTATCAACAAGGTTGAATCTATGAAGAATGAAATTCCAAAAATGACATACAACGGGGTTAGTCTAAATCATTTTGGTACAGACGCCCCCAATGAGCTGATCATTAATAGTATGGTAAAAGATGTCAAAAGTGAATTCAGCTGATCATTGATTGATCTTCACTTATTCTTTCTTTATAAACCTTTCATTTCTTCACCCAGTAGGAATCCCTATTGCAAAATGGGGTACTTATTAATATTGTACCTGGCCATATATATTCATGAACTTTCTTCCAATTATTCTGTTATCATTGTTATTATTATTTTTATTCTTATTGTTTTAATTATTTCTATTACGCACATTTTGTCAAACTATTAAACGAAGATATTTTACGTCCCTAAATTTCGCTTCTTTACACTGTATCAAAGATACTGGTGCTACTTGTTATGTGTATATATTAAATTGGCATTCGCCAACAAAATTTCAGAAGTTTTAGTGGGACTCTCAGAAATACGTTGCACTTTTTCATAGTCTTCATATTACAAGGTAGAGGCTAATTATTTTCTTTCGGACAAATTTTGGGGCTTTGTTGGAATAAGGAATATCACAATAGTTAGCATGATCGGAACCAGCATCCGGAGTAAGGTCATTACTCTACATTACTAGCAATATATACAGGAAATCTCCTGGTAAAATTATGGAAAAGTAAGTATGAATGAATGGAACATAGATAATGATAGAATGTTCAATGGCTTATGACTAAGGCTGATGAAATATCTAACGACGATAACAGTTTGAAGAAACCGTCTTTATGTTTTGTAAAAACTTGGTTAAAGCAATTGGCTAATAAACTAAAAAAAAAAAAGAGCGATTTTAGTAAGTATGAGCCACACTACAAGTGATAGAGAACAAAACAGAATCGGAAATCACAGGATGATGTGAGTCTCTCTCAAGGGTTTCCAGATATCAAACACCGAAAACAAATAACGACAAACATCATTCATCTATGTTTTCGTTTGTTTCTTGTACAGTTAAACATAGAAAACAAGTTCAATTGAGCTAAGTTTTGCGCCCAAAGAGTGTTAGCTTCTCTTGTGATAGGATTCTGTATCTGGTAAGACGTACTTTCTCAAAGACGTTTGACCATAAATTATTCAGAGGGTCTATCATTTTTACAATTTCTAATATATATATAAGATTTTTTAAAATTTACATCGACCATCAAAAAAAAAAAAGCTTTCAATACTTATAATACTTATACATGAATTTCAAATGACAATATTAATTCAGGTATTCGTCCACGATTTCTGGAGACCATATTTGCAATGAGCAGTCGTAGAAACTACAAGTTGCCATCAAATCATCTTTTAAGGAAGTATCACCTCCATATACCATACTCGTATGGTTTTTTCTAAACACTCTATCGATTTTAATCACATCTTCGTTTGCAGATCCATCATCAGCAGTAACGATCTTAGCTCCATCGTACATACAGCAAACCATCAACTTATCTGCGGTATTCTTGAAAGGCGTAAGTCTCCAGACCCCTCCTCCTAAATTCTTCTCATTCCTCGCCCTTGGAGGATAAGGCAACAAAGTACTGCCTTGACCTTCTGAACCTGGTAAATAACGCAAATCGCTAAGTTTTAAAGTATCATCGTAACCTCCGGTGGCAAGCTGGAAATGGTTCCCATTAGATTTCCAGCACCCATTACCATTGTGATCACCCGGGGTGGCGGTCAAAATTGATGTGATTCCTGCTTGATGAATATTGGCAGTTTGGAAAATAACATCATTGGACCGAATGTCATGGGATATAAGGTTGAGGTCATCGCCTCCGGTGAACACCACATTTGACAATTCAAAGTTCCCAAAGTTCCCAATCCATGATTCAATCGAATGAGAGATAGGTAATGGAGAGTTTTCTACAGACGATGTATTAATTATTGTTGATTCGGTTGAAATGGATGAATTGTTTAGTTTCAACACCACTGTCTTGCCAAAAGTCGAAGTTATGAGAATCCTGTCTTTCAAAGTGTCGGAGAACTTTATCGAGGTTATCAAGTTTGTAGGGTCTTCAAATACCAGATACTCCACCAATTTGTTGATTTGTATATCGGACGGCGATTGGCCAAGAGTGGTTTCCCAGAATATTATCACACCATTTGAATGACCGGTAGCAAACAAATTATCGTCGAACGGAGAAAACTGAAGATCCAAGATCGCGGTTGGTGATTCAATGGCTTTGACTAGATCCAACGCATTTAAATACTCTTGGTTATCTTTTGAGGATTTTTCGACATATTCATAGACTTCAATGGATCCGTATTTCAATTTATTAACCTCATCGAGTTTGTATGTCCCAACAAACACTATTCTGTTATCTAAAGGATGAAACTTCAAACAACAGGGCGGCAATTTTGTGGTTTGTTTTGCAAATGGTTTGCTGTTGACTTCCATTACCAGCTAGCCCAAGAAACTTTGATATTAGTATATATATATATATATTTATATATAATATGGTTAGTTTACCAATAACGAAGCATGAATTTTTTCTGCTCATCGGTTCGGAATTTTTTTTTTTTTACGATCTTTTTTTTTTTTTACGGTGGCAGCAAAGAGGCCTCTCATCATACTGTAATAACACTAATATAACAATTGTAATGACATAACCCCCTACGAAATGATTGGGATGGTTATTATCCGGAATATCCTTTGATAAAGGTCTAGGTGCATGACTATCAAGATCTTCTTCCACCTCCAATTGATGTCTTACATCTCATTGGCAACAAAAACAATACACAGATCAACATAAAATTAAAACTCAGTACACACACACATACAAAAAAAAAAGGAGAAACGCGTAGATATTAGAAAGATATTAGAAAACATTGGATATAACAATCACAACAACTTTTCGATAGATGGTTCCAAGGATGTTGGGTTGGTGATGGAACCGTATCTTTCAACAACATTACCTTCTCTGTCGATCAAGAATTTCTCAAAGTTCCATTTGATACCTCTGAATCCCAACAAGCCAGACTTCTTTGACTTCAACCACACGTATACTGGGTCAGCATTGGAGCCATTAACATCAACCTTCTTCAACACTGGGAAAGAAACCCCGTAGTTCAAAGAACAGAAGCTGGCAATTTCTTCAGCATTGCCTGGCTCTTGTCTACCAAACTGGTTACATGGGAAACCGATGATTTCAACACCTTTGTCGTGGTACTTTTCGGAAAGCTCTTGCAATTGCTTGTATTGAGGAGTGAACCCACATTTACTGGCGACATTGACAATGATCACCACTTTCCCCTTGAGCTGGCTGAATGGGAAAGGTTCTCCTTTTTTATCCAAAGGACAGAGGTCATAGAAAGATTGGGCTTCAGACATTATTATTTTGTTTTGGTTTGTGTTTGATTGTTTGATACGTTTAAGAATGTGGGTGCGTTGTAACAGTAAAATAAGTACTTTGACGGCCTTTTTGTACTGCTTTCTGACTTGCGGCCAGACCCTTCGTGCTTTGGTAAGCACTCCAAAAGGCGGTGCCCACACCCCCTACAGCGATTAATAATAGCCACCAAGTAGTTACTGGCAATTTTCAATTTTCATGTTGGAAAATACACAAAATGTATAAGAAAAAAAGAATAGACAAGAAAAAAAAAAAGATAGAAAAATATCATAATAATTGAGCGTCCTCACCTCACCTCACCTCACCTCACCTCGACCCAATCCAATCAATCTCGTCTTGGATCGCCTGGCAAAACTTCTCCTCATCATATCTATCGCCAAAGTTCTCGATCTGCTTGGAAATGAATTCCATATGGACCCGTTCATCTTCGGAACCACATAGCAAATCATAAATATATTGCCACTGCATCTTCTCAAACAGGTAGTAACCTGGGTCAGTCAATACGTTGTCGTAGAACCTGATCCGCTCGGTGTTTTCTTCGTTAGTGATCTGGTTGTTCAAAATCAAGTCCAACGGATCGAATTTCGGAGTCAGCTCATGGACGAACATTAACTTAATCGGCAAGTCAAATACGTTGGCATAATAATCTTTCAATGCCTTATCCTCATCCTCTTCCCCACTAAATTGCGTTAGAGTTTCTATTTGGATTTTCTGGTATTCCTCAAGTTCCTCTTGCAAGGTTTTAGACTGTTCCAATTGTTTTTTTGTGATACCTTTTTGCATACAAAAATCTTCTTCATACATCGCCAATAATTTCTTATGGTAAGTCTTGAAGTTGTATTCATCAATTGGTGAGTATTGACCTTGGGCGGTGCCTCTGAATTCCCCGTTGGATTTGTGATACCCAATTGCCTTAACCGTAGTCTTGATTTGATAGTACGTCGAGTTCAACAAATTGGCAGCAGCAAGGAACGTATCTTTATCACCTTGACCTGGGGCCCATTGGGTAATCAAGTGATAATAGTAATTTGGTCCGTACATGTTGTAGTATAATGATAACAAGATCGCATCGGCATGGGCTTTTTTAGAAATCAATAATTGGCCTGACTCAGTAGATGGGTTTGGGATGGTTCCTTTCAAATCATGCAATGGAACTTCACTTTTGATTTGTTCTGCACTGGAATATTTCGGTTGTCCAGTGTTTGGGTCCTTAAGTTTCAAGTTCTCGGTGATCAAGTCTAATCCTTGAATTTCATAAAATTTAGGATGTGTGGTTCTTTCCCAATAATCTGGCCAAACCACAAATTTATAAGTTTGATACGGTTCGCTGACGAACAAAATGTCTGGATTCAAGTATGGCATATTATCGGCGTCCAATAACAAAATATTTTCAAAATTGGATAATAAAATGGCCAATGACTTCAACATAAACCCCTGGATTTTAAACTTAGAATCCTTAAGAACCTCTAAGTCCAAAATTTCGTAAATTTTAAGACATTTGGCATTCATTGAAGGCAAAATCACTTCACAGAATTCCTTTTCATATTCCTCCTCAAATGGGATATAAACTTCGATTGGGAGCTTGGATCCAATGCTTCGCAAGTGTTTTATGGATAACAATGCAAACCAAGAGTATCTGCCTCCGCCAACGTAAACAATACCATTGGAGTTCTCAATATAAAAATGTTCTTGGTCATCTCCATGATTGGCAAAATGAACTTTGGACTTCTTATTTAAAATCTTAGCCAAAAATTCTGCATGTTTTTCTTTCAAATTGTTCACTTGATGATCAGTGACTTTCAAATATTTTTCTGATAAATGATTGTATGATAGCACCGGATGGTCGTCCCAAGGGGCCATTTCTGGGGCTTTTGGGTACAGTGATGGAAGTGAATCAAAGTCTGGTTGGACCGCAATAAGTTCGGTGAATAGATCAGTCAAATATGATTTATGTTCTGCGGTATCGAATATTGTGTGACGATTATCTGATATCTGAGCCTTGTCATCATCGGTAATCTTAGAGGATGATCCTGGTAAAAGACTTGTTAACCTGTCAAAAGTTCCCTTTGATCCCTTCGGGTCACTGACAACTTCCACATCACCACCATAAGAGAACATGGTCAAGTTCAATATTATTAGAAATATCAATGTGGTGGCCCCTATCACAATAGCAAACATCTTCTTGTTTCGTGTATAACGAACGAAATAACTCAAAAATTGTCTCATTTTCTGTAGTTTTTATTATAGAAGGTATTTTATAAAGAATGGAAAGTCCAATGGAAAAGAAATACTAGCAAAGTTAACAGGTCCAGCGAAATGAGATGAAGCCTGTTGTCTTTCTTTCTAAAACAGAAAGAGGAAAAAATGACAGTTTGAGTTAAAAGGGGTGAACGAAGATGGAATGGATCTTGTCAACTAATTATCCAGTTGAAGTGTGCTGTTTTTTTTTTTTTTTTTTTTTGTAACAAAATTGCGGAATTTCGCGTTGGGAAAATTTTGGGCTTAAAAAACTTCTTAAATTACAGCACTTTCTATTAGAAAATAGAAGATATGGCCGTGTCTTCTTGAAAAATGTCCATAAGAGTGATTTTAAGATATATATAGTTTAATCGATCTTACATGAAATGTATGAGCCTGTTGTTTAGCTCAACATCTCATGAAAATTCTCGATAAGGTCTAAATGCAAATATAACAGAGTAACGTTCAAAAATTAACAAAAACAAAAAAAAAATATAAATATAAATAACAACGAAAACAAATAAACTGACTAAAAAATAATAGATAAGCACGAGGAATATACATAGAAATATAATTACGTAAATAATCAATAAACAGATCCAATCCAATTCAAGAAAAATAGGAAAAAGAACAAGCGAGATAGAAAAAAAGCAGTAGGATCAAATGCAAAACTTTCAAGCAACAAAAAAATAATATCTTTTGTTATTTTTTATGATATACCATCAATTATGAAAAAGAAGAAAAAAAAAGCTCGCTCAATTTTCGAATACGATGCCATCCAACCACTTGATTTGTTCTTCCAACTTCCCACAAAATTCAACAACGTCGAACTCTCTCCCCTTATCCAAGTATAGCCCTGTTATTTGCTCCTCAATGAATCTGATAATTAGTTTTCTTTCACACAAGTATTCATAAATATAGTCCATTTGTAATTTTTCAAACTTGTAATTTTCCTTGTTGGTGATATAGTTGGCATAGAATCTGATACGTGCAGGCTCTCCAGTAATAGGATCAGTAATCTCATCATTGATAAATTCAGCGTCGTGGATAAGTTTTATTGGATCCAACTTCGGAGTAGATTCATGAATGAAGAAAACTGAGGGTTGTTTGATGTTGTTGAACATATGCAACAACAGAGTTTCCTCATCGCTCAATTCCTCATCGTATGCAAACTTTCTGATAACCTTATTTACAGCAGGATCTCCCAGGATATCTTCATCTTTTAATCCTTTGTAGTATTTCTTCAATTGCTGCTTGACTTGATACACTTGATAATCTTCCATTGGAGATTTTTGCCCTTGGGCAGTACCCCGGTAACTTCCACCAGTTTTCTTGAAGTATCCAATAGCACTGACTTTACTGGTAACTTGGTAGAAATTCGATTTCAAAACAGTTGCAGCGGCAAGGAAAGTTTCTTTATCACCTTGTCCAGCAGCCCCTTGAGAAAATAAGTGGTAATACTGCTTTGGACCATAAATGTTATAGTAAAGAGACAACAATAATACATCCCAATGTGCAGACTTGGAAATCAACAATTGACCTGATTCAGTAGAAGGATTTGGAATGGTGCCTTGCAACTTGTGCAACGGAATCCTGGATTCAATTTGATCCTTGGAGCTGTATTCTTGCTCATTCAATTTGAATAAATCAATACCGGCAATATCATAAAAGAATGGTGAAGTTGACCGTTGCCAATAATCTGGCCAAAGAATAAACTTATGAGAGGTATATGGCTCGCTGATGAATAGTAAATCAGGATTATAATATGGAACGTTATCAGCATCCAAAAGCAAAATGTTTTCAAAGCTGGAAAGTAGAAGCGCTAATGATTTGTAAGTGAATCCTTTAAATTCCGCATTACCAAAGATTTGTCGGCTGCCATCTACTGGGTCTTTAAGGAATTCATACATCAAAACACATTTGGCGTTCATCTTTGGTAAAATCTCCTCACATACCACGTATTCGTATTCGTCTTCTGTTGGGATAAACAATTCAATTGGCAAATTTGACCCGGTTTTTCTGACATTCTGAATTGACAATAACGCAAACCAGGTAAATTTTCCCCCGCCAACGTAAACAATCCCACTTGATTTTGGCTTGTAGAAATCAAATGGCAATTTTAAAGCTTTGACAAACTTGGCGAATTTCGAGTGCTTGGTTGCTAATTCCAAAACATCATCTTCAGGAATATTAATAATCGATTTCAAATATTCAATGGAGTAAATTTGTTTGTTAGGGTTCCCTATATCGTCCATTCCTGAAGTCGGCACTTTTATGATCTCCCCATCACTATTTTTTCTATAAAAGTTCTTCAAGTCTGGACAATCGGGTTTCAACTCAAAAACTTTCTCAAACAAGTCATAAATGAAGTTCTTAAAGCTTAGCGAATCATCTATTGTTGGTTTATGAAATTCGCTTCCAAATTCATCGGTATTTTGTTTTTTATATCCATCTTCAGAGGTCGAGTCGGTGAACAAGTAATCATATAACTTGCTGCCTATGGAATCTTCGCCATCAGTCAATGCCGACCAAATCTTGTTGTTTGTCTCGGCACCTGCAATCAAATTCTGGATATTTTCGCCATAACTTGAAGGGGCATCGACATTCTCCGGTTCTTCTGGGTTGCTATTCTGTTTATTATTGTTAGAACTTGTGGTGAGGTTACCGGATTGGCCTTTTCCGTGAACAATTGCAAGAATTATCACCGTCAATACCACCGACGCAACGAAATATTTTCTATATATTATTCGAGGAATCATCGAGAAGAGGGGATCACCAGATAGAAAGAATACGGGCCCAAGAAAATACCACAGGAAAAGGAGATCAAAAACAAGGAAGAAAAGAAAAAGAATGGGACAGAGTAGATGATACAATAGATCAATGGATGAGTAAAGAGGCAAAACCTTGGATGGCACCTGTCAATGTCCGTTGGAAACCGCTAAAAGACAGTCACTTTTTGATCTATTTGCTACGTTTTGCAAAAAAAATATAAAAAAAAACGCTGTCCACGTGACACAAAATGCGGAAAAAAAAAACCAAACGTTTTGACGCCAGATGGCGTGTGATTCGGCATTGTAATGTGCTTTCCGCGTGGGCGGTTGATACTGCTGTTGACCGTTTTCATTGGTTGATTTCCCACTGGGTGAAGAGAAGATTTGCTCTGCACAGTAATATAATAGTAATGAAGAGCTGTTTGTTTTTCTTATCGGAGGGGTTTTTTCAATGGAAAATCTATCTTTGACCAAACTGGTCTGCTGTCATGTTTATTTGACCAGTACGGGTGAAGAGTATCTATATATATATATCTGTGTGTGTGTCAAAATATTTTAATGAGTTAATATAGTGCACATTCGAGGTATGCTATTATCAGTATAATAGAAAGCCTGCTTATTTTTGGTGTTTGCGACTTCTGTTTTCCCAGAATGACATTACCTGAATCCTCAGAGTTGCCTGTAGACATAAATTAGTTTACCTCTTTTAATCTATATTCAGTAATGCAGGCTGATCTTTTTTAGTGTGGTTAAGTTAAAACTACAGTTTATATATTGACTTGAAAAGTGCCTCATGGCTGTCATCGTTTGAGTGTCATAGTTTTTTTGCTTTTTTTTTACTAACGTAAGATTAGTGAATAAAATGGTGAAACAGTGACGGGTTCAGAATGTAAAATAATATACAATAATATAATATAGGAAGCCTGGGTACATTCTGTTTATCAAAGAAGATCAATCAAGCAACCTTCGTATAAAGTTGGAAACGATTTAAAAAATTAGGGACGATCCAATACGATAAACCACATTATTATACAGCGTGTGCGGATTTGCGCCTGTTTTCTGGAACATTGCCATTTGAAAAGAGAAAAAAAAAAAAAAAACTTCGCCAAACTTTAACTAAAACAGATTAATCGTCAGATTGGAAGCAAATTTATCGGAATTTTCCTTTTTTTTTTTTTCTCGTTTTTTCTCTAATAATTTTTTTTTCCCTCGTTAGTTTTTTTTTCGTGTTTTCCTAGATTCTATTGTGATTTATTTCTTGCTTTATATAACTTAAAAATCATAATCTCTATTGAGTTAGCGAGAGTTTTGTTGTGCGTAAAAAGAAAAAAGAAAAGAAAAAAAGAAGAATGTCAGACCATAATAGAGAAAGCAACAGGGTGAACTGCCCACATCAATAGAAAAGAAGGCCCACACCACTTCAACAGTTTGTGTCCTTGCCACAATAGCTGAATACTCTTAATTATTACTATTGTGAGGGGGGAGCCAATACCAAACGGCTGGGCTTTATATTTCATGCAATAATATGCACTAACACGCGGCAGTAGCCAACATCCCGAAAACCTTATTTCCCTGGCGGTTGCCCCTCCTCCTCCTCCCTCACCGTGAACGCTTGCAGACAAAGACGAAAAGAAGATATAAAACCACCGTCAACTCGTGCTTCCCTTTTCAGTTTTTTTTATAGATATATGTATATATACTTGGGTAAGCAGTCTCACTGTGAAAAGCCAATCCGTCTCCCTTTGGTTCGCTTGCACCTCCTGGGCAGCATTTATAAAACAAAGAACCCTGTCGAAAGCTCATTTTGACACATTATTTTTTTTTTCTGAGGGTCATATTTATCATCTATCATCCAAGAAGAATCAAACCACCCAGATCAGATGGTCCGCTACCGTAAGTCAATGAAAATTAGTCCCCCTTCTAATTATCACACCATTCAAAACCATCATATCGATCACAATATACATATCCTCCAAACCCCACTCCATGGACGTGAATGCGGCAAGTCAAATCAACAATCTCCCGAGTTTCGCCAGATCTCTGGTTACACTGGCAATGTGTGCCATAGAAAATATATGAAGCCTTTTCCAGTGGTGGTATTGACCCTATCATTGAAAGCTCAGTACAATAATGGCCAGATCAACGATCTACAAAGATCAAGGTATCAACGTTTCATCACCGAAAATGTCATTGGGTATTATTTCCTTAAGATATCATTATACAATTGTGCCACTGGAAAGATAGAGGATAACAAATTAAACTCTACAAAAATTGTTGTTGGGCAACTATATAAAGTCGCCGTGCCCAATAATCAACATCATTCTCAAGAGAAAAATACCACAGATTTTCACTCTTTAGTGTTCGAATTCAATGACTTGGGGATCAAGTCCAAAGGAAACTATCGTCTCATATTCCAACTATACAAGGTGCAAAATACTCAAAACGGCCCTCATATTGAGAAATTAAATTTGGTCTCGACCACCCCGTTCGAAATTTTTTCTGGAAGAAAGTATTATAGTGAGGAAAGAAAAGAAGAACGTAAACTCATGTTGGATGCTAAAAATAAGCTATGTGAACCAAAGGATCCAGGTCATTTATATCCTGAAAGTGGCGGAAAAAATGGCGGCATCTTAGAGTTATTGAAACAGTATTATGCCCAAACCATAAAGGATCAGATCATCATTGACGATGCCCAATATTTACAGAGCGATGGTATCATTTCCAGTGATGTTGTAAATCATTACGGAAAGAGGAAAACTGGAAAACGACTGGTGGCTGAGCAACAACTCCCTATTTCTTCAAAGAAGCCAAGATTGAACTCAGAAGAATATCCGCAAACTTTTCCTCCGATAGAAACTGATATGATATCAACGTTTGATTTGACTGATGAAGCTTTCCAACTTGATCAATTACTATCTGAGCCTTTTGAAAATGGTACGAGAGACTCCACACCCCCCTTATTTCACATCCCAGATTTGACTTCGTGTTCTAGTTCACGTTCTACCAGCTTGAATGTCAATACAATATCGATGGAAGATGCTTTAAAGTTGAGTAATAATCAACAACAACAACAACAACAACAACCAAATACGGCGTTCCCCATGCAATACCCTCAAGCCCATCAAAACCTTTTCAATCCAACTTCTGAAGATAATCTTATGATGAATGCCTCTCAATCAAACAATCACAATATGATGACCGGCCTACACTACCAAAACAACTTTGATGCTAACGATCATTACAAATCCCTTCCAGAAATCGTAAATCAATTTCCAAGACAAGAAGAAGCAATTCTAAATACTCCAGTTCTGGAACTACCGGTGATTGGCTACAATGATTACAATAGGTTAGACTATGGGAGAATGGACAATAGTCATGGTATTGTCAATGTGAATTCTGGAACCGACGATCTTCTAGAATATTATATGGGATCGCATCTCATGAGAAAAACCAGTTAATCACGAAGTTGCATGTTTTACGAAATTGTGGTATCTTTTGTTGCGTTCTAATTGCATTTTGTCTTAACTTGGTTTACGGTTCTTAAAAAACCCTGACCCCTAATTTTTGTGCTTTTTTTTTTTTCATTATTTTTTTCATTCATTTCTCATAGATATATTATAAGTAATTATTTCCTTAATTTTCAGTTGTTGTTGTTTTCTTTCTTTTCTTTCTCTCTTTCTGCTCATTTCAAAAGTATAATATACAAACCGTATTTAAGAATGGAACCATAATATCACTCCTTCCATTTTGCGGGTTCTTTTTTACGCGAAAATTTTCGTATACGCTGGGGATTGAAAAAAAAAAAAAAAATACAAAAAAATAATACGAATATTTTCATGAATCAGGGAAATTCGTAAATCAATCAGATCATTCATATAGATATTGTAGACTAACCAAGGTAATAAGAACTCTTTTAACGGCTGACAAGATTCCTTCCCCCCGATTCTAAAAAGTGCCCAAGAAATAAAGCAAATTGATTAGAAAATCTTAGTGTCAATCATATATTACAGCATTTCCCGATACGGGGATCAGCACGCACTGAGTACTTAACGTTTATTGTCGGGGATCATCCATTTATACATACCATAACTGTACAATCAGTATTGCTAATAACAAAATATTTATCAAAAAAAAAGAAAAAAAAACGTTAGTGTCTCTCCCTACCGCTGTATCACAGCCAATTACTTTTTTTTTTTTTCACGCATTTTGGGGATCTGTGTTTCCAATTGATGTCCATAGAAACCAGACAGAAGATCAATTCCACTACAATAATAAATATCCTTGCTAAGCACCAAGATATACAAAAAAAAAATAAGCAAAATAGTAATTAGTAATATCATCTTGATTTATTTACAAACATACTTATCCGCTGAGTTCCCTGGCTTTTTCTATGCTGTGCTTGGCTGTTTGGATTCCGTGAACACCTTTAAAGATTCATTAAACAACCCAAGTAACACAACATTATTATCCTCAATTTGTGTATCAGTAAATTGCCCCACGCATGATGCAATACGTTCATTCAAATCCTTCAACTCGTCCAAAAGAAACTGTTCCTTGACACAATATACCAAATTTAAGTAAGTCAACAACAACTGCATGGTATCAGTATCCGAAGCTTCTCTTTTTTTAGCTTCTCCATCAACTCTTTGGTTAACCAATTCATGGTGCGGTACAATTGTGCCTTCATCGCTTGATACACCATCTTCTCCAAAAAGCGCAGTGAGGGTTTGGTTTAATTCTCTCAATAAGCGAATTCTTCTTCCATCAGTCAAATTGATATAATAAGGACCGAGGGTACGCGGCGGCAATACTGGGGGACTTTTTTTCGTTGATCCACCATTCAAAAATTCTGGTGATTCAGTGGCACGTTCATCGATAGCAAGGTTTTTAATCGATGCTTCAATCTTTGACGATCCTTCTCCTTGATTCTTGTTATCCTGTTTCTGCACATGAGCTGGGCTTGAAGAATTTGGTCTTGATACAGAATAGGAACCATCGGTCACTTTTCTTCTGATACATAGATCTTTCAATACATTTATCAATTCCACCTTCACACTCAAATACGGGCAATTCTCGAGGCTACTCATAACAAAATCCCAACTGAATAGCTCATCACTCATAGACAAAAGTCTGATCACGTAAGTCATAACAATCTTCTTGAAGTTCATATATTTTTTGACATCAAGTTCACTGGCATCGGAAGCTGGCAATTTTTGAGTAATTGAAATAAGACATTGAAGGTAAATCTTGACAAAAATTTGCATAATATTGAACGAACCATTCGGAGTGAGAGTTTTGGTGAGGCTGGAAATTTCGCTGGAAATTTTTTCAGTCGATGACGTTGAAAGAATAAACCATGACCAAGAAATCATAATATCTTGAATGGAATGGAAATAATTTGCACGATTAATTCTAAAATTAGAATTCATGTTACTATAATAGACCTCAAGTGATTTAGCAGTTTCTTCCTCTTTTTCTTCTCTTTCTTTTTTCTCCTCCTTATTTTCTGTTTCTTCTTCTGTTTCGTCCTCTTCCTCTTCCTCTTCCTCTTCCTCTTCCTCTTCCTCTTCCTCATCCTCATAATCTTTTTTAGAATTATCATCATAACTCAAAAATTTCTTTCTTCCTGTCGGCGCTTCCTTATTCTTGATTTGTTCTTGAATGCTTATAATCGGAACAAGATACCTTAGAGATAGAAAAACTAATTGTTTAAAGCTAGTATTCAGTGTTGCTATCGATGTTTCATTATCGTCTGCGAACTTTAAAAATTGATTAAAGCTGTATAACATAAAACAACCGATATAAGAAACCGGGATGCCTTTAATTATTGAGCTTGTAGAGTTCCCAGTGTTATCAAGGTTACCAGCTAAGCTTTTCACAAAACTAGTTGTGCAAGTATCAAATATTCTCTCAGAAATTTGATCTTGAATACCATTAACATTAGCAGGGTTAACCGAGGTTTGTAAAAGTTCAGTGAACATATCTTCGGTTTTCATAATAAGCTGGCTTTGGGCTATTTCATCAACATCAATATCATACGATAACGCCAAGTCATAGATCCTTTGCAAAAGATATCCCATTGATAAGCTCCCTTCGATTTTGTACTGAGAATAATCTTCTGATGCCGGCACTTCATCATTAGATGTTTGGTATTTTTTGTTAAGCAGATCAGAAACCATATGATTGTAATAATGGGTCGAGAAACTCAGACAGTAATATTTGCAGGAAATCTCTACACCATGCGTGATGACATACTGAAGAACTTTCCCTTGAAGATAATCTTCATCCTGCGAAATTCTAGCAGCTTCACCGGCGTCTAGCGAATCCTGAGCCATTGGTTTTTGTGGTTGGATATAGTCTCTTGCAAAAGTGTAAATTCTCCTAAGAGTGAATGATGAATTGGAAACAAAGATAACGTTATTGTTAAAATATTTCAAAACACTGGTGGCGATCATCAATAAAAATTTGGAAGGATATAATGTAGTGATTCTTTTGAAGCACGCGTTCAACAACTCAAATATTGTATGAAATTTCAAGTTCAAAGTCTTTTCCCTCAATTCATCATCGATTTGGGACTTCAACGCGTCATCAATAAACAATTGATAAAATTGATCATCGTCTTGGAAGCTTAGAGACTCTAAGATCTCGCAAGCCTTTAAGAACAATTCTTTTGCATTACCATGTCTTGCCAACAAATCAAAGGTCTTGAAAATGGAACGCAATTTTGTGTTATTGGCCAACGGAGCAACAAAGAAAAAGCTCTTTGAAGGGAAATACTCCATCAACAAATCAGGGATATCCCAGCCAATGTTGTTCAACAATTCTCTATCCTTGTCGAGGATTTCGTACAATTTGTCGAGTATTTCGCAGTTTTCATCGTCAGTATAGTTTTGAGGGGCCGATAAATGCAAGTCAATTACGGTGGCAAACGATAAAAAGTCATTGTTGGAATTCACAACAAAGTCGGTATAACTCTCTTCTAGAATAGCGCAAACCTCTTTAGACAGCTTTGCAGATTCGTTCATTGTTACAGCACTGATGCTATTCAGGAAACCTGTGTGATGAGCAATGGCATTTGGCCTTTTTTTTTTTTTTATTTTTTTTTCTTCCCACAAATAGTTGGAGGAGGTGTCAGTGTGTCTGGTAGACATTTTACCCAACATTATTGAAGCACCAGCCAGACATACACTTTAATAGGGCCTGTAATCAACTAGTGGTGCTAATAGCAGGTTAGTCATTCATTATCAATTGCAGAATATATGACAGAATTGTAATGGGGGACAAAGGCTGAATAATACTTAGTGTGCTTACATAAGCCTCCCCGGTTACTCACGATTATGTAAAAGCAAAGGCCCACTTGGACTATAAAACACGGGGAAATTGACACTTTCTCAATCCAGCTGTTCCAAAAAAAAAAAATACTTATCTACAATACAATAATATTCACAAAAAGAATAGAAAAACAATCCGTCACAATCATTACCATATATGTCTGGCAACATGAATCCAAGAACCGTCCTCAAGTACTTCCTTGCTAGAGAGCAAGCAGAAGGCCGCGGTGCCAGAGTCAGAAGATCGATCGGCACTATCAACTTAAGAAACTTCACACCTTTCTTGATGCTTGATCACTTCCATGTCACCCCGGGAATTGGTGGTTTCCCATCACATCCTCATCACGGCCAAGAGACCATCACTTATATCACGCATGGTGCCATGGCCCATGAAGATTTTACCGGTAGTGCTGGTATCTTGTATCCAGGTGATTTGCAATTCATGACCGCTGGTAAAGGCGTGGTTCATAGTGAAATCCCAGTTAAATTGAAAGATGATCCAACACAAGCGTGTATTGGCATGCAATTGTGGGTGGACTTACCAGAAAATTTAAAGAACACTCCGCCAAGATACAGAGACTTGAAAAAAAAGGAAATCCCGATCGCCAAACCAAATGATAAAGTTGAGGTCAAAGTTATTAGTGGCTCATCTTATGGTATCGGATCATTAAGAGACTTGGCGTACACTCCAGTTTGTTACTACCATTATACCGTTAAGCCTGGTGGGGAATTCAAGCAAGAAGTTCCAGCTGATTTCAACTCTTTTATTTATTTGATGGAAGGTGGGTTGACCATCAACGACAAGGAATACGACCAATATAATGCAATTTTCTTCAACAGAGATGGTGACTATATTGAAGGTAAAAACCCAGCTAATGCCACCAAAGACGCTAGTTTTGTTTTGATTGGCGGGGAAGCTTTGGATCAAAAGATTGTTCAACATGGCCCATTTGTGGAAACTAGCGTAGAAAAAATGCATGAGGTTTTCAGAAACTATCAACATGGTATCAATGGGTTTGAGAAGGCTAGAGAATGGGAGGCCAAGATCGATATTGGTGTCGAAGAAGGCGATGTTATCGGCAATACTGCCACTCCAAAAAAGGATGAATTATGATAGGAGAACCTTCCTTGATGAGCCTATCATTTCTGTGTTTAGGATCATTTTCAGTGTATTTACTTTATATTATAGTTTTCAATGTTATGTTGTTTTGTCAAGCAGAAAGTTTCAAAACCATGGATCTTTGGGAATCACCGGGTGCTGGACCCTGTTGAGTTACACGTGCCGTAAAATTTTTTTTTTTTTTTTTTTTTTCAATATTTTTCTGTCTTTTGGAAGGAATAAGTTACTCAGTACATCGAAATCAATTCCTCATCTTTGATTATTGCAATAACAATGAGACTTTTAGTTGCAGTAGATGATAAATCTAGCTTTAAAGGTATGTCAAGAACACTATTTCAACACATAGATACTTATGGAAGCTAACTAATGATGATTTAGAAATTGTATGTGAACATGGAACAGATACTTCAAAGCAAACTGGAATTCAACCAATCTCCATAACTTCGTATAAGTATGGTGGGGAAAAATCTGATAGAATTGCAAAAATTATCAGTTTTACTCATGGTTCCCATAAATTATTGGCGATTGTGCGAAATAATTATACGGTTCAAATTTTGAAACTCACCTCGACATCGACCGTTAATAATTATACCGTAGTAAAAAGTATCCCATTAGAACCAGGAAATGATACCACTAAACTGGGAGAGGCCCCAAGTTACGAAACTAAATTTGTGGCGTTGAATATTCACCATGATGAGTTTTTGTACGCTGCTACCCAATCTGGAGACGCATACTTTATCTCCCTTGACGATATTGTCGAAGGAATTCCTTCGGAGGTAGACCAAGAGGAAATTGAAGAGCATGAAAAGGAATACCAAGAAAAGGCAGAAGCCAGAGACAAAAAATTTGAAGAGTCGATAGCAGCTCGCAAGAAAGACCCAAAGAAACTTGTCGAGCCAAAGAAGCCTATCAAAATCACCAGAAACATTCCAGAAATTTTATTCGATAACGATGTGCCAGTGATTCAGGTGAATTTAAAACGTACCAGAGTGCATGCTTTTGTTGACAGCACTGCTAACTTTGGGATTTTTGCTTATGGTGGAGAAAATGAGGATCTTCGTATCATCTCAGTCGCTACAGAGTTGTCAGACCACAAACAAAAACAATTGAAGGGAAAATCCAAGTCAAAATCATTGAAGCTCTCTCAACCTTTGGTGCTCTACGAGGCCAAGAATGTTAAGCATGACAGATTGGATCTTCGAGTGCCGGTATGGGTTTCCAATATCGTATTTTTTAACGAAGAGACCAATAAGTTAGATCATACCCCAACCCCTGATGAATTCAAATCTCAAACCGTAAAATTGGAACTCTTGACTACGACATATTATGGAGAAATCAGAAAATACGATACTTCACACGGTCGTAAACCGGTGTCGAATCAAATAGCATTTCCCGCCCCGCACAACACTCCAAACAAAAAACCAAAAATTTTGACCATGGGGATCGGGAAAACTGGAGTACAAGACGATGCCATTGTTATTAGCGATGATCATAATTCAGTGATCAAATACAATATTGTTAAAAACAGATCGTTGGGTAAACTTGTCGGAGCCCAGGGGGCAACTCAATCCATTTATTGTACCATGGATGTTGTGGTCACTGGCGGGCTAGACAAATATGTCAGAGTTTTTGAAAGAGAAGATAGGGAACAGATTGCTAAAGTATTTGTCAAGTCTAGAATCAGCTGTGTTTATCTTGTGGAGGAAGATCATGAAGAAAACGATAAAAAGAGAAGTCTCGAAGAAGATGATGAACAAGACCATTCTAATGAAGAAGAGGATGATGGTGCAGATGACCTTTGGGATCAACTAGAAGAGGAAGATGAAAGCCAACTCAAAGTCAAACCAAAGAAGAAGAAGGCTAGAAAATAGGCTTTTTTTAGTTATTTCCTTTTCAATGCATAGTATTTTGTAATATATTTTTAAAACGCAGTTGTCGATTGTTTGTGTAAATCAAAGGAAAATAGGTAGACGCTTCTTTATACTTTTTTTTTTGGACGTTGTAATATGGAATAAAAGAATACTACAATTTACAGAAACCTTGTGAATCAAGTATGATACATTAAATAGTAACGAAAGAGTATCCACTATTTCTTTTAGCCGACCTGTAAACCTTATGACTCGATACAAGTTACAAATGTTGTTATTTTAAAGTCATTTCTTGATGCTCTTTATTTTAATTCCCTTGAAGTCTTTTTAAAGTTTGCATCAAGCTTTGAATATTATTTGGATCGGTTCTACTGGTGGTGTTACTGTTATCGAATTGGTTAGGTGGAGCAGGAGGAGGGTGAGGAGGATAAGAAGGAGACATCTGCTGTTGTTGCTGATATGGTGATAGCCCAGATTGGTATTGCTGTTGAAACTGTTGAGGCGGACTTTGATATTGATTTTGTACTGGTGGGGGTGGTGGCTGTTGGTATGATTGTTGTGGTTGTTGTGGTTGTGAAAATCCATTGAAACTAGACGCATTACTACCCGCAGGAAGCTTCTTAACTAAACTCAACAAATTCTGCAACGATCCTTGATCAAAACTACTTAAGGTTTGAATCAAATCAGGATTCACATGTGACTGTTGAGGAGAATCTCTTTGGGTTTGATGATACGATGGTTGGCCAACCGGCATCATATTTGGATTACCTCCATACGAATTTTGAGAGCCGTTGAAACTGTTATTATGTCGATTTTGGTCATAGTTCTCATATGAGCGGGTTTGCCCTCTACGATTATTATTAGGATGACGGTAATTATTTTGGCCATGATCACCACCGTTCCTACTGTTAGACCCTCTTGATCTCATAAACAATTCCACGGCAACATCAACGGATACTGCTTGATATTCATCAAACTTAACTCCACCATCATCGGTTTTTTCAAATGTTTGCACATCCAAGTTCCCATCCCTGTGGACAACAATTATTCCGTAGACCCCAGAATACGCAGCATCATTAATCAAAGATTTTAATGACATTTGCGGACTGATATCAGTTTTATTGACGGAGAGACCGGCTGATGATAATCTAGATAATAAAAATGATACCAATTTAGGGTCGGCAGCATGCTTGACATAAACTTGACACTCCGTGCCAGGTCTGAAATTGTTTTTCGAATTATAATAACCCCCTTTAGTAACGCTAATATTACTTGAGCTTCCATCATATTTTGATCTTTTGGAATTGCCTGCTCTCTGATCATAAGTACTGTGATGGGAATTAGCTCGTTTGGAGGAGAGTGGGATATATTCGGAACCTCCATTTTTGGTTCTGGTATTGATCCTACTTGCTGGATGCAGATGAGGGTTAGAAATGTGGTGGCGGTCTTCTGTCGTTGACAGCTTGGATTTTTGAGGTTTTGAAACTTCCAACAACATCATTTTACCATGTAATGGGACACTGCTTTCCCCTTTAATGGCATTAGCACATTCTTCAGCGGTTTTGAATTGACAAAACCCGTAATTTGATTTGATGGTAATTTGTACAACCTCTCCATATTGCTTGAAAATTCTCCACAAAATTTGTTTAGTTACAGAAGAAACTGGTAGGTTTCCAATGAACATTCGTGACCCAGGAGGCATTTTATCCCAATTGCCAGCAGTAAGATATTCTAATTCATTTCTGACGAAATTGCCATACTCTTCTAATTCTTGGTAATTCATTGGATCCTTAAGACTTGGGCGTTTACAAGATTTATTCCTGGATTTATAGTAAGCTTCTTGTGAGCCATTGCTATCATTTTCATCATAAGGTTCCGGAGCTCCATCATCATTTGGTTCATTTTTACTGGTATTCAAATTAACAGCAGTCACCAGAGAGTCTTTGAAAATGTCAAACTTCAGATCGCTTGGATTCTTGGTATATTCTTCAATCAATACTTTCTTACTAGTGTCGTCAAGTTGAAGGAACAATGGATGATTGATAAATGGTATCGACATAACATACTCCGCCAATGATGGGTCTTCTTCTTCTTCCTTATTCTTTGGTTGTTGTTGTTGTTGTTGTTGTTGTTGTTGTTCCACAACAGTATCATCACCAAATTCAGTGTCGGGATTGTACTCGTCATCATCTTCTTCATCATCAGTATTATTTCCATCTTTCTGAGTTTCTGTGAAAAAGTCCTCATGGGCAGGATCATAATCTTCATCCTCTTCGGATTGTTCTACTACTGGAGCACTTTCCTCTTTTTCATGGAAAGGAGGCTCGCTGTTTTCGGGTTTTTCCTGGATATCATTAGTCTCATGATGTTTTTGTTCCAGATCATTATTATTGCTACTTTCTTTAGGGTCTTCAAGTGGTTCTTCGGTAACCACGGAAGGTGGAAGAGAATTTGAAGGAGGAAGAATCATGGATGATGGATCTTCCAGCATGTTGTTCCAATGATCCAAAGGTTTATAATGTATGAATACTGGTTGTGTCAATATTAGGGAAGTGAATCCTTCGCAATAAGTTCAATTTATATGGTATGAGGCAGGTGTGCTTAAAAGAGAAATAAAAAGAAAAATGCGATTTTGAACTAGATCAAATTGATAGATTAAGCAATATCGTTATTTGCTGTCTCCAAACGGACCCATACTTAGAAGCTCCTCGTTTTTCCCTACCTGTTTTTTTTTCTTTTGATTTAGCCAAAATGAAACAATTTAGCCCTAATTGGTTTCTTGTTTATCACGTGTATATCATTAACTTAATTCAAGGGCTTGTGAAATGTGAGTGTCACACACACACGTGTTTTGTGGGTGATTTTCTTTTCTTTCTAAACGGCCCTCATTTTTTCGGGCTGCGTTTTCTTTGCCTGAGTGGGTGGATGCCAGTTTGGTAGTAGGCAAAAAAATACTTGAAATTTTTCTTTCAACCATCATCATAGTCTAACTTGATATCACCAGAAGTATCATTAGTTAAAAATGCCAACCAGATTAACTAAAACTAGAAAACACAGAGGTCACGTCTCCGGTATGTAGTCTATCAATGAGTCTGGTTTATTTAATTCATTGATTATGAGGATGGTGATTTGGGGATGATTTTTTACAAGAACAATTAATGGGATTTCGAAAATTTGATACTATAATACTACATGTTTGATACAGTTAAACTTCCAAAGGTATCTTTTATGTTAGGAAAACTCATGAAGTGTTTGGTTTTATGATGATTTATAATTTTGGAAAATGTCTTATTGGAAAAGGAATGGACTCATGTTTATACTTGTGGGATTAATTTTTAATGTGTCTAGAATGGGCTTTGTGGTATTGGAAAAGATTACTGGTATCAACAGACAATTGTATAACGATGAAATAATGATGTGATGATACAGAAAAAAAAATATATGAGTTGAGATAATTGGAATCAAATTTTTTAAAGAGTGAAAATTACCATCATCTAAGGTTTCCAATCTCATCCAATGAATTTTTTTATTGTTAGTTTATGATTTGTTACTAACCTCTCTTATAGCCGGTAAGGGTCGTATCGGTAAGCACAGAAAGCATCCAGGTGGTCGTGGTATGGCTGGTGGTCAACATCACCACAGAATTAACATGGATAAATACCATCCTGGTTACTTCGGTAAGGTTGGTATGAGATATTTCCACAAACAACAAAACCACTTCTGGAAGCCAGTTGTCAACTTGGACAAATTGTGGACTCTTATTCCAGAAGAAAAGAGAGACACTTACTTGAAGAGCTCTAACGCTTCTGCTGCTCCAGTTATCGACACTTTGGCTGCCGGTTACGGTAAGGTTTTGGGTAAGGGTAGATTGCCAGAAGTCCCAGTCATTGTCAAGGCTAGATATGTTTCTAAATTGGCTGAAGAAAAGATCAAGGCTGCCGGTGGTGTCGTTGAATTGATTGCTTAAATTATGTAAAATATAATTAATGCCGTTTTTAACTTTTTCTCTATATGTCAATAACGCGATATATGTTCTCTATGTTTCGTAATATGTAAGTACTTTATTTGCTGATTCAGTAAATTACAGATTTTATTATTTAAAGACAGAAGAGCTTCCCACTTGTGAGTGGTTTCTCTAAAACCCCCAAATGTGATGAGGGAAAAAGAAGGAAAAAGAGAAAAAACAATAAAAAAACACATGAGAAAAAGCATGAGAAAAAAAAAAATATAGATCAACCAGATTCAGGAATACCCATACACAGATATACAATAGATACTCTTCGACCATGGCAGTCGAATATGATTGGAATCCAGAAGATGCGATTCCAGAATCCATCCGTTCAATGCTCTCTACCCCAAATATCACTCGTGCCAATTATGTGATAATTTTTCTTGAGATCATCTCGTTATTGAAAAAACAGAAACGTACTGGATGGTTAGATTTCAATATAAAGGAATGTGAGTCCATTTCCGATCATATGTATCGTATGAGTATTATCCTGACTCTCCTACCTGATCAAGTTGTGAACATCTTATCGCCAGAAAGGGAAACAGTGGTGTTGAATAGGTCGAGGTGTGTTCAAATTGCAGTAGTTCATGATATGGCCGAATCTTTAGTAGGAGATATCACCCCTAAGGATGTTAAGGTGGGTAAAGATGAAAAGCATTATCGGGAAATATCTACGATGGAATATTTAACCAAGAAGTTGATCAAGCCTTACAACGAAGCGGCTGCCTTAGAAATTATGGAATTGTGGTTAGAATATGAAAACATCAGTACCATCGAAGCAAGATACGTGAAGGATATCGACAAGTTTGAGATGATTCTCCAGGCTTTTGAATATGAAAAGGAGCACCTTTCAGTGAATTTGGAGCCATTTTACGAACTGATTGCCAGTATCAAAACTACAGAAATCCAAGAATTGGCGAATCTGGTCTTGCAAAACCGAGAGGTTTTCTTAACAAACAAAAAGTAAACTAGAATTAGAGTGAATATATTATATTTTATGTTTAAATAGCGTGCAAGAATGAGCTGTATGTGTATTTTATTGTAGCTAAATGGTCAACACAGAGCCCTGTGAAAATGAAAGGAATAATATTTCATGATTGATGGCCATGTCTTGTTCATTACGTATTGATCAATTGAAACAGAGGAATCGATGCACCTCAGAATCTTCGGCTGCAAATAGCTGATTAGGATAAAGGCAGAAGAAAAGAAAAAAAGAAATAAATAGAAAAAGAAATAAGAAAAAAGCGGAATTACGACAGGAGATCCCCCCTGTAAGTACAGAGATTATTATTTATTTTTTGTTTTGTTATTGGTGATACCAGCGTGAGACATTAATCAGTTGTTGGTTGGGACATCCAATAATGTGGGTCTATTGGTATAATAATATGTATGTATGCTTTTCTGATAGGCCTCCCATTCTATGGTGTTGTGATTATGTTGTTTACACCAATAGAGTACACAACATAATAAATAGCACCGCTTGCATGGCTAAAGAAAGCACCGATAAGGTCAAGTCAACTTCTCTAGCCGACAGACAATACGTCATCTATTCAACAATTACTGCCAAAATGGTCGAGCCCCACTTTCCAAGATTATCCAACGGATGTTTTGTCTCTGTTTTTCTCTCCTTTCTTAGTGTAATTTCATTTTTATTTATTTTTTTGACGTGTTTGTGGGGGTGGGATGCGAGTGGGGTCGACTTTCCTTCAACATCGCATATAATATATATTTATACAAGACATTGTGGAAACTCTCAAAAAAATAAATATATATATATATAAGAGTATCAAATAACTACAAGGTATCACACAATGCCATTACAAGAAGATGATTTCGTGGTTAAGGCCCATGACGCCTTTGACGAACACAAATTAGAGCGCAGCTCTACCACAAACACCGACAGAAGATCAACCGTGTCTTCCAGATTGCCACCTAACGAGAAATTCCCAAACGTCGATGAGAAGAAAGTGCTTAGTAAAATGGACTGGCACATTCTTCCTTTCGTTTCTATTCTTTACTTGTTGGCCTATCTTGACAGAGGTAATGTTGGGTATGTATATTTTGAACATTCGTCTTCGCTTTCCGTTCTCTCATAATAATATTAACAATCACTAGAAATGCCAAAGTTGAAGGTTTAGCTGATGATTTGAATTTGAAAGGCAATGAATACAACATTTGTCTTACAATCTTTTTCATTAGTTACGCGACATTCGAAGTCCCTTCCAATGTGATCCTCAAACTTACCAAGCCTTCCTTATATATCCCAATTATCATGATTTGCTGGGGGTTGGTCATGACTTTAATGGGAATTGTGCAAAATTATATGGGTCTATTTTGGGCTCGTTTCTTCCTAGGGGTTGCTGAGGCCGGCCTTTTCCCTGCAGTGGCCTACAATTTAACTTCTTGGTATTGCCGTCATGAATATCAATTACGGGTTTCCTTATTCTATTCTGCTGCCAGTATTGCCGGGGCGTTTTCCGGCATTTTGGCTTTTGGGATTTCCAAGATGGATGGGGTTGGTGGTCTTGAAGGCTGGCGCTGGATTTTCATCCTTGAAGGAATCTTAACGGTTGTGGTGGCATTTTTTGCCTTCTATTTCATCCACAATTATCCCGATACCGCAAGCTTTCTCACTGAAGAAGAACGTCAATTTGTCTTATATAGACTAGCCCATGATAACAACTCCGACACTCTAGAAGGTATGGAAGATCACAACTCAAGTTTCTTCGAGGCCGAAGTTAAACAGCAAGGTTGGAAATATTTCAAGCAAGCTCTTTTTGATTGGCAAATCTATGGCCACGTTCTTATTTATTATAGTATCGTTGGTGAGTATTATCATTTTAATTTTCACAGATATATATTGGTACCATATGATCATCATGATTACTAACTGTTTTTTTTTTTCTAGCTCCAACTTATGGTGTTTCCTTATTCCTTCCAACAATCATCTTGAATTTAGGATATACTTCGGCACATGCTCAATTGATGTCTATTCCAATTTATGTTTGTGCCTCTATTATTTCGGTTATCACTGCCTATTGTGCGGATCGTGTCGGAAAACGATCTCCATTCATCATTGGCTGTTTGTTGTTAATGGTGGTAGGATTCTCTGTGGCCATTGGATCTGACCCAGTTACTAAGCCGGGGGCAATTTATGCTGGGGTATTTATTCTCACTTCAGGTATGTACGCCGGATTCCCATCGGTTATTGCGTGGCTTGCAAACAACTTGTCCGGGGATTACAAGAGAGCCATCGGAATGGCAATGCAAATTGGTCTTGGTAACCTTGGTGGGGCGTTTGGTTCCAATATCTACAGAGCCAAAGACAAACCTCATTTTATTTTGGGACATGCAGTTGCTTTGGGTTTCGTAGGGTTGGGGCTTATTTCCACCACCATCATGGCTACTACTTACTATTTCATCAATAGAAAGAGAGAAAGAGATATAATCGAAGGAAAGTACAAACATTATTCTGGCAAGCAATTGGCAGAAATGGGAGACAAAAATCCGTACTTCAGATATCGTATTTAAATTTTTCCGTCTTCGAGAAGATAATTTAACTACATGTTAGTTACCCATTTTAATTGCCATATTATATGCTGTGTCTAGGTGATTTTTTGCCCCATTATTTTTACTTTCTCTATTTGTTTGCGTTTCTTTGTTGCTTTTTTTTTTTATATATTTATGACGACGCGTTATATAGCTACGCGTTTATTTTATGAGATTTTCAAACTTAGTACTTGACTAAATCTCGAGTATGCTTTTTTATGAATTACGAATTATGTTATCAATCGGATATCGCTTCTTTCTTTTTATTTTTTGTTAGTAATAATAATAATTTTGAATTGTTCTATTTCGTAATAACTTTTTTTTTTGTGATAGGATGTTATTGGGAGCAAAGTAGCACAGCATTTACATTAAATAACAATGAGGATCTTTGACAAGCAATTATGATCAGGATCACTATTTTCACAAAGTCTACCGTAAATTGGTTCTCATGTTAATAGACATATTTAAAATTTTACACAGGAATTCGAAACAAAACAACATTTGCAATTGTTAGGATGATCATGATCATAACTAAATAGTATCTAAGATACCTTAAGTATGACTTATGCTACATACACAATGATTTTTGGTGATTAATACGAGTATAATCATAATCATTGCAAATTCTATCAAGCTCCCTTTTTTTCATTATAATCTTACAATATTGACTAAATCAATTACAAAGTTTCGTCTATTTCAAAATCAAACCAAGCAAAAACCTAAGAAAAAAAAAAAAAAAAGAAGATAGAAATATAACATATCAAAATAATTGTGGAAGAATGTAATGAAACAATCAGAAATTAATAATTCTAAATGAAGGAGAAATAATACCAACACTTAAGATCATTATGCCTTATCCAATTGTAACCGGTTGCTCATCTCCAATTTCAGTAATGACAAATGCGTGTCAGTGCCATAGTTTTCTAATGAATTCATCACAATGTTACCATTCCAATACTCAGCATATACTTTGCACATTGCCAATCCTAAATTCAACTTGAAGTTGGAGGGACGTTCGATCAAATTTTGTAAAGTGTTTGGGATATTAGCTTTAACAAACTCGTGGCCTCCTTTATTTGCAGAATGATCGACGACATCTGGGTCAATATTCAAATGGGGAACTTCATCTTCCAATTCTTTCTCCACCGCCGGATCAGAGGAGTCGAAATTCATTGGACTATAATCTCCTGCTAATTGCAAGCCTGGGATTTTATGAAAATTGCTTAAACTCTCCCTAGCAATTCGTTCATTTTTCCCAAAAGACCAAATTTTATCGATTGGCATTCCTTTTAGGCCACCACCTTGATCACTGAATCTGAACTCTATCGAGTTCTTGGCGTTTATGATGGTGACCTTTATTGGTGGTGGACGATTCTTAAGGAAGAAATCTCGCGGTTTGTCGCCATTATTATAAATAAAATTATTGATCGTTGAGTCATAAGAATTTCGAAGAATTTCTCCAAAAATGTATCGCAAATGGGTAACCATAAATGGAAATTTAACATCATTACCTTGGATGATCAATTCTGGGAGCAAGAAATCTTTTTCTAGGAATTCAACCTCTTTGTAAGTGTCCGTGATCCGAGATGCGCAGAATTGTAAATTTTCTATGGCCGAACATTTATAAAAAATATCACCAATGCAATCATCCATATCGATATTTTTACTGGAGTTCTTAAATTTGTCGGTCAACGACAAATGTTCTTCGCAAATCAATCTTCTGGATACCCTGGCTCTTAGGGTGGCTGACATGAACTCGTCCAAGTTTTTTTGAGTCATCGAATTTAAAATCCGGCATTCTAACGAACCCATGATGAGATGAGGCAAACTTAATAAATTATCATGCAACATTCTCGATAAAGTTTTGCAAAACTCTTCGTTCTCCTCAAGATTGGTGATCGGTTTGATCTTTCTAAACGATTCAAAAATATTGTAATAACTTTCATATACCCTGACCAAATGATGGTTTGAAATAGCGGCAAACGGTAAAATTTGGAAATCTTTCAATTTTTTAGCAATTCTGATGGCGATTTCTAATCTCACGAAATTAGCAGACGAAAGCACCTTTTCTTTGCTCAATTTTTTCCCGAAATTCGCTAGTTGTTGTAATGTGATGGGATGGGCTTTTTTTGAACTCCATTGGTTCATCACAGTATTTTGATAAAAATGTAATGGGTTGACATATTTAGAATATGTAGGGTACGGACCAAGTTCTGGGAAATTTTGGGCAAGGTATTTGATATAATTGTGGTCGGTTGTATTATGATCAACATCTAAGGGTAGACTGGTGATTTGTTTGTAGCTGGTGTACCCTCGGTGATTATTGACAGCAAGGATATTAGAAGTTGGGAGGAGTTTATGGGGTTTAATAGTATGCCTTAGCATTTTGTGAAGGGTATTTGTGAGTACGGTATTGCTAATAAGACCGGTGGGGCAATGACTACAACAATATATTAATGTTTGCAAACCAATGTCATGATTGTGTGAATATGGAGTCAGTTTTGACACTATACCCCAAAGTAGGGTACCCTTTTGGGAGTTTTCCTTTTTTTTTTTTTTCAGTCATAAGGGCATGCTGGAAATGCCCTGCAGATTATGTTTATTTAGACTAATATACAAATGAAATACAAAAGAGTGTTGTATAATTGAATTGAAAAGTATAGAGCCATACTCTTGTAGGAACAATAGCATATTAGGTGAAAGAAAATGCGTGATTGATAGAATGCGGATATAATTTGCCATAAACGTAATTAGGGGAAAAAAAAAAAACTACCGGAATTTTCAAAGTTACAGTGGTTAATTTCAGTGTTCCCCTCCCCCTAAATGTCTTGTAATAGGAGGTCAAACAGAGCTGGTTGGTGCAGCCAGAGCTGCTGGTTCACCAGGGTTATTATCGTAATATTCCCGCACATGAAGTTTCAGGTGACTGCAAAATACTTTGTCACGTGTACAATAGTCTCCCGCCCGAGGGTCGGTGGGATAGCGCGGCTGTTATCCCTGACTGACCACACACCCATATCTCAACGTAAAATAGAAATAAGTATACAGCAATATCAACAGCATAGATAGATAGATAGATAGTCTGTGTGTGGTTGAGCAGCGTAATGCGACAACACCACTATCATTATGATGAGTATCGGTGCCAGCATAGTTTTCCCCGAGGGAGACGTAATTATAATTATTCTGTTGATTATCTTCTCATCCACGTGACCCTACGTAACCCCTGGTTACGAGGCCCCTGGGATGTTTTTTATTGCTCAATCGAGCATCCGCAAATTCCAGCATTCTGCAGTTGGAGGAAAAAAAAAATACAAAAAAATTCGATTTCCATTTCTTTCTTTTGTCTGCTTTTTTTCTTACATTTTTCATTTCCCCATACATATTGTCCATCATTAGTATCACCAGTAATAAACCTCTATCAACAATGCAATTCGCCTACTCTGTTTTGTCTATCGCCGCCGTCGCCTTGGCCGCCACTACCGTCACCGAAGAGGTCTCTGTCACTGTCACCCCATCCGCCGAAGTTATCAGTGTTTACACCGACGCTTCTGGCCAAGAAGTCTCCACCGCCATTGCTACCTTAGCTTTGTCTGATGCCCAAAGTCAATACGGTGACCTCGCTGCTTCTAACATCGAAATCATCACCACTATTGGCCCATCCCACGCTGCCACTACCGTCACCACCACCACCGGTACCCACAAGTACGGTAGATTCGACAAGACCAAGGCATCTTCTGACACCACCAGCACTGGTACTCACAAGTACGGTAGATTCGACAAGACCAAGGCATCTTCTGAATCCACCAGTACTGGTACCCACAAGTACGGTAGATTCGACAAGACTGCCGAAGGTACTGCTACTGCCGTCCAAAAGGATGCCACTGCTAACCAAGCCAACAAGAACTACAACGGTATGGGTCTCGGTGCTGCTGCCCTTGTTGGTGCTTTGTTAGCTTACTAAATTCAATAATAAGAAAATTCCCCTCATTGTCCTTTTTGGTTCTATTACTGAAGTCATTGAGAGTTGACAAAAAAAAAATACCTCACTTTTTTTTTTTTTTTTATTTTCTTTGGTTGAATTGGAAACGGTCAATTTATTCAATCATTTCCCTCATACACTTCTTCAATTTCTCTAATACCAGTATTTTTAATCTTAATATTTCCAGGTTCACTCCATCAAATCCGTTGTTGTTGCTGCTGTGTTGATTACTCAAACAATCAAAAAGACTTGTTGAAAAAGCCGCAGTTTTTTTCTCCATTTTCCACCAACTCTACAACAAAACTACCTCATCATCATCTACAATATTCTTTTACAATCTTCTCGAATCCTTTTTCATCTTATTGTTTGCTCACTTTGTTTTTGTTTTCTTTTTTCCAGTTCTTCTCTGGTTAAGGATCTATATATTCTCTTTTTACATGATTCTGTGTACCTCATCTTTTTTTTCTTTTTTATTCCCAAAAAAATTATTATCACTATAATAATATCAAAGATTTAACAAAAATTATCTTTTAGAGTGTAACCTCGGACAATTTCTTGTACACTATTATCCGTAATTATTTACAATCACCAGTTAACCATGGATTCCGCCAGTTTTGGCTTTATCGTGTCCGTTTTAGGGATATCGGGGGTGTGCAAAGTCACTGATAAAACAAAAAAAAATAATCTTTCCACCCCATGTTTTGAAAAAAAAAATCACGCAGGGGAAGACAATTAATTGGGGGGGGGTCAGACTGTGAAATATGATGTTTGATTGTATTTCTCATCGAATAGAGAGCTGGTATATTTTTTTTTTTCACAAATACCCGTATTACTAATGGCTAGTCTTACATTTATCTTGGTTACGCAACCAAACTAGGGAATTCAAAAAGCATTATTGGTGTATTCATCCACATATGACGTGTGTTGTTTGATGAAAAAAAAAAAAAAAAAAAGAAAAAGAAAAAGAAAAGTCACGTTTATAATATACACCATATATACGGGACTTACTGCATGCGGAATTCCTCGGAGTTTTTCGTGATGCCCGATGCTTTCCGCCGTATACCACTGAGTGAATCCACCTTCACTTCGCTAGATATTATGTTGACTAAGCTATACCAGATTCCAGATTGTTATGATTTGAGGTGCAAAATGAAAGATATATTGGTGTAGTCTTTCGTTTATTGAAAACTCAGGTCTTGGCTTATAAGCCTGTTATCGGATAAGCGGTAACGCCCTTCCCGACACCGCTGCTGCATTATCTCCCAGCATGCATTTTAAATGATCCACGATTCTGGTATTCTGACACCTCGGAGAATGAAATATAATATTACAACTCAAATAACTTATCACAAATACCTGCATTTTGTTGTGCAAAATATTCTTATAAATAATATATAAAGGTTAAATACTGATTCCTAGACAGCTTGAGAGGCCATCGAAAGTTCGTCTTCTTTTGCTGGGACTTCAAAATTCGTCATCGCGAAAAAGGAAAATACCAAGGTGAAAGTAGAACATATGGACATCATCAATGACATGAAAAGATAGTACTTATAATCGCCAAAGTACAACAAATATTTGGGATTGTTCTCAACGTCTTTGGAAATGAATTTGGTCGACTGGTCTGTGGAAATCATCGCCTTGTGGAATGAGACAATTAAGGAATAGATGATCTGAACAATTACGAAAACAATCGTGAGGAACAACAACACAGATGCATTAGAACTTTGGGTTTTAAGCCGAACGAGACTCAAAAAGATGAGTACTGTCACTGCCAAAAACAAAAAACCTCCGATTTTCATCAATAAGTAAGAGGTGTCGGCATTACCGTTAGATAAAATTGAAGAGCCTGCTGTGTAAGTGGCCATTCCTGCGAGAAGTAGCGTGGATAAGAGTCTACTTTCTGCAGAAATTTTGAGGTCGGATCCTGATATGGCGTGAATCATTTCAAAGCCACTGTAAACAACTTGAATCAAAAATCCAATGGCAGCAGAATCAAAGACGTAGCAAATGATGTAAATCGTAGAATTGAATTTACTCAAATGCATGAATACCAAGCCAAGAATAGCACCAGCAACTTGCAAAATCTCGTAAACAAGGATGAACGCGACCTTAGTATTCCCTTTATAATATGTGAGTTGCGTTTTTCTGGCTCCCATCAACACCATTGTCAATACCAAAGAGACACTGAATACGAATAATTGAACGTAGTTAACAATGTTCCATTGCTGGCGATACTCAAAATATTGCCCCATAATTGATGCTGAAATGATATATATATGATTATTGACACAACTAATACTATTGCAAAAAAAATAATAAATAAATAGCAGGATATAACTCCTGGTTATATATTTTACAAGTATAAGGCTCAACCACCATACCCACATGTTTGGTTCCCGTCTTCTGGGATCGGATACGCCATAAGCACAGCCTGCTGGTATAATTCTGCAGGTTGTCGGGGCAAAAAAACAGAGGCCCCGCCAGACTTTACCAGATTATTGAGCCAAACTCCCCTAAGTCCGCAAAAAACAAAATGCCGATCAGAATAGGTGGGGGGAAACCAATTTCTTTTCATCTTTTGGACCAAAGACGCCCATTTTTTGGCGATTAAATTAAACTTGTCATGAGAACAGAGATCAACATGTAATATCAACGGCCTGTCGAAACTTCTAGTCAGAACATGCCACTCTGGTGGTATTCAATTGACTATTGATGAATGGACAACGGGAACCACAACTTACAAGCAATCTTTGATAGCACATGTTCTATGAAATACCTTTATGTTGAATTACAAAAGGTTGTCACTGGTCGCATTCGCTTGAGCCTGTTTCTGACACATAGACACCAATGACCCCAGAGATCTAGTTCGCTTACCGCTCATCACAATTCCCAGTTTAAATCTTGTTTTTTATCCTCCATTAATGTGAGCACCCATAATACCATTGCAGGCCTCGTAAAAACCTTTCTGATCACTTTTGATTTACGTAACTTGTTCGCAGCCCCGACCATCATCTTCAAAAATTTTTTTTTTTTTTACGAGTTTTTTTTTTTTTGATTTACAAACAGCAGTCTCTCCTTATTCAGCTTTATACATCACCAACTGGAAGATTAGGAAGAAGTTTTCTCCCCCTTTCACTCTCTAGTTAGGAAGTCGATATAATAGTCAGTGAATATACCAATAGAACTCTCGTTGTCAAGCTCTATTGAAGAAATAGTTACATGTTATCGTTTATAGAATCATTACTCGATTACATCAAAATTGATTTGGCCAAACACTATTCATCATCGTTTACCCCTGATAACTTTCAATTTTTCTTAGTTATTGGTGCGTCTCTATTCTTTCTTTATACCCCGACAAAATTCCTCCTTTACGCGGTTCAAAAACCAACAAAACGGAAAGATAGACGAAACTACCTGAGATATTTAACAAGATTTGCCAACACTATCTTCAACGCACTCGATTACTTGAAGGAAAATTACCTAATGTCCATGTACTCCAAACGCACAAAGTCCTTTCAGAAGCTGAATTTAAGAATACTCGGGAAACATGCTATGAAACATGGAGGCAATGTTGGAGGGTTGATAAATGATGGTAACACATGCTTTATGAATTGTGTAATACAGAGCTTGGCCTCATCCAATGATTTTGTCGAATATCTTGATGAAAGAGTACGTTGTATCAGTGATAATTACACCGAGACTAGCCAAAATGATACGCCAACAGCTAATGAAGAAAGTAATGACTCTGACAATAATACCGATGAAAAATCAAGTGCTTCTGGCTCGTTGTTCAACCGTTTAGGATTATCATCATCTTCCAACTCCTTGTCTGAGGAGAAAAAGAAACATTTCATCTACTCTTTGAGTATGATGTTAACAAAGTTGAATTCGAAGCACGGGAATACCAATTCTGATTATAACCTCGCACCTCTTGCCAAGAAAATGTCCAACGGTTTTGAAAAGCACAGTTTCTTAGGGTATAATCAAGAAGATGCCCAGGAGTTTTTCCAATTAGTTCTATCTAATATAGAAAAAGATTCTAAGACAATCACTCCAGAAACAAGTGATAATAAGGAGAAAACTGTTAGCCTTACAAGAGATGATTTGGACAAACTTAACAGTAATGTCGATGGGCTTCTGAACTTTTATATTCCCGCAATCCAAATAGATCCATCATTAGAAAATGTCGATCAAACGGCTTTCAAGTATAAGTTTTTGACCCCGGCAGATGGTTTGACTGTCGAAAGAATCGGTTGTTTGAAATGTGGTGAGACCGGTGGATTACGTTATTCCGTCAGCAGCGGTCTTAGTTTGTCGCTTCCAGAAAACTCTTCTTACAAGTCCATAGAATTGGATTCTTTATTGTCTAACTATATTAGTGAAGAGATTATTGAAGGAGTGGAGTGCGACCGTTGCAGTCTTGAATACGTGGTTGAGTTTCTTACTAAAGAATTGGAATCTGAAAATACTCCAGAATTTTTAAAGACCAAATATCTCGAAAGAATCGACGCTATTAAAAAAGAATTAGCCAAACCTATCATCAGCGATGAAGTGGCAAAAATTAATAAAAGTAAAAACATTAGAGAAAAGGGGAAAAAATCTAAGCAGGCCTACATTTCTAAACCTTCTGCTTACTTGTCTTTGCATATTAATAGATCTGTGTTTGATTATTCTACTGGATACATTAGGAAGAATAATTGCTCTATTGATTTCCCAACAAAGTTAGATTTGAACAAATATGTTGCCAGCTACGATGATGTCAACCTTGATGCTAGACTATCAATGAGAAAGCAAGACGATTTGATAAAGGCGAAATATGAAGCTATGGGGCATAAACTAGTCGGCGAAGATTTGGATGATGTGCACAGTCCAAGCGCTACCGAAAGTTTGAAAAGTAGTGAAAGTGAAATTTTTGAAGAAACTACCGGAATAGCTGATTCAGTATCTGATATCGAAGACATCAAAGTTGATGATGAGGCAAAGCAAATGAAACAAGGATCCAATAATAGTAATCCTTCCAGCTCCTCAAAAATTGAAGAGTTGGAACAGCAGATATCCAGTTTCTATAAACCCGAGCTTGTTTACAATTTGAAAGCGGTTATCGTGCACTATGGAACACATAATTATGGTCATTATATTGCTTTCCGTAAATATCGTGGCACTTGGTGGCGCATATCTGATGAAACCGTTGAAGTTGTTGATGAGCAACAAGTTTTATCAACTCCAGGGGTGTTTATGTTATTTTATGAAAAGCCGAATGAGAAAGATTCACAATACGAATTTGACTTAGAATCTCTTGACAATGATGACCCAGAGTCGCATTTGGATGTGGAAATTGACCCTCAAGCTTTGCAAAGAGTTAAATTGGATGGACCAAGTGATACCAGCAGCTGCGAAAGTGACAGTGATAGTGACAATGATAGTGACAATGATAGTGAAAGTGATGACGAGATTACCGAGGCAGAAAAACTTGAAGCAGAAAAAGAGCAAAGCATGGCGATTGCCACTATTGGAATCTGATTTTCTTTTCTTGTCTTTTCTAATATTATTTATTTTTTCTAATACTTATTATGGTTACATTTTGGTCAAATATTTCACCTAAATTGAATTAAACTCCAAGAAACTCGTTCAAGAATATTTTAGTTTTTTCATATCGATATTTTTTGTAGTTTGTAACTCCATCGATGTTTGGAAATGTTTTTATCTAAGGTAGAATCTTTCTAATAAGATGAATGATAAGAGACAGAATGGGTCTGTTCCTTACAACTCAAAGTAATAGGCAATATTTGTTTCATATTTCTAAATCTTATTGGTATGATTTCAGTTGGGTCAAACAGAGAGAAGTGTGATGGCCTACGATATCAGCGATAGAAGAAATACCTCAGTAGGAAGAATTGATACAAAATTGGAATGGGAGAAAATCAAAGAAACATGAATATTTCATATATTTATGAAAATCACAAGATAAATAGAAAAGGCACATATGGGCAAAGACATAAAGACAAGCAAAAAGAGCATAAAAAGAAAAAGCAACAAGCATAAAAGGATGATTTGACATTGATATCCTGTTTATATATAACCTTCAAGATAGCTAGGATCTTTTCTAAATAATTTTCTGCCAATTCAAACATATCTTCTCTGTGTGATGAAACGAGAAAAAAAAAAGAACAAACAATATTTCCAAAAATGAACAATAAACAAAAGACTAAATGACAATGAATAAAAGAATTAATGAGATGAAAAAATGCAAACACAATATATCAAATGAATATGGAGGTCAAGATGTGTGCACCAGGAAAAAACTAAAAAAAAACACGGATGGTTTCTGTCAAGAATGACCTTCGAACAACTGAACGAAATATTGGATATCATATGAGAGTATAATAAGTAAATGCAAGGTATTAAAACAAATTCAAAAAGAAAAAAAAAAATTAGTTCAAAAAAGAGAGATGATAAAAAGGATGCCGGCATAGAAAAGACAGATATGATGTTTCATCAGATATCATTCATTATTTATTGTTTATTGTTTTTCCAAGAACCCTTGAACATATGCTTGACAAAAGCCATGATATTCCCAACATCTTTTGAACCCATCTGTCCCACCCCTGGGGAAAAGCTGGTGATTGGCAAAATCAACACATCGTCGATGGCAATCATTTCCTCCATACCAGTGAACAACTTCCAATTAATTTTCTTCTTGTTTTCAATGGCATCCAATTTCGAGTCGGCCAAGCCGTTTTGTGGTGGTTTTTCTTGGACGTTGTCATTAATTATTTGGATTTTTGGATTGTGATTGGAAATGTTATTCAAATAATTGAAGATTTCGTCAGTGAAAATCCCTGGGCCAGTCCAATTCATAATATCTGCACCTTCATCTTTGCCGTTGGCAAGTTTGATGGTGGAATTCTCATCTCTATCCAAAGTGATTTCCGTGATTTTTGTGATCAAGTTACCCAACAATGGATGTCCCTTTTTCGCTTGAATGGTCCATTGGCAGAATTGGATACGACGCGCGTACCAATCAGCCCAATCAGGACGATCTGGATCAGCCTCAATGCCGATCATTATCCCCACATCCTTTGGTTCGATATTTTTGTGGTTTTGGAAAAATTCATAGTTCGAGGAAAAACTTGGCCAGTTGCCAATGCCTTTGAGACCAAAAGTGTCAACGTCGCTATATACTCCGCCTCTGGCAAAAAGAATTAGATAACGGAAAAAATCGGCTTTTAGGATCGAATGAGGCATCAATTCATAGGCGTTGATCACATCAGGCACTGATTGATAAAGAGTACGAATCAATTCATGACAGGCAGCATCAGGTAATAATTTGTGAGTGAATTGAGGGTTAGAAGTTTTCCATTCGGTGACATAATGTTTGAAACTAGGAGGGAAGGTTTTATCATCGATGTCGGTTTTCCAGGTTTGCCAAATGTATTTTGGCATTGGTTTCAATGGCTCATAAGGAAATTGAAACGCCAACTGTTGTCTAAGCGAGGCATCTTTTGGTAATTCATTTGGAGTATTTGGGTTTTCAAGGTCATTTGTTTGGCCATGGGTTTTCAAATTGATTTCATCGGTAGGTTTATTGAATTTATATCGGAGGGAGAATACTCCTGAGGGGTCGTTTGAGTTTGTGTAATTGATGATGGAGAATAATCCATAAAGAGCAACCACCACTAAAAGACCAATACGTAGACGTTTTGACATGATTTAAGGGATCTTATATTTAGCCAAGAATCGTTTTAAATGTGGAAGGACAACAAGAAAAGAAAACTAGAGGAGAGAAAATGGAGGAAAACTGGATCCTAGTATTATTATTATTATTAATATATGCTATCTTTTCTAGTTGATTTTTCCTTTTTTTCTTTTTTCTTTTTGTGGGTAAATCAGGGAATGATTGAGAATAGGGAAATGAATGTTGATATATATATACATATAGCTAACCTGGAGACTTTTGATAGTGGGTGTTTTTTTGGAAAGTTTCCTTTAGGTACGGGCTCTGGCACGTGACGTGTCAATAGGAAACGGTCTAGACAGGTCTTTTTTTCTGTGCTGTCGCAGAAAAGGGCGGAGTATTTGCAGCGCACACAAAGGGACGATGTTTGCTACAACAGTGATAATATAGTACAGTACTGCTACTACGCGGTGGTGCTCAACAACAATTGTTGATACAAGAACAACAGCAACAACAATAATGTTGGGATGTGATGTGTGAGTTACCAGAATCACCCAGATTAGCAGGATTGCTCAAGACAACTCTCCCATCGAACTGATCATTGGTAGAACTCATTAATTACAACAACATGATGATGAGTCTGGGAGTCGATCAAGATATTTTTTTCTGCTACGACGAATTAACGAAGTTAAAGGGTTTAGCATTACTCCCTTATAGATAAATCCTTCATGCTTAGCGGAAGCTCGTAACGCTGTCTTCCTGACTTGCTCTTGATCATACCGTTGCCAGTAGTACTCAGGAATAATAATATATGACAAGCAGTTCAGGAGTGGTACCACACGTACTTAGAATGATTCCAAGGGGGTCGCTGTTTATTTATTCAGCTGTTTATTTCTCGGTTACCCTCTGCATCGTTAGGCGCCTGTCACAGTACGTTCAAAATTTGGAACCGTTGCAAATGACGAGAACAATCGCCATTTTTATATTGTTTTACTGGGTGTATTGAGAAACTGGATTTGCGTGGTGCCCCCCACTGTAGGGGTGCTATGTTACGGTGAGTCTCAGATTATATGATGGTTGGCCGTTTGTTACTCCCCCCCCCCACGTTGCACCAAAACACGCCAACCAACAAAGAAAAAAAGGGAAAAAAAAAAGAGTTGGAGCCATCCCCACGCCCCTTCCCAATTGGGAAACCAGTCGATCGAGACATCAACACTGAACCCTTTGAAATGGTAATAATAATGGCTATCGATTTACAACTATTATTTCTATTTATACCAACAGTGATGATTATTGTTACCTGTTCATCAGAATTAATCGCGTATTGTAACTCAAGTTTCCCCCAGTAAATAGCTACATGACCCTCGTGTGCTTGGCCCCAATGTGAAAATATCACATCAGGCCGCCTAGGCGGAAGCTTCTTCGCCAACCGCTTCCAAATAAATTGCCGTGTGCAAAACGTTTCTTCTTGTTCTATCGTAACAACATATCATATCATATCATTCTCAGTCACAAGAACCCATCGCTGAGTGACCAACCAAAAACAACATCTTAACTATAGAACCAACAAATCACTGAAAAAAAAAAACATGGATCCATGCCACTAACATATCCATCCCCTCCACCATATGGCAAAAAGATATCCAGCTATCCCCCCCAACCAGGTTAACTTATCATCCCATCCAATTACCAGCGATATGTCACCTGTACCAACGGTCACACGTGACAAGCCAAACAATTATACTGGCGACCCGAGGCAGGCTGCAGCACCAGCAGGGCAAGGTGTGTGTGTGCTACTGCCTTATCGGGCAACCCACGTTCATTCATCTGCGGCTTGTCACTTCACAGTCCAATGTTATACCAATCCACAACCTATTTAATAATCTCGGTTCCCTTGATTTCCTAATGCATTGTACACTCTTCCTTTTCTTCTTTATCCATCTACTATCCTTATTCACTCTTCCCTGCTTGGATACTCATCAATATAAAAAGCATCATGGCTGAAGAAAACCAACAGGCTATCAAGGAAAACTTGACCTCCGGTGGTAATGCTGCTTTCCACAATTTCGTCAACGATTTTGCCCATGTCACCGATCCTCTCGAAAGAAGAAGATTGGCTTTGGAAAAAATTGATAACGCCAGCTTTGGTTGGTACCACATCAGAGCCATCTGTGTTGCCGGTGTTGGTTTCCTTACCGATTCTTATGATATCTTTGCCATCAACATGGGTCTTACCGCTATGGTTTACGTTTATTGGGACAACAAGATTCCTGCATCAACCAGCACTTTGATTAAGGTTTCTACTTCCGTTGGTACTGTTATTGGTCAACTTCTCTTTGGTTATCTTGGTGACGCTGTCGGTCGTAAGAAGATTTACGGTACCGAATTGATTGTTATGATTTCTGCTTGTGTTATCCAATGTTGTCTTGGTGAATCTCCTGCTATTAACTTTGCTGCCATCTTTACCTTCTTCAGAATCATTATGGGTATTGGTATTGGTGGTGATTATCCTTTGTCTTCTGTCATTACCTCTGAATTCGCCACTACTAAATGGAGAGGTGCCATCATGGGTGCTGTCTTTGCTAATCAAGGGTGGGGTCAATTGTTTGCCGGTATTGTTGCTATCATTTCTATTGCCGGGTACAAGGACGCTTTGATTAACGCCAACTCTGCCGCCGAATGTGACCACCACTGTATGCGTGCTCTTGACACTATCTGGAGATTGATTATCGGTTTCGGTTGTGTTCCAGGTGTCATTGCTTTGTACTTCAGATTGACTATTCCAGAATCCCCTCGTTACACTTTTGACGTCACCAACAACATTAACACCGCCGCCGCCGATGCTGCTCACTTCACCAGCGGTAAATATGGTAATGCTAAAACCGAAGAAATTGAAGAATTGAACGCTACTGCTACCCAACCAGAAGTCATTGTTTCTATTCCAAAGGCCTCTTTCAAGGATTTCATCTCCCACTTCAGTCAATGGAAGCACGGTAAGATCTTGTTGGGTACTGCTGGTTCTTGGTTCATGTTGGATGTCGCTTATTACGGTCTTGGTTTGAATTCCGCCACCATTTTGCAAACTATTGGTTTCGCCTCCTCTAAAAACATCTATCATCAACTATACAACTCCGCTGCTGGTAACTTGGTTTTGATCTGTGCCGGTTCTATCCCAGGTTACTGGTTCTCTGTCGCCACCGTCGACACTGTCGGCCGTAAATCCATCCAACTTATGGGTTTCATCATGTTGACCATCATTTTCTGTATTATCGGTTTTGCTTACCACAAGCTCCACGAAAAGGGTCTCCTTGCTTTCTATATTATTGCTCAATTTTTCCAAAACTTTGGTCCAAACACCACCACTTTTATCATTCCTGGTGAATGTTTCCCAACCAGATACAGATCTACTGCCCATGGTATCAGTGCTGCCTCTGGTAAGGTTGGTGCCATCATTGCCCAAACTTGTATCGGTACTCTTATTAACCACGGTTGTTCCAAGGAAGACAAGAACTGTTTCTTGCCACACGTCATGGAAATCTTTGCCTTGTTCATGTTGTTGGGTATCTTCACCACCTTGTTAGTTCCAGAAACCAAGCGTAAGACCTTGGAAGATTTGTCTGAAGAACTTCACGGTGAAGTTGACCCATCCAAGCAAGCTCTTCAAAACAACTATGGGAGTGACAACTCTGAAAAAGCCGCTTAATTGAACCATAAATATACCCAACAAGAGGCATTTCTCACCATCTTGGAATGGTTTTAGTACTGGCTTGCAGAAGTTTTTATATATTTCATTAGTTTGAAGTCCAGTTTTTTTTATTCTTATTATTTATATATTTTTTTTTAGATCTTTCTGTTTGTTGTTTTCGACTTTTTTATTTTAATTTTTTTTATTCAGTTAGTTTTTTTAAGTTATTGCGTAATATAGTTTTTTCTTGGTTTGTTGTTTGATCGTATTCTATAAATTAGGAGTTTGGAGGTCTTGTCACATTACTTCTTAGTTGCTATTTAATTTGTTATTAATTTTATATAGTGCTCTTTTCATCAATTATTTTCAATTAGTAGCAAAATATTGATGTAAATAAATAAATACGCCCCTGCGACGTATTTATATGCAGCTTTTGGTCACATTATTCTGGAGAATCATGGAGTCTTGCTTATAATATTAACCAAAATTTGATCGTCAGTCAATAAATCAGATTTTTACATTTTTTTTTGTTTGTATGTATTCCTCACAAAATTGTTTCAACTTTATAAAGGAAAAAACTACACTCAGAAATAGTCATATAGCTGATGTTCTCCACCATGAAAGAAAATCACCATCAATTAGAAAACAATATTATATAAGTAAGCGTAATGGAAAAACCAAATCCTAAGTTGGAAAATTAAGTAAGGGTGCTATCGCTTGTGAACTGCTATCACAATTTTGCTTCCTGTTGGCTTTGCTGCCAGTTGAATGCCACCTTCTTTTGTTCACCCGGTTCAATGATCACATTGATCAAGTTCACTTTGACCTTATTGATCCCAAAACATTCATTCAATGCGCCATCCAATTCAGCAAGAGTGTTGACAAAGTAACCCTTTGCTCCTAAAGATTCCGCCATAAGGTCATATCTTGTATCTTTGGATAATTCAATAGGCTTTTTGACATCTGCCAGCGTCTCGACATTCCCATGATAAATACCGCTGTTGTTCATTACCACAATTATCATTGGCAAGTTATAACGTACCGCAGTTTCAATCTCCATGCCAGAAAACCCAAATGCCGAATCACCTTCGATCGCCAACACATGGCACCAAGGTTTGGCAAGTTTGGAGGCAATACAATAACCCAATCCTACTCCCATGGTAGAGTTGGTGCCAGCATCAAGACGGTGTTTGGCAACGGTAATCGGGAACGACACTCGGGAAATATCCATAGTGTTGGCCCCTTCAGACACCAAAATGGTCGAGTCTTGGAGTTTCCTGGTTATTAAAAACTCCCTCATTGCTCTATACACAACATGGTAGTTTAAATACCCATTCTTCATAGAAGCGACATCTTCCTTGAGGGCCACCAACCTGTTGTTGGTGTGAATTTTTGTGACAATCGCTTCAGGGATAGGTCCAAATTTGTAGTCTTGTAAACCAGTATCATCGAGCAATTGCTTCGCGATCTTCTTGATATCTCCCAACAATCCTAGCCCCATGTTTCCCAAATTTTGGTAGTTTTCACCAATTTCCTCGGCGTGGTTGTTCACTTGGATCAATTTTACACGAGGACTGAACTTCCTAGAGCTACCAAAATGTAAAATCCAATTGAGTCTTGCCCCAAATACCAAAACCACATCAGCCATCTTCAATGCCATAGATCTTGCCGATGATACATTATACTGGCAATAGTCACTGACTACCCCTTTCCCCATCGGGGTGGCAATGAATGGCAATTGATGCTTTTCAATAAACTTCGACAATTCTTTTGATGCATCACCATAAGCAGCACCTTTACCAATAATCACCAATGGGAACTTCGCTGTCTTAATAGCAGCCACCACATCTCTCAACTTGTTGGGATCACCAAGCGATTTTGGAACCTCTTGGAAGAACTCCCCCATTTCCTCAAGATCTTGGTGATGATCCATTTTCTTTTGGATTAAATCCCCTGGGAAATCAATGTAGCTACAACCTGGCTGACCAAACATCGCGTACCGGTAGGCTTTAGTCATCAACCTCCCAATGTCTTCTCCGCCATTGGGACGGGCTTGGAACTTTGTGAATTGTTTCACAACTGCAAGCTGGTCAAGCTCTTGGAACCCACCCTTATATCTAGTACTGTTATCCACAGACCCACCAAGGATCATCAAAGGCCAACAATTGATCTGAGAATTGAAAATCCCCGCCATGGCGTGGATGATCCCCGGACCTCCCACCACCAATAGCACTCCCGGACGACCAGTTAAATAACCATACACCGAGGCAGCGTACGACGCTGCTTGTTCATTTCGAAACCCTATAAATTTAATACCTTTAGCTTGAGTGGCTTCAGCAATCTACTAAATCAACCAGCGATAATGTTAGTAAGTCATGAATAGAGAAGAGGTAAAAAGTAATATTTTCTACTTTCTTCAATAACCGGGATTCCCACAAGCCCAAATACAACCTCCACTCCAAGGTTCTTGAGGGATTGGGCGATAACTTCTGCTCCAGTACTCATTAATGCTGGTATAAAATATAAATAATAAAAAGACAACCAACTGGTATTATTATTACAGAACAAAATTGATGTTTTCCTTAGGGCATATCTTGCGGGTAATCTGCGATGTTGACATGACCAAGTTGGACTGACTAGTCCTCAAAATTAGACATTAGAAAACAGGAATCATACTGAATGCTTTTTTTTCTTTTTTTTTTTTTTGAAAATAACATATATGTTATTGTTTATAGACGAACATTGAAAACCTTTCAAACAGTTTGTTGATTTAATGAGTGATTGCCTAAAACGACAACGTATTGAATGAATTTAAAGTGGCATCACAAGATAAAAGAGGACAGATGGAATAAAACAAGCAAAGAAAATAATAAGGTCACAATAAAATGACAAAATTGAAAAATCATCGTACAGGATAAAGGGGGTTCCAAAGAAAATAGGAGGTATAAAAGGATTAAAGAAAGATTAATAAATAGTATAAGGGGAATAATATTTAACAATAAAAAATTGAAAGGAGAAAACTGGAGAAAAACTGCAGGGGAAAAATATGAGGGGAAGTAATGAAATAATTAATAATAATAAATGTGAAATGAGGAGGTGGTTGCATATAGGGAAACCAATGATAAAATGAGGACAAGTTAAAAGTGCAAAAAAAAAAAAAGAAAAAATTCATCACAAGTAAAATATTAATAATAATAAAATGTAGGGAAGAAAATGTGTTTACAAATAAAATCAGGGAGAAAAAAAAAACATAAAAAGGGAAGACAATCAAAAAGCTAGAAAATAAAAAAAACATCTTTAGTGAAGGCGTATGCAGAGAAATAGAGAGTTCTTAACAAAGATCAATAAGGAAAAAAGACTATCAGAAAATTTGAGTAAAAAGTAGTTACAACTCTTTAGAATTCAGAATTGGAAACCACCTTGTGGTTGATCGGCTTGAGCACCGAACGCAAAAGTAGCACCGTTATCAGCAGGGTTGAGTTCTTCATCATTGGCACCGTCATCATCTTCATCATTGAAATATTTATCAATAATATTATAGGATTTTTCATAGATTTTTTGGTTTTCATTTCTTTGACATTCAAAGATCTTATCCATACCACCAGCTTCTTCAATAAAGATAGCATTTTCATTGACAGTAGCGCCTCTAAGTTCTCTTTCAATTTCACCCATCTTCAAAATGTTTTCTAAGGCATCCAAGGCAACTTCTATAATTTTGTTTTCACCAATAACCAATAAGTCACACAATGGTTTGATACAGCCTTGCTGAACCAAATATCTTATTTGTTCAGGTTTAGTTAAACCGCCAGAAGAGGCATTGCTAATAGCCCAACAAGCTTCCTTCTTGGTCTTATATTCACCAGATTCCAAAATTTTGATCAAAGGTGGGATCAAGTTGCTATCAATAACAGCTTGAATTTGATCGGTATTACCGGCAGTAATATTGGAAATAGTCCAGCAAGCTTCTTTTCTGATGGATTCTTTTGGATTACTCAACAAAGGAGCCAAAGCAGTCAAAACGCCAGCATTGATGACGTACTGGGTTTGGCTATCATTACCAGTAACAATATTACCAACGGCTCTTAACGCAGGGGTCTTGACTAAATTGGATTCGTGACCTAACAATTCCACCAATCTTCTTGGAATTCTGGCGTCAATCACAGCTTGAATTGCCTCAGCTGGACCATCAGATAAATAACTAATAGCCCAACAGGCATCAATCAAGGTCTCTGTGTCTGTAGAATAAATCAATTTGGACAAGGTTGGCAAGGCTGGGCTCACAACTTCCCAATCTGGTTGAGGGGTCTTACCTCTACACAAGTTGGATAAGGTCCAGGTAGCAGTTCTAATCAAAGACATTTTAGGGGAGCCAAACAAAGATAAAGTTGGAGGCATAGCGTTACAGTTTAGGACATAATCTCTGTAAACAGAACTGTCACCAGCAATATTACCGAGGGCCCAAATAGCTTGTTCCTTGACTTCGATGGATTGGGAGTACAATAACTGAACAAAATGTGGAACAGCTCCAGCCTGAACGACAACCTTGGTTTGTTCAGAAGTACCAGAAGCAATGTTTGTCAAAGCCCAAGCGGCTTCCAATTGCAACAATTCTGGCTGTTCTTGACCCATGAAATTGATCAAAACTGGAACCACCCCAGTGTTGATAACCAAGTCAATTGGTGGGTTGTGTTCTCTGGATAATATTTGTCTGAATTTAATAGTGGCATGCAATTGAGAATCAAAATCACCGGAATTGAGCTCTTCCATCATTTTTGGCAATTCGAATTCAAGCTAAAAAGATAAACAGTTAGTTTAATTACTTCTTTTAAAAAGTATGGCAAATAAAAAAGGAAGATCAGCGCAAATATCATTTTTTTCCCGAGTATTCGAACATTCTAATGGTATTTATTCTTAATCATCCTTAGAAAGATAATATCTTCAAAAAAAAAAGGGTACTTACGTGTTGCAAGAAATTTTGATCATCATCACTGTGTTCATCATCTGAGTCGTCATTCAAGTTGACGGCATCAAGATTTCTTCTCTTGGCCAATACATCATCTCTTTTTTGTTTTCTGAGCCCAATTTGTTGGGTTTCTCTTCTTCTTCTCAATTCATCGGCAGTGAATCTTGACTTGTTTTTGAAATTGGTACGACGATGTTCAGGCACAAACTTGGTGGTAGCGTCAGCGTCCATGGTAGGCAACGAAAAACTTTCAAATTATCGATGGGAAAGACAAGTAGCGATATACGGTGTCTGGGGTCAGTGAATATTAGAAAGTGAAAGTTCTTGGATTTTATAAATCTTTGAACTTCTTGTGGTTGACTATAATTTGGACTACAATCCTTTTGCCATCATCAAAGAAGTAAGAGGAAAAAAAAAAAAAAATAGTAGGAAAATTTTGGGGAGAATAAAAATATTGTCACGTGCTCATAGAAGAATTAGTAGGAGATGGAGACCGGGTAAACCGTGTGTGCGAGATGCCATTTTTTTTCTTCTTCTTCTTCTTCTTGTACTTCTCGTGGTGATATATCGATGTACGTCTGAACAATAGCGAGTAAGATTTTGGATTAGACATTGCCGGCATGCTAGCAGCATTTAAAAGATCTTTCTCCTCTAAAGGTCCTTCGAGGATTTCCAGCACCCTTAGAGTTTCGCAGCAGGAAAAAGAGCCTGAATTGCCCGTTGCAAAATCATCGGCCTATGCCAAAACCCAAGACATCGCTAATGACCGCCGAGCATATGTTCGTCTCCCTGGGGTGTTCTTCTCTGCTCCAATGCCAGATAACTACAGGCTAGGATATTTCCCAATCTATACTGCTCCAGGTTTGTCCTACGTATCACTTGTTAAGCGTGTTACTCTAGGGTTATCAGTTGTCGGGACCTATGCTGCTTACATGATTGATTCTGGGCTGTATTTGAGTTTTGAGGCCGCGGCAATTATTGGAGCACTCTCAGTGCTCCCTTTACCTATTGTGCAATACTTTACCAAAGATTATGTGACGCGAATTTACAGATTATATAATACCGACCAGACTCCTCAAACTTATGAGAATTTGACCAAGGATGAAACGTTGGTTGTTGAAAAGATGATGATGGGAGGGAAAAGATGTTACAATGAGCTTGTAAAGATGGACAATTTAAAATTAAAGAAAACATGGTACGGTACGACAGTATGGCAGCATATTGATGATCAAGGAGTTGAAAGAACTTATACTGTAGCCGATGATATTGGTGGTATTAAAATGGATAGATTATGGGGTATTGCAGAAAAGAATACTGGAATAGATAACGGGAGATTGTTAATGGAGAAATAGGGGAAGGACACTTTGTACATATAATAAACCTTAATGTAATATACTTTTAATGATCCGTGGTTCTTTGCACTTTCCCTTGTAGTGTATATTCTGATTACTTTTATTTCAAAACTTATGTATGCGTTCTGAAACTGCAGCTATGGCAATGATTAAAAGAGACACAATTGAAAAAAAATAAATAACTCAGACGTACATTAGAATAACTAAAATGAAAAGATAAAAGTGAGAACTAACAATTTGCAGTAGCTTCCAGCATCAAACTTACACATCTCTAAACAATAAGTCAGCTGCGGCCTCTTCATTCTTATCACAAGCAAAATACACTTGAATTACAGTGTTTCTGTCAAATCCTAATTCACACAAGCGGTTTATAGCTTCTTGATCTCTTTCACTAATTTCTATTTGTATAGATCCTTCTTCTCCCTCATCAGCCTCATCACCAATAGCACCAGAAAAACCAGCAAGTGCATCTTCATCACCTCCTTCACCCATGATTAAACGGGCAAAGGCTTCTGGATCCTGTTGAATTAAACCGGCTAATTGTGGGTTGCTCAGAGCAATTTCGTTGAGGACGGTATCCATCATAGTTGGATCTTCGGCAAGCAATTCTCTCAAGCGAGAAAATTGTTCATTTCCGCCACCACCAGGAGCCCCACCTGCAGAATGTTGTTGGTTAGGCTGTTGGGAAATAGCGGCAGCTTGTTCAAACAAGTTTCCACTGTTTCCAGTGGAAACAGCAGCATCTTCTGTGGTACTTTCAGCAGCAGGAGCACTAGCTTCAGCTGATGGCGTAGGTCTTTCTAGACGTCTTCTGGCTGATTCTGGAATACCAGTTAACAAATACTCAACAGCACGATCTGGGTTATTGTAAGCAGCAAGAAGGGCTTGTTCCACTTGAGAGCGTTCATAGCCCATTTCGATAATATTGTTGATCATTGCCTCACGTTCTGAGCCGGCAGCAAAATCACCACTTGAGATTCCTGATGTATTTGTTGGAGCAGTTGTTGCAGGGGTTGATTCAGTGGCTGGCGCAGATTGTTCTGTAGTAGAGGTGGTGGTTGGACCTGAAGCTTCAACTGGAGCTGATTCAGTAGCGGCTGCTGGAGCTGGTTCGACAGCTTTTGCTTTGGCCTTTGACACCATATAGATCACTTGATCTTCATCCTTCAATTTGCACTCTTCAACAGTCTTGGCATCTTGTAAAACTCTTCCACTGAATACAAACTTGAGTCTTGAAGTTTCGACACCAAGCACTTCTCCAAGCTTTTCCTTTACGGTAGCAATCTGTATCACAATTGTTAGTATTTACTTGACCAAACAATTATTTTCAACAACCCATAAACAGCCAGAATTTAAGTAGGGAATGCCATATATTTGTTTTACGGCTCTTCGTATATTTTCATTTTCTTTAATTACCGACATCAACGATCCATCAACTTGATACAAGAAAAAAAAAATTAAGGAATGAAAAACACTATTCGGCAGATAGAAACATACGGTATCAGAAGGCTCCACATCCACAGGATGCTTCTTCTTTGAGAAATCCTTAAAAACAATTTGCATGATATTTGCAATTCTTCAATTATTGGTTTACTTGTTCAACCGATGGATGATGATTTGCAATTTTTGCCTCTTTTCCTTCCACTGTTTGCATGTCAGAATTTTTTTTTTTTGGGAGGGAAATTACCCGGTAAACTGCAACGCTCTTTTTGTTTACATCAATCAGCTATCATTACTCATTCCTAAGAATATTCTATGGCAAATGTTAAAATGTGTGTATAAAGCAAGGAAGGACGAGAGAATAACTAACAAAGTATTATTAAGTATGGGTGATATGAAGATTAAGAAAGAAAATGTGGAAAAATCTGTAGGAATTGACTGATGAGAACATGACATCGTCAAAAAAACTGTTTAAGAAAGGTGAATGAAAAACAAAGTATAACAGAAATTCAAGAAAATATCACTGAAGAAAATATTAGCATATCAGAATGAACTGATTCATTAATCAACAGCAACAACAGAAAAAAAAAAAAAAAAAAAACAGAGACATAAGAAAATCAAGAACTGAGAAGTGCCGAAAGTTGAAATTATGAAAGCATGATAATATAATGAATGCATGATTAGTGTGAAATGAAATGAGTATACCATCACAGTTTGAAAAGCAGATGATATCAAACAGAACAGCAAGAGAAAAAAAAAAAAAAAAAAAAAAAAAGAGGAGCCCAAAAAAGAAAAGAAAATACAATGCCAAGGATAAAAATATACGTTCTTGAGAAATTATAAGATCAAAAATCATTTTTCGGAAGTTGATCGAGACTGGTAGCTTAATGGCTTCTTGTTTCCCTGATGTTGCGCTCTGAAAGGCTGTGTTTTGTATGATCTAAAACATGAGTCGCGAAGAGAAAATATGACAGCAAAATAAAGGAAGCAAGAGAGCATCTGTGTCGTAGGCAAATTAAGGAGCAGCCCGGGAAGAATAACTAGTTATCAGTGAAATTAAGCTCAATGTCAACATTTGGCAAAATGATGTTAGAGTCTTTTCTATTACGGTTAAGTTTGCGGCCGCCAAGGAATTGATCCAAAATGTTGCCTTGAAGCCCCACAAGCTTCAACATCCCGTTTCGCGAATTATCATTAGTGGCAGAAGGTGTTCGACGATGAATATTTGCTTCGCTAGAATCAGCAATAACAAAGTAAGGGATCTCAGAGTCTTCATCTTTGATTGACAAATGCAAAACACGGCAAATCAGATTTCTGATCTTCACATAGTTACCATTTTGAAGCCACACATAAAGTTTGTATTCCAAATAAAAGATGAAAAGTACGAGGGCAGTACCAGCAACAACACATTCAAAGATATGACCAGCAAGACTTTTAATGAATTGAGCATCACCGCGATGCCAGGAATCACCTTTAGCGATCTTGAAGAATGAGTATGGATGCTTCTTGTAGTCATCTGGTTGGAGGATTCTAACCACACCGCCTTCAGGAACACCCCATCTCTTATAACGTTTCCAAATAACTGAAAGGAAAAGAGGACCAGTAGTGTACATGACGGTAATGTATGGTACAATGTAGTTATAATTGTATTTTTCCAAGTTGTCCAAAACTTTTTGGAAAAATGGATGACGGGGAACACTACCCATGACATCGTTAGATATCCCTGATGGCGCGGTTTTTCTAACAAACGCAGGAACTGTGAGCAAAGGATCCAATTTACGTTGGCAACCATCGTCAAGATCGATATAGATACCACCAAAATGGTTGAGGATAAAATAACGGATGGAATCCGCTCTTTGGATTGGGAATTTGTAGCCGTCAAAAGTTTTGAGGAACCAAGGATAATTATCAGCGATGAACTCTCTTGCCATTTCATCTGTCCATAAAATATATTGATAATCTGGGTGCAAGTCAATACAACTCTGTTGACCCTCCTTCCATTTTTCAGGGATGTCAGCGGTCTTATAGGTTTGATGGATGATTTTTGGGATTAATTCGAGTTTGGCAGTGCCTTCTGGGGGATTAACGTCGACACTTGATAGCGAGTCTTGGAAAGTATCATCGTAAATAAGAGTGATCAAGTCCCTAACTTGGAAGACTAAGAACAATATCACCACAACGTGAGTCCATATAAGGAAGCGTAATTCTTTCTTCATTATGAATATTTGACGGAGGGGGCTTTTGTTTTGTTTTGTTTTTTTAACAGGAAGTATGGGCTATCCAGCTGGAGAAAAGGAGGAGAATGCCACGCACTTATGTAGAGTAGCAGCAAAAGAAAGAAGGAAGGAAGAAAAAAAAAATGTGGAAAAAAAAGCAGAGGTAGGGATAATATTTGGAGACAGGTGGGTCTTGATACAGGCTAATCTCGAATGGAGAAAGAGGGAAGATCTAGCAAGTTTTATATAATGAGGGGAAAATGATTAAAGGAAGGTAGTTATCAAGACTTTCAGGTGGTAAAAAGTTTCATCCCTAATGGTGTGTGATTCTTGTCTTTCTTTTTTGCCCGTTTTAGCAGCACTCCGCCTCAAAAAAGATCTTCCTTGGACATTTGGGATTTGATAGGCGACTGGGAAGTGGCACGGGTAACCAATGCTGATGTGGTGGGTGAAGAAAAAAAAATGATGTAATGTGTGGGGGTGCACCACCCAACAGAGCAGAAAGGGGTGTTTCCTGTCTGGTGTGTGGGTGCTTTACTCGTTAGTTAGTTGGTGTTCGGCTGCAGCCGATGAATACAACTGTATGCATAATTATGTAGTTATCACAAGGATGTTGATTTTTCAATCCTGCCCAAAAATTCACCTAGTAAAATATGGCGATGAGATGACATGTTTTAGGTATTTGTAAGATCAACCCCCAACAATGTCCTACAGAAGAAGAGCTCCAGCAAATACCATTACCGGTGAAAGTCATATTAGAGGACCGACTAGTGCGCTTACAGGTTTTCTCAGAGAGCATGGAATCAATGATGATTTGATTAGAAGACGTCAAGAATTGGCAGAACAAAACCCTGATAACGACGATGAAAATCAGGAAGAAGAAGAGGGGGATACTGAAGAACATCCTCTAGATGGAGCTGCTCCAGAAATATCGTCAGCAGTACAGGATCAAGACGAAAAAGAGGATGAGGAATTACAAATAAGGATAGCCGCAAGAAGAAAAAGAAGACTTGCTAAACAGAATGAATCGGATTATACTGATAGTGATGATGATGATAATGATGACAGCCAAGCTGCTGCTTCTAACTCATCAAGCACCCCAATATCTTTTTCTTCAAATAAAAAAAAGATGACGCTTGCTCCGGGAATGGAAATCAAATGTTATGAGTGTCCAGTGTCGTTTAAGATCACCGCGTTTTCTCGTAAAGTGAAGGATATCGATGGAATTATTATTGGCTATCTTTGTAAAGACTGTGCTCAAGAAGCGTTGGAGAAGGAAAAATTAAAACGTGAAAAAGCTTTGAAAGCTAGGAAAAGAAGAAAGAAAGTTGCTGAAGCATTACTTGATAAACAAGAATTGAAATTCCCATCTTTGCAAGATCTTTGCGTGAAATTGATCATCAAATATATCGATGACGTCGAACAATTCGGTGACATTGGTACAGTTAACTTGCTGAAGATTTGTCAAATTCTTTGCAAAAATCGCTTGTTGTCAGATGCTTCTTTGCAGTTATTTTTGAATCCAGAAATCAAAGACCTCGAGCTTTTCGATTGCTCGAAACTCAATGCCGATTCTCTCAAAAAAATTGCTGCTTATTGTCCTAATCTCTCCAATTTATCCTTGCAATTTGCCGCCCGATTGAATGATAATGTATTTGATTATTATATTGATCGTTTAGATAACCTTACGTCTCTTCATTTGAATGGATCTTTCTTAATATTTGACGATATGTGGAAAAAGTTTTTTGAAAAGTTTGGAAAGCAATTGAAATCTTTCACTATCAAAAATAGCTACCGATTTACGGACAAATCAATTGATTACTTGGTCAGTAATTGCCAAGTTCTAGAACTGTTAACTCTTTCGCGCCTTGACGGAGTGATTAGCCCAACTTCCTACGGTAAAATTTCGCAAATTTCTACGCTTCGACACTTGGAAATCAGTTTCCCAACAAATGAGGGTTTAGTCACCAATGATTCGGTAATCCAGATTCTTGATACCGTAGGTCCGCAACTTGAAACCCTTGTACTTGATGGTTGCAGTGCGTTGACCGATGATTTCCTCGTGAAAGGAATCAAAGCTAATTGTTTAGAACTAAAGAAACTTTCATTGAAATATCTTGACCAAATCACCAATTCCGGATTCCAAGAATTATTCACCAAATGGGATTCTAACGCTGGTTTAATGAGCCTTGATCTTCAAAAATGTGTTTGTTTAGGTGATGACGCGCTCGTTGCCATGATTCATCATCTGAGTGGTTCTTTGATCCAACTTGATATCAATTCAATTGGTGACTTAACTTTTGAAGTTTTCAATGCCATTAAGAAAATTGGGCTACCATTATTAACTACCATTGATTGTGGTTTCGTGAGGGCTGTCGACAATAGGGTGGTTAAAATATTGAATGATGCCGCACCACAGTTAAAAATCATGGAAGTATTTGGTTGTAATAGATGCAATGGTAGCGTAAACATTAGAAAGGGGTTGCAGATTATTGGAAGACAAAGTGACAGCATTTAGTGGTTGGTGCCATCGTACATATACATATTCTCCCCTCCTTTCCAATTTGCCTAATATTTATCACTCTCTTTGACATTCTTTTTTATCTTATTTAGTCCGCTTTTCAAACGAACAGCAAAACGATTACAGAAAAGCAAAAAAAAATAAAAAAAAAAAATCATCTTATTTATTCATCATAGGTGAACTCGGTGATTAACTTCCAATCTGGTTAGCTATAAGTGAAGCCTTTTCGACATTTTTAAATGTTGGCAAGTTTGGAGTGTCAATCAAATTCTCATATATCGGCAACTGGTTAGAGACCAATGGCCTCTCATCGACTTCAAATCCAATATTGCCGTTCAGTCTGTGCAAAACCTTATCAAACTGATCAGTGGTAGTAGATTTATTTCCTTCAGTTGATGAGATTCTTAATTTATGAGATTTTTGGAAAGCAATTGGACTTTGAATATCCTGCTTCATTTCAAAAATTTCTTTATGGACTTCCATTGTCGATGGTAGCTTCACGTCAAGGGCAATTTTCTTGATATTCAGTTGAAAGTAATCAATATAAAGATTTGACAAATCATTGATGAACTGTGGAGATAACCGGCCCGTGGTTCGTAATAAATGTATCATTTTCTTCATCGCTCCATAGTTTTGAATAGCCTTAGTGAAATTAAAATAATTGACCCAGAATTCTTCGTTAGACCTTAATAGTTCTTTTATGGAAAGTTCAACAAATATTCCAAGTACCTGTGATTTATTGTAATGTTTGTTATTGAACAACCAAAGCGAATTGATATAACTGTTGATCATCACGCAAACTAATGAATCGTCAAGTATATATGTCAACTTTTTGAAGTTTGAACTTTTTGTTTCCTCGGTGTTTGATGTAGAAGATGGGAAATTCCCTTTGAAATATTTTTTCAATACAATATTCATATCATTTATATAATCTTCATATGACATTGATCTTCTCAAAAAATTCAAAAATTTTGTGAAAATTGCCGATTTCAACTCTGGAGACTGGCTGAAAAAATTAATGAAGATCAAGAAAGTACTATTAAGCTCGTCATACTCTCCAATTTTTTCCAAATAAAATAGATAGCTGAATCGTACATGATTTTTTGATAATGGTAAAAAGATGTTGATGGCTCTGTTATAGACCTCATTGATCTTTTCTTTATCATCTGCGTGATTGGTGGTCAACCACCGTATATACATGATCCAAAACTTCTCATAAAATGCAGCGGGAACCAATACTCTCTCATAAAGTGTGATTATTTGTTGCTTTGTGCCATTTAATTCTTCGAACTTTAAATATTGTTGAAAAATTTCTAAACTTGCATGTTGCAACGGTACTAAATTGAAGTAGTTTGGTTTGAACTTGCTTTCATACTTCCATCGAGCAGCAACACCTTGAGAAGTAATACTGAAGATCAGTGCAAAATATTCATTTATTGCCGTTCTTTTGTCCTTTGTAGATTCCTTAATTGCAATTTTCAATTCCTCGTCAATTTCCAAAAGTTGGTCACTAGTAAAATTTTTCCGTAACTCATTGAACTCTGTTAGGTATCTGGAATATTGATGTAACGGGATTTTAATCACTTGAGAATATATCTTGTATAAACGACAATTCTTATCGTATGTTCCATTGTTCAACTTCAAATTTGTCTCAAAAGAGATATACTTATCCCAGAACGGATGTGACAAAAATTGCCAACCCACTTTAGTGATACCTCTACGAAATACCGCCCTTAACTTCTCCACGCTCTCCTCGTCATTCAAGTTATTATTGGTGATCAAAATCGAGGCATAGTCTATCCACAATTCAATGGAGTTAGGAAAACTATCCAAACTCCGCGATAATATACTGATCGACGCATCTAATCCATTAAGTTGAAATTCTATTGAGACAAATTTCTTCCAGTACCCAAAAAACAAAGGGAAACGGGTCAATAATTCATTGAAAGTACTATGAATGACTTTTTTGAAGTTGTCATTTAGTGGTTTGATCATCAAGAAATTCTCGGTACATTTCATCAATTCTTCCCAGCATTTGATATTGTTGAGATTCTCATTTACTCTGGTACGTGCTGTAGTCCATTGGGGGAAGTCTTTCAAGAAGCTGGGGTATTCTTTCGGCACAGAAGGTAAAGATTTCTCTTTGTTATCAGTGGAGGTTGAAGGATCTTGTAGCAAAACTTTTGTGTTCTTGGAATCCACTGGAAATTGCCAATGTTCAAAATCTTCCATTTTGATGATGAAAAAAAGGCAAATAAGAATTTATATTACAAGACACTGGTTATATAGAATATGTCTATGATCTCTTTATTGATTGAGTAAATGCTGGCGGATATTAGCGATATACCTCAACTTCATTGACTGTGTCTTACAACTAAAAAATTGTGCGGTTTTGAGCCTGCACAACATCATGATGCTTATAATCAATGTCCTTCCTCTCTATTAGATTTACATTAGGGTCTAAATATTTATTGTCCACTATGCAATAAAGAAATATCGATTCCTACTCCTATGAAACACTTTATTAACGACCAAAATTTATTTGCCATATAATGGCTCCTTTGTAAGAAAAATTTTGGGAATATTCTTGGTATCATTACTTCTGATACCTGCTGCAAGACTTGATGGGGAATCGTCTTTTTCTGTAACTATTGAACTAGAACACCCCAGAGTCGCCGATACTGTAGCTTCTTTTGGAAATTCAAAATGCTCTTCTTCGTCCTCATAATAGCAATCATTACCATCATCAATATTCGCCAAGCTGAATGCATCTTCGGAAGAAGGAATCCATTTATTGGATTTGTGCAACAGCGAAGGAGGCAACGAGTGCCAAACATAGGTTGACCTCCTTCCACTACCACTGTGACTTTCTTTGAGCAGCTCACAGCATTTTTCATTTATTGGCAAAGGGGAGGTGGTTGCAAGGGATTCACAGAGAGGTTCCGCGGGTGATCTGCCCCTAGGCTGGAGGCAGAATAGTGTATTAGTCCCCTTAAGCTTTTCTTTAGAATGATAATCTGGTTGGGATTCGAATTTATTTTCGTTTTTATGATTGAAATTCTGAGTATTTTGCAACTGTTTAGTATTCAAAACCTCTAAATTTATTATAGTAGCCATTTTTATTCTGATAAGCACGGGATATTTATTTTTGGTTATTTATTTATTTATTTGGTTACTATTGGAATCCTTATAAATAGAAAACATTTTCTAATGTTTTGTTGATTTTTTAAAAAAACAGCACACTGATGGGGTTTTGTACTGCAAAAATCAAAATCCTGCTTTATCTTTCCTTACTGTTTCTTTTCTACAAGAACAAAATCGAAAGGAAAGGAAATAGACACAATAAGAAATGAAATCAAAACAAAAGAAGCAAATTGGTCATGAAAGGTAATATCCTTAAATTATCAAATGTTGTAGATGATAGCAATATTCTAAGGTGACTAAAGGACATCCATTTTCATTTTATTTTTGCAGGCACAAGAAATGAACGATTTTAGTATTGTAATGAAGAGTTTTTTGTGAAGCCAAGAAGCAAAAACTTGACCAATTTCTTATTATATCTGCTTACATGAATATGTCATTACAAATTTTTTATTTGAATTCAGTTGATAAATAGCGTATATGGAATATATGGTGGCCAGAATTTCAGAAACTGTTATTTGGAATGTAATTCATCAAAACTATGAGTTATGTCCTCATCCTCATAATCATTTGACATCAATTCTTCAGGCTCATCTAAGATTAACGCTAAATCCTTATCCAAAAACTCATCGAAAACCCCAGCTGGCGATTTAACATCCTCTTCGATACCGATTCCAATTTCCTCAATAAAAGTATCAGAATCATAATCATGGTGCTTATAAATATTTTTTATTCTTTTGTTAATAGAATCTAACTTTCTATTTAAGCTATTCTTGAGTCTATCGGAGTATTCTGAAATATGAAATCTTTCATCAAAGTTATTTGAACCTGGAAGTGATTTTCTATGAAATCTCCGTGGGATGTATTTTCTAAGATGATGCTCTCTGGATCTAGAGTTTATTTCCCCATTCTCACTGTTTTTTTGGCGATGATGGCCTTTTTGAAGATCTGTATTGCGGGGAGTCGCTTGATAGCTCTTTATCAGCACCATCATTCAAATAATAAGTATTATTGAGACTTGAGTTTCCCTCATACTGGCTCGAATTTCTATTTTTAATAGTGGTCTTGTTGATCACCTTCTCAATATCAATTTCATGTTCCCAACAAGTTCCCCAAAAATGATCTCTTGCTTCCACGAAATAATCATCACTGCAAGAATCTTGGAAACATTTTACGATATGGTTATTATTACCGCACAAAAAAGTTAGATTCCTGAATCCTTGGGGACACCAAGTGGCAATGGTGTAAAGACAACCAAAGAAACATGCTGGAGGCGCGAGTGCTAGTACATGAACCACAAGGAATATAAGAAAGAAGGGGATCTTTATCATCAGGAAAAAAAAAAAAAGAGAAAAAAAATAAGTTGCTGAATATCGGAACTGATTTTGTGTCTTTTAATTTTTGAATGTTACTACAATAGAAGCCAATTCATGAGTGTATATAGAGGTTGGAAAACTTGGTGACACAAACACAAATGATGCATGACATGGACTCACTGTACCAAAGAACCACCTGCGAACCATTGGAACATCAGATACGGAATCGAGGGTAAAAGTTTCCCCGTTTAAATAAATTTAAATGTGAATATCATTCTGGCAATTTCTATTAAAAAGGATATTGATCAACAGCTCTAGCAATGGTAAGTGTATATTTTAAAATGATGGTAATCTCATGCTGGCGGTTCATAAGCAGAAAGCTGCATATTTGCAATACAAGGGCAAAATAAACAAAATGAAATAATTTTTTAAGAAGATACAAAATAAAACGAATATGGAATAAGAAGTGGAGAAATGCCGAAAGTGTTATAAACTTTGAGCTTCTGCATTTTCTAAGATAGTAAAGAACAGGAAGAAATAAAAGAATAAAATGAAATGTCGAAAAATCTCAATTCTTCATGAGTCGTAAGGATAACTGCTTGCATAAGAATTTGGTCATCAGTGTGTGAGGAATAAAGAATAGATGGAAAAGTTGGTCAGAATCTATAGTAAAGTTAATCGCCACTAATTAATATTGTCAACAACAATATTAGAATTTTGCAAATGTTACCTCTAGATTTAGGGATTCTTTGAGTTGGCAACCGAAAATTACATCTCCTTCATTGTTTTTCATACCTTTTTCTTTCTTTTCTAACTTTCCACCACAAGAAACCCCCTAATACTCCCGACGCCAAAAAGCATATAATTTCCAATACCAATGCCGCCATTAATGCATAGAAGAAATCAACCATATCATATGAATCAAAGACATAGTTGAATACTATGAATACCTGTGAGAATTCGTAACATATCATAGGTATCCAAACGATACTGGCACAGGAAATAACGAGCCCTGTAAGCTTAATGAGTTGGAGAAGCCCATCATTATGCTGGTTTCCAGCAGCATCGCGGACGCGTCTTGATTTAACATAAGCGACAACGCAAAGATAAGTAACCATCAAGAAAAAATAAGCGGCATGAAGACCTCCAACTGCCCCAAACGTGGGGGTTGTATCCTCTACCACAGTGCCTATATACACATTATAATAATTGTAAGGGAAAGTAGTAAATAGAAGCATCGTTACCACCATGAGGTACAAGTTAAAATACATTAGAGCTCGGAGCTTAAAATACAATCGCGATACGGTAGATAATGACTCTGGTGTATTGCTGCGGGCCATGTTGCTATCATTGGTGAAGAGATTAGTTTTATCGTTTTCCTTAGGATCAATAAAAGGGTCCTGGTCACCGTTGCTTGAGAAAAGTTTATCGGCCTCGGTGTCATCTTCAATTTCTGGGTCATCTTGTTGTTTGGAAGACCTTGATATTTCGAATTGTTTTATTAAGTACCCAACTCGAGCGTACATGACTGCTTGGCTCACCATCAGTATTAATGCTACCACACACATTGATATCACCACCCCTGTGGCTACTGAGTGATTGATGTTTAAGGAACGTAACAATGGATAATATATTGTATTGTCAAATAGTTCTTGTGCCTCTTCTTGCTCCTGAATCAAAGCAGTGTCTTCAGGATAAAACTTCTTTGCGACGGTGACATTATAATAATATGATAAATGCTCATTTGATTGGGGAACCGAATAAATGAAGAAAAGCCCATCAAATCCATAGTAGAGGCACAAATTGGCAACGAAAAATGCATGATATAACGATCCATTCAACAACACAAACGATACGGGAATAGATAAAAGTAATAAGTATTTAGCCGCTGCGGCCCTTGAGGCAGCAATGATGGGATCGTCTGACTTCATTGATCTCCGCCACTGGCAAAAACTCCATATAGAAAAGCTAAGCAACGCAGTGATGGAAATAAGCGACGCCAAAAACCAGGGGAAAAAAAATTCTTCATTAATTTTAAACGTGTAAGTTGTGAAAGAAACTCCAAGAATTGCTGCCACCACCACTATCAAAACATTCATCTTGAAAATCTTGAAGATTTGGGCTTTGATATTGGCGGCACTACCATTTGATAAGGTTGTTTGAGATTTGATTTGGACGAAATATTGGGAATTCAAAATATTTCCCAGGGAAAATTCGTTGTTGATCCTAAAAAAGCTTTTGATATCATTCCAAATTCCATTTTTGTCAGTACTTTGGGTGCTGACCGCATTTTCTTCATAAAACATTTTCACCAAGTATATCGATACCAGGAAATTAAACCCCAATAAGGCGTAATGAAATACTGAGAACCATCCTCGAAAAGGATATATCATGTCAGAATAATACTCAGAAGAGGAAACATTATCACCCGATACCCCAGGATCAGTATAAAGAAAAGGGGCAAACGTATTGAAGGAATAACTAGAAATCACAGAAAATATGAACATCAATAACATATAAACCATCCCAAAAACCATCGAAGCGATCGATCTCTTTGAGCTTATGAAGTAAAGGTAAGTTAATACCATTGGTGTCAAGACAATGAAAAAAATTGCGAATCTACTGAATGTATCCCATCTTTTTTGCATTGCATGGTACGGGAAATTCATAGAAATCACTAAATCGTAAATAATGAAAAACCCATTCAAGATGATCAATGCCTTATAATTTTGAATTGCAAGGACGGTAGTTCTTGTAGATATCGAACTACTCAAAGATCTGAAACGTTGCCACGACAATTCTTTCCTCAAAGAAAACCAGAACAATAGAAATTGAGTGACCAATGCCAATGCCGAAAATGCAATAATCCAATAAGTGGCGAATTTGGTGATGATATGATCACCTTCAGGGTTGAGGTCCGACAAAGTTTTGGGAAAATGCAACATGTAATTTGCCGAACTAACGAATATAAGAGCCATGTAAATTAGTAAATATAAAGCTTGGATAGTGTTTTTCGTAATGAGCGCGGTTAAGGTGATGAAGACTTGATAGACTCTAGAGAAAATCAAAAGACTTGAGCAAACGGCTAATGCCATGCCGGTGAAATATACAACACGAGTATTACCATTGAACGAACTGGGGTGCAAAGTGTTGACGATTAGAAAGATTTGGAGTGGCAAAATTAAAATTGACGAAATAATCGAAATGGCTATGAAAATGTAGAAAGATTTGGAAACCCCTTGTTGGAATTTGAGTTTGCTTAACAAAGATGAACTTTTGGGGAGACGATTAAGCGATGCTGAAATAGAGTTTCTGAGACTAGATCTCCGGGTATACTGTGATTCTTGGGCAAGAGTTTCATAGTCCATTGAGTAAGTATCGTTATTGCTGAATGGATTGATTGCACCACTTTTCATGCTTGGTGATTCTTGTGCCATCAGATCGTTGGCGTAATCAAAAAGCCTTGCTATGTTGTTTGGATCATCTTGAGGCGAATTAACCACGATATTTGGATCAGATAGCTTTTCAAAAGCTGGTTTTTGATCATAAGAAAAATAGTCTAGCTCATAAGTGGGTATATCATGGGATTTATCAATTGCAAACAAGTCATCTGGGTTGTAGCTTTGTTTGTTGGTACCCATGGGGAAAGGTGACAACTAACTGTTTCAGGAAATCAGATCAGAGTTTTTTGTTTTTTTTTGTTACTTTGAAGCAGAAATATTGTTTAGAACTTTCTATTATGTTGATGATAACTATAGTAGATAATATATTATATAGTAGTTGATGTGCTGAATCTCATAATTCTCCCCTTTTTCCCCATGGTTAGCCTTTTTGAGTATGTAGGGTGACACACTCTGAGGCACCCAACTAAGGACGTCATATATACACAACACAACATATTAAATAAGTTGTATATATTATAAATGTTATAAATACATGTATATGAGAATAGAGGATACACTGCTGTAACACTATGGATCTTGGGTGAGTTGTAAATCTTTTTTTTCCAACAATCAAAAAGAGAACTTTGTAGAAACGCTGTGTGTTTATGATCCTTGCACTATTCCTAGCGAACGGATAAAGTATAATATGCCAAAAGAAAGTTCTGTGCCAATGTCCAAGAAAGCATTGCAACTTGGGCCACTACGTCAATATTTATGGTACATTTATATTTTTTTTTGATCTTGAAATTTGAATGACAGCTTCATAATTATAAGGGTCGATTATCAAACAATAACTGTCATGAATGAATTAGTAGTGACGATGGTTTGTGGTGTTTTAGGGGGAACCTTCTGATTAGCATTAGAAATTATAGGCGATGTACTAATTGAAATACGCTATCTAATTCTGCAATACCGAAATATCGCCGCGGATGGCTAGCTCCAATATTGCTGCTTTCTGGACAGAAACAGTGGCAGACAAGAATGAATACGACATTCCCCATCACTTAATAATCAAGCGATATGATATGACATGGTATCATCACAACATGCTACTGTGTGATAATGCCATTCCTTTCCTTTCCTTTTTCCCTTATCCTCCTCATCTATATCGCTGCTCATTATATTATTGCAACAATCGTAGCCACACACCATCTCTCCAAATTCTCGGTAATGTATCAGACACGGCCTCCCTCCCTACTTTAGCGAGAGCGATGGACACACACGTCAACTCATTTTTATGTGCATTAAAGCCGCCGCCGGTGTTCATCATCACGTGCTGTGGCAAACTGCTATTATTTTGAGGACTGCCGATCTGTTTGTTCACTCCCCCACTCACTCCATGGGGTAAGCAAGTTAGGTGGATTATTCCCTTCCTTTTCTAAAAGCTAAATAGTGGAAGTACTAATAGCATCATGGCAGCGCTTCATTCCAAGGTACAAAATAAATGGTCTGAAGACCACCACGAGATCCAGCAATATGCCTGTATCGGAGCACTATTTGGTTGCTGGACGAAAAATTGAAGAAAATTTTTTTCACTGGGCGGAAAGCGCATTAAAGGAAAAAAAAAGGGTAAAAAAAATCCCAAGATGCATGTTGCACTCAGCGGCGTTGCTTATCAATTACCACCCCACCCACTCACTCACAATAACTTACCGACGACGGTAGGAGAAGTGAATATGGATTGTGCGAGTAATATTACGTATATAATAAGACACCCAACATTAATGGCCAAAATCTAATATCTGCAGCAAATCCTTCAACATCCGTACCAGAGATGATAGATCCCTGAAAGATATCCATACATTTGAAAGTTCGTTGTTCCTAGTCAGTGTGTATATCATACAAGTATTTAAGTCATTAACTGTTCCGCTAATGCAGTCCGCCAAGAGGAAAAGCAGATTAAAGATGACAAAATTTCCCACGGCTTTTCTCATGTCCAAATTTTTATGTTTTCTTGTCTTTCAAATTACAGCATGATCTCTTCCGTTGCTTTTTTTTTTGTCACGTATACCTGGTAAGATGTCTAATAGAATAATACTCGTACTGGACCAGGATGCTAGTCAACAATGTTGTTTTGATTATCAAAGATATCTCATATCATTCGGGTGGTGCTATTTTTTTTTTCTTTTGTTTTGAATTTAAGCTTTGTGTGTCGATGATATTTTGTTATATGGACATATCCTCTCTTACCTAGTTTGGAGTAAGTGCCCAGTGCCGTAGTTCTTAGATAATGCTAATCCGCTGCAATGCACAAAGATAATTTTGAACAATCATCCACCGTTTTTTCTTTTTTTTTTTTTTTTACCTGCAAGTTTCTTTTTGGGGACGTCTTCTTTTCTTTTTTTACGTATCAGATACTTGGTATATAAATCGCTGAAGATCTCCCTTTGCTTCAACAGTTTAGCAGTATCAAATTCTCTTTTCTTCAAAGACAACTGCAAAAAAAAAAACAATGTCAAAACTTGCTGCCGTCAAGAGTGCTGCTTCAGCCGCTATCTCCACTAACGCCAATGCTTTAGAAAACTTTGAAATCGACGATGAACAGTTCAACGAGTTCTTCGACGTTCCTCTTGAAGAATTCTTGCACCACGCTAAGCTTCAAAGAGAATTGGAAAACTCTCCAAGTTACGGTGAAGCCGCCGCCACCATTCCATTGTTTGAAGTGATCAGAACCAAGGTCTTGGGTAAAGCTCCTAAAAATATTGCCGGCGAAAACGCCCAAGTTAGCGAAAAAGATAGCTCTTCTGACAAGGAGAAGGAACAACATGATCTTGTCAGTGAACCAATTTACACTTCTATGGAAAATGCCAACAGAATGGTCAGAACTGCCTCTTGGGGGTCTGTCTTCTATTTGATTACCACCGATATCTTGGGTCCTACATCTGCTCCTTACGCCATTTCTGAATTGGGTTACGTCCCAGGGGCTTTGTTGTACTTTTTGTTCGGTATTTGTGCTGCCTACTGTGGTGCCTTGCTTTGGTCTACTTTCTTGAAGTTGGACTCCATCAAGTACCCATTGAGAAACTATGGTGATGTCTTCGGTAGAGTGTTTGGCCGTAACACTCGTTACTTTATCGATTTCTTCCAAGCCTTGCAATTGTTCTGTTCTGTCGCCGTCATTATTTTGGGTAATGGTCAAGGTTTGTCCCAAATTGCTAAGGGTAAGGGTTGTTACACCATTTTGATTTTTGTTTGGGCTATTGCCGGTGCCATTGTTGGTCAAATTAGATCTTTGGCTAAATTCGGTTTCTTGGCTAACTCTGCTATCTGGATGAACGTTTTCGTTATCATTGCCACCATGGCGTGTGCCAGAGCTTTCCCACCAGATTATGCTGCTGCCGTCAATGGTGACCCAATCGGCCCAATCGTCAAACAAATTGTCATTAGTGGTTCCAACGGTATGTTCACCAACCAATTGAATGCTTGCATGAATATTGTTTACTCTTATGGTGGTGCCATGGTTTTCGTCGAATTCATGGCTGAAATGAAGCGTCCATTTGATTTCTGGAAAGGTATGGCTTGCGCTCAAGCTTTCATTTTCTCTTGTTACTTGATCTTTGCCATGGTTGTTTACCATTACCAAGGTCAATTTGTATCTAACCCAGCTAATCAAGGTATTTCCAACTATGGCTGGCAAACTACCACTAACGTCATCAATTTGGTTTCTGCCTTGATTGCTGCAGGTCTTTACGGTAATGTTGGTATCAAGTGTCTTTACGTTTGTGTTTTCCAAAGATTCTTGAATTTCCCACCATTGGTTTCCAAGTACGGTAGATACATCTGGAGTATTTTTGTTTGTGTTTACTGGGCTGTTGCCTTTGTCTTCGCTGCTGCTATTCCAAATTTCTCCTCCCTTGTCTCCTTGATTGGTGCCGTCTGTATCTTGCAATTCACCTACACTTTCCCATTCTTCATGCAACTTGGTCTTGACATCCAAATTGGTGCCTTGCTTGGTGATGGTGAATACGACCATGTCAACAAAATTACCCACAGAGTCGATGGCTGGAACAACTTCAGTAGATGGGCTAGAGGTTACAAGCAAAGATGGTTCTGGAACACCATCCACTTGGTATTGTTCTTGGCTTCTTTGGCTACCGCTGCTTTGGGTATCTATGCTTCTGCTGAATCCTTGAAGGATGCCTTTGCTAAAGGTAAGACTTCTTCTTTCACTTGTAAATCCCCAGTTGCCTAGTTTAATTAGCGCCGGAGGGTTTTGAATTTTTTTTTTCCATTTTTTTTCCATTTTTTTTCCATGTTTTTTCCTCTTCTTTTCTAGAATTCATTCTTTGCTTGTTTGTCCACATTTAATGCTTTGCTTTTATAGTATATTTTAGCGTTTGTATTTTATCAATATCACTACCAATACCAATATTATTTATATCATCAAATCGTAGTCATCATCAAACAAAACATCCATATGGCGATCACCGCTGTGAAAAGAGGAAAAACGTTTTGTTGTATGTGTGGGTGTGTGGGTGCAAGGCTTTTTGGCTCTTCTTTTTTTTTTTTTTTTTCCTCTTCACAATCTCTCGCTCTTTCGTGGGGGAGATTGAATCATCAGTGCTTACACTAATAATTACTATTGTGAATTTCTATATTATATATTATTACAAATCAAAATGATTGGAGCCAACAAAAATGAACACTTGGTCATCTCAGCCGACCCTGACCATCCAGCAAACTTGATTTGTTCGCTTTGCAAAAACTTTTATACCAATGGTTGGGTTACCGGTACTGGTGGTGGTATCTCTATTCGTGATAAACCAAACAACCTCATCTATTTGGCCCCATCAGGAGTTCAAAAAGAAAGAATGCTCCCAGAAAACATCTTTGTAAAGCACTTTGACCACCAAGATCAGTACGTTCGGGTGCCACAAGGCTTGAAACCAAGCGCCTGCACTCCGTTGTTCTTGTCATCGTATAATCTTAGGGACGCTGGAAGTTGTATCCACACCCATTCCCAGGCAGCAGTCATGGTGTCATTGTTACATGGAGCAGAATTCAGGATCAGCAACATTGAACAGATCAAAGCTTTACCAAAATTCAATTCTGAAGGCAAGAAGATCGGGTACATGGATTTCCACGACGAATTGATCATTCCAATCATTGAAAACACCCCATTCGAAGAGGATTTAACTGGGGCATTGCAAGAGGCCATCAAAAAATACCCAGGAACAACCGCGGTTTTGGTGAGAAGACACGGGATTTACGTGTGGGGTGAAGACGTATGGAAGGCCAAGGTTTATAATGAAGCCATCGATTATTTGTTGGAGTTGGCTGTCAAAATGTATGGAGTAGGAATTCCTACAACTTGTGGCATTGGAGAGGAGAAACAATACTTGAAAAATTTGCAAAATTAATTAATTATTAAATAACTTTTGGATAGAACTGAATGAAATGAGATGCGTATGTTACAACTTTTCCCCCTCTTAATTTTCTTCTTCCTCTGTATCGCTAGGGAATAATAATGGGTTGTTTGATGATTCAAATGGAATAGTTTTGTAGATTATGATGATAAAATTTTTCTACAACAGTGGATACTTGCCACAAGTTCATATTTTGTTTTTTGTAGTTTTAAGCGGCTCACCTTCAACCTATAAATATCGTTAGTAAATCAAATAGCAGTGACTATAGAATAAAAACAAAAAACAACAGCTACTTACCGTCATCCAATCTATCTGATTTTCCAATTGCTCATCATTCAATCCACAACAAACCATACAATCACCCCTGATTAAATACACTCCCAAATCAATCACCTGCGTCTGGTCTTCTTCATCCTGTATATCTTTAATTATTATCTCTTTTGTGTCTTGGAGTACGACATTGGTACTCAAATCAAAGAACTTTAGTAACCCAATGAAGAACCGGCCATCGGTGGTAATTATGGAAACTCTTTGATCTTGGAAGGGGGCAAGATATGACATTTTCCGTATTTAGTATTTTTGTGTATTATTGCATATAATATCCTAACAGGCAATTAGATACAGATGATAAATCACGTATGTTGTAATGATTGACAACAATTGTATTCCTATTGTAATATTAGCTTATTTTTTTTTTTTTTTTTCCTTAACAATTTTTTTTCCATTGCGCACTACAGAGCTACACACACACACCCGCCCATCTGGCAGGGGGTGTCTTGCAAGGACTCCGGGCCGAACCCTTTTTACAATTTCTGTTCCCCCGGAATTCGATATAAAAACGTCTCCCCCACACACCACACCACGTCGTTTCCATCGATCAATAACAAACAAGTATATTTAACCAATAGAATTGTATTTCCTGTGCTCGCTGCTCGCTGCTTTGCTTATTGATTACAATACATCGCTCATTTCTTTTTCATAAATTACAAATAAATCCTTCCACTATGGTTTCATCAAGCTTCCCGGATTTCTATCATAACGACGATAAAGAATCCTTTGCCTTTGAAACTTGTCGTGAAAGATGGCCAAAGATCTTGAACGATTGTATTGATGATATCAAACTAGCACTTTCCAAAGATCAAAAATACGATGCCTCCCAAGCAGACCAAATCATTGACGGTTTCAATTCTCTCATCAAAAATATGGCAAATGGTGATAAATTGACAGACTTCCCTCCGGAGATCATCACCCTCATTCCAAATTTACAATCTTTCAATGATTCCTTGGCAAAATTCGCAACTGAAGGTGAGAAATTGACCTGGTTGACTGCCCCATGGTTATTTACCGAGTGTTACTTGTATAGAAGAATCGATGCATTGATCAAGCTACAACCATCTTGGAAGGATTTTGATATTTTCGAAGATAAAAAGCAAAAAAGTTTCCAATCCACTGCTCCTGCAGTTTACGAACTCGCTAAAAGATACCAAAGCTTGCACCAAGAAAGTTTTTCCAGTGGCGAAAAACTCAATGATCAAGCTTTGAAATCGTTGTTCAAAGAATTCATCGATGTCTGTCTCTGGGGTAACAAGATTGATTTATCCTTATTGGCTAACAAATCCCAAGACGAAGTCCACGCTGGTCAAACTGCTGAAAAACGTATCGAGGCGGAAAAAAACATCATTTCCAATGATACTAACCAGGTCTGGGACTATTTGGTCAAACTCGATCAAGGTAGAACCCATGCCAAAAGAATGGATTTTGTCTTAGACAACTCTGGGTTTGAAACTTTTACAGATCTTATTTTCTCGTTGTTCTTGCTCGATGCTCAAATCACCGAAACCGTGGTTATTCACTGTAAGACCCGTCCTTGGATGGTCAGTGATACTATGATCAAGGATATCGACATTCTTTTGGATGATCTTGTTGATCAATCATTTTTCCCAGAATCGGGCGCCGCATTACAATTCATCCATAGCAAGCTTGAAACTTACATAAAACAAGGAAACATCAAGCTCACTGATTCAGAGTTCTGGACCATTGACCTTGATTATTGGCACATTGATGGTGGCGATGCTTCTCAATTGGCATCGTCTCTTTATGGTGATTTGATCAAATCTGACTTGATCTTCATTAAAGGGGACTTGAATTACCGTAAAACCACTGCCGATAGAAAATGGGACAAGACCACGCCTTTCGTAAATGCCATCGGGGCATTGTCCTCCAATGGTTTGAAGATTGTGAGTTTGAGAACTTGTAAAGCCGATGTCTGTGTTGGGTTGCCTCGAGGTTTGGATGAGAAATTGTCTGAAGAATGGCACAAATCTACCGGCGAAATCGGGGGATTATGGTGTAGCAGTGGTAATTGGGCTGTTATTTCATTCAGTGAAGGTAATGCTAAATGAATATAGATGATAAAAGTTTGTATTTTCTTTCTTAGTTTTTTTTTTTTTTAATAAATTGTTCCTATCGCTATATTTCGAAATCCGTTCTGTCTTATACATGCAAGTAACCAAGCCATAAAAGCCGTGCTGCTTAGGTTAGGAGGCCCCGTAATATGAAACTTATTCATAACGAAATTTTTGGCTATTGGAAATTCAGTCCTAGAGTTGTCTATTATTTGTATATGTATTACATACAATTAGAATATATCATTTTTTTTTAAGGTGAAATAGAATATAAGTGGAACAAAGTGCCAAAACTTTCCCTTTAAAATGTCATCATCAGAACAACCCATCACGATCAACGATCAATTCAAGAAGACCGTTCGATCAATTGAATTGCTCACCTTATCTGGAAAACGTCAGGATTCCAAAGAATATCAACACGAATTAGTTCAATTACTCAATAAGTTGCTCAAAATAAAAAATCAAGTATACCAATTGGGGATATTTTCGGATAATGAGACAGTAGAGGATATAAATACCAAAGATATCAAATTTCTTGCGGTAGAGTATTATTTGGGAGAATTGGTGTCGAAAAAATTGGATTACGTTGGAGATGAAGAGAGTCAGAATAGAAGAATTAATTATGATTTCAAGATTCGTAATTTGAAAAAATCAGTACAATTCTTGATTGATTTCCTAGCACATCTTCAAAATTACAATATTTTGAATGAGTTCCAGCTGAAAAAATTGGGGCATTTCCAAGACCACTATCAACCAAAATTATCGGAATTGAGACCTAATGATCCAGCTTTACGAAGAGAAGAGAAAATTCAAAATTTCAAACTCGAGAAGCTCATCAATGAACAATTAAAAACATTTGAACAAAGGTATCCGAAATTCGTGAATGGTGAAGAAGAAGACGAAAATGCCATCGATGAAGATACCCTCCGAGAATTGTATTTGAACAAATTACGGTTATTCTCTTTAAAATCTTTCAGTCATTTGGAAATGTTGAATATGGAACTAGAAGTTTTGGCAAACCGTCCTCCGGAAAGAATCCAAGAAATTCCCCTTCCTCCTCCTTCTTCTTCTGCTGCTGCTCCTAACGGATCCTCCGCGGATAAAAAATTACTTTCCCAAGAAAACGATTACGGGTATACCGAGAGAGTTGAGTTCCGCAAACCATCAGAGCTTATTTCTCCAGAGGGGAAAGTCCTTCAACCGTTCACGTTTGTATCATCCAAAGATCAAATCAAGAAAAAAGTGTTTGGCTACGGACAAGTCATGCCAACCATGTCGGTGGAAGAGTACATTGAAGAAGAAATTAAAAGAGGAGGGATCAAAACCGAAACCATTACTGGAGAACAAAATAGTGAGAGTGAAGATAGTGATGAAGATGATAGTGATGAAAAGTTATACAAAGCTAGAGAATGGGATGAGTTCAAAGATGCTCATCATAGAGGTGAAGGTAATATGAAAAACAAAGGGTGATCTGCTCCCCATAGTAATACACCTTCTACATCTATATCTTTTTTAATGTGAAGATATCTTTACTCAGATGGCCTTATTTATTTATTTATCTATTTATTTTGTAGAGTGTTGATACATGAAGTATTGGTTTGACTAACGATTTTATTCAAATGATCAAGATTACTAAATCTTTGTTACTAGCTTCTTTTATGACTAGCTTTGAGCAACAATGGTTATGCTTATCTGTTGATCTAATATTTCAACTGTAAAATTTTAAGTTTAACTAAACATTAAAAATATTAAATGGTTCAATTTTAACCTCCTGTTAGAAAGAGGGGCTATAGTAGAGATTTGATCACTACATACATGTAAATGCTTTTTCAGGATTTTCTATACATTAGGCAATGAGAGCATTCTCAAGGATAGTAGGTATATAAATATACAAGTACATAAATCAATTAAGAAGGTAGGTATTATGGTCAGAGCCGATTTCTCTGAAAATGATGAGGCAAAGGGAAAAACGGGAAAAAATAACAAAAAAGCGAAAAGCATCCAAATAATAAGGGGCAAAAGAAATGGTGACAGTAAAATAATAATAATGACAATAACTAATGGAATGGATAAGGAATTAATCATTAACATGGAGGGAAGATTGTGGTTCCATCAGATGATCTTTTACCAATGCAAAAAATTAAAAAAAAAAATGGGAAAAAAAATAGTGTAATATTAAGCCAACGACAACTCCTTTCGCTTTGTTCTTTTTTTTTTTTTTTTTTTCTTTTTTGTTCTTGAACTAGACATATAGTTTATTCACTGCAATTTTTTAACTTCTCCACTAACTGCTTTTTCCATTCAAAGTATTCTTGTAATCTATTCACCCCATAGTTTCCATAATCAAAATCTATTGTGGATATCTCATTTTGAATGGCAGACCAAATCCCCCAATAAAAAGCAGGCACCCCGAAATAAAAATAAATTTCGTCGATCAATCCATCAATCTGCTTCTCGATGGCCGATTCATTGTAATCACCCATACCAACAATGTACGCAAAACACCATCTTCGAAGTTCATGGTTCGATCTTTTTGGTTGTAAAATCCTCAGCTTATCGCAATCAAACCCTTGCCATTCTGCCAAATGATTGGCAATATCGTACCCTCGTGGAGCACATAACATGTATTCGTAATCAATGAAGAATATTGGGTTTTCACAAGGCTTCGGTAATGACACATTGTACACCTCGCTATTTAAAAAAAGACTTTCTGGAGAAAAGCATTGTGATATCAAATTTTTTTTCAGGTTTGTCTCCTCATTGTGCTGCAAAATTTTGTCCATCTTCGGAGGTATAACAATATTCCCACTTAGTAAATCACAATGAGATTTCACCAATTTACTTTTACCATTCAAATTTTCCTTTAGCCAACATAATTCTTGTCTCAAACTTTCTTTGACGCTACTATATCCATTGACATTTTCCCTAACAACCTGTTCCATATCGTCAAAGTTTGGGGCAATCTTTATCCAATCATCTATAGTTTTCCATAAATCGTTCTCAAGTTTGCTGCTTTCTTTACTAATCATCGTATGCCAATAACCCAACTTCTGACTTATTAAAGGAAACAAATAATCTTTGGATAGTTCTTCCGATGTTAGACTTCTTCCAGATAAATACCCATAAATTATTCCATTAGATAATTTGGCATAAATCTTTGGAGCCAAGTCTAACTTATTCAACATCAAGTGGTTATTGAATTCGTTGACCCGATCTATTATGAGATTTGTATTATTACCATAGCTTCTTGCTAGTACTATATCCTTTTGATTATGCACACATTTTACTAACATATTAGTGATGCCGCCAGAAACCGGTTTAACAGTGATCTTGTCCTTGATCCAATCAGGGAAAATCTCCGTCAAGATTTCCGGAAGATTGGTTATTGTTATTTGATGATTTGATAAGTCCATTGGGTATTCCATTACTGTCATACTGATATTTAATATAATAAAGACCTAACTGTGTGATGATAGAAATCTTTGATTGGCTTGCAAACAGGTAGTAATATAACCAATCTTCAGATGATGACGTTAAAACTTCAGCACAGATTGGAATAGAATGAATGTAGAACGAGAAAGGATTAAGAAAGATAAAATGTGGCTCCTTTTCCAGTTTTTCCTGAAAGTGGGATAGTTACTAGCAATATTTTTGTGATTTCTTATCGTCTTTTATTGGGAATTCCGGTGTTGGTATAAAGTGACAAAGCACACACGTCGAAAATTGAAAGATGTAAGAAAAACGCTACCGAGAGCCAACTATAAGAAACAAGAAAGAAAAAAAGACAAAACACCAAAGCAGAACTGAATAAAAACAAACAGATTCAAGAAACCGTGCCCAAATTACCATACACACACAACCCCAAAAAGAAAAAAGCGTTGCTCCTAATTATCAGTGGCCCAAATACTTTCTTACAATGACAACTGTTGGTCGTTAATGATAAATTAACGAGAGGGAAAAAAAAAAAAAAAAAATCAGAATCACATGCGCAGATAATGCATGCACATGACATTTGCCTCAACTAGCAGTAACATACATAATAGCATATCGATCTGATCATCTCAGAAACTGCGAGAGCATCGACATTATATTGGCAGAATCATCGGTGGTTTTCTTTTTGGAACTGGCACCTCTGCTAGATGTAGTCGCCGCTTTGCCTCCGCGACCACGGCCCCGACCCCGACCCCGACCTCTGCCACGGGTACTGCTGGCTTTTGTGGTTCTCTTATTGGCCACAGGTTCCTCTTCCTCAGATACACTACTCCCCCCTTCATTATCACTATCAATAACTAATGCACCGGTTTTTTTCGCTGAGGCTCGAGTTCTCTTGGTAAGCTTCTTAACATTATCATCAACTCCACTTTCATCAGATAGTTCCACAACCTTTGACTTTTTCCTTCTTGTGGCTCGTGATTCAGATTCAGAATCACTAACATCAACTTTCTTTCTTGATGATACCCTTCCTCTTTTCTTTAGTGGAGGCAATGGTTCGCTTTCCACCAGGGATTCCTCATCTTCACTATCGACAAGCTCCGCACTTTTTACATTCTTCCTCGGTTTTGCTTTTTTAACTTGTTTATCCACATCATTATCCTTATTGAAAGTCGAAAAGCTTTTCTTGTTGGTCTTGATATATTTTAGTAATGATGTGCTCTCTTCGATGTCAACTTTTGACAACATCTTGATATCATTCTTGATCTCTTTTTTAATAAAACCTTCCAACGCCTGCTTGTCTTCCTTTTCGACAAAATTCTTAATCGCCAACCCCATTCCAATTTCTGATAAAAGAGATAGCTCTGTTTCCTCTAGAAACCCTTTCACAAATGCTTGAACTTTAACCCCAGCATTTTGCTCGATTTCAATATCCTGCAATTTTACCAGCTTGTTTGTCGACGCCGCTCTTTTTCTATGGAACGATATAATATCATTCACATTGGCCACTTCCCCCACAAACATATTGCTAAATCTTCGAGGATTCTCTACTTCATAACCACCAGTATAGTCCACTCTAAGTCGGATCAATGGTAACGGGTACCTTGTATCTCGTTGGCCTTCATCAATGATATTGTTACCATCGCCATCTTCTACTACTATAGATTCATCATCAAGCTCAAACATTTCCGGGTGCTGATCCTTCCACTTTTGTTTGGCCTTCTTGATCAATAAATTCACTTTATTAGTTAAAAATCGGGTTACTTGGGGCTTGGAGGTTGGACCAGGAGCGATCCCTGAATCAGCCAAGGCAATATCTTCCATTATGAAAGGCCTAACAGTTTTCAACTTAACTGGTTCGACGGAGTATTCCCGGTTTTTGATATTAATGATAAAAACATTCTTTTCGTGCGTTTCTGCATCACTCAAAGAGGTTGCCACCGAGGACCCTGGTTGCAAAGTATCAAACCCTGCCTCATAGTTTTGTACGGGGTAAGGAATACATTCATGCTCATGTCCCCAAACCACTAAATCTAAAAAGCTTGGTAAAAAATCTTCCCGTAAGTACGATGTTTCAGTATGTGCATGATGGTTCTGATGGACAGCCATTAAATTGAACCACTCGTCTTTCCGAACGTTTGGGGTCTTGAATTTAACATTCCCTTCTCTAAAAGTTCTATGTAGTCTTTCCTCGATTACACTGGCTAACCCATACAATGCTAACTTTGTGGTCCCTTTCTGTAACAAAATGGGAGTGATTTCAATTTCATCATTTTTTAAAACCCTTCCGAAATGATTCAACAAACCTGAAACATTTAACACATCCATGGGAGAAAGCAAACTGTCCCCAGTGCTATCATCATGGTTTCCTGAGATGGCAAACATTGGAATTGAAATATTGATATTAGGATCCTCATAGTTGACGGTATTGAAACCATCATCAAAAGTTTCGCCAGGATCACTGAGTAATTCTAACTCACAAGGTTTATCTCCAAGACAATGCGAGCGGAGAATCCGCATTACTTGATACATCGACTTCTTTGACGGCTTATTAATATGGAACAAGTCTCCTGATTGTAGGACCATGTCCACTTCGCGTTCTTCAGCAATGGTCATCACCTCATCAAACGTCTTCCAAGAGTCATCACCAATCACTGGGTCACTTTCTTTGTATCCAATGTGATTATCAGTGGTTACTAAGATGGAAATGGTATCCTTAGAAGACTCAACGGGGTAACGAGTAGGAGGCATTATAGTCAGTTATTATTTACAAAATGGAATTGCGAAACCAGCCATGTCACTGCCTACTCTTGATTGTTTCCTATTGATGTGAAAATTTGGAAGTGCATATGTTTTTTTTTTGTTTTTTATCATCGATCAACGGGGGGCGCTCACCGTTCCAAGCAACTGGTGTGGGTGGATGAGAGTGAACCAGCAGCTTTTATAATCTACTTGAAACTACAATCATCATTAGGTCCAAGAAGCTGGAAGCTAATATATTGCTACTGTCATTAAAAAACTACAACGAAATGACCCATTAACAATATATATATGTATAAATATATATTTATCAAAAGAAGCAGAAAACAACAAAATGAGTTAAAAAAAAGAAATCATTATGGAAAGGCAATAATTGGGGTTAGGAAAACAAAGGATATGAAAAAAAAATATGGAAGATGTATGATACGGTACTAATGTAAATAGGCTCGCAATTTATAGGATATGTTTATGATAGGAAAGGTGAAACTAATAAAGAAAATCGTCCTCACATAATGATACAGCACGAGTTAGTCTTCTTAGCCTGTTCGTAAAATATTTTGGAGCTAATACCTAAGGTTTCAGATTTCTGAACCATGGAGTCCAAATTTTCACCTCTCTTCAATACATTCTCGATGGTTTTATTCAACACAATCTTGGTCTCATCTAATTCCTTTTGAACTCTCATTATCGCATCTGCTTGGGAAGGGTCTTGATACTTCTTGATATAGGTGTCCAAAGATGGCATTTTGAAAGTGCTAGTATTTGGAGCAGTGGTAATTGACGACCATTGGCTTGGTGGGTAAGTGGAGATGAATTCGTCCAAAACTTTGTTCAATAAACCATAAGCTGGTCTGATTTGGTATTCTTGGTCAGTCAAAATAACGGCCCCAACCCCTTCAGATCTCATGTAAACATGACCCATATATTTATTCTGTTGGACACTTTGTCTTTGGCCAGCAGAAGTTCTGGCAACCACGGTTTCAGCAAAGAACTTCATGAATGACCCCACAGATGACCGTTCAAAATAGCCAAACGAGGATAAATCACTGACCGATGTCAATTCAATAGCTTTTTCGGTGCCTAAAGGCTTGAAAATACCGATATAATATATCTTCATGGTGATTATATTATTCTGTGTCGATGTTGGATGTTTAATTACTACTGATAACAATAACGGGGTTCCTCGAATATTTGTGGCCACAAAATAGTTTTCTTTTATCAATAGGGGGTGACCCGGACCAGCCAAGATGGACCCCCTAGAACGATTACTTACTTATTTATCTGTAATTTTCAGAACAATCTATGTCCCATAATTGTGCTCAATAGCAACATCTTGTTTGTTTACCCTCCAGCTGGATATCAGGTTTCTGTCTTCGGTATGTAAGATGGAGATTACAACGGTACAAAATCTAGGAATATCAATTATAAAGTGTTAACATCTACAATAATCAAACGATTGGAAATTAACCAGAAAAACAAAAATAAATCTGTAACAAATCAGTCTGCAATAATAAAAAAGAAAAAAAATCTAAGAGAAATACGATGCCAATATTGACCGCATGAAAATCCATAAGCAACAAGCGGAAAAAGTCTCGGTTATGTGTATGATCAGTCATTAAAAATGAATTCACATGGCATAAACCTCTGAAATATGCCCAATACCATTTTTTCGGGCCCAATCTTTACAACCTTCAACAAGCCTTTCTGGGCCACAACTTACAACCCATTTGCTCCTTGAATCGAGGAAATCATCATCACCAGATATTATAAGATGCTCAAAACATTCATCTAAGTCTGGTCTTCCTTTACGAATGAGGCTCGTTTGTGTTTGCTTCTGCAGAGATATAGAAATACTAGTTTCTAGAGTGGACAGGCGCACTGCCAGCGCTGGCTCTTGTTCATCGTCACTAAAACTAATTTCAAATTGCGAATCATCTGAAGTTTTCCCGGTGAATTTTGAAGAAGAATGGGTGCCTGGAGATTGCAAAGTATCCAATTCAAAAATGTTCTTCGTACGAGAATCATTAACATCATTTGATAATTGTTGGTACGCCGCCACGTCATTATTTGCAGTATCATTGTTGGTCAATTTACTTAGCGAATTTCTGACCAAACCTGCTACTTTATTGAAAGCACTTGCAGAGTTTGATGACTCAGGAGCAGGAGATGAGACTGTTTCCTTATTTCCGGATGTCAAGAATATTGACAAGTTAGAGATGTGATCTGAGGCAACTTTTCCATCTTCGGTCAAAATCCCATATTCTTTTAAGACGAATAAATCTGATTCATTCCGAATAACCCATATCATTCTCACATCAATGTTAGTAGGCATCGACCCGCTATCTAATTCTTCCGTTCTATGCCCGTCCAAATTTTGTTTTTTCATCATGAAGTATCTGTAAATTGGCAAACCAAATGATATACCCGAGCCGCCACAAATAATCACAATAGTATCCGCATCCCTGAAGAAATTCCGGTGGAAGGCTGGAAAAGATTTTGAAATAGCGTAGTTATCCACATCGTTGATTTGAAACTTCGTTTTTCTGATAACGAAGTCAACAGTCTTATCGGAAGGAATGGAAGCAATGGTATATGGATGAGTAGAAAAGACCCATGATTTCCAATTTTTCAATGATTTGCTTATCCTGACATGAGATCCTGGAGTAAAGCGTTTAATAGATAGTTTATCTTCGTCCTCGCTGGTTTTCTTAAAGTAGTCTGAAGCAGGAAAGCTGACCAACATTAAGTCCGAACCACCATGCTCTTTGACAGTAAATTTTACTAACTTAGTAAACCAGACTTTGCAGAAAACGGAATACACCAATAATGCTACTGGCAAAAAAGTACTGCTGTTGGACTGGCGCCTAGCGTGGAAATAAAGAAGTCCTAAACTTACCCAAGCAGTGATGGTGTGAATTGAATAGAAAAAATCGTACGCTCTTCTTCTAAATGGTTTGAGTGATACCACGGTGGTCAATAAAAAGCCAATCCAGGTGACAAGCCCAAAAATATTGACCAACTTGAACAATTTAGTCATTTTTTGTTCCAGAGCCCATTTGTAAAAATAACCTAATGCGTGAACGGTACAGAATATCACAATCACTCTTGATAGCCATTTGTGTAATGGTAACAACGTCAAATAAAAGGTTCTTGGTAATGGGTTTGGCTTTATTGCCAAAAACACATTGAATGGGAACATTGCAAAGGCAACCTTCCCCATTATTCTAAAGACCGCTATCCATAATTCTCGTGTCATCTGTTCGACGATAAAAATCGGCAAGAATGATAACACTGTTAAGATTACTGACCAGATAATCACCTTCCAAAATAACGGAAGAGAAGAAAGCCATCTAGAAAGTTTGGCTATCTTCTTCCCTCTAAGAACTGGGTTATAACTGTATTTACTATTAAGATAGTTTAAACATCCGATGGCGATAACGTTCACCACGGACAATAGCACCACAGCCCTCCCAAAATAGCCATTTGACTCATGGTGGTGGTCGCCATGCCTCTTCAGTATTAGTGGATCTAACACAGACAGAACCAAATTTTTTCCAGTCATATCGTGACTTATTCCTCCAAGAGTTTGTTTTATAAAGAAGAGTGATGATTCAGTTAGTAATAATTTTTGCAGACTTTTGGCATCCGCAGCCGTGTTGATTTTCCATTCCGGCCGTGCCATCAATCTGCAAAAACAAAATAAATTCTGCCAGGAATAATTAATCGCTTAACCGATGAAAAGACATACTATTACCTCAAGCTCTCCTATGAACCTCACATGTCGTCGTCCCCTACATTGAAGGTGCTTCTCTTGGGTGACCCGTTTGTAGGCAAGACATCGCTACGTGCCCAGTACATTCATCATGTCTTTTCTAACTCGTACAGAGAAACCGTGGGTGCTGATTTCCTATCTAGAAGGCAGACTGTCGGTGATGATGGCGATTCCGAAGTGTTCCTCCAGATATGGGATACAGCTGGCCAGGAAAGATTCAAATCTTTGGTTAAGAATTTTTACAGAGGAACAGACGTGGCGATATTCATGTATGATGTTTCTCGTCCTTCCACTTTCCACAATTTGACAACGTGGATTAATGAATTTATTGAAAATGTCCACACCTCCAACCCTTCAATAGTGGTTGTTGGTAATAAATGTGACAAACCAATTACAGACCATTTGATCAGTATCAGACAGTGCAAAGAGCTTTTGAGCGAACATTATGTTGACCAGTATATTGACGACTTGAATCATGATATTTTTTACATGTCCGCCAAAAGCTTTACGGAAACTGAAAACTTATTCAAAAGAGTGGCTGCTTTGGGGCTACAGAATCTGCAAAACAATCAGAATAATACTATGATGACATTTGATAGAGTCGATATCAGTGAACCTCGAGATGGAACTGATGGAAGAGGCAGGTCCCTGGGTTGTTGTTAATACCAATTGTTTTCCTCAATTCTATTTTTTTTTTTTAATTACTATCTTATTATTATTATAAAATTGTTTCTGCTAGCTTTTTTTTTTTGTTTCTTTTTTGCTGAATCTTTTCTGTTAGAGTTTATCTTATCTTGCTTTGAAGTCGCTAAATTTTTACTCGTTCTTCTTTGTTCTTGTGGTGGTTTCTTTTTTTGTTTCTCTTCTGTTTTGACTAATTTTTAATCTCAAGTTTTATTTCCTATTATTTATTTCCCCAATTGTCTTTGTTTTTGTCTCGGCTATTGTCTTTATTTTCTCTTAGTTGATATCAATCAATAGTGTTAATGGTTAATAGAAGTCCCTCCAATAATGCTGCACGTGAGACCGCAACGGCGGTTTTTTTTTATGATCTTCGGCGATGAGATGGAGATGGCCAATTATTATCAAGTTTTGTCTCCTCAACAAACTATGGAAGGAGGAATAGAAATCGCCATCGACGTAGGTCGTTCTCTTGTTTTTTCTTTTCTTTTCGCTGGATTGCGTTTAATATAGAACATTGATGAATGTGAAATTCAATAATACAGATAATAAATAATAATAATAATTATAATAATAATAATAATTATAATAATAATAATAATTATAATAATAATAATAAAAGCAGAACTCACTAACCGCTTATTCAGCGTGGAGGAACGTTCACAGATGTGGTGTCCTTCATTCCTGGCAAACCTGACTATATTTTCAAATTATTGTCTGTGGATCCCCTGAATTATGAAGACGCCAACATTGAAGGTATCCGAAGAGTGTTGGAATACGCTACTGGTGCCCCAATTCCTAGGAATCAATCGTTGGATATATCGCTGGTGAAGTCTTTGAAGCTCGGGACCACAGTGGCAACCAACGCCTTGCTTGAGAGAAAAGGGGAGCGGTGTGTTTTTGTCACCACCAAGGGGTTTAAAGACTCCTTGATTATTGGAGACCAAACTAGACCAGATATTTTCCAGTTGAACATTAAGCGGCCTAGTGTGATTTACGAAAAAGTTGTGGAAGTGAATGAGCGTGTAACTTTAGAAGATTATGTGGAGGGCCCGCAACAAGAAGTCACCAAGGTCGGTAACAATGACAAATTAGTGAAAGGAGTGACTGGTGAGACTGTCCGAATTTTGACTAAACCAAACATCAAAGAGGTTGAGACAATGTTAAAATTGATTTACAATCAAGGGATCAAATCAATTGCCATTTGTTTACTTCATTCATATGCCTTTCCAGTGCATGAAATTATCATTGGGAAAATTGCCAGTGAAATTGGATTCACTCATATTTCCTTATCTCACGAATTATCTCCCATGATAAAGTACATTCCTAGAGCCAATTCGTCAGTGGTAGATGCATATTTGACTCCCGAAATCAAAAAGTACTTGGATAGTTTCAAGGAAGGTTTGAAGGATGGAATTCAATCATTAGCAGCTGAAAAATTCACTGGAGTAAAATGTCAATTTATGAAATCCGATGGTGGATTGATTGAATCATCAAAATTCTCTGGTCTCAAAGCAATTTTGTCTGGTCCAGCTGGCGGGATAGTTGGATTAGCCAAAACATGTTATGACACCAAACGAAAGATTCCATTGATTTCAATTGATGTTGGCGGTACCTCTACTGATATATCAAGATTTTCTGGGAAATTTGACCAAGTCTTAGAGACCACCACCGCTGGAATCACTATCCAATCTCCACAATTGAATATTAATACCATCGCTGCAGGCGGTGGCTCAAGATTATTCTATCAAAATGGATTAATGAGAGTGGGGCCTGAATCTGCTGGGGCGCATCCAGGACCGGTGTGTTACAAAAAAGGTGGGTTTCTCACGATAACTGATGCTAATTTGATATTAAATCGATTAATTCCTGAATTTTTCCCAAAAATATTTGGTTCTGAGGAGAACGAGTCACTTGATCCCAGTGCTGCTTTGCTTGCTTTTCGGAAACTAACCAGAAATATCAATGATGAGTCGGGGCAAAAATTAACAATTGAGCAAGTTGCTGAGGGATTCTTGAATGTGGCCAATGAATCAATGGCAGGGCCAATTAGAAATTTAACAGAATCCAAGGGGCATTTATTGACGAGTCACAGACTAGTTTCCTTTGGTGGAGGTGGTGGCCAGTGCTGTTGTTTTGTGGCATTTGATACCCTTGGAATTGATACTGTACTAATTCATAAATATTCATCAGTACTATCTGCTTATGGTATGGCTTTGGCAGATGTGGTGGAGGAAGTCCAAGAGCCTGCCTCGCTTGTTTTAAATGAGCTGAACTCAGCAAAGATTGAAGAAGCCTTCTCAAGGTTATGTTCTCGTGCCGCCAGTAACTTGAGAGCTCAAGGCATTGAGAGCGATAGAATAGTATTTGAGAGATATTTGAATATGAAGTACAAAGGCACTGAATCTCCACTAATGACCAGCGCGGATTCTTTCCAAATCCAGCACCATGTCATTACATTCACCAACTTACATTTGGATCAGTTTGGATTTAGGTTTGAGGAAAAAGATATCATAATTGATGATATTCGGGTGCGAGCCATTGGCAAATCCTGTGACGTCGCACCAGTAGCTATTGATGATGAATTGGAAACATTAATAGCCTCAAATAGGATCATTCATCAAGATACCATAACCCCGACACTTTTTAGAAAAGTTTACATTGATGGAAAGTTTGTGGAGACTCCTGTTTATAAATTGGAAGATCTTGAGATTGGTACTCAGCTTTTTGGTCCTGCCATCGTTGTTGATGGAACTCAGACCAATGTTATACCAATCAATGCCTATTTATTTGTTTTGAGGTCTCTCCTATTTATCAAAAGGTTAGATCATCAGACGCAAACCACTTCGCTTGAAACCCAAAATAATTTTCTGTTACCACCAGACCAAATACCTATTGATCCTGTTTTACTTTCAATTTTAGGTCATAGGTTCGTGGACATTTCTGAACAGATGGGGCACTCTCTTCAGAAAACAGCCGTCAGCACTAACGTAAAAGAGCGACTAGATTTTAGTTGTGCCCTCTTTGATTCGCAAGCTAATTTGGTTGCTAGTGCGCCCCATATTCCAGTACATTTGGGTAGCATGAGTACGTTTGTGAGATATCAATCTGCCAAATGGAAAGGAAAATTAAAGCCAGGAGATGTGATTGTGGGGAACCACCCAATATGTGGCACACACTTACCTGATATCACTGTTATGACACCTGTATTTTATGGTGATGGTCAAATCATTTTCTACTTGGCCAGTAGGGCTCATCATAGTGATATAGGCTCAATATTGCCGGGAAGCATGCCACCGAATAGTAGAGAGCTTTGGCAAGAAGGAGCAATCATCCACTCAGAATTGTTAATCAGGGATGGCATATTCCAGACACAAAGAATGATAGAATTGTTATTTAATGAGCCTGGGAAATATCCTGGATGCTCAGGGACAAGAAAGTTGAGTGATAATTTGAGCGATTTAAAAGCCCAAGCAGCTGCTAATCAAAAAGGCTGGAGATTATTGACACAGTTGGTTAAAGATTTTGGATTGAATGTGGTGTTGGCGTACATGGAAGCTATTCAATCTAACTCCGCAGCCACGGTGCGCAGATTGTTGAAGAGAATTACTGCCACCACGACTTCCCCTCTGAATACTAAGCCTAATATTCTACAATCAGAAGATTTTATGGATGATGGATCTTCTATAAAACTCAAGATCACTATTGATGCTAATTCCAATAGTGCCACCCTAGATTTCACTGGCACCAGTCCTGAAATGTACAGTAACATGAATGCTCCTAAGGCTATCACTTACTCCGCTATCATATATTGCCTTCGATGTTTGGTGGATGAAGATATTCCCCTCAATGAAGGGTTTCTTAGGCCATTTGATATAATTATTCCGGATGACTGCTTCTTATCTCCATCTGAAGGAGCGGCGGTAGTGGCCGGTAATGTGTTGACATCTCAAAGGATTACTGATGTTATCTTCAAAGCTTTTGGTACTATGGCGGATTCTCAAGGCTGTACGAACAATTTTACCTTTGGTATTGGTGGGCAAGATAGTGATGGTAAGCATAGCAATGGATTTGGATATTATGAAACAATTGCTGGCGGGCATGGAGCAGGAAAGTTTTGGAATGGGGTCGATGCAGTACATACCAATATGACTAATACAAAGATGACGGATGTCGAAGTGCTTGAAAAACGTTATCCTGTGATTCTCAGGGAGTTCAGTATTCGGAAAGAGTCAGGAGGAAAAGGACAGTATTGTGGTGGTAATGGGGCAATTCGTGACATGGAGTTCCGAATTCCATTGATAGCGTCAATTCTCAGTGAGAGACGAGTAATTAGCCCTCATGGTATCAATGGTGGTGAATATGGATCCAGAGGGATAAATTTATGGAGAAGACAAATCTTTAAAGATGGTGAATTGAAAGCATTGAGAGTAGTCAATATCGGTGGAAAGAATAGTGTACTGGTGAATGCTGGAGATAGAATTATTCTCATGACTCCTGGGGGTGGGGGGTATGGTAGAAAAAGCAATAATGTATTGGGAAGACCATAATTACCAGAAGCGGTCGCATTAGAAAAAGCTGTGGAACAGAGAAATGATTTGACAAACATTCTAAAAATATAATATAATTACAAATCGCCAATTGTTTTGTGTGTGTGTGTGTGTGTGTGTGTTTTTTTCATTTACGATTTCTGTTAGTTTCTTTCTTGAACTTTTCATCAAGAAATACGTTTGTAGATCGTCATTTGGGGTTTGTGACAAGCGAATAAGCTTATCTTTAGCAAAAAAATGTTTGCGTTCTTATCATTAAATTTTAGGTTCGTTGGGGATTATTTCTTGTGGAAAAAGAAAAAAAAGAATATCTCTGTATATAGGTTATTCAGTAGACATTCACACAGTAACTTTTCTTCTATTTTGTTCCATCCGGACTTTTTTCTTTTTTTAATGTAATCGGCAATGCATGACGGAATGTACCCAATATTTGGGTCTATGTATAGGAATCTCATCGAAAAATTGGTCTCACGTAATGCCAACACAGTTAACCAATGCTCAAAAGGAAATACATAGATAGGTTCAGGTTAGCAAATTTCCTATCTGGGTAAAAATTAATCCCTCAATTTGTAATGAAGAAGCTTGCCAATTTACCATCACTAGGCAGAAATCTCAAGAACTTTTAATACTTTTTATTTCCTTGTTTTTGTCGGTACATGTATATGAAGCCAATCTAGAAACACCTAATCTAAATAAGGAAAAAAAAATGGAAAAAAAAAATGCTCATAAAGTATAAATTCAATAATGACAAGCAAAATAGTGATAGGTTAGCAGTAGCTATGGATGAGATAAAAATAATGAAAAAAATTGGAAAAACAGCAACCAATGTAGAACTTTTTGAACAAAAATTTTAAAGTATCTAATATAAAAACATATCGAATGAAAAAGATGTAGAATGAGAAAAAAAAAAAAAAAGGAACTCAGAGAAAAGGCAGCAGGAAAATTACTTTCATCAAGATGGGACACTCCCACCTCTCAAATTCAATGGATATCTGTCATGCTCTTCTTCTTCACTTTCGCTATCCTCTCCAGTACTCAATTTAAAATCAACATAATCCTCGGTTCCCAATTGCTGCTTGCTTTCTTGTAAGCTCCCCAAATCCCCTGGAGTCATTAATAACTTCCGATCTCTTGGGGAACCTGGCGCACTTAATGGACGAGTCAACTTCACTGCGGCATTGTTAGCAAAAGGGTTACTGCCTGGGGAAAATTGGTTTGGATATGCTCTCTTCAATGCCAATTGACGAGCCTTAATATATTCCAAACCCATTCTTTTCCAATCAAGAAGCTCGGATAATCTTTCAGTACGATTACGCTGATTGATTCTTTGTCTGCGGGACTTGCCAACAAAATCTTCCAAATAATCGGTCAATTGATTGATTGATTCATCAACACTTTTCATCCGACGATCAACAATGTATATTCCATAATCTGGTGCATTTTCAATCAAGTCTTCCATGTATCCTCCAAACCCAGAAAGGTTGGTAGTAACCGAAGGAACGCCCATTACCGTACATTCCGCTGGAGTGTATCCCCAAGGCTCGTAATATGATGGGAAAACCCCCAAATGACACCCGCGGACAAATTCATCATAATCCAATGGTAAAATCGGATTATTGGAATTCAAGAATTCAGGGTGGAAAATCACCTTCACCCGATCTTCTGGGGCATTGAAGAGCTTGACTCTACGGATTTGGTTGAGGATTGGATCATTAGCATCATCATTCATATTGTGAGTAACAATTGGTGGCAAAGAATCGCGCTTTAATGCATAAACACGGCGCTTCAAAAGCACACGATCGGCAGGTCTAATCAATTCATCCAAGGTTGGAACCTCCTTACCATGTTGCTGATAACGTGCGCAGTGCTCAAAAAGACGACGCTCAATGCTTTCAGAGATTTCCTCTACACTGTTTTCAAGGGCCTTTATAACGGCTTGTCCTTTAAGGGTTTCCTTTGTGTAAGAGCCGGTAGCAGCAGGCATAATGACAAAGGCCACAACAGTCTTTTTAGAACCACTTTCCTTCAAACGGTGATTCAATCTGGCAAGAGCTTCAATATATACATCCACCCCCTTGTTACGGTATTCATACCGACCAGCAATGAAAAAATAAAGAGTATTTTCCAAGTCAAAATCATATTTCCCGTAGAAATGGCCGCGAACAAATTCGTTAATTTTCTCTTTTTTTAAAGCGTGCAAGTTTTGAAACTCATGAACCGCTTGAAATTTCACCACATTCAACCCGTTTGGTAAGACACCATCTGGTTTACGTTTCAAAAGATTTTCAGATTCAAAAGCGGTGATATGAGAAACTGTTGTAAAAACATCAGCAGAATGGGCAGCGGAACGCTCAATGCAATATCTGTGGTAAATACCTCTTTTCCCAGCTTCAGCATCGACGTCAAAGTTCGCCAAGTTGTTATAGAAATCGACAGACCCTGCACACAAGTAACGACCCAATAAAGTGGCATGCGTAGTGAAAATTGTAGTGACATCGAGTCTACGTTTACGGCATAAAGGCAAACAAACGCCAGCAAGCCATTCGTGACAGTGGGCAATTACTGCCCGGTCACGATCATGGAATACCAACTCCCCAAGGAACCAAGCCACAAGATATCCCAATAAAATAGTGTCGTTAGTTTCACTATCATTAGGAGGGGTTGGGATTCCTGATAAACTCCATAAATCCGACTTCCACTCATCCAAATAGCCATCACAAGAATGGATATCAAATAAAAGGACTCTTGGAGCACCTTCAATGAGCCAGCGACCGTAGAGCCACTTGACACCACGAGATGACATTGCATCAAGACTTTGTTTAATCTTAGGGTCTTTGAGTTCCAATTCTTCGACTTCCGTGGAAGCGGAAGCGTAATTAAGTGGTCCAATGAGGCAGTAACGATGGCGGTACTCTGCCACGGTGATAGGGGCCTTTGATTTGAGGACTGAGTAAATACCACCCACACGGTTAGCGACTTCAGTGGCCACTTCGAAGAGAAGATGGTCTTGAATATCACGAGGCATTGTTAAAATAGAAGAGATTCAATAGCAGTAGAATGGAGCGAGGATAGATTTTGAGTTGTATAACAAACGGCTATTTCGCAACAGCAACAAAAAAAGCAATAACAACAACAAAAAAAGAGAATTAAATTTCCTAGGGAGTAACGGCGATGATTGTTGTTGATTATATTGAATGACCTGACAGATAGGGCCACCTTTTTCACCTTCCAATGAGTTGATAGTCTCAATTTACAAGAAAAAAAAAGGTGGTGGGAAGAACAAAGAAAGACGTTGTTCAGAGATTTTGAAGGGTGATGATGGGTGTCCCCGTTGCAGGGCCGCATAACCAAATTAGCGTTTGACTTTTTTTTAGCTGTCATTTTTCCCCCCATAACAATAGTGAAGAAAGTGGGGAAGGGTATGCGGCTAATATGATAATGCAATGTGCTTCGGTTATTACCAAAGCGACGATCTATTGGACAGTGTTGTGACAGTCTTGATCAGTTCTATATATAGGCCCTATCTATTATATCACCAATTAACACCCGAATCTAGTTGCTAATTTACCTCATGCTTTAAACGGGAAAAAAGATCAGCAATTCAGCAAAGTTTCAAACAAACCGGCGGTGGTGGTGCACCATTGGGCGGAACTGGTGTCTGGGTGGTGTGATGAGGTGCGGGCACATGGAATTTTCCAGCCAGGATTGCAAATGCCAAAGACCCCCCGGCACGGTGAGGGTGTAAGTCCCGTCCGTATACAGTATTAGTGTTGTATGTACACCATCACCAAACACGGCCAAAGCCAGACCAAAATAATTTCTCATCTTGTGATGGAAGAGACAATCACCGGACCATCTGTTTTTGTCTTCCGAGTCTCTTTCTTTGTACGTACCTCTGGGTCACCTTATCTTTACACCCATGGTTCTCCTGTCGCTTTGAACCTTGACTATGTATTCACACTTTCACGGTCTTCCTTGACCACCAGGATATTGGTTTATTTGGGGATCTATATTAGAAGAAAAAAAAAAAAAAGAAAAAAAAAGTATGAATGATGGCAGACTTGATGGCAAAATCATGCGATGCGCCATGGTTTTCTAGAAATCTTTGCAAAAAGTGGCGGCGTATGTATCCCTTCATTAATTTAATTACTGTGTGTGTCAAACTGTATCGAGAAATTATATGGCCGATGAGATGGCAATGATGGAGCGGGGGTGTCACACACACTTAATTAGTCTGCTAATGTGTTTACCTTATTCAGCAATAAATAGCCATGGATACATAACAGACGTTCTTCCAAATCTCGCCATAATCACTCACTCATTCTTTATTTCTTTTTTTATTGCCTTTCTAGCCGTTTTTCACTGCCCATTCCAGCTTATTTAGCTATTGTGGATTAATTATGCCTAGTTGGCTGCTGGAGGGCTGCACTCTTTATACCGTAATTCAGCAAAAGTAGATTTCCCAAAGAAGAAATAAAAAAACTATTATTGATTATATTAAACTCAACATTAGGTAGTCGAATTCCATGGCTTTCTTCGATAATCACAAATTAAACCAATTAATTGGGTTTTCTCTAGTAGATTGCTTCAATTACCACCACTAATTACCTGCCCCTATTGTAATATCACCTTAATTATATCAACCAATGAACTAATTAATTACCAATTTTATTACAGAAAACCTGTTTTTATTTGTTTATTTATGTATTAATTAATAATGAGCACCCTAGATTAATATAGAAAGCAAAACAAAACAACCGTGCTTTGTAAAAACACAAAACAGCCCCCAAAACCAAATCCAAAACAAATAGAAATTAATAAAACAAAACTCCCAAGTAACTATCTATCACTGAATAACAATAAACATTTGGCAGCAAAAAAAAAAACTATGAAAAGAACAAATTATCCCTCAGAAACATAAGTTTTTTTTTTTTTGGAAAAGAAGAAAAAAAAATGAATTTCATAAAAGACATTAAGAACAGTAGTAGTGTAGATAGAGCCCATGGAACAATATTTTGACAACTGTGGTATCTTATGTGACAGAAAGAACTGGCAAAATGAAAGATGGAGAACAAAAACAAAGATTTCAAATGAAAACATAATCGTCAGATAAGTCCATTGCTCCACCTAATTGGGAACCATGCTGGGGCCATTCATTGGATTGACCATTTAAATGACCCATTGTATTCAAGTTACTGCCAATGAGTAATTCATTCAACAATTGATCATTGTTAATATAATCCTGCGAATTCATATTGGCCATAGTTTGTGATGGGTTTGGTGCTGTTTGATGAGCTGAAGGTGCGAAATGACTTGGCATTAACGCATAATCATTCACATACATGTTGAAATCAAGAGCTGCTTCCGAAGATCCTTCCTTAATTGAAGCATCCAACATCCCATTATTAGAGTAATTGGCGAGCGAAAAAGCAAGTGGCACAGAATTTCCATTTGTCAAAGATGAGTCAAGAATATTATCACTCTGGTCCATAATAACTTGCTGATTGGATGCTGTGGATAGTTCATTTGCACCAGAACTCTTCAAATAGTCCATAATTTCCAAATCAACATATTGCTCTTCATCAGAATAACCGGGTTTTGAATTATTAGCCAAATAGCTGGTAATTGGGGAAATAGTGTCCAACTCCGATGGGCTGAAGCTTACTTGGGAATCAAGCATCATTTGGGAATCGATGGATGTAGTGGTGATCACGGAATTACGATGTTGTGAAAAGCCTGGGTAATATGATTCATCAGGTGTTAGGGAATGTCTGGATATTTGTCTTCTTGGGTATTGTTGTTCCTGGAGCTGCTGTTGTTGTAATGGCTGTTGCTGTTGCTGTTGTTGTTTACTTTTTGATTCTTTAATAACTTCTTGCAACCATTCTTCATTCTGACATTGTTTCATGAAGTCGGAACATTTATCGCCATAGGCTTTAGGAGTGAGACCGGCAATGGATTTGAAAACTCTATGGAAATGCCAGGCCGATAGCTTTGCCTTTGCTGCTAATTCTTTGAAACCAACAACCCCTCCGCGCTTTCTTCTCTTCTTAGGGCTGCTGTTACTGTCTGTCACAGGCCCTGAACTGGTAGGCGAAGCTGGTGCGCTATTGTTTGCAGAATTGCTGTTCATTGGGGAATTATTGTCCCCACCAAGGAGTGCTCCAGCAGCAGCGGCGGCGATATGACGGCAAGCAATTGCAACTATTTGGTTATTGGCGGTTGAAGCGTGAGTAGCAAACCCTCCGGTTTCACTCTCTTCCTGAGGATGGATTGAGTTTTCGGCGAATAAGTTGCTTGGGGGTTGAAAGTTTATTTGTTTGTTGATGTGCTCAATGCAAATCTTGATCAAATGCTTCTTGTTTGGGTCAACATTCATTGGGTTACATTGATCACAAGGCACGAACCCAGCGTCAAGGGCATCTTGGCTAGTTTTCAAAAAACAAATCAACTCTGATTCTTGAACTGGTTCCTTTGAATCACAGCTTGGAGTGCAAAAATGATGGTCTTCATTGAATCCAACCACAAATTCGCCATCGGCATATGGGTCTTTAAATTGGTAAGCTTTCCACTTGCTGGTTTCTGTAGAATAATCGTTGGACATCTTTCTTTATATATCTTTCACCTATTCTTGGGAGATGCTGAGTGTTGATGGAATCTTTTTTGAAAATGGTTACTCGCTTTAGCAATATGTATATTTTTTAATATGCTTTATATAGTTCTTGTGTTTGTGCAATTGGCGAGGTTGATGATAAGTTAGCAGGGTATGTTCAGATGAAAAGTGCAGGTATCGTAAGGGGGAGGATATAAAATAAAAAGTGCTAAAACAATAACAGATAATCTTGAGAGAAAATTTTAACATGAAAAAAACCGATGATTGAGGAGATATGTCATGTTATTTATATAATGTCAAAATATTTCATCATTTTTTTTCCTTGTAATTCCACTGGGCTTTGTGCAGCACCAATAGTTGAAACTTAGGGGGTTTTTCAGAAGTCTGCCTGGCATTTTGAGAGGTTAATGTAGGTCGCATTGCATTATACAACAGTGCATGACTGAGCATAGCATAGTCTTGCATTGTATCACCTCTCAGTACACATCCTGACGTAACCGCCACTCTTGATGGGGAGGCAGTGTGGCGAGTAAACCGGACTGGACGGTTGGAGAAGCGCACAACCTTCCTTAGCTCTCCCCATCACACGCCACCGGACCTCATCACCACGGATGGCTCGGAAGTATGTGGGATCATGATCAGTAAATGTATTGACACTTCTCTAAAATCCGGTACAAATTCTACTATATTGGTATTATAAGTGAATCTAGCTTCTGCCATGTGTATCAACAATTCTAGATCATCCAGCATTAAGCCAAGCAATGAATTTGGAATAAATTTCAAATACGATGATAATAGTTATCATAGGCAAGAATTTGACTTTATGGTTTCCTATTTATCATAATAGAACAAAAAAAAATATATAATTATTTGTTTGTTTTTGCATTTGATATATCGTAAACTGGGCACTGCCAATCTTGGGTAAGAATCTGAGAAAATAAATATGGAGATATGATGTAGTCCTAGCTAAAAAAAAAAAAGACAACCTATTGTTTTATGCTCCAAGAATTTTCTACCAAAGATAGCACAAGTGCAATACCATGATTAATAAGCAAAGATAATAGCAATAACAAGTTGGTTTCAATTCCAATCCCGCGATTAACAGTGAATAATGGTAATAATAATGATTGATGATTTTATTTTTGTGAGAACATGCCACACTAATTGGGTCTTAAATGGCAAAATTGGTCCGAAAAGAGTAGTCGATATACTCAAAATATAGCCAATTTTGAGAGAATGTTGTTTATATCATAATACTGAGTGGCAGTGTATAAGGATCCCATCACCCAGCAAAGAAAAACAAAATATAACAAAACTTCCAAATGATCACAGAAATTAATACAGGATATTTTCAAAAGGGTATCGATGGGTTCATTCGTGAATGGATTGTTATCTGTATTCGTATTTGTACGCACTTTTTTTTGTTGTGGTTTTCTTAGAAATCTATGCATGTATGAGACTTTTGTACAATTTATTTATACCCAAAAGACAACATGCAACCACTATTTTGCAACATCCACCTAGCCCTCTTCCCATCACAAGGGCTTTCTTTCTCCCATTAAAAAAAGTCGATAATTAAAAGTGCTGGACTTCGCAGTGATAATCTCTGAAACAGTGTTCAGTTAGGGGTGGTGGTGGTTCACTTCAGTCGCTTCCCCACCCCGCCAGCATAGGGACGCCATACTGGTGGGGTAAGTTTATGTAAACAGCCACACAGGATACCCTCCAATAACCTAATCTTTGCAAAACGTTTCACGTATCATTTACGACTTCTCGACCATGCCCCCCGCCGGCAATATTTTACGGTTGTGGGGCTCACTTACCTGTATAACATCGGATGTTTGGTATGGTGTCACCTTCACCACACACACAATACAAGCAGCTGTTCACCAAAAGGTCAGTATTGAAGAAAAAAAGCGTCCAGCCCCCCTCGGTATTACAAACTGTGTGTGTGTCACGGGACTCTTTTTTTTTTTCCAGCACTCCCCACATACATTAGCGAAGACTTTTTAGTGGCTTTTCGCGGAAGCACAAAGAAAAAGACACATTCTAGAAGGGTTCAGACCAACTTGCTTGCAGGATGGAATAAACGAGGTCTCCCCCGATGAGTGGTATTAAATGAATAATCCAGTGGAGGCTGTATTTTATTCTGTTTCATCCTGTAAAAATACCTCCACTAGATCATTCATCTAAGCATCTATTTGAGCCATCGATATACACAGTTTATGCGGGGGTCTAAAATAAACATTGTAAAAATATTATTAGGTTCAATAACTTGCAAAAATGACATGATGGAAAGCTCTTTTATTTTTTCCTTTTGCTTTCTTGGATGGACAAGGATGACGATCCTATTGTTCTTCTCCTCATTTTGTCCTTTCTACATTTATTGTTTACTTATTTTTGGTTGTCTTGATTCTTATTTTATTTGTATTCTTCTATTTTCTATTTGACAATTGGATCTGTGGTATACGTGAAATAAGCCATCGGGCATGACGGAACAATAGGAAACAACGTGGAATATTTCAATCAAAAAATGCCTAATATTCCAAAAACTTCCACCAACAGTTAATTAACCACTTAAGTGAATTAGTTTTATAAGTTTAATATTGGCTGCGCGTCCTTATTCCCTGATTGTTTAGGTGCTTATCTTTCCTTCTTACAGTCATAAAATTGTCAACACTGACTTTATAAACTAACATGTATGAAAGTGATGAAGCTTAGATGTCTATCTGGTCTTGAGGAGATTACTGCGAAACTCACTGCTAAAGCATCTAACTCCCCTATTTTATTGATCATTTCCAATAAAACGTAAAATAAAATAAAAAGTTTTTTTTTTTCTTCACCTGCAGGTGAGTTTTCTTACATGTAAGTAACTCTGGAAAACTCGGAACTATGTTAAAAATGATCGCTATCTCCTATATAGGCAATCTACAGTGACAACCACAGACATTAACAAATAGCTCTAAAAGTAGGGCGGGTCAAGGGGAACCGTTAAGATAACGGAAAAAAAAAGGAAAGAAAGGAAAGAGAAAAAAAAAATTAAAATCGAAAATCAGTTGATTCAACAAATACAGATAAGCGGTTGGCATGGCAGTGTGCCTGCCCCTAAAGGCTGTTGATTATTGGAAGATGATGAGATACATGATAAATTGAAAACTAAATCAATCAAGTAATGGTACCTTTAAAAAATTAAGAGGTACCTCCACTGAGCTAATCCTTTTTCTTTTTTTTTTTTTGTTTGTTTGTTTGTTTTTAAAATAATTGTCATATTTTGTTTCGAGTAAATAAAATCATGCTATTCCTGAATTTGTGTTTAATTGGCCAAATCCAAAATATTTGAATTTGAGGATCGAGGAGTTGAGCTGTGATGCACCATGATTTGCAGTTGATCAAATTTTAAAATTATCACCTCTTTTTTGAATTTGGATTGTATTTTGACAAATATGTACATTATATCTTCCTTGTCACAGAAAATCAGTTTGTGCCATGGGTTTTTATATTCTGTGGAATTATTATTGAAACAATATCCAGGACAAAACGTCGCGAATAGCTTATTTTAACAATAAGAAAATTGATCTTGAATTTAAGATCAGGCGAGAAGATCCTAGATTCTACAAATTGTAGTAAAATTATTCAGCTGTTAGTGGAAATTTAAACCCTTAACAAAATTGATTGCCGGCCCAGTAGTCACTACGGTGTATCAATACTAAAAAAGACAGTAAGCAGGGTAAGCCATGTTAACTCAGTCTTCATTTACGTCTAAACGAAGGTAAAAATCAAGTATAAACAAGTTCTATATGTTATCAATGGATAAATATAAAGATAAAAGATAACATAGTAAACAATTAACACAATAATAAGATGTATGAGCACAAACTGCGCTCAAACCAATTAAGCAAATATGTGTTATTACAACGGTATGGGTGGTTTCTTGTGACTCCAGAATCACCTCATTAAAATGTAAATTGAGTAGCAGACCACTGACAACCAGGGGGGGGGGGGGGTTTACAACTTTAAAAGGAAATGATAATTCATGACACCCTCACAAATTGACAGCTATCTGCGTTGCTTTTCGGGATGTGGGCCAACTTGACAAGGCGTATCGCAACACAGTTCTTGTTCTAGAGTCTCCAATTAGTCTTATCATGATGAAGCACACCCCACCTAACATCTAAATACAGTACAACACAACCCACTTTTGTGATTACTCTTACAGACATAAGGGGTGAGACCGTCCCCTAACACCCTCTCTTTCTTGGAACCCCCCACATCCCTTAAGGAACGAAAGAAAATGATCAGAGATGAAAAAGAAAAGAAAAATGCAAAAAAGAAGTGGGATGACCTTTTATTAGAACAATCCCTATTGATAAAAAAAAAGGGCTGGTTTGTTCCTCTAAATGTCCCACACGGTATTGTTGTTTGAGATATGTCATAAGCGGCAGTTTCTTTTTGTTTTTTTGGCATTGGGCAATTAATTAATTAACTCTATATTGCTGCTGGAATGCAGTGCAAGGTAGATCGAAGTGAGGCCATTTGCATCACCCGACTGGCTTATTGCTTTTTTCATTTTTGACAGGATAATATCACCCGGATGTTGTTGAAAGATGGCATGCCGGGTAACATCTTAAACTCTTCTACCTTTTCTTTTCTTTTTTTTTTTTTTTTTTTTCGGACTGTGCATTCGTATATAGATAAGTGCTACATATATCCGCAATTCGCAGAGAAACATGGCAGGTAACAGAGTGGTTATTACCGGAATTGGGTTGGTCACTCCCCTTGGTCTAGGCGCTGCTCATAACTTTAGTCGCTTGGTCAATGGCGCCAGTGGCCTAGTATCCACTGCGTCTTTAAATGTGTCCGAGGAATCCAAAAGTTTGTACTCTCAAATCCCCAGCAAGATTGTGGGTGTAGTCCCCGAAGGTCCCATATCCCAGGGAAAATTTGATATCAAAGACCACAACATTAAGGATTCTCGGCGTTTAGGAAAATTCTCGCAATACGCTCTTGTGGCAGCCGCGGAAGCCCTTGACGATGCTCAATGGCATCCAGAACACGATTCCCCTGAGGTTTATGATACCGGGGTGATGGTTGGTTCGTGCATTGGCTCATTTGAGGACGTTTACAACAACGCTACATCATTCCATGATCGTGGGTATCGTCGTATTGCCCCGCTATTTGTACCAAAATATTTGAATAACATGGCCAGTGGTGCAGTTGCCATGCATTTTGGCTTTAAAGGTCCTTTACACAGCGTTTCTACTGCTTGTGCTACTGGTTCCAATGCTTTAGGTGATGCCTGGAGATTTGTGAAAGATGGGTATTGCGATATAGCGGTTGCTGGTGCCACAGAAGCAGTGGTCCATCCCTTGGCCTTGGCGGGTTTTGCAAGAGCAAAATCTACGACCACTAGCTTTAATGATGATCCATCTAAAGCATCTCGCCCATTCGATAAACAAAGAAGTGGTTTTGTATTAAGTGAAGGATCGGGGATTTTGGTAATGGAAACTTTAGAACATGCCTTGGCCAGAGGGGTAAAGAAAATTTATGGTGAAATTGTTGGTTATGGGATGTCAAGTGATGCTTACCACATTACTACTCCTTCTGAGAACGGTAAAGGAGCAGCCAGAGCTATGAGATGTGCGCTAAAGACCGCTGGAATAACCCCTGATAAAATTGATTATATCAATGCCCACGCAACATCCACACAATTAGGAGATCGTGCAGAGAATCAGGCTATCAAATCTATTTTTGAGGATTATAAGCACAAGCTTGTAGTGGGAAGTAATAAGGGTGCCATTGGTCATTTGTTAGGGGCAGCAGGTGCGGTCGAGGCAGCGTTTGCATTGTTGAGTATGAAGCATGGAGTCGTTCCCCCAACTTTGAACTGCGAGACCCCCGGGGATCCAGAAAACGATAAAGATTATATCTTCAATTACGCGGCAAATGAGAAAGTGGAAAAAAATATAGAGTATGCCTTGAGTAACAGTTTTGGCTTTGGCGGGGTGAATGCTTCATTGGTATTCAAGAAGTTCAATGATATATTATAGAATGTTGGCACGTAAATAACGGCAACTTATTAGCAATTCTTTTTTTCCATTTATTTATTTACATCTTGTATATTTCTACCAAAAAATAAAATGTATTATAATCAATCCATCTTCATGTTTAATTCCATACAAATGACATCATCAGAGCACATAACCAAATTGAAAATGGTTATAGAGCCCTTTCAGACTACCACCAACAAAAATTTTAATAACATCGACTTGAAAGAGATTGAGAGCACCAATAGATGGTTAATATTAAAGCAATTCCTAAGAAAAAATGACTACGATACCTCAGAGTATACGATCATTGTTTAAAAGTTTTCCTATAGCGACTTATCCACCTGTGACGTCTGAGCTGGGGCAAGCTTTCCACCATCGTCAATTTACTTTACAGCCTAAACTGTCACAAAGAAATCCTGACAACGACCATTTTTCTCTTGGTGTTTATGGATTATTTGAATCATCCAACGGCTTCATATTAGCTACTGACCCAGAATGTTTATTCAGTCAACTTCAGTTATGCCACCGGAACGATCTAAAAATCCCAACAATAAGTGCTTCTTGTGATAGTAGTGATGAGACATCTCACAAAATCATGATCTTGTCCTATCAAGCTTCTAAGGATTCACAATTACCAATTCTAATTGAGAATAGTGAATCTCTTGGTAACGGATCTCGTGCCAAGCAATCCTCTAATCGAACTGTTAGATCAAGCTTTGCGCTTCATGAGCTTGCCTTGCTGAAAATCACCAACCGGTCGACTTATCTTATATCTCATTGGGCAGACCAAGTGCTATATGATATTTGGACATTTACACTTCTTACTGAACTTGATGCGTCCCAACTTTTGAATTTATATTCCTCGCCTACCATCTCTCCTGCTTCGCCTATTGTCAAAACTGATCAATATTATACCTCCAATGCAGTTTCTCCAATCCATACTCTTGTTCTAAAAGATTTGTTAGTGCATTTACTTTCTCGTTATCAATTTAGATCAAGGTATCCAACAATTGCCGAGAATTTCCACAATTACTTGCCTAATTTTGTGGTGATTCAAGGCAAACCTGCTGCGTTGGGTCTGGAAATTGAAAAGATATTTGAAGATTTTATTCTGCTACTACATCATTTACAAGAACTTGGAATTGGCAGTCAATCAATATTAGAGGATGATGAAGATAAGCGCATTATTGAATTGAAGATTGCCAGTTATTTGATTTGCATTAAGCAGTTTATGCAGGGGACTAAAGTTTATGCTATTGTCGAAGAAGGATATCCTGAGTTATTTACTTGGTGTGACTTAGTTCTACAGGATTGTTAGATCATCAAACTGGCTGGTGATATTAATGAATATAATGAATAAAAAAAAAAAAAGAATAAACATGGATGTCAAGCATTCCGAGTTATATACACAACGCAAATTATATAAATAAAAGAGATAAAGGTGTAAATTCGCACCCTACCACTTGTTGACTATTCTATTGTCATTGAGTACTATTCATTTGCAAAATAAGATTCCTGTGTTGATAGATCAGATATATTGATGCCATTTGAGAACACTAATTGGGTTGAAAGTTTGGGGGTGGGGGTGATGAATAGACCATTTACTAAATCATCAAATAAGATACTATAGCAGGATAATTTTAGATTGCTCTTGAAATATATGTTCTACAACAGCAATAAAAATGATAAGATATTTATTTTATAGCGCGACTACAATTATGAACATGTATATTATGCATGATAAAGCGTGTCTGGGCCGGGTACCAAACGCGGCGAGGAGAAAAGTATTTCTATCGTTGATCTATCTGGCAAAGTCAGCTCATCACATTTTAAGAGTTTGTATAGAATATCCTAAGCATAATGCTGTTATTTAACAATGTCATAATTTTTACAGGCTCGGGTGTGGTGCTTTTCAAGCACTCTCCGGGTGGGGCATTCCATCGTGCCCTTAACTTGGTCAATCTGATGATCACCGACATTTTCATCAATTTCAACCCGAGTCTTCTCGATACCTCGACGGATGAATCGTTTTCTGATATTAAAACATATTCGAAGAATAATGATGTATTAAAATACATTAATATAGCTGGTCAGGATGAAGTGTTTGTGGGGGTTGTATATTCCAGTTTAGCAGCTACCACAGGGCAAATTGGTAAACTTAACAGACTTCTTACTCATTTGAAAGATTTGTTCACCAGTTTGATACTTGATGGTGATACTGCAGAATATCTCAAAGGTCTAAATTGGCTCGAAATTAAAAACGAAATTAAGGAAAAAAAATTTGGGGTGTATGTTGACCAACTCACCACTAAAGTTGAAACCGATGATATCAATGTTCACGACTCAAGTGACGGGGAATCAAGTGAAAGCGAAGAAGAAGAACTTGAAAAAGAGGAGAAAAAAATTGGGAAACTAAAGGCGGCTAAAAAACCTTCACCTAATTACAAATCGAAGAATAACAAAAAAGGCAGAAAATGGACTGAAAATGGTGAAATGGATGAAGATGCTAACTATGAGACATTGGATTTCACCGAATCAAACAATGATGCAGTATCAGAAGAAGACGTTTCGAAGCTTGTTGGTAAGAATTATGGTCATAGTACAAAAGATGGGTTCATTATGAATGATATTTCTCAAGAAATCGATGATATTCTTTCGACTAAATCTAAACAAAAATCAACAGAAGCTTCCAGCGGCTCATTTGCATTCTTAAAGAAGTATATTGGGCTTGGTCAAACCATCACGGAAGAAACTTTAGTCAAACCATCCAACGCTATTAGAGATAGTCTTATTAAGAAAAATGTTAGTGCAGAAATTTCGGAGAAACTTGTGGGCTCACTCAAGCCGCGTCTTGTTGGTAAAAAGCTCAAGAATTTCACTTCAGCAGAAACAGAAATCCGTGGCACATTGGCTAGCGAATTGACAAAAATCTTGACTCCTAACACCTCTATTGATTTACTCAAAGAGATCTATACCAAGAAATCAAAACATCCTAATAATCCTTACGTTATTAGTGTTGTAGGGGTTAATGGGGTCGGAAAGTCTACTAATCTTTCAAAACTTGCCTATTGGCTTCTAAATAATAAATTCAGTGTTCTTATTGCTGCGTGTGATACTTTCCGTTCTGGTGCTGTTGAGCAGCTTAAGGTTCATGAACGTCATTTGAACAAACTTATTGATAGCTCGTCAACATTAAATTCGAAGCTCAAGGTTTTTGAACAAGGTTATGGTAATAATTCCAAAGTTGCTGTGATCGCTAAAAAATCCATCCAATATGCAAAAGATAACGGTTTTGACATTGTTCTTATGGATACCGCTGGTCGTAGTCATGCTGACTCTAAACTTATGGCTCCTCTTAAAGATTTTGCCTTGGCTGCCCAACCAGATAAGATTATCATGGTTGCTGAAGCCCTTGTTGGTACTGATTCAGTGTTGCAGGCTCGCAATTTCAACAAAAGCTTTGATGGCACTGGTAGAAAAATTGATTTCTTCATTATCAGTAAATGTGACACTGTTGGTGACTTGATTGGTACTATGGTGAATATGGTTTACTCTACCGGTATTCCAATTTTATTTGTCGGTGTCGGGCAGACATATACTGATTTGAGAACCTTGAGTGTTGAATGGGCAGTCAATACTTTAATTGGTTAGTCAAATGTCGTGTAGGTGATTGATCTTGGATATGTTGATGTATATATATGCATTTGATAATCAATGAATGTTGTTAATCGTTATTTTTCGATTTGTACTTATTATGCGTTTTTTAATAGTTTTGCAGAGTATATAAAAAAGTGCAGCAGAAAGAAAATAGTGTTGCATGAGCCATTGGAATGATTTTAACAATTTGCAAAGAGGTTAGGAGAGGAAGGAGCTCCTATAGAGATATTAAAACGACTCAGTTTTACAAGTAAGCCTGAAAATAATAAATAGCATAATTCTCTTTATTTATACTACTAGCTAAGGAGTTATTCAAGGCAAAACTGTTGCTAACAAAAATATTATGCACATTTTGTAGACCCTTACGAAATGAAGTGATGTTTTAAGCTAGGTATAGAGTAGCCAGACATTACTAGCTATTTGTGATGCAAATTTAGGAAATACGAATAGAAGAATAATACTCATAGTCGAAATCAAGCCCATTAAGATACACACTTCTCCTAAATCTGTTGTTTCTTTGATGAAACTTTTTATTTGTTTGATTCAGGAACCGAAAATCTCTTTCATCATCAATAACTTTGCAGCAGAGAAAACGGTCAATTAAGCTATCCAAAGCAGGAGAATTCTGCGGCCGCTGGGGAATCCCGTTCAACAAGTGAAGCATATCATCAATCATCTGAGACACACCATTTTCATATTGTTTCAACCTATAGTATTCTTCTGTTTCTACGCTTTCAAAATCAGAAAATTCATCATCATCATCACCACTCGTTGTACAGGTAGCGGGCCCAGTCATGGGTTCAACATCATTAGCCTGAGGCTTTTGAAGAACAGGCATATCATAATAAATATTTCAGGAGTTCTGGTGGAAGTCTTTGAAATCAGTCGATATCATTTCACACTTTCTCTTGAGTGCTTCAGTATTATTTTCACATTGCTCGTGTTGTTTCACAGATAATACATTATCAAGTGCAAGATCGCTTCGATTTAATCCATCACCCTTAATGATCGGGTCCTCGGGTGATAATTTTGGTTCTTTGACTTTTCCTATCTTCCTAAGAGTGATTTGTTGAAAAGGTTCAGTGATGTCTTGAATGTACCCAATGTCATCTTGATAGTTTCTGCGTTCAGGGTGGATGTATCTTGATCTACTTCTATTTCTATGGAACATGGTTTTATTTAGCCGCAATTGTAGTGATAAATACAAATTAAATTATAGTAAGAATCATTGGGAAAAAAATGATACTGGGATCTAGTATTTATATACTGTGGTGATTTATTTTCTAGGTTTCCTTCAGTTTTCCTTCAGTTTTGGGAGCAGCAATGGGAAGAACAACATGGCCCAGAAATCAATTCATGGAGGACCTAAAAAAAAAAAAATAACCTGAGCGTACTATATATTTATTAATATCTATTCTATGATTTTTGTTCAATCCTACATCTTTTATTCACTAATAGAGCTAAAGTATGATGATATTATAATAAATGTTGACACCCACGCATGAGCGGGTGACCACCCTCTCTAGGGGCAATCAATTTACTCACCTAAAAAATAAAATCCAGTAGAAAAAAAACAAAAATCTATAGTGTGGGCTCTGTTAGATTCTTTAATAAAAACATATATACACCATGACGCTGCAAGGGAATGAAAATGCTGCCTCAGAGTCTGGTGATTATCAACCAAATCAAGACAACGTCCCTCGTGATGTGAAGTTGCTTCATCTTTTGTTTGCCGCTAACTCCATCGACTCATATGAAGACCATGTTCCACTTCAACTTATGGACTTTGCTTATAGATACACAACAGGGATTCTCAAGGATGCCGTTATTTACAGTGATCATGGGAATATGGCTTCCAGTAATGTGACGAATGCTGGGAACATTGGATCATCTAACAAGGCAATTTCGGTTGAGGATGTCAAGTTAGCCAGTGCCGCCAGACTGGACTATCAGTTTCGTAATTCTCAAAGTAGAGAGTTATTGTTTGAGTTAGCCAGCGAAAAAAATAAGAAACCTTTACCCAATTGTATACCCAGCTTTGGTGTTAGATTACCTCCAGAAAAGTACTGTTTCACAGGCAAAGATTTAGAGTTGGAAGATGAGTACAAATACGAAGAAGATATCAAGATGAAGAGTGCTTAGGAGGCAAACATGTGTATTATAGTTTTTATTTCCATATTGAGTTATGAATGTATTTTTTTGATCTTTATTATTTCCACTTGTGTTTTATTTTGAAAATTGACATGATTGTGAATCATCTCTGAATTATAATCGTTATGTATTTAATATTGATTTGATGAAAAAAAGAAATGAAATGAAGAGAATTGAAAAGTATTACATATTTTACACTTTGAAGTGCCTATTCTCTCACCTTATTTAAAATGAAAAGGCCTTCAACATTATTTTATTATTTTTTATTTTTTTTTTCTTTATTTCTAAACGTTATAATTAAGCACAACTAACAGTTAATTGGATTTTCAAAAAGTTCCTTAGATTTCACCTAAACCAGTTGGCAAGTTAGTGAAGAAACCACCTTCCTTAGCAGCTAATTCGTAGTATCCATAAATAGTGGTGACAGCCAAAAGGATAGAAGTACCAGATCCTAAGGTTCCCAACAAGTCACTGACAACGGATAAAGCACCAATGGTGGCACCACCAAAGGCAGCGGCAGTAGGAATGATCTTCTTCAATTCCTTATAAACAGAAGTTTCTCTTCTGCCGGCAATAACTAACCCTTGTTCTTTAAATTGTTTGGCAACGTCTCTAGGAGAAGTGCCGGAAATTTCAATCCAGGTCTTAGAGAAAACAGCACAAGAGGTCAAAACAAAACTAACATAAATGACGGTCTTGATAGGATCCAACATGGCTTCGCTGACAGAGAATGGTGGTTGGATATAATAAGCCAAACCCCCAGAAGCAAAAAGTTGGGCAGAGCCAGGTCTAGCTTCCCAAGAACCCAATAATTTGACAGCAATGTTATTTGGGAATTTGTTGAATAACATTTGGGAGATAATGAAAACGTTAGAAGTCAAAGCAGACTGCAACATGATTGGGGTGTTGGAAGTGTAAAACAATTTGATTGGATAAGCTCTGTATGGACCTCTGGTTCTGGTAGACTTGATTGGAATCTCCAATCTGAAACCTTGCAAGTAGACAACGGCAAAGAAGACAATCAAAGTAGACAAACATTGGAACAAGTTTGGCAATTCTTGTCTGTAGAAAGCATGGATCAAAGCTCTCTTCTTGTCTCTCTTGGTGAACAACAAGTGAATAGCAGAAACTAAAGCACCTTCAAATTCGTCACCTCTTCCTGAGTTAATGGTGGTTGGGGCAAAAGCTTTCCAGAAAATTTGTTCACAAACGTTGGTAGCAGTGAACAAAGAAATACCAGAGCCTAAACCATAACCCTTTTGCAACAACTCATCCAACAAGATGACCAAGAAGGCGGCAAACACCAATTGCAAAACTAACAAAATGCAAACACCCCATCCTAATTCAGAAGGAATACCGTACATACCAGTCAAAACGTAAACAGTGGCTTGACCAATAGATAACATAATGGCGAACAATTTTTGAGCAGTTTGGTAGTTTTCACGTTCGGCTTTATCTTCCATGTTGACAGAAATCAATTGAGTACCTTGCAACAATTGGAAAACCATCGAAGAAGAAACAATAGGAGAGATACCCAATTCCATCAATGTACCTCTGTTAGAAGCCAACATCATACGAAGCCAGAAAAGAGGGTCTGAAGAGTCTGAAGAAACAATACCGTATAATGGAATTTCACTCATCACTAAGAAAATCAACAAAGTAACACCGGTCCACATGATTCTTTGCTTGAAGGGCACTTTTCTAAGTGGCGGTGTGACTTCTGGAACATATGGTGTGAAAGGCTTCACAAGATCAAGAACTCTGAAATCGCTCATTGTGTTTGTATGAATTTGTGATTAATCCCAAGTATCAAGGGTGATGATTTGAGTAAAACGTGGAAGAAACGGATCAATTAGCTTTCCCAGAAAAATATCGGATTAGAAATGGTATGTGTAGGACAACTGGAAGGAAGAAGTTCTTTGTTAATTATGAACGAATCAAAGCAATAAGGAAGAAGATTCACCAACAACCCTTGATGAAATTTCCATCACCAACTATTTTTTTCTTTTATGAACACCGTAACTCTTTCACCCATTGGTTTGAGAACGGGTAACCCAGTGACCTGTCAACTCGCAGGCAGATAGCCACACGCACATACATACATATATACATACAAAACAATAATGTATTATTGAGCAATAAAAGAAAGACTTACCATATATTACAACTATTAATCGCAATCACTTGAGAAATTTTTGCAAGACATAATTATCGGTGACATTTTGATAATCATACTTCAAATCTTCCAAGAATTTCTCCAATTTCTCTTCGTCTTGTGGAGGAACATCGAGGCCTACCAACACTTTACCAACATCTTGGCCATGGTTTCTGTAATGGAACAAAGTCAAGTTCCATTGGTTCTTCATATGGGTCAAGAAAGTGGTCAAAGCACCAGGCTTTTCTGGGAATGTGAAACTAAGAAGTCTTTCGTTAGGTAAATCAGCATTACCTCCCACAAGGTATCTACCGTGGTTCTTTGCAATTTCGTTGTCACTGATGTCAACGGCTTCGAAACCTAAAGCAGACAATTTATTGATAACTTCTTCAACTTCTAGTTCGCGGCTGTTGACTCTGAATGAAGTGTAAATGTATGCATTGTTGGTCTTAACTTCCCCGCCTTGAGAAATCTTAAGCGAGTATCTGTAAGAAAATTCAGTCACCGATCTTGGATGAATGACATTTTGTAATTTAAGGAATGATCCTGGAACATCTGGGATAGCCACGAGCATAAATACTTCTCTACCTTCACCAAGAACTGCTCTTTCCGCCACAAATCTCAATCTATCAAAGTTCATGTTGGCACCAGAAAGCACGGAAATATATGAGTTCTTTGAATGGTCTATTTCTGAATGAGCACTAATATACTTTTTAATACCGGCAACTGTCATAGCACCACTTGGCTCGACAATAGCCCTGGTGTCCTCAAAGACGTCCTTAATAGCAGCACTAATTTCATCGGTATTGACAAGAACTGTTTCGTCAACATACTTGGAGCAAACTCTGAAAGTTTCAGTCCCAACAACTTTAACAGCAGTACCATCGGCGAAAGAACCAACTTTATCTAAAGTCTTTATTTCACCATTTTTCAAAGATCCATGCATGGCAGGAGCATCATAAGTCTCGACACCAATAACTTTGATATGTGGGGCAATTCTTTTCAAGTATGCAGCAACACCGGCAATTAATCCACCACCACCGATGGCACAGAACACAGCGTTTATCTTACTACCGCTGATTTGACGTAATAATTCCATGGCAATAGTTCCTTGACCAGCAATAACATATGGATGATCAAATGGTGGGATATTAGTGTAACCTTCCTGTAATTCTAACCTCTTACATTCAGATTTAGCAGCGTCAAAGTCGTCACCATACAATACCACATTTGATCCCAACCGTCTGACGTTTTTGAACTTGATTTCTGGGGTCGCCAAAGGCATAACGATAGTGGATTCGATTCCGAGTTTGTTGGCGCTATAGGCAACACCTTGAGCATGATTCCCGGCAGAGCAAGCAACGATACCTTTTTTCTTTTGCTCGTCTGACAAGTTCCCAATCATGTTAGATGCACCTCTAAGCTTGAAAGAAAAAACTGGGGTCATATCTTCACGCTTCAAATACACATTGGTGTTTAGTTTAGAACTCAATGAAACTGCATGTGTAAGAGGAGTTTCGTCCATAAAGTCATAAACTTTAGAAGTAAGGATAAGCTTCACGTAATCAGGGGTCCCATCAGGAAACTTGTCGCTCTCCTTCAACTGGGGAAACTTTGGGGTTGGGGCATGAGGTGACGTTGAATTGAATCTTTTTGAAGCGAAAACTTTTGCTGAATGATTCACAGTGGAAACTGCTTTCTTCACCTGTGGTCCACGACCAATATTTGAAAACATGGCACGATTTATTATGGTTCTAGTCTCTGGCAATGAAATTTTAAGGACTATTCAGAAACAAATTCAGATAAGCTGAAAGAATCCCAAATGAGTCAAAACTCTTTCATCAACAATCACGTGCTTATGAATCTTTTTTGGCTCGTTTTTGTGTGTATGTTCGGGTGTTTATTGGTTTTCCTGGTGTTAGGATGAGTTGAGTGTAATGACGACCTAAAAGCATCATGCGGCAGTATTTAGTTTCATTCCAGAGCCGGATATTTCAGAGTAGATTTCTTCTCTGGGAGTTTACCCAGCATTAATTAACGCAATACTGGCATGCTGGTGCCCGATAGTGCGCCTGTCAATTTCAAGGAGCTCCCACAAGGCCTTCAGGAAATGTGCATTAGCTCAACACGGCTGCGCTATGCGCCTTTGAACATGCCTCCGACAAATTGGAAAGATATATAAGCAATGAGGATTCTCAATTGCCAAGCAGGTATAATTTCTGGATACTTGTTCTCACACGACAAAATTCTTTTCTTGGCGCTATGACAGTCTCGAACCTTTTATCTTATGCACTTCTAGCTTTGGTGGCTTCTTCCCAGCCAATTCTCATCAAAAGAGACGATGAGTTCCCTACTTCTATTGGCTATTTGGGTACTTTTACCACTGGTTCTGCTCCTTTCCTTGCTCAAACCGATGACGCTGCTGCTGTTACCGGTACTCCAACCTCTAGTTATACTATGCCTCAACCTTTGGAGACAAATATCCAAGGCTCCGACTCTAGTGCAGGGGACAAGAACATCTTCGAGTTGATGGGGACTTATTCCCCTTACCACGTCCCAAGTCTGCCTTGGGATAATGTCTACGACTATGCTTTACCAAATCAATGTAGAATCGTTCAGGCTCACTCATTATCAAGACATGGCTCAAGATATGATACCAGTGAATCCAAATTACCAGCCTGGATTAAAGCTAACCCAGGATTCACAGCTTCCGGCGACTTAGAATTTTTGAACACCTGGAGTTTGAATAATGGTCTCGCTGAACTTGGCACCTATGGTAATCAGCAGTTATTTGATCAAGGTGTCAACATGTTTTTCAGATACGGGGCTCTTCTCAACTACACCAGCAACCCAGATTACAAAAAGGTTGTTGCCAGGGCTACATCTTTAGAAAGAGTCACTCTGTCTGCTGAATATTTCTTGAATGGGTTCTTTGGTTTGAATTGGCAAAATTTTGCTGACTTGGAAGTTCAAATTCAACAAACTGGCTTCAACAGCACGTTGTACCCAGACTCAATTTGTCCTGCTAAAACTATTTCTGAAGCAGATGATATCTCAAGCAGTTTCGAGCATACCTATTTGCATTCTACTAAAAAGAATCTTAACAACCTTGTCAGTGGCGCACAATTGAGTAACAAAGAGGTTTTTTCCATGCAAAGATTATGTACCTTTGAAACCAATACTTTGGGATACTCCAAATTCTGCAATTTGTTCACTCAAGAAGACTGGCAAAATTGGGAGGTGTTGAAAGCCTACAAGTATTACTATGAAAATGGTTATGGTAATCCAACTTCTAAGGCTAGAGGTATCGGTTGGATTGATGAGTTCGCCAGTAGATTAACTGGTAAACCATTTAATACATCAAAATTGACATCTCAAAATTTGACCTTCGATTCTGATTCCTCGTACTTCCCTGTTGACCAAAACCTTTATTTGGATTTCTCCCATGATACCGTTATTGTTAACATCTTAACAGCGTTAGATTTGGACATTTTCAAAGTCAATTATCAAGTCGATAAGAAACAAGGAACAATCCAATCTGATAACGATAATTGGAGAGTCTCTGATATTGTACCATTCGCCGGACATTTGGTGTTTGAAGTCATTGAATGTGACGAACCAGTTCCAAGCGATAGATCTGCAGAAAGCCAACAAGGACAAACTATCAAATATGTGCATGCTTTATTAAACGACAGAACTTTACCGTTAGATCAAAGATCAATTTCTCTGTGTGCAGAAAGAGCTGACGGTTGGTGTGAATTTAACACTTTTGTGAGTTACTTGGAATCGTTACACGATGAAGCAATGTTTGACTATTCTTGTTATGGTAGCTATAGCTCTGATCCTGTGACTAATGGGGTTCCTAGCACCTCTTAATGAAGCTTCTGGTTGGCGCTGGTGCTATTGGAAATTTCTTATATGCCTTAATTTCAATTCTTTTAGCTTTTTTTAAAAAAAAAATCTTTTAATTTCAATTCTCTTATTCTACTTTTTTGCCCTCAGCTTCGTCTCTTTAAATCATTCATCTTCTTTACTATCACAGTATTGTAATATCGATGCTGCATCGCCTAAAATAAAATTGAGGAGCAATAGAATGCAAAAGTTCTGGCACTTTGATAAATAGACCATCATTCTATTTTTTCTTCCTTTTTTTATTCATCTCGAGAGATAGCAAAATCTATATTCGTTAAGTATTACCATATTGATTCATAAAAATATGCATTCATATATTCAATCTAAGCTTGGGAAAAATCCCCCAAACAAAATTAAAAGACAAGTACAAAGAGCAAAGGTATAACATAGATATAGATATAGATATATAAATATACAATGCATTAGTATGAGTCCTTGCCGCTTATAATAACATCATTAATCTTCAAGATCATTCTACTCAACTGAGTAGCCAACAAAACCTGCTGCTTCTTACTAATCAATGGATCAATCACAAACAATTCCTTCATGTCGTTACTGCCTTTACCCAAACAATCAACACCCAAATGAGTATTTTGTTCTTTAATGTGGCGACTCTTCAATTCTGTAAGAGCTTCAATACTGTTCAACCCAGAGTTTTCAGCAAGGGTCATTGGAATGGCGTCTAAGGCATCAGCAAATGCCTTGAACGCATATTGGTCAATACCTTTACGCTTATCACTTTCTTCCTGAACAGCAATCGACATGGCAATTTCTGCAGCACCACCACCGTAAATGACACGGTTGTCCTTGATGAGGTTTCTCACAACACAAATGGCATCATGAACAGCACGAATAGATTCATCAACAATCATCTTGTTTGAACCTCTTATGAAGATGGTAGCAGCCTTGACGTTATCACACTTTTCAATTACAAGCATTTTGTCTTTAGTAGTTCCAAATTCAATTTCACGGACAAGACCTGCATGACCCAACTTAGAACTGGCCAAGTCTTCAAAACGAGGAACAATACGACCATTGGTAGCAATGGCGATCAATTCGATTTCCGGACCACCAACCCAACGCACTGCAGGCAAATCATTTTGAAGCAATAAGTGATTAGCTTCGTCGTCAAATCCCCATTGACAAATAACCATGTTAGCCCCAGATTCTTTCAAGTGTTCAATCATTTCGATAAATTTATCTTGTTCGTATTTTTGTAATACCTTGAATTCTTCAACATCACTAATTTCAAGCTTGTGTTTTGTCTTTGGCTTTGGAGGTTCAAATGGACAAGTTAAGATAGCTATTTTAGCGTCTTCAACCTGCTTTGGCATCTGAGGATGAGAAAATTCTTTATCAATTATAACACCACGGATCAATTTAGAGTCATCAAGAGATCCACCAACTTTACCTTCAACTTTGATCAATTCAAAATCAACATCTTTTCTTTCCAAATCAGCCACTGATAACACTGCATCAACTGCCATTTGGGCAAATTGGTTGTGAAATTTACTAACAATTTTAGAGCCTAAAGAAGTCTTTGACGCCTTGAACAATTCTTCACCATCTTCCACATCACCATTGAAATCAGCATTGCTAGTAGTAGCATTACTGGATTTAACAAAGCTGGATGGAATTTTCACCTCATCTGCAATTTTGTCAAGTTGGGCGATTGCCACTTTACAAGCTTCATCAAACCCGTGTGCAACCTTAATTGGATGGATCCCCTTATCAATCAATTCCAAAGCTTGGTCAAGTAAGGCACTGGCCAACACAACTACACCAGTGGTACCATCCCCAATTTCATCATCTTGGGATTTAGATAATTCCACCAATAATTTGGCAATTTGGTTATCGATTTGCATTTGTGAAAGAATAGTGGCCCCATCGTTGGTAATAGTAATATCTCCATCTGGAGAAACAAGAATTTTGTCAAGCCCACGAGGCCCAAGAGAGGTCTTTATGATGGAAGCAACGGATCTGGCGGCAATAATATGAGATTTTGTGGCCTCAATACCATGGCTTCGTTGTTTTTTACCTTGATCACGGACAATAATGAATGGTCTACCCATTTCATCTTGAGCAACAATAGCATTGGACATATCCAATGACTGTGGATTAAGAGCAGCCATTTCTTATTTGTGTTGCGAATGGATTTGAAATAACAGAACTGCTAATGAAAGGGTATCGCAGGAACTTCTTCCAGTTCATTTGGTGCAATCTTCAAGTTTTGGTATATTTACTCTCTGTGGAAAAAAAAAAATTCGAGAACTTGCATTACCCGTTTTTCTGTGTTATTATGCATAGCCAAGCAAGCATCATTAGGTGTAATACCATTACACTGGGTCTTTTGCAATTTTGTTATTACTTTGAACGATACTGACCTCAATTTTCAACACTTACAGTATATTGAATATTATCTTTAAATCATCTTAAAATTCATAAACTCAATTAGCACGTATAGTTTTAAACTAAAAAAGATTCATTGGAGGTGGTTAAACTACTTATTTGGAAGTTTGTTCAACGAAATTAACACCCTTTTCAATGTTCTTCTTCAAGGTTTCCTTGGCAGTGGCAATCAATTGGTCTTCCAAGTCAGAAGTTTCACCAATTGCGTGGTATTCCTTAACACCTTCTGGGCCCAAAGTAATTGGGGTAGAGAAGAATTTAACACCTTCCTTGGCAAAGACTGGGTTTTCGACATATGAGTTTTCGACAACATCAGCTTCGCCAGCCAAACCGTTAAGAACGGAACCGGCAAATCTAGCACCAGCTTGAGCCATGGACAAGGTAGCAGAACCAGCACCATTCTTGGCCTTGACAACTTCGTCACCACCAAATTGAATTCTGTTAATCAAAGCATCCAATTTGTCCTTTGGCAAACCCTTGTGGGTGGTTTGAGAGATCAATGGGACAATGGTAACACCAGAGTGACCACCGACAACAGAAACCTTTTCTTGGGTTGGGTTGGTATTAGCAACTTCAGAGATGAATCTAGAAGCTCTGAGGATATCCAAAGTAGTCACACCGAACAACTTCTTTGGGTCGTAGGCACCCTTCTTAGCCAAAGTTTCAGCAACAATTGGGACAGTAGAGTTGACTGGGTTAGAAATGATACAGAGGGCAGCCTTTGGACAGTAATCACCAGCAGCGGAAGCCAAGTCTCTAACAATAGAGGCGTTGGTGTTGAACAAGTCATCTCTGGACATACCTGGCTTTCTTGGGACACCAGCTGGGATGATGACAACATCAGCACCAGACAAGGCTTGCTTCAAACCTTCTTCTTCTGGACCGTAACCCTTGACGGTGGAGTTGGTTGGAACATGGGAGACATCAGCAGCAACACCTGGGGCACCACGGAGATCATAAAGAGCCAAGTCAGTGACCTTGTTGTTGAGCTTCATGAGCAAGGACAATGGTTGACCAATACCACCAGCAGCACCGAGGACGGCGACCTTGTAGTTAGAAGCAGCGGTAGAGGAGAAAGCACGACGGGCGACTCTGTTGAACATTATTGAATATGAAATTGATTGAGGAGAAAGGATGGATTATCTTTAGTCACTCCAAAAACTTTTCAGGTCAAAAAAAATCGAAAAGGTCAAAACTGAAAATATTTATGTAAAGTCCATCGATCACCACGGAAAAGGCATGACACTCCGGTTAGTCCCACCCACGGCGCGCGCTCTCATTGGCTGTTGGCACCCAGCAGGTCAGCAAATCCCGACGGCGCCACGCTCGGAGAGGCCATCCTGCAACTCCAGGTTGTTGTAACGTGGGACAAACTTTGGGTATATCGGGCCCTTCCCGATGATAATCAATAATGACAGCAAATAGTGCCTCTTACTACTTCCTTAATTTGCTATTTTTTTTGGGTTCCCGGCAAATTTTGACGTGGTTATCTTTGGATATAAACTGGATCCGTTTGATTGGTGTAATCATTTTGATCTTGCCGATATTGCCTCAACATGCATGAACTCGATTCGCTGGCATACAAATACAAATTATGAATTACTTTTAATTAACTATTGTGGTCTATGATGGGCCAAAGTTACCGAATTTCCGAAGTATCCCAAATGATTGCATTCCTTCGAAGCTAGGAAATTATTCAGTGGTAGATAATATTGTTATTCATAACATTCTTTTATCAATCATTTTTATAGATCTACAAAAACAATTGACAGGCCACTAAAATGGAATAATAGAAGTGATTGATTCGTTATTCCAAGAGCAATATTTTTGTAAATGTTTGAATAATTTTTCAGTAAATAGAAAGAAGACGTGTTTTTTTCTAGAATATATCAATGCTTCATAGTGTCCATCATTGATAATATTCTCTGGCATCGATTAAACCGCGCTGTTAATTGAAGAATTTTGTCAAGCCAATTAAAATTTGCATTGTCTAGATGTTGAGCATTGTTGCGTATTAGCATATTACTGCCACCACACAACATTAATTATGTATTTGCGACGGCCACATTCTTGTAACAAATACAAACTCTACTCATATTTCGCATCCTAATTCACACATACCTCCAACGTATTGTCCAGCTCTTTCTTTTCTTTTTTTTTTTTTTTTTAGTGGTTTGCTTTTCTTTTTCCGGAGCAATGATCCGATCAATTTTATCATCAAAGAGGTGCTTATCATAAATATATACCAGTTTTATGGGTGGGTATACTTACATATATGTAAGGGTGTAAATATACAATTATACAAATTATAAGGTGTTACACCCCATTACGCGTCCCAATATTAATAACAAAAAATAAAGCGCGCGGCAGCAGCAATAGTGGTGGCTCTATTCGCATTCATCCCCTTTCCTAAGAAGACGCTTGAATAGCACAGGCTGGATTCATCTCAAAGATGTCATCACCTTCCCAAAGGGAATTTCTTTCCCCAAAATCCACAAAGAAGAGGCCTCCTAATAGTGCGGAGCTGCTGCCTGCTCGAGCCAATCCCCAAAAGAAGAGAAAAGACACAGCTTTGGGAACTGGAGGCGCAACTCATTATCCACATAATAGCAATATCACAAGAGTTCTAACATCCAATCCACAATTTGGATTGCCACAAAGACAAGATTATCTATTCTACAACAGAAAGAAACTGAAAATATATCACGTTAGTTCCAACTTGAACTCATCCGACCCCTTGGGGATTCCATCATTCCAATCTTCAGAGACCAATAGCGTGATTGATGAGCCTCTAATCAGTTCAATAAATAGGACAAAGATAGCGTCTTTTAACAATGATTTCCCTAGTTATAATGCAAATACTCTTTCAAAGACATTGCTTCAAAGAAGGAAAAACAATAAGTCTGACGTCCAAGGAATGAATGACGAGTATCATTCTGATCTACTATTAACCGCCGGGCCAAATATTGGGTACATCGACAGCAATGATGTATTTCAGGACAGTAGTGATGTTGGATATAATATCAATGATACTACAGATAATCCGACCAGTGAATTTGAATTGAATCATGAAATTATTGAAGATGATAATGACGAAGATGAAAGTGGATCAGAGAATTTTCTTGATGATTATATCAGAAACGAAAACAATGGGATGTCTCAACTAAATAACCCTTTTGACGAAGATGATACACTTATATCTGAAAACCAGGAAATGGAGGAAACGTTGGACGTTGGGCTGAATAATAACGCTGACACCACCATCGAGGATCTTGACAAGACTCCGATTTTCAAGCGAAGATCATCACTAACGAGTCGTTCATTAAGTTTGATTTCGAAAACTCCATTTTGGAGAACTCCTGAGCGTTCTAAAAATAGTAGATTGGCAGTTCGAGAAGATAATCATGAGCCAAGCTTCAAACTTGACCCATTCGGCCGAGTTACCTCATCATTTGAATCATCATTCTGTCAAAGAGGTAGTAGTTCAGATGATATGAAAACTGAGGAAGATAAGTTTTATTGGAATAGTGATCTAACACCTCCAGATAGCGATGTTAATGAAAAGAAAAGAAGGGGTGATCTAAAAGATTCAATAGCTGTCAAAAAAGTCAGGAATAAATCAAAATTAAAATCCAATTCATTTACTCATTTTAAAGTGAGAACCGCCCAAGATCCTGATGCAAACACCAGTAAATTTGAGTCTGTTAATGCAAGAAGTGGTTCGCTTAATAGATTGAAATCAAGATCTTTTACTAGAACGAACTCTACAACCGAACAAGGTAATCTCAGGTTTGCCAAAAATACAATTAACGCTGCTATTGATGATGCCACACCAGTTGTGCAACTTGAAAAACTCGAATTGCAATTTATACCAGATGAAATTGAAGACCTTAATAAGTTGATATGTGTTAATCCTTTGTCTTCAGAAATCTACCAGCCATTGCTTGAAGTGTACCTTTCAAACAACGTGCTCCAAGAAATCAATCCCAGACTATTTGATTTGAGGAATTTGAGTGTCTTAAGTTTAAGAAATAACAAGATTCGTAATATTCCAGGGAAAGTTCGTGACTTAGGATCAAGCCTAAAATATTTGCAAATTAGTGGGAACAAAATACTGTGGTTGCCTAGTGAAATTATCCAGTTGGAAAACCTTCAAACTCTTAGTGTTAGACCTAATCCGAAGTTATTGGAATTCTCTGAGTATGTCCAACTGAATAAGGTATTAAAGGTAATTTATGGCTCTGATCTTACTTTAAAAAGATCTCCTGGGTTTGGAAATTCCAAGATCGCAGTGAAAAAGTTTATTGGAGAATTAAAGCTTAATCCAAACTCTATAAGGGGAATGGGTTTAAGTACATCAATTTCAGATTTCTCGCAATTTCTTTGTTCACTAGAAGAAAACTCCAGCATCATTAAACTCCCAAAACTTTCAACATTTTGTTTGAAAAAATTTGAAAACTATTATTTATCAATGACTGAGATCAAAAACTGGTATAAGGCTTTAAGCAAGAGACATAAGCATATGCTTGAATCAACTTTGAAGGGGCTTGTCAATGAAAAACGTTGCTACTCATGTCATCACATATTAGTATACGATGATGACGAAAAGACTTCCTTGACGACGCAGAGTAGTGCTATTGGCTCAATCCTAGAATACTATGATATATGTGATATCAAACTTGTGCCAGTATTGAAAGAGTTTTGTTGCTTAAATTGTGTCAAAAAGTACTTGAAGCTGGAAGTGTTGAATGATGTAGTACTAAATGATCAGCGTGGGTACCATACCGATGGATGGGTGAATGAAAACATGGATCAACTCATTGAGAAGTCACCGCCAGATATAAGCGTGCCTAATTCCAGCGAAGTGAGTACTGAGCTACAATTTAATGCTGAATTTTAGGGTTAAAAGACCTCCTAGACTTCGAATACAAGTAATACAAAGCACAAAATATATACATTCCTATAAGGAGTTATCATAATCACAAACGCTAAATAACAAGAAAAGGAAGAAAGTATTTTTTTTTTATTTCTTTTTTTTCTTTTTGGATTGATGGTTTTGAAATACATATTAGAACTTGGTACATCTGAACAACTTATACAGCTATGAGCTTAATAGGAAGCAATAGTTCCATCCAAGTGATAATCAGCCTGCTGGATTATGTCTTCCCAGAATGTCACGTCAGAGAAATCAGCTTTCCAGCCAATCTTTCGTGACAAATCAGCTTTCGAGAAGCAATTGGTACCCCACATATATGGAGCAAAATGGACACTACAAAGTTTTTCCACTTGGCTTGGCTCCAATTCCGCTACACCCTCTTGAGAGATCTTGTTTCGATCAAGTAAAGTTCTCTCAACAGCCTTGGAAACATCTTTCCAGTAATGATAACCATTTTCAGCAAAAAAGTAACCCTTTGTACCTGTTGGTAATTCCTTATCATCTTCAAGCATTTTGATCAACACTAAAATGAATAATTTTCCCAAATCGCGCACATGTACATGAGACCAAATGTAATTACCATTGTAAACAGAGAATGCTTGATCGTTAGCTAAAGAATATTTGATCAACCATGGAACCTGGCACGAGATTCTATGGAACCAACCATGATTGAACCCATAGACTGTTGAAGCACAAATGATTGCTGTCTTGACATACTTGGGGTTGGATTTCTCAATACTCAAAACGAGTTTCTCAACTCGACGATGCGGTTGCTCATCCGGCAATTGATTAAGCTTTTCGTTATCGGTCAAATCATTGTAAGGCACACCACTGAATTTCTTAACTGTGTCCGGACCAAGACCGTCATTGAGGACACAGGTACCCGAAGTGTGAATAATATAGAATGGTTTAGTTTTGACTTTTGCAACTTTGGCAAGAACTTCAATGCTTTCTTCATCATCAACATCAGCGGCAGTGATGACAATATCAGCCTCCTGGAACTTTTGTTCTAAAACATTAGCTGATTTGAGGTCTCCCAAGACGACTGAGATCCTGTTGCCGGTAGCAGTTTGAAGCTTTTTCGCTTTTTCCTCGGATCTCAAGAGACAAGAAATTGAGAATTCAGGAAATTCTTGGAGTAATTGGTAAAGTATTTCACCGCCAATAAAACCACTTGCGCCGAGAATAAAAATATTTTTTGACATAGTTTAAAATTATCTTTGGTTAGAATAAATGATCAATTTGGTGAAATGAAAAAGAGAAACCGAGCAAGATTATTTGATTGCGGTTTGCGCAAACTAAATATTCCATGAGAGCAGCCTTGGAGGGGTGGGGTAAGTTTAGGTGTAAACAAAACAAAGCTGCATTGCTGTTTGAATATATAAAAATACATTATTTACTCGTTGTTCTAATGGAAATTATTCAGTCGTGATCAGGTGTATGGTGTTACAGATATCGTTGAATTTATGGGGGATTTTTATTTGATTTGGTGCTTACAAGTATTTCTTTTTTTTTTTTTCTAAATCAAACTTTTGCGTTTGTCTCTCACCTATATTATACACCCATATTATAGAGACTGTACTCAATATTAGATGGTTAACTCACTTTCGCAGTTGGTGTAGAAGTCAAAACAGAACTTTGACCGCCGGGTCTGTGGGGAGTTACTGTGGAATCATTCTTTATGGAGGTAAGCATTTCTTCACTTGCAGAGAGCCCATCGCTGACATGCCTTGGATTAGAGTAGTAATAATTGTTGGTGATATAGTAGGTGTTACTTTTGCCATGAGTGATATTGCCATCATCACCTGAATTTACTAGATCCGCTGGTTGAAATGGGGGACTATTATAGTTGATCAGCTCCCCAGACTTAATAGGGCTAACATCAGGCTTTCTATTCGTTGGTCCGTCAGAATTCAACGTAGAATTATTAATTTTGTCCTTTCCAATAGGACCTTCTTCTCCTTGCAGGACTTTTTGTTCACTAAATGACGATAGTAAGGTATCATTTGTGCCGCTACTGTCTTCTGGTGATAATTTTGTGGCACCTGGAGCCATTTCTGAGTGCTCTTTTTCATTCAGTAGATCTTTAATGTATGTGATTCCAGCAGTTGATCCATGACGATCAAGGTTAATATGATAGCCCTCATGAGGACTTTTGATAGCACCAGGAGTCTCAACAACTGGTGACTGGATAGAAGATGATTCAGAGTCCATAGAATCAGTGTCACTAATCAAATCAAAACCTCGGGCGGTACCAGGACGACGTGAAATATCGGATGGGGCAGAAATTCTTTTGACATTTGGTTTACTTCCAGGAGCTATTAACTTGGAGGAAGTATTAGCAAGTTCCATTTCCAATATATTCAACACATCACTCGTCTTAGAATGGAGTTTCAAATTTTCTGCAACATTTTGTAAAACTTCGAGATAATATTTGAGTTTGATCAGACTGTCATCCGCGGCTTGTTTGCCAAATTTCAAAAGATAATAATGTTTGATGATCTCTATCACAACATTAAGTTTGATGTTAATCATCTCCACGGAATCATTTTCAACTTTATAAAAATCAAAATTCTTAGGATCACCTTCATAAACCGCATGCATATTATGATGATTCCTCTCAAGTATCTCCAAATATTTATCTGAGAATTCAGGAACAGCCCATTTAGTGTTCTTTAAAGATACATAATATAGCTTAGAAACCTTTTTGATAATCTTCCTCGTAGTATCAACTATATCTTCTTTTTCGCGTTTACTAAACTTCGAAGAATACATAACCACATTTCCAAGACATACCATATCCTGAAGCTGGGTGGTTTGAAAATCTTTCATCTGCTCTTTCTGACCTCTTAAAGTATTATTCTCTTCCTTATCCAATGTTTGATTTAGTGTTTTCTTTGGGGGAACAATAGACTCTATCTTAGCACTACTAGTAGTAATCAATGACACAAGTAATGGTTTCAATCCAGTTTCTTCATCAGTATAGCTCGAATAGCTACTGATACGAGCTAAAACCCCAAATTCATGAATATCAGTTGGAGAAGTGATAATATCAAAAGATTTGAAACGAGAATCTTTGATATAAAAGAGACCAATTAGTTGGTCATTATCTGCCATTTGAATAATAGCTTTCTTCTGAATTGGGTTTATTATTCGAAGATCAGGAATTGAAAGCGTTGGAAACACAGGTTCGCTAACCGGAATCAAAAGGCAAGTGATGGTTGGACGTTTTGGTTTTGATTTATGTAACTTAGCAGATCTTTGAGGAGCAAGAGCAGAAGCTGTTGAATATTGAGCAGATGTAGGCCCCAGTAAGTATTTTTGAGCATTCAGCCCAAAATAAGGGAGTTGAAGTTTGGGATGACGGGAAACCGCTGCTGCTGACGGGTAATTATGACCTTTATTATTGCCAATAGATGATAAGTGTGACTTTTTAACATCATTATCGTATTTTAAAAGCTTTGGCTTTGTCTTATCCTTGAGAAACAAGGATGATTTGGTGATCTCATTGTACAATCCATCTTTAACTTCTGCTAATGACATATTATTAAAAGATTGTTCGAGTTGAACGTATTCTTGGCGTTTAGCACTCTTCAATAATTTTTTGACCCTTCTCTTGGGTGAGACACCAGCTATTTCGCGGATAATTCTGTTTCTTTCAAAAGCATTTATGTGGCTCTTTGGTTCATCAGGCATCTCTAATAAATGCCGAACATCTGGATTTTTAAGGGTCTTAGTAGAGTAAAGATGAGCCTTCTTGAGCCCTTCTTCCTGGTCAGAGTCGAATTCGGATTCGGATTCATAGTCGGATTCGGATTCTAATTCATCAGCGTCTTGTGGTTGGTAAGGAGTGATAGCATTGCTTACTGGAGGTGCTGCTAATTGTGTGTAATTTGGTGGGCCCTGGGTTTGATTCATCATTTGATGTTGTGGAAAATTACCGGGGATTACTGTAGCTGAAATAGCATTCATTGAATCGACTTCGCTAATATTCCCAAAAGTTTGAATCCTGACACTGCTAATCTGGGTTCCGTTCTCGTAATTTATGGCTACGACCTTACCCAAAGTTCCGTAAGGGCCTTGTGCCTGATGTGAATCCAAATCCTGGTCCGGATTAAAGATACTGTTAAGTTTTTTTGTCAAGAAATTTATCACCATTGGACTAAACACGCCAATGAAATCGTTTCTTCGGTAACTATCAATTACCAGAGCAAGCTGAGAATCCACAAGCTCAGTGACAGGTAAGTCAACAATGTTGTTGGGACTGAGCTGTTTGGCATAATTAAGGATCTTCACATTGACCGGCACGTTCAGAGAAACATTCATGCTAGTATTCATTGTGCTTGCATCATTATTGGGAGAATTAAGAGGAAAGGATTAATTTCAGGAATCTTTCAATCAACCAAGAGTTGTCAATCTTCTCAAGTACGACATTTCATACAGCGACGAGTGCAAAAGTTAGACGATGGGGAAACATACATATACAGCTCAAGTCAAAACTAAGATACATCCGCTTTTTGTTTTGATCCTTCTCACGTGCCGCTAAGTATAGCTCAGACGGCCCAATTATTTGTTATTAAAAGGGTGCAATTGAGTAAGATAGTGTTGCTGTTATTATTATCAAAATTGAATTAATTTATAGTAAAAAATTTTAAAGATAAATAAATGGGATGAATGAATCCTTTACATAGTAGGATGAAGTAAAAATAGTGTGAGCCCCGTAAGTCGTAAAAGTAATGAAGTGTAAAACAAAAATAGAACCAATATCATGCAATAAAGTATGACAAGACTAAGGTTTTCTGGATAAAACGTTGTTTAATTAATATTCATAAATAAAGACGTTAAGGTGATGCATAACTGATAGTAAGTTTTGAATAGAAGCTAATGGCATGGCATATGGTGGTCCGAAAGAGCAATGGGAAGAAACGTAACACATGGCAGATTGTTGAACCCTAATAGAATTAGAGCAGCGTGCTTACATGCAGTAGCAGACGATAAGAACTAATAAGGATAACAAAGGGTAAAATATTAGGTAGATAACAAAATGTAGTTAAATGTAACAATAATAACAGGTTTAGGTTAGAACTTGAATAAAAACGATCCGCGAGAAACAAAAGATACAAGGTGATTATCTGCTTCATATTTTCTACAGATTGATATTTAATCGAAGAAAATGAATGAATGAGTGAATGAATTGTATATTAACGAGTCGAGAGGTTCTAAATAACATGCAAGCCGGGCATTTTATGCCGGTCTTTCTAATAGGTAAGTAAAATACTATAACTTTTTCACAACCTCACTCTCCTTGCTTTAAGAATTAATCACATCTCCGGTAAAAAACTCAACAATCAAGTTATTAAGGAAAAAAGGTGCAATGTAAAAATATGAGATGAAGTCACTAGTGAATTACCCATCACTAGGAGCTTCATGAACTGAGATGGAGGTCTTTGTTGAGGGGTTTTGGCACTATATCTCAAATACTAAGTATTTTCAATGTAGTGACCATCAGAATTCTGGGGGATAATAAAAATAAAAATAATAAAAATAAAAATAATGAAAATCAATAGAATAATTGAATCCAAGTAAAAAAATAATTCAAATAATCAAATAGACCAAATAATTCAAATAAGTCAAAATAATCAAGTAAACCAAATAAACCAAATAAACCAAATAAACCAAATAAACCAAATAAACCAATGTATAAGGCCGGGTAACAGTATATTTTTGAGAGATTTGGATCAGTTTTAATCTGCATGAAAACAACAAGACTTCGTGGCCAAGCTGGTTAAGGCGTGCGACTGTTAATCGCAAGATCGTGAGTTCGATCCTCACCGAGGTCGGTGTCTTCAACTATTAACCTTATTATTGACTTCGTGGCCAAGTTGGTTAAGGCGTGCGACTGTTAATCGCAAGATCGTGAGTTCAATCCTCACCGAGGTCGAAAACCTCTGTTCTTAGCTGAATTCATTTTTTAATATTATCCTCAAATAGTTATTGCTATCGTTTTTTTTGTTTGTAGAATTCACCTTTCCCACCGTTTAGGCGTATTTGGGTATATTTGCCTGAGCTTTTTAGAGGATGTTGTGATTTAATGACAGTAGTATTACACTGCTACGCACCAACAAGCCAGTAAATGAGCTGCAAGACTATCGGGGTGTTCTAGCAATTAATAGAGTTCTTTTTACCTCTTTTTAATATTATTTTATTAGCGCAATATAATACCAAAAGCATGGTAGTGACACTGGTGCTCACCAGCGCTTGAAGGGTTATGAGCGGTAAATAGGTTAGTAACGGGAAACTGAGGTAAAAATTTAATTAGTATTTTTGAGCTCAGATATATGAACCAAATCTTACTTCGCATCACTATTGTTCTAATAAAATAAATTTCAAAAGCGAGTTAAAGAGGATAAATGATTTACTATAGACTGACTTCTTCAATTTTTACGAGAAACATCTCTTTGAGGCGATTCAATCATCAGCGAAATATCTCAATTAGTAACCCCCCTCCAAATGCTAAAGTTTTATCCATTAACTCATTGAAAGAGAAGCTACTCGCCCAGAAAGCGAAAACTCCTGTTATCACCCATAAAATAACTAAGAAAGCAAAGATAATAGGCTCAAAAACATTTGATAAGCAAACTACTGCTAATATATTATATGAAAAATTCAAGACAGACTTTCAAATTCTACCTACGACTCAAATACAAATATCAGGAACTAATAATTTCTTCAATACTTCTAAAGTCCAGCTTCTTTGGTCAGTTGAGAACTTTGAAGACATACCTAACGAAAAACTTCGTACAGAGCAACAATTTTTACAATCCGATAATAAAGATCAAGACTTTCAGGTTTCAACTGATACCAATTTTGATGAGCTTTCCACAACTCCAAGAAAGAAACACCAGCTGGAAGATCCAGTTGAAGAAATCAGCGCGACCGAGGAACTTGATCGCCTTAAAAATGAGCATTACAAGGTACATCATAAACGCAAGTTACATCTAGATTCATCTCTTATAAAATCATTACCAGAAATTGCACTTGTGGGTAGATGTAATGTTGGAAAATCGACTCTTTTAAACTCCATTTGCACTGCTATTTCCAAAAGCGAGAACGAAGAACATGCTTACGCTTCCAAGCGAGCTGGGTTTACCAAATCAATAAATTGCTTCAATATCGGTGGCCGGTTTAGGCTCATTGATACTCCAGGATATGGGGTCATGGGCACAAAGAAACAGGGAACAGAAATAACCAAATATCTTGTCAATAGAAAAGAACTAATGAAGGTTTATGTTTTGATTAATGCTGAGCATGGATTCACTGGGAACGACTATGAGGTAATATTTGGATTACTTGGAGCCCATGGAATACCATATAGTATTATTTTTACTAAAATTGACAAGCTTAAGAGGGCGAGTTTGGATAAACATATTCAAGAATTTGAAGAATTGATGAAGGAAAATGAAGTTGATGTATTACCTGATTATTTCTTTACTAGCTCTGAGCCAAAGCGAGGTAGAAGACAAGGAATTACGGAAGTAAGATTTGATTTCCTTAATGCTTGTGGATTTCAACTGAATATCAAGCCTAGTAAAACTGGTAAAAAAACCACCAGGGAATTATGATTAGAAGGCCAGGAAAGTATTACTGTTGTACATAAACATTTTTAATATAAGACTATTACTGTCAGTCATTCATAGTTTCCAATACATCCTTGATTAAATGGGCGCCCTTTGGATCTAGGTTCAATGCAATTGTAAACTCTTTAATGGCCTCTGTTTTTCTTCCAACTGTCTTATACAATTGACCAAGCAAGAAATGGACACTAGCTTCATCAGGAGCAACCGTCTTAAGTTTTTCAAACTCCGTCAACGAGGCCTCAATATGATGCAAAGAGTATAATAATTGGGCTTTCTTAAATAAGGCCAACGGGCTTGATGGTTGAAGTTCAGTGGCTAGTTGATACTGTTTTAACGCCAAATCTTTCTTGTTCAATTTCTCTAAAACCATACCAACACAACATATTAAAATAACATTAACAGGGTTGATATCACTAGCTTTACGGAAATGGTATTCTGCCTTTTGATATTCACCCAACTTTAAATAAACCATTCCAATACCGTAAAGTGCATTATAATGCTTTGGGTCATATAATAATGCATTTCTAAAGCTTTCGAGAGCATTTTCAAAAGCGTCATTGGAAACATATTCGTGACCTTGCAAAGTGTAAGCATACACAAATTTATTATCTACTTGAGTTGCTCTCTGAAAGCATTTGATAGCTTCATCATTTTCTCTTTGTAATGAGAACAAATTACCAATCGTCACCCAAGTTTGCGGACAAGTTTTGTTAATTTCATACATTTCGTGGGCCAAGTATCCCAACTCCACATCTTTTTGTAAATGCCAAAGTAAAGTGGAATAAAATTCCATATCCTCTACCCTGGTCCTATCCAATTTTCTAAGCCTAGTGAAATATAATTCGGCCTGCTCATAATTGACAATTTCAAAATTTAATCTTCCTAGCTTCCCTAAAACCCAAGGTGTTTCAATTTGAGAGTCGGGTAGCTGATCGAAAATCCTAATGGCCTTATAGCAATCATATCTTGACATAGCTTTCAACCCTTTGGACAATATTGAATATAAGGTCATCAACTGGAACTCTGCTTGGTCACTATATTCTTGTTTTCTGAGATCAAGAGAATTGTTTTTTCCTAAGATATTGGAGGTGCCAAGTTTTGTGCCTGTAGGATTAGATGGTGTGGTGTTACTGCTTTGTACCTTTGTGTTTCTTTTATTATCCCTTTTACCAAAAGTCACAGTATTATTTGCACTTCCCGAAGGGGTTGATTGGGTTATTAACCTTGAAGTGACCTTCGATGATGTAAATCTTGTTCCTAATCTCTGAATTGAATCAGTAATCTCGGTATGTCCGCCTCTGACATGTTTTCTAACTGGAGCATCAGGTAATGATGAATGTTTCAATCTTGGCGTTGAAAAAATATTAGTAACATTTGAATTCAACCCTCCATTATTTAGATCCTTTAGCGGATCATTATTTGAAAAATTGCTATTATTAAAAGAGCTATCTTCTGATTTATTGAAACTATTGGGTTTACTGAAAAACGCCTTTGGATTCATTGGAGCCAAACCAGGATTACCGGCCTTTGATTTATTTGTCATCGAGGCATAACCACCAGAAAGTATCGGCCTCGGTTTATATATTGATTTTGTGTTAACATTAGCTCCTATTTGACAAAGTTGTTCGAAAGAATCCCAAAGATATGGATTTAGTCTAAGTGCTTGAGAATGATAAATGGCACTTTCTTTAGTATCACCAATAGAACCATATAAACGACCTAATAAAGAAAAAACAACGGCAGCGTCAGGAGTTGATTTTCTGACAGTTTCATAATTTTCAAAAGTTTGCTGTTTCAAATCATAATCTTCTTCACTGTCATTAGTGCTATTCCAAAGATGTATTGTTTGCTGTAATGCCTCAATTCCATCCTTCTGAAGTTCAAGTTTCAACGCGCATCTTGCAAAAATATAGGCACACCCAGCGTGAATATGATTCGCAGTCACTCTGAAAGCCGTCTTATATTTGCCCCGACGATACAAAACGAGTCCATAAAGATAAATTGATTCAGAATCACCTTTGGAAGTAACGCCCACTAATCTTTCAGCTGTAAACTCAGCATTCTCGAGAAGACTATTATCCAACGAATACCAAATGGTTGAGCGAAGTCGCTGTATAACGTATGATTGAACGTTCATATGATTTTTTGTTATTGACTAGTTGTATATTCCTATTCAAAAGAGGTTTGAAGATACACGATTGATTTTGTGTCTGATTCTTTTTGGCTTTGTTTGTTTTTGTTTTTGTTTGTATTTTTTTTTTTTTTTTTTTTTTTGGTGTTTCATAACCACTAACTTAACAGATCGATTAGATCTTGGTTCGTTAATTAGCAATTGCATACTATGGATAGTGATATCATCAAAAAAAAAAAAACGATTCAAAATTGGTTAATTCACATACATATAATAATTATTGTATATTTTGAATAGTTGACTTATATGCCCACTAATGTCTTTTTTGTGTCATACTATATTACAAAGAAAGCCCAAATTGTAGAGAATTTTGAATTTTGATATTTTGTTAATGAATTGGAAATATCATAAAAAATTCTGATGAAAATGTAAAAAACAAACAAACAAACCATCCACATGTATCTAGAAGCTCAAGAATCCCATTAAAATGAAAAAAGTGAACAAAAAATAAATATCAGCACCAAATTACAATTTAGCTTTGACCTCGCCTCCTCTGGTAGCTTCCAAATTTATTTTTAGTTGACTAGTTTCATCCACTTGGCCATTTTCACCAAAGAAAACCACTACGACAGTTAGATCATCTCTGTAACGTCTAGAGAGCGGGGAAGGAATATTCAAGAGCATTTTACCATAATTACGATCACCAGTACCTAAAGTCAAAGCATTACGAACTAAATGAGTTGAAACGTTTTCATCCTCAATGATCAACTTTTTTTCGCTAAGGGTGTTTTCACGGTAAGGGGGTTTCAAAGCAGCCTTATTTTCAGTAATATCAATGACTTTTGGGAAACCCAAGCTCTTATCATCCTTGAATACATTGAAGGATGACAACATTGAAGATGTATGATCCTTGAAAATTTTCCTTTTCTCAGCCCATTTAATGACCAATCCAGCAATTTCCTCGTTAGTTAAAAGTTCAAAGAGACCATCAGTACCCAACACCAAGAAATCATTTCTGGATGGATTGATTTTTGTGGTGGTAACTACTGGTTCAGCAGTGACATATGGTGGAGTTTTTAAGTTGCCTGGAGGTGGATAGCTGAAAAATTGCTTATGAATTTTCTTTTGTAATTCTGCACCCCATTTGAATTTCCCATCACCAAACGCTCTACTTGGTTCAAGTCTACCAAGGACTCTGCCCCTGGTGACTGCATTAGGTTCCCCTGGATGCTCACTTCTAATTCTATCAGCTTCTTCTTGATTGGAACCTGTTTGGTCAATACTCAAAGACTTAACTGTCCACTGGTTTTTTTCATTTAAAGAACCGAGTAAAGCCCTAGAATCCCCAGTAACGGCAACTTTCAAAATTTGAGTGGTAGAATCATAAAAACTAAGCAAACCACAAGAACCAGAAAGACCAGGCATCAAAAATTCAGCAGCTTTAGGCTTATCATCAGCATGTTCTAACGCATTAGTAACATTCCCATAAATGATTTCATTGTCGAGTTTGAGGAAACCTTTCTTGATTGCTTGGTCGATTTCTTCTGAAGATGGAACAACACGAGCTTTAGGTTCGGTTTCAGATACTTTATACACAGAACTTAATTCAGTAACCACACAACCAATGAGTTCATCCCTCAATTTTGCGCTAGTATACCAACCAGAATGACCATCATATACACCCCAAAATGCCCAATCGGCCATTTCCAATTTACCAGTTTCGGGATTCTGGATAGGCACTTCAACAATTTGTTCGGATCTGTCGTCTTCAATCGGATTATTAGAAGGCAACTGAGAAATGTCGTACCTAAGGACCCCATTGTTACGGTTGACAGAATAACTTTCTTCATTACGTCTAAGCTTGGCATTTTCTTGTGTATCAGAGAGTAAAGTGATTTGTTGCTTCAATTGTTGCTGAGAGTTAGGACCAGCAGAGGAAGAAAAAGAGCGGGAACCGTTATCAGCAAGAACAACAGTACTGGTCTTTGGAACAGCTACATAGGTAAGAGCCAATATGACACCAGATACTGCTGCTGCTAAGTACGGGGCGCGTCTCATGGAAGATAGATAATTGCGATGAGAAGTCGAAGTGAAAGTGCGGATACCCATAGGCTGGGCAGTCAAGAGCAGCCTTAAAGCGGGAGACTTGGAAGCCGTAAGTTGGAACATCTCTCTTCCTAGTGGGAGGGGGCAGACTAGCGGTTTGGTCAATATATAGGAGATGGCGGTGATTTGTCGAATGGCAGTTTTTTCTTGAAGGGGTCGGGACCACTGTGTGCGCGCAGAAAATCGCGGAAATTACAATGCTTATTTGGGACGATTGAATAACTGATGGAACAGGTAGAAAAATACAGTAAAGAGACACTTTTTCTATTGGTTTTTCATGGGTGTAAAGTATATTGCTGTAATTCTCCTTAGTTTCCCAAAAATTCCTGTGGCTATTGGGCGCTGCCCCCTTTTGTCGGATGGTCCCGTGTTCGTGGTACATCTCAGGGATTGGGGGAATTTTTAATTTCACCAAATTTCTTTGTTAAAATTGCTGGCGTTGTCAATAACACAGCGCAACACAACACAACAACACACACATACACTCACCGATAATGGATGTCTCTAACGACTTTGTGAGGTTCCAGATCTTTGGTACCTGCTTCGAGGTCACCAGGAGATATACAAACTTGAACCCCGTGGGAATGGGGGCGTTTGGCCTCGTGTGTGCTGCCGATGATATCATCGAAGAACGGAAAGTGGCGATCAAGAAGATCATGAAACCTTTCTCCACGGACGTCTTGGCGAAGAGAACCTATAGAGAGTTGAAGCTTTTGAAGGAGTTGAGGCACGAGAACTTGATTTCCCTTAATGATATCTTCATCTCCCCGAGTGAAGACATATACTTCATCACTGATTTGCAAGGTACCGATTTGCATCGTCTTATCAAGTCCCGTCCTTTGCAGCCTCAATTTATAAAATATTTCCTTTATCAGATCCTCAGAGGTCTTAAATATGTCCACTCTGCTGGGGTTATCCACAGAGATTTGAAGCCTTCCAATATCTTGGTGAATGAAACCTGCGATTTGAAAATTTGTGACTTCGGTTTGGCTAGAGTCCAAGATCCCCAAATGACTGGGTATGTATCCACCAGATTCTACAGAGCTCCAGAGATCATGTTGACATGGCAAAAGTACGATACAAAAGTGGATATTTGGTCTGCTGCTTGTATCTTTTCAGAAATGATTGAATCTAAACCTCTTTTCCCAGGTAATGACCATGTTCACCAATTCTCAATCATTACGGAATTGTTAGGCACTCCTCCAAGAAACGTCATTGAGACAATTACTTCCGAAAACACCTTGAATTTTGTATCAAGTTTGCCTACTCGTGAACCTGTGCCGTTAACCGAAAGATTCAAAAACATTGATCCTCAAGCGGTGGATTTGTTGTCAAAAATGCTCGTTTTTGATCCAAAGCTGAGAATATCTGCAGAAGAAGCCCTTGAGCATCCTTATCTTGAGGCATTCCACGATCCAGATGATGAACCTGTTGCGGAACACATCTTTGACTGGAGTTTTACTGAAGCTGATTTGCCAGTTGAGACTTGGAGAGCAATGATGTATGGTGAAGTGATAGATTTTCACCAAACGGACCCAGGTTTCGACCCAAGAGCCTTCAGTTACACAAACGGAATCTCTGAAACTACAGTTTCCATGCAAGAAGCCTTTTTCAAGGCTGAGATTCAGCAAGCATAAGTCATTTCTCATGTTGAAAACGTTGAAGCTGCTTAGACTAGGCTACCTAAATTTTGGGTGATACAGCATCAATGAACTTTGATTGGAGATGTTAGTTTATAGATTATGTTCAATTTCGTTACTGTTTTTTTTTTTTTTCTCTCTCTCTTCTTTTTTTTGAAGTTCAACCAGGTCCATCACACGATATAATACAAAAGACACTGAGAATGGTGATTTTGAAAATCATCAGATATAAATAAATATATGACCGAAACTTTGGTCCAATAACAGATAGACATTTGTTTGGTAAACTCCTATTTAGATATTGGCTGAAAAGCAAAGCAAGAAAAAAGGAAAAGAAAAAGCCCTTAGCAATGTCTTTTGAAGGTCCAGCCATCATGCTATTAATGGAAAACAATTATCTTAAATAGGGAGTGTGCATTATTGTGATAATTATTTATAGGTTTATCGTGATTTATTTATATACACCTATGTGCTACGCGCACGACAAACAGCAGGAATTTTTTTTGTTGTTTGTTTGGAGGAAGGGCGGGTGACGGAGAGCAGGTGATTTCAAAAGAAAGAAAACCAACAAGCTTAGGGGACAAATCAATCGATAATAATAATAAACAACAAACAACACCTTGAACCAGACTCTGCCAACTAACAAAGCATCGTGAGCCAGTACTGCTTGTTTCAATAGTAGCTTTTTTCTATTGAAAAATTTGCCTTTGTTTTTTCTTTTTCTTTGTTGCCTTTGTTTTTCTGTTGTCTGTTGTTCAGTTAAGATCAAATTTTCATCAATTGGTTACTCTGTGAGAAGCTCCACAGAGGAAAACACTGTGCCTTATCGCTCTTTCAATTCTTCATTTCTCTCAGCTGCATTAGTTCTAACTTATTCTTCACTTCTTTCCCACGAGATTGCTCTTTCTTTCCATCTGTTCTTTTCTTCCCTTTTATAAGTGCGCAGGGATCAAAAAACGAAAAAAAAAAAAATCAGATCAACTAGACACCCACACAACATCGAACATATACCCCCATCTTAAACAATGAATTCGTTGTCCCCTGATTACCCAAAGGCGTCACCTCTTAGAACATCTTGTGGAAGATTGTCAGTAATAGGAGTGGTGGTGTTTGTGCTTCTACTAACTTCAAAATTATTGTTTTTTGGATCCCTATACATTCCTAACTTCGACAAGGTGGAAAATACTGAATACTACGATTTGATGGATGCTCATGGCTATAAAGATGGCTGGCGTCGTGAAGAGCGTGTGCTCTTTTGTGTGCCATTGAGAGATGCCTCTCCCCATCTTCCAATGTTTTTCAATCATATGAGAAACTTAACTTACCCACATCATCTCATTGATTTGGCCTTTTTGGTTTCCGATTCTTCTGATAATACCATGGGCGATCTCAAACAACATATTAATGATATACAAAATGATCCTGATGTCAGTGTCCGCTTTGGGGAGATTGAAATTTTCGAAAAGGACTTTGGTCAAAGTATCGGTCAAGGTTTTAGTGATCGTCATGGTTTTGCTGCACAAGGCCCGAGAAGAAAATTGATGGCTAGAGCGCGTAACTGGTTATGGACAGTTGCTATTAAACCCTACCATTCCTGGGTTTATTGGAGAGATGCTGACGTGGAAACTGTTCCTGGCGAAATTCTCGAAGATTTGATGCACCACGACAAAGATGTGATTGTACCAAATGTGTGGCGTCCATTGCCAGACTGGTTGGGTAATCAACAACCGTATGATTTGAATTCCTGGCAAGAATCTGATGGTGGTTTACAATTGGCCAACACTCTTGATGAGGATGCCGTTATTGTTGAGGGTTATGTTGAATATTCGACTTGGAGACCACATTTAGCTTATTTGCGTGATCCATATGGTGATATTGAGGTCGAAATGCCATTAGACGGTATTGGTGGTGTTTCTATTTTGTGTAGAGCTTCTGTATTCCGTGCTGGTTCGCATTTCCCGGCGTTTTCTTTTGAGAAACATGCTGAGACTGAAGCTTTTGGTAAACTTTCAAAAAGAATGGGTTTCTCGGTCTATGGTTTGCCTCATTATGTCATCTGGCATATTTACGAACCTTCTAGTGATGATTTGAAACATATGGAATGGATGGCCCAAGAAGAAGCTAAACAAAAGGAAGAAGAGAAGCTTAGAGGGATTTATGATAAGATTTGGAATGAAGGTTTTGAAGATGTTCAGGATTCTTGGAAGGCCGATAAGATCAACATCATGAAAAATACTGACATGAGTGGCCATCGTAAGATTGTGGTTGATTGGAGTGGAGTCGATGAGGAAGAATACTTTAAAAAGTCAGTACCTATTAAGAATGTTGTTGATGGAAATGGTGAACCAATTATTGCTGGTGCTGATGCTGTATCGGGTGACAAAGCAGCTGCTGATGATGAAACACAGCTAACTGAAAAGGATATCTTGGCTAATTTTGATCCAACCAAAGAATGATCCATAGCCTTGCGTCGCTTCAAATATTCTTCTTTTTAGTATTATGCATTTTAATTTGTTGAAAGCTACTCTAAATTTCTAGTTACAGATATTCTGTACATTCTCCTTTTTTTTTTTTTTTCAAGTTTCCTGGCTCCTTGTTTCTTATATTTGTTATCTCATCATTTGTTTTTTTCTTCCTTCTCTATCTTTCTCGATATATACAGTATAGTTATTGTTTAAAAAGCTGTCTTTATTTATACGTTATTGATTTTCGTTGTTATAACTCAAACTGAGAAACCCAAGTGGTTTAAGCTATTTTCCTTGCTTGTTAATTTTATTTGTTTTATATCTGTTTATGTATCTGTTTATATATATGTTTGTGTATTTGTTTCTCAAAAGATCATCAATTTTTGAAGCAAATAGTATGTCTAAAATTGAGAAAACCAAGTGATCACATCAGAAACACATTTCTCTTTGGCATACTTCACAACGGGGTCCTTAATATCTCCCTTAATTGCAAATCCATGTGACACACCACTAAACAAATCCATTTGAAATCTGATATTGTTCTTTATCAAAATCTCTTCTGTCTTGTGTCTCAATTCTGGTGTGAACCTAGCATCAGTTTGAGCAGCACTTATCATGAATGGCTTAGTGATTCTCTCAACTGATTCAATGGTGACTGCTGTTGGATGAGCAACTGCTCCAGCAGTCAATAGCCCATAATCAGTTAGTTCACTGACCACGGATGGGGCCCCAAAACAATAACCCACACTGAAAAACTTAGCTTTTCCACCAACATGTTTCTTCAACTCAATCAAAAATTTGTGATACACTGGTAATGTAACCTCCAGGCCATGGTTTTCTTTCCATTTCTTAAGCCCTTCTGGGCCACCGGATAAATCTACTGGATCCCCAAGAAGAATATCTGGTACTACCACGTAAAAACCTGCCTTGGCAAATTCATCGGCAATCAAATTGGTGTTGAGGAAATCATATCCAAAGATGTCAACCGCAATGATTATAACTTTTTGTGATTCGATGTCACCAGTCTCATAAGTGGGAAGCCCATAGAGGTCCTTGTGGAGGGTACCTTTTCTCTTACCCTCTGTCAACAACAGTGCTAGGTTAGTGAGTGTGGAGATTTCAAAGCTTGTTTTCAAGTGACATACCGTGAATTGTATGAGGTAAACAGCAAGCGGAAGGAGGTAACGATGCCATTGTGGAATATCGAATAACGATAATAATATAATAGATTTCAACATCCAAAAGGTATCAGAAAAGAAGGTTTCAACCAAAAGTCTGGTTACGCAGCCCCTCCGCGAAAATCAACAGAAAAAAAAATTACTGTGGAATAATACGATGACTACTACTCTTTGACCACCCTGACACAAACAACAAGATATCAAGTAATAATAAAAGATGGCACCAGCCACTAGTTTGTCCTCTACGGCATTGACCCCTTATATCAAGTCTCTTTTGCTTAGCCCCCCAAACTTGACCCCTAATGATTTGGCAGTGGCATTGCGGTTGATTTTCCAGCAGATCCCTTCTGATATTCAAGTTGCTTCATTCTTGACTGCTTTATCATTGTCCAAACTCGACAAAGACGCCAAGTACATCTCAACTGCCGTGCAAACTATATTGGAATTCTCAGATGTGCCTAATATCAACTCACTGTATTGTGCAGGGAGAATATTTACAGATATCGTGGGCACTGGGGGAGACGGTCAAAACACTTTCAACGTATCTACATCATCTGCAATTGTTGTTGCAGGTATCCCAAACACTAATGTTGTGGTAACAAAACACGGGGGTAAAGCCTCGACTAGTAACTCTGGTGCTGGGGATTTAATTGCCCGCTTGGGTATCAATACCGCGAAAATCAATGCCAAAACCATTCCAAAATTAATCGAGGAAGATAATAATAAATTTATCTTTTTGTTTGCTCCGAGTTTCCATAATGGTATGAGAATCGTTGCCGATGTGAGAAAACAACTCGGGATACCGTCAATATTCAACATTTTGGGTCCGTTATTGAACCCAATTAGACTACAATCCAGGGTGTTGGGGGTTTTCTCCGAGGAGTTGGGGTACATTTATGCGCAAACAGCAAAGGAGTTATACCCTAAATTATCCGCTGATGAGCTAAATGGATCAAATAAGTATAGCACTATTGTTGTTTGGGGTGAGGTTGGATTGGACGAGGTTTCGCCAATTGGAAGAAGCAAGATCTGGTATATCGATCCAATCTCCGGAGAGATACAAACTGAATACATTAGTCCAAAGGACTTTGGGTTACCTGAACACTCCTTGGAATCAGTAAGATCAGGAACACCACAAGAAAATGCCAATGTTTTAATGAGGATTTTGAAAGGTGATACGACTCCAGCAGATAAGCCAATAGTCGATTACATTTTGATGAACAGTAGTGTTTTGGCGGTCAGTAGCGGTATTGCCGCAGACTGGAAGGACGGGGTTAGACTAGCAAAAGAGAGTCTTAAAACTGGCGGCGCATTAGAAGCCCTTGTTCATTTATGTGAAAAAGTTGATCAATTATAGATTTGAATTTTCTATTTATTTTTGAATGAGTTTAATGTGTTATTTATTTGGTTTAGATTGTTTTGTAAGTAGAAAGAGAGAAAAGTAACGGCTGGACCCTGCGAATTTTTCTCTTTAAAATACCGATTACTGATCCATTCACTGAGGAAATACGATTACACTATATGCAGGAGCTATTTGAATAAACATATAATATACTTGAACGTATTATTGGTACAGCATTGTTATAAAATCAATAAATTCAATAAGAAAATTAAAAGCCAAAAATGGAAAACAAATGGAGCAACAAAAAAAACAACAAGATGAATTATGATCCATACGTATAGCCCTTTTGAAAAACATTACCAATACAAACTAATCAAACTTTCGCCCTCTTATTCCCAGTTCCGTCGCTAACAGTCGATAACGCACTTCGTTTCCCACTAACTGGTGCAGGAGTGACCGAAGGAGCAGGAGAATTCCTGCTATCGCTCTCCTTATCCTTATCCTTGTTCCTTTTCTCCCTTTTCCTCTTGAGGGCATTTGGACCTTCGAATTCACGAGTTAATGCCAATAATAAAGTATTTGTTCTTCTGCCCAATTCTTGAGCAGTTCTGCTTTGGAAGAACCAATCAAATTTGAACAAATCACTTTCTTTGAGACTCTCTTTAATTTTATCGTATAAGTTCTCAGTAGTCAAGCCAAACTTATTGACCATCACTAATAAATAGCGATCTTCCAATTCCGTGTATATACGCTTTGAATTGTTTGGAGGATACTGGATTTGAAGTTGTTGAAGTGGAGCATCGTACTGAGATATTTTCCTGGCAAGTAGGTCTTTTTGTAAATTAATCTTATGAAATTTCTTTTCCCCTGCTTCAATTTGCGCAATGTACTTTGCATAACCATCAATTTCCTCATAATTCTTCCAAAAAACCTCGGAATACTTCTTAACATCTTCAGGTGTTTTATTACCCAATTCACCAGCAATTTGCTTATGTTGATGTCTGCCAAATTTAGCGGCAGAGTGGACAAAATTTGTGAAATCACGTCTTGTCCAATTAGCGAATGCCTGGTCACTATATTTCTTTTTCAATTCTTCTTCTTCAGCAGTCAAAGGCTCAGCCTTATTGACCTTCTGCTGTTCAAGTTTTCTCTTTGCTTCTCTAGTTTTCCGCTGCTCTTTAGTCTTATTGGTCGAATCTTCTTCATCATCAGTGTCGAGATACTCATCGTCTGAAGAATTATAACCAGCCTTCTTATCATTCAGGACAGATTTATTATCGCCATCATCCAACGGGATATCAGATAATGGAACTCTATAGCCAATCAGTCTTTTATAATATAGCGTTTCCTTTTCAATCAAATCACGGAATTCTTTAGGATAAAATTGATGATCCTGAATATGAACAGTTTTTGGAGCTTTTGGAGTTTTCCCCCCTGGTAATTTCGCTTGATGCAACACATCTTTATAATACCCATCAACCGAATAGGTTTGTTCTTTCCGTTCTCTTTTTGATGGATTGATCCAAAACTGTTTATCTTTTTCATTATTTTTTTTGGAGAAATTCTCACCATTCCATTCATATGCACTGGAATCCGAAGTGAATTTCTGCAAATCGTCCAAACCTAATTTATTAAACTTTTCATTCAATTTGCTAGTTTTTGTTTCGGATTTGGCGAGGATAGATTCAATATCTTCGTTTAGATCAAAGGTGGATTTATCACTTTCAAACACGCTTTTTGCACCATGTTGAATCATACTCAACAAATCATCCTTATTATCACCCACTTTGTTCTTCGCCATTGCTGCGGAACTATTATGCATTCTACCTTGTTGAATAACTAATTGATCCAACCTCAATTTTTGAGTTGCTCTTTCAAGAACTTTTTCTTCAATGGCATTTTCCGTAACAAATCTATAAACCTCTACCTGTTTCTTTTGACCAATTCTATGGGCTCTATCCATGGCCTGTAAATCTGCCTGAGGGTTCCAGTCAGAATCAAACAATACCACAATGTTAGCAGTGGTCAAATTAATACCTAAACCACCGGCTCTGGTGGTCAACAAAAACACGAATTTGGAAGAGTCAGGTTTATTATATTCATCAATTGCATCAATTCTATCTTCATGAGCAGTAGAACCATCAATTCTACAGTATTCATAACCTCTGAAATAACAATAATCTTCCAAAATATCTAGCAACCGACTCATCTGACTGAAAATTAATACTCGCGAGCCCTCTGCTTTGAATTTTTTCAAAAGTTTATCCAAAATCTGCAATTTACCACTATTATAAACTAAATGCTCATCAGTGGTATATGGAGGCCCTGGTTCTGCACCTTCAAAAAGGTAAGGATGGTTACAACATTTTCTTAATTGCATGACTATGTTTAATAACCTGGTTTTACCTTCTCTTTTCCCCACCGCACCATTGACAGCATCAATATCTTTCTCTAGAAGGCGTTTATACCATTTGACTTGCATTTCTGACATACCAACGTATAAATTCAACTCCTTCTTTGGTAGCAATGATTTTTCCACATCCGCTTTAACTCTTCGAAGCAAAAATGGACTCAATATCTGGTGTAATTTGTCGATCATTTTAGAATCCTCCTCTTTAGTTTGATCTTCATCTGCGGCAAACCATTGATCAAAGACTTCTGAATCACCAAAAACATCGGGTAATAGGAAATTCAATAATGCCCAAAGTTCGTGCAAATTATTTTGTAATGGGGTGCCTGTAATTAGGAGTCTATTATTGGAATAAAACAATCGGATGATTTGTGATAATGAGCTTTCTTCGTTTTTAATTCTGTGTGCCTCATCGACAACAATATACTGCCAGCGGAATTTTTTCAATTGACTTTTTTCTCTAATGACCGTCTCAAAACTGGTGACCACGACATCAAAATCACAAGCCAACAATTTATTATGAATGATATTTTGCCTCTCGTCTTTATTACCTTTGAATAACAAGACATTAACATCCGGAGTCCATTTAGCAAACTCACGTTTCCAATTATCTAGAGTGGATTTTGGAACAATCACAATATGTGGACCTTTGATGCCTTTTACATATCTTAGGTACCCTAAAAACGAAATTGTCTGTAAAGTTTTACCCAACCCCATTTCATCAGCCAAAATACCCGATAAACAATTCTCATGCAATGTGATTAACCAGTTCAAACCCTGGATCTGGTAGTCTCTTAGCGTACCATCGATAAATGAGGGCGATTCGGAAATAATGGTTTCCTGGTGATCCAATTCTTCTTCTTCATCATGCAATAATTCCATGTCTTCCTCCTTCTCGGTCTTACGACGACGACCAGATTTTTCAGATTTCTTTTTAGATTTTTTAGATTTTAAGCCAATTGAGTTCTCATAATCCCCAATGACTTTCTTGAGGTATAAGTCCTTTTTTACTTTCACATCGATGAAATCTCTGAATAAACCTGATAAGGAAAGAAGGTATTTGAATCTCTTAACAGTATCACCACGATTCTAATAGATTAATGTTAGTCAAAGAATTACAAAACCATAGCACGTTTTCTTCCTCGTGTTTTTGTTGCTCTCGCAAAAATGCTTCCTGGAGAAGAAAAATCATAAAACGCGTTATTCTCAAACACGAGAATATAAGAAAACGATAATAATGAAGTATACTCACTTTAAGTCTCTCGGCCTTTGGTTCTTGGTCCAAAAAATATTTTTTTTTTTTTCATCAAGTGAAACTTCATCAGGCGTGGAGTCTTGTTTCTGTTTATTTGATATTTCATCGCCGTCATCACTATTCTTATCACCATCATCATCGCAGTCCTGTAGGACTTCCTCTTCCTCTTCGTGTTTCTCACTAAGTTCTTTTTCAAGCCTTCTCTTTTCCATGAGAGCAGCTCGAGCTTTTGCTCCTTGTTTAGACCTGGTCTTCGATGCGCCTCTAGCCTAATTTATTGTTAGCTTCATTAAAAAAAAAAAGTCACTCCATGAATAAACGGTTTGAAATATACCAGATCCACGAATCAATCGATCTCGAAGAATAGTAAGAAAAACTTGACATCACAGGTGATAAAATAACATTTCACATACCATTTTACACACAGAAAAAAAGTTCTTGCTGGCCACTTGGAATTAAACGGATGTTCCAGTGGGCATAAAGTTAGGAAATTCACAAAAACTTTTTTCTTTTCTGAAAAAACTAAGGTGGATGTTTATTATGTGCAGAAGCCCCGATGCTGCAGGCTATAAGCAAGTGATAGACGCGCTACAAATCACACAAAAACCCATTCGATGGGACTTATTCAACCAAACATTTCTCCATATATATTACTTGCAATCGTAGCAGTCACACATAAACCATGATGAAATCTACAAAAAAGAAAAAAAAAAGTAAAAATAAATGCATTGGCCGTTAGGTGTGCCTGTGATTAATTAATGACGTCTTAAACAACCTAATAATATATTTTATTGACACCCTGGATAGAACATTAAAAACCAAAAACCAATAAAATAAGAGCTTGAGAAATCAAAAAATTTGAACTTTCTAATAATGTGAAATAGGACGAGTATTGATATCCGCATATGGATAAAGTCGATGATCTATAAAGGAAAAGAGATTCATAGCTTATAATCTAGTTATTCGTTTTCAGCCAAGAACTTTTCAGCTTCCAAAGCAGCCATACAACCGGTACCGGCACTAGTGATAGCTTGTCTGTACTTCTTATCTTGGACATCACCAGCAGCAAAAACACCTGGAATGGAAGTGGTTGCAGTACCTGGAACGGTCTTAATGTAACCATCTTCATCGGTTTCGAGTTGACCACCGAAAACATTGGTAGCAGGAGTGTGCCCAATAGCGTAGAACAACCCATTGATTGGCAAGTCTTTTTCTTCGCCAGAATTAACATTCTTGATCTTAAGGGCATTCAAAAGTTTACTGTCACCCTTGGCTTCAACAGAAACGGTGTTATAGAGGATTTCTAACTTCTCATTCTTTTGAACTCTTCTTTGCATAATGGTAGAAGCTCTAAGATGATCTTTTCTAACAATCATGTAAACCTTGGAACCATACTTTGTCAAAAACAAGGCTTCTTCACAAGCAGAATCACCCCCACCAATGACGGCCAAAGGCTTGTTTCTGAAGATTGGAACAGCACCATCACAAACAGCACAAGCAGAAATACCTTGTTGCCAGTATTGGTCTTCTCCTGGTAAATGCAATCTTTTAGCGGAGGCACCAGTGGCGATAACCACAGTATCGGTGGTGATTGGTTCAGCGTCTTCATTCCATTCGGTCCATAACTTGAAAGGTCTTGAGCTGAAATCAACCTTAGAAATAGTTTCAGTGATGATTTGTGTGCCGAATCTTTCAGATTGTTTTCTCATTTCATCCATAAGAGCACTACCATTAATACCATTAGGGAAACCTGGAAAGTTTTCGATGTCTGTGGTGGTAGTCAATTGACCACCGGCAGCAATACCGTTGGCAAGCATGCCTTCATACATAGTGGTCTTGATTTCAGCTCTGGTCAAGTAGATGGCAGCGGTGTGGGCGGCTGGACCTGACCCAATTACGGTGGCTTGGTGGTGGACCATTTTTTTGAATATTGTTGATATAGTTCGTTGGAAAGGAATTTTGGACAGCGTGAAAAGAATTGTATTCTATTAGAGAACGATTCTCGATTAATAAAAAAGTGATGACAGGAAAAGTGCTAACTTATGAAATCTCCAGGAGTCAAGACCGCACCTATTTAAACCCCAATTTTTTATATTTGAATTTTTGTCAGCATCGGGGGCAGCAGTCCGGGTGACCGGTGCCGGCATTAGTCAGGCGGTCTGATCTAGAGGGAACGCAGTGTCTGGACTGCCAGCGATTAATAACAATCATTTTGCTAACACAAACTCTTTGATGATGGCACTGCGGCTGAACACCGGGTTCAACATCACACTGCTGAGGAAGTATTCAAGCCCCATACGGCGTTTCTGCAAGAAGTCGTTGTCAAGGTTGTTGAAGAACCGCTTCTGGGGTAGGTCGGGCACCTCTGGCTTGTTCCTTGGGAAGTACCGTATCAACAACTCCCGAAGGTTCACGAAGTCACTGTAACGCTTGTAGATGGTGTACTTACTACCGGCAGAAGTCTCGATCGTGATGGTCCACACAGCATACCTGTATGCGCCTGATCCTCGGACCAACGTGCAATCACCAATGTAGAGATTCCGGGCCCATGGTTGACCCGAAGGAGACAAGGGGCTTGTCACAGTAGCGATGTCCTGGCCTTCGCCAACAGAGTCTGAAGAAGCATCGCCAGCGTTGTTGACCAACTGGATGTGTATCGGCGGCTGATTCGCAAGCCTGATTTGCGTGCTGTTAGCTCTTTGTCTCATCAGTCAGTAAAGGCTTATTTATGATTTGCAAACAGCACTTCCCGAATAAAATTGGGTCACAGTTCTGAAGAGGCGGGAGTGAATATGGAAACACCCTAGGTATCTAAATAGCTATCACTAACGAATGAAAGACGATTGCTCTTCCCCAACACACAAAGAAACTGATTGCCCTTTTAAAGATTTTTTTTATATTTTATTTTTTCTCTGCAGGAAAAAAAAAGGTAGCTGTGAAGTGAAATGACAACATCAATCAATCAACCATCCTCAGAAAAGCAAAAATATTCCACAACAGCCAAACAGAAACCTGGAGATATTGCTTCATCATTTAAGTTTGGTTTACAAGAAAGGAATTGCCGAATTATATTTTATTCTAGGTTTTCTGATTTGTATCTATCTAAAAGGTCATTAATTGGTTTGTATCTGAAAAAAAATATATGAAAAAAAAGCAAGATTAGTTAAAGGATCTCAAGGCTTGGTCAAAATCTTCGATCAAATCTTCGACATTTTCGATCCCGACACTGATTCTAAGGATAGTCTTTGCTGCGTCAGCATTACTAAGAGCTCTCCATTCAATCAAACTTTCAACACCTCCTAAAGAAGTAGCATGGTGGAAATACTTAAGTTTTGAAGGGAATACTCTGGCAATTTCAGCATCAGTGACTTCAATAGTGAACACTGGGCCAAATCCATTAGGCAATTGCTTCTTAACAAAAGCTTCAGTTTGCAAGGAAGAATGGGAAATTTTGTCCAAAACCTTGTACTCTCCCTTCTTATCAGCCAAATATTTAACCAATTTTTCAGCATTTGAAGATTGTTGTCTGATTCTGAGCTCATAAGTTCTCAATGATCTAAGCAACAAAAATGCGTCCAAGTTAGAAATGTTGCTGGCAAGATAGATTCTATCTTCCAAAAGTTGATGTCTAGTTTTGCTGTCCTTAACCACCAAAACACCAGCCAACAAGTCAGAGTGACCACCGAAATATTTAGTACCGGAATGCATGACAACATCAGCGCCAAAAGCAAAAGGATCTTGCAAAGGATAAGGAGCAAATGTCGAGTCAACAGACAAGAAAGCACCCTTTTCATGGGCCTTTTGAGCATAATAAGAGATGTCAAAAGAAGTACCATCAGGGTTGACAGGGGTTTCAAGATGCAACAAATCACCTGCTTGCAAGTACTTGTCGAGATCTTCGTCGCTCAAGGTATGTTGCTCCAAAGCACCCCATCTGGTCATCAAGTTAGCCATTCCGTGACAACCATGGTAGCATCTGTCAAAAAAGATTCTCTTAGGATGGTAGTGGAAAAGCAAAGCATTAAAAGAGGCAAGACCAGTGTTATACAACACAGTTGGGCGGCCCAAGAAACCGGTCATAAGAGCTTCAGCAGATTCGGAATTTGGATGGGAGATACGAGAGTAAATTGGGCTACCATTAGCAACCCATCCTTCCTCACTTTCCACTTCTTCAGCAGTAACAAGCTTAGCAGGGTCTTCTGGGTATTTGAAGGTCGCAGCAACATTGATTGGTGGAGCAACATCAGGGACCCTTGAGGTCTCGTCGTCACAGTGAATAAGTTTAGTTTGACTACCGGCCATCTTTAATATTTTTGGTTATTGTTATTTGTGTTTTGATAAAGAACAGAATTTTTTTTTGGAAGGACGGGGGGAGGGGGGGGACCTTGTGGGGGCTTTATATAGTAGTACTCGCTGTGTCTTGAAACGAATATCGGTTCCTATTTCCCATAGGGATCTATTTGTCATATAGATAAGAGATAGGGTAAGGCGCGCTGGAAGAGTTATTGTATACTTTAATCATCATGCCACTGAGGTCTAGCTTTAATAGGTCGATAATCTGAGATAACTGATCAGGTAATACAGTTCGCAATAATATTAGGATAGCTTCTTCAAGATGATTATCAGCGCAACCCCCCGGTAACCCACAAAAAGACGGGTGGAAAACAAAGAAAAAAAATGGATAAAAATGCATGGTTACGAGCACGCCACCAATAACTAAGCGATGCTCCAAATCTACGGGTCTTCTCTCAAAAAAGAAAAATTGCAATCTTCCAGAATCCAAAGAGAGAGAGTGTGTGTGTAATAAATACCATACTACCCAATAAAATGGAATTCCTCAAAGGCAAAGTCAGTCTATATAAAGCTTTGTGGCTCAAATGGAGATCACTTAAGAGCATCCCATTCCGCAAAAAGTTTTTCATCGGTAAGTTTTCCATTGGTATAAATATCGTGTATCCAAAAGGATTTATCCAATTCTATTAACACCACCAAAAGGGTATGATCTCAAAGGCAACACATACTGGGAATTCTATCTTGAATCATCCCAGGAAAGAATGAGACGTATAGTTGAATATCGTAACCCTGCACCACATTATGAACAATCAGCAACCTCACAGGACCTTCCACCACAGTGTATGATGTGGTTACGCCGAACCAGACCTGATTTCCCAACATTAGAAGAGTTGCAAGGAGATCTAATCAGGCAGCAGAGGATGAAAATATTGGCAGCACAGGCAGATGAACGCTGGAGACAAGGTTCGTTGTTGCAGAATCCTGGTTTGACAAAGGAGCAACAGGAGAGATTAAATATTATCACCGGAGGCTTGCACAACAATAATAGTACGAAACCAGAACAGGAACAAGCCACCAAAGAACCAAATCAAGTGAAAGAAGAAAAATCAGAATCTCCATTTTCTACCGGACAAGCGAATGATCCTATCGAGGAGGCCGTGATGAAACCCCATAGGAGGTGAAAAATCTATCTGAAAGTGAAGTCTTTTATTGGTCATCAGTTCTATTTTTTAAACAAGTCTGTTTCTTCTCTTCATTTATTTCAAAAGATCTTGTATATAGAACCACCTTTTTTTTTTTCTCTTTTTGAGTTACACTACACTGCAGGCACAATATGATGAAAAAAAAAAAAAAAAACAAGGCAGAAATGTTTATTGATATTTTACAATTGGCTCGAATTTTCTTTGATGATTTTATCGTAAGAATATGCTAGCGAATGATATAAACCAGCGGTCGAACATACCTAGTGGTATGTATTCCCAAGCATTGTGGACAAAATTGCTTTTATTACAACAAGACGTCGCGCATGCACAAGATTGACAATTATTCCTACCTAATAGAAAAACTTCATCATCAGCATAAGAAACTATTCACCATAATCATCCAAATAACATACTTGTTTCTTTTTTTTTCCCTGTCTTTGACTACTGATTCAACACTGGTGACTTGGATCACCATAATATTCAAAAGGCTCCATCTGAGACACATACACACACATACACACGTGCAGGCATCGATCCCATCACGTAATTTGGAAGGTCCCATCAGCAATCAATATTTCTCAAAAAAGCTTTGCAAACATCTCTATGAAATATCTTTTTATAATAAGAAACCAATTATATGCATAACAGGCAGTAATAAGGAATTTTTGCTTTCGATCATTTTAAGCAAATTAGAGACAATTCGGAACCAGCACGAGAGTCGCCCGTCGCAAAATCAGTATGAATGGCTCTGAATCATTGGATTATCAACAATTAACAAAGGACAGATTAGTACCTACTCAGCATGAAAATCCTTTCCATAATCAGCTTTTAAATCTGCTGGTATCAGAACCTCTTCCATCAATCATTACTCCACTAGAAACACCAGTTACAGCTCCTCGAATAAGCGCCAGTAGCTTACCATCACCACGTACTAAGTCCCATTCGAAAACTCGACGATCAAAATCATTGGTATCATTGGATATAAAAGTTATCAATGACGCAGTTCTTCATTGGAAGTCCCTGCTTTCCTCGAAATTCCCACACTGGTACGTCAAGTCATCTACAACGATTGAAGGAGCACCCAATGAAATATATTATTCGGTATTCAAGCAATGCACCAAATATCCACCTTTAAAGCATATGCCTCCAGAAGGACTCTTCAACAGCGGTCCCACGAAAAGAGCACAATTTGATGCTATTGTTGAAGACGCAATAACAGCGAAAGAAGAATTTGATATTGAACCCCAAATAATCCCTGCTGGCTCTTCCGGAAGTTATTTTATCTATAGCACTAGCCGCGAGATTGTCGGGGTTTTCAAACCAAAGGATGAAGAACCGTACGGTCCATTGTCTCCAAAATGGGCAAAATGGATCCATAGAAACTTGTTCCCGTTTTTCTTTGGAAGAAGTTGTTTGATACCCAATTTGGGTTATATTTGTGAAGCGGCTACCAGTCTTTTGGACCGTCAACTACAGACTCATATCGTTCCTTACTCCGATACTGTTTTCCTATCGTCACCTAATTTTTATTATAAATATTTTACTAGAAGAAAATACACTGAGCTTGAGCTCCCCAAGAAGGTTGGATCTTTCCAATTATTTTTACACGGGTACATGGAAGCAGACAAGTTTTTTAAAAAGTTCCCGTTTCCTGGAAGTAATCAAAGAAACGGACAAGCTAAGTTCCCTGTATATGAATACTTGGATGATGAGGGTATTTCGGAGCAATTATATTTCGAATGGGCTCCTGGGGTTATCCAACAATTTCGAGAAGAACTTGAGAAGTTGGTGATTTTGGACTACATTATTAGAAATACTGACCGAGGATTAGATAATTGGATGATTGGGATTGAATGGGTCAATAGTTTTAACTCGGTCACTGGGGAAGCAATTAAAACCCCCAAACTTAAAATAGGTGCTATTGATTCTGGTCTTTCCTGGCCTTGGAAACATCCCGATGAATGGCGATCGTTCCCATTTGGTTGGTTATTTCTTCCTTTACAAATCATTGGCAACCCTTTCTCTGAAAATACTAGGAAGCATTTTTTACCAATATTGACTTCGGTAGCATGGTGGGAAGAAAGCAAAGTATTATTCCGTCAGATTTTTTCCAGAGATGATGATTTCAAAGAGAGAATGTGGAAAAAACAATGGGCGGTGATGAAAGGTCAAGCTTTCAATGTGGTGGAATGCTTGAAGAATCCGAGCGAGGGTCCATTGGAGTTAGCTAGAAGAACCCGGGTGGTGGTATTAGATGATGAAATTGAAATCCCGGTTCAAGTGCCAATCTCTACCATTTCTAAGACGCCAATAGTGAGTGGGGAAATCAACTCTCCACTTTCATCTGTACATTATTTGAACCCAAGTAATGTAACTGATTCTTCGAAAAAGAAAGTTATGAAGAGTAAAATTGGTACGATTCCTGAGCTCGAACACGATGAATGTGTCAATGGTTCAATATCAAACAAGGTATATGAAGGATCTCCAATAGATGGTAAGTCGAAAATCCCGATTTCATCACTAATATCGATCAACGGGAAAACTGATGATGAAGATCCTTTTGAAGATAATTACGAAGTGGATCTAGAAGAATTAAATATTTTACAATCTAGCTGGACAGAATTGCTCCACGGTGTCATCAGTGACCAAGCATTCGAATCGACCAAGAATCAACAACTTACAAGTAATGAAAGTGTTACAAATTGGACACCTCAAAAGCAACCTGGTGCAATTGATACAGATTATAGAGTGGGTCTTTTGATGAAAAAGACCCAAGCCACTAAAAGAATGATTGTAGAAAAGCTTGAGCCGGTAACCTCTAAACCTCCTCTTTTCACTTGGTGTTAAAACTATACTTTCCAAAAAAAAATTCGTGCAGTATGTTTTATATTGTATAGTATAGTTTTAAAATTTTTTACCTTAGTTGAGGGAGTAAAATGTTATAAAAATAATTAATGAATCACAAGTTTATTCAAAAACTCTTCGAGTTCATAAGTCTTTTGTTTTTTCTTCGTTTCTATTGCAGTTCCTTCAAATGCAAACTCGTCAGTATCTTTCGCTCCATCATTATTATAATTTTCTTGTTCAAATGCAACTTGGTTTTTGTGATCATTCAATGGCACTTGTTGAAACACTCTGGTCAAAATTTTCTTCAAGTTGAATAAATTAGTGATCCTTAATCTTTCATCGTTCAAATGGGCATTATCAGAACTTTGGCCGCAGGGAATCTGGGCGGCATTAGCATTGAAGAATTTTTCAAGAAATCGAATGGAAGAAATCGACCCTCCTTCTCTGATGTACAATGGTTGGACATTCCATACCTCGGAAATAGCGTCGTTCAAAATCTTATAGAAATCATTATTTAGATCACCAAGCCACGGTTCGGTTTTCTTCATGATCTTGATTTTAAGGATGTTGGTGGTGTTGAATTTTGAAAAATTGTCCCTTAGATAGTTAACAAGACTGGATTTCACTGTGTCGATGTTTTGATCAGGAACAATTCTCAAAGAAAGGGTGGTGCTGGCAACCTTAGGAATGATGGTCGAGTTTTTGGGACCAGACACTCGTAGTTTATGAATTGTTAAAGATGGAAGTCGCCATTTGCGGAGCAAATTGTTGATATTCAAATCAGTATGGTTTTTGGTGTCAGGAACAACATTTTCGATGATGTTGCGGTACAACTTCAATTCTTCTTCGGAAATCGGCAAGATTGGATCATAGAACCCAGGAACAAGCACCTGGCCATCCCTATTATCAGTTAATGTCGATAACAAATTGATCAAATCAATGGTAGGTTCTCTCGAAATCCCCCCATCAACCCCAGAGTGCCGATCTGGTTTCTCACTGTGCATTTCAACCTCACAACTAATCAATCCTCGTAAACCATAATTCAAGCAAGGAGTATAGTCATCAAGCCAGTACGAATTGGAAAATAAAATCCAATCAATATCTCCAACTAATTCCTTATTTTGTCCAATAGTTTTATGGAAACCAAAGGACCCTGATTCTTCTTCACCTTCAATCAAAAACACCACATCGGAGTTCAACTTCTTAGTAGTATGTAGCTCAGAAATACTGAAAATGGAAGATAATACCGGACCTTTGTTATCACTGACCCCTCTGGAATATAAGTATCCATCCTGGGCTGTCAAAGTGAATGGATCAGTGTCCCAACCTTTATCATTCTCCGTTTCCACAACATCATAATGTCCGTACCATAATACTCTCGGAGTTCGTTCATAATTATCCACCTCTGGCCCATTAGCCTTGAATAGGGCATACACCACAGGGTTACCGTTTTCCACTGGTAGTAACCTGGTTTCACTGGCCCCGTAACTTTTTAATATACAATTCAAAAAATTGGCACAATTTCTAGAATCATCAATGTACAAATCTGGTCTCTTCGAGATTGTTTTGAAACTGATAAATGTCGATAAATGTTTCAACATATGATTGTTACTGAGCATGTCCAAATTAGGTTGGTCATTTAGGATGACCTGGTTGGTGTTGGAAAAGAAATTATTGTTCCTTGTTGGCAAATTCCAGATGGAAATCCCAGATTGGCCTGCGGTGACCAAAATATCAGTATTATTAGAATTGAATATAATATCCACTGCGAGAATCAGCTTTTCTTTTGATTTCCAAACTGCACCATTATCAACAGTAACATCATTGTTGTTGTCATAGTTTTCTGAGCTGATGTGCATGCTATACTGACAACAGCCTGTTTCTGTTCCTTTGAACAAACAATTCAAAGTTGGACAGTACACCAACGAATTGATTTCTCCCATATTATCTTTGTCGATCAATCTTATTAATTGAAGGGTAGATAAATCCCACACTTTAACTTTACTGTCGGTCAACCCACAATATAGGAAAACCCCATTAATAGTTATGGATAATACAGGATCCTCATTATCTAACTCATGCAAAAATTTCAATTGCGGTCCGTTTTCAATCACCTTGTCATAGATACCCCATATTTTCACCAACCCATCACCAGCGGTGGAGATCAAATACTCGCTAAATTTCTCTATATTGACATGGTTAGGGAAATTGCTACCTTGAAACAATGAGCTAGGAACAATCTTCATGTCATAAATGAAACCGTTGTGGGCAAATGGAATAACGTTATTCAACGGGGTTTCGATCAATGACAAATTGCTTTTGGTTTTTTCGAGCTTATCCGAATATTTTTGGACTTTTTCATTGATTTCGTTGGAAAAATTCTTTTCCAGACCCCTAACCCCTGGTTTGGAATCGAAGAATTTATCATAACGTAGGAATGGTAACTTATTCAAGGTTTTTTTGCTGACTTTTATGAAATTCTTTTTATCCGATAAATTGACCCATTGGATACAGGCGTTTTGGGTACCAAAGAACAAAACATTCAATTTGTGCGATAACGCAATTGAGAAGATATCGCCAACATCAAGTAACGAGTAAATAGTGGTTAATTCTTGTATTAGTGGGTAAGAATTTTTAAAGATTCCCGACTTGGTAGCTGTCAATTTTGAAATATCCCATATTTTGATCAACGAATCGGACGAGGTCGAAAACAAGTATTTCTCATTATCTGATATTTTCAAGTTCAATATTGAGCCATTATGTTCGGTATCAATGGTGGTAATGGTTTGAAAATTTGTCAAGTCACACGCCAATAACTTGGAATCTTGGGTTCCTGCAAATAATATATTGTGTTTTTTAGACACCGCAATAGATAATACAGAGTATCCGTGGCTCCAATGATGTAATAATGTCGGACTGATGTCTTCAGCGGTACCAGGCCCAGTGGTGGAGGGTATAGGGTTGTACATAGTGCTGGCAGCTAAATTATGAGAATCATCAGCGATGTTGTTGATGTTGATGTTGATCGACGCTATCGATGAGTTGGAGGCATTACTCAAGGAGTACAAGCTATTGTTGACCACCGGAAGGTGCTTGTCGAATGACATTTATCAATTATAATAGAGTGATAACTTGAGAAGCTAATACAAAAAAAAAAAAAAATGGGAGGACCCAGAGTAGATAAGCGCCCAACCTGGTGTTTTTTGATGTCATCATTGGTGATGAGAGATGATGTGCCTGCCTGTCCGGTGAAACTTTCAGGTGTATGCCGTATCGGTGGCATCTTGTGTGTATTATCCGGGTAACTTTTGATAAATCTTCTTCTTCTCATCACCACTACTTACTACTACTACTTCTCTGTATATACTTTGACATATCAATGGTGTATATTATTTTGAGTACCATCAGTTGAGATATCACGACTGCGGGATTATTTCACCACCTATTGCTTTTCGGTAACCTTCTTTCTTTTGTTAGCTACTTCTGGGCCTCGGAAAAATCCTTAATGTGGTGAAAATCCTCTTGGCGATGGGACGGCATCAAAAAGCCAAAAAAAAAAAACGGAAAACTGCGAACCCAGGGATGTGTGCTGTGTGGCACCCCCTGTTGGTGATTGGTAAGCGGCACCTTGTCATTGGAGGAAGATTGTGGAAGCACCCAGCATACCTGGTTTCTAGTATAGCGAATGACAACAAGTAATAGAGGTAGAAGAAGAGAACGGGAAAGTATATTAGAAAAGGAAAAGAAAAAAAATGTGCAAATAGTAAGCAAAATAAATTAATCGATAGCCTAATAATAATAATAATAATAATAATGATAATAGTAATAAAAAAAAAAATGCCTGATGGGTAGTAGTAGTAGTGATGAAAAACTATATTAATAAACAATTTTCTAGAAGTTCTCGTTCACACACACATAAAGAACATGATAAGTGAAATCAAAATAAAACAGCATAAAATAAAATCAAAACCGAGTCAACGAAAACATTAAAAAAAAAAAAAAAAAAAGCATTAAAAAAAATATAACATGAATAATAATAATAATAATAATAATAATAATAATAATAATAATAATAATCAATAAGAGTCATCAGTTCTCAATATCCTTAATGGCTTCCGTATAATGGTTGCCAAACACTGACCAGTGGAAATTGGCCAACACTGATAAACGGCTACTCAATGAGACTATTTCTTCCAGTAATTGAGCATTACCATTAGCGGAACCCGGGGTGGTCGGAGTAGTATATCCACTGGCATTATTAGAAATTGAAGAGCTGCTCATTAAAGCACCGGTACCAGATCTACTGGCTGCAGCAGCAGAATTGGTAGCGGAAGATGGGGAAGGAATGCCTTTAAAAGTGACACCGGTAGCAGAAGTTGGGGTAGAACTTCCAATCTTAGTGTTTTCAAGAATGTCACTCACCAGAGTCTTCAATTGTTGGAAAATTCTATCTTCCATTAATCCATACACATCACTTCTTGGTTGAGTTTGCTTCAATAACCAAGAATGCGCAAAACTCACGATAGATGATGGAGGTGGAGTACTGGCAGATGACGAATTTACACTAGTTGGGTCTATAATTGATCTCTTGGCAAGTTGGACGGCAATAGATGGGATGTTACGGGTCCATTTCACATTACCATTTTCATCAGTGATGACCGCCAAAATTTCTCTCTTGACATCTTGGAGGCAAGTTTTGGTTAATAGACGAGACTTCTTAAGTGGGTCTTTTGCATTATATGTAGAAACCAATTGCTTGTAAAGATACAAGCAAATTTGTAAGCATACTAGTTGACGGACATCGGCACGCAAAAGAATTAGTCTGGAATGGTCAAATGACAAAGATGATGGGAATTCAGTGGTCATTTCACGACAAGACAAAAGCTTGATAATCGCGGAAATTGTAACGTTTCGAAGGTACACTGGAGCTTGAGGGTTATTGTTTGGGTTTTCGGAAATTTCCAATTTGTAGTACTTGGTAAACCAATTCAACGAGTCAGAAATGTTCAAGTTTCTTCTGGTGATCATTTGATTAAAATAGTCCCGTTCAAAATCGACAGCAGTTTCCACCAACGCTGGACGAAGCACCCTGATTTGATGGTTGGCGACATCCAACTTCATTGCCTCCAAGATACAAAAGATGGTACGCAAACCATCAATCAATTTTTTGATCGAGTTTTCTTTATCAGCTTCCACGAATTTCAAAGTCATCTCATCAACCCAGCTATCACGCATTGGAGCACAATGAGATTTGAAAACATTGGCCAACCATCTAGCTAATGATACAAAATCAACCACCCCTTTGCGGAGCTGTTGGACTAATAAATCCACATCCATCACATCGTAAACCGTTGCTCGATCTTTCGATGGTAACAAAGTGATCAAAATATCCCGAAGGGTGCTGAATAATTTAGGCAACTTCGAATACTTGTTGTGGAATTTCGAAAGATTGCCAACCATATCAATAGACCCGTCACTAGTCAAGATCTTGTTGGACACCTTCATATATTCGTGGCATTCAACTTCGACTTCATTCCAGTATTTATCAACAACTTGCTTCTTTCGTTTGCCACGTTCGCCATCTAAATTTGGACGAAACTGAAGTTGGGGATCAAACAAAATGTCATGACGAAGTTGCGGGTTTTTCAAGATCTCTTGTAAATCAATCTCTCTGAGAGATTGTGTGTTTACTGGAGGTAGCTGAGCATGACTAGGATCTGAACCGTTAAAACTGAGATTATTGTGCGAACGGTGATGTCTTCCATGACGTTTTTTGTTATTTTTGAAAAATTGTTTGAGAGACCCTTGACTGTTAACAGCATTGTTAATACCGGTTCCATCGTTGGTGGTCTTTATAGTGAATACAGGATTATTATGAGAAGCGTTGAAAACCATGTTATTGAGAGCAGCAGCTGGTTGAGAACGGTACCGACGGTGGGAAAATGTGATATTTGGTAATGACTGAGACCGCTTACGACGGGTTGCTGAAGATGCAGAGGTGGTGAAGCGGCTAGAAGGGTCTCTTGCAGAGGAGTTGGCGTCGGTCGAAGTATTATTTTTGATCGATGAGGTGGTGGATGCAGATGCATTATTATTATTATTATTATTAATATTATTGGTAGCAGAGCCAGGGATAGGTGGTTGTTTTGGAGATCCTTCACGGGAACATGATAGACTAGGAGACGTCGATGAGGATGTTGATGTTGAAGAGGTAATATTGGTAGGATGGTGGTGGTGGTGGTGGTGGTGATGATGACGATCAAGAAGTGTTGATGCCAGGGAGGAAATAGACATGTCGACATCGATATCGAGACGGGCTCTTTTGTTTGGTTCATCGGCAGCGATCATGAGGGTATCATTGGAAGAAGTATCTTTAGAAGAGGTTAAAGAGCCGTTTTTATTATTGTTGTTGGTGGTGGCAGTGTTGTTAGTCTTAGTGGTAGTGTTGATGGTGGTGGTAGTAGTGTTGGCAGTCAGGCATGATCTTTTTGCGCTATTTGAGGCAACGGCACCAGCACCAAAGTTGAAGACTGGATAGTGTTTTGCATCTGACGGGAGTCTCTGGCGGTCCTTGGAAGGAGCAGGAGGCTTGCTGTCATTAGCTGTTGTTGTCGTTGTTGTTGTCGTTGTTGTTGTTGTTGGGTTGTTTAGTTGGTGGCTCATGATTTAAGGGTGACTAAGTAGAGAATGACTATAATGGTGTGATGGTTAGAGGAGGCGATAATAATAATAATAACAGTGATAAACCAGACACTATGGAAGAATATGTTGTATTATTATTATTCGCTGGTTTTATATGTATGTATCTGATCCCCCTTTTGTGTGAGAATGTAGAGGAAAGATGGTAAAAGTAGGTGATGGTGTGTTGTTTAAATTATAAATTTTGCACTTTTCTTGTTGCCTCTCCCGTTTCTTTTTTGCTTTGTTCGCACACAGGGAAAAATTCCGGCTTTTTTTTTTTTTTCTTCTTCCTCTTTTTGCAATCTAATAATGATAATAATAATAGCTGTGATTGCTTTTTGCCTTTTGTTTCTTTTGCAAGTATGATTATTATCCGGCTGCTGCCCACCTTTCTTTTATATTATACAGAATCAATAAAAAAATAGGGTCCTTCGTTTGCACTGGCACCCACCCTTATTATCTATTATTACTGGTGGCAAGTTACCCGTGCATCCTAGCTGGTGGGCTCCCTAATTTTACCCAATCGGTTCTCTTTACCATACAAATAAACGATTATTATTGCAACCCTACATTCACAAGGCCATTATCATGTAATCCAAATTAGTATAACCATTACTATTATTAGTATAATCATTACTATTATTATAATAAATATATATATATAGAAAAAAAAAAAAAAGAAAAAAAAATGCTAAAAAACTTTTTATATGCCTTTATCAATAATCAATAATCATTATTATTATTATTATTATTATTATTATTATTATTATTATTATTATTATTATTATTATTATTTGATTACATTGCGTTAAATCCCTATTTCACGCACGCACCCACCGCTCCTTTCAATGTAAGCACGTCGTGTAACTATTTCATCTTTCCAACAAACCCAATGAAATATTGTTTAAACTCCTTATCCCCAAGATTCATCGTCGCTTGCATCAACTCATTACCAACCTCACCCGGCAAATTAATCTCCACAAAATAAACATCCACCATGTATTTCACAAATACATCATTGTAGTACTTGCACAACAGCTTCAACAACATCGCCACTTCATTGATTATCAATCGGCTCTGGCCATCCTTCAAATCAAAATCACTATTCTTGAACGGAATTTCAAAACATACTGCAACACTTTGCTTCAACAAATATTCATTCACCCCGTCAACCTTAAGTGGCGCTCCTCCTTTGACAACATAATAACAATCCTCCTTATCAGCAAGTACTCCCCCACTCAAAAACTCAACCATCATCTGTAGCACATTAAATGCCAATTTACAAACCATCGCATCCTTCACGTCACAAACGTACTCAAACACAGAATTGAAAATTGGTGGTAACCATTTTTGATTAATGTCATTCAATAAAACACTGAACACATGATTATTCATCATCGTCAATAAAATCCCAAGGTATGACTTAACAACGTTTACTCTTTGTAACTTCAAATTCACAACAATTGGATCAGATTTCTTATCAGTCTTCACACTATCATCATTGATCTTAGCATCGATCATCATCTTTTGACATTCCAAAGTCTTGAAAATTCTATCAATAAGCGATCCCACTAGTTCGTTCAATAAATCATAAAATTCACCATCCTTGTTGAACAGATAAATGATCTGGTTGATAAAACTGACAAAACTGATCAATTCTCCACTGCTCATCTTTTCATTCGCCAAGGCTATAGAAATCAAAGTAGTTAAATAACCACGGATATCACCTTGTAATATTGGCATCATCCGACTAAATAAGAAACGGACGCAGTCTCTAATAATTCTAAAGTTCCTGAATTGTTCAAGAATCATCACAGAAGCTTCACAAGAGTTCTTGAACTTTAACCCCACCACCTCTTTGGTCCCCGTTAAATTCTTCAAAACCTGCTGTTGTTCAAACCCTCTGGCAAACGTTCCCATAGCAGTAATACAATGGTGCACTTGCAATAAGATTTGTTGTTGGTCCAAAGGATAACTGAAATTACCAAAGATATCCATACATTGCTTTAAATCATTGAAAATAGGATTCAATACCAAATCAATCATCTCGGCAATTTCATTTTTATCCCCATCATACAATGAGATTAACAAACCCACAGTCTCAAACAAATACAATTGATTATCGAAAAGCACGTCGTCTGGAACTTCTTCATCATTTTCGAGATCGATTATTTTGTTATCGTTGCTATTATTATCAATTTTCGCCTTGATAAGAAGCAAAGATTGGGTCAAGTTCACCACAAGATTCTTGAGAATTGAGGTTTCTAGTCTTGGCTTTGTCAACTTAATAAACCGAGCAAACAAATAGAAGCATCTTTTTTGAACCTTTGGAGTATTGTTGAATAAACCATACTTGGAGTTGATGATTTCCAAAATATTGTTAGTCAATACATTATTTTCATTGAAATTTTTGGTACTAGTATCAGAAACACCGGAAGATGGAGGTCCATTAATAAAGAAATTATAGTGTTTTGTGATCAATTCCAAAAATGACAACTGAATCAATGGGTGATCTAATTGAACTAACATATTCCCCATCTTATTGATTAAATCAATCAAGAAACCTTGGAAAAGTAAAAACGGCTTCAGCTTATTAATTTCATTCTTTGGTAACTTCATGGTGTTTATTCTTAAAATTTCGCTGAAGTTTGTCAATTCATACAACCCCAATTCAAAAGTCCTCCAATCTTTAACCATATCTGGTTTGAATAAAGTTTCATTAATGATGTTATTGACCGTGGTGAGATATAAATCTGGGTTAATATTAGAAATTGCTTCTTGAAAAACCTTCAATTTCGATCTCATTTCTTCAAACTCTCTGACATCCTCATCTTCTTCATCATCGCCCAAGCCATCATCTTCTTCATCATACTTCATTTTGATTATGATTTTAGTTAGCAAGTTTTCAAGGAAATCATTATAGTTGGAAATATCCAAGATTTCAGTGTTATTATATCTGCGAATCTTCTTCAAGATGGTTAAGAAATTGGAAATAAATCCAAAAATCTGCAAAGAAATATCATCATAGTCATTTGGCAAAATTTCCAAGAAGAAAGGCAAAATTTCATTAAGTTTAGTGAACGCCAATTGTTTCAATTCAATACTTGAATCCGATTTTTCAATAATAATCAAATACTCAATACCAGTGGTATTGATCAATTTAGAGATATGTTCATAGAAATTCACATCGTCAGCTGAGTTTTCCAAGTCTTCTGATTTCAAAAGCTGTAGCTTGCTCATTGATGTGGCAATAATTTGATTGATATTGAACAATTGCAAAAGTTCCATTTTTTTGTCCAGCAGCATTTTTTTACTAATTATTTCCATAAACAATTCAATGATATCATCTCTTAGCATCTTTACTTCGAAAAACTTGTAGAAATTGTCCAAGAAAAACTTATCGCCAATGATCAAAGTGATATCAATCCATCCGACCCAAGACCCAATCACCTTAAAGAGAGTCTTGAGTACAACAACAGTTTCGTCATCAGTGTTATTGCTAGATTCAATAAACTCGATAATATATTTCCAATTCATGACAATGCTGGACATATCATTCATTCTAATTACATCTTTCAAGTTGTTAGACACCTCGACAGTTTTGGGGTCATTTTGGTATAATTGGTCGCCAATTTCTGAATGAATGGATAAGAGGATCCGGAGATAGTAATCAATAATTGTTAACTTTCTGAGTTTATTATTGTCATCATTCTCAATCAACTTGATGAAGGTCTTGAAAAATCCTGGCCAAATATTTAAGTAAGAGTAGTAAAACATGTAGCTAAAAGTGGTTGCCAACTTATTTTTCAAAAATCCCAGTCGGCTGAAGGTTGAACTTGTAGAAGACAAATCATCGATATTTACTACTATTCCCTTGAAAAATTCCAATAACAACGACTTTAGGGAATCCAACTGATCAACGGTCAAGCTTGGGATCGAAGAATCAATGATTTGGAACACAAACAACTTGACAGTGTCTGGCGCTTGATCAGAGTACAAGATTGGCAAACATGCGTTCCATGCATCTTCTGTTGCTTTGATCTCATCAATGAATTCAAGGGCTTGTTGCTTTAATTGAGGCGTTGAGGCAGGATTAAATGCAATTTCCACTGCCTGTTGGATTTGCGCCTCCATTAGAGATATGCTATATGAATTGAGAGGTAAAAATCTTAGTTATTCCTAGAATACGAGGAGAAAGAAAGAAAAGAAAAAAGTTATATGCACAAAGACGACTTATTCTTATGTGAGTGTTTTTTTTTCGCAGAAACTAAGTTGGTTTGTTTTTGGTCGTTTTTCTGTTGTAAGACTTATAAGAGAAATTCTGGGCAGAAGTATGAAAAAAAAGTGACTTCTGTAATGCTGTCACAACGCACTAAGTTCTTATTTATAAGGTGATAGTACTAATTGGGAGGAATGTGCCTTAAACTAAAACAAGTCACTGGTTATTTATGACTAAAAAAGTGTTGAACTTCCGATTTGAGTTAGTGATTTGAATTGATGATTTGATTCGAAATTTTAATGTAGTTTTGCCATCACAAAAAAAACTTGTTCAGAGTAAAAAAAATTTTTTTGGTGGGAAAAAGCGGTGCGGTTAGGAAAAAAGGTTATGCAGCCACGGTTCTTTAAATTACAAACGCGACTTATGTCTGATGATGATTTAACATGGGAAGAGGGATTATCATGGTAATATTTGTGGTTGTCACGGTCCATGATGAAAGAATCACGTTTTGTTTTTGACACTTTCCAGACATCACTAGCCACTGTCCAGCGAAAATTAGACTCTTTAGAAAAAGAACTACGCCAAACCAAACTAGAAAATGAAAAATTGCGACGCGAAAATCAGAGGTTGCAAGCTACTAATACCCGTTTGGTATCTGGCTTGGGCGCTAACCAGGATGAGAATGATGATGACTATAATATATTGTCGCCGTCTTCTATATCAAAGGTTGATCCAGAATCTCCATCTAAAGGGAATATAATGCCGATGGATATAGTAAGTTTGGAGCTGATCAACAGTCAACCGAATCATCATGAAGCAGAAGAAGTTTGTTCAATCCATATTTTCTCGCAAAGTCTGAAACAATCTGAAAATAACAATATCGATTACAATAATAATGAAAAAGAAAATATTCAACCTTCGCAATCACAGCTGTCATCGCGAAAAGAAGAGGCTGAGGCATTAGGGCAGGCAAATGACGAACAATTGGCTTCTCCGTCAAATATTCCTCCCTCTCAACATAGTATCGATTTCAGAATGGGTAATAGTTTCCCACTGGTTGTGTTTTCATCGCAAATTGATCTTCCACTAAATGGCAATGATGGCGACTCAGCGCTTAACCTGCAAGAGAGTGTAATATCGAATGATGAAGTTAACCAAGTGATAAACCCTAATAGTAGCCTAAGTGAAAATAATAAGTATCAAATAAAAACAAGTATCTTTAATATTGACATGAATCAGGAAGGAGGAACAGATGAAAAACATGATCTAGGACATATTACTTGTGAAGTAGCGGAAATCTCTCCGGCCAAAGAACTGGATAAAACTATCATCCAAGAAGCCAGGGGGATGTATACTCCATTAACTGAAACAAAATATATACTAGGAAAAAGACCCAATGAATTAATCACTAATCCCAAAATTAGTCTTGCAAAGAAAAGGTTGAAGTCTAATGATAGGAGGTATAAAGGGAAGAAGATTTTGCAATTCAAAGGCAATGATTCCGTCAAATTCCCAAGCTTAAAAGAGCCCAGCTCACCTTCGCCAAGCAAAAAGAAAAGAACCATTATTGGTAATGATTCTATAATGGATAATACATCAATGAATTTTGTTAATTCTGTGTCGGTACCCGCCCTATCACCCATAATAAAAGATAAGTTGACAATTATGGTCCCAAAGAATCGAACTCCTACATTGTTGCCAGACCCAAGAGGTCCATTCGCCACTGCAGATTCTCCAAGAATTTCAAATCATAAACCTTCACAGGCTTTACCAGAGTTTCGGAGTCTCAATATCGATCTTATTGAAGAACTAATACGTTCCAAGAAACCGATAAATCTAACCTTATGCCCATTATCAGGAAAAAAATGGACTAATCAAGACTTTAGAAGAAATGAAGTAGATATAGAGGAACACGAGTTTGCCAGGCTACAAAAAAGCGCCTTTGATGCAGTCTGTGAACGACTTGAATCTTCTAATCCTGAAATAGATCCGACACTCTGTATTGGTGACATTTCAAGTGCAAGTTTTGATCAACAAGATGAAGATGAAAGTATGGAGGAGAATGGAACCCCTTGTGAAAAGTGTCAATACTTGAAATCTATTGGAGCAATGGGTTTGAAATTAATGAGTCCGGGATGGGATACCACTCAACCCATCACTAACCGGTATCGTGAAATTATGCTTCCATGCACCCACAAAGAAGAAAATAAAGCCGAGAAGCTACGGAAACGCCAAATAAAGAAAGAAAAACTACAATTACAAAGAAATAAGCGTCTTCAAAAACAAGATAAGGTATCAGCTTTGCCAGCAACTCCCCCAGGTTTTTTCAGATCAGAATTTCCGACAAGTGAAGAACGGAAAAAAGATCACGAAGAGGTGATGAGAAGAACAAACAAAGAGGTTGTCTCCAAGTTTCTTGTAGCAATGGGCGTCGAAGCCAAGGCATTGTCAAAGAAACAGTCCAAAGTTTTCACCTTCAAAAATAGAGTATTCAATAATATTGTTGCAGCAGGGTTGGGAGTATTTGATTGGTATGAATTGAGAGAATTATATAACTACACAAGTTGAGTCGTTTTTCCAAGCTTGGGTATTCAAGCGCTGACGTTGATGGCTGCATAAAAAAGCTCTTTAAACATATTTTTGTGGTATTCTCGAGGAAAACTAAAGATAATATTGCCCTCGTGTAGGTATTTGTGTAATTTTTAAGTCTGACTGTCATTACAAGCATGGTGATTCTTTGTCTACATCATACTTTTGGGTTTCATGGATTTTTAAAATATCATTTCATTAACCTTAATATTAATATTGTACTTTATTTTCGTTTCGTATCCTTTGACAAAATAAAAAATCTAGAACTTCCAAACAAAAAAAAAAAAGAAGAAAAAGGCATAACTATCGTAAGAAAATATAAAAAAAAATGTACTCCGAACTTTGTAATATACAAATAAGAATAGGAAGATGAAGAAAAAGATAATAATCATAGCCTTCTTAAAAAGGAAATATAACAAGATTTAAAAAAAAAAAAATGTTTAGAAGACCAAAAAGAAAAAAGGATTCTGCGGCAAAATTAACCGCGAATGGTATGAATTTTAGGATGCTATGCTGTGATTTTTTGCCACAATCAAAAAGGATATCTATAATAATAACTCAGTGGTGTGGGCTCTATCAGGATGAGGTCCTTATTGTTATTTTCTTTTTGTTCATGCTTTTGATCGTGGACCGTTCATTCTGATCAATTAAAAATGCATCAAAACCAAAAATAGATATAAAGCAATCATATAGCTCATCTTCATTTCATATGTCCGATTATATCTGATAATTCTATCTCTCCTCCGTATACCTCCAAAATAAAAAAAAAAAAAAAAGTTATTCACCACCCACGATTATGATAATTATCAATTTCAAAATTATTTATTTCATCATCATTATCAACTTCGTTTTTCGTGTCATCTCGCGATTGATTATTATTTGCAACTTTCACTTTGTGGTACTTCCCAAAAACAATTGATCTTATATCTGCTTCTTTAACTGCCAAACAATTTTGAGTATCATCAGGGGCAACCAATGCATTATCATTCAGTCCATTTCTTGAAGTATCATTCATTTGTGGTGGTTTTGGTGTGCTCACTTTTTCTCTGTTCTGATTTGTTGGTGGAGGGTGGAATTGCTGAGATTGTTGGCGGGCCTGACTTCCCAAGTTACTATTTCTCATTACTTTGTTATCCAATCTCTGAGAAGCTCCACCCACTGCCGTAGCTGGTGGTAATTGTTGATGGAACATATGGGAAGCATATGCAGTATTTAGTAAAGACTTAGCCGCTTTAGGGGCATTAGATAATGTTTCTAAAGTATGACTTGGGTGTTGAAGATGGTGATTTGCACTGCCCAGCGAGTAAGTTCTTTGTCTCAAAATATCCAGCTTAAGTCTTGCAACCTTAGCTTCATCAGTTTCATGCTCGTTCTCATTGTTACTACTCCTAAATAATGGAAATTGTTGAACCATTCCAAAAAGATTGGTGAATGAAGTTTGAGAAGATTTAGAATTGCTCCGCAACAATGCCTGTGGATTAATGATATCGGCGCTTGCATTACTGTAAGACCTAACAAGAGTTTTCTCACTTGGGTATGCGGTAATGCTTGCCGTGGTTTCGCTGTCGCTTGCACCATCTAATCCTTTGACATCTGTTGCTGTGAGAGTGGAAACAGTTGGAGAGTTGACTATAATTGGTTGTGTCATAGTATGAACGCTTAATGAAGTGCTAGAAGCTTGTGATTTCAAGTCTCTTAAATTAGTCACATCTGATTTTTTGCGGGCCATTGGCGGTCTTGAGAAAGAATATTTCCTACTTTGCAATTGTTGTTGATTTTGACCCCCATTATTACATTCGGCTTTCTCACTGGTAATATGATGATGGATTGAATCATTGAAATCTAAATGAAGTCCTCCAGTATCAGAATACAAGACTTTCGAACCATTGATCAAGCTACCAACTAAATCACTATTAGTATTATTATTATTATCATTATTCTTATTCTTGTTCTTATTCTCATTTTTAGATCCCGAAGTACTATTTCTCTTCATACTCGTATTGCTAGTGGTTCTTTTTGCAAGATCCTTCAAGTCATTAACACCATTCACGGCAGTAGCGGTAATATCTTTTTGCTGTTGATGGTTATTAAGATCATTCAAGAAAAGACCTGACAATAAAGATCTCTTGATAGTTTGTGGCTCTTTGTAAGATTCGTCTTGTCCCTTCTTTGTAAATAGGATCAGAGTTATGTCATCGCCTTCACTACGTTGGCTCCCACTACCATTTGTTCCATCATCATCGTCAGTCCATGCATTATCATCTTCTATATCATCTTCATCGCTATAGTCAACAAGATCATCATCCGTAATACTTCTAGACCGCCCTCCTTTTGTACGGCCGTATTTAGCTGAGCCATTGATACCGGTCTTCTTGGCATTTTTAAAATGAGCTTTCCCTTCCGAATTATCGTTGCTGAAGTCATTTTCATCATTTTCATCATCTTCATCATCGCTGGTCGAAGAAAATGAATCATCTTCATCATCGGAGAAAGAATCATCAGAAAAAATAATTGGTGTAGTGTTATTGTTGTTTTTGGATGGGAAAAGTGACGACTGACGTTTGAGAAGTCTTTTCGTCGAGTCGATAGATTGGGTGTCTGAGCTATTAATGAGTCCTTTTGAGGTCTTCTTACTTAGAGACTTAAAAGACCTGTCACCATTGGATTTATTCTTGTTTGTTAATGGAAGATTTGTGTTATGGTTATCTTTTGTGTTTAACATTGAAGTGATATGGCTATCTGATTTGCCAAATAACCGACCAGCGGAACTCTTGGCATTATTATGTTTCGACACAATAACTTCATCTGGTAAACCAACTTGGTTCTTCAATTCTCTAAGTTTCTCAGTAAAGGAATCATTGCTTTCAAATTTGGTGATTGGATGTTCATCATCACTATAAATATCAAAATCTGAATCAGAGTCGCTGGAATGCGAATGGGAATCTTCGTGAACTTTATCCTCACTATTAATACTACCAGATGAGGGTTTATCTCTTAGTTTAGAGCCGCTGAAAAGACTTGGTACCGTTTGCAATTTACTCGGGCTTTTCTTTTTCCTCGATGAAAGATTAGAGCTGCTCAAGCTTTGCTCACTTTCATTCTCTGGCTTCAAATAAAAAATTGCTCCACTCTTCTTTTTGCTGCCTATATTGATTTCGTCACGAGGATTGATCGCTCTGATATTGTTCCTCGCGACCAAAACTGGGCCCTTGCTATCTCTGGATGAGCTTCTTGAAGACAAGCAATCATTATTGTTGGCCTCCACTTTATTACTTGAGCTCTGGTATTGCTGATTATTTGAGGAATCCACCGATTCATTGACATTATCTCTAGCCAGAAGTTGAAATTTTTTTAGTTGAATCTTATCAGGTTGCTGTTTTTCCGTATTATTTGACAAAACTTTCTTTTTTGAAAAGCTGGCAGGTGTCCCGATTAAATGCTCAGAACTATTTTTATTCTTTTTGGATGAGTAAATTGAGGCATTATGTGAGTTATTGATTATGCTGAAATTATTATTTTTGTAAGATAATGTAAGTTTCCCCTTCGACAGCAGATTACGCTTGATGAGGTTTGGTCTATTCATTATTTTTGAAGATTTACCATAACTTCCTGACAGTAGCTGAGAATTCAAAGAGATGCTGGTATTAGTATTTGAGCTGGTGGGTACTTTTTTCGAATGACATTGGCCATGGAAAACATCTTGAAGAGATGGTTGTGTGACGATGGAAACAATAGAGCTGAAATCAGAAAGCGTGAGTGCCTTTTCATGATATTTTTTTTTTCTTAATAATGAGGATTTTGATGGAGTTCGCGGTAGCAGAGGGACAGATGATTCAGGATTTATTGAATTGTTGAAAACTAAGGTAGGATCCAAACCTCTTCGCTGTTGATTACCTGATGACGGTGAAGTATTATTCGCGATTGTAGAGTCAGGTCCATTAGCAGCAGTAACCAAATTCTTTCCCATGATCCGCCAACTCATGTTTTCAAGCCTCTTTCCATGTTTTATTAGGTTTGAGCTTTTAACCAAAGTTGATCCGATTATGGTGAAGTCAGCTATATCGATAGAGCCAGTTTCACGAACCGAATTCAATGAGAACTCGAATATTTCTGGAGGAGCGTGTGCTAACCCACGAGAATTCTGAAGATGTGCCATTGCACCCGATTTGTTATTTGATAATGATTACTGTTTGCTTTCCTTCCTAAAATAATGATAATTGTGATGAGGGCGGCTCCAACGCGGGATAGGGTATAATTACTTAGACGGGTTGGTACACTGTATTATTGAGAGAGGAAAGTCTATAATATCTATGAATGGTAACTCTAGAAATATCGGTGGCAAAGAAGAAAAGTGACACAAGAGGGAAAAAAAATAGATTCAAGGCCAGGTGACTTGTGTTTGGATAAAACTAACAGTGTACTGACGACAGAGACATTGTGTTGGTGGTGATGAGTGAAAAAAGTTTAAAAAGGTCATTCTTTTTGCCAGACATGCAGGATGCCGTCGGTTTATTCATGTATGGGCTGATGTATGCACAAAGCGGAGAAATATAGGAACATTGGAAACTTTTGTGTTTTTTTGTCTAATAAATGTATAAATCAATAGCAACAACAGTTAGGCAGGAATCCAGTACTGGTAACATTTCACTGCTGTTTTCCCTTGTTTGTGTTTCTGATGCGTTCCGCGAAATTTCACTAAGTATACTCAAGAAAATTAATCTTGGAATGACATAGAACGTCAAGTTATGAAAGGCGTAGAGGCGTTGCATACAACTACACCAGCACTTGCTTGATATATACGCATAATTATGGAATTTCGGATATTCTTACTGGATATATTTTAGTAACCCAATGATATATAACTGAATTATTGACGCATGTGACTAGGAATTATTATCTGGCTTACTTCTCTAAATCCAAACAGTCCTAAAAAAAACTTAGAAGAGGCGAAACAAAGAACTACTATTCAATTTTGACACTGGCCGTATAGTGAAACACAGAAAAAAAAAAGGAAAGAAAGAAAAATAGAAATAAACAAGTTATTGTTTTAGGAACAAAAAAGCACCGAACCTGGGACTCGAACCCAGAATCTCCTGATTAGAAGTCAGACGCCCTAACCAATTAGGCTAGCCCGGCTAGTTATTTTTCAACTATTTTTCTACATCAAGTTAAACTTTTCCAATTTATTATGCGCGGGCTCATAACCATAATTAGTATTTGGTTTATTTTTTACTTGGATTTTATTAATTTACTATTATTATTTTATTGATTTTTCTTAGTTTGATTTATGGGTTTGTGTTATGGAAATCAAAGATGTGTGGTGCCATCTGAGATAAAACCATAGCACTGGTCTATTTGATTTTGTCGATTTTGATTTTGATTTTGAATTTGACAACCTTCCACAAAGGCTTCACATTATTATCTCTCACTAATAATTGAGGCACAGAAATGGAATGTGAGTTAAAGTGTTCAGTTGGTACATGGATTTATGGAATCAGGATATGTGTCTGGACTTAAAAAGTGTGTGGCGACACTTAAGAAAGACCCATGGTACTGGTTCTTATTTGGTTTATTTGGTTTATTTGGTTTATTTGGTTTACTTGGTTATTTTGACTTATTTGAATTATTTGAATTATTTTTTTACTTGGATTTAACTATTTTATTGATTTTTATTATTTTTATTTTTATTATCCCCCCAGAATTCTGATGGTCACTACATTGAAAATACTTAGTATTTGAGATATAGTGCCAAAACCCCTCAACAAAGACCTCCATCTCAGTTCATGAAGCTCCTAGTGATGGGTAATTCACTAGTAACTTCATCTCATATTTTCACATTGCACCTTTTTTCCTTAATAATCTTGATTGTTGAGTTTTTTACCGGTGATGTGATTAATTCTTAAAGCAAGGAGTGTGAGGTTGTGAGAAAGTTATAGTATTTTACTTATCTATTAGAAAGACCGCCCGGCTTGCATGTTATTTAGAACCTCTGTGACTCGTTAATATACAATTCATTTATTCATTCATTCATTCACAATCCAAAATTTTATCATATCTCCAAAAACATGGGCTAATATGTTATTATTTCTGAATATCGAATATTAAATGACTTTTGAATGCTCAAAAATACCTTTTTCATTTGTTTTTGTGCGTGCACTGTCTTGTGTTTACTCTTTTTGTGTGTGTGTGTGTGTGTGGAATCCCCCACAGACAGTGACTGATCTTTGCAAAAGGAATATGAATGAAGAGTAAACTATGTAATGATCTATGTATTGATCTACTTTTTTCTCTTCTTATTAATTCCTTTCCATTATTCCACCAATCATGGTCTCTCTATTATTTCTTATCTCCGACATCTTTATTTACCTTTTACTTTTTTCATCTTGTTGTCCCATTTCCTTTTCTCACCTATAAATAGGGTTTATTTCACATATTCTTTTATTTTATTCTACTTTAATATACATCAACTATCACGTTCCGTTCTAAAAGACGTAACCAAAGCCATTACAAACTACAGTTTTTATTATTTACAATTATTTTTACATGTCAGCTCGTAATCCCGGCTTACATGTTATTTAGATCCTCTTTTACTCGTTAATATACAATGCACTCATTCATTCATATAACAGAATATCTATAAGCAATTAAAATGACAGCTTTTTAGATTTGATGACACTACCAGGTTACCATCATGCTTTTTTGTTTATACTATAGTTCCTAATTCACTCTCTTACTCAATTTTTTTTTAAAAAAAAAAAAAAAAAAAAAAGAGATGATGTGAAGTATCTTTCACCCTTTATTAAAGAAATCAGTTACTTGAGAATAAACAGTATTTTGGAAAATGCTTTGAATTGTGTAGTTCTCATTGAATTTATTAAAAAGATTGATAATGCGCACATCTTTTACATTTGCTCTTTGCTTGCCTTATTTACTCCTTGCACATCCTTGTTTCATCTTCATTATCATAAATATTTATTTATGTTTACTAAAGAAGGCGTCACTAGTCACTGAATTACATAGAATATATTGTGGAGGTCTACTATAGTAAAAGATATATGTTTCAATTATTCTTTCCTTTGCTGCAGTTACACGTGATAATCATTTTTTACTAAAAGCACATATCATCACATTGATCTCTTTGAAATTTTTTTTTTTTTTCCCTCATCCTACAAAGGGTAGTTTTCACTCAGTGGACTTTTTTTAAGCAGATATGAATGGTAAAGAGTACTTAAAATCATATGGTTGGAAAGAGGGCACTGCTTTCAAAGAGGGCGGCCTTAAAAAACCTGTTCTTGTGAAGCACAAAAAGGATAATAAAGGCATTGGTGCCCGCGCTAATGATGGGGAAATGTGGTGGGAGCAGTTATTTGATGGTCAATTGAAAGGTTTAGATGTGGCTGTTGGTGGAAAAGGTGATTCTTTAAACTTCACACAAAACAAGAAAATATCAGAGTATGAAATGAGAAAACAACTATCGCCATTATATCAGTGGTTTGTTAAAGGTCAAGGCTTGCAGGGTACCATTGGTGTCGTAGAAGTCAACCAAGAACAGATTACTACCATATTTAGCTCAAAAGATGAAAACAAGGAAAAGAAATCGAAGAAGGAAAAGAAAGAGAAAAAGGATAAGAAAGAGAAAAAGGATAAGAAAGAGAAAAAGGAAAAGAAAGATAAGAAGGACAAGAAGGACAAGAAGGAAAAGAAAGAAAAGAAGGATAGGAAAGTAAAGAAGGATAAGAAAGAAAAGGACGAGAGAAAGGAAAAGAAATTAAAGGAATATGCCGAAAAGAAAGTGAAGTCTACTAGAAAGAAAGAAGGATCAAATAAAGATGATAAAACATCAAATTCAAAATCTTTGAAGAGAAAATCAGAGGCTGATTCTGACTCAGATTCGCATAAAAAGAAGAAGAAAAAGAGGTCATCCAAATGATTATTTTATTGACTATGAAATCTTTTCGATAAACTTCTTATTTTCCTTACTTTTTTTTTTTTTTTTATCTATTGTACTATATTTATATTTTCAATTCATCTCTATTGCATTACATTCATAATAAAAGTTCCTAATTTTGCCATGTGGGCTGTAAAGTACATTTCTTTGATGCGCATTTATTCTATTAATTTCATGAAAAATAGAAGACAAAAAGAAAAGGCTACGAAATAATCATTTAGATGATCAAATATTAGTCAAAAACACAATACGATTTCTATTATTCTTACTTTTTGGTTTCCAATTTTTTTTTTTCTTTTTTATTATTTTCCAGCAAAAAGCGAAATAAAAACATAAAGATTAAAGCATTATAAAAGTTCTAAAAGTACAAAATAACCCAAACATTAACTTCTTTTGCGAGATCCATTCTTATGAACTGCCCCACTCGATAACATTTTATCGCTGCTCCCATTTATTTGGCACACCATTTTACTACCTCTCACTTTAGTCATTAAACGACTATTTGAGTCAATCTGTTCTGGCTTTTTAGAATTTGGAGATGTGATAGATCTCAAGACTCTCCATGACGATGGCGGTGATTGAGAAAGCCTATTACGTCTAGATTCAACAAAGCTAGCTTCAGGTGTAGCAACTGAATCGGAATGTTTTATATCGGTACTGTTTTCCTTGTCCATTGATATCTCATTCAATACACTTTCATTTTTACTGCCATCACCATCTTCTTCAAGTTGTTTAACCTCGTCTGCTTCCTCATCTTCTTCTCGACTCTCTTCAATATCTTCATATTCTTCGTCGGAATTGGTAGTGATGAATGAGTTAGAAACGTATCTCCCATTAGTTCCCTTTCGCGGCTGCCCCGGCGAAGATATTGGCACAGCAGTATGTAATACTGACTTCATTCTTCCAGAAACTCTTCTCTTCATCATTGGAGAGAATGAGCGATTGGCAGCATTTCCGTACTTGGTCTTTTGACGGGCTTTAAATACTTCATAGGGTATCAAAGGTGAAAAGCCAGATAGTCTGCTGTTAGGAATATTATCTAAAACCATGGTGAACTTCCAATTACGAAACTCATTTTGATGTAAATATAACCAGTGCTGTTGAGGCCCGACCACCATGCCTGGTCTAATCATTCTCATGTAACCAATACATTCATTGGCAGTGAAACCATGTGTATATATTAAATGCGCGCCAATTAGACAACCGGTTCTGCCCAAACCTGCTTTACAATGGACAGCGATTTTCCCACCTTCAGCAATAATCCCTTCAGCTACCCCGACAAAATCTTGAACAATATCCATGGTTGGACAGGTACCATCATCAAAAATCATATCGATGTGCTTTATGCCACGTTTTGTGAACTCCATAGCATCGTACAAGTGGCTATTCAATCGTACCACCATCTTCACATCATGTTTGTGGAAATATTTCAAAACTTGTACAAATGCCTCATCAAGAGGTTCTCCCCTGTTTCCCTTTGGCGAAGCAAATGCTACAAAGTCAGGCGATACCAATGATAAATCTCCCTGATCTACCCGTTCATATTGTTCGAATTCTGCGAGGTCAAATGAAGTCAAATCAATCATCCCCCGTTCTTTAGCACGCCACACGCCATATACCACATCCTGGATTGTGATTTCAAAATCAGATTTGGCATAGCCAGCGTCTCTAAAAGGAGCGACAGGAGGGTCGATTTGAGAAATCGGTTGAAGTACCTGATGTGGTGCCCAAGATTGGATAAGAACCATGTAACAGCAAAGCATACATGTAATGTTAGCTCTAGCCTGTGGTGTCGTAGATGAGTAAATCACAATAGCTTTTCCAGAATTAGACTCATCATTGAGTTCACTATGTAGCATTACTGCGAAACGATAAAGATGACCCATATGAAGAGGACCAAAATCTCGATCAAATGCGTTATATGGAAGTTCATCTTCTACCGTGAAAAAGACAAGTTTTGACGTGTTAGAAGGACGACGATCATATGCCCCTAGATATATTCTTCCTGTATATATTTGCATATGTTAGTTTCCAGTAACTAGCTTAGGTTTCCATAAGTTTTTTCTTTTTCTTTCTTCTCGTATATGATTGTATTCTTAATGTACACCCAACCATTGATAAGGTGAAATTGGGGAAAATAGCCACGCGAGAAAAATGCGATAACGGACTAAATAGAAAACTGTACTTGGAGAAACATACCCTTTAAGAACTCTATTAATGGAATACTACTAGGATGTCCCATTTTTCTCTCTTTTTATTTTTCTTCTCCCCTCGTTAATCTTCTCAGATAAGTAATTTACAACGATAGGTTTTTCAGTGTGTCGCCAGAATTCACTAAACGTTGTCAAAACAAAAGGAAAAAATCAAAAAAAAAAAAATCAAAACATTGTGTCACGTGGTAATATGAGGTTACAGTGTGCAACAGCCAATTTCAGTGCAAAAATTGAGACAGTTGCAGAGAGGTTGCAAGATAATGTGGAATTATTTTTAAGTATTGTTTTATAATGCATTTAAATCAAATATATCATCATATATGTTGAAATATCCTCATAATTAATGCTTTTTCCTGTTGTGGCCCAGTGGGAGAGGATCCAACAGTTTGGGTCGATGAGGCCAGAAGAAAATTTTTTATTTTAATTTTACTTTACAAATTTTTCATCACATCAATTAACCCTTGGTGAGATAGCTATTGTTGGGGAAATTTGTGAGAATGGACGGATCTTCTTTGAACATTACCTCATTAAAGGACAAGGTCAGCGCCAAAATTAAGGCGGCCAATGAAAAGGCAGCCTCCAAAAAGAACAACAAGAAGAAGGCCAGTGATGAGAAGAAGAAGCAGGCAGCGGAGGTCACTAGTGACAAGAAACCAACCACAAATAAGAAAGACTCTTCTAAGAACGTTAAACTTGAAAATAAAAAGAAGAGCAAGAATAACCAGATGAACAAGAAGGACAAACAAAAGTCCCATGACTCTAAAAAGAAGTTCAACAACAATAAGGAATCAAATGATACCAAAGTGGATGAAAAGGAAATTATGCGCCGTGAAGCCCTTGAATTGGGTGCCACTGAAGATGATTTGGAATTGTTGAAAGGTTTCAATGATGATGATTATAAAGACGTCGAAGATGACGAGATTTTGGACTTTAGCAAAGACAAATCTTCGAAGAATATTAGTAAAGGTGACTTAGAGAGTTTCATCAAACAAATCGGGTTGACCGGTGAGGTGAACACTGTTGAAGATGAAGAAGTCTCTGAAAAGGAATCTGCAGAGGGTGAAGAAGAAGAAGAAGAAGAAGAAGAAGAAGAAGAAGAAGAAGAAGAAGAAGAAGAAAAAGAAGAAGCCAGTAATCCGAGTTCAACTCAGTCGAAAAAGAACCAAGAATCCAAGAATGATTCAAAACAAGAGACCAAAACTTCTAACAGAGAGGAAATGAAAAAGATGACTTCCATCGACTCTCTGCACCTACTTTTACCAGCCCAAGTGGATTGGTATAATATTCAAAATGAATTAACTGAAGCCAAGGCCCCAGCCGTCCCATTAAACAAGCAACAGATAGAAGATCTTTTTACTAAGGCAAAGAAAGTCACTGAAGAGGAAAATACTAAATATTATGAAGAATTTTCCAAGAAATCATCGCAAAAGAAGTTTTTCAGTGAAATTTTAACTAGTGGTACTTTGAACGATAAGATATCTGCTTTAACCCTTATGATTCAAGAAGCCCCATTGCATAATATGAAATCCATGGATACTTTATTGGCATTTTGTTCGAAAAAGTCTCGTTCGGCAGCCTTGCAAGCCATCAACTCCTTGAAGGATTTGTTGATCAATGGGTTGTTGCCATCAGATAGAAAATTGAGATTTTTCAAGAACCAACCAAATTTGAGTCAGAAAACTTCTGATAAATTGTTGATGTTGTACTATTACGAAGACTTTTTGAAAAGTCAAGTATTCAAGTTGCTCGAAATCCTCGAAAGATTAACACATGATAGTATCCTACATGTTAGAATGAGTGCGGTCACTTATGTGTTTGAACTTTTGGCCGCCAAGCCAGAACAAGAACAAAATCTTTTGACTTTGGGGGTCAACAAATTGGGGGATATTGACCACAAAGTTTCTGCAAAGACTTCTTTTGCTATTCTTCAATTGGAACAATCACATCCTGCTATGAAATCTATCATTGCCAAAGCGATCATTGACTTCTTGAATAAGAATTATGACAACTACAATAGTAAATATTACTCGGTGTTGACATTGAATCAAACAATCTTGACCAGAAAGGAAGTCGACTTGGCAAACACCTTGATTGTCTCATACTTTACCATTTTCAGAAGAATTTTGTTGGACCAAGAAAAGGCTGAAGAAACCAACGAAAATGTTATTGGGAAAGTTCAATTGGGACGTAAATCCAACGGAAGAAAGAATTTCAAGAAGGGTAAGAACGGTGGGAAATCGGTTAAAGCAGAAGTCAAAACTGATGGAGAGGTCAAAGAAGAGCAAAATTCCAAATTATTCAGCGCAGTGTTGTCTGGTCTTAACAGAGCCTTCCCATTTTCAGACTTACCAAACGAGATTTATACCGAGCACTTGGATAGCTTATATCGTATTGTTCATTCTTCAAATTTCGCCACCACAATTCAAGCATTGTCTTTGATCCAACATATTGTTAGTGCTCAAGGTTTGGATAACACTCGTTATTACAAGTCATTGTATGAAACTTTATTGGATGAAAGATTGGTAAACAGCTCCAAGCAAGGGTTATACTTAAACTTATTATACAAGTCTTTGAAAAATGATTCTTCTACCGATAGAGTTTTGGCATTTGTGAAGAGAATTATTCAAGTCTGTTTCAGTTGGTTGAACATTGGTGCGGTTTGCGGGATGTTGTATTTATTAATTCAATTGGTTACGTACCAACCTTCAGTTAAGATGTTATTGGATAAGGAAATCATTAACGAAGACGAAGAAGAAGAAGAAGAAGATGCTGAGGCAGAAGGAGAAAAAGAAGAAAAGAAATTTGGAACAAACTATGACTGTCAAAAGAGAGATCCACGGTTTGCCCATGCTGACAAGACCTCTCTTTGGGAATTGATCCAATTCTTATCTCACTTCCATCCAAGTGTTAAACTATATGCCGATGGTCTTCTTAATTCCGTGAAAGATAAATCTAATGAAGAAGATGAAGAAGAAGACACTTTGGTAAAACCAGATTTAGGGTTGTACACCTTGAGTCATTTCTTGGACAAATTTGTGTATAAGAATCCGAAACAAAAGGTCACCACTAAAGGTTCATCCATTATGCAACCTTTGGGAGGCACCCAGACCGGTTCTTTGTTAGTTAAATCTAGCAATGTGAATAGACAGGAAGATATCCCAGTTAATTTGAAAGACTGGTTCAACAGACATACTGACGATATTAACCCTGATGAAAGATTTTTCCACGAATTTTTCAGACATCATGAAAACCAACCAAAGAATATGAAGGTTGAGGCCACTGAGGATGGAGAGAGTGATTTGGATGAAGATGAAGTTTGGAAAGCCTTAGTTACTTCTAGACCAGATCTTGATGGTGAAGGTGATGACTTGAGTGATGAGGATGTCTCATTTGACGACGAAGACTTCTCTAGTGATGGCGAAGGATTAGACGTTGATGATGAAGTTAGTGGTGATGAAGATGGAGAAATTGATCCTGAACTCGCAGCGGAATTTGAAAAAGAACTTGATAAAATTGGAGGAGATTCTGATAATGAAAGTGATGAAGGAGAAGAAGAAGAGGAAGAAGATGGTGAAGATGATTTCACTGCTTTCAGTGATGAAGAAGCAGCCACTGATAGTGAAGATGACAATGAAGCTGCTGAACTTTTCAAACAAGATGATGAAGATGAAATTTCTAGTGATGAAGATGTCAGCGAATTAGCTAATTCGAAAAAGAGATCTAGAGATTCAGGTGAAGAGAAGAAATCTAAGAAGAACAAGAAACAAAAGATGAAAGACTTGCCACTTTTCGCCTCAGCCGATGATTACGCCAGATATTTGGACTCTGATTCTGAGTGATTTGCTTTATTTAATTTTTTTATTATACTTTTCTTTTCAACTATATATTTAAATCTGTTGTATATTATGGAATGTTACAATTACCTTTCTATTTACTTGGGAATATATATCGTAAGGCCCTTCAGCTTAAATAGTAAATTTCACTGACCTCTCTTGGAACTGCGCCATCGTCTTCCTCTGGCTTGATACCTAATTCCTCTTGCTTGACGGAGTTTTTGAATCCTGGAGTCCCAGAGACTTTGGTATTGATAACTTTTGGTAAGCCTTTTCCAGAAACTTTATGCTGCATCAATTTCTTCCATGATTCATGAGTTTCTTCAATGACCTTTATGGTTTCTTGGACATTTCTGTATTCTCCATCAAATGCAAACTCATTGGCCCCTTTACCGGCAGGGATCTTGTAGTCTCTGAACCAGTTTCTCGTCGAGCTTAAAACCCCAGGCATGTATTTTTCCACGTCTTGAATATCGTTCAATTTGCTGACCATTGGATCAGCGACATTGATCCCAATAACTTTCCAGTCTAATTCTCCATCATCAATTAATGCCAAAGATCCCAACACTTTGATTTTGACAATATCCCCGAGTTTGCCTACCGATTTACCTAAATCACAAATATCAACAGGATCGTTATCTCCCTTCAATCCTCCAACGTCTGGGTGGACCTCGGTAGTATCTTCCCAGGTTTGTGGGATGGCACCATAATTGTGGATATACCCGTGGTGGGGGTAAATGTTGTGAATAAATCTCAATTTGCCTTTCTTTGTGTCCTGGGTGATTGGGTTTAAAGGTAGCTTGGTGGTGATTTCCATTTTGGCATTGGACCATCTTGGGATCTCCACCACCATCGAGACGGTGCGGCCCACTTTGTCAAGGCCCAATGGGACATCGTGGAACCAAGACCCAGGCTTCCCGGTGACTGGATCACGATAATAGACTTTATAATCCAACGTAAACTTAGAACCCAGAGGAAGAGTGTGCGATGAAGAAGCACTAGCATTGACATGGTTACTAAACATCTGAAGTCTTGCGGTGGCTGTCGTCGTTATCATTTTGTGCAGCAAATTCAAGAGTCTGGACATGTTAGAAGTGGTGAAACAAAGACGTAGAAAGCCCAACAGAAGGAGAAGAAATATAAATGCTAAGCAAGGGTAGTAGTAATTCTTTGCCAAATATTGGAAGCGTGATAGCATCGAACTCCAATTTTATCGCAGTTTCCCTCAGTTTTTTTGCAGGTCGTCGCGATTTTTTTTTCTTTGGTTTTCTTCAAGTTTACTACAAATATTTAGCTGAACACAAAAGTTTATAATAAGAGTAACAAAAGTAACAAAAATAGCAAAAAAAAAAAAGGCAATTCTAAACTTGTAGGACAGATATTGGGCGATATATGTATATATAAATAAATAACAAATAACGGGGGATAAAGAAAATAAAAGAAAAAGTCTATAAGCAAAAAACCCGCAATATCTATCATGAAACGGTCTGAATCTAATAACGATTGCAGATAAAAAACAAAAACAATTCAAGATGATATGGTTTATTTAATTTCATCCATCTGAATCTCAAACGCTTTATTCAATTGAACCTTCTCTCTGCCCTCATATTCCGGTGGAGCTCCTACAAAGATAATTTTATCATCTTCATCAAATGTCGCGCCATCATCGCTGATTTCAATGACACCTTCAAAGTCCTTGATTAAAGATTTACTCAAACCCATTTTATCCCTTGGAATCCATACCACAGGAGGTGGGGCGTAGACTGCAGGATAATTGTAAGCTTTGTCGTTTGCTTCTTCATCCAAGTCATTTATGTCCACATGGTTGTAAATCTCCGGCAAAGTACGTTTACAGTAACGATATGACAAGTAAATGTGCGGTTTGAAGAAACGCATCACAATGTTATCGCGCTTTTCGTACAGACGGTCTTTGGATCCCTCGGCCAATAATGGCACATTGGCTAAAGTATCGTATTTTTCAACGATTCCTGCCAAAGTTGGCTTCGCAAAATTTTTGTCCTCATCATCATGAAGATTAGTCAGTTCGTTATAATACTCGTCATGCGACAATCTTACCAATGCTTCCTTGTCAGTTAATTTGGAAGTATCGTAATCAGTGGATTCAGATAACCTTGGAAGTATCTTCTTATTAATACTTGAGTCATTATTATCAGTCATATCACTGATACCACCCAAGTGCAATTGTTGGAAGAAAGAAGGAGTTTCACTAACACCATCCAAAGATTTCATAGCATCAATTGGCAATGCAGTGATCAATTTATCGAATGCACTATTCAAATTAATATGGACAACTGCTGTAATACCTAATGCAATAGCAACGATAATCACTGGACCCCATGCTTTGGCAACAACAAATAATCCTAAAAGACAAATTTGCCCAATATAAATCCCGACAATAGTTTGGAACAACGCACGAGGATAATGTATACCTCTGTTATCTTTGGAAGAATTATCACTGACATAACACAAATAATACAAGTAAGAAACGTACAAGATCGCGAAACCAACAGCAGTGAAAAGAAGCACTATTGGAGAAATGATGGAATATGCCAAAGAAATAACCATCAAGTTGGTGTATGGAGGGAAATCAGTACCCCAAGAACTTGAGCCCAAAGAGGTATAACGATTCCACTTCTTTCTAACAGTCTTATCTAAGATAAAGCTAAGAACATAGAATAACACAAGAGTGGTGATTTGAAGGAACAATGCACCAGCAATCGAAAAACTTTGAAGGACAATATACGAAACATAAAAGTTAGAAGCGGATGGAAGATTTTCGCTCAATAAACTCATGGCAGAGGTTGGCTGGTTAATAATTTGGGTAACAACCGAAGAAGCGGAGGAAGAAATTGTGGTGACTAAAAAGACTTGAATAACTTGGAATGCAAAGTACGCTTGCTGGGTAAAATATTCAATGTGTTGCAAAGTTGGGGCACCCGAAAGTTTAGCCATAAGGCGGATGAAGATTGGTAAAAGGGCCATGAGCACCGACAACAAAACGGTTGGTAATAACGCGGTAATAAGACCCATTAAAGTGTCACCTAACTTATAAATAAATCTAAGGAAATGAAGCTTATTGGTCAAGTAATTGACGTTTGAAATGACCCCAACAAACGCGACAGGAACAGCCCAAAAGATAACAAGGGCAACAATTGCGGCTATTGCCACATATTTTCTAACCAATCTTTCGTACCAAAACAATCTCATGTTGATCCAAACAATATCCTTTGATTCAACACCAACGTAATGTTCTGACAAGGTAAATGGCTTATGATGAATAATTGTTTGATGCGCCAATTGGGCAAAATATTGATTCTCAAATTCCACAAAAATAGAATTCATTGTCGATTTATTGTTATTTCCTTCAGATTTCATTTCAGCAATCTCTTTATTGACTTTTTCAAGTTCTTCTTTCAAACAATTAATCTTATCGCGTTTTTCACCAAAAAGCTTGTACTTTCTGACAGTTGGGCGCTTATCTTGAGGGATATAGGCAACTAACTCATCGACTGGTTCAATGACAATACCCTTTTTCTCAGCTTTGGATTTCACTTTCATAGCTTTTTGCAATATACCATTAAGAGTTCCTTCTAAGTTGGAGGCCAATTTTTGGCGGAGTTTCACTTTTTTCTCCAATTCTGAGTCTGCTGTGGCTTCCCAAATCTTTTTAACCCCTTTGAACAATTTCTTAAATTCCTTCTCGTTCAAGTATTGGTCTGGAACTGATTGGAAAAGCACCACTCTGGAAGACAACTTGTACGCGTATTTAGGCGATGCTAAAATACATTCACGAAGATAATTGTAGTAAGTCAACTCGCGATAAATAATGTACAACACAAAGGAATAGAACACCAAGGAAATGATAGCATGGGCATAGAACCGGTGGCGTTCCTTAATGTTGGAGAAACTTATTTTATCAAGACCAGTTTTCCCATTCCCACCTGTTGCGTTGATTGGAATCAAGATAGGGAAAATAAGAAGCAAGGAAGCAAAAGCAGTACAGGAGAACACCAAAAGGTAGCGAAGGAAGAAGTACCCATCGAGACCTGCCTGTTGAATAATGAAGCTCTTAGGTTTGGACAATAGAGGCACAACCCACGCTAAAAGGCCTGAGGGTAAAGGTTCCAAGTATTTTTGGTCCTTATTGATCTTAATAATCAAGTCCAATGACTTTGGTTGGTAAATTCTTTTGAATTGGAGACGAAGCAAAAGAAACGCGGTGGTGAGCCCAAGGAAAACCGCTCCATTGAAAATAATCGAGGTTATCACTGCAGAGGTCGATGTTCCTTTTGTCGAACTCATTTTGTAGTATTAGTTAACGACAAAACTGTAACTGAGCCAGCAGGAAACAAAATAGAAATGGGGATTGGCAAACGAAAGGAATGTACTTCTTATTAAGAAGGATAGATATTATATATATATATATTAGCACACTGGCGATATATACTGAAGTTACAATGGAATTGAAACAAGTTGGAATCCTATCTTATATGATTTCTCAATTTTTTTCTCCCTTAAAACCCTTTTTTCCTCCACGCGGCTGAGAAAAAAAAAATTGGGGTGGGAGAAAAAAAACTGAGTTTCGCGAATGCCTCATATGATCCTGGAATTAGAAGTATGGTGGATATAAGAAGAATAATAATATTCAGTTTGAAGGGAATTGAATGAATGCCTTGAGAATCCAATTTGATGATGGTCGCTCGAATAGGCATAATGCACTGTAAAGATATGTGTACAGATATAATATATATATATATATATATATATCACTCATCGGTGGTATCAACTTGAAGCTCTTTGGCCACCGCGGTGATGTCGGTCTTCTTTTGGTCGGCCATGATCGCCAATATCTTCATTGCGGTGTCTCGTAGATCATTGTAAATTTTGAGCTGCTGGATATGCCGAAGAACCTGTTTATCCATTGACGAATAATCCATATGTTTCTGTGTCGATTCATCGCTCTCTCCTAGTACTTGCTGGCGCAATTCCTGGTTTTTACCGCGAAGATCGGCCACCACAGACACTTTATATCTTAAATCTTGGGATATTTCGGTTTTTAATGAATCAGGAATCGACTTATCACTATTTAGGGCCTCAATGATCTGGTCAATGGTGGTGGGATCACCGGAAGCGGCTTTACTTGACATTGCTGTGGAATAGGACAACAAAGACCCAAAATTTGCCAAAAAATAATACACTACTGGAGATGACAATTCTCTGAAGAAGATTGGGGAAGGAAAATTCCTCTTTTGGTTTCACTTCAGCTTCTGGAAGGGGTATATCCTTCCAAGATTTGTTTCAATAGATGATGGTTGGCGTCTGTTTATTTTTTTTTTTTTTTTTTTTCTTTATTTTTTTTCTCATTTTCTACGTTAAACAACAAAATAACACTACAATAACCAGCAATCACAACAACAATAACAATATAATAACAAAATGGTAACAACATAATAACAATATAATAACAATATAATAATAAAACACTAATAATAATAATAATAACAAAAAAGTAACATAAATTATCATGACAATTCAAAAAATGGCATTAAGAAATACTGATAATCCACCCCAAAGTTTGTAATGAATTTCCGTTAAAAAGATAAAAAAAAAACTAGAATATCTCATTAGCCTAGGGGAATTATTAGTATCAATGAAATATCACGATACTCCTTCAATGTATTTGCAATAAAAAATCAGTTCTCATATCGAAAAATTCGAATAAACAGAAGCAGTATATTCTTCTAGCTCTGGAACGCTACTCATCACTTGAACATATTCATTTGTGTTACTAGCCTCACAAATCTTGTTGTTTTCTTTCATGATGATCGATAAAATCTTCACAAGCTTGATCCGATAGGTAATCAATTGTAACTCGATTTTCTCTGCATTAAGATCATCATCATCCTGATTTTCCTCAAATAAAATATCTGAACAATTATTAAGAAATTTACCAATTGAGCTAGTAACCATATTTACAAGCACAATGTTAAGAGCATCAGTATTAATGTAATCTCTGGTTTCTCTTATTAAGACCCGGAAGTTTTCGTGGGCAATAATTTCTTCCGCCGAGATGTTCACATCATCATTGTCATTACCCAAAATATCTGCTCTGTGCCTGCTTACCACTTCAAATTCTTTGTTTTCTGGAGGCAAAATACATTGTTCAATAAAATCCTCATTGTTCACCAAGAAGCTCTTGTCAATCAATTCTTGGGTTTTTGCAATCAACGTGCTGAATTCGTTGAATGTCACTTCTGTCCGGGCATTGACATCCTTAAATACCAATTTTATTGCCTCTGTACACTTCTTATAGATCGTAACATATCCATGGTTAACCAACCACCAACTGAGTGCAAGATACGATTGTTCCACCACATATTCAACATGACCTCTGTCCCCCACCAAATCTTCCACTTCGATGTTTGCTGCTTCCATGGCGGTTTCCAAGTAATCTTTACGAGCTAGAAGGTTAAGCTGCAATCTCACTAAGATTACCAATAAACAATAACTGTAAACTGAAGTCAATAATCTTGCTAGCGCCTTCACCTTAAGGTCATTCCAAAGATGTTGCTTTGAAACCTCGTTTGTAGATTTACTGTTATTATCTGGGGATTCAGCTTCCGGTTTTGATTCAGAGGTATCAAAAACAGTACCTCCGACGCTGATCTCTGTTCCAGTGGTCAAACTTCCAGTAGTATTTGTCGCGTTTTCTCCTTTTTTCTTCCGTTTACTTATCAACTTCTTTGTGATGTCTTCTACTGGCTCAAGGCTATAAATTCCTTTAGATAGTGTCGGCAAAAGACCAACGATCGTGAAAATACAATCCTGTTGGGTTTGCAAATACTTTTTCTTGATTTTCTGACGAATTAAATATTGTTGGTATTCAAATGCTTCACGACGGCGATTGAGGATGTAACGGATTAAAAAGTAGCAGGCTGTCAAGGTTCCCATGGTGGTGACAATCTTTCGACGATTGTGACGATAAAACTGAAAAAGCCCCGCAAACATTGTGATATATATTATTTATTGATCAGGTTTTTGTCGGCTAATTACTAGTTGGTGGGGTTGATGATGTTGTTTGTTTCTGCCTGACAGTTCTTGTTATTTTCCAATATTTCTCTGGCTTTCTTTTTTTCTTTATGTCTTTATTGTTGATTTTATCACAAACAGGAGATATATATATTCAAGAACAGCCTCTTTTGTGGGGTTGTTATTGCTTGAGTTAAAGGGTAACGTATCTCATCGACGATATCATTATTATCAGAATGGCTGTTGGTACGATGTATTAAAGGTTACCCTCTTTAGGGTGCATTTCTCGCTTTTCCTGACTCAGTGGGAGATTTATTCTTTCGCTAGATGGCAGCATCTCATCTCATTAATTATATATTATCTCTCTCTTTTTTTTTCATCCTCATAACATATCACCACAATATTTCCTTCTGCGATTACCCTTCTAAGCTGCTGCCCAATACATTTCCCGTTCTTCATTACTCCCCAGTCTTTGATTGGAAGCGTTCTTGCACCATATGTCATTATCGCATCACAAGAACCCAATAAAGAATAATTGAGAAGACAAAAAACAAATAGTGTTCACGCATATCCCATATCATCTCAACCTTTTGTTTTTCTTTCTATTATGATTCCATCAGAGGATGGCCCTGTCATCTCTTCGCCACCAGCAATATTGAAAAATAGCCCGTCAGCAATGGACCATGGCACAAGTGCAAATTTAACCCAGCCCATCATCAATCACAACATACAAGTCAAGAAGAGCCATGGTACCGAAGACAGCAAATTAGAGACTTCTAGCAGCGACCCGTACGATGCTGTCGTACTGGGGAGAAGTAATAATCCTGATAATATTAAAGAGTCAACTGAACTGGAAATTGAAAAACTCCTGACCGTGAATGATGCCACCAAATCTATGGGCCCAAGTCAATTGATTGACGTGAATTCTCAAACCTCACAACCACAAGTAAAAAAATCAGAAGAGTATAAAGAGAAGGCTTATCCACTGTTAAATAATCAACCTCAACCCTTGGAACTGAATAAGCAAAAGGATCTGGTTTCACCCTTATCTTCGAAACCCCAACCTGATAAGAAATCAGGTAAACCAGATACGCTTGTTAATAGAATAGTTGTGGAAACTGAAACCGTTGACTCGTCACCATCAATTAGTCTTTCTCTGTACGATAAATCAAACCAGAACTCAAATTCTGGGATTCAGTCAAAACATCAGTTTATGGATGAATCGAGTAGCAAAAAGGAGTCTCACAAGTCAGATGAACCCAATATGGCGGGTGCGACACTGGCAACAGCCAATGATAGTTTCAATAACAATAGTGCAATTTTTGGAGCAACTAATTTATCTACAAATCCAGTGGCTCTTGAGAATTATAGTGGTAATAATAATACGAATCAAAACATATCAACCACAACAACGACAAATAATAATATCCCTAACAATCCCCCTTCTGTGGTAACCACGACTACAACAACGACGACATCGATACCGGAAATGACTCTTAATAATAACCTTGATCTTAAATCAAGAGTTTTTTCTACGTCAACCATTGGTGACAAAGTCCCTAAGATTGAACCCAATGGCGCAGAGCTTGTCGATAGTAATGCTATCGTTGACCATCCTGATGATGAACTAAACGATCACAAGTCCGCTAGTCAAACCGCTTCCCATAATGCTTATAGCAGATCTCTTCGAAACAAGAGAAGCATTCTCATGGACTCACTGGCAAATGTCACATCGAATGCTAGTCTTGCATCCAAAAATGTCAACGTCGCTTCACAAACCACTAATGTACCAAACGTTAATATGGCTAACCCTAATGTCCCACAAAACAATGTTGTTTCTGCAAATTACTTGGATGATGATACTAGAAGTATCACTTCTTCAATAAAGAGATCAAAGCCAAAGCCAAAATTGAAAAAAATCAGCTCCAGCAGGGCTGATATTTTCGAGGCACAGGTGGAAGGTGCATTAGATGATGAGGAGCATTCCGATGGTAATGAAACATTTGTGTACGAAAGCAGAGGCCATAGCAGAGATAACAGCGCCAATACTATTGAACTTGAAGCCCTGGATGGCCCAAATAATTATAACAATAATAATAATGACACTGATACAGTTGTGGACTCTAAAATTGAAGGCCCTATTGATGAAGAATCAGAAGAAACTGATAGCCGAAACCAAGCTGATCATCCATATCACGATCATAGTGGGTCGGCTTCTGTCAATGATAATATCAGTAATAATGATATTTTTATTGATCGTAAATTTTCGGCACAGATTCAAGATCCAACAGAGCATTTCAAGCTTGAAAAATCTAGCCTCCGTGGGATTCCAAGAGTGGTGGGTAATCCTAATAATAATTCCCAGGCATATAATCCATTGGGTTTCGCAATAGATCAAGAAGTATTGAACACTCCATCTCGAGGTACAAAATACAGCAAACAAGGTAAGGCCTACAAGAAATCGAGATTAACTAGCAGAGGCAATTATGATGACTGTGAAGAATATACCAATAATGGTGATATATTTAGTAATGATAGTCATTATAAGGGGACTAAACATACTATTGAGCCATCAATTGGTTCATCATCAATGAAAGATTTCTATCTTAATTCTAATTCTGGAATGACTGGGCCGTCAGAAGAGAAAGATTACGTGGACGACCAAGGTTCGGTACATCATTATCATTTCAATGGCAAATATGGTGGTAAAGGTAATAATAACAATAATAACTCTCGTTATAACGGTTCCAACCTTGTTAGAGCTCCATCAAAAAGTCGAGTAACTGATCCCTATCAATATCAAATGTCCAGTAGCCATGAAAACACTTCTGATTCAGAATTGGAGTATACTACCGATGATTTCACCTATCCAAAGTTTACGCGGTATAGAAAGAATCCTCCTTCCAAATATACCAATATTCATGGTGACACACATGTATTAAATCGTCAAGTTAGTATTCCAGAAAACCTTACTGGTGAAAGCAATCACTCAACCTTGACATCAGGGACGACGGTCCCTAAAAAAACTGGTGAAGTGAATGCTCGGTTTATTTCACGTAACAGTAGTATTTCCAATTTTGATGTCACCAAGGCAAAAGCTCCGCCAATTCATGAAAATAATATGAATCAATTTGCAAAACCTAAAAGGGGCAGTCTGGTCTCTCCCGTGGTGAATTATCATCCTCACACTTTCCGCAGGTTTTCTTCGAGACTGAAGAATAGGCATCAACATTTGCAACAGCCGTCAACCCCGCAACAGCTTCATCTTCAATCGCAGCAACCGCAACAACCGTCGGTGGCACAACAACAGCAACCGCCTTCTTTTACGATCGAAGAATCACCATCGAAGAATTATCAAAGCATTAATGGTGGAAGGGTTGTTGCTAATGGCCGGAGCGTTAGTACTGCAAACACCGTGAAACAATATAATTCTTATTCCAAGCCTCAAATGCCAAACCAATTGAGAACTACAATTTCAAAATTGTTTGATCCACAGGGCACAAACTTGAAACGATATTCAGGGGTGCCGGATGATTTCACGGTCGATGATTTTGAAGATGAAAATTTCGATGATGATGTGAATTATTTTGGATATGATTTAGAAGACGGTTCAGAGATCAACGAAAGTACCCCTTTGAATTTTGATTATTACAACAGTTATTCAAGAAGCCCAAAGTTACGCAATATGAATTCCTTGGAAGATGCAAAGATGAATGCGTATCGTCATTCGAGACTCGTGGGAAAAGACCAAGATCAATCAATTCCTTATTACAATACTCCAAACGCTTACTACACAGTTCGTGGGAAAAAATCATATATCCAAATGATCCAATCTACATTTTGGGGAATATTATTAATGGTTCTGTTTTTATCCCTTGGGTTTTTCTGTGGGTTCTTTTTGGCATCCACCAAAGATTTGGCGGATGTAAGCATTGTTGATATGAATCATTTATTGGTCAGTACAGACGAATTGATATTTGACATTGAATGTGATGGAATCAATCCAGGTTTCACCACTATAGTATTGGAGGATGTTGATCTAGATTTGTTTGTCAAAACCAGATACTTGGAAAACGATGATGATGATGATGATAATGATGGGTATGATCGACTTTTCCATTACCAAACCTTCTTTATTGGCAATATCAAAGGATTAGAATACCCGATGAATTTTCCAAGTAATATGTTTGATAAAAAGAAAGTGCATGCTACATCAAGCATTCGATTGATTGATCCTGGGAAAAATAATAGTGATCCAACTTATAATGATGGGCTTCAATCAAACCCGGAACAAATAGATACCACTAAACAGTTAGATATTCTTAACAGCGAACATTTGACGTTTTCCTCAGAAACCCCGACCTCGCGTCAGAAAATGTGGAAGGTGGCTATTAAATATCCGTTTGAATTGATTGTTCGTGGGAAGTTCAACTATAAATTGCCATTTGGTAATTCAAGGAAAGCCATTGCTGTTCACAAGAGTATATCTGCAGACCCAGCCCAGAATTTTGAACATGTTGCTATTGAGGGTTGAAGTCATCTATCTTTTTTGTTTTTTCTCCCTTTAAATCACTTTACTCTGTTATTTTTTTTTGCTGCTGGTAAGTGCAGATCAATCAGAATATTTTTTTTATTTTATTTTTGTTGCCTCTTTGATTGCTTTTTATATTATAGTATAGTATAGTTTTGAAATAGAATACCTATTTTCCTTTTTCTTTTAAATCCTCTTTTATCAAATGATTTGGTGATTCGATATAAAGAATCTGCCTGGTGGTGTGCCCAGTCATGTTCGTTATTAAAAATTCGGTAATCAATTTTCATGTATTAAATGGGAATTAAACCCTGAAGAGTATGACACTTTATATTAATAAAGTTAAAATCATAAGCAAGAGAACGCTAAGCAGCATCCCCTGGCAAATGGGGCCAGTGTTTGTTGGTTGTACAATATTTTCTTCGAGGGTAAAGCATCACTACCTTAGCACCCCCTACGCCTTCCCAGCGTGATGGTATTTTACAGTCTAAGGGCACGCCGGCCGTGGAAGATTCCAATATTTAATGGCATCTGATGATTGATTTTTTGAATTTCTTTGTATCCTCAATGGCAATAATCACACAATTATTACTGAGAGAAGAAGAAGAAGAAGAAAAATACAATGGAAATCCCACAAGACCTATACGCATTGCTAGAGAAAACTTCTGCCTCGGCCAGTGGGTTAGTATATACCGAACCAAGCCAGCAGAAAGTTGTTCAAGACAAAACTGATTATTTGATCTCGTACATTACTGCACTTGAAGATAAGGACACCAGTAACAAGAAACAAAAGACCAATCCTTTCGAGAACCCTGATCCTTCATTAGTGGTGAGTCGCGATGTAGTGTACAGTTTGATTTTGAACAAGTTTCCTATTATCAAAAACCACTTTTTGTTGATCACCAACAAGTTTGTCAAACAAGACTCGCTCTTAACCCCACAGGATCTCGTGGTGACCCATGACATATTAAAGCAATTGGGGAAAGATCTCAAGGGACAGAAAAACATTAGACCATTGGCGTTCTTCAACTGCGGCCCAGCGTCAGGAGCATCGCAAGCACATAAGCATGTCCAATTTATTTTTGTCGATGAGCAACAGCACGGGCTTTGGCCCCAAGACGTTGTGGACCGCTCACGTCAAATCATCTACGTTCCCGACGTCGATAATCCACCATTGACAGACAGTAGCAAGAAGTTTGCTCATTTCGTTTTGCCACTCACTCGTGAGCGTGGTGAGGAAGATACAGAGATCCCAATGGATACTTTTGCAATGATTTATATGGGGTTGATTCAAAACTGCTTGACAGTGATGAGAGACCACCATCTCGCTAATGATGAAGAGAACCATACAAGATCGATGTTATCTTATAATTTACTCATGACAGAAAATTGGATCATGGCAGTACCAAGAAGTCGTGACACCGTCTCCAATGAAGAACTCGGGTGCACATTATCAATAAACTCGTTGGGGTATGTGGGAATGATTTTGGTCAAATCAAAAGAGGCTTTTGAGAAAATCGTCTCGGGAAAAATTGATTTAGAAGAAAAAGTTTTGTTGGAAAGCGGGTTTAAAAAAGATTATGAGAAACAAACAGATGAAGGTGATTATTAATCCCAGTTGTCTAGATAAAATACACAATATAAACATTGAAAGGCATTTACTCCATGTACAATGCATTAGAAAAGGCATAACTGGTAGATTATCCAATTTATTGTTCTTTTTAAATAAAAAATAGTGAAGATGTAAATAGCCAATTGGCTTTATTTAAAAAATAGTAACCAAACATTATGGAAATAATACTATAAAGATCAAATATTCTAACCAATTGACAAAGATTTAAGAATAGTAAATAGGCACCAGTAAAGCATGCTCTCTATAGCAGCCATTATTGGCAAGGAGCCTCACTTCGTGACCATTTTATTTTCCTCTATCTTACTCATGTTAACTACAATGATTATATCCTTGTCAATGATGAGGCAAATGCCAAATTTGGGCAAATCAATTCCTATTTATAACTTTTTATCAATTACCGGTCCATCTCCAAATTCTGGCTTTACAATCACCCGAGCCAGTTGCAAACATACCATTACCGCTTACTGGGTGATTAGCAACACTGACGCTGATCACAGAGTTACGATGACCTTGTAACATCAATAATGGATCCCCTGAAGCCTTGTCCCAGAAAATCACACCACGATCTTTAGAACCAGACAAAATATATTCACCTCCCGGAGATGCGCAAACACTGAGAACAAAGTCTCTGTGCCCAACATAGGTAACTTCACAATTGGCAACATTTTTGGCGGAACTATTTGGCCCTGCAAGTCCATCAAGAGACCATAACTTCACAGTAGTGTCTAAAGAACCAGATGCGATTTCTCTTCCACCATTTGTGAAAATCACAGAGTAAACTGAATCTTTATGCCCGTTATCATTCTCATTTTCCGAATCAAGTCGTTCAACAAGGAACCCAGTAATGGCATCCCAGACCCTCACAGTGCGATCAAGGGACCCAGCAGCAATAAGCTTTCCATCAGGAGAAACTGCTACAGTAGTGACCCCATCCTCAATTGTTAAAGTCAATTGGGTCAAACCAGAAGTCAAATCCCAGATTCTCACAGTACGATCGCCAGATCCAGAAATTAATTTGCGGCCATCTGGGAAGAAATCCAAAGAATAAATATCCTGCTCGTGGCCTTTAAGATATTTAGTAATTCGTCTAGTGGTCAAGTCCCAAATTCTAATCAACTTGTCCTCAGCCCCAGTAGCCAAATATTTTCCATCGGGAGAGAAACAAACAGACCTAATATATAAATCACCACTAGAGTTTGCTTCAGGAACCCCGTTAGCACCAGAAGCCCCAGGAACACATCCGCCAGGTGTAACATTATCATCTAATAAACGAGCCACGAGTTCTCCGGTTTCTACACTATAAACTTGTGTGGTTTTATTACATCCGGTGGCCAAATATTTTCCATCGGCACTAAACCGTACACAACAGACAACCGAATTATGGTCCAATGAATGGGCAAGCTCAACGTCAATTTTGCGGGGTAATTTTGGGTTGTATAAAATGTAATAATCACTCATTTGCTTTTTCATCTGTGCTGGAACAAGTTGGGCATCTAACTCCTTGAGAAAACCTGGAATAATCTTCTTATGAGCCGCGCGTTGGCTGCTTGGCACATAATTTGGCTCGGCTTTAACAATTTCCTTAGAAGGTGCCAGGTGAGTTGCAGGAATTGAAGCTACTTGTGGTTGGGGTGGTGGTAGCGATGCTGGCTTGCGAACTGTTGCAGAAGTTGGCTGAGCTGGAGAAGGAAATTCTGTACGGGTTGGTTGTGGTGTAGGCTGTTGTGGAGCTGCGTATCCAGAGTGAGCAGCACCTGCAATAGCATGGGACTTTGACCCATCGCTAGGAAGAATATCACTAGTTTTTTGTGGCGGTGGAAGTTTTTGTGTTTGCGTTTGAGGTTGAATAGGGGCTAATTGTTGAGGTTTTGGCGGTTGGCTATCATAAGTTGATGGGATAGCTTGGCCATTAGACTGTGGCAGATTTCCATACACTGACTTTTGACCATATGAGCGTGGTTGTTGTGATTGTAATTGAGAACCGTGAGCATTACTATTTATACTTTCAGGGTGAGAAGGGGCTACAGCTTCAATTTTTTGTTGGTGGTGATGTTGCTGTTGCTGTTGCTGCTGCTGCTGCTGCTGTTGTTGTTGCTGCTGTTGATGGTAATGGGACAACTGGCGGTCCTTCTGTTCAAGTTCTTGCTTAAGTCGAACAAGTTCTTGTTCATAGGCATCTTTCATAGCACGATGCGCTGATTCTAAGTCAAAGACTGTCTGTTTGATTTTTTGGAGCTCATTTGTTTGTTGGTTAAATTTGTGGTCTGACTCGTCTTTGTGGAGACGATAGGCCAGTGCTTCGGTTTTGATATTATCAAACTCAGCACGAATACCATCAAAGAATTCCTCGAGCCTGTTATTCATGGGAGGCCTATATGACATGATGTTTTTTCTCGATATGACTCGATATTTTTCATAGATTTACTTCGAGGATACTTTTTTTTTCGTAATGGAGGATGTAGTTTTACGTATTTGATTACACCAAATGGTTTTTTTTTTTTTTTTGTGGTGAGGATCATGTACCCGATAACCCGGATGTTATGTGATTAGACCCTGTTTCCTAATCTGTGTATCACTCCAGAAGGATTATCACCCGAGTCCATGAAGATTGATATATAAATATTAGCAATTATGTGTTCTCCGAGTGAAATATATTGGTTTTTGACACTTCTGAAGTATATATGGTGTTTTTTAGCGGCCCCTAATTATTTTGAGTAATCATGCAAAGGTCACCACAGAAAATAGTTAAGGTTGGCTGAGGGGTGTTCACAATATAATTCTCAGTATAACTATTAGTATAACTGTTATTACATAATAACAGTATTATAAAATCCTCGGATAGCAGATTCCTTCTCTGAAGGAAGCAGGAAGACTCGTCAACAGGCAAACATTACGGAATGTACTCTTAATTCTTTTTTTTTTGTGATGTGTATATAGGTTCAGCTTACATATAGATTTTGACAGCATAGGCATTATTGTATTGACACTTCACCAAAAAAAATAAAAAAAAATAGACATCATTCATTTGCGGAGAGTGGAACTTGCAAAAGCAAAGGAATTACTAACATATGTGATATATTTTCCAAGAAGATCCAAACATTGTAGTTTTGGTATTAGTCCATACACGTATGGAAAAATAAAGTAGTTCATTATCTTAATTTCCACATTACTTTGTCAAATATGCGTTGAAATATCAGACACCGACACTTAAAAATTATCTACGAAAACAAGGGTTTATGATAAGTTTAATCAATAGTGTTTGGCACATGTTTTGAAAAAATGAATGTATCATAATTCATACTAAAGGTATTAGTAATGCTTTCTTATTATTACTACTTTCTAGTACAGTCTAGAATATTCTCGAGAAAGCCAGACTACTATAAGAAGTACCAACTTTTTGGAATTGTATATTAACGAGTCACTGAGGCTCTAAATAACATGCAAGCCGGAAATTTTGTGCCGATCTTTCTAATAGGTAAGTAAAATACTATAACTTTCTCACAACCTCACACTCCTTGCTTTAAGAATTAATCACATCACCGGTAAAAACTCAAAAATCAAGATTATTAAGGAAAAAAGGTGCAATGTGAAAATATGAGATGAAGTCATCAGTGAATTGCCCATCACTAGGAGCTTCATGAACTGAGATGGAGGTCTTTGTTGAGGGGTTTTGGCACTACATTGAAAATACTTAGTATTTGAGATAATACTTAGTATTTGAGATAATCCTCAGAATTCTGGGGGGATAATAAAAATAAAAATAATTCAAATAATCAAATAGACCAAATAATTCAAATAAGTCAAATAAGTCAAAATAACCAAGTAAACCAAATAAACCAAATAAGAGCCAGTACCATGGGTCTGGCTAATCACGTGACATATAAAGTTTTACTTATTTAAATTGAGTCTGATTTCTAATGTTAACAACGGGCGTGTGGCGCAGTTGGTAGCGCGCTCCCTTAGCATGGGAGAGGTCTTGGGTTCAATTCCCAACTCGTCCATTGTATTTTTTTGTCCAACAATTTTTTTTTTTTCGTTTTTTTTTTTTCCTTGCGGCTTCAAATATTTTTTCTGAAAAATGAAAAATTTCACGTGAAAAGAAAAACAAAAACAAAGTTTTGTTGTGCTGTTGTAATCACTGCGCTTCCATGTGGAAAAAGTTTTTTTTTGACAACGTGACATTGCAAAGATTGATTGACTCATCAAATTTGTCACTTGCACGTGCGATTAACGTACGTTGCATTCTATCATCCCTATTATTATTATACAAAACAAAAGAAATACATTCTTATTCACACACCAGTAACCTATATATTTTGTATATTAATATGATAACACTTCTTCTTCCTTCTTTGTCTCTTTTATCCGAGAAAAATCCTTCCATGGGATACTAATAATGCTAGCAAGGAGATAAGCGCGCTAAAATCTTGGTACTGTGCCCTGCTCCCCTCGTGTTCTCGTACAATCGCCCCGGGTGACCTGCTCTGGGCGCTTTAGGGCAGATACCAAATATGATAAATAAGCAACAATTTCCCCCCATTAAATATAGTAGTTCTTGTTATTCTTTTTCTCTTCATCAATTCTATACAGAATTACTCTCTAACAATAACTTCCCACAACAATGGCTGTTGAATCATCTGTTCTCGGTTTCCCACGTATTGGTGCTTTGCGTGAATTGAAAAAGGCCACCGAAGGCTACTGGAATGGTAAGATCTCTTACGATGACTTGGTTAAGGTCGGTAAAGAAATCAGAGCCCATAACTGGAAGCTGCAAAAAGACGCTGGTGTCGACATTGTCCCATCTAACGACTTTTCCTTCTACGATCATGTCCTCGATACCTCTATCTTGTTCAATGTAATCCCGGAAAGATACGCCAAATACAACTTGGCCCCATTGGATCTCTTGTTCGCCATGGGTAGAGGTTTGCAAAAGGACAACGTTGATGTCCCAGCTTGTGAAATGGTTAAGTGGTTTGACTCTAACTACCATTATGTTAGACCAACTTTCTCCAACTCCACCGAATTCAAGTTAACCGGTTCTAAGCCAGTTGATGAATTCTTGGAAGCCAAGGCTCTTGGTGTTCAAACTAGACCAGTTATTGTTGGTCCAGTCTCTTTGTTGTTCTTGGGTAAGTCTGACAAGGACTCCATTGACTTGGAACCAATCACCTTGTTGCAAAAATTGTTGCCAGTTTACGTTGAATTGTTGTCCAAATTGTTCGCTGCCGGCGCTACCGAAGTTCAAATTGATGAGCCAGTCTTGGTTTTAGACTTGCCTGAAAAAGTTCAAGCTGCTTTCAAGACCGCTTATGAATTCTTTGCTAAGCACCAAGCATCCATCCCACAATTGACTTTGGCCACCTACTTCGGTACCGTTGTTCCAAACTTGAAGGCTATTGCTGGTTTGCCAGTCAAGGGTTTCCACTTTGACTTTGTCCGTTCCCCAGAACAATTAGACGATGTCGTCTCCATCTTGGGTGACAAGCAAACTTTGTCTGTCGGTATTGTTGACGGTAGAAACGTCTGGAAGGCTGACTTGTCTTCTGCCATTGCCTTTGTTGAAAAGGCTATTAAGAAGGTTGGCGCTGAAAGAGTTATTGTTGCCACTTCTTCCTCTTTGTTACATACTCCAGTTGACTTGGCCAACGAAAAGAAGTTGGACGCCGAAATTAAAGATTTCTTCTCTTTCGCTACCCAAAAGTTGCAAGAAGTTGTCGTTGTTGCCAAGGCTATTTCCGGTAAGGACGTTTCTGCTGAATTGGCTACTAATGCTGCTTCTATTAAGGCCAGAATTGCTTCTAAATACACTACCGATGCTAAGGTTCAAGAGCGTGTCAAGTCTATTGATGCCGAAGGTTCTAAGTTGGACTCCAGAATCTCTGGATTCCCAAACAGATTGGAAGCTCAAAAGTCTTTGAATTTGCCATTGTTCCCAACTACCACCATTGGTTCTTTCCCACAAACCTCTGAAATCAGAAAGAAGAGAAACGCTTTCACCAAGGGTACCATCAGTGCTCAAGAATACGAATCTTTCATTGAATCTGAAATCGATATGGTTATCAAGTTCCAAGAAGAAGTTGGTTTGGATGTATTGGTTCACGGTGAACCTGAACGTAACGATATGGTTCAATACTTTGGTGAACAATTGACTGGTTTCGCTTTTACCTCCAACGGTTGGGTCCAATCTTACGGTACCAGATATGTCAGACCACCTATCATCATAGGTGATGTTTCCAGACCAAAGGCTATGACCGTCAAGGAATCTGTCTATGCTCAATCCCGCACCCAAAAGCCAGTTAAGGGTATGTTGACTGGTCCAGTTACCTGTCTCAGATGGTCCTTCCCAAGAGTTGATGTTTCTCAAAGAGAACAAGCTTTGCAACTTTCTTTGGCTCTCAGAGATGAAGTTTCTGACTTGCAGAAGGCTGGTATTAGGGTTATCCAAGTTGATGAACCTGCCATCAGAGAAGGTTTGCCATTGCGCGCTGGCCAAGAAAGAGCCAACTACTACAAATGGGCTGCTCAATCTTTCCGTGTTGCTACTTCTGGTGTTGAAGACAGCACTCAAATCCACTCCCACTTCTGTTACTCTGATTTCGATTCTTCTTTCATCAAGGCTCTTGATGCTGATGTTGTTTCTATTGAATTTTCTAAGAAGGAATCCACCGAATACATCAAAGAATTCTCCACTTATCCAAACCACATTGGTTTAGGTTTGTTCGACATTCACTCCCCAAGAGTCCCACCAGTCGAAGAATTCGAAAGAAGAATTGCCGACATTTTGAAGGTTTACCCAGCCGAAAACTTTTGGGTTAACCCAGATTGTGGTATGAAAACCAGAGGTTGGGAAGAAACCACCAAACAATTGACTAATATGGTTACCGCCGCTAAGAAATTCCGTGCTGAGTACACCAAATAAATGATCCAACATCGTTTATCATAGTCTTTGTTTGAGTATTATAGTTTAATATTTCAGTTCCTCCTACCAATTTTTTAATTTTGTTTTATATTATGTTCTAGCATCAACTGCATGACCCCCTAATGACACTTTTTTTCACCCTTTTTGTTACCATTTTCATTTTTTTTCTTTTTTCACTACCTTCTCATGTTTCTTATGTTTTTGGTTTATGTGTACTTTTCTCATTTCTCTATTTTTGTTCTTTTTTTTTTGTTTTGGATGATTTTATGGTTTTATAAAATTTCAGGCAATAACAATACATGTTACTCCTCAACGGATCTTTTTGGAAAATTTCTCTATCTGTTTGTAAGTTTGTTCTTCAGCGTCTTTATCTTCCAATGGTTGAGTAGTGGAGTATTAATCAAGATTTGGTGGTGATCTGTAATTCTTTATATATACATATTTATAAAACGAGAAAGTCACCTTGGTGGTTCTTGAATGCATTTTAGTTTACCTGTGTGTCCTGTCCCACACGTTGGAATATTAGAAATATTATATTATGACAACGATGCAAACTTAGCTCTCATTTTAAGGTGCTAATGAATTCATTTATTTAGCGACAAGGTAATTGGGAATAATCTAGCTCAATTGGCTATGATCGATCGATACATGCATAGCGTTAACAATTTGTGGGAAAGCACCCCTCAAATAAATAATAACACAGTGTGATTCATCCTAACGAAAAATTGTCGTACTTCAAGGAAGGCTATATGGGGGTACCACACCCTACATATATGTATCTAGATCACCAAATGCTGTATTGTCCGTCATATTAGCAGATTTCAAATGCCCAGAATATTCTATTATTGAATGATCCAGATAAAAATTTGAGTAAATTAGTATGTATACGTGATGAAGCCGCTACAAAATAAATAAATTACGGTATTAGGTCATTTTGGCTCTTTAAATATTGAATGAAAGTGTGACAATTTGGGCTGAACCACTTTTGGGAGATTTCTACTTATACACTTTTTGCCAGCAACACCATCACTTCTAATCTGTATTTTCCTACTTTCTATTTATTTTACTCATTCTACTTTTATTATCTCTCCACTACTTTTGGAGAAAAAGGGCATTATTCAATTATTATATTTTACTACGTTGTTAACTTTATTGAGTTATTGTTTGTATTAATCCATAATCGCACGAAGTCGACAATAACAAAAGACCATTTCGTCTCAATAAAGATGTCAGGACAAGTCCATGATGATTCCAGTCGTAGGAACGGTTTTTCAACAACAACTTTGGATGCTACTGAAGATACTGAAACGGTTGATGAGGATAATCCACAAAAAGATAAAATCCATATTTCAAGCGTGTTGCACAAAAGATGGGTTATATTCAATGAGCAATAAAGTGTAAGACAATTGATGATTATACCTGCAAGACTGTGCCCAAAGAAAGGCTCAAAAAACTATACATAATTCTTGATCTCGTTTTGCTCGTGAATGAGTCCACAAACGACATCAAAAATGGAATTGAAAAGGTCTTAGAGAAATTTGGAATACAAGGTAAAATCATTTTATTTACAGCCGATAATTTGGTAACTAATGAAGCAACCATAAGGAAGCTAGGGGCTACCTCAATGTCGTGTATTCTTCACAGCATCAACCTTTTTTTGCAAATCACATATTGATCAATGTTGTGCAGGCTGATAGAAAGCAGAAGGCAAGGAATAAATTTTTAATTGATGAGGAGTATATGGTGGAAGAAATCGAGTTTTATTAAAATTTGAGAGCGATTAATGCAAAAAATAAACTTTTTGCTGGTGTTGGTGACCTGAGTATAGAAGTGCTCAAGGCCGACGTCGTTTTGCTAGGCCGCGGATTTCGTGTTGGTAACACTTCTTCAGGCTCCTCAACATACAAGGGTTGGCTGGTGGTTGCCTGTGATAGACCAATGTCCGGAAATGACGATAGACGAAGATAAGCTTGAAGCTTACGTTAGAAAATTGCATGTATTACTTGAAAAACATCTTGATCATTTGTATTCCTATTCTATGCAAAATGCATCTATAATGAATGTAGCACTAGAAAATGAGATACATAGGTTATGTTTTATGCTTGATGGTCATACAACCCGCCCTTACTACGAATTCTAAAGAGTTTTACGATGTGGATCTTGAATTGGTTGGGATCGAGGATCCTGATTGCGATTTTAATTGATATTTTTAAGTGTTGCTTATACTTTCATTGCTACTATAGAATATCTTTGCTTTTTTATTTAATAAACTTAGAATTTTGACCTAAAAACTTTGTTCTGTGGACACTATGTACATGTAGAGATATCTATTCTATTCACCACTAAATCCAAAAACTGGAGAAAATTTGAGGATCTAGCACCAAATATTGATGATTTGCAACATGATTATTTAACATCTCTATAGCATCCAGACTCCGCAAGTGACTTATACTTTTACGCTATAGAGAAAAGTATAAATTAACGCTTTTTTCGAATTTTTGAAACTTTTTATACTTCTTTCGAGTCATTTATTCAAATATATATATATATATATATATATATAAAATAATCATCCACATGCACCTCTCTTTTGCAAGCTAATTTCTAGTATCTCAATTACATGGTCTAGATGAAAATTCTGGCAATTACGTATTTCTCCCTACATCTTATCTATGTGTAGTTGACAAAGAAATAAAAAATCTTCATGATGGCTGGGTGAAAATCCAAGAAAATTCACAAAAAAAAAAGAAAAAATAAATCAGATAAAACAGATCAATACAAAAATTTGTTCAATTAAGACGAGAGTTATAAACAAAAGAAAAAGTCAAACTTCATGAAATAGTGGACCGTAGAAAATAAGGTATAAGAAAAAAAAAAAACGAAAGAAAAACCACAACAAGCACTTTGTTTATCAATTATTCAATGATTCACATAATCCTTTAATTTCATTAATTAAACGACTTGCTAATCTGCTCTTGCCCTTTACAGCAATCATAGAAGAGCCACTATAACTAGTATTAGCCACACTGGAATTCACTAACTCTTCCTCAATAATATTTTGATCTTCGAAATGGGTCACCACAATCCGTGATTGAAGATACTTTGGATGTGTCAATAAGTGATTCAAACTATCCAAAAGCTTCGCCTGTTGCTTTGGTGTATCCAATCCAGGGAAGAAGTGTGGGGCTTCCTTTCCTTCACCATCTTGCTGACTGACACCAATGAATTCTCTGAAATTCATCAAATTAAGAACTTTGTGAAGCAAAATCAACTGACTTGTCTCACGGATCATTGGGGTGGTAATGATCAATGAATCCTTTGACCAATTGTTCAATGTGAAATCGATTTGTTTTTCAAAACTCTTCAAAAAAATGCAAGTATCGGGGATCACTCTCGGTCCAAACTTACCAAGCAAAATCAACACAATAGTCAACAACCCGTTTGACCAAATATGATGATACCGCGGTTGCAAATCAGATCTAATTCCTCCTTTTTGAATTTCTATGGATATTGGACTGTTGATCAAAGTTGAGAAAAGACCATAATTGAGCAATTTTTCAGCAATAACATCGACAGAAATTAATTCAATAATATACATCAAGGCCAAATCAGCAAAGATCGGCTCGTCATCAATCAACATTGAACTAGAATAAGTGTAGAGCTCCATGATGTATTTGATGGTTTCATTAGCATCTAGTAAGATAGATAATGACTCGTTAATTTCGTTAGAAAACTTGATCGCTGCAAATGATTTGAAAATTGATATTATTGATAATAAATCTTCAATTTTGTTAACAGTGATTGGTGAAGCATGAGTTGATCCACTAGTTTTGGAATTGCTAACTGTTTGGGAACTCATTTCATTTTGAATATTGGCAATGATAACCTTAGATCCACTAGCAATGATTTTCCCAAAAAGGTCAATCAACACCCCAGGATTCTTTTCCAATAAATATGCCTTGTTAGAACACAAATTCAAAGTAATCAACAAGATACGTAACAATGATCTGTATAATTGAACATCATTATTCGATAAGCTCACCAAAAAGTTTACCTCTTCAGACAACAATGATGCAACAACAGCGTCAAACAAATCATTGATCTGGTCATCGGTAACTTGTTTCCCCATACTACCAGTTTCATTTTTGTGCAACTTTTTAGATAAATTGTAAATTAAAAAGAACGCCAATTCAATTCTCGCCAAATAAATATCTCTAAAAGACGGCGCTGGAATCCCTTCGTCATTATTGATGGATAATAACAAGGATGCCAAATCAATAAAATCATTACTTGGATTGGAAGACTTGAATCTCACATAAGACGAAACCAAAGCACCCCAAGATTTGATCAAATTATTTTGTGAAGAGACATATTGCAAATTCAAACTAGTTTGAATAACCCCATGTCTAAGAAAATCATTCCACTCATATTTACTGCAGAACAATTGATCCATTAAGGATAGATTATATACGGTGCTGATACCATACCTCCGGACTTTGTTCAAATTGGTTCTTCTAAAATCCTCCAATTTGAAATTCCCAAAATACTTGATAAAATCTTTGTGGGTGGACAAATGCAAATTTGAGTTGTAATTATGGACTCTAAAGATCTTGGATGCATAAGTTTTCAAGAATTGTGGAGCTTCCAACAAATTCAAAATTGGTTTGATAATTGTTTGATTTGAACAACTGAACAAGTAAAGTGCCAAAATTTCACCAATGCTGGAGATCAACTTCACACGATAACAATTCTTGATAGTTTTCTCGATAGTTTCCGTCAAATCTTCCAACTCATTAGTCTCTTCGGGAGAATAATTAATATTATTACTGAAATAGCTAGTTAAAGACTCAATAAACTTTGCATCATCTTCACCAATTTTTTGCGCAGTAGACCACGAGTTGAATGCAAAAGAGATCGCATCTAGTAGATGGATAGCAACAGAATCAGGATAAGTGTTCAAATTTATGACATTTTGTTTCAATATTTGTAGAATCGATTTACCGGTTTGAGATTTAGCATCTTTCTTCTTTTGATTACTAACCCCAGTCAACAACATTATGGACAATCCTTCTTGATTTTTCTCCAACACGTTAGCAAAAAAGTCATATAACGAGTTCTTCAAGTTAAAATCAATTAATGTGCCTTCCAAATCAATGGCCAAAGAGTTCAATAAGATCTTGGAATGTGAATCACCTAAATATGATAATAAAGAAGGCTGCTTATTTTTGGTCTTTTTGTCATCACTATTTTTACCACCTTTCTCGTCACCATAAATACTATTGATTAGACCGATAATCAAGTTCATAATTTTCAATTTTAAGCTTGGGAACTTCAAATAAATCTTGATCAAACTTTTAAGATTGTTGCAAATAGATTGTTCCAAAACAGAAATATCGCTCTTCAAGATAGTTGATCTTAAAGAAATCATCAACTTGTTAAAATCGAACACAGAATAAACAAAATTTTCATACCACAAGCTTAAATTATCGTGAGTTTCAATTGACAAGCTATCTGCCATCGGACTGAAGCTAATCAAATTATTAATGATAGCTTCTAAAGGCTTAATTGTCAAACAATCGAAGCTGTTACTAGTTAAAAACGAATTTATGATCTTGTTCCCTGAATTCTTTAATACTAAGGTCGGATTATTGGCGTATGTAGGACTCTTTTGTTTTGTACCAGGGTTATTTAAATCAATGCTATAAATTGTGAATAATATCTTGGAAAATAAATCTAAAATCAAAATTCCAAATTCGAATCTTTGATATTGCTTGTTGAAGTCCCAATTGAAAAAATTTTCATAACTAGCAATAAATATTGTTGTCAATTTAGAAATAATTTCATCCTTAATCTTAAGGGAAATATTATTATTATTATCACTAACATTTTCAATAGACAATGCATCAATTATTAAAGAGTCGGCTAAATTTATCAATGAAATACCAAACTTATAATCACCCTTTGACTTTTGGTTGGCAAAAATTATGTTCAATAGAAGGTTGTTGTCATTTAGCACATCACCACTTCCACCAGTACCACTCCCATTAACATCAAAATAATTGGATTTGATAAGTACCGACCAGACTTCTCTTGAGAATCCGCTAATACCACTACCTCCAACTTGCAACAAATTATTCAATAACTTATTAATCAACGTCAATTTATCCAAATCTTTGGATTGTAAAGAGATTTTCAAAATCTTAAATATCAACTCAAAGAAATTCAATGATGCTGAGGCTTGGAATTTTTTGATTAAATCTTCAGCTTCTTCAAAAGTGACTGAGCTGAATACCGTAACCAAAAGATTCAAAATACAGAGAATAAGATCATTTTTGGTTTTAAATTCATTGGAACTGAGGTCCTCCGAGAGATCCTTGATTTTGCTTATTGACCTTTCATTGATAAAAGAACTTTTGTTTTCATCAAAAAGCGATAACCCACTCACCAAATTTTCAAGCGTTTTACCAATTAGAGACCACCCATTATAATTATATTTGAAGATAGCAGCATTCCATTGATCTGGACTTTCAGAATTCTCAGATGGTTCGGTGGTAGATTGATTGCTAAAACTATTTTTGTTTGCTCGCAAAACTTTAAGCTGAGCTCCCGATTCAATTCGCAAATAGTCTGAGTTAGATGTTGGCTCAAATATTGTTCTAATGATAGCATCTTGAGTAAGAACTGCGACATCTTCATCGATAGCTGGTTCGTTATTTGCAAAACTATTTGCTGAAATTAAATTGCTGAGATATTCGTATTTCAATTCTCCATTCTTGAAAATATGGTAATAAGTATCCATACTACTCAAAACTGAGTATGCTAATTTTCCATCCACATTAATTAAGTTCATGAAGCAGGCCAAAGCATCCAAATCCTCCGGGACCTTCAACTTATGGATTTGTACAGCCTTCAAGTAATTATTATCGAGCACAAAGCTCTCCAAGAAGGTTTTTTCGTTCATGGCAACAACAGCTTCACTTGACTCCATTCCAGTTTCTAAGGTCAATGTTGCCATGGCCTTTAAAAGCTTTGAAAATGATATCGATGATTTGGTAGTGATTTTAACAAATGGCAACAAAGCCTTGACAAAAGAAGCCAAAATGACTTTATATATGTGATCAAAGGTAATATTATCATGAATCTCTAAAATACTGTCGAATATTTCTCTCTTATGTTCTGCAATCAAAATACATTCTGTTACTTGATGTCTAAAATCCTCAAGAGTAAAATTCAAACCTGATAAAAATTTGTTAGCATCATTAGCTTCTGGGAACTCCTCAAACAACAAATATCTGGAGAAATTAATAATGTTCCATCCATAGATGATCAAAGAACTAGTGAAATCATTACCAAATATTGATTTTTGGATTTCATTGTAAACAGATACATCACTCAAATAATTCAACTTGATGTTAAACACATTTTCCTCAACTTCCAAACCCAAAAACAATAATGACGCAATAGTTGCCAAAGAATATATTGTTTCGGTGTGATGATTTTTTTCAGTATTCTCAGAGCACATGGAGGTAAAACATTTAGTCTTTCCCATTAATTGAAACCATTTTTTAATCAATTTATTTGAAGGGTTAATTGGAATTAAAATTTGAATTAAAAGTCTGAGATATTCTGATATGATGAGAGCACATTCCTTCTTTATGATCAATGACAAACTTCTTTCAAAATTAATCGCATCATCGTCTACGGAGGTTATATCAAGATCCGAGTCCAATAGCGTGTCGATATCAGACGAAATATTACTCAATATTTTATCAACCATTGACTCATAATTAATCAATATGCTGTTAGTTATATCTTCAAGACTTGGATCCAATGTTTGATTTTTAAAGATAGAAATGACAAGGGTGAAAAGTTGTCTTTTTTCTTTTAGAATTTCTAAAGAATAGATCAAATTCTTTGGGTCGTAAATGTTATTATCTTCAGGTCCATTATCCTTGTTTGCATTGGCTTTTGGAATCAAGTTGATGTGGTTGAAGTTTTTTTTGATTTCATCCAATCCCAAAATTCTTTTTTCATTTGTCTGGATTATACTCTTCAAAACTTGATTAGGGTCGATGTTTAGCTTTTTGGCCAATACTTCTATTGTTTTCACATCCGTCACTGTTTTGTCAATGGAATACAGTATTCCGCCCAATTTCACCTCTTCTTTATCAATATCTGCCTGAGTCACCTTTAGTTTTTGGGAGTCATTATTCAAGAACCCAAATGGATCGGTGATGAGTTTTTTATTAGAATCTAAAAAGGTCTTCAAAGCCGGCAACAACTCCAAATGTTTGTGTTGAAGGATATTAATTGCGCTCTCGAACGACCAGGATGGAGAAGATGCATCCTTATTGTTCGCATTAGAGCTCTTCGCGAGTGGAAACAGCATCTCCAGATATTTTGAAACTAAAAGATAACTGTCCTGGTCCTTGCCATCTGTTGGTACTTGATCTTTTTGTTTACAAAAAAAAAAAAAAAATCTTCACAAAATTTCAGAAAATCAACAGTCAAAGGCTCACAACCGCATTTTTAATGACAGGAAATTTCTGTGGTGAATCTTGATTTATTTATATTTTAGTCTCCTCGAAGAAATATATCAAAAGTAAAAGAATACATCGACTTTACAATTGATAAGATAATTAAATAAACAGAATGATGTTTTTATTATGGTTATATTATATAAACACTAGAAACTTAGTTAGTAAAATACTTTCAAAACAATTAAGTTAAAATCTCAACGGATTCTCGAAAGGTTTTAATAACCTTTCGAAATGATTTGAGGGGAACCAATTAGTTAAATAAAATCTTAAATCAGACATCCATGGAAGGACTGTGACGGTCACTGACTGTACATTAGATGGGTTCTGTCGTACGCTACCGTGGAAACTGCGAATGTTTAGCAATTTTTCATCATCTAAAGAATCTATTCCACCAATTGAATTCCGCCTAGATGATCTTTCAATACAAAAAGTTCACATACTAATTTAATCTGACATTGTTAGTTAATTAAGTTAATTACTAAAAAGAAAACAGCACTAATGTCACAAAAATCTTTTATTCAAGCAGTAAGAATCAGAAACCAGTGTACTGGCAAGTATAAGTCATAATGAAAAGTAGTGGATGCAACTCCAAAACTAACCATAGACAATTGTTGAGATCTCGGCATCTTCGAGTAGGACAATGAAAGAAGAACAACGATATCATCATCTGAATGAAACAAGAAATTTAATAGGCAACACCTAGTAATTTTGAAGAGCCACATACCATTTTATTTAATCTATGAAGTATCCACTGCTCATACTTGCAATGAAAGACAAGCGAGGAGAAGAGGATGTGATGTTTAAAAAGCAAAAGAAGAAAAGGTGAAAAGGGGAGAAACACCTACTATTTATACTATTTCTTCTCACAGGCCAATGATTAAAAATTTTCTCCGTCGTCGCTTACCCGGTGTGTTTTGGTTGTGCGGGTGATGAACTCTTATGTGCAGAAGGGCAACAGCATGCAGAAAACTTTTCCTATTGACCAGCCTTTTCTTAAAATGGAAACATGGAAGGCACCAGACATTGTAGAGTTTCTCGTGATATGAGAGTTTACTAACGCGTGAGCTGTGCCACCTGGCAAATTTTCAAGGCTTTGGATGTTGTTATGTTGAAAATGATTGCTTTCACTGTTTTCTTTCCTTTGCCAGACTAGTTTCCTTGCTTTCAGATAAATATATAGTATAATTTCTGAAGAAGTTTTACTCAAAAATGTAAGCAGAATTTCTATTAGAATTAAAGTATTTTCCCGAACTACAAAATGCCTCGTGCTATATCTAAAGTCACATCCAGCGAATTGGAGATCTTTTGCACGTTCTTGGACAAATTGCATGCACACCAAGACTCTAAAATCAGTCTGGAAACTCCAACATCTGCACCTCCAAAATACAATCACATTGAGAAATCAGAAAATGCACCATTCGTTAAGTGGGGGTCAGTAATACAAAAACGAAGAGAAAAAGAAAAAGATGATGATGATGATGACTTTCCTTGCACATTTCACGATCCATTGCCAGAATCAATCGATTATTTCAGTTTAAATAATTCTACAGACCTCTTCAACAAAATAAAACATTGCGCTATATGTCTTATACAGGAGACCCCCCAATGGAGAACTTTCCCAAGAATACCAGGAAATGTGTGCAATGCTTGTGGCGCATTCTACACAAAATTAAGTAATATTGTTGGTGAAGTTGGGTCTTTAGTTATTATGTGTCATTTGAAAAACGCGGGATTATGCAACTACAGAGATTTAAATGGGGTTTTGAAAGTCCTTAGCAAAGGCGAGATTTTGATCCCTACACTCGACCAAAAGTTGGGGATTCTAACACGGCAGAGGAAAAATAGGTCGATCAACAGAAAATCTATTAGAAATCAGAAAATAAATAACTAGTATTAATAAGGATCTCTGTGAAGTACCATGTAGACTAAAATGATGGGCAACGAATAATATTTTCAGTCCAATTCAGGAAAATCAGAGATACTTTGACACGATATTGCAAAAGAAAAACGGTTTAGCATGCCGTGATTCACATGCAAGCCACTCATGCAGATTTTTTTTTTAACTGTTAGTGAATTCGTAGCCAAGACTACACCCTAGATGCTGATATTTTTTTCATCTCTCAAAATCAAACCAATACTTAATTATTTCAAAATACCAAATTGCATTTTATCCTAACTAAACTTCTGTTCTTTTAGTTGCTTTTGCTGCTTCTTCAATAACAATTTAGCTTGCTTCTGTTTACTTGGGCCCTTTCCATGGAATTTGTGCGATAAATGTTTGTAGGCCTCTTTCGGGTTAAGCACATTGTTATTGTCATCGGTATATGTGATTTTTATCTCTGGGTTATAATCGTTGAGCCCATGTTCGGTCACTATACTAGTAGTACTACTATGACCATTATTATTAGCATCTCCATTGATCTCACTCGCAAGTTTCATATAAGCCAAGTCTTTCTTCAATTTCTTTTGCATCGTTCTTTCCCTTTCCTTCAATCTAGCCTCGTCCGTTATCTTAAGCACCGAACTCTTTTGTAAGAAAGAAAGCGTTGAGGATAGGCCTGTAGATCCAAAATTCGGTTCGTCACTTGGAATATCTTCTTCTGAATTTTCCCCAGTATCTTCTTCAACATCAGGCCCGGTACCATTTGGTTTCACTAACTCTGAAGACGAATGTTCATAGTTTTCAATAGTACCGTTTGTTTCATTCAGCGGCTGAGAGCCCGTCGATTCCGCATCGTTTGTGTGCTCATGGTTGCTGAGTATGTTTTGTTTCAACCCACTCAAGAATTCACTGGTTCCATCAATCACTAAACCACTGTCAGATTGATCATCCTCATCTTCAAGAACCTCGGCAAGTTTTCTCTTTTTAGGGCCGTCATCTTGGTGCTTCTTAACAATTTCAGAATTTTTAACTTTTTTGCTATTAGCTTTTAGACGCAGTGCCGTAAGTACTGCTTGCAATCCGTCATTGTCATCATCAAATATGTCATCGCCTATACTTTCACCGTCTAATACAACATGTTGGTTCAAGTCTATTTCTTCGTCACTTAAATTCTTCCAACCAGTAGATCCATTACTTGCTTTAGTCTTGTTTTTTTTCGATTTCTTGAACTTCTTAGCTGACACTGATTTTGATTTTTTTTTTGAAGAACTAAAGTCAGATTTCTGAATCATTGTTAGCTCATCAAGGGCATCATCATCATTATCATCACTATCATCTTCTCCAGAATCCAAATTTACCACATATTTGTTATTTTTTTTGGCCAACTCTTCCATTTTCTTCAACTTTGAATCTCGCTTGTAATTTTCGTTCACTCGTAGTTTCACTCTAGCTTCTCCGACTTTAAAATAACTTTCTTCCTCTCCATCATCATCATCATTTTCATTTTCATCACCTTCAAATTGATGGAGTTTCTTGGTGGACTCTGATTTCTTATTGAGTTGACCATCAAGGACCTCTGATTCTGTTATGAGTTCATTTTGATCTTCATCTAATATATTGGCATCTTTTAGAGTCATGATTTCCCCTTCCAAGATGCTTGCGTTGTCCAAACTCCCATGATCAACTCTTTGAGCCTTGAGGACTCTGGGTTGCACTTTCTTGGGTTCTTCAACTTCATGATGCGATTTTTCTTGGATGCTCTCGCTGGGAGTAACAGCAATTGGCTTCAATCCTAACTTTATCCGAAGCTTGTTTGTTTCCTCTATCGACAACTCTGTCTTCATCTTTTGGTGTTCTATAAAATGTAAATATAATGGCCTATACGATGGGATGCCCTTCACTTCTTGCCTTTTTTGATTATATTTTTTTTTTCTTTTTTGTGTGCGTTTATCCATGTATTCATCAACATGAAGTCTCTCTCATTTTTCAAAAGTTTGGTGAAAAACAAAAAGTTCTTCACCTGATAAATAAGAATTTAATGTAAATAATATAATAAGGAACCGAAAAAAAGCAGCTCACACACTATTTCTGATTACATTGGGATCAGGAACATCTTTCAAATTTCTCATTGCCGCCGTGCCTTCCTTCTTCTTGTATTGTAATATCAACCAAACATCGTCATCATTCTTCAATCTTGCTGTCAATTTTGCAATAAAAAGACCACATGGATTACATATGTGACCATCATAATGATGGTATGTTCTCCATTGCTTAGTTTGCACCGAGCCACAATGTCGACAAGTATCGGGACGTGCAATATGTCTAGTTGTTCCTGCTGATAATTCTATATTCGCTTCGAATGAAGAAGAGGTTTGCATATTATCAGAGCTTGAGGTAGACATACTCACGGATGTGGAAATAGAGGATTCACTCCCCGGTCTGTAATTGTATGCACTGCTACTGATTAGTGACTTAGCTCTATGTAGTTTTTGGCGCAGTTTCTGGTGCTGCTGTTGTTGTTGTTGTTGTTGTTGTTGTTGTTGTTGTTGTTGTTGTTGTTGTTGTTGTTGTTGTTGTTGTTGTTGTTGTTGTTGTTGTTGTTCTTTTTCAGGTGCAGTATAAGATAGCAGTCTTGGCAGTAAGCTCGTACTGATGACTCCCTTTTTTTTGTTGTCTTTTGCTGTTTCTCTTTCCTTCAAAAGTGCTACTGTGTTCTCGTGAGAATATAGATAATCTTTTTTAGATTGTAAAGTCTCTCTGGCATTGTTCACTTGCACAACTAGTTTCAAATAGCATTCAGTTTTCTCCTCCAGGCTAAGCAAAATATTATTTTCTATTTTTCCGATTACATCTTGCAAAATGACTCCAAAGCGTAGATGACTGTCTGCTGTTTGAAGTGCTTCATTTAATGAGCTTATGTGATCGTCGGCAGTTTCTTCAAAAATTAATGGTCTGTTGGTAGACACAATGGTTTGTTCAGAGCATGTAGCCCCTGCTACATCAAGTTCCCCTTCACCACCATCCTCGCTTTTGTTTTTGTGACGAGTTGTGAAACTATCATTACGATCTTTTAGGAATGGTTCGAGAGACATCGAATCCTTGGTGATTCCGTTCAGTGGACAGAAGATAGTCGGATTTATACATATAAATATATACTAGAAAAGAAGGAGTAGATAACATAATTTTTTATTTAATAACACTTTGATAATTTACTAAGGAAATGTAGCTGATATTTTGCTAAACGTTCTTTATTGAAAAATCGAGTGAAAGGAAAAAAAAAAAAGTCCATAAAAAAGAAGAAAATAGTGTGCTACTGTCATTGGTTTTTTGTAAAATGAGCACTAATACTTGGAAATATAAGTATCTTACAAAAACTTATCAAAATTATAATAAATTCCCCGATGTTCCTTGGAAAGTGTTTTAGATATAATGATGAACATTAATAACTGAGCACAACCCACCAAGGCTCACAACCATGTACAAAATCACAGTTTTTTTTTTTTGGCATACAAAGTTAGTCATATGTGACCATCCTCGATATTATTATTATCATCAGTGCACATTTCAAACTTCTATAGTAAAAAGAATGCTGTCCAAATTGAGAATTCTTGTTCCTGTTAAAAGAACCATTGATGCTGCCATCAAACCAAGAATCAACAAGGCCAATACTGGGATTGAAAGTTCGGGGGTGAAGTTTTCAATCAACCCGTTCGATGATATTGCCATAGAAGAGGCCTTGAAGCTCAAAGAAAAAAACAAGGGGCTTGTGGAAAATATCCATGCTGTGACGGTGGGTCCAAAGAAGTCCGAAGAAATATTGAAAAACTGTCTCGCGAAAGGTGTTGACAAGACAACCTTGGTGAGCATCGATGATAAAAAACCAGAATTGCAACCATTGTCAATAGCCAAGATCTTGTCCAAGTTGGTTGAAGAAAACAACTCCAATTTGGTGATAATGGGTAAACAAGCCATCGATAATGATTGCAACCAAACTGGCCAATTGCTTGCTGGTCTCTTGAACTGGTCCCAAGCTTCTAATGCCAGCCAGGTTATTGTTGACGAGGCTAATGGTGAAGTTACTGTCCACCAAGAAGTTGATGGTGGTTCCAACATTGTCAAGTCCAAATTACCATTAGTTGTGACCACTGATTTAAGATTGAATACTCCAAGATATGTTTCCTTGCCAAAATTGATGAAGGCTAAGAAGAAGCCATCCAATATTGTGAAATTGGACCAACTAGGGTTAGCCGAATTACAAAATGACAATAGAATCGAAATATTGAAGGTTTCAGAACCTCCTGCTAGACCTTCTGGTAAGATTTTGGGGTCGGTTGATGAATTGATTGGAGAATTGAAGAACAAAAAGCTTTTGTAGGTGAAGCCAACTAAAAAAAACAAAAGACTCCATATTTAAGTTATACAAAAACCAAAAAATTATTTAATATATAAATGGCATAAACGACTTTCTTAATTTTATTTACGTTGAGTTTTGTAATACCAGCAATATATTATGGACCTTTTCCGCTGGAACGGGTTACGCTCGCATATTTTTGTGATATAGTCTTTTGACACAATAGTTGTCAAAGGTGGGGGAACAGTCAAAAAAACAACAACAACCAGGTTTCCTAAGAAATACCGTCAATAATTCCTGAAGAAAATTAATAATCAAGAATGTCAACTGTTGACATATCTGCTGACTATCTATCTCCACTAATTGACCGGTGGAACTTCACAGAAAAACCATTAATAGTTGGGGTATCAGGTCCCCAAGGGTCTGGCAAGTCATATCTTGCAGAAAACTTGGTCAGTGCATTAGTGTTAAAGTACCCGCAATTGAACATCGTTAATGTTTCAATAGATGATTTCTATTTAACTCATCACGAGCAAAAAGAATTGCCTACCAGATACCCAGGCTGTGGCCTTGTCACCGATGGCAGAGGTTTACCAGGAACTCACTCGGTTGATTTGGTATCATCTATTTTGCGTAAAATCAAAGCAAGAGAGTCAGGTTTCGATATACCAGTTTACGATAAGTCAAAATTTAAAGGAGAAGGAGACCGCTTGCCAATTTCTCAGGGGAAAAGTATCAACAAGCCAGTGGATGTTGTTATTTTCGAAGGATGGTTTCTAGGATTCAAATCAGTCGATCATGAATTGGAAAATGTCTGGTCACAAGCTATCCAAGGCTCTGAAAATGCCGAGATTACCAAATTTTTGACAAGAATTGATTACAAACAAATCGAGTTGATTGACCAATTGTTGAAAAACTACGAATATCTCTGGAGCATGTTTGATAGATTTATTTATCTAGCTACCAACGATTTGTTGAACATCTATCAATGGAGATTACAACAAGAATATGCATTGATTAAATCAAAAGGTGTAGGAATGTCAGATAAGGAAGTTGTGGCCTTCGTTGATCGATATTTACCAGTTTACAAGTTATATTATCATAAATTGATCCAGGAAGGGTCGTTGGAAAGAGGACATAATTTGAAGATAGAAATAGATCATACAAGAACCGTTCAATCGACCACTATTTTGTGAATATAGAATATGTATTAGACAGAATAATAATAATAATAATAATAATAATAATAATAAAGGATAAAATAAACGTATTAAAAATGGTATGGGAAGAACTGAATAAATGTAAAACTGAAATGTATGCTAGCATACTGTATTTTTGTTGTTTAAGCCACTACTTTCACCACATCGCTACATGATCTATTCAAGATCATTGTATTGATCTTGAAATATTGGACATTGTTGATATCTTCTATATCATCAAGATATTTCCCAGATTTCTCATCATTACTAAATATCTTTATCATTGAATTGACATCCGCATCATTAATATAAATTCCAGCAAATGGAGTGAATCCAAATTTCTGTTTATAAAAATTATAATTTTTCAATGTTGAGGCCTCAACTATTATAGGAGGTTTAGATTTATCTGAATTGTCGTAATCACAATTGGAAATATTTTCGACGACAGAATTGCCCATTTTTCTCTCTAAGAGTGTATAATCTTTGGTTATATAGTCAATCATATAATTGATCAATATCGACGCGTAACCATTTTTCTGATAAGAGGGGTGTGTACCGATCAAAAACAACTGATAGAACAACTGATCATTCTGAATATCCAATACCCCATTCTCAGTGTAGTTGGTGATATTGTTGACCCTATTCATTTTCCTTGCTCCTGAAGAGCCAATCTTAAACTGAACATTGAGCGACAACAATTTATTCTTGATGCTTCTAGAAAAGAATGAGGACTGTTGCTTATTGGCAGTGGGAGAGGATGATCCTGCAAATACATTTCTTCTCCTTTTCAACAAATAAGAGCTTTCGGGCATTTTCCAAATAGAAACACAGATCAAATTGCTGGAAAGACCATCCTTGATACCAACACATAAATACCTTTCCCTATGGCTCAAATAATACTTTAATTGCTGCTTCATTAAGTCGTATTTGAGCCTTTCAATCACCAGTTGATCGATATGGATCTTCGCTAGGTGATGGAAATAGTAGTTAGTGAAGAGATCGTTCTTGAAAGAATGATAAAGGGTTTTTGCGGCTTGTTTATAATCGCCATAGTCAAGCAAGGCAATCTCATAATTTGGGCCATTACAACTTTCATCACTGGTCTTTCTAGACATGATTGGTGCTAAGATAAGGACGCCAGAAGTGTCATCTACTAGAGATGCAATTTGGAAAAGAAAATAATAATGATAATAAATGAATTGAAAACTAGCGATTTACAAAAACAATAATACTCCAAACTGTTCAATTTGAAACCTTCTCCATTACATTCTTCAGGTGTATAGAGGAGGATGAAGTAGGAAATCGATTATTTTTTGCCAGCCTCATCGCGTTGTGCGTATTTTTTTTCTCAACTTTTTTTTTTTTTTTTTTTAATCCTCTGTCTTTCTGAGTTCTCTACAATAAATTATTATCCACTGGAATATACATTCTTTGAATATCCAACGCTAATTTGTAATATAATACATTATAAAGCCGTGACAAGAAGTTTGTCCGACCACAGGTTCACCATCCTCTTGAGCCTCTCAACGGAGATCCCAAAATTCGTACTAAGCTCGCCCACCAAAAGATTTTCAATTTTAAGCACGTCCTTGAAGCTTATGAGCTTCACCTCCGATATGTCAATAAAAGTTTTATCTGAGCATTTGGTTGGCGAGGTAGTGTTTGATGTAGTACCCTCATCCTTTGATAAGCTTAAATCTTCAATGATCTTTGGTTTTTCCTCCCCTTCATCGAATGTTGCACCAGTATCAAATAAATCAACCAATCTTCTTTCGGAAATCTTTAACGTATCTCTTTCTCTAGGATACTTGATCAATGTGTTATCGAACCAAACAAGATACTTGTCTAATATATTATCTGATCCGGTATGCTCAGAATTCATATCGATCCCAAAAGCAAAATTCAAAAGTTCCAATTCGTCAACTTTGTGACCATTTGCGGAGATATAATTTAAAGTATGATCAAATTCTTCGTCACTTTTGGAAATATCAGCTTGATCTTTTGAGTATTGGGAGCCATATTTTTTTTTATAAAATAACTCAATCCATACTTCCCAATTCAAGACTTGGAGCTTGCCTTTTTTATTGTTGGAGCCCCTGAGAAAATTTTGAGAAATAAAGTAAAATTTCGTCATAGAAATGATGATTGATATTAGCCTCAATTCTGGGAACTTTGAATAAGGAACGAATATTTTAGTATTCATCAGATTGTGACTGGCAATTGAGTAATCAGTGGCCAAGCCGAATTTTAAGTCGAAAAAGTTGATGAAATTTTTGATGATAATATAAAGCTCTCTTGGTAACACCAATTCCTTAACCACCTTCATGAGTAAAATTTCGTAATCGATTTCAAGGTTTGAAAATGCTGATGACCGAATATAGAAGCCCTCGTTGTTTGGTTCATTAGTTATCGAGTTTTCACCAAGACAAGCTTGTAATGATTGAAGAACCTCACGGGTGGCATTATAAAATTCTCCTGCAAGCGGGGGCCAATTTGGTTCAAGCCTGGTCATATAGATATCTGGCAAGCCCTTTAAAAGTTCCTTTGGTACCACAAGAGAAGCTTTTATAAATGGGAGCTTGTTGACTGCACAAAGCCTTATGAAATCATTGGCAAATAATGGAAATCTCAAAATAAGACAAGCTAAATAGCATAAGCAAAGGGAATGAATAAGTGACACACTATAGTTTTTTTTTTGATTTTGCTTCTTCTTGTTCTTCCTCTTTTTAGAAACTGTTTTTTTCCGCTTCTTACCACTAGTTTCAATGACCTCTGTGTCGTCCTCAGCTAAAGGATATAATGATTCTCCGTCGGTATATATTGTTGTTTCGGATTCGTCACCATCAGTAGTTTCGTCATCCATATCGTAATGGCCTTCATCTTCGTAATACATCAATTCCAAATATACTATCCAAAGCTCCTTGACGACTTTTTCAAACGCATCAGGTAGGCCTCTATTTTCCACTAACCATTTAACCTGAGCTTTCAACACATGCTGATAACATTCAAGGAACCGGATTTTCGCGGGCATACCGTACAATTTGTGCTTAGATTGTTCCTTTTGGTTCTTGAGTTCCTGGGTATATTGCATTTGGGAGAATTTCTGTGAGTTTAAGCTAGGAACAGTCAATTTTCTTGTCAAGACAAACTGTTCATCGTCCTCCCCAATTTCAACATCACCTTCTCTAATGTGACCATATTGACAAACTCTTCTCCCTTCGATAGATCTCCATAGCTGAGAGTTGCAATTATCAACGCCACAAATAGGGCCCCTCACTAATACACTAGACATCTATATCATGTTTCTTATTGTGCTTGGATAAATACATCAAACAAAAACAGTTAGCTATCGTTCTGATGTTTAACGAAAAAAATATATTTTTTTTGTCCCTTATTGATGGCTCCCCACCAGGGACCATAACACGCTTTTCATGAGATGCCTGCAAGCACTAAGATCAACTTTGGCAAATATATAATTAAACGGATCATGTATTACATTACGGAGAAGCCTCGATTATATCATTTATTATATTATTGAGGTGTTTCGGTTGAATAGACTGAGAAAAATCGGGTAAATAATTACATTAACAACCATCAAATTTCATTACAAATTATTAGATTATCATAAAAAAGGGGACTAATAGAACATACATTAATAAACAAGCATTTTTAGTTCAGTAATGAGGTTGAAAAAAGATAAATTAACTAAATGATCAAAACAAATGGTTGCTTTAAAATTAGTCAGCGTTTCTCTTGGCTTTGTGCTTAGCAGCTCTCTTACCAGTACCGAAGGTCTTCTTGTCTCTGTTCTTACGTTGTCTTCTTTGTTGTCTGGAAGCCTTTTCAGCCTTTTCACCCAAACCGTATCTGACCAATCTGTAGGTTGGTTCGAATTTCTTCAAGTCAGCAACACTGTTGTAGATCAAACCAAAACCAGTGGATTTACCACCACCATATTGAGTTCTGAAACCGAAAACGGAAACGGCGTCCTTGTCAGCCTTGTAAGAAGCAGCCAATTTTTCACGCAATTCATCCTTGGAGACGTTAGCCTTGTTTGGGTGCAAAACATCAATGACGAATTGACGTCTGGCAAGAAGAGGGTTGCTGATAACCTTTCTAGTTCTGATAGTAATGGCGTCACTCTAAAAAAAAGTCGATGTTAGTAAATCTTGGATTGAATAACTTCATAACTTTAGTGAAAAAATTGAAAACTTGAATGGATTATGGATGGGATATTAATTTGTAAATGGTTGCCGAATATGAAATGCTTGATAATGATGAACTGACTATAGTTATGACAAGCAGAATAACCTGAGTAAAGATGAAGTTGAGACATTCTGATACAAAAAACGGAGGAAATCTTAGATGATGATTGGTATATCTTTCTCGTAGTAACGTTATATTGGTCTGAGTAAATTCCAGTGTGTATGTATTGGTTCTTGATCTTTTTGATTTCCATTATGTGAAATTAGCCAAGTGTATTCTTCTTCTTCATTCCGTAATAGCGAATATTCACTTTTTCCAAAATGATTTCAATGATGGCAGATTCCAATTTTATTCTCTTTTGGCAAATGTTTGATACTTTTTTGCAATATATTATATTATTTCGATGGCCACACTTTCTTCAATCAATAAACCATAATGATGACAAATTCCCATGTTTTCCCTAATCCATTCAAACATAACCTTGAGTCCAGCTATTTTACGTACCATTTTGTCCTTGGTATTGTGTTGATATACTACTACCTTAGTTTACAGTAAGACCTTCAAAATTTTGATAATGGTTTTTTTCCAATTTTTCACACCCACCGGTTACGAGTGCTTTCCCGCTGGAGACACAGAGGAAAAAAAAAAAAAGTGAGCGACACGGGATTTCCGTGTCACAGAGGAGGCCTCTACAAAGCCCTAGAATATATCATGTCATATGCACGTGATTACAAAAGAAATTTTTTCAACGAAGCCCTAAATGTAAATCCCTATTTTTTATCTCTGACTAAGCGATGGGGGGTAAACGACGCGTCCCCCACCTCAAGAGTAGCACATTATGGTTCCGGTGTTGTGTCACACGGGATGTTTAACCGAGCAATAACCTGATATTGGCCGTGTAGTTAGCCTACCTACCCAGTTGGAAGCACAAAAGGCATCAAATGATCAAATACCACTCCAGGAATATAAATTTCGGGCAATATTTTGCTCTGATGTACCAATTATGATCGTTTATTTATCGAAGAAAATGGCCGACCCCCCTGGTTGGCACAAAGTATTAGGCGTTACTTACCTCAAACCAGGGTGTCCCACCCTGTTACAGCTGATAGTTGCCCTGCCGTTTCATAATTTTTTGGAAAAAGCGATGATTTGGATGAAGGCGTTAATTATTATTGATATTGGGCGTGTCAAACCCCGAATACACAATAAAAGATAAGCATTGAACTCCCTTGGATTAAACAGATTTAGACAAGGTAATCATCAGTAGCACCAATAGTATATCCTGATACACAAAAATATTATTGCACACATACATCATGAGCGGCGCTTACGGAGAAGATGGTATGTTATTATTTTTGGCGCGCCAAGTGGTTGGGAGGGATTAAATGATAATCTCTCCAAGTCCTTGAACAATTTATGATTTTAATTTATGTTTCGAATATACTGACATTGGCGAAAAGATAAATACATCTACAAGTTAGAGATTTGCCAACAACCTCAAAGAGCCAGAATGTGTGGGTTGGGTGATAAAGACAGAAGACAAATCAGTCCCCCACCATGTATCCAATTGATCATAATCGATAAGGCCACCAATCAAGAAATACCCCCTGAAAAAGTGCCAAACGCTGCGTGCTACATGTTGATAGCAGAATTATGGGACCCAAAGGGAACAAAGAATTTGAGTATCGTTGACACTTTACAAGAAAGCCAACCAAATGGCAATGGTGATGGCAACAACAACGAAGAAGACGATGATGAATATTTGGTAACCGGCACAGTGCAACGACCACCATATAACGAAACTACCTACCAAGCGGCTGATCCTAACCTGGCAAATAGCTTAGAAAGTGTGACGCTCGTCAACAAATTGGACGATCCAGCCCCAACCAGAAACTTGATTGGTAATAATGTCACCAATGCTTTCAAATTGTACGATGAACATAACAAGTTGGGGATCTGGTTTGTCTTGCAAGATTTGTCTATTAGAATCGAAGGTAAATTCAAGTTGAGATTTTCTTTGTTCAAACTTGACCCAACGACTATCTTTGACAGTATCGATAATAAACCAGAAATTGATCTCAACTCTGCAGGAAGCACCGTTCCTATTCTTGATTTCAAATATACCGATGTTTTCCAGGTTTACAGTGCAAAGAAGTTTCCTGGGGTCATGGACAGCACCCCATTGTCTAAGGCCTTTGCTAGTCAAGGTGTGAAAATCCCAATTAGAAGAGATAAAAAGGGAGGCAACTGAGAGAGATGTTTTTTCCCTCAGATATTTAGATTATTGAAAAAATAAAAATAAAACATAAATAAAAAAGACAAAGCTGCTCACTAAGAAAAGTCGAGTGAGGACATGATATACATATATAATATTTCACCCATTCTTGTTTTTTAATCTCTTAATATTATAGTCCCTTTTTTTTTTTTTTGATAATCTTCAATCTATTTTGATTGAGTTTATTTTTCTTTTCCTTTTGTTTGTGATATTCGGGTTGATTGTGAGATGCTTAGCTTATCTAGTCTAGTATCTGTTTTTTTTTTTTTTCCATTCTTAGTTTTACTTTTTATTATTATTCGTTATATGTATTTTAAATGATAATATATTGTTATTTGCTTCCTCTATTTTTAGTGACAGCTGAAAGTTCCATCAGAAAGTTTTTCGGCATGTGACCTTACGGATGAAACAGCGATTGTCATATTATTTAATTCCTGTTTCTTCTCCCGTGGAACAACCACTTCAACAAGCAACCACAACACAAGAAGACATCCGCACACGATGTCCAGATTCTCTAACAGCTTCTGGAGTCATGACTACTCCACTGGTACGTTCCTTTACGTCAATTACCTTCAGCTACCTACTTTTTCTTGTTCTTTTCTCCCATTTGAAGGAGTCATCTTATGTGATCTGGCAAGTTCTACTAGGGGTGTTTCAACTGTGTAGTTAATTACTAACATTGGTTTCCTTAGGGGTCAACACATTATTTGATAGACTTCACGATGGGTGTTTGGAGAACCAAAACTACATAAATCTCTTTGTCGCTAGACACCAAAGCGAATTAGCGTTTGGTAACTCCTTGAACACTTTCCCGGATAAGTTCACCTCCAACTTCAACAAGAACACTATGCTCATCAACTCTACCAAGAATTCTTTTATCGGCATCAATACTGAGATCGGCAAAGAAGGACAATATCATTTGGAAATTGCCAAGAATATCGACCAACACATCATTTTGCCGTTCACCAGTTGGGCCATGAAGCACAAGGAAAGAGTGGAATACAGTGAAAACGAGTTGAAAACCAAGATCAAAGCTTACGAGAGATTGTACAGCAACATCGATAGAACAAGAATCAAGTACTTCAACAAAGTGAGATCCGCCGAAGACTTCAAGGAAAAATTGGATGATAAAATCACCCAAACAATTAAAAGAGCCAACACCTTTCCTCCAGAAGAAGTGAGCGATCCTGGAGCCGGTGCCACCAAATTGGCAAGATCTAACACCACCGTGGCAGAAGACATGAAATCTTTGACTCTTGAACGAAATGGCGTTTCCGTTGGCACCATCAAGGAAGAAAGCGAGGCTCCAGAAGAAGAAGAACAGATCGTCACTTTGGGAGGTTACGAGTATTCCAAGTCCCAATTGAAAGACGTGTTGGCATCATTATTGAATACTACCCCAAAATTTTCGCACAGAGTCCCAATTTTTGGTACTTACGACAGAGTGTCCACTGGGTCAGCAATTACCGAAGCGATTCAAAAATGCTTAGGCATCAGCAAATTGGAAAAAATTGAAGAATTTGGTCAAGATTTGATTAATGGTGGCTACTTGAGATTGATCGGGACGGTTGGTAGTCAATTTGCTAACAGTTCCAAATTGAATTACCAATGGAAACCAGAAGCTTATAAGGCGGCGGATATTGTTGTGGAAGGTGTCGACAACCTCACCAGAGCTTCAAGCATGTACAATCCGGTCAATGACATCAATCCAGGTGCCAGATTTTCTGAAGTGTTTGAGGATGTCAAAGGAATGATCACCACTTTGGAACCAAATGAAGAAAATTACAGAAAGATTTTGAAGGACGTGAGAAGATTTGAAAAAGAATATTACGAGCTTAGTAAACAATTGGACGTTGTGAGAACCGAATTAGAAGAAAGTATCGAGGAACATCACAATTTCATGCAAAGGTGTGAAATGGATCGGTTGAAGGCTTTGAAAAAGGTGACTTTTGACTTCTTGTCAATATTGTCCAACAGATTCAGCTCTTTGAAATCAGTGGTTGACAAAGCCATGTTATTACAGGACAATATGAATCCAGAACAAGATTTGGAAACCATGATTGAATCTAACAAGACCGGTTCATTCATTCCTCATCCTAAGGTCTTTGAAGATTATTTTGACTCACAAGACACTCAAGTCTTTGGTATTAGTTTACAAAGCAGATGCAGATTTGACCACAAATCAGTTCCATTGGTTATTTCATCGATCTTAATGCATTTGGATTCTGTATACCCTGACATGGGTAGTGATGAAGAACGGATTTCTGTTTGGTTGAATGATGTCCCATTGGTGAAAACCCATGAGTTGAGATCGTTACTTAATGATCCAAAAGCGGAAATCACCGAACAATTATTAAGCAAGTACCATCCTTCAGTGTTGAGCTCGGTGTTGCAACTTTACCTCTTGGAGTTGCCTAACTCTTTGGTTCCAAATGAAAAGTACTATTTATTCAAGTCTTTGTATGAACAATACGGTGCTGAAGATGCGGCTCAAGAAAGAATTGTTGGGATTGAAAACTTATTGGTTGATTTGCCACGTCCAAACATCGCCACTTTGAATTACTTGTGTGCTCACTTGAGTAATTTCATTTCCACCATTGCTCTTAATGATGGGGAGGTGACAAATGGTGAGGACAGCAAGCCAAAATTGACAGTGTCAGAAAATTTCAAGATTCAAGTGTGTAAAAAATTCACCACGGCAATTTTGAGAGAAAAGGTCCAAACCACTTCTCAATTGACTGATAAACATCCTTACAGATTATTGTTTGATTTATTGACCCATAAGGATCAAGTTTTCAAAGAATTGAAGAAACGTAACACCGTCAAGAAGACCTCTGTATCTAGAAACGCTTCAAAGAAGACTTTAATAGCAGGACAAAAGGATACTGCTTTGAAGAACGTTGAGCCTGAACCACTAAGGTTATCCGTTGATAGCAAAGCCAAGCCGATTGCAGAAGTTACAATGGCCGAAAGTGGTAAACAAGCTAACGACGAGGAACCAGATACCGTTATTCAATTTTAAGGTATCTTAATATGCGTGATTAATGGTGCTAGTATTACTTCTATTGCTAGGAGACGCTTTTTATCGCTATTTATATAATTTTGTTCTTTTTTTTAAAAAAATTATTATTATTGTTGCCGTCAATTTGTTAAAGCTCTAGATTTTTCGTGTTTCATATTTTTTTTTTTATATACATATATATCAACCTCGCACTTGTGACTACAACGCTATTTAGCGTAATAATACATGGTGTCTATTATATTAAATAAACAATTTTATTGATTTCAATTTACAAGTAGTAGCTTTCACATCTTAAATACGTTAGCTTCGTCCCATCCTTGGTTGCCCAATAGCCCAGCAACCTTCCCTTGTTGAAGCTCCGTTGGTTTACGGCCAGCAACGTAGCCAATGTAACCTTCTGGCCCACAGATGATTGCCAATGATGGATCTTTCTTTGGCTGATCACGCTCTATGTATCCTTGATGCAAAGCGTTGTTATATGAGGTTAATTCGGAAGTTTTAGTGGTAGGTGGTGGATTAGATTCCTTTGGTTTACCAACGGTTATCTTGGCTTCAGTTTCCTTGAATAGTTTTTCAAGTTCTCCGAGGGTATCGTCATTAGTTGCTTCTCCATTTTGTTTCAATTGTTTCATTTTTTCAGCAACGATCCGCTGTTTGATCACTTCCAATTCGATTTCTGGATCGGTTTCAATTTCTTGGATGTTAGGGGTCGAAGGAGTCATAACATTGGTTAAATACTGGTTCTTAGACTCGTCAAAAGTTTGTAGAGTAATTCTGCCCATTTTTTCAAGGAAGTAAAATAATCTGAGGAATTCTTCTGGTACTTCGGCTTGTTTCTTGAAAGAATAATTGATCCAAACGTGTCCTTTGAATGGGTTTTTCGATAACAATAACTGGAGCACTGGGGCAATACCAGTGCCAGCACCATAAAATACTAAATTATCGGGAAGCGGTACTCCTTGGGGTAAAAATGATGCGGTATAGGGATCAGATGGCACTTTCGATGGCAAGTTTTGCATCTTAGGACGTTCAAATTCCAGATAGCGATCTATTGGCTGGGGTTTGAACTGATATTCAGTATAAGGACCTCGGATTTCGAGAATCGATCCGACTGGTCTTTTGGAGATCCAGCGGGCCACTTCTCCTGATTGGTACTTTTTGATGTAAAGACAAAATTTCCCAACGTCTCCTTCTTCACTAATGAGCCTCATTGCTAACTGACCCTCTTCTCCAGCCTTTGCCAATATCACTGGCAATGGGGTATATTTGCGAACCACCATGATTTCTGGTTGTTTGACCTCGACGCTCCAAAGCTTCGAACCGTCCCAGTATCCTTTAGAATTGACAAACTTCAGAAGGAAATCACTCTTCACTCTTGGAGCCAATTCAATAATAAAGTGGTCGTCATCGATTTCTTTTTTTTTGGTGATCATAAACTCGGTGAAGTGGTCTGGGGATAAGATCTCTTGCCCTGATTTCCCAGCGTCGGGGTTGGTGAAATAGTACACACTGTAGAACGACCATGCTCCGACCCCAAGGGCAATAGCTATAGGAATGTATTTTCCGTACCTGACGAGCCAGTTGTCATTGGATTTTTCTTTAACATGTGGAGGAATATTGAACTGGGGGTTCTTAGGATACTCGTACTGGGTGGTTCGTAACTTCTCGAGCGAGGATGATGACGAAGACGAGCCATTCAAAGCACCACCAGAGGGCTTACCATCATCTTTGACTAGGTTCGAGTTGAAACGAGCACTATGCCGTATCAGAATCAACGAAGAACCTGCTTTGAGAGGTCTTAGTAACTTGAACATTGGTGAATGTTCTTTTCTATTGAAGTTTTTGTTAATGTTTCCAAGGATTTTTTTTACTTTTTTTTGGGGGTTTATTTTTTCTTTGTGGGATTTTTTTTTTCCAAAGATGATAATGAAGAATAATAGTCAGTGATAACATATCTTATTATATATATCTAATCAGTGTATCCACCAATGGTAGCCAACGACAAGATAAAACTAGTGAGAACCCTTAGGGACCACAATAACAAAGTCTGGAGTGTCGCGACTCACCAATCGCTTCCTTTACTTGCCACCGCGTCGGCTGACAAAACCATCATAGTTTACGACCTTAACAACTTCAATGTCATCACCAAGCTCTCAGAAACTCATCAGAAATCCATACGCTCAGTGAGTTGGAAACCTTCGTCGGAGTTCCCGTGTCTTGCTGCCGGGTCATTTGATTCGACAATGTCTATCTGGGCCAAGACCGATGAGAACTTTGAGGAATACAGTGATGATGACGATATTGACGACGACGGTGCTCAGGAAGGTAATAGTACCAATAAGCAATGGTCATTGATGGCGATCATCGAGGGTCATGAGAACGAGATCAAGTGTGTTTCATGGTCGGCTGATGGTAATTACTTGGCCTCGTGTTCTAGAGATAAGACCGTGTGGATTTGGGAGACCGACGAATATAATGAAGAGTTTGAATGTATCAATGTTTTACAAGACTATCATTCCCAAGACGTGAAATTTATCAAATGGGGGCCTGATCAATGCTTGATCAGTGCATCGTACGATGACACCATCAAGGTGTTCAAAGAGCCATCACCAGGGGATGACTTGACGTGCGTATGTGATTTGAACGCCCATGATGGCACAGTATGGGCCATTGATTTCGAACCAATGGAAGTGGTTGGTACCAAACATTGGCGATTTGTCAGTTGTAGTGATGACTCTAGTGTCAAAGTATGGGCCTTGACTGAGGAGAATCGTTCAGAAGAGTTGGAAGATTGGCAATTACAAGCCAAGTTACCAATAAAGCATAAAGGATCGATATATTCCGTTAGTTGGAGTGCCAACTCCGGAAGAATTGCAAGTGTAGGATCGGATGGTAACCTTATAATTTACAAAGAGATCGAGTCTGGTAAATGGGAGATTGATCTGATAAAGCCATTGGCCCACGGAGTGTTTGACCTCAATTGTGTGGTCTGGATCAAAAATATTGACGAATCGGCTACTACTGAAAGATTAATTACTGGTGGGGATAATGGAACGGTTAATATCTGGGAGATTGAAATGTAGTAAACAACTCACCATTTTTATATATGTATTATAAACTATTTTTTTTTATCTAAATCGATATAAACTTTTTTTTTTAGTTCTAAAAATTGATCTGGTTGGTCTTTAATACGGTAGTTATTGCTTCGTAAACATTATCCACAATATGAGTTGGTTTTACTGTTAAATTGTGGAAATCAGAATCCTGATAGACCCCAGTTTTCACCAAACAGCTTTCCCAGCCATAATTATTGGCCCCTTGAATATCCGAGGCAGGATTATCCCCAATCATGTAAACTTTCTTGAATGGTGAATTCTGTGGTTTTTCCCCCAACTGAGGAACAACCTGGGTCAATTCTTGAGGGTGGTACACTAAATCATTATTGGCTAATATCTTTAACCTCCAGTCAATCAATGCATTGTGAACATAGTCATAGGTCAACACGTTGGGTTTACCAATAATGGTATCTTCCAATTTATCCACCTCGTTTAATTCCTGGTACAATCTTTCTACACAGATTCTGAACGCTCCTTGTCCAAGTCTTGACAACTTGTACTCATTGGCCCAAAGTAAGTCATTGTTGGAGAAATAAATAGGAATTGCAGGCTTTGATCTATCTTCTAGCTTTTCAAGGTTCCTCTTGGTGCCAAGGTACCCATTTTCCGAATTCAACAAGTCCAAGATGATTTGCAAATCACTTCCCATGTCTCTAGGGTCATTGAACACGAAAATTGCATCGAATGGTTTATCAGCAACATTCACAGATTTATCGCCCCACTGATCTAACTGCTCAGCAGTGTATTTATGAAACGGCCAGATCGATGGGTCAGCCCTGACGATATCTGCTGGAATCACCACTTCTTGGAACCCGTAGCTTATTGCCGCGTGTCTTGCCTTGTCTTCCGGACCTCCCACCACTAATACTCGACGGTACGCATTAGTTAAAGTCTTGAATGGGGTGTGAGATTGAACGATCTGGATTGGATTGAGATAGGTGCCGAGGTTCTTAGATAAATATTGGGTTCGTTGATGTTCAGTGACCCCTCCACCATTGGTGAGTAACATAAAAGGTACTTGGAGACTCTTGAGTAATTCCAACGTTGGCTTAGCCTGGGGGATCGGCTGGCCTCCACGAATTAAAACCCCATCGATACTGGAGTATTGTTAGAATGGGGCAGGTCTTAGAGGGCATGGAGAACAATGTATGGATACTTACTCAAACACGAATGCGATCTCATTAGGGTTGTTTCTTCTTATGGCAGAGGTGTGGAACCTCGAGTACTTTAGGCAACCAGCAGCCACTAAAGACCGCCGGGATCTGTTCACCGGGAGTCTTATATTGATCATTATGGTAAGAGGAATCTATCTATGCCTATGTTTTATAACAAACAGAGAGAAACAGAAAAAGAATTATTTGGAATTTTTCCCCATCTACGGGGATCCATCGGGATGGTGCGAATCAGGTACAGTTACATATCTCAGCTAAAATTTTATTCATCTATTATATATACATCATATCCTAAAAAGCTTTTATCAGGAGCGATTGGTAATCAAATATTCATGCCAATCCTTTTAAAATAAACATGATATTGGCCATGTTCAATATCGCTACCGTCACCCAGGCAGTCACTGCAAGGGTTGCCAACAACGTGCTGTTGGAGTAATCAATATCTTTTTGAAATAACAACGGTTCTTCATTATCATTCGACCCGTAGTTGGCTTGGTTTGCCAGGAATTTCCCACTTCTAACCTTCATTATTGTTTTGTGGCAAGTAAAATAAATTAATGGCGCCGAACACACCGGGAGCACCAATGAAAGAAACACCTGGCTGGCATTTAGAATATCACCAATACCCGCAGAACCAGAGCTATAAGTGACGAGGATACACGGGACAATAGAGATTAATCTGGTCACAAGTCTTCTGACCCATGGAGTAAATTTCCAGTGGATAAACCCTTCAGATACCACTTGCCCAGAGATCGTCACCACCAACCCTGACGCTTGGCCAGAAAACAACAATGATAACACAAAGATCAACCCTGCGCCACGGGAAACGTAGAATGATAGTAATTTGTAAATTGAGATCAAATCAGCATCTTCTGCCTCAGGTGTCCCGTACAATGCTGCTGCAGCAACGATCAATATGGCACAATTGACAAATGTCGCGACGACAAACAAACAGATAATGAGTTCCCAATACGAATATTTCAACGAAAACTTGATGGCTTGCGCCGACGGTTTGTATTTGGATTGCAACAGCTCATCATTTTCATTGGTATTCTCGTCATCATCTTCCAATAAGCCGTGTTGAGCATCATATTCTTTTAATCTTGGTTGGACTAAGGCAGATCCCAAGTATAAAGAATGGGGCATCACTGTGGCCCCCATGATGGCGCACCCTAAATATATTGCTTCATCTTCCAATAATTTTTTTGATGGCAAGAACCCAGAAAACAACGGTTGTTTATCAGGAATGCTGAGGCTGAAGAGTTCCAATACAAAACACACGATGGTACCGACAACAAGCACCGAGATCATCACCTCGAAGAGCCTGACTTGTCTCATTGATTTCTCGGGGTTGTATAAAAATAAGATGGCCACGACATCTAACACCGTCAACAATACACCATAGTTCAAAGGAATGGAAAACAAGATGTTCAAAGCAATGGCAGTGCCCACCACCCCCGCCAAATCGGTAGCGATGATCGCAAGCTCAGCACAGATATACAAGGCCCAGTTCCATTTCTTGGGGAAATGGCGACGACAGTTTTCCGCAAGGTCAAGCCCGGTGACCGATCCCAATTTGATACAAAGGCATTGCATCAAGATGGCAAAGAAGTTAGAGATGACAATAATAAACAATAAATGGTACCGATAAACTGCCCCAGCTTTGGTGTTGGAGACAAAGTTACCACAATCTATGAACGATACTGCGACCATGATCGATTGGAGGAAGAACCTCAGGTATTTCCTGAATATCGATGGAAGACTTGGTATTGATATCATTATGGTGGGTGATGATCTAATAATAATAATAATAATAACAATAGAAGAAGAACAACATACTAGGTTATGTAGAGGCATATATAAGAATAGAAGTATATTTTTTGACACCCATTACCCTACATCACCAATTTTTTATAATCGCTTCTCTGCTGATCTTTTTCTATCTTATTACACCGTATTTAATACCAATCAATAACATTTTTTAACTGTATTTATATAGAGAAACAAATAAACAAAAACAAAAACACTTTAGTAGCTGTAGAAGCTGTCTTCCTTAACAGAGTCAACAAAACACCCTTCTTTATCACCTCTTTCCACCAATTCCCCAATCTTGTACACCTTTTCACCAGCTTCTTCGAAAATCTTTTGGACTTCAGAGTAATCAGCAGCCTTGACAATCACTGCCATACCAATACCAGCGTTGAAAGTCTTGAAGAAATCGGCAATTGGCACATTACCGTGTTCACCAAACCATTTGAAAATGTTTGGTACTGGCCAAGTCCCGTATTCAATCTTACCAGCAAGATGTTTTGGCAAACATCTTGGCAAGTTTTCCACGAGCCCACCCCCAGTGATGTGAGCCAATCCTAAGATGGCCTTAGTAGACTTAAGAACCTTCAAAATTGGTCTGACGTAGATTCTGGTAGGAATCAAACAAGATTCAGCAACAGTCATCTTTTCAGAAGTTTCCCATGGGGCTTGTTCGGACAATCCCAATTCGTTGACTTCAATAATTTTACGCACCAAGGAGAACCCGTTGGAGTGTAACCCATCAGAACCCAACCCCAAGATAACGTCACCAACCGCCATATCATCAATTTTTGGTAACATTTGGTCCTTCAACACCGCACCAACTGCGGTACCGTTAGTATCGTAGTGGTTTCCTTCGTACATGCCTGGCATTTCTGAGGTTTCCCCGCCAACCAAAGCACAGTTGGAGATCTTACAACCTTCAGCAACCCCAGAAACGAAATCGTGGGCAATGGAAATATCCAACTTCCCAGTGGCAAAGTAATCAAGAAAGAATAATGGTTCAGCCCCTTGTACCACCAAGTCATTGACATTCATGGCCACTAAGTCAATACCAACGGTATTGTGGATGTTGGATTCTTGTGCAATTCTAAGCTTGGTACCAACCCCATCGGTGGCGGCAACCAAAAGAGTTTCCTTGGAATTTTCGTAACCAGCTTGGTGCAAGTCAAATAACCCACCAAACCCACCAATATCGGAATCAGCACCGGCTCTCTTGGTCGATTTCACAAGACTCTTGATGTTTTCCACCAACAAATTACCATTGTCAACAGACACCCCGGAATCTTCGTAAGTAATGGCTTTCTTAGTGGTTTTGTTTTCTAAATGTTTGAATGCTCTGTGGGCAATGTCAGTTCTGAAATATTTTTCTTTGAAATTGACGTGGTTAATAGCTTCGTAAACGTTAGCCACCGATTGTTTCAAATCATTGGCAACAGAAGTGACCCCAAGAACTCTTCCACCATTGGTGACCACTTTTCCTTGTTCATTGAACTTGGTGCCCGCATGGACAACCGAGACGTTTTTGTTCAATTGCTTGATGGCTTCGTGGTCGACAGTGATCTCGTTGTTTTTTTCGTAGGCTTCTGGGTACCCGTTAGCTGCCAAAACCACGGTGGTGGCAAACTTGGAGTTATCAACTTCAAAATTCACGGAGTCTAATCTACCTTCAGCAGCCGCCAAAAACACTTGGGCCAAATCGGTAGTGTTGGAATTGATCAATGGCAACACCGATTGAGTTTCTGGGTCACCAAATCTCACATTATATTCGAGGACTTTTGGTTCACCATTGAGCAAAATGATCCCGGTGAATAAAACCCCGACAAATGGGAAGCCGTCTTGTCTCATCCCATCAATGGTTGGCTTGACAATAGTATCATTGATCTTTTGCAATAATTTTGGATCGGAGGCAATAGGAGTTGGAGCATAAGAACCCATGCCCCCGGTGTTCAACCCAGTGTCATCATTACCAATCTTCTTGTGGTCCTGGGATGGTGGCAAGTTGACAAACGAGTAACCGTCACTAAGGGTCAAGATGGAGATTTCATCACCATCCATAAACTCTTCGATAACAATCTCGTCCCCGGCAGAACCAAACTTCTTCTTCACCATGATATCATCAAGAGCTTCCATGGCCTCTTCCTTGGTGGTTGGGATCAACACCCCTTTACCAGCAGCAATCCCAGAAGCCTTGATGACAATACGATGTTCGACGGAATTAATGTATTCTTTGGCGGCCTCGTACTTGTCAAAGTTTTTGTACTCGGCGGTTGGAATGCTGTGCTTTGCCATAAAGTCTTTACTGAAAGTCTTTGATCCTTCCATGACCGCAGCCTTTGCGTTAGGACCGAACACTGCGATTGGTTTACCCGAGTAGTTGTTGAACTGGAAGTAATCGACAATCCCATCGATGAGCGGTTGTTCAGGACCAGGAATCACCAATCTAACATCATTTTCAATGGCGAATTTTAACAATTCTGGGAAATCTTTTTTAGAAGCACCGATTGGAACGTTGACAACTTCAATAGAAGGGTGGGAAATCGTATGGGTTCCCCCGTTACCTTGGGTGATAAAGATTTTGGCCACGGTTGGAGAGAGCAACAATTGGTTCAAAATTGCGTGCTCTCTGCCCCCGGCACCAATAATAAGGACGTTCAATTGAGACATGGGTTCGATGTGCTGACGAAGAGATGGACAGTATCCGCAAGGGAAAAGATATCTCAGTGTCTGATAATTTTCAGATAAAATTTTGATCGATGACTTCCTGGAAAATTTCTTTCTTTTATGAGATGACTAAGAAAAATTTGCCTGCACATACCCGGTGCACCTTTCTGTGGGCTACTGCGAGTGCTCGGATGATAGATGCAGGATAATTCATATAACAGCAACATGTTATATATTATCGTTCATTATCTTATAATATGTATACCAGCTAGAACATTTATTATATCTACATAAGCTGCTCAAAATAATTGAAGAACACCATCATTATCGACCCACTAACACTCACCTTGACTAATCTTGGTAATGCCCCAGCGTACAACTTCTTGAACCCTCCTTCAGTGGCATAAATCTTATAAGCACAATGCAACGAGTTCTTGTATTTCAAGTGCGAGTACAATTCCGATTGGAACCGGGTTTTGATCACATCGATCGGCTGGTTAAGCCCTACAATGAACAAGGAACTCGCCAAATTGATACCGAATTTGATGGCATCCGAATAATTGCTCTTGGTATTGTTTGGATCCAACAATTGTTTAAGGGCAGAATATGTGGTGAAGAACCCCACGGAATTAGAACATTGTCTGAGAAGTGTCATGTTGGTACCTTTGAAAAATCCATAGACCCCATTCCGATTGTACACAATCTTTGCCCCTTCAATGATGTTCTTCGAGGTCATTTCCCCAATGTTTATCCCTGATTTCTTTAAATCTTTGACTTTTGGCGAGGCAACCGCAAAAATGTTTGCTTTGTTGTTGGTGGTAGTATTGGTTTTTGGACGGTTAATTGGTATTTGGTTATTGACTGCCCCCGCAGCAAATTGACCAGGCAATCCATGGGGGTTTGAGGTTCCTGGTAATGAATTGTATAAACTTGATTCTATCAAGTTGATTTTGATATTTTCGAATGGAACAATTACCAACGACTCTGACACCCCGGCAAATAGCGATGAGATTAACAACCCCGGGTTGTTTGGAGAGTTTGTAGAATCAATCAATTTATTAAAATAATTAAAAGTCCCGAATCTCACAAAACTCTTGAAAAATACCGAAGTGTTTACTGCCGAAAGCCCAGAGAAAAAGTATTTTGGTTGATCTGGTAAAACGACATTTCGCAGACCGTATGACAATTGCTGTAGAGTCTTGTAATAATCAAGCGGATACAAAAGAGTGCTGGTCACCAACGAAGCACATATGGACGGTGCTATAGATGATAATTCCTTATTATATGACCCTGATGACATTGTATATCGGAACTTTCGGGGAAGAGAGCTTAAATCTTTTTGACTTATCTAAAGATTTCATTGGTCTTTTTTTTTTTGGTGTGTGGTTACAAAAAAAAAATAGGGAAATTTTCAAAATGGGAAATGGAAAGTCACCTGGCGTTTTGTCACCAAACCTTGGGTTTAACCAGATTATTTACAAAAGGAATGTATGTATATAAATATATAAATATATATAACCTATATAAACAATAGCATTTTATATAAAATAAGCCTTTTTTTGTTTGTCTATTTCTTGTTTCTTCGCATTGACATCGATCTCTGACTCAAATTCTGCAACTCGATATGTCCTTGGGTTTTAAAGCTGATTTGTTGGCAAGTGGGACATTGGTAGGCACGATGGCCACAAGAGCACTGGAAAGATTCTGGGTTAGTATTGTGTTCTAAAAAACAAATACAACATTGGATATACAATATGCTGGGGGCGGAGGATGGAAGGTTTGGCATGGTTGGATAATCAAATAATCTGATATTCTTCTTAGCAGTTTATATCCCCAAAAATACCAATTGTTTTCTCAATTAAGACAGCAAGGGAGGAATCGTAGAATAGTTATATATATCAATATATCTGCATTATTGCGTTTCACATATATTGACATTTATATATATTATACGATCATGGTAATATGAGTAATCCATCTGTGACTCACTACACCGAAGAGGCTTCTAGAAGAACGAGGGGGAAAAAAAAGATCAGCGTTATCCACTTTATACCTAGTGCTGCTTTTTTTTTTTAGCATTGTTGATTTGTAGTTGATATTGATTCAATTTGGTTTGTTTATTTACGGTATTGGCAAACCACCTGGTTTTCAAAATTGACAGGCCTCAGCTCGAATCAGACTCAAGGGTCGTCGGAGGAATGCGATAGTTGTGAAAACACTTTTATGAGTAGTGAATCCTCTCAAATAGCAATCATTTCTTATTTGGTCTGCTTCTTGCTTCACAAATCACACAAATATGATGACCACAATTAGGACAGCTTGGGAAGTAGTGCAGGGAAGTATGGAATCCATTGATGGCGTTGCAATGGCAACAGATGAAGAAAATAACGTCAACCATGAGAACAACAAGAGGAATAGCAATAAGAATGATAGGATAATACAAGCAATAACCTGAATGATAATGAGAATAATAAGAATAAATTAGAGGAGCTAAAGTATTTTTTTGAGGCTTTTTTTTTTTTTTTGAAGAACAAAAACTATCACTCACTCCCAAAGAATTCCTTAAATTGCTATTAGTGTCGTAACATTTTGGGGACTATTGGATTAGATGTTTTCTTGAAATCTACGACAAAAAAATATGCGATACACAAATATTATGAAAACTCAACTTTTCTCACTTCGATATGGTATTATAAATACAAAAAAAAAAAAAAAAAAAACAGCAGAAAGCCCCAAAGATTAAACACAGAAACAATGGGGAACAAATACCAACCATCGCCACCAAAATATCTCAATCTAAATCTGGAAAGAAAATAACATTTCTCACGCCACTATCACATCTTTTACATGGGAAATGACCACAGCTGCACTGTTTTTGGAGACCATGATAAGAAATGGAATAACCATGGCATCGGCAACACAGATGATAATATTCTTTGCGAGTAAAGGACATAGTGAAGCACTTATGATTAAAAGTGTTTGTTTAATTTCTTATTAGTAATTGTTACTAATATCAAAAGGATATTGTTTGGACTAGAAATAAAGCTGATATATAAAATATTCTGGATAAAATATTTTTGGGAAGCCAAAAGTATTTCCCAGATTCCCTTCCCAGCTTCTCAAATCTTGTGCACACAATGATCAGTTAATAAATGAGTATAATATTCTTCTAGTATTTCTATATATAAATATCAAATAAATAAGCTAAGGATATATCCACCAATAAATAAAAACAAGATCCCTGATTTCGCAACCTCCACCTTTGTAGAATTGTTGTCCACCGATTCGGCTTTAAATTTGCCAGAAAATTGAGAAAAAGACCTTCTATCCTTTTCAGCGCTCTGATCCCCGTTGCTATCAACATTTTGCTTATTTTGTGGAACATCCTCAGAAGATAATATTGAAAATTCATTGGCTGCTTGATTAATTCTCCCATTGACTGTACCATCAATGCTCTGGATCGAACTCCAATCCCCCGATTTTCCATGATACTTATAGTACTTCCCTGAAGAATAATCAGATATAACAATTCTATTGACCTCCATAGTGAATGGGCCATCATTGAAATCGGTTAAACCGCCCGCCCACTGAATTGTTCCTACTTGGTTACCAGGATCGCCCCCGACCCAGGTGCCCAAATACACCGCCATCGGGGTTTGTGGATAACCGTAAACATTTGTAGGCTCATCGTTGAAGATTTGTCTAACTTTAAGGTTATCTATGTAAAAAGATAAACTTTCCGCAGTCCAGTCAATCGTATAATTATGAAACTGATTATGGCAATCCTCGACATGATGATACCCTCCTCGAGAATAATCTCTGACATCGCCTTTGGCAAAATAGTTACTTTGTACAGTGTCTTTGGCGCTTCCAATCCATTCCAAATCAATTTCATCTAAATCATCGCTTTGCAAAAACACGCTGCTGATGATCCCCCGGCCTGCTGCGGATTTGGCAATGACTTCAACTTTTCCAAAAAGAATGTAGAAGGTTGATCTGATTGATGGATTATCGAAACGCTTGTTGATAATGATCTTCAATCCATCATTAGTGTATTTTGTTTCGCCGCGCTCAGAAAAAACATCAAAGAAAGAGGACGGTTCTCTGAACTCGTCAGTAAATGAGCTGGACAATGCCTGGTTGATCCCTTGACAATAGTCATCTTTGAGAGGATTGCAAGGTACGAATTCTCTCGTCCAAATGGCGAGAAAAAATATAGACAAAGGAAGAAATAATCTTAGATTTTTCATGATTTGTGGGAATGATTGGTGTTTTAGATACTATAAAGGTCTATTTGATATAGAAAGCAGAAAGAAGTAAGAAAAAAGAAAAACAATTAGGAAAGTCCCTTTATAATTATGACACAAAACCAGCATTGCAGCAACAGCAGCCTCCTCCTCCTCTTCTTCTTCTTTTTCTTCTTCTGCAAAATCGTGGGGCTGTTGCTGATGGTGTGTTTGTGGCCCATTTCATGTTGGATGCACTCGGTTACCCTCTGGACATTGCCGTTGCAATTGAATATTTTTGCTGCCATCATCCACTGACAGACCATGATTGAATTACAATATTATCCATAAGAGCAAAGAATGTCACGCTACGGCATAACCTCTCTAAAATATTTAGAACCCCAGACATTGAAAGCCTGGATCGATGCCAGTCGTTCTGACCACGGGAAATTTGCCATAGTGGACGTCCGAGACGATGACTTTGCCGGGGTATGTTCTGTCAACGTTATTTTGATGTTGCATTTAGACCAATCACACTAACAGCGTATCCTAGGGCCACATCATAAATTGTCACCACTATCCATCGAGAATCTTTGAAACAAAAGTCCATGATGTTATCGAGGAAGTTAGAGGGTGTCAGGACATAGTGTTTCACTGTGCTTTATCGCAACAAAGAGGTCCTTCAGCAGCACTCAAGTTCTTAAGATCGCTAAAGGATGACGACGAGTTCAACGTATATGTTTTGAGGGGAGGATTCTTTGAGTGGCAAAGGGTTTATGGTAAAGATAAATCGGTGACTTTAGATTACGATAGTAATTATTGGAAGTATTATTGATAGATGATGGATTAGAATTGATTTCTTGAGAGATACTGGCGATAGACCGGTCACCAATTACATTTTTGTGTCTTCTTATTATGATAATTATGATAATTATGATCATTATTGTTTTTTTATTGTTTTACTTTTTTATATATTATTATTATTACGATTATTACTGTTATTATTGGGTGTTCCAGCGACACGGTACTTTTTTTTTTGCAAAATAAACAAAAACAAAAAAAAAAATATCAACAAAAACCCCCCAATATAAATATTTCTATACAATAAATAAATGGAATACCCAGAAATATTAATCCTAAGCAACCATCAATATTTTACTTTTTATACCATACACTTTGGCATGAGCCATGATAACCAATGGACCAGCCAATTTTGATGTTCTAGAGAATATAAAAGAGAATATTCTACCTCTTGACGAAGGACGTTCAGCAACAACATTGGCAAGAATTTTCTCCATGCCCACCCAAGAATTGAAACAAACACAAATTGAGGAGCGGAAGCTGCTTGAATTACAAATCAACAACTGCGAGGACTGCGATGATCCCCTAGAACCATACCTAAACTACATTCGCTGGATCAACAATAATTTTCCCCAGGGTCCCAATGTGGCTAATGGGTTGGTTCCCATATTGGAAAAATGCACTAGTTATTTCAAAGATTATTCCATCTACAAAAATGATCCCCGGTATATGAGAATTTGGGTTTTGTATGCCAAATATTCAGAAAATTCCATCAATGTGTTTGTTTTCCTTCATAGAAAAGAAATCGGGAACATGCTATCGCTATATTACGAGGAATACGCCAAAGTATTGGAGTCACAGAATAGGTTTGACCAAGCTAACCAGGTATTTCAAAAAGGATTATTAAATGAAGCTAAGCCAGTACGTCGGCTACAGAATAAATATAATGAGTTTCGACAACGAATGATTTCTCATTCCCAAAACCCTGATGAAAACCAGGATATCACCGACCCATTCGATCCATTTCCAAAACGACAGGCGTTGGCAATGAAGGGAGGCTACTTATTGGATAGAGAAAATGAACATAATTCTGGAGATGAAGAACAACCAGAACTAGGTACTAGAGTCGAAAAATCAAAATTACCGATCTATGTTGATAATGGTGACGGAGTAGATACTGATCCTTTGGGTAGAACCGGAGGTTGGGATGATCTTGGTACCATTGCTAGCAGAACGAAAGAAAACAAACTTAGTGCCACGCCTTGGGTAGGAGAGACCTTGAAACAACATAAAAGTGCTACTGAAAAGAAAAAACCACCGGAAAAAGTCTTGGTTTATCGTGATGGTGATGCTCGTCATGACGCCAACGTCCCGGTTTACAAAACTATTGAAAATATCGGGAAAAATACTGAGAAATTGGATGTGAATCTAGACCTTTTACATCCAATGAATGGTGAGGAATTTTGTATTTCTGAAATTTTGGCGTTGATGAGAGGGAACTATGGTACCAAGTACGATATCTTGCAAGAAGAAAAAGCCAAAACCGAAAATGTTGCAAACTCATTTGGAGAACAAGATAATGAGAATAATAGTCTCTTGGAAAAATTGGATAACCAGGAAAATTTCGGATTAGGTTTTGGTGGGATAAATGATGATGAGGATGAATTGAATGATTTGTATTGTCTGGATGATGAGAATGTCCCACATAATATATTCAAAAACGACAAGGCTACAACAGAACCACTGAAAATTAGTCCTTCACGCCAGCTAAAAACCATAACTGGCGATATCTCTGTCTTACAGAAATCATCTCCCACAGTGACGATGACCATGTACTCCAAAGAGGCCAACAAAGAAGTATATTCGATGTTTAATCAAAAAATTGGCAAAGTCAATCTTGATACTTTTGCCCCCAAAAACCTGGATGGTGAGGACACCCTTGGAAACAATCTTGATGACTTTACTGAACACACTAATCATCTCACAGTATTAAATAATTTGCAACCAAAAAAACTAGAATCATTCACTCCACTGAGAAACAAAACAGGGGAGAGGAAAGAGAAACCAAAGATCCATATTTTCGAAGATGATGAAATTGATAAGCTTGGAAATGAGGTGGCAGAACTTAGTGTTATTGAGTATGGTGGTGAACAAGGAGGTGATGATGAGTCAGGTCAACAAGTTCCAAATGATGAAAATAATCCATTCTTATTCACTCCTATAAAACGGCCTTTAAATGATACTAGTCGGAAAGGCTCACCGTTTGTTAAAAAGAAATTGAAAAACTCCGAGGCAACAGGATCTTTTTTGCTTGATGATTTTATTAATGAGAAACCAGAACTGTTGAGCGTTATCGACCCATTTGATGAGAAAAATAAATCAGAAATTTTAACCAAATTACAACCCAAAATTGACAAATTGGAAGGGTTTTTCAAATATAACTCCAACAAAGGGACATTCAAAAACCTCAAGCTGCTCGCTTCGTACAATTCTAACGCTAGTTTACAACAACGGAAAAAGGCTCATAAGTTTATTAGTTTTGAAAAAACTGATGAATTGAATAGCATTATTAAAGAGTTAGGGTTAGGAGGATTCGGTATGGTTTTTCTTGCTGAATCATCTAAAGATGGTGGTCTTAAAGCATTGAAAGTCCAATCCCCTGCAAATCTATGGGAGTTCTACATCATCAAAGAAATCAAAGAACGTCTCAAAAATAAGGTTGCCAACATGCTTTCTTTCTCAATGAGGCTGGTACTCACCAGGATAATGGAGTGTTGCATTATCGATGCCAAAAAGTTGCATTATTATCGTGATGAAAGTTACTTGATGTTGGCTTATGAAAACCAAGGAACTATCGTGGATATGCTAAATATCGTCAAAGAAGACGCCAGCTCTAAAGATTGCGGGATCCCTGAACTTTTGGTGATACACCTTAGTATCGATCTAATTAATATCATTCAGGCTCTTCATGATATAAAAATCCTTCACGGGGATCTAAAGGCCGACAATTGTATGATAAAGTTCACCAATACGCTGTCTAGAGCTCCAATTATTGATTCTAGAGAGGCGGCCAGACAGTATTTGGATTCAAAGGGAATAACATTGGTTGATTTTGGAAGGGCCATTGATTTGACAATGTTTTCTGAGAATATCAAATTCAAAACAAGTCTACAACAGGTTGACATCGAGCAAGATTGTCCGCAGATCCAAAATAATCAGCAATGGAAATACGAAATTGATTATTATGGATTGGCCAATATCATTCATACGATGTTATTTGGGAAATATGCCGAAGTGGTATTTGAAAATGAATCATACCATTTGAAAAATAGGTTCAAGAGATACTGGAAGTCTGAGCTCTGGGTGCCGTTATTCGATTTCTTATTGAATCCTGTAAAGTCTATCGACCGCACTAATCACAAAAATCCAGGAAAAATTTTAAAAGAGCATAGGATGCAATTAGAAACCTACTTGCTTGATGAGTCCAATGGTTTCAGAAACGTCAAACTGTTACAAAACGTGATATCCGATCTCGAATACCAGCTTAAAGAGCAATTCAAATAGATTTTTCATATATATTATAGAAACAAAGGAAAAGGGAATAAACATCCATGAGATTATGAGTTTACTTTATTCAAATGTGTTCAACTTACAAAAACTTGTAAATTAGTAAGTTTAATACATTTTTTATCACATACATTTTCATTAAAGTTGACTTCCAAGAAATAACACCTCTACCAGAAAAAAAAAAAAAAAATAAATGAATAGAAATAATTTCTATAATGAAACTGAGAATCTAAAAACAAAGGATATTTGTCAATGTATCATGGATAATACCAGGAACTTGATCATTGGTAGACCTCACAGTAAGCTGGACCGACCCAGAATCATTCTTGTTAATCTTGATTAAAGTACCAAAATTCCCAGCGTTAGAAGTATGAATGATTCCTGCAAATTTCAACTCGCGAGTATCATCAGTGAGACATTCACCCCAACCCGTCTTGAGCAAGAATTTACGAATATTTTCAAAGCTCTGGAACACACCACTGAGATGGTTTTGATTGATAGCTGTCGATTTTCCGAGCAACGGATTACCGGCATCAACCAACTGCTTCCATCTCATTTCAAAATGATCTTCCGATAAAGAAGTGGCAATCAAGCTATTAATCAACGGTATTGGGATTCTCAATTTCAATGAAGTGAACCCCCCGCTTAAAAAGTTGACTTCCAAAATTGGTAAATCCAAAATATCATAGACGTCTCTTATATTGGCCTCTAGTTCTAATTTTGTTCGGCCATTTTTTGGAATTGCATTGTTTGGAAGCAGAACATTTTTTAAAACTACTGGAGGGTTTACAGTTTTCATCATTTTCACATTGGTGATGAAGGACGATATGTCAGCTGGCGATTTGTTGATGAACACGAAAAGCATAGTGATCTTTTTCGCCGACTTGAGTTCACTTGTATCGATTTTTACCAATATTTGAATAAGGGAATTCTCGAAAAAAATGTTGTTGTGGGTCCTCAAGACTTTGTAGTAGCCAATTTCCCAATTTGGAGAGAGAATGACCGAGAATTTCTCGGTTTCCTTCTGATTATCGAGTAAATTATTATCATCAAAATCAAAATCATCATCAGAATCACTAAACGGATTTGAAAAGTCTGTCCCAGGTGTTGGTGAAAGAATGTTATTTGTGGTTACCGCATCTTCAACATCGAGTAAATTTTCTTCATACCCAATAGTCACACCACCATCTTTCTCTAGTCTATTCAAAATAAATGATTTCTTTTCTTTAGGGTTATCGAGAGGAAATTCTGGCATTTCGTCAACGACAGTATTCAATAATTGAAAACCATCGTTTCGGGAGGTAAGTTTGATATATTCCACTGATCTTTGCTGAATCTCTGTATTTATTGAAGTCAATTCATGACGGTAAAATTTAGAAATCGGGGTTCTTAATTCGGGAAATTTCTTGAAAAATTTCAAGAATGCGGATAATATTATATACCTTGCTTGTAATCCCCCAACAAAGTATCTATCATATAATAAAACATATTGATTCCATGGAGAAAACTGACTGTCTTTGGTTGTGGTGCTGTCAACTAATAAATGGCAATATTCCCCAAGTAAAAATCCTCCGATTTTAATCATAATTTCGTTAGGATTATCGGCTCTCAAATGTCGGACGAGTGATTTGCACGCAAAGCTTTTCAAGCTATTATTAATGCTATTGACAATCACCTTAACGAAGCTTTGCCAAATTTCAGGGTTGGAATAAATCCCAGCAATGGAGATTATTTTTATTGTTGTTGTAACGTACCAGGTCAAATTTTTTGAAAATTTTTCCACCAACTTATAAATTTTCGATGAAATTTTCGATCGGTTAAGATAATCAGACACATCCAAATATACCAACAAGTTACTCACAATTAGTTCGACATTTTGAAAGTCACAAATAAGAAACAAAGTGTCTAAAGATTTCATTCTTACAGAAATATCCCTGTCTTTCAAAAGCTGCAAAATAGTTTGGGTGTGATTCTTGATGGAATTATGAATATTCAAGTAATCAGTCTTGGAGAGGTTATCTCTGGCGACAGTTATCGGGTGATCCACAGAAGTTGATGACCCCCCAGCAATTTTCACTAATGAATTAAGAGCCAAGTACCGAGTATTGGTTTGTTTGGAGCTCAACAATTGACTAAGAGCAGCAATTGCTCCGTCTATGGCTTCAGGCGACGGATCTAATCTGGTTGCCAAAGACACTGCGGAAAATAAGATCGCGCTTCGCGCGTTGAGAGCTTGTTGGTTTATTGCAGGTTTCCTGCCATTTTCAATTGCCTTTGCTACCACCAGTCTCAAAGAACTGAGATTTTGGACATCTATGGTGGAAATTGAAAGTGAACTGTACCCAGATTTCAGATTTGGTATGAGAATGAAATCTTCAATCAAATTCAAAAGTTTCACCGTAAGCCAAGGATCAGGGATTCCATTATATACGTATTTCTCAGGGCAATCTTTCTCAATCACCAAATTGTTGAGCTTTTTTATGATTATTGGGATACAGGCTTTCACACTATCGGGGTTTCTTCTGGCAATGTACGTCACTAGCGATACTACCGACAATGAAAATCCAATATTTTGATCTTCCTGATCCATCAATGCAAGAATTCTTGGTAGCCATGAGGCTTGATATTTATCCAAAATTGCGGGATTCACTTTTATCAATCTTAATAATGCCAAAGAAGCCTTCTTTTTCACAAAGGGTGGCGTGGTCGGGGATCGTAACAATTGAAATACTGGTTCCGACAAAATTGTTGAGAAGGTCTCGTTACCAATTACGGCAATCAACTTCAATGCCAAACAATTGAATTCATAATCATCTACCTCCAAATCGCTCTTGATTGAATTAATTGTCAACATCATCATTTCATGATCCTCATTTAAAAATAACGAAAGGGCAAGATACCCAATTTCTTTTTCAGAATAAACTTTAGACGACATTAACTGGATCGCTTCCAAAAGTCCAAATGAGATTCTGTAACCGAGAACATAAATATAAATCAACTTGCAGACATATTTCTTCCTCTGATAACCATTAAGATTTGGCTGTAAGAATTGATTCTGGACATTCACTAACTCTGTGTTGATTCTTCGCTCCTCTTCTTCCTGAGCTTTTGAGTTCCGCAAATCTGCAATGAATTGTGTCAATCCTTTCATAGGAGCCCTCATTTTTGAAGCTTATGTGTCTGTATGTGTCTGATAATTTCAATTCCAATCTCAACACCGTGGTCGTAAAGTAAGATTTGGTGATCTTAGAAAATTGATGCTTTTAGACCAAGTGCGAATAGCAAAATATGAAAGCACAACGCGTACTATAAAACTCACATTTTTGAACATTTAACATAGATATGGTTCCTTAATAATCATTTTTATATAGTAATATATAAGTGAAAATAATGAGTGTTTCATTTATTATTGTCTATTGAAATAAACGTACATATTCCAAAGTTATATCTGCGGATTATTCGCAAAAAAAAAACATCACTCGGAACTATCAAAATAGAACTGTCTCATAGCTTCCACGTACCCATTGACGGCACCAAAAACAGGATTTATTGGCCTCAACATGTTTTCTTTACAGAATTCTATTACCAGATCATCTTTGAGCATCTTAACATCGTAACAATAGGCAGCCGCATCAAGGCACTTATCCTTTAACAATTCGTACTTTTTGTAGTCAAAGGAATACTGGTGCTGACAATGCGAGAGGCCGACTAAAGTGTAATTTGTGTGGTAGAAATCAGGTCTACATCCTGGCTTATCAAATAGACCACCTCCCTCAATATCCTGACAGCAACCCAATATATAATTCAGTAAGCCGTTTCTATTGAATAGTCCCTTAAAAGAATCATTATTATCATTTTGGATCGCAGCTTCAAGAAATGGAAAAATGCCTCCAATCCAATGGCTGTAGCACCCATCCACTAACTTGTTGGATCTGCCAGAAAATCCTCCTTCGATACCTCCTTGCCTATCAACCGACCATTTTATCAAGTTTGGCAAATTACAATACTTGCTCAACATTGTCTTTGGATCCCCTAATAAACACAAACTGGCAACAGCACAAAATGAATACCCCCCATGAGCTTCAAGAGATGGACTGCCTCCAAAGCCACCTTCCAAGGTCTGGCATTTACCTAACCATTCAGCAGTCCCTTCGATTAATTCAGGAGTCATAATGTTCAACATTGATGCCACAGTCAAGGCGCAGTATACTGCCCTGGTATCTACTTCTCCTCCCTTATGCATTGCAAACGAGCCATTTGGTTGCTTGAGATCTGTCATCATCCAGTGATACATCTTCTTTCTGTCAATTTGTGACCAGAAATCCTTATTTTCAGAGTAACTAAAGACCAATAGCGCAGAATACGTAGAGGCAATGTGTCCTAATTGGCCCTCACCTCCTCCGATTCCTCCATACTGGTTATTTTGTGCTACTAACACTTTCTTTGCAATCTGCTCCTTTTCCTCTTCAAGTTCCACACCTAACAACATTAATGCATTGGCAATCCAGTATAAAATCCACGTTTGGGAGGAGTCCAACACCACATAACTCCCCGGGAATTCTGTTTTGAATGATTTTGATAAAAAGTGGAGATGTTCCCGTTTGGCTAATTTGGGGAAATCATTATTATTATCGTCATTGACATACGATGCGTATATTTCATGGCATGAATTCTCAACATTTTTCTGATCTTTTATAGTCACGGTATTGGTATCATCGTCATTGTAAAAATTGATACGATTCTTATAATTTTCCACTAGTTGCAACATATTCTCGTACTGGTAGTCTGTGGAATTTGATTCTCTGGTAGATACGGTTCTTTTCCTCCCTAAAAGACTAAGCAAAAAATTCACTTTTTCAACGTCTTTTATACGGGAAGCTTCGTCCACATTAATATCTGCACCAATCATGAACCACCTGTATTTAAATAAGATTTCTTTTCCTCCCCTTTTAAAGGCATTTGCTGGAACTAATGTTGAACCCCCCCCCATTCAGTTGACCAGAAGAAGAAATTGCGATTTTCCGGCACTACACTCATTTGAGAACCGCGTGGATGGTATATTGTGTCTAAGTTGCTCTACACATACAAATTATCACTTACATTACGTGAAAGATTAGTTAAAGCAAATGAATAGTATCATTAGCATATATATAGTCTATTCATAATCTAAAGAATAGAAAACTTTGCATCTGCTCCAATGTTGACACAAATTTCACCATCTCCTGCTTCAAAGCGTTCAATAACTAATGAGTACGTTCCCCTGATAACAGTTAAATCATTAATAAATGTTCCATATAAGTTATCATCGAATTCTGTATTATAGAAAACGGACTTATTAGTGTTATCATCAAAAACATTGACCCTTATCTTTGGTCGATACGCAGCGTACTCATTGTGTGCATCCAAAGAGTCCACAGACGAGTTGATCGAGAACTTAGATAAATTTCTTTCCAAAGTATCAATACTCCCACGCTTGGCAATGACCCTAATATTAATTTTGCACTCTCGATCAATCTGGAAAAGAACTTTTTTTCTATTAGATCCTTCCCATTGTAACGATTTGGTTCGAACAAATAACCCCAACGAATTATTTAATTTGCTTAAACGGAACTTTTGGTTTGAATTGACTATGAGCCTATATTTCAATTCATCTAGACCAAAATCCGATATTGGAGAGTATGTTGATAACAATAACGCGTATTTCCTGCCCGGGGTCAAACTTAAATTTGGGATTTCTAACTCACCAGTCGCATTATACTTTTCATTGAAAACAAGCTTCTTAGCATCGTATCTTTGAATACCTCTATTTCCAGTATCCGGGAACCAAAAAATCTGCAAACTGAATAAAACGTCAAAACTGTCCACAAGTAAAGTAATATTGACCGTACTATCATCACCACCAAAAATTTCAAGAACGTATTGTGGATTATTTATGTAATCAGAATATAACCAACTACCACCAGAATTATTCCACTTCCATTCTGAATTAACCACGTCACTGAATGGAAACAATGGTTTAGACTTTCGGAATACGGTATCATTGGAGTGTGAGAAACACGATAGGTTCAATAGAAAAATCCCTGAATCTTCTTCTTCAGGAGTTAAAGCAATTACGACAGTAATAGACAGCCTCGGTTTAATAGTTATTCTTGTTAAGGATGTCTTATTAGTAGTTTCAATTATTTTAGAGAGTCTTCTTCCTCCCTTTAATGAGTTAATCGTTTCACCATACTGTGTTTCAGCAAATAAGATCTTGGTATTGCGAAGCTCTTGTTTACTGTAATCCATTATATCTTGTACTAGTAATATCCAAACATCAACAGACTTCTCTGATGGGTTACTAACTCCAAATTGTGGTTTACCTTCGGCACTAAGTTCTTGCAAAACAGAGCCATTATTTTTAAGAGAGTATGTAAACTTCAAAGTCTGGTTAAAGGAAAACATCCTGTGATCCCAATTTAGGTAAATTGTTCCAAAATTATTGACCACAAAACTATAATCATGCCATACTTCTCGTTCTTCAACCAACCAGGGGTTTTTGACTAACATTTTCTTATTTCCCTCATCATCGACTTTCAAGTCAATAACAGCATAATCATGATTTGATACCAAATTATTTTTTTCTGCATAATAGACACTGGAACCTGTGTATTCAGTACCTAATGATATCAAACATTTCCTCTTACGGAAATTATCATAAAGCATATTCCAAAAAGATTCAAAAGTATCCTCGTGTTGACAATAGTCGAGGGGTTTGATATATTCAGGGATCCAGCCTGTCAATAAATAGGTATCGTACCCGGCATTCGAACCGTTAAATTTATATGAGTTATTACCAATCACTTTGAAGTAAGATTTTTCAAGTAGTGCCGGCCAGTATAAGTGCTGATTCTTAGAAGATCTCAAAAACAAGGATTTACTGGATGACCTGTCTTTGCTGAAAGGCAATTTATCATTGATGATGACCGCCCTTTTACACCCATTGATCTGCAATTGAACCAGATATTTGAAAGATTTGGACCGTGGGTAGATCAAATTGTATATAAGCAAGGGATCATTATTCACAATAGATAACAACGATGAGACAAATGAGCACGTAGACGTCAGATCATCCTGATACAAATTATTCAAATCCTTAATTGACAGATCATTCAATTCCCAACTATTTTTGACATCTAGTTGCGAAGCATGGCCCCATCTATCAAAATATTTGGCCTGCTCCGCCGATAGGTTTTCCATTTTATCAGAAAACTCCAAATCCAATGGATCAACAAAGAACCGGTAATCGTTTGTTATCAATGGTAGGAAGAAGTCTTGATTTATTTGGGAGCTTAACCACTTTAAACTGGTTTCCATCGGCACCTTTTCTGCTGTCGGCTTTCCAACTTTCTTTATTTTGGTATATATTTCAATTGCCAAATTACATAGTTGCTTTATAGTAGAAATACTGATATCCTTCTGTATACCAGGACCATTGCTTCCCGAATAGAGCTTCAATATTTGGTTAAATAATTTGATTGATTGTGATCCATGGGTTTCTGCCTCTTGAACTTTCAGGGCATAATAAGCAAAAGTCGCCAATTCAAGCTCTCTTTGTGCATGATCTATCAACGATAGCAAAGTGGGAGCATTGTTGCTCATATCTTTCTTCGAGAGAAGACTAACAAGACTTACTGAAAGAGCGATGAGAAGACTACAGAGAAGTAATCTAAAAGAAAATAAATTATTTAGAGAAGTTGTGCCATTTTCTATTTTCTACTTTGTTTTTCACGAGGAATAATGGGGTGCAAAACCCTCATAGTGTCAATTCTTCTTGAATTGCACTTTGCCATCAACAAGTTCCAATTCAACCCCTTTATCTTTCAACTCGTCCTCATTGACAACCTTCTTCGCTTCTAGCTTTCTGACAAAATCTTGGTTCTCTTTATTGTCTTCCAACAAGTATCGGATACAAATAATCGCGGTCTCTTTGATGTAAGGATTCAATTGGTCTATAATACAATTGGACAACACAATCTCTAAGGCGTGCGATGTTCTGACAAGTTCTTGGTTGTCAAAATTCTTGGAAACTAAGTATGTTATATTCTCTATCAATAGTTTCTTCAAATTAGGAAACTGGGATGGCAAATGAGCGGCTTTGGTAGCCAACGAAAGTTTTGAGATGGGCTGGACATGCTTTTGTAATAACTTCAACAAATCAATGAGCTTGGTTAAGAATGTGTAATTATTCAAATATTGAATGGAATAGTCGTATGTCAATAGACTGGTGAAGATATCCAATACCATGAATAAACTATCATTCAATGATTTGACATCCACAACATTGCCTGGTTGATCAAAATATTCAGTGGCTTCTGCCAACAATGATTCGTAGAAATTCATCAACCAGGTGAGAATTATCACTAACTTCAAATTGGAGAGATTAGAGAAGTTGGTTAAAAGGATCTGGGAGATAAGAATCAAGTTAGTTGACATTTTCTTGTTAGGTCTATTAATGGTGAAAAACTTGCCAAAACTTTCATGAATGATTATATTTTTGAAAATAGATGAAAAAGTTACAAACGTCTGATTCTTGTCGGCTGATTCTTGCTTAATTTCCACAATTTTATCTTCGTCATCACCCCCATAATGAAGCTCATCATGAAGCTCGATAAACCATTCACTTAGCGCTTCAACTATCTCTGGTGATTCATTATTCAACAAGTGGTACAAAAACCCATTTGTGACCTCATCTTCGCTAAAATTTCTTAATTCGTGATTAAAAATGCTATAGTTGTTCACAATGAAATGGTTTAAATAAATTAGCAACAAGTTATAATTTTCATGGTTTTCAGGGCTAAAGAACGAATGAGTCGTGTTCAACTGGAATAGTTCGGTGATATACTGGATGATGAGATGATAATCCTCAGGTTTTTCCGAATAGACAACATTTTCCGGGTTAATTTGTTGGATAACTGCGTTTTTGAAATTCCCTGATAAGTTTGTGAGACACTGCAAATAGCATGGCACCAATTTTGAAATAAAGAAGCTGGCATCAACAATATTGGTTTCATGGAAAGATTTTGTAACAAATATAAGACTCTTCAATACTATTTTGTGCAATCTGATTAAATTGTCACATAATTCTCCATAATCCTTGATCAGTTGCTGTTGGTTATCAATTACTAATATGTTCCTTAGTAACAAGATAAATCCTCTGAGAAGCCGTAGCTTTGTGGTGAGATTTATATCATCTGCCAGAATACTGTGACTATTTTCGATAACCCCTTCAATTTTTTCGAAAACCTCCGGATTTTGGGAGATAAACTGGTTTCTCAATTCCTGATTATCTAGATCAGAAGTGGCACCGATCAATCTGGCTAACTCTTGGAAATGGCGTGCAAAATGGCCATCTTGTAAGTCACCACCAAGGAAATCCTCGGAGGTTTCTTTTGCAAGGTCATCAAAAATTTTAATCCAGTCAATGGCCATTATTTTTTCTGTGGTTCTTTATATATAGTGTTTTCCTCTTTTGAAGGACGCTGTGAGCCAATAGTTTTTTCAAAAAAAATGAAACTACAAAAAAATACATACAATCTAACTTCTCACCTCTGGAATTATATTAACAATTGACAAGGCAACACAATGATTCCTTCTAAGTGCATTTTCCAGAGGTCCTCAAGCAGCATTAATATTACAAATTTAATGAAAACTTTGCCTAAATCCACCGGAAATGGGCCTTTTGCAGCCAGTATGTACCTCAGCTCATCTTGTGATACCCTGGGACGGATCCCAATTTTACTAACCTTCCCTATCAAGGCCCTAAAATACGAGCAATCGGATCTCAATCAGAACTAAGCAGTCAGCCAATAAATTTGATCTCTTTACCGTCAAACTCCTTGATCAATTTCACCGGTTCAGTAGTATCGATCTTCACACCTTCTTCACAAAATAAGTTTTCTATATCAAACAACAATAACAATAGCCACACTGGGTCCAAAAAGCTTGTTACGCAAGTTCCGGTCTCACTTGTGGTTAATATTGGTTCCTTGACGTATCGAAACCTAGCGACAATAACTGCAGCAAAAAATGGCACTGAAAAAGTCAATGATGGCTGGCAAACATGGGAGATCTTTGCCCAACAAAACATGGTCGGCCATAAACAAAACACCCCCAATGATTATGAAATAATGTTAGGCTATGACTCGCTGGTACAGTTGGGGGACAAAGAAAGCATTTTCATTGATAAAAAATCGTTGATTGCTATTGGTTTATCTTCAGGTGCGCGTTTTGAAATTGTGATTCTGAAGATTTGGAGAAGCATCTTCATGATGAATCTTAGCAGAAGCATTAATGGACTGTGGAGAAAATATTCTAGCTGGAAAATATGGAAGATTGGATCAAAGGCTTTTGGAAGCTTATACGGTCAAATACCTGTCATTCTAAATGCAAAGGATAAAGAAGTTGTAGGAAACTATTACCAAAACTTCAAAGCCAAATGCATCATTGGCGTATTATGGATAAGATCAAGTTTAAGAATCAAAAGAGATCCATTGGTGAAAATTACAGGCCCAGCTACAGTATTGGTGAAGAAATAAAATAATACATAATATTAATTAGGTCAGGCTATTGAGAGTAATGAAAAAAAATTATTCATTAATACACTTTTGTTTTTCATACAGAGTACGATAATATAAATGTACTGATATCAATTTTGGTTTTCTTTTGGAACTTCGACTATCGCAAAGAAGTCAACAGTACTTCCAGTTTCAATGTCTTGTAAACATAAAGCATCTTTCTTAAAAGCATTCTTATAGTGTCCTTTGTGATATAAATGACCACCGCCGCCAACCATCGTGTACTTACCACGGTTAACAAATTCTTGGGCCATCACATTCATTTTATCAATCAAGAATCCAACGGTACTTCCGAGTTCCGGGTCTTCATAGTCATAATCGTCAGGACCAAATTCAATGTGATAAGTCAAAGGTTTTTCGAGTAAACATTTATTCTGGTCAGGGCTTTTGAAGTCAATCGAGTCATTTTCTAGCAAGTTCACATTGACGTAAACATGGGCACAATGCACTGGTTTCTCTTGGAAAAATTGCAAAACAGGGTCCTTCCACCAGTTAAGTTTAATACCAATCGTCAATATAGTTTCGTAAATTATGAGCACTACCAAGATCACGATGAATAACTTGGTTATCCAGGTTCCCAGCCCCATTGTCAAATGATCATTACCAAATGGAAGGTATTTCAGCATGTAATGAGTGAAGACATCATCTGTATGAATTAGGCAATCTTTGAATTCCTGCAACATCATTAATAACCTGTATTTTTGAGCCGCTCAAGCAATCAGTTCATAACGATCATGATGGAAAAATTGATGATTTTGATACATCAAGGCGGTACTATGTGCCCTGCGCAAGCATAAGGGTGCAAGTTAAGTTATTGTGGTGCAAAACCAATCAATATTACTTACTCTGGAGATTGCAATAATGTGCTATTGAGTGTGCAAAGAACTAATATCTGTTGAGAGTAGGTACCTTGTTACTTAGTTATTATTGTCTACACCCAGATATAACTAAGTATTTAAGAGAATCGCTCAGGCGGCTACGTTCAATATAGTAAAACCTCATTAAAAGAGAACAAATCCAAAAGTTGTATTAACTAACTCATAAAAAATAATCGCTCTGAAGCACTGAGCATTTTTTTTTCAAGAAAAAAAAATTATAATTTCAGTTATAAATAACACTTTCACCAGCCAATGCTGAGCATTCGGCAATCAATTTTAAGTATTCCTTCAATCTGTTTGTTCTTTGGAAATACTTGGTGAAATTGTATCGAGAGCTTGCAACCATAGTACTCATATTGATTGCCTGCTTCAAGAAATTTCCACTTTCTTTACCAATTTTGTTCAAGATGTCTCCAGAAGCACCAGGGAAATCACAGAATCTAGAATTCACAAGCATTTTGTGGAAACTAATAATGAAATATGGAACATATAAACTTTTGAATAATTCGTTGGTCTCAAGATCTGCACTGATCGTAAGATTCATCAAATTTTCACGGATCAAAGTTTTCAAAGGACTAAAGTATAGCTTGTTTAATTCGTCCTTCACAATCTGGTTCCTCCACTTGGCCAATTCAATATTATTGTAAAGATTCACCTTTGCTGGATTCAAGTTGTTACCGATGAGATATTCTTCATAGCCATAGACATTAATGAATCCTTCCTTAATCAATTTAAGGAAATTGAACAAATGTGTTCTATTAGTTTGGTAAACTTCACTGAATCTCACATCAGCATCGGATAGCGCAATCTTGATATCATCCGTGTCACTATTATCATTATTGCTCTCTGTATCACTACCATTACCAAGTTTGGCATTGAATATCTCAACTTCAACATCAGCTTGCTTAATTATTTCACTAAAGTTATAGCTTTTGTAAAATTCAATCATAGATCTGATCTTACCACTAAGCAAAAAGTTGGTGAAAATTTGGACGATATATGCTATGGCAACATGGTTCATGTTTGAATACTCAAGTAACCATTCAATACTAGTATAATAAATCTTATCAATATCAGTCACCACATCATCATTAACCATAACTGAACCGGATTTCTTTTTGATGTTATTAACGAATGACATGTAGTAATTATTGTATTTGTTAATGATTATGTTCACGGTGTCTATCAAAATTTCTCTCAACCCTATTAATTCCAAGTGTTGGCAAGCTTTGATTTGTTCAATTCTGTTTTCCCTTTTGATCAATTTTGATAAATAATATGAGTAAATCTTTCTGAATTCAATAGATTGTTCTTCATTAAAGACTGGGAGCAACTTCATATAGACTGGAATTAAGCGGTAATTGCATTTTTTGAAGGTTCTTTTCAAATATAATTTTATTAATGCTGTCAAATTTTCATCGGTGACACTACTGAAGTCATTAATAAATCTAAGATAGATTGCCAAGTGAACTAAGACTCTCAATAGATAAGTGTTTTGATTATCATAGTGAGGGTCGGTGGCTAAAATTCCTTCCAATTCTTCGGCCGATTCCTCATAATCACCATCTTGATCACTATAGGTAATTTGACTATAATCAGTAAGATCAGTTATGTCGTCATCTAAATCACTATAAATGTCTCCGGAAGTAGTTGCATTCAAAACTTTAGAGTTCCATTCTTGATTCAAGAAACTGGAAATGGTGCTTGCCACGTTACCTAGCATTAGGGAGCCCATTAACTTTCTCAAACTATTTTCACTAGCTTCCTTGAGTCCCGGCAACATGGATAAATCAAGAAGAATATCATTAATGGATTTGATATTAGATAATTCTGGTACCAGGAGAGGTTGTGGATCATCAACTTTTTGGATGTCTATCAAATAGTTCTCCAAAGTCTTTGTTAGGAAACCATTCAAGTACACTAATAAAGAAGTTTCCCAGTCATCACGGTTTAATTGTAAATTTTTCTCTATACCTCCACTGAGATATTCGAATAAGCATTTTTCGTATTCATTGTCAGATTTCGAATATTGACTTAATTTGAAACAGTTTCTTCTCCAAAGATATTTCTCCTTAATACCTTGTGGGACATCATCAGTATCAGCATCCTCATCAACTACTGGATCTGAATATTGTGTCAATCCTTGTAGGATCATATAGTGTGTCCAATTATTAGTTTCCTCACATAATTCTAATGCCCCCACATGATTACTTGTCAACACCAAGAAGTACAATTTCTTGAAAAAGCTCAAATCATTCTCCATATCTTTCGGATCTATTAGTTTATTTTGTCTGATAATAGCATCATAATCTAATTTGTTGACCATCCATGGTTTGCTGTTGGATTGGGATGCATAAAATTTGGAGATGTTATTCTCTTGCAATGCTAATTTTGTATTCAACCACTTGTTACTGTCTTTAGGGGCTTGATCGAGTTCTAAATTCATCAAATTGCGCTTGATCCAATTTATTATTGTCCATATTTCTTGCAATTCTTTGTTATTGTCCATGAAATTATCTAAAAATGAATAATTGGAATTGAATTTTTTGGATAATGATTGAGAGATATCCATGGCAGAGTCCTCATAATTGTCCATTCTCGTCTCCATTAACAGGCCAGCAAGGTCCCATAATTTCGTTTCAAGATTAAAGCTTTTGTTTAGCGATTCTTGTTGAAGTAATTTGACATCAAAGAGACTCGTGATTCTTGCAAATATTTGTGGGAGGCCAATGCTTTGATCATGCAGAAGAAGTTGGCTGTATAGCAGTTCACCAAACTCCTCGTCGATTGATTTTACGTTAGTCGGAATCAAAGCCATTGTGATCTATTTGGCTTTATGTTCATTTGTGTTTGATTTTTTACTGTTAGTAGTCTTTGGATGTGTTTATTTTTTTTTAAAGGAAAAAAGAAAATTTCCTCGCTGAAAAAAAAGGTGCGCGAAGCAGGGTTATGAGCATCGCACAAGATAGTCGTTATCATTCAGCGACAATAATAATCTGGGTTAGTTTTGTTGGAATGTTCCCACATTGTTTTCTTATTATTTTTATCTATTGGGTAAAACTGCTCATCTGGGATAAGCTATTGCGACGGTGGGATAACTAGAAAATATAGACCCAACCCCTCAAATATATTGCTGTCATCTATTTCTCCATTTTGAATTCCTTATATGCCGTAGAAATGCTAAAATGCACCAATTGCGCAAGTTTTATTATTTTATATTTATATCATGATCTCCGAATATTTTCCACAGGAGTGCTGTTATGACTATAAAAGGCATTCTTGAAGTTAATCAATACAAAAATTCGCTACTTATAGTAACCATAAAGCAGGAATGAGTAAAAAGCCTGTATATCAAATACTAGATTCATGATCCCGTAGTTAATATTCTTTAGAAGTACCGAGGAAGGCATAGATGCTACAACGAAGTTGTAACGCATATGGGATATTATGTTTTATAAGCACTATCGCCAATGAAAATATTCTACGCCACGAAACTCTCAGCATGAATTTTAAAAATAATTTTTGCTTTGCTTTCTATTATATTATATTATAAATTCCTAGTTAAATGGTGCAAAATGAACAAAAGCAAAGACTAATTCAAAGAAGATGCCTTTTCATACAACAAATCAACCACAGTATTCATTTCTTGAACCAAGGACAAACCATGGTCATAGTTTGGATCTTTCTTTGGTTCATCATAAATGTACAACCAGCCATTACCTTGGTCCAATACCCCATAAAACACCCCATCCAAAATCATTTGTGACAATTTGCTTTCAATCAATTTCGAATCTAATTTTATCTGTTGAGAAATGTAGGATATTTCAACCACAGAATAAGGTTTGATGATTTTCAACAAATTTTGTTCCAATAAGTTGTTGTAGAGAATCTTGAAGTGTGATTTAATAATTAAATCAGAAGAAAGTTCATTATTGTATTTGATGAGCACTTGCTGGAATTCATTGAGTGATTTATTTTCATAAGATTTGGAAATCAACTTCATTGGTTCAAATTCTGAGCTCTTGTATTTCCTATTCTTGGTAATGTTATTGACTATAGATTTGTTGTTAAGTAACTGAGTGATCTCATCTGGTTTGTCCAACATAATCTTAGTGAGGATCATGTATTTGAGTAACTTGATGGAACTTTCATAATCATTTGAATTATTGAAACTTTCGAAGGATTCATAAAAGTAACTGAAGGCTGTTTCATAATCGCCATCTTCACAGTGCAAAATACCAGACATTAAATCTAATTCGGCCTGCACCTTACTTGAAGTATACACTGAGTTAGCGCTGGTTTTGGCGCTGGTCAACGAAGCCTTCGATTTAGCATAGTTTCTCAATTCAAAGTAGACCTTGGATTCTAACAATTGAACTTCAATCAATGATGATTTATCATCTAATTTTTTGAATTCTCTCAACAAATTATTAATAATCTTTAGACAATCAGGATAGGATTTTCTTCTGTAGTATACAGAAGCCATCTTTAACTGTAATGATTGTCTCAAGAAAGATTTTTTCTCGGTGATTGCCCATTCAATAGACTCATCTATAGCTTTTTTTTCTAAGGATTGGACTTCAGTGCCGTAAACAGGTATGGCTGAAAATTTGTCGATCAAGTCCTTCAAAATCTTACCCACTTTGGCCTTAGAGACTTTGCTAAACAAGTCTCTAGATTTTGATACTAACTCATAGAGGTCTTGAACTTTGTTGGCTTTAACGTAAATGGCAGCCAATTTTCCAACGGACGCCTCTTTATCTTGAACAGTGGAGTCTTTGGAATCAAATGCCACAACCTGGTAAAGATTTTCGGCTTTATTAATTTGATCGGCTTCATAAGCCAAGTCTGCTTCTTTTAATTGACTCGACATCGTGTAATTTTCAATTACGAGAATATTAGTTGGAGCTACTGGTTGGTGGCGAACCAGCACTGTTGATGGTGTTTGCAATAGTTCGACAGTTTTTTGCCACATTATGGGGAGAGTACATAGGGTAACGACGTGTGACAACCAAAAAAAAAAAAAAAGAAGAGCAGCGCACTGCAAGTAAGTGTCTATTTGATATATAAGATAACCTATAATGAATTGATAAAATTATAATAACAGCAACCAAAATAACAATAACAACAATCATAATAACAATATTATTGACCCAAAGAACCGTCAATAAGGTCAATTCCACTGATAAATAACTTTTTCTTTTTTTTTCTTTTCTATTCTCGCTATAAAACGCAATCATGTCATACGATGTTGAGGAAGATAACAATCCTTTTGCTAGTGGATTAGACCAAATGGACTTCCCTTATCAGAAGAATGGGCACCAAGATAAAAGTGATAACAAGGACCAGTCTTCCAACAAAGGTGGCTCTGCCATCCCGAAAAATAGGAAAGATAAAATATCTATAATTGATGCTAATAAGACAAATGACGGACATAGTACTGGTGGGTATATCACTTACACCATATCATACAATAACACATTGATTAGACGTCGTTACAGGGAATTTGAATCTTTAAGGAACTCTTTAGTGGCTTTGTTTCCAACCATCATTGTGCCACCAATACCTACCAAACAGAAATTGGGTGACATTATATCCAGCGCAACTTCTGCAACCACCTCGAAGGCGTCAAATACAACCTCTCATATGCTTTCAGTTAATCAATCCACTCACAATCTTGAAAATCTATCGAACCATTTAGAGCCGATTAATATTATTGACCACCGAAAAAGAATGCTCTCAATATTCTTGAATAGATGCCTTCGGATATCTAAAATTGAGGATTGTGAGGCATTTAGGTGTTTTCTTAATCCAAACTTGAATTGGAACGATGTTCTCGAACAGCCTCCTCTTTCAGTTATACCCAAGAATTCTCTACAATGTGATCCAATTCATCCTGAAAAGTCCACATATTTGCATACTATCATGCCTATTCCAAACCTGTTATCTCAATCTACCACATCTGCAATCCATATGCTACGAAATGTAGCTACAAATCAAGAAGTAAAAGAAGAAACTGAAGAAGATCAAGAGTTGAGCTCGAAAACTATTGAAAATAGTGTCATGAGTGAACTTGATAAAGTCGATAAAAAATGCAGCAAATACATTGCAGACCTTTCTAATATATCTTCGGAATTAGGGATTTTGTTCAATGCGTTTTCCTTACAAGAAATTGATTCTGTTCAAGCAAATCATCTTGAAAAAGTTTCAACAATTTATGATCAAAACTATTTGAACTTGGAAATTTTATACAAGTCATTGTACCTCAACTACACTGAGCCATTGCTTGAAATTCTACAATTTACAGTTATCACTAGAAAGTTGATTAAGTTCAAAAATAAGAAATATGCGCAATTGAAAATGATTGATGATGAGCTCGCTAGAAAGGAGAAAAGTTTAAAGAATCTGACAGTGGGATATAGCAATTGGGATAACCCCAAGCTTAATAATGCTATTTCCAAGATTGATCTAGCAGATAAATCAAAAAGCTCTTCAGAACAACAGAAGGTTGTCACTCAAAAGTTCAAGATTCCAGGGGTTAACAAATTGGCATCAGTCTTCAAGGAGCATGTATATGATAATGATCCAGTGAAGACTCACAAGGATAAGGTCAACAAACTAATCTTTGATATTAATCAATTGAAGGAAATGAAGAAACTAGCGGTAAAAGATTTTGGACTTTTGGAGACGGAAATAAACCAAGAGCTCTTAAAGTATGAGAAATTCTTCAAAATGATCGAGTTCAAGAAATTGCTATTGAAATTAGTGCAGAATGTGCTTGAGTATGCGCGTAAGAACCTTGAAAACTGGAAGGAGTTTGACAAAGTGATATCTAAATGAAGTAGTATAGTGTGTGTGGCAATAAATTAATATATATATATATATATATATGGTAATTGTATGGTGTTGTTTATCTATTTGTAGCTTATCAGTAGTAGTCAGTATTGGTGATTACCCGCCTTTTTTAAGACACCCCCCGCGTCCGGGCGACTGTTTTGGTTCTCTGAAATTTTCCACATCGTCCACTTTTTTCAAGGAAAAAAAAAAGGTCGACTTTTGCTTCCAACTTGGCTCCTTTTCAACACCTATCAATTCTTGAAACACACCCAAAGCAATTGTTATTATTTCATTTTTCCTCTGCAAGCTATTTCACGCGCTCATAAAATCATTAATTAGTCGTTGCATCTAAGCTAGCCCTTTCTTCAATTTGCCTCTTTTGAAACCATCACTACAGTGTTTTTTGCATCTTTAAAGAAAGTCCATCTACGCCACCTGCACACCTGTTCGCTTGACCAGCCTGTGAGAAGTAAATAATATCAATATATCAATAATAACACAACAATAATATGTCAGAACGCACATCAAGAGCCCCTAGAGGAGGCGCCCCTAAGAGGGGAGGATTCAGAAATTACTCTCGAAAGTTCAACAGCGGCTCCAATGCTGGTTCAAAACTAAGCCCAGAAAATCAAAATAAATTGACTACATTGTCTGAAATGTTCTCAGATTGGTCCAAAGAAGATTTGCTTGACGCCCTTCAGGACAATAGCTTCGATCTTGAAGCCGTTATCTTGAAAATCGCCGACGGCGTGATAACCAAATGGGACGAAGTTAAGAAGCCTTCTGCCACAAAGAAACAACAAACCAAAGATGAACTCGAAAGCGCAAGCGCTCTTCAACAACCTTCATCTACACATCGCCGTGGCGGAGCTCCTAGGGAATCACGCTCTACAAAGGCTCCTAATAAATCGAAGGTGTTCAATGGCACGAAAAAGGCCCCAAAGGAATCTGCCGCTGCTGCTGTCACTACCGCCACCGCCACCACCACCACCAGCGCTACCGCATCAACATTAACAACCGAAACTACCACAGCATCACAGGAAACCACAGCCTCCGCTCCAGTGGAAAAGCAAGAACCTGTTCCTGTTAAATCATCGTGGGCAAGCAAATTATCGAAATCAAAAACTGTTGTCAAGCAAGTCCCAGTAGCAAAACCACAAGAGGAAGTAGTTGAAGAAGAAATAATTATTGAAGAAGAAATTGCACAGGAAGAAGTGCCAGCTGTCATAAGCGAAGAACCCGAACATGAAGAGGAAGAAGTTAAGCCACTACCAAAACAACAACAACAACCAAAGCCAAAGAGCTCTAGCTGGGCATCAATCGCAGCTAGCAAGGCTGCCGTAAAGAAGGTCGAAAAGCCAAAACCAAAGGAAGAAGCAAAGGAAGAAGTTAAACCACAAGAAACCCAACAAATTCTTGAAGTATCAGAAGAACAGCCTGAAGAGCCAATCGTTGAAGCTGAAGCTGAAGTTCCAGTTGAACCAAAGGAAGTTGAAATTGAAGAACCAAAGGCTATTGACGAACTCATTGATGCCGAGATTAGTGAACCAATTCCAGAACCTGAACAAGAAATTCCGGAATCTATCGCCCCAATTAACAGTGCTGTTGTCGCCGAAGCTACCACTGCTGTTCCAACCCAACCACAACAATCTCTTCGTTTCCCACGTAGATTGAACCAAGACGCTCCTGTTGTTTTGCCAAATGCTGCTTCCCAAATTGGTTCCATTGGTATCTCTTTTGGATCACTCGGATTGAGTGATCAGCCATCAACTGCTTCCACCAGCACCCCAACTGCCCCACAAGCTCAACAAGCTGCTCCAGCTCCACAAACTCAGCAAGCTCCACAACATGCTGCTAATCAACAACAACCTCAATCCACCCAACAATCACAACAACCTCAACAACCTCGTCAACAATACCAACAACGTCAACATTATCAAGGCTATTACCCACCTCAAGGTTCCCAACCTTCTGCTCCTCAACAATCTCAACCACAACGTCAACAACAATACAACCACTTTTTCCAACAACAACAGCAACAACAACAGCAGCAACAACAACAACAACAACAACAGCAACAACAACAACAACAACATCATCATCAACAACAACAGCCAGCTCAAACCCAATTCGGTGAACAACAACAAAAGTATGATTTCTACGGTTATCAAAGCCACATGCCTAGCTACAACTACGGTACTGACTACTCCGCTTATGACACTCGCTCTTACAACTTTCAACAATTGAACAATGGTGCCATCAACAGTAGTGCTGCCGGTTCTCAAAGCTCTCCATTGGTTAGTAACAATACCGCCCTCAGAAACCAAAATGTTAATGGTGCTTACGATCCAGCTGGAGCAGCTGCTGCTGCACAACAAGCCCAATATGGTAACCCATCTATCCCTAACCCAGCTGCAGTTGATGGCTCTTCCATTCCACCAATTGGTGGTGCTTCTGCTGGCGCAGTTGGTCTTCCAGGCTCTACTGTTCAACCAGGTACTGCCACTGGTGGTGCCCCAGCTGGTGGTGCTCCAAACTACGGTCAATTTTACCTGTACTATTACCCACCAAACTACTACTTTCAGCAACAATACCAATCCTATCCTCAACAACAACAGCAACAACCTAAGGGTTTTAACTACTACCAAGGTGTGCCACAACAAGGTGTTCAACAACAAGGCCAACAACAGGGTCAACAACAGGGTCAACAAGAGCTCAGTAGCAGTGGTACTGCCGCTCAACAAGAACTCGGTAGCCAACAAACTCAAGGTCAACAGCAAGGCCAACAACAAGGCCAACAAGGTCAACAAGGACCAGCTGGTCAACAGCAATTCTATGGTCACCAACAAACCCAAGCCCCTTACGGTCAATTCGGACAATATCCAGAGTACACTAGACCTAGTGGCGCTTGGTATTAAGTGGTGCTTTTACTGTAAATTGCACATTTGATGAATGTTGACGAGTATTTCTCTTTGTTTCTCTATTATTTTTTTCATTATTGTTGTTTTTCTAACTTGTAATTTCTTGAGTATTTTTTTTCACTTTTCCTTTTTTTTTTCTTCCATTTTCTTTAAATTAGTTAGCTGCTAAGTTGAGCTACGAATCGGTTATTTAATTGACACATTTAAATCTATTGCTATTGTAAATGATCGGTCATGTTTTATCCCACGCGATTTTGGGGTGATTTATCATGCAGTGCGTGCGCAAAGAGAAGACAAAAATTGAGTCATAACGGTGAACTTGAACGAGAAAAATTTCAAAATCAGCATTTATTAGCATCTCTTCCTGGTTCACAAGTATCAAGAGTTTGTTTCATCTGTTCACGGATATGCTTAGAACCAGATTGTCCCTTGCGAGTAAAAGATTGGCTGGGTCTTCATTGGCCAGTAGACGTAGTTGGTGTGCTGCTTCTTCTGTTATCAATGCTGCTTCCCCTATTATCAACAAGCCAAATGTGAATATCAAGAATTACTCGACCCGTTCTACGGTAGTCCAACTCTTGAATAACATTGGTTCTAAACGTGAAGTTGAGCAATACCTCAAGTTTTTCACATCTGTGTCTTCTCAACAGTTCGCGGTCATCAAAGTAGGTGGTGCAATTATCACCCAACAACTTGATGAGTTAGCTTCTTGTTTGGCGTTCTTATACCATATTGGATTGTATCCTATTGTTTTGCACGGCACTGGTCCACAAATTAATCAGATCCTTGAAGCTGAAGGTATTGAACCAGACTATATCAATGGTATTCGTGTTACTGATGAAAGAACTATGGCTGTGGTTCGCCGTTGTTTCTTGCAACAAAACTTGAAGCTTGTCACTGCTCTTGAAAAATTGGGTGTTCATGCTAGACCAATTACTGGTGGTGTTTTCAAGGCTTCTTATTTGGACAAAGATAATTATAAATTGGTGGGTAAGATTGAATCCGTCAACAATTATCCTATTGAAGCCAGTATTGCCTCTGGCGCATTGCCAATTTTAACTTCTTTGGCAGAAACTCCATCTGGTCAAATCTTGAATGTTAATGCTGATGTTGCTGCAAGCGAATTAGCTAGAGTGTTTGAACCATTGAAAATTGTTTATCTCAGTGAAAAGGGTGGTATTACTAACCCAAACACTGGTGAAGTTTTGAGCGTTATTAACTTGGACCAAGAATACGAAGATTTGTTAAAAGAATCTTGGGTTAAATACGGTACTAAATTGAAGATTACTCAAATTAAGGAATTGTTGGACTTCTTGCCTCGTTCTTCTTCAGTTGCCATCATTGATGTCAACGAGCTTCAAAAAGAATTATTCACTGATTCTGGTGCTGGTACTTTGATTAGAAGAGGTTACAAATTATTGACTTCTGAAAACTCTCTTGACACTTTCCAAAGTAAGTCTGATTTGTTGCGTGAAGCCCTTGGCCAATGTGAGGAATTCCAAGCTGGATTCAACAGTGTTTCTAACTACCTCAAGAAGCTTCAATCGATGAAGTTCAAAGTTTATGCTGATGAACCTTTGGAAGTTGTGGCCGTTATTTCCGGGACCGAAAACGCGGTCCCAAGTTTAGATAAATTCAACAGCTCCCAAAATGGCTGGTTGAACAATGTCACTGACAATATCTTTGCCGCTGTAAAGGATGATTTCAAATCATTACAATGGATTATTAGCGAAGATGATCCAAACTCTGCCTGGCACTTCAACAAGTCTGACGGTTCTTACCACAAGGATGGATACATTTTGTTCTGGTATGGTGTTAAGGAAGTTGAAACCGTGTCCCAAATGATAAAGGAATTTGAAACTAAGGTCGGTGAGCTTAACGTTGCGAAATCTTTGAAATACAATAGCTCCGTTTCTGGTAATAGTGCCAACGGTTTCAAGAATGTTATTCAATCACGTTCTTACTCCACTTTTGCCAAGAGATCTCCATTTACAATGGCTAAGAGAGGTTATGCTACCGAATCTAACCCGAACCCTCCATTGCGTCATGGTTCCAACACAAAGAAGTCCAAGGTCGCCATCATCGGTGCCAGAGGTTACACTGGTCAAAATTTGATCTCTATGATTGATGCTCACCCATACTTGGAACTTACACATGTTTCTTCCAGAGAATTGCAAGGTAAACCACTCAAGGGTTACACCAAGTCTGATTTAGTTTATGACAATTTACAAATTGAAGATATCAAGAGACTTGAAGAAAACAACGAAGTTGATGTCTGGGTTATGGCTTTGCCAAATGGTGTTTGTAAACCATTTGTTCAAGCTATCGCTGATGCTGATTCTAATAAAAACTCCAAGATTATTGATTTGTCGGCTGACTACCGTTTCGACACCACCGGTGAATGGACTTATGGTTTGCCTGAACTTAATGACAGATCCAAGATTGCCATCTCTCGTAAGATTTCTAACCCAGGTTGTTATGCCACTGCTGCTCAAGTTGCCATTGCTCCAATCCTTGACTACGTCACTGGCACCCCAACGATATTTGGTGTTTCCGGTTATTCTGGTGCTGGTACTAAACCTTCTCCAAAGAACGATATCAACCATCTTTCCAATAACTTAATCCCTTACTCCTTAACTGATCACATTCACGAACGTGAAATCTCTCGTCGTTTGGGTGTCGATGTTGCTTTCACTCCACATGTCGCCCAATGGTTCCAAGGTATTACTCACACCATCTCTATTCCTATCAAGATCAACTCCTTGACCTCCCGTGACATTCGTAATTTGTACCAAGAACGTTACCAAGGTGAACAATTGGTTAGTATCAGTGGTGAAGCTCCTTTGGTCAAGGATATCAGCGGTAAGCACGGTGTTGTTGTTGGTGGGTTCGCAGTTAACAGCAAAGCTAACAGAGTTGTTGTTGTTGCTACTATCGATAACTTGTTGAAGGGTGCTGCCACTCAGTGTTTGCAAAATATTAACTTGGTTTGTAAATACGGTGAATACGAAGGTATTCCAGATGATTTGATCATTAGAGGTTAAAGCCATCAAAGTTATGAACTGTGAGCTTCTTTTTATTTCGAATTCTAACGAACTTTTATATTCCTTAAGGCCATTTTGCACGCAATTATTTTATTTTTTTTAATAGTTGTATTACATTTTACATTTTATCTCTTGATTTGAAATATTTCTAGTGTAGCCAGCGTGGCGTAATGTGTAAAAATAAAATATTATACAAATCTTTTCTCATTCAAGGCATTGACAATAATAATTCAACAGCCAAAAATTCTGAAAGACCTATTAATGAACAGTGTTGTAATAAAAGTATGGAAAATGAAAATTTTTCAGGCGGTAACTATGGACTGTCTAGTAAGATCTCTTCATTCAAATTGCTTCTCAAATTTAGTAGTCTTGTGCTTCTCCAATCTCGATACATACTATCATCACCCAGGGTATCATATACTGCAGTGTCGCGCAATATATTAGTTCTTGACTTCACTTTCTCTTTGATATCTTCCGCTGGCCTTTCCAATTCTTTATAATCAATTGGACCAAAGGATTCTGCTTCTTTCAATTTAGCAAAATCTATTTCCATATCATCATCAGTTCCAAGTGGTAAATTTTCCTTGTTCGGGTCCATAAAGAATATATTATCGGGTTCCTGACTTAATGCAAGCGACTTTCTTTTCTTCTTTGGTGGCTTAGTTATCTTAATTGAATTTAGTGGAACATTGTACCTTACTGAAGGAACAAAATTTCTGTTTGGTGACATTCTCTGCATGGGGCTTCTGCCATTCTGTTGGATGTAATTTTCAAACTTTGGTTTCTCAATCAATCCATTTTCTGGCAAGGAGGACATTTCTGATTTTTTGAAATTTTGGGGGGATATTGTTTGTTTTTTTATTATATTCTTAGCTCCGGAAATGGATATTGGCACAGAAATCGCGTAATTTAGTGGTTTTTTACTGTTTGGTGATCGTAAGGAATTAAATTTTGATGGAGATAATTTCATTGGTGAGAACTTTTTAGGTGTCATCTTCCTTGGTGATATTTTTTTATATCCAAATTTGAGTGGAGATTGCTTATTTGGCGACGACCTCTGTTGCAATCTATTTGGTGAAGACTTTGCGTGAAATCTAATTGGCGAGGATTTCGTGAGCAATCTATTTGGCGAAGGTCTGAGTTCAGGTTTTGTAGGCGAAATTTTTTTCAACATCCTTGATGGAGAAACCTTTCTCGTCTGCAATTTCTCATCCCTTACTGGGGAAAGTCTAACTGGTGATGTCCTTGATGGTGACTGTCTTTTAGAGTTATAATCAATAATTTTCTTTCCATTTAAAGACTCTGCCTCTTCCCGCACTTTGTTAAGTAATTCGTAATAATCCGAATTCTTTATTTTATCTTTAGTAGCATTGTCATATTCCATCAAGAAATTTTCAAGCTCCGAACAAACTTTAGGAAACCGTCTTTTAAGAGCTTTTCTCTTCTTTTCCTCTTGTAAAAGAAGTAATCCAGAATTTCTTGCCAATAATCGCGAAGGATTCTTCGAAGCCTCATCCAATTCCCTCTTGTCCGACAACAACACATTGAACTGGCCGATTCTATCGTACATTGGTGTGAAATTTGCCGTCAACTTTTGTAGATCTGATAGCCTGCTTTCCAAATAATCTAACGCCTCATCGGTATACTCATCTGAATAATAGAATTGCATCTTCAGTTTCTCTTCTTCCGTAAAATATAAATTTTGCCATATTTTTTCGATATCTACTTTCACGAAATCAATAATATCTTTCATGTAGTACTTCTTCTTCTCTTTGAGTTTCTCAACTTCTAACTTGAGTGCTTGAAGTTGCCTTGAAGATAAATCGTTTTCAATGTCATATTTATGGTCAAATTCTTCAACGATCTCTGGATTTTCCTTCAATATTTCAAACAACGCATGACATTCATCTAAACATGATTGAAGATCTTTCTTTCTTTGCTGTTTCTCTTTGAGTAAATTATTATATGTTTCATTCAAATAGCTTAAGCTTGAGAGTTTTAATCCAATTTCAGTTGTATCACCTTCCGAGCATTTGATAATTTTTCTATCAAAGTTGTCCTCGCTGCCCTCGTCTAAATTGTATAGCGTTCTCCATAATTCCATGATGTTATTGGCACATTCAATGGCTATTTCAAAAATTCTTTCCTTTTCAATCTCAACCAATTCGACCTGATATTGGATTCTATTTAAATATGTCTTTGATAAGTTATTGAAGTTATTTGCTTTCACTATTGCAGTCACAACTTTATAAATCATGTCAATATTGGATTCACTCCCAGAAACCTTTTCTAATTCACGAACGCACACTTTACATTGCTCAATTGTTGGTAAAGACTCAAAAAACTTTATCGATGATTGATCCACCCCTGGTCTATTTTCACAATAAAAATCGATTTCATCAGCGTACTCCTTAAGGAGCATAACTATTCTCAAAAATTTCAAAAGTCTTGAAAAATATTCCTTTGCTAGCAATTTTGCAACCAATGTGAGGTACGAAAGACATTCATTGTATGGTGGCAATATCTTTTGTACAATATATTCTTTGGTATATTTGTCAGGAATCGCTTTCATTATATCGTTGAACTCATCCTCATTAGTGAAGATTTGATTGATCTCTGTATAAGTTTCATCAGATATCTCTGAAGATTCATCACTGGGGCTTCTTCTAACGCTTGTTCTATAGCCGCTCTTCGAGAATATCCTCAATATTTTGAATATTTGTTTCTGCAATGAAACACAATTGTTTTTCAACACGGTTTTTTCATTCCTTACCGTCTCTGATATTTCATTCAACTTATCATATAGACCAGTGAGCAAGCACATTTGCTTCTTCTTCCTCTCACCCTCCTTAACGCCGATCTCATTGAGTTCCGAATTTATTGTTGTCCACGTCGAACGTACTTTTGTGAGAATGGAATCTATCAGACTTTGATCTATTGTGTGAAGTGAAGGCTCTGTTGATGACTGTCGATCTGTGTTTACTTCGGCCGTATTCTTCGGCAAAGAGACGTCCTCCAAACTAGAGACCTTATAACCTGGCACCTCGGAAGTCATTATGTATATGCATATAATATATAGCAAGGGAATACCAAACGACTAACCAGTAGGAGATGTTCGAATTATCGGGGCCTACTTTGTGGTTGTGTTGTGTTTGTTTGTTTGTTTATTGTAAAGGACCCAAAAATAAACAAACAATATTCAAAATAAAAAATAAAAAAAAAAAGTAAACAACCGTGCTGCTGGTACTAACCGAGTCTAACAGTGGGAGACCAAGCTGGTAGCGTTTATATAATCTCTACAGTAATGGAGTAAAAATTATTACACTTATTAGGTTTTTAGATCTCGACTAAATACTGTCTGGTTGCGCTAGCACATAGTTTTCGGTTCTGACTATCCAATACAGCTACTAACTATACACCAGTAGATCGCAATCCTCGCAGGAGAAAAAAGTCGGGAAAATTTTGTAGGCCATCGCGCCTTGAGAGTCATCAAAAAGAGCCCATGAAGTAGTTAAAAACTCAAATATGGATAGTGGTGATATTACTGGGGAAACTAATGAAGAACTCAGCAATCTTGCCTCTCTTGATGTGAATTTGGTTCAGCAGGAGGATTTGGAAAAGGATCTAAATGCAAAGTTGACAAGAACCATTGCTCACAATGAAGATGAGGTGGATCAAAAGCGATTAGCGAAAGCTGAGAAGAAGTTAGGGGTCTATTATGGTAAACTAGACGCTCTTAAAAACAGAATCCAAAACCCATACACTAAAATCTCTGAAAAAAATTACATGCAGAAACAAATCAAAGATATGGAGATGAGAGAAATAGCGGATATAACAAATGACATAAATGATATCAAGGCAAGAATTCAGCAAAGAAAAGAAGAAATCAGGGGACTAGACGATAATACTGATGTTTTAGGACATTCACATGAAGGGCGAATGGCCAATGAAACTGAAAAAGACTATTTAGTGAGAACTGGGAAGATCACCGCGTTTGGTAACTCAAGCTCGTTTCATTTTGGAACAACAGAATCCCCAGAAATAGTTACATCAACAGTATCAAAATCTTCTATTCAAGAGCAAGAATCTGATGAAAACAAAAGGAATCATGATTTGGTTAATTCTAATGTTCATGATGGTATGGATGAGGATGAATATATTGCTTCGGAGGAAATAGAAGACGAGGAGGAACAAGGCGACGATTCAGACTTTGAACTTTCGGATGTTGAGATGGCCTCTTCAAGAAAACGCAAACGAGGTAAACTCATTAGCAAAAAGCAGGAAATGGAGGAGGAGGAGGAGGAGGAGGAGGAGGAAGAAGAAGAAGAAGAAGGTCTACCTAACCTTGATGATGGTGACGATAGTCATTATAAAAAAAGAATCAGTAAATGGGTTGATAATCGTTCCAATTATAGAAAATCAAAAGGTGTAGAAAATAGGTACAATGAAGAAGAGTGGTTTTTGCCAAATCTTGATTACAAAGATGCTGTTCTCAACGAAAATTTCAAGGTGCCTGGTGAGCTTTTCCGAAGACTCTTTGATTATCAAAAGACTTGTGTCCAGTGGCTTTGGGAACTTTATTCACAGAAAGTCGGGGGCATTATTGGTGATGAGATGGGTTTAGGCAAAACAATTCAGATAATTTCCTTTTTGGCAGCCTTGCATTATAGTAAAAGGATCAATAGACCAATTTTGATTGTTTGCCCTTCAACAGTAATGAAGCAATGGGTCAATGAGTTCCATAGCTGGTGGGCTCCTTTCAGAGTGTCAATCTTGCACTCTATTGGTTCAGGTATGCAGCCTAGAAAGAAAAAAGATATTGACAGTGAATTATATGAACTTATAGAAGAAGATGATGAAGATAAAAAGATCAAGAAATCTTTGTCTTCGAAGAAGCTGCGCGCTTTGACAAAAAATTTACTTGAAAAGGCATTCAACTCAAATGATCCTGGACGTCAAGTTATTGTCACAACATTCGCTGGCTTAAAAATATATTCCGAATTATTATTAAAAAAGATGTGGGGGTACGCGGTACTTGATGAAGGTCACAAAATCCGTAATCCCAATGCTGAAGTATCATTATGCGCTAAAAGATTAAGAACGCCTCACAGAATTATTTTATCGGGGACTCCTATCCAAAACAACCTTACGGAGCTTTGGAGTTTATTTGACTTTGTTTATCCCGGCAAGTTGGGCACCTTGCCTGTATTTCAACAGGAATTTGTCGTTCCCATCAATATGGGTGGCTATGCAAACGCATCGAATGTTCAAGTCCAAACCTCTTTAAAATGTGCAGTGGCATTAAAGAACATGATAAGTCCTTATTTGCTTAGAAGATTGAAAGTGGATGTCGCTAAAGACTTGCCTAAAAAAACGGAAATGGTGTTGTTTTGTAAATTGACGAAATACCAGCAAGACAAGTACCTTAATTTCCTAAAATCTTCTACTGCAGAATCTATTTTGAATGGCAGAAAAAATGCTTTATATGGCATTGATATAATGAAGAAAATATGTAATCATCCCGATCTTTTGCTACTCAATGAAAAATATTTTAAAGGTAAAGCGGAAGAAGTTATTGGTGGTGATGATAATTATTCTGATGATAACAATTCATCGCATGAAGTAATCAAAAAGTCTTTTGGTGATCCTGCTTATTCGGGTAAAATGCAAGTTTTAAAGACTTTAGTTACTCTTTGGAAATCTGAAGGACATAAAATTTTATTATTCACCCAAACCAAACAAATGTTGAATATTTTAGAGACTTTTATTCAAAGATTGGGCACCGGTGATGATGTAATAAACTATTTGCGTATGGATGGATCAACTCCGATAAAGGCTAGACAGGAGTTGATGGATAGGTTCAACCATGATCCCACAATTCATATTTTTCTATTAACTACCAGAGTTGGCGGCTTAGGTGTTAATTTGACTGGGTCCGATAGAGTGATTATTTTTGATCCAGATTGGAATCCTTCTACTGATATCCAAGCTAGAGAGCGGTCTTGGAGATTGGGGCAAAAGAAGGACGTGACAATTTACAGATTGATGACAAAAGGTACCATTGAAGAAAAAATTTACCAAAGACAGATTTTCAAACAATTTTTAAGTAACAAGGTGTTGAAAGACCCTAATCAGCGCAGAGTTTTTAAGATGAACGAACTTAATGATTTGTTTACTTATGGTAATGAGGATGATGATGAAAATGGTGATGAATATTACAAGAATCCAAAACTTAATAATAGGTTGGAACCAAAAAAAACTAGTACTGATGATTTCACGAAAGTTGCAAAAATCACTGGTGTGGCGAAGCTAGAAAAATTTAACACTGGTGAAGGTCAAATCGAATACGACAATAAAAGTCGGTCTACCGGGAAAAAGAAACGGAAACCAGTGGACGAGGACAGAATTCTTGGTAGCCTTTTAGAAGGTTCTGGTATCAAAGCGAGTATTCAAACCGATGACGTGGAGGCATCTGCAATGGGCGCTAGTGATTCAATCATTCAGAAAGAAGCAGAGAAAATCGCTAATGATGCAGTTGAGTCGCTCGTAAAATCTAAAAAACTTGCGAGGAAAAATAAGATTGGAGTGCCAACTTGGACTGGAAGATTTGGGAGTGCCGGTAAAGTTGTGAAAGCTAGATCGGTCACGACAAGAGGAGTGAGGCTCGCTGGCAATTCCAAACTTGGTAAAAATGGTTTTACTAATGAATTTTCTTCGGCCTCCATTATGAAAAAATTGAGTGAACTCAAGCCTGAGCAACCAATTGAAGTGGTGAATTCATCACCTGAGATGAAACCCCCAATTGATTCCAGCTTACCGTTTACGTCTTCGATTTTGGAAAATAAAGAGAAAATTGTAGAAAGAGTGAGAATGATTCTCATTGGTAAAGACGGCTATTTTGCGAAGTCTAAAGAGCTTATTGGTGAGTTAAAACTCAACTTAACTAATGATTCCGACATCAGATTGGTGAGGTCGATCTTAAGACAGATTGCCGATTGGGATAAAACCAGAGCAGGTTGGATTTTAAAGGAGGACTTTAGAATCTTGTGATTTCTGTTTTATGTACTATACTCTTGTGTTTAAGAAAATTGTGACAATATTACTACATGATTATTATTATTATTATTATTATTATTATTATTATTATTATTAACATTATTATTAATATTATTATTATTTGACGTTGAAACTAATTGTACATAAAATTTTTGTTAGGAAATTGGGCTTCGAAATTTATTTTAATGAGCAACCTCTTCATTGGAATAAATAAGATGCAGCAAATTCTGCATTTCCGCCGGTGGCATCTAATGCCTTTATTACTTGGTCTCTCGTGAATCCCAATGAAACCAATTGATTGATCGTTGCATCGGTATATTTTCTGGAGGTACTAGTAGATGCAGGAGCAGCAGTTGTTACATCCAGTCTCGACAAAGCAGCATTTCCGGCTGCAGAGGAAGCCGCGCTAGGAGCTTCAGTAGTGACTTTTGCCTTCTTGGATGGAGCTGGGTTCTCAGCACTAAAAATATTGCCGCCCAAGCGTGATCCATTTGGAGCAAGAGAGCCAGGTAAATTTTCACCTGAATTAAACATACTCCTTGGAATTTGAGATTCTGGTAAGAACGAAGCTTCTGCATCACCAAGAACTAACTTATTATTCTTGAGATCAATGATGCCCTGGTGACGCTTTAACATATCGAGACCCAAGAGAAAATCTACGTTAGTATCTAGGATGGTGAATGAGCAAGGGAAGAAATACTTATCAATTTTGATAGTGGCAGAATGAATTTGTCCAATGATTTCGCCTGATCCGACACCAGCGGCAATTCCGCGGAAACGACGATCAATCAATCTTGAAATTCCACATTCCTCGGCCATCTTTTGTGACAAGATAGTACGTTGAGCCCCCGAATCCACAAAAGCTTTAACTTTGTGGCCATTAAGCTCAACATCAACATAAAGCATGCTGACGGTCGCAAAAGTCTCTGGGGAGTATTCGAGAGCGTTCCTCATATTCTCTTCAATTTGCTCTTGTTGAATCATTTCTAAGATTCTCTTCTGGTTCTCTGGATCATCAGGATCTCCATGGATGTTGGCTGAATTTACTGCATTTCCTTGAATGCCCTGGCGCATTAGTGATTTGAAAAATAACTTGAATTGTTCAGGTTCATTTAAAGTATCTAACATTTCTGGCGGGTACTGAGCTCTAATTTGTGGTTCATTTAAGAGTTGGCATCTAAGTTCCTCAATTCTTTGATCTTCCAAGGCGGCGGCACCCGCGTTATTAGTGGTAGTAGTTGAAGATGATGGACCATTAGCTGTGGCAGTGCTGGTGGAAATTAGTAATAGATCATTATCCTTGATTCCCAATTCCTCCAATGTCTTGGAAGTATCTTCTTCCGTGAACGTTTTCGAATTCAAAGAGAGTTTCCAATTTCCAGAAATGGCTGAATCTTCCGCTTCAAGATAAGCTCGTAAGTCCAAAAGAGACATATCGTTCGGGACATGGACGGAAAGGATTGTTTCGGTTTGCGCAATTGAAATGGAGATCTTCATAGTGCCTTTATTGTATCTTATATAATATTAATAGTCTTGGCTACTATTATGAAAGACTAAAGGAAGTGGCAAAACGTTTTAAAAAAAAAAGAAAAATAGAGCATCTGCGACCCGCCCAGATGGTACATCCCCGATTACCTCGAATTTTCAGCTCATCGCATTACCCCCCAACTTATCTAAAGAACTGTTTTGAAGTATGTTGGTTTTGATTAATAACTTGAGTAAGACAAAAATGGTATCTACCAGATCTATGACCAAATCCCGCTTGGTTGCCACGGAGGTTATTACCGCCATTTCTTCGGATACCAATAAGATAATAAGAAAGCGCACTATCAAAAAAGTTGCAGAACTGTCAACCAAGAAACGCAAAGTTATTTCCGAGAAGATTGTACAAATCAATGTTGTTCCAACTTCATCCGGTCCGTCTGAGACCACAATCAAACGATTGCAAGATAAATACATTTCCGACTTCGTCACTGCTGCTAAGCATGTACTTACTGTTGATCCAACTTTAGAGCCTTACATCCTCAACGCCAACCTCCCCTCATTCTCCAAATCTGAAGCTGAACCTTTCCAAGCTGCTGTTTCAGAATATAAGAAGGACAAAATTGATGGGAGAAAAGAATTGTTACAATACTTTTTTCTGGCTCTTTGTCGCGGGTTGATTGGGCAACAGGTTTCCGGTGCTGCTGCCAGATCTATCAAAATTAAAATTCAAAAACTTTACAAAGGGGAAGGTACCGAATTCCCTCCTCCAAAGTTCTTTGTGGAAGCTGCCCCAGAGGATCTAAGGGGAGCGGGTCTTAGTCTCAGAAAAGTGGAGTATATGAAGGGCACGGCTGAGGCCTTCATCAAGAATGATACTGAAGAGTTTGTTGATTTTATGCTCAATGGTGATAATCAAGCAATTATTGACAGACTTGTAGAGCTCAAAGGTATTGGTGAGTGGTCAGCCCAAATGTTTTTGATATTTGGAATGAAGAAATTGGATATTTTTGCCCCAGGGGATTTGGGGATTGCCAAAGGCGCTTCTTTGTACCTCAAGGACAGAGAAGATCTATTCGCCAAACTCAAGTCCACCGTAGAAATTGATCCCAAATATCCTTGCAAATGGACAAAAACCAAGTCTAAACCAAAGAGAACTTGGATTCCTATTCATGAACAGTACATGATTGCCGCTGCCGGTCAATTTGAGCCATATCGGCTGGTTTTTTCTTTGTTGATGTGGCAAGTGGCGCTGACGAATCTCGATGTCCTCAAGGAATGAGCACTGAGAAAATAATCTTCATTTATATATCTATTTAAATGGATTTATATACATATTTATATAGGCAAATGTATCACTAATATATCTGATATCCTTCACATGACAGGATTTTCCTGCACAAGGGCTGGTCATCCTATCCGGCCGCGCAGGAAAATTTTACCTTTGAGCAAAGAATATGTCTCCACCATAATCTTGCTCAAACACTATCCAAGTGAAAAACCAACCGACCATTGCCCAATTTATCCAAGTCAAAATCAACCTTAGTTCCCCAGATTTTTTTCCTCTTTTATTTCAAAGGTTTCACAAACCATAATTTTTGGCGCATTGCCCATCACTTTATTACTTAAAAAGGCTACGAGTTTTGGCACATCACAAGCCCCCTTTGTTACCGATCCACTTTTGCGTATAAGATTTAGCCATAATTATTCGCCATTAGAACAAACCAGACAAAAAGTCTGTATTTTCTGGTTTATTGAAAAAATACTTAATAATTTAATTGGCAGTGATATTGGATCCAACCTTGTACAAATAATATTTATCAATAAAGTTAGATTTCGGGAAAATTTGACATTTAAAGGTTGATCCAGTTGTTTTTTTTTTTTTAACTTGAATATTTAGGAAATATTAGGTATTCAACATCGGCCAAGTCTAAAGAACAAGAAAAAGAAAGGAAAAACAAAAAATAAAGAAGATGTCCTCCACTCCTCCTGATCCTGCTAGTCTAAGTAGTACTCCTCCTTCTCCCACATCTACTGAAAGCCGTCAACCCGACCCAGGCACTACATGGAGCGCAAATGAACCCTCTCAAGCACTTTTCTACTTGGCAATAGTTATCGGTGTTTTCATTGCCGTTCTATTTGTGTTCTTCTCCCTTCGTTATTTTGTCAGGGCTAAGATTGGAGTTCTTTTTTCTGGCTCTTCAAATTCGGATTTGCGTGAATTAACTGAAGTTCATCATAATGTATTCGATCCAGCATATCCAATAAGAGATGTGGTACCATTTGGTAGATTTGGTTTTGCTTTCCCAACTATTGATACACATCTGCTGCCCTTGAAGTTCTCGAAAAGATTTAGATTAACTACAGAGGAACTAGATTATCTCTTCCCCGAAAGAACTTATAGTGACTGGTTGAACGGTGGCGCAGAAAGAGACGCCCTTGACCGTGATATTCACATTAAGATAAAGTACTGCGACTCAAATTCACAAGATGGAGCTTTAAATGATGATAATAAAGGACAAGCCTCCAAGGAGAAAAGCGTCGTTAGTAATGTTGATATTGATGATGTACAATCCATTAAAAGTGTCTTATCAGTCCATCAACCCCCAAAAGAAATACACTATGAGGATGATACTTGCGCAATCTGCATTGATGAGTTCACTCCTAATGACATTGTCCGTGGTCTTATTTGTGGTCACGTATTCCATAAAACTTGTGTTGACCCATGGTTAAGTAATCGTAAAGCTTGTTGTCCTTTATGCAAACGTGATTATTACCTTAGGAATCGTATTATTAATGATGGAGACGGCAGCGGTTCTAATAATAGCGGTTCCCACGATGAAAACGAAAATAATGATCACCGTTTCGATTTGATGACTGAAGAAGAGGTTACTAGACTTAGGGAGACCGAAAGAATCATGTCTCAAAATCATCGTATTATGATTGAACTCCTGGCGCTTGGTCGACCTCTGGCCCGAAACAATAGTAATTCCAATGATGCTGGTGATGGTCAGAATGCTACTGAAGGGACGGCAACGCCTGGCGCTGCAGAACCTGCAAATGAACTTGCTCTCCGTAATATTGAGGCTTATAACGAATACTTGAATCTGTTGCGTCCCCTATCTGTTCGTGCGACAGAGGCACTTGAGTCGCACCCAGAGCTAGAGGAAATAGCCAAAGCAAAAGTTGAGAGTCAATATTTTACTTGGAGATTTAGATTTTTTTGGCGTCTTATGGGAATAACTAAGGATGATCTTATTCACAGTGTAATTGTTTCAAGATATGAAGATATCTTACAAGAAGAACAGCAAACTCAAAGAGAACAAGAAGAAAATACTCAGGAATTAGCAACAGAAGTGCCACCGGGAGACACAGCTTCAATCGTCCATAATCACGTCATTCCCATTTCCCCTGAAGCTGGCACTACTGATGCTGGCAACGGTATTATAACTACAACGAATCCTGAAAATCACACTGTGACAATTAACTTCGGTAATCAAACCCCAGAGGTTAATGATTCTGATTCAGTAGATATTGCAGAAAATCGCCCTGTCCCATCTGACCCTAATTCTGAAGCCTTTGAGGGACGACGCACCATTGTGGAACGCATGGTATAATCGGCTCAGATTACTTCTTCTTACTTGTGTTGCTAATCAAGTTGTTCTTTTTGCAAATTTTTAATGTTTATAAATTGTTCTTGTCCTTTTATTCTGGTTTTTCTTCAAAGTTTTATGACCATTATGGCCTCACTTGTTTACTGTTATTTTTTTCTCTTAAAATTGTATTATTATATTATGGTTCCTGGAGCGTCTACTTTGTCTGTGCGAGTAAAGGCTCTAGGCTTTTCTATTTTTCATTTGATTTAGTTGCACGGATTTATTTTAATTCCTTCATCTTATTATTTTTATTATTGACTTTTCCTCGCAGGCTCTTCTTTTTATTATTATATTTGATAATTTTTATACAATTCATGGCAGAAATTATTAAGTTACAAAAATCTAGATCAATTGTCACCATTTAATACTTATTTGTACGAAGATCTTTCTCTGAAAGATATTAATCATTTGCAAGAGTTTGGTACCAAACTACAAACCATAAGAAGTAAGAAATCTTGAGCAATTTTCAACTGATTTACTTCAGGTTACAAATGAGCGATGTTGGCATTTTTTCTGGGAAATAAACTTCGAAAGATGCTGTTCTTTCTATGAAGCATGTTTCATCAACAACCGTCAAGAGTGAAAAAATACAGTGACTGTCAAACAATAAAGAATGAAACAAGAAATAAAATAATTATTAATTAAAAGCCAAACCTGAAAATCCAATTTATAGTTGAAAAAATAAAAATGAAAATGGAAATGAAATCATAACATATACTTGAACAGAGGACTTTTATCACCCAAAAATGTTTTTTCTCTTGAGCTCAAAGCATCAAAATGCTCTCTATAAATGGCAGATGTCTTTTTCTTATTCTCTTGCAATAAGCTCAACATGTAAATTATCATAAATAAGAATGAAACACTCAAAAAAACGATATTTGCCCAAATCCCTGTTCTATATTGTGGAGCATCAGCATCGGTAAACAAAAAATTGGAAAAAATTCCTGCTGTGGAAGCAAAGCTGATCATCCAGGCCGTGGCAACATTTTTACGTAAATGGCCACCAAAGTTCATAGTCACCCAACAAACCACCACAGGAATTGTGCAGCTCAATCCCACCACGGCCATGCTACAACCGTAGTATCTCACGGTATTATTAGTTGGATTCAGTTCCATTAGTATGAGACCCGCAAATGCCAATAACGCTCCAATTAAAGCAAATGGGGCCCGTTTTTCGACATAATCGGACAACCATGCAAAAATATTGGCCAATATTATGGAAATAGCAAACGGTATTCCTTCGAGTAGAAGTTTATTTGAACCAGGTATATCATCAGTTAATGCTTGGACAATTGTAGGTTCAAAGTATGCATAAGAATAGGAACATCCGAGAACACCAAGATAAGCCAAGGTACCCCACCAAAGTAGCGGGTCAGATAAAACTGCAAGAACATCTTTGAATCCAACTCGGAGTTGATAACCTGATTTGCCTCCGTACACTTCTAGTTTCTTTACCAAATATATGGTTTCATCATCATCAAGAAACCTTGCCCCTTCGGGGAAATCAGGGATGAAAAAGAAAAGGGGAATCGAAAGCAAAATCGTTAAAATCCCTTCGAAAATAAATATCCAGCTCCAGCGACTCAAAATGTCAATTTTGTCAGCAACTTTTACTAACAAGAAACTAAGAAGCCCTCCAGCAGTTCCGAATGAATAGTATGCGGTGTAAACTTTTTGAGATTTGTGGTTCGGATAATAATTTGCTAAAATATAGTAGAGGGCTGAAGAATTTGATTGGAAAAGACCAGTGAAAAATCGACAAACGATTATTCCTGAAAAACTGGTGACAAATCCGTTGCAAAGCACTGTCACTCCCAACATGAAAACATAGAAAGTCATGAAATAGTGAGGCCGAATGTACTTGAGTAAAAGGTTCAGAAGAAGCTCAAATATCACATAGGGAATGAAAAATACTGCAGTGGCAAGGTTATATTGGGAGTCGGTCAACCCCAAATCTTCCTTGAGTCCAACTTGGGAGGCGACAGCAATGGCAAATCTTGTCATATAGTGGATGGCAGATATAATACAAAACGGTAGTAGCACTCTAAATGTTACTTTATGGCTAAGTTTTGAATCATCTATATTGTATTGCTCCTGAAGTTCTGCCACCTTCGAATCTTTTAGAAGCTGGAGGCCTTGGTCATCGGAATCGTATTGTGCGTAATCCTCCTTATTTCGATCAATAAAATAGTGACCCTTTATATAGATGACCTGTTCTTCTGTATCTACTCTTTCGAGCTCTGACCCTATTAGAAAGGTTTTAATTTGTGGCATTCCAAGTATTCAATTCTGGAAAAAAAAAAGCCGTAAAAGTTTGAAAATTAGATGATATATTGTTCACAACTTCATGAACTATCAAAGTGTTTGGTAAATGTAATTTATATATATTCTTTGAATTATTTGCCTCTTAACCCTTGTGTTACCTCTCTTTTCTTTAAAAATAGGTGATGTTTCTGTTTCTAAGTGCCAATGGACTTCCCTTTTATTATATGCGCAGCCCCTTAGCCACTGATTTGCGGGATATGTATGTTGAGTTACCACTACTGCATGGGGTCCTGATCAATGCAGCAAGAAAAATTATGCGCAAAAAAAATGAAGGGAATTTTCTGAATGATCCAACGGAAAACCACTGTTTTGTTGTGTAATCGAACGTAAGATCAGTGGGATCAGCAGGATCATTATTTATCAGCTTTTTTTCCCGTTTAATTAATGGGCTATTCTGTATATATTTCATGGCCAGCAGGTTTCAAATTATTGAAGATGGCCTCATAAGCATGCAGTCGACACACAGACACACTTGGGTGCGGTTCCACTTGGCAATACTGGGACCAGGGGACACGCCCTGTACAATAGATAATCTGTAGGACCTGTGAAATTAATAATGGAGCAGCCTAACGTGTTTACCATATTGCTGTCACTGTAATACTGGTACAAAGTCAGTTTTTGGTTTCCTCAGTCTTTATGCAACCCTAATCCAGGGAGCAGAATCCAGGGAGCAGAATCCAGGGAGCAGAATCCAAACAGATCTCCTATGCAGATTGAGCCCTCTAGACATTATAGTATTCTCTCAAAATCAAACACCATATATATTAGTATTGGTGTGAACCACCACACGAGGGTGTGTGTGTATCTACGACGTCCACCCACAGAGCGTCTTCTGATCTGCCTGCGCTGTATGTTGGTTGCTGCAGGTTGCGCTGCACTTTTTTTTCGTTCAAAAACTTCTTCTTCGTCTTCATCATCATCACATCGTCAGAACGCCCACATCTGCCACTATCATTATCTCTCTAGTCACTGTCCACCTTGCGCACACACACATATATACTACTATTTCATGGCGTGGGCTCTTTCAGAATGAACCACAACTTCCAGCAACAGGACGGCTCGCGTCCTTCCCTCCCACCGCTCCAATCGTCGTTTCTTAGCCGCCGAGCCCTGAGTAACAGTAATCCGCCATTCCAACCGCCAACTGTCCCTCCCCAATACCATAACTTGCCTGCGTCAACCTATTTGCCACCAATAGTTGGTCCTTCCAAACGAAACGATTTTTTACCGCACCTGGTATCCCATAATAACCCTTCTCCTTTCGTCCTTCCTGGCCTCAATAGCACCAGCAGTGAGCAGCGATTTTTCCAGCCTCAAAAACAACCTTATAAACCACAAGCTCCGTATGGACTAGTATCTGCACAAAACAACAGCGATGGTAGAATATCGCCCTTTTTGACGCTTCAAACCCATCCACAGCAACCAACACAACTGCGTATCCCACAACATCATTCGTTTAACCCGTACCTGACGCCATCTCGCTCTTACAGCGTTCCTTTCGATCAACAATATGAAAATCAAGTACTGCAATATCAACAACAACAACAACAACAACAACAACAACAACAACAACAACAACAACAACAACAACAACAACCGCAAAAACCGTCTTCAATATATCTGATACCCCTTAATCTTCCTCACACTTTGAAAAATATCAAAGATATAAATATAATATCCAATTCTTATGACAGAAATCTGCCAGATGATAAGAGACAGCTACCCACTTTATCGAATAATAATATTGAAAATCTTCCTTCTCCTGCCTTCAACTCTGGAACTATTGATGTGAAGCCTTCCTCGAACCCCATCCGTAATGATAATGTCAATAGTCGTATGGGTAACAATAACGGTGGAATGGATAGCTTAAACCGCGATAGATATCGCACAGGCAAAAGATTACCATCTTTCTCTATGCAACGGACAATAGCAATCGGTCCTCCTACTGAGCCAATACTTGATCCTTCGAACTTTTCTGCTCCACAAGGCTTAAAAGAAGTGCCAAAGACGGTTAAATTGACTAAATTATCTAGCTTATTGACTGATGACGAACCAGCCGTGAATTTACCGGCTCGTGTTCCTTCGCCATTTATCAAAATAAATGATGAAAGTAGTGATGACGATGATACTGCCAACCGTTATGTTCTGTCTGTTCCTAGTGCCAAGCCGCAACATGCCGAGCCTTTGGAAAATATGTCTCCTATCAGACCTCCATTTGCTAATTTTACCAGTCCTATTCCTCTACCGCTTGACGGACCTCCAGAGATGCATGTTCCCATCAATATCCCCCAAGGTCTAATGGGGCCACCTCTTCCAGGAGTTGTTCCTGGACCTCCAATGGGCTTCCATCCAATGATGATCCCTCCTGTCCCAATGGGAACTCAGGTGCTGGCGCCTGTTCCCGGACCTCCGAGAATCATGTTGCGCAAAAACATATCTGAAGCTGAATTCCAAACGGTAGCACAATTCTTGCAAGAAAGTGGTATGAGTTATGAGTTCAAACTTGATCGGGTTCGCAAAGGATTATTGAAGGAAAGGGATATTAGCTTGGGAAGCCTATGGAAGCCTAATAATTTGACTATTGGCAGAATATTGGCTGCAAAGGATCAATTGAAAGATATTGATGAACCAACGGCGAATGCAATCCATGAATTGTATCTTATTAGCGCAAAGAACTATTTTGATAATTTCTACACGAAAAGGATTGCCAGAGAATTGAGAATGAGTTATCTGCACATTAATGAAACTGGAACCGATGCTAATACAAGAGTTGTGGACCATTTGCAAGAGATTGGTAAGATTCAGGATCCACAAAATGCTGTTGAAGTTGGCATTCGTATTCCGAAATTTGATATAGCCAATAATGATAAAGAGCTAGTTTCCTCATCTGGTAGAAATTTTGGTGATAGAAGAAAGAGATTACAATCCTATGAGAGAGATATCGAAAATTATGTTAAAGAAAATAAAGTGGCTCTCTACAAAAACAGAATACTGCATCTTAAAAGAAAACTCGTAGCAATTTCTGCTAATTCAAGTAATCCGTTGGAAGAATTTCTTGAGCCTCTGGCTAAGCGTCAAAAGCTAAAACATGAAGATGATAATAATATAAAGTTGTTAGGTGACCTCTGCAGTCAAAATAATAATGCCGCTGAACGCCGTGAGTATGAACTTCAAAGACTTCATGATTGGACTTTATATCTCAAGAACCGCAATTTGAAGTCTTACATTGAAAGTGTTAGGAACTCTTGCAATGAAATACATGATGTGATGTACAACAAGTTGACTAATCTTGAAAGCTTCTTTGCACTTCAAAAACAAATGCTTGAGGATAACTCTCAAGAACACGAAGCCAACATTTTTAATGTGAACTCGAAAACTTCCGATAAGATTTTCTTGGGAATTAAACTTGATGGTCCACACAAACTTGAACAAAAATTGGTCGGGCTACGGAAAGATATGGGTATCAGTGCCTATCAGGATCTGTTATCTGATGGTTCCCATAATAGTGATCAGAACTGTGCCACCGATGGTTTGGTATCCACTGGTGTTGATAAAAATGGTAGAGCAAGCTCCAGAGTTAATAAGCGGTTGAAAAATGAATTAGACATCACTATCAAAAATGCCAAGTTTTCTGATGATAAAAAGGCTATTGAATTTGAGCTTCAAAATAAGGATTTATTAACGTCGATTTTCGAAGGATATTCTCCATTGATATCCAATGAGGAATTTATCATCATTACAGAAAACAACTTCACCCAATTCCTTGGGCATAAGAACCGTGGGCTTGATGTGAAGAAGATGCTCATGTCCAGCCAGTCGATTTCCAAATATGTCCAATTGCTATCCCAGCAGAACGGTAATGAATCTATCGCTAGTGATGCTGGTGGCACCAATGCTAAAAGCAATAAGGGCCGCGGGGCTCGTGGACGACCAGGTTATGGAAGTGGTGTTACTAATGATTCAGGATCTGAAGCGGGAATTGGAGGAAGAGGAACGAGTGAGAATGAGTCTTTAGTATCTGGTAGCGGTGGAAGCGCCGCAGTTTTAGGTAGAGGTGGAGCCAGGCGTGGCAGAAAGGAACGGAAACCAGCACCGACCCATCTTGGAGGCCGGGGGAAAAAGAGCATGGGAGTGAAGGGATTGACGACCGATGAGATCGATCATGACTTGATTCTTTTAGAGCGATTGTGATTAATTTTTACGATGCCTACACATGTGTGGCTCCTCTATATATCAAATTGGCGATAATAAATGAATGACAATCAATAATCAAATAAATGTATGTATCATGATACGTCGGTGGATGTTAAGAGTACCCAACAGTGAGGGGTGCAGGGGGCGTGGAAATAAAAGAGGCTCCTAACCAGAGTATTTGTTCGTTAGTGTTACCCGGTACTCACTGTTTGCTATGTGTCCGGGTTACTTTTATCTTCACCTGTTTGGGTGTTTGGGTGTTTTATTCTATACACTCCCACACCCCCATTATCTAGGCTTACAGCGTCCACACGCCTATTTTCCTAGAGTAGGCCAATAAATAATATTATGAGTGGTACCATTAATCATGTTTTCAGTTTCGTTTCCTATAGATTCTTGGTTTCGCCCCATTTCCACTTTCAGTCTTCTCGAATGACCGTTGATTCTATCGAGTTATAGGGGGTATGAACAGTATACGGGTAACCGCTTCTTCCGTCTTTTTTTCTTCGGATTTTTTTTTTCGAACTCGTGGAGACAAACAACAACAATCAAAAAAAAAAATTTTCTTTACAAAATTGTATTTGATTTTTTTTTTTTCTCTCCTTTTTCTTACTCGAGACTTGTCTTACCAACTCATATATCAACACTAACTTATCACCATGGCTGAAGAAGAAGTAAGTAATTAACCTACTCAGTTTTATTCTTTTGCACTGTAATATCTTATCAGTTGCTGCGATGATCGACAATTTTGAAAAACAGAGTTTTGTGGGGAGGGGAGGAGAGAGAGAAAGAAGGGCTCACGATAGATAATAGATCATCGAAAACCAACACGGCTGAAGAACAAAATAAAAAAAGGGGAGTACCCTTTGATACCCTTTCTAATTGTATAATAAACTGTCTGATGGGTTTTGTCTGATGGCTATTTGGTGAAGAAAAAAAAGAATCTTGACTTTTCTTGATCCTCTTTATGTCTTGAAATTTTGTCAAAAATCTTTGGTTATTCTTGACTGAATAACTCAAGTCTTTTGGTTGAGCAGTGAGGTTAGGAACAGTGTATTACGGATGCTGATTCGTTAATCATTGTTTGTCTGACAATCAATCGGACTCGTCTTGACCATCCGTATTCTTCAACTCTGTGGAAATTGTTGGTCTTTGTTATCTTTTTTTTTTTTGTTTCACAAGAAAACATCTATTTACTAACATATTTTATTAGCACACTTTCGAAACCGCTGATGCCGGTTCCTCCCTTATCTACCCAATGCAATGTTCTGCCTTGAGAAAGAACGGTTTCGTTGTCATCAAGAACAGACCTTGTAAGATTGTTGAAATGTCCACCTCCAAGACCGGTAAGCACGGTCACGCCAAGGTCCACTTGGTTGCCATCGACATTTTCACCAACAAGAAGTTGGAAGATTTGTCTCCATCCACCCACAACATGGATGTTCCAGTTGTCAAGAGAAACGAATACCAATTGATCAACATTGACGATGGTTTCTTGAACTTGATGACCCAAGACGGTGACACCAAGGATGATGTCAAGGTCCCAGACGGAGAATTGGGTGACAAGATCACCGCTGACTGGGAAGACGGTAAGGACTTGATGGTCACTATCATCTCCGCCATGAACGAAGAAGCTGCTATCTCTTTCAAGGAAGCCCCACAAGGTAACTAAGCTAGTCGTTATCATTAATGGTTATATAATTATTTTAATATAATAATTGATTGTTACGTACTTATTCCTTTTGTTCTTATTATAAGTTTTTTTTTTTTTCTAATTGAAAATTTATTTATTGTAGACATTTTGGTGAAAGTTAAGTGTGAGCGCGGCTGCCATGTTGACACGTTAAAATATCCCCAGTGAAGGTAATAAATGACCTTCACTAAAGATAAGATATTTTCAATGCTGTGACACTTGGATTATATGTATGCTTGAATATTTGAAGAATTGAAGGATAAATTTTCTATTATAAAGATTATTAGCCAAATAACTATTGAAACTTGACAAAGCAAACAGCTTTACAATAAATGATTCCATCTGGCGGCAAACTATCGTACAAAATACTGTGAGTTTAAACCAGAAGAATACAATATATTGAAAATCAAGCAGAGAAATAAGGCCATCATTCTCAAATTAAAGTAAAAAGAGACAAATCATCCTAAACACGATTCTGAGATCTTTTAAAATGGAGAACAAAATGAAAAAAATCAAAATGAAAAAGAAAAAAAGATACTGAAAGTAAATTAATTGTTCCTGACAGAGAGTAAACACTAAAAAATAATAAAAATAAAAATAATAGTAATAATAAAACATCAATAAATTTAAGATTAAAAATGTACAAATATTAATAATAATAATGATAGTAATAGTAATGGAGAAAAGACCATCGAGCCTTCTGGTGGCTAAAGCCAGTCAATAAATATAATAATAATAACCTTCTTATGAACTGATAGCAACATAAAGGGAGATAAGAACAGCAACACCGTTCCCAAAGAATGGTATCAAACCCAAGGCGGTTCTCAAGATTATTGTCTCTTCGAAAATAAGGTCTCTGAAATAGTCAAAAACGGTAAGCCCCACATCGACCCCACTGACCTTAGACGCAGACACCATCGCGTCATTAGCAATATCCTCAAAACCGATTGCTTTACCTAAAAAGAAGTAGTGCAACAAACCTTTGGAAACAAAGAAGCTGAAAGGATCATACTTAGCCCCACTCTTATTAAAGTTGACATAGTAACTGGTGACCATTGGCAAAAACAATGAGATAGTAAACCAGAAACAAATCACGGCAACTGCTTCCAACTTCAAGAAATTCACAATGTGTGGCACTTTGATTTGGTTAATCAGTTCTGGTAATGACTTCTCAATGCTCAAAGGCACTAATTGTTTAATTGGAACAAAGGTGAGGAAATAACTCGCAACAGAGTAGAATTCCACCAAGAGTTCCAAGTTGTATATGGTGGCTGGAGTACTGAAAAAGGATTTCAAAGAGGAATTCTTGGCAATAATCTCTTCAATAGTGGTTTCATAACATTCGTGACTTTTAGCCTTCAAAGCCTTAAACTTTTCCGAAGCTTTAACTTTAAGTTCATTATACAATTGCACTTCTGCTTCTTCGGTAGAACTTGGAAGCTCTTCAATTTCTTGTTCGAGGGTTTCTTCTTCCTCTTCTTCTTCTTCTTCTCCTTCTTCTTCTTCTTCTTCATTATCCTCTTCCTCTTCCTTGACCCCCTCTACTAATTCTTCTTCTTCGTCTTCTTCTCCAGAGTCTTCTGATCCTGAGCCATCTGATTCAGAAACATCTGACTCACTAGCACGGAACGATTTACTTGGGGTGGAGATTGTTGATGATCTCAAAGCCTTCACCGGGGTCCCCATTCTTTTACGATACCCAAAATATTTAGCATATCCTTTATGGTCCTCCAATTCTGGGTGCAAGTCAAAATGGACATTGATCTGTTCTTCAATGATTGCCTTGGTGCCTTCAATTTCACTGCATGGAAATGTTAGTACTACTAAAATGATAATATGCAACCACAACACTTTTTCAACTTCTCAAAAATGTATTATCATCAATATATCAAAATATAGAAACATCACATTGAAATCAAAAGCAAAAAGAATAAAAGACAAACAAACACAAAGATTGGCTGTCTGTCTGTCTGGTTTGTTTTTATTTTTTGGTTTGTTTCTATTTTTTATTTTTTTTTGAAGACGCGTACCCTAATCCAAGGCCTTCAGCCAATTGTTGTAATTCAGACTTCTTCAATTGTTTCAAACTCATCTTTGGTATAGTATTTTTACATATGAAAAGTTTAAAAAAAAAAGTGATAGGTATTGTTTTGTTTCTCCTACTTTCTTTTTTTTTTTTTCCTTTTTCTCTATTTTGCAATGGATGATCTTCTGTCCAAGCAACAATAGCAAAGAAATTCGTGTATTTTTGTTATCCCAAAAAGAGGAAAAACAAAACAAAAAGCCATAAAATAATCACGTGTTTAAAAGCGTGCCAGGTCATGTGCTGTAGTTTTTTGACATATAAGCGCACCGGGGCATCACTACATCAGTATTTACAGTTTTTTTAACTCAAATGGTTCAATAGTGAAATTGATAATAATACAAGTATACTATAATGGTAGTCTCCTAATAGAAGAATGCAATGCAAAGTAATCGAAGAAAATCTGAAGGGGTAAAAATCTTCAAGTATCAATCGTAAACTGAAAATGGAGAAGATCTTAATGGTAGTTTATCAATACTCTCATCTTCATCATCGTAAACTGGGCTGGTGGCAAGCTGCTGGTTGTTATCACTGTCGTCAGAGCCATCCTTATCTGATGCCAGCTCAATAATTGGAGTCAATGCTTCCGAGTCTTTTGGAGTTCCTCCATTATCATCGGGGGTTACCATGAGCGTTGAATCTTGAAGCCCCATGGTTGAAAGAGTTTTCGGATGAATTGGGATCAAATGGTTCTGGATATTGTTTGAGAGATTAATAACATTATTATTCAACGGCGTCGAGGTCGCAACATTGTTGTTGACTTGTGATTGATCAGTGTTATTATAGACATTGTTGAGAAAATTATCCGGATCAAATTCAAATAAATCTTCTAATTCTTTATCAAATTTGGTCTGGTTTTCGGTTTGCTTTTTGATGAAGCCTGTAAGTTGATATTCTTCACTGTTGTCAGACGTTGGAGCAGAAGAAACGTTATGACAGCTCATCAAGCTGTTAGTAGATATCGAAAAATCAGAAACCTCGGAAGACAAATTATTTGGGGGAACATTTTCCTTGTTGCCATCTTTGCGTTCTTTATTATCTTCCATAATAATCCAATAGTTACTATTTTTTTTCCCTGGCTTCGCTTTAGTTTCGTTGTCATCAGTATTGCTATCACTATTATTACTAATACCACTACTACTCTTTTTCTTCTCGATTATCTTTGATGGTTTTTGAAATGACACAAGTGAATTCACAAGCGATGAATGGTTCAAGAAAGCCTCGTCAGTTTTCTGTAATAGCGACGAATTACTGTGCTTTCTAAGCTTCTTTATTGACGAATCATTGTTTGATAATGACTTGCGCTTTGACGAAGTAGCATTATTAAGATTTCGAAGCTGGTCGGCAAGCGATTGGTTTTTTGTGAGATTGGTATTTGGAGGCAAGAATTCCAATGGTCTGATTGGTAAAGAATATGTTCTGGTGGCCTTAGGAGCAGGAGTTGGGTTCGTAATTCTCTTTGACTTGGAGGTCTTTCTATTATTATTGTTAATTAGGGCATTTCTAAAAGGAATCCCATCGAATTTTGGTTTCTGTCGTTCCATGATCTTGAAATTTAGTTTCACCGAAAGTATATTTTTTGTTTTGGAATTCCCGTATAATAAACTCGCAATATTTGTCTCAACTTTCCCGGGAATTAGAATATCTTTGGCCTTACCACTCTTGGATCCCCTAGGCTCATCATCGGAAACATCGGTAAAATCATTATTTATCAAATTTGACAAAGTGCCGTAACCAACTAACGGGGTATCAACTTCACTGTAATCGCAAACATAGATAGTATAATCATGTTTAGTCGCTAGATTACTCATGACTTCTGGACTGGATCTCATCACCGCTTGAAGACATTCTCTCAACTTGACTACCCCAATAAGACGCGTCTCGTTATTGAAAAGCTCCATCTCACCAAACTTGATTTTCATGTCACTGGCGGATCTCGACAAGAAGGCCTGAGTATCATCAAAACTATAAGTGACCTTGAGGCCCATCATCGATGTTTTAGTCGACATTCTTTGTGTGTTTCTTCTATTTTTATTTAGTTTGACTGAAGATTAACAAAAGCAATGTGGTGATTGAGTTTAGAAAATGACACTTCCTAAACAGCGCGTGGGTTGTGTAAGCTTGTTGGCTTTGAAGGTAAATGTAAATAAATGCTTTATAAGATAGATGGTATTAATGATGAAACTTCGTAATAATTGTGTTCAATATGAGGAGGAAGAATCAACAAATTATGGAAAGCAAAAGAAGGAGAAAAGTCAAACAATTTATCTGAACTGTATGCAAAGAAATTATTACCTTAGAAAGCAAAAAAAAATAAGTTACGCGTTGCTTTTAAAAAAAATAGTATCTCGCGTTTTGTTGATGCATCATTTTTTCATCCCCCCAACATGCGCACGCGACTGTGGACAGAAGAAGTCTTCTCTACTAATAAAAGCCAATTAACAAAAAACAGGCCAAAATGATATGATAATATTTCTTTCTGTACTATACATAGTTTCTGTTTACTTTGTTTGATATTTTTATAAGTCGAAGTTTTTTTTGGATTGTTTTTTATTGTGACTTGGGTGTGTTTTTTTTTTTTTTTTTCTATGTGAAAGAAAAGAAAAAAAGATCCCTTGACGAGCAATTATGTTGAAAAATGTTACTAAAGCATGGTCACTGGAAATTTAAAAATATTTTAAATATATATGTGCCTCTTTCCCGACCTTACCTTGTGTAGATGTTGTGGCTGGTTATTTCTTTAGGATCGATACCCAAATCTTCAATAATGGCCTCTGAAGAACTGTTGATGTGAATACAACACCACAAAAGATAGAATCTTCAGCACATCGGAAAAAAAAAAGAAAAAAAACTGAAAATTAGAAGCTATTATAGTACAATAAGTGGGATATACGGTTCTCTAGCTTTTGCAGACCTACTATCTATGGTGATTATCGTACCAAATCTGTAGTGGTTTATGGAGGATATAAGAGTCAATACTTTTCTTTGTTGTAATTGTAATATAGGCTTGGTCTCATTTTAATCGACGGATTGAGAGTCTTATATTATAATTCGATCTACTAATGGTTGTATCGAATGAAATAAAATGAATTGTTTAAGTAAGTATAAATACTGTGTAAAGGTTTAAGTATGTCCTCTGTTATGATGGAACTGTATCCATGATACCTTTATCATTACTTATGCTACAGTAATGAGCATGTATGATATGATCGTACCCCCAGTATTTATTGTGCTGTTCTCAAGAGCCTTTCTCGTATGTAATCTGATGGATGAGTAAACATACTTCCTCGACGCCCTAGGGAACACAAGCTTTAGGGGAAACAGGTTTCTTTTGCTCTCCTCGATTACCAAGTCAATGAATAACTTAAGCCTTGAGTGGCAGTGAAAAGTCTAAATGTCGATTTGCTTAGTGCTGAAGCACAAATTAGGCTTGGAAGAAGAAAAATGTTGAATGTAGTGAAGCCAAAATGATTTTCCTTTTGGAAACTGTAAAAATTTACCTTACAGAGAACTCTCGAATAAACTCTATGGTACTTGCATGTCTAAACATCGGGGTTCTATAAAAACTTGTAGCTTATATCTCTTCCACCACTCTATCATTACTTAGGTATCCAGTGATGTGCTTTATTTTAATCGGAATTGCTTCAATTTGACGAAACATCATATTTTTTTTTTTTTTGTGTGATGAGATGAGACCTAGCAATAAGAGGATAAATTGAAGAATGGAGAATACTTATCCATATATTGGATGTGAACTCTTTAAAATCAACAATATTATCCACATACTCGCTGATAAACACCATAATGGCTTCAAGTTGCGATCTTATGATGTTTTAATTTAATTAATTTACAGCGAAGCCCTGATATCTCCTGAGATTTTCAATGCAGAGATTGGAATGAAATGAAGTTTCCTGGGAGAAGCGGAACCAGTTTTCATATCAAGCATAAAAAAAAATTACATTTCTATCTTTTAGTGAATCCATTAGGTATATATAGTATATAACATATAAATGAACGTCCTTATGAGAGGAAATCAAGTATGTCGCAATTTGTTTTCACCAATAGAAGTCCACAAGGTGCACAACAACATATTCTTACTTCGGGTTGTTAGGATCCAGACAAAAAAAAAATATATGAAACATCTTATCAAACAAAAAAATTAATCTAAAGAATTTAATTGAATTAATCCACTTATACAACAATAATTATACACTCTCGTGCAAATTCCATTCAAACAGGGTGATATCAAGTATAACTATTACGGTGGTACGATACATATCACATGGGGTACGCGAACAACAATCCCAGTCAAATGGGCTCTATTCGATCGATGACGTTTACGGATGATTTCTTATCGTTTTTGGCCGATTTTCATGTCTGCTTTTTTTTTTTTTCTCGGTGCACGATGCTCAATTTAGAATAGTCAAGTTTCCAAGTTAAAATGAATGGCTTGCTGTGGTTTGAAGAAAAGCACAATAACAATAACAGTAAAAATAAAAATAAAAATAAAAATAAAAATAAAAATAGTAGATCCATATGGTAACCCTCGGAGAACAACATCATTCTAGTACTGCTATTGAGAACACTTCACTTCCCCCTATAATCTCATGTTTCCCGCGTTATGTTCCTGTCGGGCATTGCACGCCGATAATCCCAAAATGACTATTTCGCTCATGCAATGTGGTGTATACTGCCGCATATATCATACCATATACACCGCCGCGCACGACGCTCTTTTTCCCCTGGAGCAACCGGAACCAGCGCCCTATAACCTTTGCCAGTATATAAACAAATTGGGCTCCCCCGAAATTTTTATCCCGCAATTTCTTTTTGAGCCTCTTTTTTAACTTATTTGTTGTATTCCAATTAGCCTCATTAATAACCAAAAATGCTTCCTCCAGGTGTTATCTTAGTTTTCTGTATCCTCTTCGTTATTGGTAAGTCTTAACTCTCCCTTTTCAACATTGTTTTGAAAATTTGGTTCGAAAATTATTGTTTAGTTCTGATGCTCGCCGGCGGAAAATAGTTCCATGGATTATTAATAGAAACTAACTCATATTTCTAGGTTGTCTTCTTGTTGGTATCAAGATCGCTAACCTCATCAAGAAGAGAAAGCAAGCTTTGCAAGCTTTCTAAGCGAGCTGTTTTCTTTTCCTTTGTTGGATTACCTGCTGCTACTTTATTAAGTCGTCGGTAGCTTACAATTGAATGGATCGGTTTACAAAAAACAACCAATACCACTTTATCCTATCCCTTATTCCAGCAAAATCTGTTACTGTTTTGCAAATACATCCATTTCCACTACATGTTTGAGCTAATTTGTTGGAGTAGGAAATTTTCTTTTTTCTTACACTTTTATTCTTGTTACAGTTTTGAATAGTTTGTTTCTCCAATACAATTTAATTCCCTTTTGCGCTTTTTAATTTGGTTCCCCAGAATGGTTCGGCTATTGTCTGTAGAAAAAAAAAAGTTTACATGTCCTATGTTCTTCATGTCGCCAAGGCTTGGTCGAGAAAGACGAGAAATAAGAAGCCCATCAATCACAAGAAACAATTTGACATAAAATACACATACTGATGAAGGAATGCGTGAAAATATAGTTTTGATATCTTATCTTATACTCCATCTGGTTATCAATTACAAGTACACTGATGATATCATATCAAAGTACTGTTGTATCATGACTGTTTTTTTTTTTTTTTTTATGGGTGGATGAAGTTCTCGGTCCGACATGATTGGTGCAAAAAAATTTTTATCTTTCTAAGTTGGGACAACAAAATGACGCATTGGGATTGACGGTTTGGAAAATCACGTTACTACCAAAACAAAACAACAATAATAAACAACCCCAGTTTTCCTTTGGCGAAAAACAAAATCAATCCCAAGTCAACTGCTATTACTAGGATAAAGAGCTGGTAATTTTGTCCTGCTGTACTAACCTTGCGATCATTGTACATACCTGTTTATTGGTATACATGATGAAGTACCATTAGAAATCTCAGTTTCTGAAAGAGACATTTCAAGCGTATATTAGCTTTGTTAAAGATTGTAGGTCAGCCAGTCCTGAAGTCTGGAGCGAGGTATTCATGAGCTATAAGAAAAGAAAAAAAAAGCTCTTTTGGATTAAATGGCTTGTTATATAAGAGATAAGTTAGCACTTAACGTAAGGACCATTCAAAAACTATATCAAAATCGAGTTCTGAGATAAATATTGAGCAAAACTTCTTTATCAATGATACCTGCTGAGCCTGAGGGGTTACCGTGTTTTTGTTAATAGAAAAACAAGAGTTCTTGATATTTCAATCATTACTACAGGAGCACCTTGTTTCAGGATTGCCCGAAAGGCATGTTATTACTCAGTGCTCAATACGTTCTCAGTTTAAAAATTTTCCAATAGACAACAAGGTAAGCTATATAAAGTCTATCTCACTCCACAGGGCATGTAGTACAAGTAGACGTTAACAATTACCTCCATCTGGTTTCAACACAAGCTTTCATAAGTACTTGATCACATAAAAAGATGAGAGCGTGGCATGCTTGTCTGGCAAAGAACTTATTCTGCATATATATATCACCATTAAAAAGTGTCGGTAAGTATTGTATCATAGATACTGGCATCTATGCAGATTTCCTTCCCTGCATGAAAAATTACTTACAAGTTTTCAGTAATTGAGTTTAATTGTGGGTGCCTACTTTGTAAGCGAGTAACCATCCCTGAGCTCACTAGTATTGCCGGAAATTATCCTGATTATACACGGCATTCTCGAAATTCAAAGGAGATCCAGAAAAGCATTTTAGAGGATCCTAATGCTACCTTTTCAAAGCACAATGCTTCCAAGTTATGCTGAAGTCTTAATTACTTAAGTTTGGTGGTTACATCTGGAAATCTCCAAATTTGCAAGGAATCAGCTTGTTCCACAGTGCAAATGGTTCCAAATATAAACTCATTCTTATTTCCCAAATTTAGAAAAATTGGTTTTCATAGACTGCTGGTTTGAAAAAAAAAGTCCCTTGGAGAACTTTTGTCACATTAATTTATCCAATTGATAATATAAATATCCGCATGGATTTTTTTAAGTTTTCTGAACTAAGAGAATTGGATCTTTGAGGAAATAAACTTACTACTAAGAATAGTTTAGGCAATATTAACAAATAGGACATGGAAATAGAGCCGCTAACCGAAAGTTAATACAGCAGGGAGTATGTCCTAACTCCACGCAACAAAAATCGACCATAGTTTTCCATAAGATCATTGTAAGTTACCAGTGCTTTCTATTCCCTTAGGTGTGTCTTTTCCGCAGAAAAAAAAAAGGAATAACAAAAATCCAATCTTTTCGCAATCTATGATAAAATTGTTGAAAAGTGCTTTCTTTATTTGCCAATGTTTGAACACTGCGCATGAAAATATGACTATTGCGTCCAGATACACCTGGAGACATCAGGCGGCAGAAAAAGCTCTCGCATTATGCCATTTTTGTGAGTGCGTTTATAAAAAAATTCTACAAATTTGCTTATTTCCTATACTAATAGCACATGCTGATATCTTTACTATGAGTTTGGTGTCACTATTTTTGCATTTTTATCCAATGTTTAAAGGGAAATAATTGACCCAATAAGGTAATTAATTCATACTAATAGTGGGTGTGAAACACTCCATGAATTACCCAAATTTTTATCTGGATCATTAGATGGGGAGTTTGGAGCAGGACGAAATAATACATTACTTTAAGCATTTAAAATCTTCTAATATTGTAATATGAGCCAGCTACAGGATGTAGTTAAAAAATTCACTTTAGCAGAAATATACGAATAAAAAAAATATGTTACTGTCCAAGATACACAGACGAAACCATTATAGCTATTTATTGGTTCCTGTTTTTATTGATACAATAAAAATTATAAATAAGATACGCTGTTAACATACTCGATAATACACAGAAAACATAGTCATTAATCCACAAGCTTCTCCCAACCGAGATATTCATTTACGGAGATGTCGTTTCTCTGATAGACAGTTTCAATGTTCTTGAAGAAAATGGCACTCGTGAATAATAGATTTGCCAGGTATGGGTCTAGTTGTTTCCTGTTGGAGGCCCTAAAGGTACCGAAATGGCACAAAACATCGGCGAAATGTTTCCTAGTTTCTTGACGAATCCGGGACATAGCCTTATCGTGTGATCTCAATTTCTTTTGGATGTGATCGAAGTCTTCAGGACCCAATGCATCGCGATCTTCTTCAAGTTTAGCCATTTCTTCTCTTTCATAGGGCACTATTATAAAATCTGACCCTTTCCCACCTTCATGTGAATAAACGCAAACATCTGGTGTAATATTATCAACGCTGATTGCCAAACTTTCCAATACCCGGTTCATTTGCTCATTAGGGTATGTGAAGGGACCCATCAAGGAATAGATTATATTGTCAACATCAATCAAGCACTGGTATTGAAATGTCTGCAACTCTGGATGAAATGTCTGCAACTTTGGGTGAAATGTCCGCAACTCTGTGTGAAATGCTGCACACTTGCTCTCCGGGTCATTTACACTCACAAGCATACTATCTAAGTAAAACGCAAGATTACCGTGGAGCAGAATAGAAGAGCTCAACATGTTGGTGTACTCTGGCTTCTCCGAGGGTCCTAGCTGTCTTGAGGAACCTTTTTCTTTCAAGAACCCAATGTCCAGTAGCCTAACCCCTCTTTCATACGGGAGATCATACTCTCCAAAACGTAAGAGGTAGCCGAATCTATCACAGATGAATTCTGCACAAGTAAGACTGGCTTCAGACAATACATCTTCCTCTTTCCCGAAAAAGGTACAGAAGTCAGTGGGTCCTCGGCCAGTTGTCAATATTGCAAGGAGTACACAAAGACATTCCAATGGAGGCCGTGGGAAGTCATACTCTTTGATGAGTTCTTTATCATTCAACACCAAGAGCCCTTCTAGCTCGAAAATCTGCTGTTTACTAAAGCGAAAATTTCGACGGGCCACTGAGGATGGTAGGCTCGATAATTTGAATTCCAAGTGCGTCATAATATCCTGATTTTCATAATCGTCAAAGAACCCGGGGCAATAATTACACTGTGCCTCTAACATGTAAAGGAACGTTTCATATTCTTGTTTTTTATGCTTATATTCCAACCTTTTGTCTGCAACCTTTTCATCTACTCGTACATATTCACGATCTTTTTTTCTGTATTCACGATCTTTTTTCTTATATTCAAGTTCTTTCTTTCTAGATTCGAGTTCTTTCTTTTTATATTCGAGGTCTTTTTGTTTTATTAAATCATCTTGTGCTTTTAGCAACAGATCAACACGCAGGAAAAGCGACTGGGAGTCTACGCCATTTTGGGAAGTATTGGCAAATGATTTCAATTCTTCTAGAATTTTTGACCTTTGCAGGTTATTCTCATTATTTTCTCCCATTTCAAAATGCTGCTTTCACTGGGGTGTTCGGGGCGGCTGAGTGTACAATAATTGCTAAACACACCGGAAAACACCATAAGAACATTCCGCTAGAATGTCATTTACGGTTAACTGACTGTTACCGAAAAACATTGATTATTTATTATTGATCTAATACCATTGAGAAGACGTACTGTGCCATCATCAGATGGCTTTAATAATATGGTACTTCTATTGGAACTCAGATCAACAACTTTTTAGAATTCGCTTACTGTATAAAGTGGTTGTGATATTGTTCGAGTATATATTCCAATAGCTACAACTAAGTGTAAAGGTTTCTAATATTCAGTTTTAAATGAAATAGGTTGTTAAAAATTGTCAGCCCAAAGGCTTTCCCACTAGGCCCGCTACCAAAAAAAAAAGTAGAAGTGAGAAATTCAATGGCGACTAAAACATGTTCTTTTCATCCTCAGACATCCCATATTTGACCCAATTGGCCATACAATTTTCCTTCTCCACCAGAAACCAAGGCACAAACTTCCCTGCTTCACAATCGCATCTGTCGCTGTTCGGGCAATTGGTAAATGGCATATGATGATATCCAATGTCCCTAAAAAAGTGAATCCTTGATTTATCTTCAAACAACCCCAACCCGATGGCATGAACCGGGGCATCACCCCAGCGTTCGTAATAGAATCCTCCGGAATTATCAAGATGTTCAAACCATTTGCTGTAGGCTTCTCCTCTGAAGAAGTCCATATCGGCAATTTCGAAATTCGACCAGAAATGACATGTTGAGTAGCCTGCTATTTGATTCTTTTCTGGGTTCTGCATATCTTCAAGTAACCACTGGAAGGCTCCGTTCGGGTTGAGATATTTTGGGTGTTCTTCTAAAAATTCCATGGTGGTGTTCCATAATTTGGTAATACTACTTGGCCCATCGTACAAGTTGATATTGAACCCATAGCTCTTGTTATTGTCCTGCATGAATTTGAAGACATCGTAGTCAATGTCACAAAAATACTTAGTGTCAGGCTCGACACGCCAATAATATTTAAATTGTTGCAAATGTGGGATATTGTAGAAAGTACCGGAGTAAAAACGACACATGTTGTGGTACGATTCCATGTCGGCATACCCCACACCGTTGGCCAACATCAAATCAATATTTTTTTGTTCAAGGTCTTTATCAATGAATATTGGTTTTTTCCAAAGTTTTTTAGGAATGGTGATGAAATGAACTTCACTCTCTGTGGCTGCCTTAACTTTGGTTTTGAATTCCTTGCTGAATGATACATCATTCATAAACGTCCAAGGATAATGGAACTTACTATTGAATTTTGCCTCAACCTGCTCCATGGCCGATAGGATCCCATCCAATTCGGAATTTCTCACCAAAGATAGTAATGTGGCATTGGCTAATTTATAGTCCTCACTTGGTCTTTGCAAGTTGTCGACCTTTGGTTCGTCGATCGGTTCCATAATGTAGTCTGCGTACAATCTATTATTTTCTTGGAACACTTTTCTTGCCTTTTTGTTATCATCATGATCGACAAACTTGGAGAAGAAATATTTATTTAGTGAACCATCAGCTTTCAAGTATGGCAAGTCTGCCAATATTTCTGGATCACTCACATCAGGATAAATCACCACCGGCTCCCCAGCGTCAACAATATCATCAGGCGTTTCAGTGGCATTTTGCGCAGAATTGCCGATATTTTTGAAATAGTCATTAACCCCTTGAAGAGTGGGCACTTTATCCTGAAGTTTGGGAATGTTGTATCCAGTGTGTTCTTTACCGCGAGTTATGAGAACTATTAGCTGATGAAGTAGAGGAATAAGGACAACTGCTAATAATATTATTTTGATGTATCTTCTGCCCACGATGATTCTACCAAACATGATCCCTTGCTTGAGTAATGCAAAAATAGTGTTTGAGGGGGATATATATATATGTGTGTGTCTAGACTTATCCTCTATTTGGTGAAAATTATTGGTATTGAATAATATAATACTCCCCTAAAGTCTATTTCTCAGTCCACCAAAATGACAGATTGAAAAAAAAACAAGATCATATAAATGCAATGTGTGGGGCTATGCTCACGTGCGGAAATAGCATACTTATAGGCAGAGTTATATGGATTCATTATTTTGGTCCTTCATGGAGGATTTATCTAATTTTTCGTCGAAAATTGATATCAGATAATATAGCTGCTCCACTGTATGCAGTATGCGAGCATACGTCTACCCATGAAATAATTGTATCAATACCAGCCATTGATAGTATTGTGAACCCGTTAAGTTATTGTAGAATGAGATTTCTTGAGAATTTGTCCAGGAATTTTCAAGGGAGCATCAGAAATGATAAGTTTGTCCATATCGCTTTCCAAATATCATACTCCAATACCTCAATTTTTTTTTTTTTGTTTACACTTTCCTAGAACATTATTATATAATTATTATTAATACAAGAGGGAACCCTGTTAAAAGGAAAGCAGCTAAACACGAAAACAATAAATAAATAAGCGAAATAGAAAAACTTTATACATCAATGTAACAACAACGACGCCCAAAACAATATTTACTGTTCAATATATGTCCAATTCTTTTTCTGTCATGGAATATTTGATCCAGTTGGCCATGCAATTTTGCTTATCATCACCATGGTGTTCCGCAAATACCCCAGCTTCGCATCCATGACATTTGTTACTAGTAGGACAGTGGGAGTATGGAGTATGGCTGTATCCAATATCCCTGAACCAATGAATCTTGGCTTTGTCTTCAAACAATCCCAAACCAATGGAATGAACTGGAGCATCTCCCCAACGTTCATAATAAAACCCTCCCGCTTGATCCAAGTGTTCAAACCATTTGGTGTAGGATTCTCCTCTAAAAAAATCCATATCGCCAATCTCGAAATTCGACCAGAAATGACAAGTAGAATAACCATTAGTGATGGTATTATAATCTGGGTGCTCCAAATCTTGTAATAACCAGTCAAAAGATCCCTCAGCATTGACATATTGAGGATGTTCTTTCAAAAAATCCACGGTGGTATCCCATAATGATCTAATAGTATCCGGCTGGTCGTAAATATTAAGGGTGAATCCATAAGTTTTCCCGTGTTCTTCCATGAATTTGAAAACATCATAATCAATATCACAATAGTAGCTAGTCCCTGGCTCGACACGCCAATAATACTTATACTTTTGTAATTGTTGCAAATGGAAAAACGTGCCAGAATAGAAACGACACATGTTGTGGTACGACACTTGGGTGGCATATTGAATCTTTTTGGATTTCAAGTATTCATAACCTTCCTGCTGTTTAGCTTTGTCAATATGCGCGGGTTGCTCCCATTGGGACCCCTCCAATACCACGTATTGACATTCTGAAGTAGTGGTCTGTGCCACTTTCTTCTTGAATTTGGCAGGAAATGGCTTCTCGCTGATGAATGTCCAAGGGTAATGGAACTTCCTATTGAAAGTTTTTTCAACCTGCTGCATCGTGGCAATCAATTGATCCGCCTCCTTGTCCTTCAAAAACGCCACTAATGTGGCACTAGTCAACTGATAGTCTTCCAGGGGCCTGACCAATCCCGCGACTTTTGGCTCATGAATTTCCGCACCCATGTACTGTTGGTATAATTCTCGATTTGTATCACGGAGTTCTTGAGTATGACTGACCCTTTGATCGAAATGGTATTTGAATTTCCGAAAGAATTTTGTGTTCAATTGGTCGTTGACAATGATCTCATCGGCATCATGGAGGATCAGGTCATAGTTCTCCGGCATCAACCGATTCAAGCACTTGTCCGGGTCTAGCTGGCAGGCTTCAAGTTGTTGATCTCCAGATTCGATATGGTTCTTAATTATTAGAATAGTGATGGCCACCAACCCTCCGCATAATGTCAAAGCACCTATCAATCTAATTAACGTCTTCTTTAGTACTAGCATGGTGTGATTTAAAGTCCGATGATTTGTGATGATAAGGGTCCAGCATCAAAATTGAGAGATAGTAATAAAACAAAAATATTTTGGAACCCAAGCGAAGAGAGTAAGGAAGGAGAGATGAAAAAACAACAACGTAAATTTGGTGTTGGAAAGAACAAATGCTTTTGAACTGATAATTTGAGGCCGGAGTTTTCGAAAGCTGGAGTGTAGCAAAAAAAAAACAAACTTTCTATTATTATTGTACGTATCAGATCGAGGTTTTATGGAGAGGGTGGAGGGTGATAAGATTTAGGAGATTGGCAATGGGTCTACCAAATATTATCCAGTTCTTTTAGCATGAGATGGTAACTGATGATTCAGCCTAAAAAATGAAAATTGGATAATAATAACTCCCAGATAATTTGGCTTAGCTTTTCAATTGCGCCTCAATCGCGCACTTTATATGTTACCGAATTTTTTTAGATTTTTTTTTTTTTTTTTTTTAGATTTTCTCATTTCATTGCCGTTTTTGACACTTTTTTAGGACCCCTTTTCATTTCACTACAATAATATTTATATATATATTTATCTTTTTTCTTTCTTCCCTTACAAACTGTACAGATTTTATCGATAAAATAAACATACTGATATAATAATAATAATAATAAGATTGAGAAAAAAAAATTCAAATGTCAATCACTCAGCCATTTCTTCATCTTCATCGTCTTCATCGTCTTCGTCGTCTTCGTCTTCATCTTCTTCAGCATACTTCTTAGCTTCTGCCAACAAATCCTCAGGAACAAATTCATGTCTTCCATTGGTGAATTCTTCACTGATCCAACTCATTTCCAATTCAAAATCTTTGTCCTTGAAGTCCTCATGGGCAGTATAAATTATCTTGGCGGCTTCTTTAATGGCATCCTTTACCTTGATACCAGGTAACTTCAATTTTTCCAATTCTGATTTGGCTGATTGTCTTCCTTTACCAACGGCAATCCCCTGGTAACCCCAATACACTCCTGAAGGTTCGATCATATACAAATGGTACCCTTGTGAATCATGGCCCCCAACTATTGTGGAGATCCCAAATGGTCTGACAGAGTTGGCGGTAGTGTAAACTTGCACATAATTACCCAATCTGCTGGCGATTTGTGGAATGGAAATAGGCTGTTTGAAAATACCTTTGTAACTTTTGCTTTCCTGTCTACCTCTATTGACAATGTGTCTACCGTCTGGAACCAACCCAGAACTCACAACCCCAATGTGTCTATCAATGGTCTGGATTCTCTTATTGGCACCAGATACTAAGAGCTTCGAGCTCACGAGCTTTTCTGTAGCAAATACAATCCCATCTTCACACTTGATCCCTATTGAGGTCCCGGCATTTTCTACCGCTTTGGCGGCATATTCCACTTGAAAATTTCTACCATCTGGGGAGAAAATACTGTTTGATAAATCGTAACCGGTACCAATCGAAGTCTAAACATTGTTAGTAAGAGAGTTCGCAATTTTAGTGGGGGAAGGGGAAACTTCGTTTCTTGCCCTGATGGTGATGAAATAACATCGATGTGATGATTTCCGCCACCTTTAGAGACTCTAAGTAATTTCCACATGCACTTTCCAAACAAAAAACCAAAAAAAAAAAGTTATTCTCCCCTCCCCCATAATAATTGGATAATATTCAAGCGTCAACCACTTACCATTTCTAAATTATTCCACTTATTGTGCTGGTCTAAGCTAATAATGGCCCTTGTGCAAGATAAACACAGAGATTTCCTACGTTCGTTTTCTGGATTTTTGCCATCCAAAAAATCGTGCGCGCCGGGGCTGCGAAACCGCGGTGGAAATTCGTTATAATGGCGCTTTTCAATCTTTCTAACCCCCCATGTAAACAATATTTATTATATCACATTTATCATATTACCTTTTCAATTTTGAATGAATAATGTCTGGTCAAAAGACCATTCGTGTGGTAGTCTGCGGAGATGAAGGGGTTGGGAAATCCAGCCTTATTACTTCGCTAGTCAAAGAAACATATGTTCCCAATATCCAAAAGGTTTTACCTCCAATATACATCCCCAATGATTATTCATCTAATCAATATACATCCAATGGCATGTTAGTAATCGACACTTCTCCCGATGATTTGGAAATCCTTCAGAATGAAATCCGTAATGCCGATGTGTTGTGGCTAGTATACTCTGACCATTTCACTTATGAACGGATCTCTTTATATTGGATGGTGATGCTTAGAAGCATGGGGGTCAATCTACCGATCGTGTTATGTTCTAATAAAAGTGACTTGCAAGAGAAAAACGAAGAAACCGCCACGGGGATCATCAATGATGAGTTTGTCACCTTGGTCAACGAATTCAAAGAAATCGAATCCGCGATCAGATGTTCGGCAAAGAATAATTATAACGTCAGTCAATGCTTCTATTTGTGTCAACGAGCAGTGATTTATCCATTATCCCCATTATTTGACTCTCACCATAACGAATTGAAACCTTCTTTAGTGGAAGCGTTGAAAAGAATTTTTTTTTTATGTGATAAGGATCAAGATGGGCATCTCAACAACCAAGAGTTATTGACGTTGCAGAAAACTTGTTTTGGCAAGTATTTAGATATAAACGAGCTCGAAAGTATTAAAACCAGTTTCAGCACCACCGATGGGCTCGATGACGAAGGGTTTGTCAATCTAAACAAAACTTACATTGAGAACGGCCGCCATGAAACGGTTTGGGGCATTTTAAGAGCGTTTCACTATACCGATTCATTATCACTCGATCCAGAGTTTTTGTATCCCAAGCTCGATGTCCCCCTAGGATCAAGCGTGGAGTTGAGTCCAGTAGGGTACCGATTCCTTGTGGACTTGTTTATTTTATTCGATAAAGATAATGATGGTGGATTAAACGAAATTGAACTATTGAATCTCTTCAAACCGACTCCAGGAATCCCTAAAGTTTGGGAAGAATCGAACTTCCCGCAAACCACTGTGAAAAATGAACAGAATTACATTACTTTACAAGGGTGGTTGGCCCAATGGAGCATGTCAACCCTTCTTGATTATAAAGTGACGTTGGAATACTTGGCGTATCTTGGATTCGAGACCAAGTCTAATAAACCCAAGAAAACCCCTAGTAATAATAATAATAATAATAACAACTCAGTAGCCATCACCGACCCCATCGATCCCACCACTTTTGTATCCCATAATACCATCGAGGCGTTGAAAGTTACCAAACCTCGCCGCACTAGGAAAACCAACGGGAAAACTTATCGGACTAACGTCATTAATCGAACGGTGTTCAATTGTTTTGTGGTGGGATCCCCAGGATGCGGGAAGACTTCACTTCTCGATACATTCCTTCAACGACCTTACAATGAAGTATATATTCCTACCCTTCAGCCGCGTATCGCCGTGAATTCCGTCGAAGTGAAAGGCGGGAAACAACATTACCTTATCCTCGAGGAATTAGGACAATTAGAACCCGCGGTCCTCGCGAACCACTCGCGTCTTAACCAATGCGATGTGCTTTGCCTCGTGTACGATTCGTCTAACCCCGAATCTTTCCAATATTTGATCGACCTTCATACAAATTATCCACAAATCAACGAATGTCCCATTGTATTTGTCGCCCTTAAGGCAGACCTTGATAAACAACAGCAGCGCTCGATCATCCAACCGGAAATCTACACTAAGAATTTGCAATTGAATTCCCCGCTACACGTTTCTTGCAATTGGCCATCGTCGGTGCTTGAATTTTTTTTGCAAATCGCGGAAGCAGCACAGAACCCCAGCAAATATACCCCGAACATCAGGGATGAATTGGTGAGTCAAGATGATTTGGATAATTTCAAGTATTTTGTGGTGGTGGCCTCGACCCTCGGGGTGGTATCGTTGATCACCGCATGGGCTTGGAAGAGTGGTTCTAGGAATTAGAAGTGTAGTCTATATTTGTGTGAATATAACGTTATGATTATTATGAATTTTTTTCGCATCCAATTTGTAGAGACGCTTGTTCTGGGTGTTTGGGAGACAATTATTTTTTCAAGAGTGGTTCTGAAACTTCTAATTGTAAAGTAATCTTGACAAGTTTGGCGCTACTACGAAAATATACGATATTTTGTAAAACAAAGAATAACCAAAACCATAATATAATAAGATAGTAAAAACAATAGTATACATAATATGTATCATAAATGCTGATACATATAGAAAAAAAGAGTGAGGGGGAAAACAGAAACAAGTGACAAGAAACAGAAGAATGTAAAAGAAATGGAAAAAAAAAAGTAGAAGAGGCCCATCCAAAAAGACAAAAAAGAATGATCACCATCAGAAGGAAAATCCCAAAATTAACGGTACTAAAAAAATAAAAAAAGTGTATAAAAAGCAACCATACAATAGTGCCAAATAATAAAAATATTCTAATGGTTAAAACTTAAAGACCACATCTCCCACAATCATTATCATAAACATCAACTTAGCCTACTCAAAGAACATGCCTTTTCATCAATTACTGTCACTCTGGGATTTTGTTGGCTTTTCAACCGCACTTTCGACGGCTCTTTTAACCACTGAGCAAATATCCACCCCAAAGAAATCATTGTAACTGGTACTGATGTTACCAATAATGCTGGACTCTAATTTGTTCGGCGACTTCATATTCTTATATTTTCCAACATTCTTGGGCGAACCGTTATGAGTTGCAGCAATCAAGGCCGCGGCAGATGAAACCAAATTTGAAGTGTTTTTGTTAGTTCTTGAATCGCTAATACTTGCGCTTCTTGCAAGTGACGGCGAAGTATAAAAGTCATCGAGGTAAGTTGGTGAGCTCCATATCTTTCTCATAATCGAGGCAGAACTTGGAGTTTTCATTCTATTAGGAGTATTTGTTGCAGTTGATTGATTGAAGACATTGTAATGACTATTACTGGTCATTGTCGCGTTTATAGTGTTATTACCAGGAGTCAATGGTTCTAAGATTGGCCCGGTTTCTGAACGACGTATTGGGGATAAATCAAAATTTAAGTTTGAGTTGAAAGATGAGGTGAAATTTATCTCATTGTTCAATGACGATGATTTGACTTCAATATTTTGACTATGATTGAGCATGACATTTCCACCTCTCGCGGAGGCAGACCACGATGAATTAGGAGCCTCAAGTTGGGGGATCTTATTGAGCAAGTTTCTCAGTGCCAGTACCACTGCTTGACCTTTTTTCTGTTTTTTGCTTCTTGTGGAGGGAGCAAAATTTTCTTTAGGAGTGTCAATAAAAATGTTATTATCTTCAACGTCACTATCATCTGTAAAGCCATCTGTTTCATCGTCTTCATCGTACAACTTTTGAGCATCACGTTTCCTTGGTTGTATTTCATGATGGTTCAGTAGCAGTTGTTGAGGCATAATCCTGAGTACTTGCCCCTTCGGAGTTTTCTGGCCAATATCCTGGTATTCCCCTGTTAAAATATCATTGGAGGAGACTGGTAAATAAAATTCGGTATCACTAAAACTATCAGTAGCAGGATCGGTGATATCGGCAACATTTTCCTCGTCTTCATCTTCATCGTGTTGAAAAGTACTTGATGGGGTGAGGTTTTGATATAATTTTGATAAATCATTGGCAGGTTCCTTTCTTTTATTGGGTTTATTCATTGACGGTAGCTTTTTAATGGTTGTCATAGATGATGATGATGATAATATTGACATGTCTTGCTTCTTCTTGGATTTCTTTGCAGATGATTTCTTAGAACCATTACTATTAGGCTTTTTGTTAGAGGATTTTGTGGTTTTGCCCTTGAGAAACGCGGTTTCCATTCCTGGTTCAATTTGCCAATAATGACCCTTGCCGTCTTTGGATCTTTCGGACTTAGTGAAAGCTTTATTCAAACTCAAGTTGTGTCTGATAGAATTTTGCCATCCTACGTCGCCCTTTCTATAATATCTAAAATTATCAGAAATCCAGCCATAAATCTGGGCTAACGTTAATTTTTTGTCATCACTGGTTAAAATCGACATTGCAATGAGAGTTGCGTAAGAATAGGGAGGCTTACCAGATTCACCAACCCCTTTAATTTCGAATCCAAGTGGATTGTCAACATTTTCTTCTTCTTCTTCTTCTTCTTCTTCTTCTTCTGCATCTTCTTCCTCTTCTTCTTCCTCTTCTTCTTCTTCTTCATCTAATTCTTCTTCATTGACATGCGCATCTTCTTTTCCGAGATTATTTGAAGTATCTTTTGCAGATTCTGTCGAAGGTTCGACAGGAGATTGACTGCTGACTCTTCTGACACGTCTGTTAGATCTCTTAATACTGCTGGTTTTCTTTATTACACCATATTTTCCCCGAGGAGGAGGAGAATTTGAAGACGGGGTTAAAAGTAACGAGGTGACTGAGTCATTTGTGGATTTATTCTTCGAGTTGACCAACGGAGTGTGAGGTGCTTTAAAGCTGTGGATATCTGTCGAGGATATTACTTGTTTGGATGACATGATGAACGAATGTCTGGAAGCCGAGATGTCAATCAGCAGGGACTTTGTGGTTCTGAGATAACGTGGCCGGAAATATAAATATATTAAGGAAGGCTAATATTGGTGTAGACAGGCCAGTGGAATAGTGGGGATAATTTGTAGAGACGATAGGTTTGGTGAGAGGAGAGGGGTGGGGGGTATAATATAACGTGTGGGATGTGTGGTTTGCAAGAAGAAGCGCAAATGGAACAATTATAACCTTTCAAATATCATGATCAGGTTCACAAAAAAAAAAAAAAAAAGAAGTGAAGAAAAGACGCGTCTTGCTGATTTCCAGTGACTGGGTGGCGGCGGGGGGTGAGACAGTATAGGGCATCGCGGGGGTGCGGTGGCAGTTTAAATCATCGGACAGGGAAGGGGGTGTTGCCCTATTCAGCAATATTTGTAAATTACGCACCGGAGAACAACAATAATAATAATATAATCATACTGTTGCTACACTGATAAATAATAATAATAATAATAATAATAATAATAATACATCTAATTTATTTAAGAAGAAGAGCCAGCCTTCTGTTTCTCTGCTTGGTTATTGTCTCTCATATACATCAACAATGGAATGGCGTTTGAAGTAAAGATCTTGGGGATGGGGAAAGAGGAGATCATCCCATTGACGGCAGCCAACGCTGGAGTGGTGGCAAGATTAGCGACATACGCTGAAGAGTCGGGGATTTCTGTGACCCCTTCAAGCCGGGCTGGTTTTTGCTTGATGTTATCGAGAGTCTCCGTCATCGGCACTATATTTTGGTGGTCAGCGTTGTCGAGAGCAGCATCGACTTCGGCGGTCTTTTGTAAATACTCAGGAGATCTTGAAGAGATGGTACTATCGATTGTTAGAAACGTTTGATAATAGTAATCACCTATTAATAGAAAGGTAGAAGGGCACAAACCTTCTTATCCAGTTTCTGAGGGCCATTTTTGGATTGTTTTGTAGTGTTTGGCAGATGGGAATTTAGCTGGTGAGAATGTGGTGGTAGTAGTAGTAGTAGAAGCAAACAATTGTATTTATTTATTTATTTATTTATTTATTTATTTATACATAGTGACGGATGGTTATTTGTGACACAAAGTTGACACACAAAAGCAGCGCGGCAATGCATGTTGAGGGGCCCCCCGGTCTAACCGCACTTGCGAACGCACCGTCACGGCAATTATTAGTATCACCAAGAACCGGGTAACCTTTTGTTCTAACACGTCGGTTGCTGCTGCTGCTGCTGCTCCTTCCTGATTAAACCAACACATACCACAAAAAATAAAAATAAATAAGAAAATAAAATGAGATTTTTTTTTTTTTCTCGGGGCGTTTTGGGGGTGCCGGAGGGGGAGGGGGAGGGGACCAGGAAAAACTGAGATCACACCCCCCGCGTGAGTGAGTGAGTGAGCGAGTGAGCGAGTGAGTGGGACAGCTGTCCACAATTGCTTAATTAACCAACATGTACTGTACTGTACCGTGGTACATTATTATATATATTATTACAGCACAATATTGTAGCAACCAACAACAGCCTATTCTCATTCTCCGTACAAAACCAACAGGAGTAGTAACCAATTAGATCATCACATTCCTCCATCCCATCCTGTACTTCCCTGTTCCCTCTCTCTCTCTCTCAATATTTTTTTTTTTTCCTTCCCCCTGTTGAAGCCCCCATCATTCTTAATTAATCTGTCTTTAGTGCATTTTTCATACAAGTTTTCTTTTTTCTTTTTTCTTTTTTTTTCTTCTTGGACTTTTATTTTTCATCCCCATTACTCTCTTGTTGAGTTTATATCAATTCCCTCTTCACATCATTAGAAAATGGCCAGATCAAACGCTAGATTGGTCAGACTCGCTGCCTTTGTGGCAGCACTTCTTCTTTGTGGGTTCATCTTATCCAAAGGCTCGACTTCTGATTACGTCCCAGTGATCAATAATGACACCAAATCAGAAACTACCGTCGTTGGCGGGGGCAAAGCTGCCGCTGCTGTTGTTGCCGACTCCCAAAAATCACCATCCAGTGATTCTTCCTCTTCCAAGGCCGACAAGGCGGCCGCCTACAAATCCCCTGCCGCTGCTGCCGATGGTGGTCTTAAGGCCTCTGTTGGTGAAGACGGTTACAAGAGATATTACTACACCGATAAGGTCGACGAAAGTCAAAGAATCAGTGCTACTTTTGTCACCCTTGCCAGAAACCGTGATTTGAACAGTCTTATTGGCTCCATTAGACACATTGAAGATCGTTTCAACAACAAGTTCCACTACGATTGGGTCTTCTTGAACGATGAAGAATTCACCGACGAATTCAAAGCCGTCACTAGCTCTCTTGTTTCCGGTACCACCAAATACGGGAAGATTGATAAGTCACAATGGGGATTCCCAGAATGGATTGACCAAGATAAGGCCGCTGCTGTCCGTAAAGACATGCACGACAGAAGAATTATTTATGGTGACTCTATTCCTTATAGACATATGTGTCGTTACGAATCCGGGTTCTTCTACAGACATCCATTGATGATGGATTACGAATACTACTGGAGAGTCGAACCAGATGTGAAGATTTACTGTGATATTGATTACGATATTTTCAGATTTATGAAGGACAACAAGAAGTCTTATGGTTGGACCATTTCTTTGCCAGAATATATCGAAACCATCCCAACTTTGTGGAAGACCACCAAGGAATTCATCAAGGCCAACCCACAATACTTGCCAGAAAACAACATGTTGGATTTCGTTTCCGACGATGGTGGAGAATCTTACAACTTGTGTCATTTCTGGTCCAATTTCGAAATTGGGTCGCTCGAATTCTGGAGAGGCGAGGCTTATAGTGCCTACTTTGAATACTTGGATAAAGCCGGTGGGTTCTTTTACGAACGTTGGGGTGATGCTCCAGTTCATTCCATTGCTGCCGCTTTGTTTTTGCCAAGAGACGAACTCCACTTCTTTGGTGACGTTGGTTACTACCATGTTCCATTCCATAACTGTCCTGTTGATCCACAAACTAGACTTACCAACAAGTGTGTCTGTAACACTCAAGAAGATTTCACTTGGAAGGATTACTCTTGTACCAACAAATTCCACGCCATCAACAACTTGAGACGTCCACATAACTGGAAATCCTTCTCCGGTTGAGACTAGACTAATCATCATGATTTGAATTTTTTTTTTGAATTATATTAGCCTACAGGGTCATCATCTTTCTTCTCTTTCTTTTTCTTTTTTTTTTTTTTTTTTTCTCTCTCTCTCTATCTCTTTATCACTTCCCCTCCTCATTTTCCATCATTCTTATTGATGATGATGGTCTTATCGACGTTTTATTCTGTTATTTGATTCGGTGTACGATTATGATACTTTTTGTGTTTATTTGTTTTCAAATTTCAAATTTCAAATTATTGTTTATCAATGTAATGAGGATTCTTATCATATATATATATATATATATAAGATATTTTTCTCAAATAGCTCATAAAAAATGGATACTACAAAACGTCTATTATTGTAAGATCTTTTGGATTTGGGATTATGTAATAGATGACGTGTCACGAGACACGTAGAAAAAATAGAAAAAAAAAAAAAAAAAAAAAAAAAAAAAAAAAAAAAAAAAATAAAAAACTCACCCACCACCTATTGATAATGATTAAGTACAACTAACCACAAGTAGTAGTTGAAAAATGTCTAGTCCAGAAGAATTGATTGCCCAAGTAAGTGAAAAAAAAAAAAAAGGAAAAGGAAAAAAGATATATATATACATATATATATTCCTTTCTATGACCAAAAGAACAATCTTATTAACCACATGATAATAATAACTAGGCCGATAAAAAATGTGCACCAGTTGGCGGGTTTGCCAAATTCTTTGGTGGTCTGAGTCTTTACCGGTTCGAAGAGGCGGCTGATCTTTATATCCAAGCTGCTAACTTGTACAGAATCCAAAAACAATACGTGAAGGCCGGGAACTTGTTTGAAAAAGCTTCGGAAGCCCAAAAGAAGGCGGAATCGATAGATGAATCAGGCAGTACCCTCATCGATGCTTTCAAGAGTTATCGTGAGGATTCCCCGCAAGATGCTGCCAGAGTGCTCAAGGAAGCCATCAAGATTTTCACCACCAGAGGGCAATTCCGTAGAGCCGCCAATTTCAAGATGGACCTCGCGGCAATTTACGAAGACAGTCTCAATGATTTGAGCGAGGCCACCCAACATTACGAACAAGCAGGCGATTGGTATTCTTCGGACCAAGCCCAAGCATTGGCCAACAAGGCCTACGTTAAGGCCGCTGATTTGGGGGCATTAGCAGGGAACTATATCCAGGCAGCAGCGCTTTACGAAAGCGTGGCCAAGAAATCTCTCAATAATAATCTTTCCAAATGGTCGCTCAAGGACTATTTCTTCAAATCCATTTTATGTTACTTGGCCGCCGATGATATGGTGGCTGCTAAGAAAACTTTGGATAAGTTTATTGATTGGGACGGTAGTTTCCAACAAACTAGAGAATGCATTTTATTGAATGATTTGTTCGAAGCAATTAGTGACAGAGATGGCCAAGTGTTTGCTGATAAGTTGTACGAGTTTGATCAATTCAGTAAGTTGGATAAATGGAAGACCACTATCTTATTGAAGATCAAGAGTTCTATCGTTGAAGCTGACGATGATATCTTGTGATGATAATGATGATGATGATGATGATGGAATTCTGATATTCTTCTTATTTACGTTATAATTTTTTTTTTTTTTTTTTTAATTTTATTGTCTTTACTTCTTTGCTTTTGGTATTTGATTTTTATTTGTGGTCCACGTCGTTTTATTATTGACCGCTTTTCCAATGAATTTTCATATTAATAATTTTTGATCTTTTGTAATTATTTATTAGGGAGTTTGCTTTTTCAAAAATAAAAATACTAAAATAAAACGATTTTGGCACCTGGCACATGCATCGCAGTACATGAAAGGGCATAGCACTACACGACCATTCCAGTATTTTCGTGTAAAATATTTTTGGGTTTCAATTGGTCGGGTAACAGTTGAAAAAGTTGACATTCCGGTGGGACGCGTAGTTTTTTTCTTTTTTGACTTCTCGACGCGTTTGATATCCATTTGGTTCTAGGTATTGACACTATCATTATCATATTTATCAAAAATGGCAAACAATGAGAGAAGATTGAGAGCAAGGCTCATGCAAATTAGGATTGCACAATGCAAAAAAGCTATGCCTGTCATCGCAGCAATTTACATTAATCATTCAACTTTAGAAATTATTTTTGAACATTTCGGGTGTGGGTTGTCACGTTTGCCGAGGGTAAGCGTGACTTTTAGACCATGTGACTGCTTCAGTAGTTTTTATGATTTTTGGAAAACAAAACTGCAATTTGCAGTTTTGTTTTCAAAAGATACGGACTATGCAACATTTTATTTGTAAGCAAATACAAAAGCTTAGTAATGTGGTTTTGAGCCATGCAAAAAAAATCAGTAGTTTTATTTAGTATTTTTATTTTTGAAAAAGCAAACTCCCTATTTATATATATATGAATGCATGCAATCTATTTATGGACATGGTAATTGAGAGAAATTGAAAAGCTACCCTCGTTTTCTTGTTTTCCTAGAATAATCACCCAACAAGCTGTGTGATATTTGGCTATACTCAATTCGGCGGAAATCACAATATTTACCTTCAAATATATATAGTAAGGCAGGCACACTTGATATGGTGGCCACCGTTGAAATGTGTTTCTTGAAGTATTACAACCAAAGGACTCAAGACATATATATAAACAATAGTTACGGACTTACATTAAACGAGAATTTCAAGAATGAAAAAAAAAAAAAATATTTATTAATTTATAACTTGTCAGACTGCCACTCACGCCCACCCTAGGAGAACTCCTTCAAAGAAGTATGTTCAGCAGGGTCGAAATCATCGCTCCTTTCTAAAGTTCATATAATAAACCGTCGAACAAAAGAATAGTAAGAAATGTAGATGACTGGATCAACTAGGATCACAGAGCAAGCTATTTTCAAACCTCATTCTAGAGCATGAGGGTTATTGCCTCATCAACCAAGTTGGATTCAGTGGCTCTTTTGAAGAGTCAAAGAGAGACGTTACCTATAGAAATGATCCTACTTTTGAAGGCGTTAGTTTCCTGAATCCAAGCACTTTAGCAACATTTTGGAGAAGGGGAAAAAAAATGGTAATAATACTATTGAAAACAATAGTGAAAAACCATATGGGAGGCTACTTACTGAAGTACGTCGACAAAGAAAGGAAAAAAAATTCAAATGAAGGCTCTAATTAAATTAGAGGATCACAGGCCCTTTATATAGTGCAAAAAGTTGGTCGGCTATGTTACCCGGACAACAAAGAAAATTTTTATGAATTCCTAAAAATAATAATAATAATAAGCTCTTCTGTGACTTTTACGTTGTTTTCTAGTAACGGAATTTCTACCGACGACGGTAATAATTCATGACATGCATTATTGAGATCACTTTAGATAAACCTCATTTCTTTTTTTGTTCTCTTTCTACTTTGGTAGAGATTTCGCTTCTCGAACATTAAAGTTTAGTTGCACTTTAGACTAAAGCCTCAATAACTTCTGCAAGATCTTCTAAAATGCACCCTTGGACAAAAAGAAAGTAGTGAAGCCTGTGTATCCAAGAACTTATTATGCATTTAAATGGTGCTATGCTTATGCTATGATAAATGCTGTAAAGTACTAACCTCAATTTTTCAATAGCTGTCTGTATATTGATTGGACTTAAGGCGAGTGTTGAAGATCTTTTAAATCTCCAATGTTTTGTTTGTATACGATCTTCACCGTTAGATCTCTTTTATTTTTTTTTATTTTTTTTTTTAAATTCATGTAATGTTGCCTCTCTTCTGGCTTTTCGTCAAAGATTTCTCATTTCTTTTTGTTTTGTTGATAAATTTCACCTCTTTGCCAATACTGGTAATGAGAAGGAAAAAAAAAAATTTTTTTCTCTTGTGACTATTCCAGTTAAAAAAAAAGTGGGTTAATAGTCAATACTAACACAATGAAACAGTTTCATTGCAAATGATTATTAAACATTCACCACTATCAATCTCGTTTACCTCTAATTACAGGCAGTTGAATTGTGCAAAAGCCCTCCCCACTCCCCACTCCCCACTGATATTTTAGATAAAAAAGCATGCATGCTGTAGATGTATGTATACAGGGTGTGAAATAAATAACAACAACTGGAAACGTTTAGTATTACTATTATTACATGACACACAAGAATAACCATTTACGGAAAATAGAGAACGACAAAAAAAAAAATTACTGAATATTGCCTCTACCAAGTGAAAAGGAAAAGGCAAAGAAAAGTTTAAAATTCGTTCTATTCTTTTTTTTTTTTTTCTTTTATGTTTTTGCATGTCAGCAAAGCTTGAAGAGATTTTCTTTTCTTTGCACATTTCGTATTCATAAAATACACCCCAACCGTTTCAGCCACATTATAAAATACTTGGTTACTCTCTCCCTTTAAACCCCAATTAATTAAAAAAAAAAAAAAAAAAAAGAAGCTCTCTCAATAATTTAAGTCTCGAATTGTGTACTTTTTGCCAATCAAGCATGAGTGAAAGTGACAATAAATCCGTAGGTGCGGAGCACCAACAACCACACACTCCGACCAAATCTATTGGGATTAGAAAAGTCGAAGTGTTGTCGGCCCAATATGGTGATTGGAAGCTCAGAATATTACTCTTCATTTCAATTTTCTTTGTCGCGTACACATATTCCATCGATGCCACTTTCAGAAGCCTTGCCCAACCATTAGCCACCGCTAGTTACGCTGAGCACTCTTTGATGTCGACGGTTAATGTCATTCGTGGGGTGGTGGCGGCAGCAGCCCAACCAACTTATGCCAGATTATCCGATAGGTTCGGACGTTTGGAATTATTCTTGCTTGCCATTGTGTTTTACGTGATTGGTACCATCATCCAATCTCAAGCGACCAACGTCAACAAGTTTGCTGGTGGGGCGGTGATGTACCAAATCGGTTACACCGGGGTGATTGCCATTATCCAGATCATTCTTGCGGATTTCTCAAACTTGAATTGGAGATTGACAGCGTCGTTTATCCCGGCGTTGCCATTTATTATCAACACTTGGGTCAGTGGGGATATGACTTCGAGTTTGTATGCCCATCATGGATGGAGTTATTCGGTTTGGATCTTTGCGATTATCTTCCCATGCTCTTGTATTCCTTTGGTATTGTGCTTTATCCATATGCACATCAAGGCCAGGTCCACCGAAGAATGGCAAGCAATCACCGAAGAAGAGTCATTGGAAAACGAGAAAACTCATAAGTGGAACTCCTTCACCGATAACGTGGCGGTCAAGTACTTTTGGGATTTGGACATCGTGGGGATTTTGCTTATTATTTGTGTGTTAGGGTTCATTTTGGTGCCGTTCACTTTGGCGGGTGGGATCCATGACAATTGGAAGAAAGCATCGACGATTGCCCCATTGGTCATTGGGTTTGTCCTTATTCCGGTATTTATTGTTTGGGAAGGCGAATTTGCTAAAACCCCAATCATCCCATTCCCACTCTTGAAAGACCGTGGGGTCTGGTCAGCATTGATCATTGCCATCTTCATTGATTTGATTTGGTACATGCCTAACGATTACATGTACACGGTGTTGATTGTCGGGATGAACGCTTCGGTGAAAGCGGCCACCAGAATCGTTTCGTTGTACTCTTTTGTTTCCGTGATCACCGGTCCACTCGTGGGGTTGTTGGTGGTTAAAGTTAGAAGAGTTAAAGGGTTTATTGTTTTTGGGGTGGTGATGTGGCTTGTGGCCCTCGGGATCTTATTACACTTCCGTGGGGATAATGACGGGACCACCGAATCCCAAAAGTTCCTCGATGGGGTCATTGGTGGGTTGTGCTTGATGGGGTTCGGGGCCGGTTTCTTTACCTATTCTACCCAGGTGTCGATTTCTTCGGTGACGTCGCACGAACATATGGCCACCGTACTTTGTTTATACTTGTCGTTCTATAATATCGGGATGGCGATCGGGGCTAGTGTTTCTGGAGCCATTTGGACTAATAAGATGCCTGGCTACCTTAATAAGGAGTTCCTTAAGCTTGGGCTCACCCAAGAGTTGGCGGATAGTGCTTACCTGGACCCATTTAGCTTTATAGTCACTTATCCATGGGGATCTTCTGCGAGAATCGCGGTGGTTCAGGCTTACGCCGAAACCCAGAGGTTGTTGTGTATTGTTGGGTTGGTGTTATGTGTTCCATTGTTGGCGACAACGCTTTTCTTGAGAGATCATAAATTGGATAATGTTCAATCTTTGGAATTGGTGGATCCAGAAAAGGCCATCGAAGAAGAAAAGAAAGGCGAAGTGGTGGTGAACAATTATGATGAAGATTATATTGTCAGATTTTTGAAAAAGTTGGTTTTTCGCAAATGAGAAGAGATATATATAGATAGAGAGAGAGAGAGAGAGAGAGAGAGTGTGTGTGTGTGTGTGTGTGTGTGTGTGTGTGTGAGGGAGAGATATATAGATAGATGCATGGATAGATAGATAGAGTGATTATTATATTTTTTTTCTTTTTCTTTTTCTTTTACCTTGTTAATTTTATTGTTTTTATTATTATTTAGTTCTATTGTAATTAGATTATTTTCTGGTTTTAGAGATTAGATCATCATCGTTAATATGTTAGACCCTGTATCATTAACATTGGCTATGATGGGATGGGCTTGTGAACAGGATATCAACATCCAATGAATGAAGCGTAGAACTGTTTCAATATTTTACAATAACAGCAAAATGAGTGAAAAGGGAACTTTACTGGGCTCCATATGTATGTTGTTGGTGGATGCTTGGCAATACAATAATAGGGGAGGGGGATAGATACCCTTAAATGCAACGATGGCAAATAATAATAATAATAAATAATAATAATAATAATAATAATAATAATAATAATAATGATTACAGCAATCAAGAGATATGAGGAAATATACTAATCTAATGATTGTGGCTTGGTATATAGCTAAGACTAAGACTTAGTTATTAGTTATTAGATGTTAGAGGTCTCATTCTAGTCAGGTAATGGACGCAGTTAAATTGGGATTGGGTGCACACGGTTAAATGACGGACGGCACGGATAAATCAAGGGGGAGCACGGCTTAATGTGATGGAGCCAAAAAACAAAAATCTTTATCGCACGCGCACTGGAAATAAATGGCTTATCAGTATTATCATCATCTATCAAAAAAAAAAAAAGATAATTGTAGAAGATACACGATGATTAAGTAAGGAAGGGGGGGGGGGGAGGGGAAGCGAATCATGATGGTAATATTAATAATAATAATAATAATAATAATAATAATAAGAGTGTAATTTAACAGCCATCCTTGTAGAATGGCGGTATTTTAAAATTCTAAACTTTGATTGCAAGGATCAACCAAACCAAATTTCTGATACGATGATACTGTTATTTCTTATTTGTTTTTTGTTTGTTTGCTTGCTTGGTTGACCAATTAATTGACCAATTGGTGGACATCGGAACGCGACCCCCCCCCTTAAAGTAGCTATGTTTTGCCACACAGAAAAAAAAGCAAAACACAAAGGGGGAACTGGTGGGTGGTGGTGTGGTAAGTTGAGATATAATAGATGTCAATGTACATATACACTGCTATTCTTCAGTGATTGCCGGATCTCATTGATGTTGTGGAAGAGTATTAAATTTTGCCTCTTTCCACATATTAAGTTTCTGTGGGTTGAGGTGTGTATTCAATCAAGATCTGAGAAATCTTCTGGGATTATTTTCACTTTTAATTTTCTTTTCTTCCTCCTCCTCCTCCTCCTCCTCCTCCTTCTTTTTTAATCTGGTGTGTGTGGCACTCGCTTGTATATTATTATTATTATATTATTCTCCACGTAGAGTGATATACAATAACCATATATACCACCAGATATCAACAATAAATAAATAAATAAATAAATAAATAATAACAATAATAATAATAATAATAATAGTCACTGAGGAGTGAAGTGAGTGCACCTGCACCACCAGCACGGTCGCTTCCATTCTCGAGAATTCGCACCAATTTTTTTTTTTTGTTCTCTTTTTTTTTTTTCCAGGAAGATCATCGCTGCACCGCCATTTTTAAGGTTATTTTTATAATATCACCGTAATTATTGGGTGCCACAAGGAGTCAACCTATTTCATCTGGTATCACTTAATATATAAACATATATATATATATCACATATATATGGGTGGTATACCCAATATTTTCTAACCTTTATCACCTCGATATACACTCCCTTCGCCCACCCTATATCTCTCTCTCTCGTTAAATGTCACTTGGTCAGCTCCCTTCAGAAATCCTTTGCCAAATCTTTGGTTACGTCCAAGATACCCGACAATTGTTGAAGATCCATCAAACCATCCCCCATCATGAAATCAAGAAATGTATCGAACTCCATCTTTTCAAAGAAGTCCAACTATGTAGCTGGGAATGCTTCCACGGCCACTACTACCAATCCACCATCGGTGACGACAATGACTTGGAAATCCGATTGATCGATTCCAAAAATTCCCCCTCTTCCATCTTGATAAATGTCGACACCCTCAGCTTCGAAAAACTATCGCGGTACAAACATAACGTGAAAAACATCACCATTCCCAACCATTATCGTGGCGATATGCCCGAGTTTTTCAAGCTGAAAATCGCCGAGTTCATCAACACTTTACCCCAACTACAGAGCCTTGTCACTTATTACCAACTACCCCCGATCGCCACCCCAATAATCTCCCTTGTTGAGCACCATAACCCTTCCAATTTACAGAATTATAATCTTTCCCGTTTGAAATACTTGCAAACCAAGTCTGGTAACCAAATGTCAGAACCCATCAAAGCCCCTGAATTGCAAACTTTGTCCACCACCATTTGTTTGAAAACCCTTGACGGTACCACTTGGAAATCGTCTCCCAAACTCAGGGAGCTCGGCATCAACTCCATGAAAAAATTGAATTGTCAGCAGTTGAACCATGAAAATTTCCAAAGCCTACAAAAGATAAAGATCTCCCAGTGGGATTCCGACTCAATGATGATGTTTGAAATCGTGGGGACTTGGAATTTGGATAAGTTGCGGATTTTCTCGTTTGATGGCAACCATAAAAAAATCAGCGACTCTAGCTTGTCGAAAGTCATTAGTGGTCTGAAAAATATCGATCAATTGAACTTGACCAGGTGTTCGTATCATAGCATGGACGAATTGCTGACCCCTTTAAAACACTTGAAGAATCTACACTCGTTGGATTTGACCGGTAACAAAATCAGCGCATTTTGTATGTTGGAAAATTCCAACTTGCACAACCTCTGCTTGAACGACAACAAAATTAATGACCTCAAGAATTTCCAATACCACCAAGATTTACAAGTGTTGCAATTGTCGAAAAACCATATTTTACAATTACAACATTTGGATAATTTGCAACAGCTCAAGGTGTTAGATTTATCCTTCAATAAGATCTACAAGATCCAGAATCTTGAGACTTTGACCAACTTGGAAACCTTGGACCTTCTGCATTGCTACATCAAGACCATCGAGGGGTTATCGACCCTCACCAACCTCAAGCATTTAAACTTGAACCATAACCATCATATCAAATCCATCGAGAACTTGGAAACTTTGACCAACCTCACCCATTTATCATTATCTTACACCCTGATTGGGAAAATCGACAATTTGCACTCGTTGACCAATTTGGTCAAGCTCGAATTATCCAACAATAGATTCACTATCGTCGAGAACCTACAGAATTTGCTCAATCTTCAAACCCTTGATTTGCTGAAAAACCAGGGTCAATTGGACGTGGCACGGTTCGCCAACTTGAAGAAACTTCGTAATATCGATCTTTCCGGGGGGTGCCAGTTGATCAATTTACAGTCGTTGCGGAAATTACCCAATCTTTGGAGGTTGAATTTAACCGATAGTTCATGGCACTCTCAAGATCTCACCTGGTTGAAAGATCGTAACATTGATTTATGTGGCGTTACTATTGCCGATCACAACAATAATGCTGGTGGTGGTGTGGGAAGTATGGCATCAAGATTCTTTTCCGCGTTATTCGATTATATTTTGATCTATTGATATTTACTAAATAAATATAATTTAGATTAAGAAAAAAAAGTTTTTAGTTTTTTCAATTGTTTTTTTTTTTTGTTTATCATTTTTCATTTTAATTCTTTCCATTACTTTTTATTTTTTGGTGGCTTATTTATTTATTTATTCATTTATTTACTTATTTATTTATTTATTTATTTATTTATTTATTTATTTATTTATTTATTTTGCTTGTTTGCTTGTTTGCTTTTCTGGTTTATATCATTTCTTTATACCCATTCTATCGGTTGTTGTATTTCCAACATTCTTCTATATTCGCTTTTCTTTGCTGAACATTCTTATTATTATGAATATATTCTATCGGTTATGTTCCAATCTTTGTAGAGAAAAACTAAGGAATGGTATGTATGAACCCACCCATTTTCACTGGATCCTTGGGGAGGACCTAATAATAATAATAATAATAATAATAATAATAATAATAATAATAATAATAATAATAATAATAATAATAATAATAATAATAATAATAATAATAATAATAATAATAATAATAATAATAATAATAATATTATGATGTTTCAATTATACAAGATCATCCATCTTTAAATTCCCCTCTCCCCCAAAAATCTTCACATACACTACAAAACTTCACAAAATCATTATAAAAAATTATACGGAATATTAATTACTTATTATAACTTTGTATATATGACTCAATAATGCGAGTATATGAGAAAAGTATATCATAGTGGGGAAAAAACCATGTTTTTTTTTTGTTTTTTTTTCCTATTGTAGATTAGAGGCAACAACCAACGCCAAAATATAATGATAATGATAAAAAAACCAATGCAAAAACAATCTTAAAATGATGCGAAAGATAGCAAATGAAACAAAAAAGAAAAAGAAAAACAAGCAGCCACCTGCTTAATGTTGGTGGGTGTGGATTTCTGGAGAATGTTCAACTCTAATCAAGTCTCTGTACTTTGGTCTCCACATTTGAGATTTCACCCATTCATGAGCGGCGTCATAATCTCTTGGAACCTTGACCTTTCCATCATTTTCAACTCTGGCCAATCCTTCATTCACAGCTTGCAACATCACGGCAGTGGCAATTCTAGAAGAACATTCGACAATTTGTTCCACTGGCGGCAAAAGACCAGCCTTAGGGTCGACCTTCTTTGGAGAAAGTTTGGCCAATTCATCAACAGCAGCACTAATCATCTTTTCACTAATTTCACTAGCTCTACTCAACACCGCACCGAGACCAATACCTGGGAATGAGAAACAATTGTTGTTTTCGGATGAAACGTACCCATTGACCGGCTTGAATGGAGACCCAGTGGCCACCAAGGCATTGTTGTCGGTCCATTCCATAAGATCCTTTGGAGTGGCTTCGTGAAGTCTGGTTGGGTTAGACAATGGGAAAATAATTGGTTGTGGGTTGTGAGCGTACATCTCCTTGACAACTTCTTCGGTAAATGATCCTGGTCTAGTAGAACAGCCAATAAGAATCGTTGGCTTGACTTTAGAAACCACTTGCAAAAGTGATTTGGTGTCAACCCCTTCCCAATCACTGGCACGGTCGGCATAAATGAGTTGATCTTCACTGGCCAAAGTCGAGTCCATGGAATCAATAATAAGACCATGACGATCAATACAGTGGATCTTTGATCTGGCTTGTTCTTCGGTGGCACCATGAGTGTGCATATGGGAGACAATTTGGTCAGCAATCCCAAGACCAGCAGAACCCGAGCCAAAAATGACAATCTTAGAGTCGAGCAATTCACGCTTGGTAAAGTTCAAAGCAGCAATAATCGAGGCCATGACCACGGCACCAGTCCCTTGGATGTCATCGTTGAAGCATGGGAGCTCTTTACGATAACGTTTCAACAAGTTTCTGGCGTTACCAACCCCGAAATCTTCAAAATGCACAATGGCATTAGGGAAAAGCTTCTTGACTGATTGCATGAAAACATCGGCAAATTCATAGTAAGCTTCCCCAGTGACTCTTGGGAAACGGTTACCCATGTAGAGTTCATCATTGGCCAATTCTTGGTTGTTAGTACCGACATCTAGACAAATTGGAATACCACGGCCTGGGTGAATACCACCACAAAGGGTCATCAACGCCAATTTGGAAATGGCGATACGGACCCCACCGGCACCTTGGTCACCAATCCCAAGAATACCTTCACCATCGGAAACGACAATATAATCAACATCCTTATCTTGACCAAAGGCAGCCAATCTTTTTTCGACAGACTGAGGGTCGGTGATATCCAAGAAACAACCTTCTGGTCTTCTAAAACGGTGACTGTAGGCAGCAATGGCATCACCTTCGGTTGGAGTGTAAATAATTGGCAACAATTCTCTGACATGACGGCGTACCAATTCGTAAAACAAAACTTTATTCTGTTGTCTCATACTGGTACAAAAGTCATTCTTGGCAAGAGGGGTCTTGAGGAAAGATAGTTGCTTGTAAGCTCTTTCAACTTGTTCGTCAAGGTTGTTGATTTGTGGGGGGAGCAAGCCTTCAAGACCAAAGGCCAATCTTTCTTGTTTTGTAAAAGCAGACCCTTTATTGAAAAGAGGAGAGTTCAACAATTGGAAACCGGTCAAGCAACATTCGATAGGGCCTTGCGCAGACAATCTTGTCTGTTTTGGTTGCTGTGGTTTGTAGGCACTTTCACTATAAGTCATCTTGTGTATTTTGATTATTATTATGTTATATTTTGGTGTGATTTGGGGAATCAAGAGGAAGTGAGAGATATAATAATAAAATTGACAAAAAAAAAAAATAGAAAAAGAAAAGACTACTCTTTACGTATTGTATATATTGTGTGAGGAATCATGGAGGATTATATACTTCTCACCCACCCACTACTGAGGGGAGCAGAGAGAGAGAGATGAGTAGTGCGAGTAGTCGACGGTTGGAAAAAAAAAAAAAAAAAAAATTCACCCGTAGATGCCCGAGGTTTTCCTGTGGCCGGAGTACTCCGAAGGCAGTATGCGGCGCCGAGGCAACGACCCTATTGATCGCTGTTAGTTGTGTTGTGTTGTGCTGTAGTTGTTGTTAGTTTGGCTGTTATTGATATATCATCATTATGATTATTACTACTACTTCTACTATTATTATTATTTGGAAAGAAAGATACATATTAGAGAGATGGCATTTTATAGGATATAGATTCCCATTTGTCTACAATTTTGGGTGTGTCTGGTGCTCCGGTTTGCTCCCGTCAGAAAGGGGCCGCTTTGACGTGGAAACACGGAAGAATTTTTTTTTTCCTGTTGTAACGATATGACAATAGAAATAAATGTATAACATTTAGTAAATGCGATGGCTGTAACCTCTTGTTTGGTTCATGTTGCGGGGCGACTACCGATCGTCGATGAAACAGCTGATGTGATGCCTATATGTTTAATATTTACCGATAGTGTAGAGTGCTTATTAGCATACTTATTTCATTAACCAGAGACATCCATCGAAGGTTATGTTATGCCTCTGTTGAGTACTCCGTTTGTGCGTTACGTAATCACTTCTAAGGTGTTTACTTGTCTACCCCACCAAAAAAAAAAAAGAAAAAAGAAAGAAAGAAAGAAAAAAATTCTTCTTTGTCGATCTGCATTCACCCTGTATCACGTGGATGTGGGGTGTGTGTAGTGAAGAAAGAAAGAAAGAAAGAAAGAAAGAAAGAAAGAAATTGTGTTCCGTGGGCTGTCGATATTTGTTGTTTAGCGAGGGTCACCTTCTCAACAAAAAAGAAGATCAGTTGCAAGTGACGGTATCCGGGAGGAGAAACGCTGTAGCATCATCATCAACAAAAAAAAAAACACCCTCCCCGATAAAAAAAAAACGTCTAATTTGATCGGGAGATACAATGCAAGGTCACATGACAATTGGCATGTCACCCGATACGAAGTAAGCTGTCAATAATTTATCGCTTTGAGGTTATTTCCCTCAACATTGGCCGCCACCATACAATTGTAAGTATCCTACGATATAGTAAGTAGTGTATATTTATTATACCAGGAACATTGTTCATTTGAACTGTCATGACAGCCGGTGATATTCTTGTATATCCTATATCCCCTCCCCCTCCCCCTCCTCAACACCGTCTGATGGTTCTGTCGCTCGCTGTCGCCGATGGTCCGGCGGCGTGCTTCTGAAAAAGGAAAGTTAGAATTTGGACACCTGGTGATTTTTCCGTCTCCACCAGCCTGTGTGGAGGACGAAAAGTTATGCAGCTGCCTATTTCTCTCAACATGGATGGCATCAGATCCCCCCACTCCACCCGGTACGTCCCTTCTTCTTCTTCTTCTAATTATGCCATATCGTACGTCAGAGAGAGAGAGAGAGAGAGAGAGACTCATATATTACTTCATACCGCAGAGTGAATGTGTATCATCATGTATCTTGGTGTTTCTTCAATTGTGCTACTCCCTCCCCCCCTGGTCTCAGTAAACTTCACAGCATTTATTGAAGCTTCTCATCAGCAAAAAGAAAAATGCCTCGATAAGACAACACATCAACGGCGATAAAACTACGATGCGTACGGCCAAGTCCGGGGGGAACAGCACTGGTTACTGTTGACGGTTTATTCATCATCATATATTTTATTATTCTTCTATTTATCCTTCATTTTTCATTATTCTTCTATTGCTAGACAGATCTTGCAGCAGTAGTATCTTGTGACATATTACCATTAGTAAATCGCTACAGTTTTCATTCCAGGACAAAAAAAGAAAGATGGGTGTGACAGTCAGTGGCCCTAATTCACAATCTGTAACCCACTTTTTTGATCTTGATAATAGATCTTCTAATCAGTGCTAAAAATGAAGACAACAGATGCAAATATTAATACTCCAGGCATCGATAAAAATGGGAAGAGCGAAAACACTACTCTCCTTAGGAGTATATACTTCTACAGAGCTCATAGTTAGGGGATCGGTGAAAGATCTATGAATAACATTCACTCATAGCCTTTATAGCAAAGCAAATGCTTTGTGTAACGTTTTGTGACTTCAAAGAGAAAAAATTTGATCCTTTACGACCTTCCATTATTGGAAAAATGATCTCTGAAATCAACGGTCTAAAAGAAAAGTTGTCCGCTAATACTTCCAAGATTGTTATGCTATCAATGTTTCAGCGATGCTTATCTGAGCTGCCAATTTTCTTATTCATGTTTGAAACACAATAGACTATTTATTATTCCATATTGGATGTTTGAGTTTACTTTGTGTTTCTTGTTAATGATTCAACCAACCAGTTCAAAATCAAATCTATCTAGTCTTTGAGGACTATTATTATCCTTCTTCTTTACCCCTTGTGGGATCTTTCACAAAAGCAGATTTTTGATTATTTATACTGTGCCCTGTTTCATTCCAAAACAACCTGGATCAGTTATCATGATACAAAATTGTTCATATGGTGGTCGCCAAATGAAAAAAAAAAAAAAAGCAAAATTACAGGGGCATACTTCAAGATAATAAATCAATCATACATCAAGCTCTTAAGGTAATACCTGTTGGGTCATGGAGTGGGATAATGCTCTTTTTTTTTTTTTTTTGAGAGGGCAGCTCTCTTGAAATAGTATTTTTGGGATCTAGCACCATGTTAAACAAATTGAACACCCACGTATCAAGACATATCTATCTATCTATCTAATGGAGATGAGACTGTTGTCTAATAATAAAAAGAAGGTAATTCGGTAGAAAAGCACTTTCCCAGGGTGCAGCACCCGGCACCTCTCTCAGATACTCGAACTATTTAAATGAAATCGCTCTATGCGGGAGTTCCCCCCCATATTTGTCAATTTATCTGCTTCTTTTTATTGTGATTACTGAGAATTTTTTGCTAACTGAACTCATAGGAAACAGTTGATAGAGGGAATCACGAATTGAAGGGTTCAGAATTTTTTAACAGTCTCCCGTTTTTTTTTTTTTTTTTTCCTAAACAAAAATTAACCTTGTCCTCCCCCCTGATAAAACTGAGGATTAATATCATACAACACAAACCATAAACAATGATCTTAGGAGAGTATTTCTCCATAAACATTTTTTTCATTCTCTTTAGAGAAACTCTTGAATGTGTAATTATTGTCTCAGTTCTTCTCGCGTTTCTTGAACAAAACGCTTCGAAGACCAAGAACAATACAAGCTCATCTCAAGACCCATCATCGTCCAATGGTGAATACGAAGATGCTGACGCCTTGTCCCTTAATGAAGCAAACAGTACTGCTGAGGCTGCCATGCTTCGTAAGCTACGATTGCAAGTTTGGCTTGGGGCGTTCAGCGGGGTGGTTGTCTGTCTTTTAATTGGTGGTTTATTCATCCTAACGTTTTACGCTTTAAAAATCGATCTTTGGGCAAAATCCGAACATTATTGGGAGGCGGTGTTCTCAATTGCTGCCTCTATCATTATTTCCATCATGGGATTTGGAATGCTTCAATTGAACAAGCTTGAGCGGAAATGGCACGCCAAATTGGGCCACATCTTGAGCGCGGTATCCCAGAGTGACGATATGATGGTCAGAGCTTCGCTGCGGTACTTGTACGCTGATTCTGGAGCCTCATTTATCGATAAATTGAAGCACAGGGCTTGGATGTGGAATCGTGGTGCGAAGAGATTTGCCTCCCGTAATATCTTGTTCATTTTACCGTTCGTGACTACTTTACGAGAATGTCTCGAATCCATCTTGTTTATCGGGGGTATTGGTGTCACCGAAGAAGCCCTGACTTATTTGCTTTCCATCATTTTGGGAATTGCCGTGGGCACTGCCATTGGGTTGTTTGTGTATCACAGCGGAACTTCTTCGGTGTCGTCTCAACGGTTCATGGTGTATTCCACTGCATTGCTCTATATTCTCGCGGCAGGATTAATGGCCAAAGGGATATGGCAGCTTGAATTGCAAAAATTTATTGATAAATGTGGGGGGCTCGACGTTTCAGAAGTCGGTTCAGGCCCTGGATCGTACGATATCGACAACCTGGTATGGCATGTGAATTGCTGTAATGGTGAAGCTGATGGTCCTTGGATGATTGCCACCGCGATCTTTGGCTGGACTAATAGCGCCACCTATGGAAGTGTTACTGCTTACATTGTTTACTGGTTGGTGGTCTCTGGAGTGTTCCATTGCATTAAATACGAGAATAAGCACGGGTATTATCCGATTCTCCCAATACGCTGGCAATTGAAAAAAATCAAGAAGAATTTCGCGTTGGAGAATAATTTGAAAAAGGATAATGGATTGACTGGTATCAACAGTGGTGGATCCAGACCTTCGGAAGACAGTACGAGCCGCTTATTGTAAGCATTAACTTACGATCTTTTCCCCTGATTTTACATTTATCGAAGCTTTTTATTTGTGATTTTACATTATTCCAGCTTTATTTGAAAGTTTCTTATTATTATTTTTTTTTTTTTTTGTTTTTTCTCTTAAGGAATTACTTTGTTTTCTGGGCATCTTCTTACTTTTCTCATTGCAGAGATAGACTCTCTTACATATATATATTTCATATGTTGGTTTCTTCGACAACTTTCAAATCAATGCGCATGTAGAATCAATCTCCAATTGGTTTTCCCCTAAAAAAAAAAAAAAAAAAAAAAAGACGTGGTGAGCACAGAAAGCTAAAACACTCCAATTTCCCACAGAAATTTAAATTAATTCTGTTTTAAGTTGACGTAAATTGCATTCATTGCCTGTTGTTATATACGATCGATCGCCATCGAATCTTTGGACACGAGCCCCTGCCACTCAACACTTTTTTTTTTTTTCTTGGAGGGGATGATTTTTCTTGATGGGTGTTTTTGTTTCAACCGTTCTTGTACTTTTTCTTGCCTAAAAGGAACCTCTTTCCTCCTTCTCCTCCTCCTCCAACAACAACAACAACAACAACAACAAATAACGATATAGGAACATGGAAAATCTCCAGTTGGTTGCTGCTGGTGTCCTCACCATCATTGCTTTGCTTTCCGCTTACGTTATCGTTGCTTCCTCGTCTTCTGGCCGCGCGGTGCTCAAGAAGGATCAATTCCAAGACTTCCCACTCATCCAAAAAACTGTCCTCAGTCACAACTCTGCCATTTATCGTTTTGCCCTCCCTAAACCAAATGACACCTTGGGATTGCCTATTGGCCAACATATCTCCATTGGTGCCATGATCAATGGCAAAGAAATTGTCAGATCTTACACCCCAACCACCTTGGATACCGAAAAGGGCCATTTCGATTTGTTGATCAAATCTTATCCTAATGGTAACATCTCCAAGTACGTTGCCGAATTGAACATCGGCGACTCCATCAAAGTCAGAGGTCCAAAAGGGTTCTTTGAATACCAACCAAACGCTAGCGCCAATTTCGGAATGGTGGCTGGTGGGACCGGGATCGCCCCAATGTACCAGATTATCCAAGCTATTGCTGCTAACCCAGAAGACAAAACTAAGGTCACTTTGATTTATGGTAATGTCACCGAAGAAGATATCTTACTCAAGCAGGAATTGGACCAACTCGCCGCCGAACACAGTAACATCAAGGTTCATTACGTGTTAGATAAGCCACCAAAGGAATGGTCCGGTCGTCAAGGTTATATCACCCAAGACATGTTGAGCGAATTGTTGGCTGGCCCAGAACCAGAAAATAGATTGTTGATGTGTGGTCCTCCACTCATGGTTAGCAGTATCAAGAAATCTGCAGTGAGTTTGGGTTATGCCAAGGCTAAACCAATTTCTAAGGCTGATGATCAAGTTTTCGTCTTTTGAAAAAAAAAAAAAAGGTTTCGAAATATAATTGTCAGTTTCTTCATTTCTTTTTCTTTTTGTCGTTTATTTTGTTAACTTATTATTACGTACTTGCTTATACATGACATGTCTGGCTATAAACAACATGAAATAAAATACATGAATTGGCTTTTCGAATTTGGTTTAACCTCGAAAGCACTCGAAGGAAGTAGTAGCAGAATTATCATCAAAAGTTTAAAAAAAAAAGAAAAAAAAACTTCAAATAGCAAAAGTCCCTTACCTCAATACAAGTAGTTTTCTTTATCAACACCATACCTGCGAAACAATACCCTCATCTTTGAATAATAAGCGTCAGTGTCAATGTAAGCGCCCTTGAACCACCGTTCATATTCAATCTCCTCTTGGCAATTGTCTTTTGAATTGAACCCTTCTCGGGCATGCAAAACTCTTCTATTATCAAAGATAACGCAAACCCCTTCCTCTAACTTCAACTTGTACTGGTTCAGCTCATTATTGATGAATTTTTCAAATGCTTGCAATCCACGATGAAACTCTCTAAAAACATGACGCTTGCCACTGGCAGCAGCGCTATGGCGATACCCAATGTCTAGTTGACTCAAGTTTTCAAATTCTCCAATCTTCTTCAAAGGTGAAGTAATACCAATATCGAACGGGGCTTGGAATGGTGGAGAATAATTAACATGACGGATCAATTGATGGTCGGTTCTTGGATCAATTTGGTCAGGGTCCTCAACAACCATCGGTCTAGAGTACCAATAATTCTCACCAGCGTTATCATAATGGAAGTTAACTGGAATCTCAGTCATTGCGGTGTAGGCTTGAGTATCTGTTTCCAGTACTTCATTCACAGCAGCATAACTATCGGCAAAGAAAGAGCCACCTCCCTCAACGCGGTTAGTGATGGAATGCAAAAGTTGCAATTGAGGAGGCGATTCATAATACATGAGATCCATATGAAGCCCAAGATAACCGTTAGTGTAAGCAATATTTTTAGCGTCTTTTTTAGATTGGACATCAAATAGGCGCCCATAGAAAGTTTCTCTGATGTAACCGATTCTTTGGGCAATCGATTCAACAAACCATTCATCATTGACAAGCTTGGGTTTTCCTTCTGAATCCAACTGTTTTGGGATGTTCTTAATAAACGTGAGACCATATTTATTTAAATTTTTCATTGCCTGAAGCAATGATGGTTCGTCTTCCATATATTTATCGAAATCAATGAAAAGGTGGTTTTCAGCTTTAGTGATGATACTGTTGTCCCATAGTTGCCAATTTTCTTCAAAGTACCTACCATGGATTCTGGTTTCTGGCGAGGAATATTTTTTGAGAAATGATTCTTTATAAATGGATACATTCCCATCGGACCAATTGACTTCCATCGCCCATTCGCTAACGCCGTCGGTGGCTGAGACAGATATGATTTGAGGCGCTTGAATAGCCCTGATACCCCGGGAAATTTGACCAGTTGAGAAGAGTTTTTGTTTAGAAATAGGATTGATTGAATCCAAGGAGGTTGAGGCATCACGAAGAAAGACATTGGAGAAATTGACAACCCCAGGTACTAACGGGGTATCTGTAACGTCAAGAAATGATACAGAGATCACTCTTTCATTGAAGAAATTGATCTTGAGGGAAGGTTCTTGCGCCATGGTTGATGAAACGTTGGTCTGTTAATTATTGTTTTTTGCTTGATATAGTTTGATATTAATTTATTAGTTGGAGTTGAAGGGCGGTATTTATAGAGTTTTTGAAATGAATTTTTGCCTCCTCTTTTCACAAGTAATTCTCCAAAGTAAAATCTGATATTGCGGGGGACAGACACATTTTTCTTGGTGTGAGTTCCCCGGGGGAGGAAAAAAAGTGACGTCTTTGAAAAATTGTGTCAAATATGAGAAATAAAAAAAAAAGAATGACAAAGTCATCGCCCCCTTTGGATTATTCTCTTAACCATTGATAATAATGTCAAAGGATAATAAGCAATTAAACTATCGGAGAATTGAGATTGGCGAGGACATTGTGCTTCCTGGAATACCTCGGTCAGTAGCGTTCTCCCGCTGTTATATAGTCGTATCAGTAAATGATGGGTACTAACCTTTTAGCCGCCCAATAATAGACAAAATCAGAGATACATTGAGACTAATTGAAAACTCCCTCTTGAACGATGACATTTTTGGGATTCAGTTGGAACTTCAAAAGCCGCCAGGCGCTTCGTAAGTACTAAAACGGAAACCTTATTACAGCTGGTGGCTGGAGTACTAACCCAGTTCTTTGTCGTTCTAAACGTCCTCGTCATCTTCGAGCCCCATTTGTTGCCAGTTTCCCTGGTAAAGATATGCTTGATGCTAGAAGGTTTCTAATGGTTGTAAAAGTCTTGAAAATTGTGTATTTCAACTTGACATCTCACCAAACTATTACCAAACGAGATTTGTATTACCAAGATGTTGACTTGTTTGAGAGAAAGCAACGTAATAGTGATACTTTTATAGATATATTATCCTACAGCCTTAATACGCCCTCACATAAGCTAGGCATTGTCAGTATCTAATACACTAAATCTCATTTCTTTTCTCCATTACCCCAACTTCTGGTTTTTTTGAATCTCATCTCATCAATAGATTACTAACAAATTCAGATTGCTGCCCAAAAAGGACTTGTTTTTGGTGAGATTACAATACTATACGATGATGATAAAGAAATCATCATTGAAAGATCTAAAGGGGCTACATTAATCCCACCAATGATTGGTTTTTTTTCTTTAAAAGTGGGATACAATGTGAAATATATATTAATTGTTGAGAAGGAGGTATGAATTTTTTTTTTTTTTTTTTTTGTATGCAATATTCGTCTCCTCTGTACTGACAAAAGATAGGCAATTTTTCAAAGACTTTGCTCAAGGATGGGCCCAGAATGTTTGTTAATTACCGGCAAGGGATATCCTGATCGTCTTACTGTCTCATTTACAAATAAACTTGGACGGTTTACGTCATTGCCAGTATTTGGAATCGCAGATAGTGATCCATATGGTATTAATATCCTTCTCCAGTATAAATTTGGCCATCAAAATTTATACGAACAAGTAACACAGGTATCGTTATTGCCAAAATTAGAAGATACTCCAACCCGTAATCATTTTACAGCTAAAAACCGCGTGGATCATTGTGTTAATTTACAGTATCTTGGCGTTTTCATTTGTGAGTATACTCGGGGGTGGTTAGATCTAAGCTCCAGAGACTTTGTGCTTGCAAGAAATTTGTTACAAAGGATAGCCGAGGATGTGTATCTAGTTGAAGTGATAGACACTGTGAATGAGTATTCTCAAGAATTAGATCGTGATTTATCTTTCAGTTCACTGAACTCAAGTTCTATAGGTCTTTCCCAAGCTTCAATAACTTCTACTTTTACAGAACTATCAGAAATTTCACCGTATCCTAATAATAGAGTTCAGTTGGCAGGTTTTCTGGATTCCGGCAGTAGTGTGACGAATACAATGCAAGAATTGGCAGATAAACATACCGGATCTTTCAAGAGAGAATTACAGAGGCAAATGTTCTTTAAAAAGAAATGTGAGATGAATGTTGTTGGGGATCAAGAAACGCTATCAGATGTGCTATACCATGAAAATATTCCTAATAGGGGTGAAAGAAATGGGATATGCGATTATGTGAAACAAAAGCTAATGTCAGCGGGTTATTAAAGATTAAGTACATAAGTAATATACATTCATGGATACATATTTTTTTCTTTGAGTAATGGTAGAAATGTACCATTGAGATCAATGGTTTTTAGCATACTGAGAATCAACTTGGCATAATGTGTTGGAATAATCTATAGTTGATAAAAAGAAAAGAGTTGATCACTACTTTGATAGCGTGAATTTGCTACTATAGAACATAATAAATAAGACAGATGGCTAGATATCAGCTACACTGGGAATTATTTAGCAAGTCTGATCTCTGATCCGCACAGACAACTAAACTCTCTGAAATGCAGGAGGAGGATATATAGAACTGATCTATCGCTGGTAAAAGAGATCACACCCACACATTACATTACTTCCAAACACCACATCACGTGGTTGTTTTTACTCGAGCGGAAAAAAAAATTGTTGTTGTTTCAAAAAACGCCAGAGTGTGTAGAAAGGACGACAAGGAAAAAACGTAAAAAAAAAATAAAAAATAGAATAGATCAAAATCATTGTAATCCCGACAACAACAACAACAACAAAAACAACAACAGGAGACAACACTAGCAATTACTTTAGATAGTGTTATTCATATATATCCAATCATATTCCCTGTTATATTTCATTTTGATTATATTTGCACGGAACCTCTCCCTTCAAATTTCGCTGCCTGCTGGATCAAAAAACACAAATCAAGACTTTTGATCTGCCACATTACATAACTATATACACATACAATAATGGCTACTAGCGTCTTCAGTCTCCTTATAGCAGTGTTCATGGCCTGCTATGTCCAGCAAGCTGCTGCTGTCACATACACCTCGATGTCTATCAACGTTCCAGCGTTTGCCAAAGAATGTCTTTATTACCGTATGGACTCTGAAGAGGATTCTGTGCTTGTGAATTTCCAAGTGTTGACCGGTGGTAACTTCGAGATTGATTTCGAAATCACCGCGCCAAACGGTGACAAGGTCATCACCGCTAACGACAAGCGTTATGCTGATTATTTGGTCAGATCATTTGGATTGGGTGAATACTCTTTTTGTTTTTCTAATCGTGTTTCTACCGTCACTCCAAAAAAAGTTGAATTTTCCATTGAATTGGAAAGAGACGTTGATTACTACAACCAACAAGAAACCACCAAAAACAAGGATGAAATTATGAGTGAGCACGCCATCAGCGAGATCAGCAGAAACTATGACCAAATGAGAAAGATGCTCGATTACTTGAGAGCTAGAGAATGGAGAAACATGTCCACTGTTAAGTCCACCGAATCCCGTGTCTACTGGCTTGGTTTGCTTTCGTCCCTCGCTATGATTGGGTTGGGGGTTGCTCAAGCAACTCTTGTGCAATTCATGTTTTCTGGTCCAAGAAGTTTGGTGTGATTAATTTTTTTTTCTCCTTGACGTTGATTTACCTTTTTTTTTTGTTTTGATTTATTCATAGGTTATTAAAAAAGGTGTTTCTCACATTACATATATACATATAACTTTTTGTGTGCTTCTCTTACTGTCTTCATATAAGATTTTATTTTTTAACAATTAGTTTGGATGAAAAATATTCGTTTATTAGATGTTTTAAATAAAAAGGTTGTAAGTTCTCTTGGCGAGAGTAACTGGACAGATGGACAAGGTCTATCTTTGTCCTAGGATTATTAATAAAGATGCTGCTTCCGTAGAGTACTTGGTGTACAAGAACAAGGTGATAAATTAATTCACTTTTGGCTCAAGCGAGCTCAATTATATAATTCTAATTTGGCTTTTGGTTTTTTTAATTTTTATGGTCATTTGCAAAGGTTCATCAAAATAAAAATGCATCAAATTATTAATGAGAAAGAAACAAATTATAAATATTAGTGTAACATTGAAGTGATAGATGAGGAAGTTAACTTCGAAAGATAAAGAAAAAAAAATATGAATAAAGACAATCAGGAAAAGATAAAAAATAAATAAATTAATAATAATAAAAAAACAGAAAAATTTCCGAATAATACTAATAAAAAAACAAACAAACAACAAATAAAAATGAGTAGAAGAAAAAATAAGTCAAAATGAGCAAAACAGAGAGGATTTGGTTCACCTCTTTGACTAATGGAAATTCACTCTATTCTACTTTTTTTTTTTTTTAAGTTTTCTTTTTTTTTTTTTTCTTTAGTATTGCCAATTAGCAGATTGGTACAATTTGTACTGAAAGTTTTCAATAAAGTTCCAAATCCTTTTCTGTCATGGAGAATCTAATCCAATGAGGATTACAGTTTTGATCCAAAATGTTTTCATGAGGAGTAAATAACCCAGCAGTACACCCTGAACATTTGTCACTTGTTGGACAGTGATAATATGGAGGATGATGATATCCCATATCTCTAAACCAGTGGATCTTTGACTTATCGGCAAATAACCCTAAACCAACCGAATGAACAGGAGCATCACCCCAACGTTCGTAATAGAAACCCCCAGCTTTCTCTAAATGGTCAAACCATTTGGAATACGCTTCACCACGGTAGAAATCCATGTCACCGATTTCAAAATTCGACCAGAAATGACAGGTGGAGTAACCTTTTGCCAACTTGGCCTTGTCAGGCAACTGGTTGTCATTGAGTAACCAATCAAAGGCCCCGTTAGGATTAAGGTATTGTGGGTTTTCTTTGACAAACTCAAGACTGGTAGACCACAAGGTTGGGATGGTTTCGGCAATTTCGTACAAAGTGGCGACAAACCCATAAGTCTTGCCATTATCCTCCATGAATTTGAAAACATCGTAATCAATATCACAGAAATAGTTGACCGATGGCTCAACACGCCAATACCATCTGTACTGTTGCATTTCTGGGACGTTGTAAAAAGTACCCGAGTTGAAACGACACATGTTACGGTACGAGGCGAGCGTGGCGTATGGCAAATCTTGATCTGCCAATTTCTTCATCCCAGCATTCATTTTCTCAATATCAATCAGCGGAGGAATATCCCAAAGTTCTGGAGGAATCACCACAAAGTTAACTTGGGCATCAGTTTCCGCGAGCACACGACGTTTGAACTCTTCTTCAAAAGGACGATTGTTCATAAGGGTCCACGGGTAACGGAACTTCTTGTTAAAATGCGCTTCAACTTGTCTCATAGAGTCCACCAACCCATCAATTTCACTGTTTCTCACAAGTGACATTAATGTGGCATTAGCTCTTCTGTAATTCACGTCAGGACGTTGCAAGTTATCCACTCTTGGTTCGTTGATCTTGTGAGACATCACTTTTTCATAAAGGGCGTCGTTACGTTCCAAAATAGCCTTTGGAGTGATATCATCTTCATGATATTTAAAAGTTTTGAAATATTTCATATTGACAGAGTGATCACTGTTGAAAAGTGATTGTTCCTTGTATTTTGGATTCACGGTTTTTTCCTTGGACAAATCAACGTCATATGGTAAAGTTGGGGCATTGAATTCATCATTTGGTCTGATGTTCCAGGTATTGTAATAGTCCTTGATATAATGTACGTTTTCTTTACCGACGATCTGCTCATAATTTTTCTGAGGTAAGTTGATAAGTAAGAAACTGATCACAAATACCCCCATCAAAAGCTTCGCGGTCTTTCGACGAATCATCGACACAAACAAAAGCTGAATACCCACAAGTACATGAAGCACTTTGTTTGTGATATCCTGGATCTTGTCTCTATTCACGTACTCCATTGGACTAGCCACAATTGTACTAAGATATATCTATATAGATCGATTGCCTGACTCTTGCGGGGATGTTGACAAATAATCCTTTCTAGCTGTTGCGCTGAGGGCTTTGAATTTTTTTTTTTTTTTTTTGATCTGTTCAGGGTTTTGGATACCGCGCCACAGGTATACTACAATCTCCATTAAAACAACAACGATAATTCATATAATTTTATTTATTTATATAAAGGGAAGAGCATAATTTATTAAGATCATCAGCGGAAGCCATTAGATTTGGTGCCAGTACTTAGTAGATACCACTCCAGGACTTGAATTGGTTGATCAAACCAGAGGTAGATGGATCGTGGGAATCAATCTTTTCACCATCTTCCAATTCCTTACCAATAGCCTTGGCCAACACTTTACCCAATTCAACACCCCATTGATCGTAGGAGTTGACGTTCCAGATAGCACCTTCAACGAAAGTGACGTGTTCGTAGTAAGCAATTAAAGCACCTAAGGTTTGTGGGTCGATTTCCTTGGCCAAAATTGAGGTGGTTGGTCTGTTACCTTGGAAGATCTTGTGAGGAACCAAATCACCAGTGTTACCTTCGGCCTTCACTTGTTCTTCGGTCTTACCCAACATCAAAGCTTCAGCTTGGGCAAAGAAGTTGGAAGCCAACATCTTTTGGTGGATGTTGTTGTTGGTTGGGTTGTGGGATCTGGCAGCCAAGATGAAATCGGCTGGGATCAACTTGGTACCTTGGTGGACCAATTGGAAGAAAGAGTGTTGGGCGTTAGTGGCTGGTTCACCAAACAAGATGGTACCAGTTTGGTAGTTGGTGAAGACGTTACCTCTGGTGACGGACTTACCATTAGATTCCATGGATAATTGTTGTAAGTAAGCGGCAAATCTGTGCAAGTATTGGTCGAATGGAGCAACCAAGTGGGTTTCAGCACCGAAAAAGTTGTTGTACCAGATGGTCAACAAACCCCCAATGAAGGCAATGTTGTCCTCGATTGGAGTTTCGACAAAGTGCTTGTCAAAGGCTTCGGCACCCTTCAAGAACTTGTCAAAGTTGTCGTACCCAATGTAAATGGCGACGGACAAACCAATGGCAGACCACACAGAGTATCTACCACCAACCCAGCTTTCAAAACCAAACATGTTTTTGGTGTCAATACCAAACTTGGCAACTTCGGTGGCGTTGGTGGACAAAGCAGCGAAATGCTTAGCAATGTGAGCTTCCTCTTTAGCCTGCTTCAAGAACCAGGCCTTAGCAGAATTGGCATTGGTGATGGTTTCCGCAGTGGTGAAAGTCTTAGAGGCGATCAAGAACAAAGTAGTTTCGGCGTCCAATGGCTTCAAGGCTTCGGACAAATGGGTACCATCAATGTTGGAAACAAAGTGGACCTTCAAGTCTGGTGAAGCATAAGACTTCAAAGCTTCAGTGACCATGACTGGACCCAAATCAGAGCCACCAATACCAATGTTAACAACGTCGGTGATCTTCTTACCAGTGTAACCTTTCCATTCACCAGATCTGACGGCTTCAGAAAATTCCTTCATGTGTTCCAACACCGAGTCAACTTCTGGGGCGACATTGACACCGTCAACGCACATTGGCTTGTTGGAACGGTTTCTCAAGGCAACGTGGTAGACAGCACGGTCTTCAGTGTTGTTAATGTGTTCACCTTTGAACAAGCTGTCTCTCAATTCCTCAACCTTGGCTTCTTTAGCCAATTTGATAAGGGTAGCAAGAATCTCATCATCGATCAAGTTCTTGGAGAAATCGAAAAACACATTGGATTCACCATCGTAGTTGACAAAAGTCTTGCTGAGTTTTTCAAAACGTTTTGGGTCGGTCTGGAATTCTTCCTTAACCGAAAGATTCTTCCCCTTGGTTTTGTATAATTCTTCTAATTCACCCCAAGTGTTCAACTCGGATGCCAATTTGAAATCAGAAAACGCTTTAAGAGACATTGTTTATTAGTGTGAGGATGGGTGATCGATATCAATTGTATAGACCACAGGACAGAGTAGAATATGTGGGGGTGGGATATATATTATAAAAGATGGGAAAGCAATCAGCAAATTGTTTTTTTTTATACCGGAAGCCGCCAAAACTGGATCGTACCCCATGCTCGTGACGGTTCCTCCATGCAGTTTGGTGGGTTGTCACCTGCTTACTAATATGCAGCGTAAGCGAATCCGGACGCCGGACGCCGGCCGCCACACAATACCCGCAGTTCGTGAATTAATCTTCGTAGAATTCAAAAAACATCAAGAAATTAGTTCATCTGGCAATGATATTGATAATAATAATTAAAAGCAAAAAAAGGATTAGCAGCAAACAGAAAAATTGGAAAAAAAAAATAAAAAAAATATTATAACATTCGTCAAAGTATCTATATATAAAACAGCAAAATAAAATAACTATAATAAAAAATAATAAAACATCGGGGTTATAAAAAACTGTAACATTACACCAACACAACAACAAAAACAAACTAAAAAAAAAAGGAAAAACAAATAAATTATAACAACTATCGAACTTCCCGAGCCGTACTTAAAATGTTTAGCTGGTCATTAATCAAACCTTCCATACGTTCTTTACCCACCATCAACTTATATAATGCTTCACGAATATGATTGACAGTCTTTTCTTCTAACTTATTAAGGCTTTCAACGCCTGCAAATTGAGAGTAAACATAAAATGACCCAATAATCATAAGCAATGGAACCCAGAAAAATAACAACATTTTGTCGTTGGAAAACGCTTTGGACTTGTTTTTCTCAGTGAAATACAAATAATAATTGAATGCGGCATTTTCTTGTGACAGGTCTTCTGATTCCTCTCCTTCACTGCCAGTATCAACTTCAGACGCTTCAATAATTGAGCCAGATGACCCCACGTCACCATTAGCTGCCGAGGTAGAAGATCCTACTAGAGCTTCCAAATATTTCACGTTTTTCGCCACTGTTGGATCGCCACCAGGATACAAATCATCATAAGCAGGCAAATCATTATCAACATCATCACAATTATTCTCGATTGCTGTTTCAGTGATGTTTGAGGTGGCAATTGCTCTTGTCGAGTGTACTTCAGCTTGATCCAATTCCCCTGCATCATCTTCATCATCTGCATTATCACTTTCACTTGGATCAATAACTGCTTCGTCGTCGTTCACTAAAAATCCGCGTTCCGGAACAATTCCCGTTTCCTGAGCACCTGGACCAGCCATGCGCGACACATGATAACGAAGATAATTTTCTTCCACGCTTGATAATGATGATAATGAACTGGAGCTCATTGTACGCAAAATACCATAGCCGGTGTTGGCCAAATAATCATCACTACTGCCTGACGCTTGATGAATTTTATAATCATATTCACGAATCAATGCTTTAACCTGTAAATTACTGGTGATAGCTGAAGCCGTCAAACCTGCGTTATTTTTAATTCCTGAGTGCGCTTTAGCTTTGAATAACATAGAAACAATTCTTGGATGACCAGAAAGCGCTGCGAAATGTAGAGGAGTGAAACCATTCACGTCTTTGCAATTAACGCGGGCTCCACGGTTGAGCAAAGCACTAACCACTCTTCGGAAACCCCGGAAGCACGCCAAATGTAAAAGTGTTTGGTTTTCTTTCGTACATATTTGCCAATTTGGTGAGGATGGAGCGTTTGGCAAATCACAGACATTGATGAGCTTTAGAAGTAAGACTTCTTGCTCGTCCAATTCAAGAAGATCAGTATGATGAGAAGTATTAAAGCGAGTGTTGCCAGTGTTATTCGATGTAGAATTGTCAACACCATTATTGTTGCCTCCACCGCTTTTGTCAAGGGAGTCTGTACCAACAATTCTTCTGGCAATGTTTCTCGCATCTTCCAACTTACCATTCATTTTCAAACCAACAATCTGTAGCGCCAATTCAATAAGCTGTCTATCAGTATCATCGGTATAAGTGAATATCTGCGAATGTTCATTTTTCATGAATTGCTCACCCGTTTCGGTAGAGTTGTCGTCCTCAAAAGTGACCAAAACTTGTCCTGGTTTCGAAGCTGGTGGTAAAAATGTGACAATGGTGCTGTCAGACCAGCAATGTGTTCCAAGAGCATTAGTGTTACCAAACTTGACCTTAAGGCCTGGCTTGAAATTGACTCCCAACAAGGTGATTTCAATCCCACCACGAATTGGCCCTTCAGCAGGGATTACTTTTTGGATAGTAGGAGAAAATGATCCAGTGATGGCGGTTGGGCTGGCCAATGGCCCAGAAATCGAGCCATTCAATTGGCTGTTATTGATAGGTGAATTATTATTATTGTTGTTGTTGTTGTTAATATTATTGGACTTGACATAGTTAGGAGACAGGAGGTTTGTGAAAGAAGTCAAAACTGCTGACGAGTCGCCTGGAGACCTAGAATTATAAGCGGTTGAGGAATGTGCGTTATCAGATGACGGCGATAGAGAATTTGGATCAAGAGATATTGGACCATTTATGCTTTTATTGAAATTATTTCCAAATGGATTATTATTAATGTTGACTTTGTTATTGAAATATCTTGTATTTGAAGGTTGAGACAATTTAGTCCGCTTGTTGGATTTGCTGGTGTCTGAGGTTCGGTGATCCGATGAATCTTCATCCAAGGATGGAGGGGTCATTGGGTTAGCATCAATAGATTTTGTCCTTTTGGTACTGCTAATACTGCCATGTCTTGTTTCTGGCGCATTTGATTCTAACGCCTTCTTTCTGTCCATTATCATAATACTCTTCGAGAAATTTTTACCAACGATTTCACCCTTATAATTCTTTAATATAAAAAGTAATTTGAAGCCACGTTGAGCTTGATGATGGCGACAGTAGCAGACAATTCTGGCACTAAGCTCCAACTCGGTTGAGTTACTATCAGCAAAAGAGTCATCATCATTTTTGACATCGGGTGTATTATTCAAACTGGAATCATCATTATTGGAGTTTCCAATCCCCCCAAAAAAATTGAAACTGTAATTCTTATTGTTGTGGATTTTGAATCGATCAAGGTTGAGTGAAGAATTTTCCAACGGAGGAGGCAAAGAAATAACCTCCTTAGAATTGAAAATAATCGCCTTCTTTGGAATTACATCAATCCAATTCAAGCCGTCTTCACTGAGACCATTTTTCCGACGTGAGGCTCTTTTCAATTCTCTTTTAACACATTTTGAACAAATATTACAAGATTTGAAATTATCAGTCTGTAGGAGACCATAAAGCAGCGCATTTTCCTCTGTCGCTTCTGGCTTAACATTATCAGCCGGCAATGTATCACTAATAACAAAACAGTCCAAATACAACATCTTTTGTCTAACCTTTGGTGATAAGTTTTCCACACCATCTTTAAGACAGAATTTCTTTTTTGAGATTAAATCAGTAGACAAGTGTACAAGGTACTCTTGAGGTCTAGGAGAAATCTGAAGATCTACTTTGATTTGGGTTTCAACTCTAGAAAAATCTGGTAAGCCTCCAATTTTGATTTTAAACGGTAAATTGTCAGTAGTGGAATAATTTTGGTCTGGGTTCCAATCCATTGATTCTTGAGGTAAAAACAAATTTGGAGGGATTTGTTTATTCATGACTCCGGCATTATTCAAATCTTCATTCTTGATACTGAATCCGCCAAACTTCATGTGTTTGAGGTCTCCCATTGCCAGGTTATACACATCCATATCCTGCTCCTGAAATTTTTCGTCTTTATGATCGAGTATTTTACCAGGCGACGAATCATCACCAAGAGATTCTGTCTGTGGGAACCCAAAGGAAGCAAAGTCTTTGAACCCTTTCATATTGGGCTGCTGGATCATATCAGGATCAAGATTATTTGACACTGGAGCTTCACTTGTGGCTCTAAAATTATTGAGAATATTATCGATCTCTATATCTTCAGGGTTTTGACTGCCTAGGATATTCGAATTTTCATTGATGACGCTGTTGTTGTTGCTATTTTCAAGGGAGTCTTGGAAGCTGTTGGCGTTATCCTGTGAGGGGGCGAAATAATTGCCAAAGAGGCCATTGGGTTCGTCATTTGGTGAAATTGGTGGAAGGACGTCATTTTGAGCGATTGCCGAGGATCCTTTGCTTAGTTCCATATAAAGAAAATGGTCGAGTGCCGCGGTACTGGAAACTATGTCCTCCTGGTCTGATTTGGCCACTCTTACCTGCTCTTCGTTCTTGATCATGATTTTATGCAAACGGATGATGCGATGATTTGGAGCAGTCACGAATGGGAGGCCACTACTGTGAAAGAGCCCTACAAAATGATTGAGTGAATGAGAGACACAAAGGTAAGTGATTGATCAATCACAACGTGGAAGGCTGAGTGGTGTTTCTTTTTGTTGGTGACAGGATATTTGTTGGCACTAAGGTGATCAATGTGTGGATGGGAAGCGCAGTGATTTTTGTTGGTCTTTGTGGAAGAAAAGAAAAGAAAAAATAATAAGAGAAAAAAAAAAGAAAATCAAAGAGCGTTGTATCAGGTGTGTCACCCGGATGATTTCTATCAGATCATAACCGGGTAAAAGGTTTTTTTCAAATTTTGACACTTTTAGGGCACGTGACCTATCGATGATATTTTTTTCTTTTTTTGGAATTTTTTTTCCCTGTGGTTGGAGAGATCTTTAGGTTAAGTAAGCGAAGATATTATATAGATATAACCGATTCAGATGCTTCTGAGCCTACGAAGATCACTAGCTCATAAAGTATTACCCGTGAGCCTCCCGCGCTCAGCATGGTGTAATTATCAACTCAGCCGAAACACCTTCTCCACATCATGTGCGGTTCTCGCCAAAAAGAAAACTAAGAAGATTTCTGCCCCTAAGTCCAAATCCATCTCAATCTCTCTGTTCATATCCGTTGCCAACCTTGCCAATCAATTAGGAGTACGATACAACCAGCTTTCCAAGTCACTTGCCACTCTTGGGTTTGATGATGATCAGCTTGGACATGATTATATCTTGGATCATGAGACCGCAGCCCTTGTGGCCGAGGAATTTGGATTCACCATTATCAACGACTCAATAGAAAAAATGGATGAGAAATATGATGTTCAACCAGCTCCTCCGTGTGAAGATCTTGCGAAATTGAAGCCTAGGCCTCCGATTGTTACCATCATGGGCCACGTTGATCACGGTAAAACAACAATTTTGGATTTTCTTCGGAAATCATCGATTGTGAAGGGCGAGTTTGGAGGAATCACTCAACATATCGGGGCCTTTAGTGTAACCACCCCGGTATCCAAGAAAAACATCACATTTTTGGATACTCCTGGGCATGCTGCTTTTTTGAAAATGCGTGAACGTGGTGCTAGCGTGACAGATATTGTGATCCTTGTAATTGCTGCCGATGATTCAGTGAAACCTCAAACCATCGAGGCCATCAAACATTGCCAGAAATCCAATGCTAACGTGGTTCTTGCTATCAATAAATGTGACAAACCTGATGCTAAACCCGACAAAGTTTTGCAAGATTTGACCCAACATGGAATCTTTGCCGAAAACTATGGTGGGGATATTCAAGCGGTCAGAGTTTCGGGGCTTTCTGGATTAAATATGGACAAATTGGAAGAAGAAGTGGTTGCTTTGGCTGAAGTGTTAGATTTGAAAGCAGAATTCAATGGGGTACCAGTAGAAGGACATGTCATTGAATCACAAGTTAAAAAAGGTGCTGGGAATGTCGCCACAGTTTTGGTAACAAGAGGCTCTCTTAAGAACGGTTCTATTGTTGTTGCTGGACAAACTTGGGGTAGAGTTAAATCTTTGAAAAATGAATTCAACAAGACCGTCAAAGTTGCCACCCCATCGATGCCAGTGGAGGTTTATGGATGGAAACAATTACCAGAAGCCGGTGATCTTGTTATCGAAGTTCCAACTGAGGCGAAGGCAAAATCTGTTATTGATTATCGTATAGAAAGAAGTAGAATCCAGCAACAATTGAAGGAACTAGATAATATCAACAAGCAAAGAATCTTACAGAAGCAGGAACTGGAAAGGGAAGAGAAAATGAAAGAATTGCTTAAATTTGGGCTAAGCCCAGAAGATCTTAGAAAGAAGGAAATTGAATTATTTGGTGATAAAGAAGATGTCAGTGATGGCCCAATTCAGGTTCCGTTCATTGTCAAGGCTGATGTCAGTGGTTCGTCTGAAGCCATTCAAGAAAGTATTTCTCAAATAGGTAATGAGGAAGTCATGCCAGAAGTTCTCTACGAAGAAGTTGGTAGTCCAACCGATTCTGATTTGGATCGTGCTGAATCTGCAGGCGCCTCAGTTATTTGTTTCAACGTTAAGGTTCCAAAAGATGTTGCGCTAAAGGCACAAAATCGTAATATTCCAATTTATGAATTCACAGTGATTTACCATTTGATCGAAGAAGTTACAAGCATTTTGTCATCCAAATTGAAACCAATCATTGAAACCAATATTTTGGGTGAAGCCGAAGTTAAGGCAGTGTTTAGTATCACCAACCCCAAAAACAAAAAGCAGTTCAAAATTGCGGGTAGTAAGATCACCAGTGGAACGATTGAAAGAAAGAATAGTGTTGTGGTTAAGCGTGACGGATTAGTCGTGTTCAAGGGCCTGTTGAATGCGATCAAAAGTGGTAAAGATGATGCTTCAAGTATGAGAAAGGGTAGCGAATGTGGTATTCATTTCAAGAATTGGGAGGATTTCCAAGAAGGTGATACTATTGAAGCTTATGAAGAGGTTGAAGTACCAAGATACTTGTGATCATAAATATCTAGAATGAAGAGAAAACAAAAACAGCACGGCTTGTACATAGATGATAGAAGATACTATCGACTTTTTTTTTTCTTTTATTCGCCACCATAGGTATTATACTTGGAATTTTTTTTTCTCATAAAATGAAGATGAAGCAAGAAAATAATGAATGGAAAGAAATTTTACAATGGGGTTTTTGATCTCTATTCCTTAGTCAAACTGCTTGAGCAGGAGCGTATAATTTAATGAACTTTAATTATGAATATCATTGTTGATGTATGTGTACCATTGCGATCAAAGCAAAATTCTGTCTCACGGATACTGCTCTATAAGCAGTTCGTAAGTTCTCACAAGTTAAGGAAGGAAGTGGGAGGGGTGGTTATTGTAGACACAAAAAGGAATTCCTCACTAATTCTACAGTTATTATACTCTCAGGTTGTCATATATATTAGCTCTCACCAATGTCAATGTGATTCATCAGAAAATTTGAAAAAGGCGGCAATAGCAGCCCCAATTATTGCAAGCAAGGCACCTAAAATACCGAAAATAATCAAGAAAGTTTTACTGCTTTTCAAGCATTGTTTCTTCAATTCCCGCTGTTTTTTAGTCAATTGACATATAGGACGGACCCTACATCTACAGGGAATACAGTGATCCAAGGAGCCCAAAACAATATCAATGTTTACATCAAACACCTTCACCACTGTCTTAAGAGTCTTTGGCATACTTTCCTGTGAATTATGGATCCATTTTTCAAGAAATGGAACAGCGGCAGCAATGGATTGTATTCCTCTATAAGTTGTCAAATGGTTGAGAGTCTTCGATCTTATCTTTGAATTGGAGTAATCGTTGAAATCTACCTCTTCTTCAGATGCTTCGGGAGTTTCTAATGTAAAGATTGGCACAAAACTATCTTCTTGTTCTTCTTCTCCCGTTTGCGCACTTTGAAAGGTTAGTATCGAGATTTAATTGGTGAAAATCTTCACCATGTCCGTAATAGGAGTAAAAAAACACTTACTTTTCAAATGACTCGTCATCATCCACAATTATTTGAATATCAGGAATTGTCTCTGACATTACACTTGGCTCAGCTTCTGTGCTTTGGAGAGTATTTGAAGAGTTTATAGGTCTAACAACTTGGTCAATATCAGCGACTTCTGGAGTTAAGGACATAGTTGAGGATTTTCTGAAAATTATGATGTATTATTACTATTATTATTACTGTTGGCAATTTGTTATTTTTTATTTATATTTTTTTATAATATTTATCTATATTGGTGTGAGATGCTTATTATTTTTTATTTTTACATTTATGAAAAATCGCAACGTATTCAGAAGACATTTATAAACGCCAGAATTATCGCAAATTGTTTTTGTGCAACCATGTTATGCACAGCAAAAAAGATCACCGCTTGTCAAATTCTTCAGACGCCGCAGAAACATTACCTTAATCCTAAGGATTTGTTACAAATATATAACGGTTCAGACAATATCATTAACTATCATACACTTTATAATATAAGTATATCTATAATTGCCAGTAATTGAGATGTAATTGACCAAAATGTTTATTGATGTTGAGATTATCACATGACTATGCTTTCACACAAATATTTCAAAAAAATATTTAGAAGAGCCCTCATCTATGTAGTAGAGTATCCCACCTTCTACAAAAGCTCTTTTATAAATGGTTGAACCAGTAGTATTTTTCGATGTCAATATAGGTAAATCCACACTAGGGAGGATAAAGATTAGACTTTTTCAATCCCAACTTCCCAAAACTTGTGAAAACTTCCGCCAATTTTGCACTGGGGAGTATCGTGAAAACAATCGTCCTCTAGGGTACAAGAACTGCATCTTCCATAGGGTGATAAGGGATAAGATTGTTCAATCTGGAGATTTCATTTCTAATAACGGTCTTGGGTCTAAAACTATATATGGGTCGCTAGTATTTCCTGATGAAGGATTCCCCCTTAAACATGAGCCATTTATGGTGTCCATGGCCAACAGTGGGCCTAACACTAATGGCTGCCAGTTCTTTATTTGCTTAGATATGATGCCAGAGTTGGATGGAAAGCATGTCGTGTTTGGGGAAGTGATCGAAGGTCAGGAGCTAGTGAAAATTATATCTCGTGTAACTGTTAATGAAAATAATCGACCTGATCCACTAGCAGTTACTATCATTGAAAGTGGTGAAATGTAATATAGTTCGTTTATCTATTTTAGGTATCATTTTGAGATTTTTATGAATCAATTTATCAAGAGTTTGTAATTTATTTAGATACATAATTTATTATACAATATAGTTGGGACAATGGAAAGAAACAAATAGAACTATTAAAAAAGAGAAAGAAAATGGCAATAGTGTTAAAATGAAATACAAAAACAAAGGTTCCGATCATAACTATCCAAGATTGAGGCCCAAGTTATTCACATTAAGATTATTCATAATTTGCGTTTTTTTCGAGGAGTTTCGGGATCATTAAACCTTTCTAAAACCTCGTTTCTAGAATCATTCATTATGTCGGCAAAGATTTCCACGTTTTTAGCTTGTAATAAACGTATGATATCTCGAGACAGGGTGATTTTATTGCAAAACAAGTACAATTTCTCAAGAGTGTTGATTGTTTGAACATTTTCAATTCTTCCAATCATATTTCTTGACAAATTGACGTACTTTAAATTGGGGCAGTTCACAAACTTTGGTATCTTTTTAAGGGAGTTATGGTTTAACTTGATGGAATTTAAGCTTTCAAAATCTTGTACATAATCAATGCAAGTGATTGAATTATAAGATAAATCCAAGTGCTTGGCTTTCTTCAAACTTCTAGAGGATGAAAATCTTTCAATATTGCAATTTTGAACTTTCAAGATCTCAAGGTGGTTTAAACTATTTTCTAATGATAAGTTGAGTCCATCGATACTCAAAGGGATATTTTCCAAATTCTTCAAGTTGTTTAAGCTATTCTTCAAGACTATATTTGAAATACCATGATCTTGAAACTGAATTTTCAAAGATTCCAACTTGTTAAGACCATCAGTCAACACAATTTCTGAAATATTGTTCCCACAAATACTAAGATGTCTTAAATTTTCCAAATTTGTCAAAAATTCCAAAGACTCAATTTGATTAGATTTCAAATCAAGATTATTTAGCTTTATCAAATTATCTAAATTTCCAAGCTTCAGGATTCGATTATCAGAGAGGCATAGAACTTCCAACTCACAACAGCTATTCAAGTCTTCAATAACGTGAATATTATTCGATGAAGCATCAAGATGATTCAACACTGGAAAAGAAGCTAAATTTGGAAGAATTTGAAGATTATTTCCTGCCAAGCAAAGGAATTTCAATGCAGGGTATTTTCTTTCGATATCTATATGGGAAATCCTATTGTAGGAAATAGATAAATATTCAAGATGCAGAGGTAGTTCAACAGTATAATCATCTAAAGTTGTAATATAATTATAATCTAAAATAAGCTCAGACAACCTCTTCAATTTTCTAATATTTTGAATTTCAGTGATTCTATTTCTTGTCAATGATAATTTGGTCAAGTTTTGCAAGCTACTCAAACCTTCAACCATCTTGATATTATTATAGTTTAAATCTAACGTTTCTAAATTAACTAGCCCTCCCAAATTTTCTATCTCACTAATTCTATTTCTGGATAAGTTAAGATGCTGAATCTGTTGAAATCTTTCAAGATCAAAAATTTTGCTGATGTTGGTTCCCGATAAATTGAGGAATTTTAAAGATTCAATCTGTTGAAACCCTCTAATCTGTTCATGTACATGATACAGGGAATACACAAATAAAATCATGGGATCCAAGTCTTCGTTTTCGGAGCAGTAGGTTGAATCTGTCATGTTCACGATCTCCAATTGAGGAAGCCCTTTGAGATTCTTAGAAAACACTTTAAATTTCCCTTCGAATGTCAATTCTTGTAAACTTGGAAGATGAAATTTATCAAGATCAACATGGATGAATGGGCTGATTGCTGATTGATAGATTGATCCACGACAACTTTTGAAATTTAATTTTGTCAATCTTGTTAGTTTCCCATTTAATACACCTTCTTCAATCTTTGACCAATAGCTGTTGACCATGAAACGGGATTGATGGAAAGTAATATATAATTCGGTCAAGCCTGGAAGGGATCCAATGAATTTCAATATTCCCATAACTTGACACTGGACAATATCATCAGAACTGTCGTGATGATATATATCATAAAGATGAACCTCAAGTCGTTTGACATAGTTCTTGAAATTATATATTTTGTTTATTTCAAAATTGTCGAGAGATATATCGTTAAAACAAGGGTAAAGTGCTAGTATCAAGTTATCGGCGCATCTGACGTGAGTCCCTTCCTTAATTTTATTGAGATCCATGGTTTTCAAGGTCAATTTTTCAAATATCACCGTATTGACACATTCCACAACAAATTCAGAGTTTGTATTCTCACGGATATCAAGTAATAGTTTATCATTGCCAACTAACTTGAAAATCTTGATTAACAATTCCCCGGGAAAATTAATCATTCTATGCGATATGTATTTATGCTGAGTTCGGAAAAAATCAAGAAATATGATCTAGAAATTAAAGAGTAATGACAATTGAGCAAATTCACATCTTTTTTTTTTATTCTTTTTTGGGACCTCATTTTGTTGCTATTTATAATTGAGAAATTAGGAAGGAAAAACTAAAATTGCTATCAATAAAAAAAAAAAAAATCCCGACAGCTGAAGCAAACTGAAGGAAAATTATAACAAGCAGCAGACAGCAACTAACCAATTCCAGCAACAATAAGATCTTCAAGAAATGATTAGATACCCAGGGATGATAATAGATCTAGAATGACCATCACACTGGATCTGGTTCCAGTGTCACTACCCTCGCCTTCAACATCGTCAGCATCAATACCACTTTCCTGGCCATTGCTTTCCTCGTCCTCATCCTCCGCATTCTCAGTACAGTCATCTCCAAGAGCCACATCATTCCCATTCACAGAATCAGTCAAAACTTCTAGTTCCACCATGTTCTTAGGAAGACATATTGAACCATTTAAAGAAATCAAAAACGTACTTAGATAAGAAGTCAATAACTGAAGTAACAATGTAGGAATATCTGGGACCGTAAGGCCTAGAATATCTTATATTAATATCGATTGAAACCTACGTCAAAAGCTCGAGAACTGGGTTTTCTCTCAACAATTTTCCAAAGCTTGACATCTGATCTCTTTTAGTTTCTTTCCTCGGTGGAGGCATTTTGGTTTTTATTATAGTTTTCTTATCTATCACAACATATAGTCTAGGATCTATGAATCTTATAAAAAAAAAAAAATTGTAAATTACCGGTTTAGTGTCAGCCCAAGGGACGCTGGATAGAGTGACATTTATTCAGATCTGCAGGATCGACGCTTAAAATTCAAGACAATTGGGAACGTTTTATCGAGCACCTAATTCAAAGCGCACACCTTCCCTGAATTTGATTGTTTTTTCATCGCTTTTTTTCTCTATTTTATTGTTAATACGGTTCACAAATGGTGACAAAAGCTTCGGAGAATGAGCTAAAAAAGATCGGACTTTGAGACTAACACACGCAAAGATTATGAGTAAATTAAAATCAAGATAAGTAACATCAACGATAATTATAGTAGCAAACAATTCAGTGGATATTTTTGTCTTGCTGCTCATGTCTTCGGGAAAATAGTTTGCAAAATCATCCCGATAACTAGCTTGTTGAAACAACGCCCGAGCACCAACTATTTAATCATTCTTTTATCATTCTTTTATCATTCTTTTATCATTCTTTTATCATTCTTTTATCATTCTTTTATCATTCTTTTATCATTCTTTTATACAACTTTTATTCCTGTAATATATATATATATATAGATATCGATAACCAACCCAAGTTTTTACTGAATTCGAATTTATGTAGCTTCATGCAGGTTAGCTGCCCAGGTGCGAGAGAAAAAATTATAAACTCATCGCGATAATAGAGATAGCTATAGCTGTAATTATAATATATTATATATAACACAACTATTGCCGACTTTGTGAGGAAGCAATTACCAAATATGAGCACTACACAGCAGATAACCAAGTTAACTGAAACAGAACTACGAAATAATATCCCTTTTCAAGCTTCATGGCATCAAGAATATAATGATTCCGCCTACATTTTCATTGGTAACTTGCCTCAGCCGTTCACCGAGGAACAAATATTGACTGTATTCTCCCAGTTCGGAGTTCCTACAGAAATAAAACTTGTTAGAGATCGAGAGACCCAAGAATCAAAGAGGTTTGCGTTTCTCAAATATGAGGATCAGCTTAGCACGGTATTGGCGGTGGATAATTTGAATGGGATCACTCTTCAAGATCGAACAATTCGGGTGGATCATTGTTATTACAAAGTCCAATTGGATGATGATGGAAATGAGATCCTCAATGAGTTTGATAGACGAATAAGGAACGAAATGCTCAAAGATTTTGTTAATTATGAAGGTGATGCTGCGAAAGAATCAACAGCAGGATCAAATACTGTGGACCAGAAACATAGAATTACTGACAAAGATCATAGATCAAATAGATCAGAAAGAAATGACAGCAGCAGGAGTCGTCATGGTCACCGCCATAAAGAGTATAATCGTGATAGAAGTCGTGAGAGGCGCTATCATCTGCTGTCTAGAAGTGATAGAGAGCGCCATCACCATGGGCACTCCCACCGTCTGTCACGCAAACTGAGCGAAGTATCAAGCGACAGATATAAAGAGGAACGATCTAAAGACAGATATAAAGAGGAACGATCTAAAGACAGATATAAAGAGGAAAGATCTAAATACGAGTCACATCATAGGCACAGAAGTGGATCTCACAAAGACCGAAGCAAGAAATCAGATAATGAGAATCATGAAACATCCACTCGCAGAGATGGAGAATCCGATACTAAAAACCGTGAAGAAACTGAAGTAGAGACAACCAGGGAAAAAAACTCAGACAATGGAGCTGATCTTGCGTGGTGATGATGTCCTTTTCATCCCCGTCGTTCTTGTGATGTATTAATGGTTTGATGATGTACTGCCAAGATTTAATAAATTTGAGTCATGAAGAGTGACTGACAATCAATATTTGCTCAGCACGCATTTTTCTGATAGTTTTAGAGAATGGGGTACCTTTGGAAATTACCATAAAACGAATGAAGAGTATTTTTGTGCTGTCTTTAAATATGAATGTTTCCATCTTGTTGTTCCAAAATTATAGGAAAATAATAGTTGTATGATTTATAGACATCTACCGTTATAATATAGTGCAGTGGCCCATAGTGGCTTATCATGAATATATAATATTATATATTCTCTCTTATATACTGTAATTCAGTAATACAGATGAAAGAAAAGCCTTCACCGTGGATGCTGCTCAACATTGATTCGCAAGTTTCAAACCATTAATTTTTTTTTTTTTTTTTTTGAGTAGATTTGTTTATTACCTACAAATTGTTTTTGTTGATACATTCCATTATTTGAAAAAATCACTATATTATAAATCCATGTCTAATATAACAACCAAGAAAATAAATTTGTCTACAAACTTTGGATAATGACAAGGCAAACGCTGATGCACGTAGCCAGCATATGAAAAAACAAAACAAAAAAACAACAAATAAATTACATGAGTTAAAATTATTTCATCAATCAGGGATCATTCACCCGGAATATCAGTTCAATCACCATCATCACTATCCTCAATTCGCCTACGTTGCATACTCATAATAGGCACCGCCAAAATCGAACTTCTCTTACTTCCTCCAGCACCTATTACAAGTCCCATATCATCAAAATGTTCTGAGCTAGCATTTTCATGGTGGTTACCCAATGATGAATTGGAACCATTTTGACGACGATAGGTTTCGCCAATGATATCCTTAGGTTCCATAAATGGATTCACTGCATCATGAGCGGTACTCAAGCCTGAAGAAACTCCGCTAAATTCATCAATAGACGCGAACTGGGCTTGTGAATCGTCGTTAACAATATTAGGAGAGTAGAATTTCGCCAATTCTTGATGGGCCGGGGTATTGCGAAGATTCTTAACTGCAAAATTCAATTGGTCGCCAACTATTTTTTCAGGGCTCAAAGAATTGGAAACGCTTGTTGGATTGAATGTAATGTTTGTGTTCGTCTCATCACCGTGTACTTCATCACCATTTACAAAAATCTTATTGCGGGGCACTAATATATTGTTAAAAGCCCTAGCCGTTTGTCTGGTCGGCGACTCACCACCATCCTCTTCTCCATCACTCGAATCCACATCAGTACCACTATCATCAGCATGCTCATCATCCGAATGTTGAATAATATGAGTTCCTAAACTTGAATCATGGCTGTTTTCATTTTTATACTTATCAGTGATATCGTTATTATTATTCAAATCACACATTAAATCATTGAGCGAATTTGATGATCTTCTCTCTAGTTGTGGTGGTTCAGAAGAAAGTTCTTGTTGATCAGCAGCACCACTAAAAGCAACATCAGGTCTCTTGTTACCACCTCTATTATCTTGGAAACCCCCGATCACAATATTCTTTGGTGTATTGTTTGTAGTGCTTTGTTTAGATTTACTATCAGATACTGCACTATTGTATGATAAAATCGTATTGGAGCGATATCTCCCAGGGGTGTTGATCATATTCTGTACACTACTGGCCCTAGAGCGAGTGCCGTTGGCACTTAAAAGCAAGTTTTGCTGCTTAGTATCTTTCTCAGGAGAGTTGAGGACTGATGAGCTTTTGGAACCTTTTAGTTTTGGTGACGCAGCAAGGACAGAAAGACCTCCAGTAGGACCATTAATACCAATGTTAATTATAGCATTATGAAGCAGCTGGCTTCCTACCGAATTGGAATGCATTCTGGTTTGAGAAATTATTTTTCGAGAATTGTACACTTCATTACTGTTGGAACGCGCTGGGCGAGTTTGCGTAATAATCTTAACTGGGGCCACTCGTACCTTGCGTTCTGTTTGACGTTTTGAAACGAATTCCACTGGTTTAAGAGGTGAGCTTCCCCCGCTATTTGTTTGCTCATAATTTCCAGTAGACCTCCCTGGAGAAGGGAGGAAATTTCCTGGAGCTGGGGGTATCGAAGGAGGAAACAAAGGTGATACCATAGATCCAAGCTCCGAAGTGCTGTTTGAATGAATAGTTGATGGGGAGCCACTAGCAGTTGGTGAGTGGGGTTCCTCTTCAATACTATCATCGGCAAGTAGTATGCTCTCCCTATCATGGAAGGACGATAATACTCCTGGAGAAGAATTAGAATGCTTTCTACCCTTTGGAGAGCTTTTAGCTGGTTTATAATTGATAGTGAAGTCGGTGATCGGCTTTTCTAAAAGCTTATCTAAATCACTATTGGTTCTGGTTATTTTTTGGAAAGTTGGTTGTGAAATTGAACTGGCAGAAGAGACATTTGAAATCGCCGATTGATAATTGGAAAAGATATTGTAGCTTGGACTGGATATTGGCGACATCAGGTCACTAGGTAATGTCGCTGATCTCTTGATATCAATGACCGACACTGGCTTGTATTTTGTTGAAATCAATTCCTCCTTTAATTCATTAAACCACTGTTCTGTTGCAAGATCTCTTGCCACCTCTACCGGTAGCCAACCTTCGGCATTTCTGATATCAATGTAAGCATTATGGACCATCAACAGTTTTATACATTCTTTACTACCATACATCATTGCCAAATGAAGAGGGGTGTTTCCTAGTAAATCAATCGCGTTGATATTTGCTCCCTTTTCAATGAGCATATCCACACAATTACCGAAGTTCAAAACTGCTGCCATATGAAGGGGAGACCTTAGCTTCTCACCTTTTAAATCAAGGGAATCGGGAAACGCTTGGAGGATCATAAGTAGTGTTTGGTGATTCCCACTCAAGACGGTGGTATGGATAGGGGCATTATTTTCAAAGTTAAGAGAAATTTCATCCCGATCATGCCCCAAGCTGACCAAATGGGTGCATAGGATATAGTGGCCATAATATCCAGCATAATGAAGCGAAGACCAGCCATTATCGGGATTGATATTCTTTAGATGCTGGGGAAACCGTCGTAGAAGACGTTTCACGACAACAACATTGCCTGCAATGATTGCGTCTCGAAGCCGTAGCCTAACATCAAGCATTTCTAAGCTTCTCAGTGGGTCTTTATTTATACTCAACAAATACTGATGTTTTTTAATCACCGAGTCCCAGCTTTTTGGCTGTTGTAAAGTAATTTTGTGTGATGATCGGGGAGAGGTTCCCCCTCTGTGAGTTACCCGGTACATCAACCGAATAAGATGATCAAAACAAAAATGTGCCAAAACTCTCATTAATTCAGGACCAAAGCGATGAGCATTTTTTTTTTTTTTATTGTTTAAGAATCCCATCTCTTTTGCTTCACAGACACCATGGCCACAATATTCACCGGTAGCTCTCGTTCATCTAAGAAGCAGCTCAAATCAATCCGCCACGAGCTCTCGCAATTGACCCTGCACCGTCGTTGCTACGAGTACGAGGACTTTGTGGAATGCTGCTTCATGTTGAAACAGTTCACTGGTCTCAAATGGCCAATTGAAACGTTCATTAGATTCCTACAAGCTGGTATTTGGTCTGAGTATCCTATCATTACTAAGTTATTGAACGAGTATCTTGATGTTAGCCAGGGAATGGCGAGGTCCGTGACCATTGGCGCAGAAAAGGGGTACGATAAGGAGATGCATGTGGTTAACGTTTCGCAAAATGTGTCAATTGCGGACTTCACCACCAACTTCTTGACAAACATCAAAATATTAGATGTGCCGTTCCGAGTTCCAGGCGTTGCCTTGAAGAGAAGAAGAAGAAAAGCCAAAGTGAAGGCAAAGAAATTGCAGGAACGAGAATTGACAGAGGAAAATGTCAAGATTACAGAAGAGGCGTTTGTCGATGCTGATTCAATGGATATGGCAGAGATTTCCCGTGCCTTGACCGAAATTGAAACCATCTCAGAGTTCGATATTATTTGAAAGATTTCGTCAGAAGCGTTATTTATATGTTGGGTGGGTTTCATTTTTTTTGCACCCGTTTGCTAATTTTCTCCTGCTAAATGGATTTTTTTTTTCTTTCTTAATATTTGGCTAGTTTTCGCTCTCTTTTATTTGGTTTTGGTATTCTTTTTTTTTTTGTGTGTGTGTGGAAATATCACGTGTTGACTTTTTTATTTATTTTTCGGAGTTTGCTTTTTGGCGTGATATAGGCTGTGTGATTTATTGTGGTAGTACATTCTGTGAAGCTGAGTATATATATAGATATATATACCTATAGGTACTAGACTTGGGGTCTGTGATCTGTAGATGCCGACTTCCTCAGAAAGCACTCGGTAAATACTAAATAATGGGTTGTTTCTGTTATTGAAATGTCTAATTTTGATAGTATCCTCTTAGTTGGCTGTAACTTCGTCATATACTTTAATTACTTTAATTACTAGAGGGATGTTTTACGACACTTTGGAGTGCAAATGCTACAATATTAGTTTATTCATTTAGTATTAATATATGTGGTATAGTAAAAACAAAAAAAAGCAAAAATCAAAGCTTTATAAGAGCAGAAAATAGCAAGTTCTAATAAAAAACAAAAAATAAGCTAAAAAATAAAAAATCAATCATTTAAACAATCTCTTAAAAATGGCACTGAGAACCCCTTTAACCAAAGGCAACCCATTATCATTTCTCACCGCATCACCGTTTTCTTCTAATCTTCTTCTAAGATAGTCTTTGGTTTCCAATGGTGGTCCCCATGGAACATACTTGATAATATTGGTGACATTGTGGTTAGTGATCAAATCATAAGTAATATCATCGGCCATTCCTAACAATTGGGCCAAAGTGATTCTGTATTTCAAATCGCTGGCTTTGCCGTATTTTTCCAATAAATCAGTAGCGTTCAACATGGAATCACGGTTGTGAGAGGCAATCACCAAATGATCAATAGTTGCGTCTTTACCACTGAAAAGGTCTTCTATAGAATATTTAATCCCACGGTTGTAATTAACATCGGTGTCAGACTTGGTATCGTGAATGACTCCTCTGTCAGGTTCAGAATGAATATAAGCGCCTCTGACCAACTTGAGCCCGACTTTATAACCTTGCTCTTGACCAAGTTTCTTTTCATTAACGATAATATCGTAAGATTGCTTCAAGTACATTTGCACAGTACCAACAACACACGCTGGCTTATCCAAAGGATTGAACTTTTTGAAGAGGGTTCTTTGGAGATCATAAACCGCCTGCTGCAATTCAAACTTTTCAGCATCAACCACGGCAACCAAAGCTGGGGCGGTTCTGTCGGGATACTTGGCAGCTAATTCGGCATTACGTTTGTAAATGTGTTGACAAATCTTTGACAAGTTACCCACCAAGTTGTCCCATTGTGGCTTGAATTCTGGGTTTTGCCAATTTCTCATCACATCAGCAGGGTTGGCCACCAAGGCACTAGGCTTCAAAGCAATATACGCAGCAGGAGCTTGGTTGATGATACCACCATTAGCAACGATATTAGCAAACACGGATTCGGTGTGAGGGATCAAGATCGAATCGATACTCTTGATGGTTTCACCAACAACATGGTTGATATCCAAGTTTTTGGTACCTTCAGCATCTTCCAAAGTAAAAGAAAGCATCATGTTGTTGATACCTCTAGCAGCAAGTTTCTTACCAGTGACCACGGTTTCCCCAGCAGTGTCACCGCCGCAGTAAATCTTGGAGACAAAAGTCTTGATTAAAGGCATTGGGATATATGGGAAAAGCTTGACCACCAAATTCAAAGTGGCACGGTTGGTGGTCGCAAGACCAATGAATAGATAAGAAATCAAATCACTTGTTGGCAAAGTCTCAAGATACCTGAGCTTAGAAGCTGATTCACTATTCTTGCTACCGTTATGAGCATCGGTGGCAGCCAATGTTTGGATAGTCTTGGGCGAAGAGTTATGGGAAAACTGGCGTTGTTGATTAGACTGGTATTGTATCAAATTCTTGGAACAATAGTTTGACACCAACCTGGAGGTAGCGAGGCAGCGAGGCCTGCAGTGTGTAGTTACTCTAGAAGCAAGGGCCATAGAAGGAGAGAAAAAAAAATTGAAAAATAATGATGGTTAATAATGTGAGATAAGAATAAAAATTCAAAAACTTCAGGTGAATGAGAGAAATCAGGATATAAATGGTGTTGATAGCTGGTCACCCACCGCGGGAAACGCGCCCCGCTATCCGTAGCAATTTTTAGCGACGGGGCACTAGCTTGCTTTCCTTTCCTTTCGACGCTTTGTACGCAGAATGTAGCCAGAACGATAAACTATAATTAATGGCTCTAGAAATAATCAGTCACCGTTGAATTTCCCAAATTTTACAAACAATAATTTTTTGGGGATAATAAGAAATCAGTAAAATAACTAATGAATCACGAAGGGCAGTGCCAATCTATGCACACCACTAACTAAGAAAAGAACTAAAAGGAACTGAAAAAATAGGAAAATTGTGATATAAGAGATGATAAAATAATAGCAATAATAACAAGTAAAAAGAATACAGCAAATTGACTATGACAGGGCAAATGATAAAAAGAACAGGAGGATTCAAATAGTAATAGCAAATTTCGAATAATTAAAAAAAAAAAAACGCAAACAGAGTTAACGAAAAGGGAATCGAATCAAAAAATTGGAAAATAAAATAAAGCTGAGCAAACACTGAAGAATAAAATAAAAAAAGGAAAAATACAAAAAAAAAAAACAGCAACAACAGCAATCTAATTGGAAACCAGAGACTCAAGTTATCGATTTACATTTACTAACATCATGATTTTGAGGGGTACCAGCAACAAAATCTTCAATATACAATATTCCCTTCCGATCAACCACATATAATTTGTAGCCATCCTTTGAGAATCGTAAACTCGCAGCCTCACTCTTTTTAGTGGCACTCATAACATCACCGGTAGATACCAATCTTTTACGTTCAAAATTTTTATTGACGTGCACAATGTATACCAGTCCTTTCTTTGTAAGGAACGCACAGGCATCATCACGAGGAGAAGCACAGCACTTATGGACCAGTGATCCAATTTCTTCCAACTTCATCAACATCCTAGGATGGGCCACCAGGTCCCATTCTTTGAGATTGCCAATTCTGGTTTGAAGAATCAACAGCGGGGCGTTGAATGCCACACTTGACAACGCAATGTATTTGTTATTATATCCAAAGAAGCTTAGATCGGTAATCCCTTCACTTTCATACGAAGTATCAAGTTTTCGGCTAGCCTTCATAACAAGCCTTGGTTTACTAGGCTTAGAGATATCAATCACCATGAAACGGGATTCCAATGCAGTGGATACCGCAAGCAATTTGGCATCATCAGAGAATTTTACCACATTGATGGGGTCTTTATAATGGAGAGTAATCAAGGAAGAGGTAGCATTAGAGAATACACTACTAGGGAAACCAGTATTTCTATCAGACCCAGAAATGTTCCCCATGAACAACTCAGCATTGTTAACGGCCCGTATTTCTTCTTCAAACAATTCAAACAACATTATCAAACTTCCTTCAGTATCAGTTACCATGTCTTTCCCTGTTAACCCACATGCAATGAACTGATCATTAGCGGAAATGTCAAGACACCTAACTGGCAAATCAATGTTATAAGTGTACACCGGTTTCCCATGGCGTCGCAAATCAAACACTTTGATGATTCTCTTACCAGCAATCACAAGATAATTATTACCAAGGGCACAGTATTCGAACGTCCAATTACCCTTTTCAATCATTTCACGGGCCGGTTCATCACCAAGTACCATTTTGGTTTTTTCTTCTGGATAGAATTTTGGGTTCAATTTCATCAAGTTCTCGAAATTCTCTCCATAAAAACCATTGTTTTTTCCGCAACATAGTAATGTAGGGGGTGAGTTGGAATCGGCATCGATGTTATATACCAACCACTTTTTATCGTCAATAAGGGCAAATTTTGTGGCATCAGGGGAGATGCCAGTGCCAATAAAGTCCGATCTTTTCAATAAAGACTTAACTTTGGAAGATTGGGTAGAATATTGGAATCGTTTTCTATACACTGGGAAGTTATTGACAAACCGGATTTCTTTGCTAAATTCTTCTTGAGGGGTCGCAAACGAGCTGTTGGAATAACTGTAGCTACTGTTACCATATCTAATTGAGTCGCTATCCTTGACTGATGGTGACGTGCCGGCCAAATAGGCCGAGCTGGGTGTATTACCACTCGATGCAGAGGCAAATAAATCAGAGGTGGCAGACCATACACCACTACTAGCAGCTAAGTTGTTATTAGCCTTAGGAATGGAAATTGGTGCAGGAATGTGTTGGTGGTGACTAGAAGCAGCACCGGTACTCGAACTTGTTTTTCGGAAATTCAAGGTTTTACTGGTCACCGAGCTCAAAGACATTCCAGAAATAGTATCAGGGGCCGTATTATTGGATATCTGGGATGCAGTACGGCCCAATGATCCGGAAAATCTCGTGGTTTTTGGAGACAGACTGATACCCTGGGAATTGGAATCAAGGTCAGTGGTCCCCATGAGGTCTGTTTGTGAACTGAACAGGTTTCCATGATGTTTGGATGAAGCATCGTCATCTGGTGGTGGAGCGGTGTTTGCCAATGTCATCGATTCTGAGCTTTGACGACTTTCATACAAATCGAATTGGGTATTCATATCTTCATCTTTTAATTGATGTTGATATTCTTCATCTTTTAATTTGAGGGCAGTTTCTTGAAATAAAGATAACAATGAAACTTTACGTTTCCTGGTAGTTCGAGAACTGAGTCTTGAATAATTATCGGTGAAGCTGCTACTTTTTTTAGAAGGTGCTGTAGGGTTATTATTGGTTTTAACATTGGAAATGGATAGTCTTCGAGACTTGGAGCTCGTCATACTCTCTGATTTTTCAAATTCCGAGCAAACAGATGACGCAAAGTCTGGGATTTCCATTTTCTTGAATTTCTGGATTTGCTGGTAGAGATTTCTGAGGGGCAAAACTGGGCCCAATATAGAAGATTTGGAATCACCGCACGCAGGACATTGGAATTTATTGGTTGACGATTTCAAACATGTCAATGCAAGATGCTCTGATATTATACAACCACAATTGAGAATCGTCGCATCAGCAGTAATGTCAAACCGAAGCTGTCGTTGGGCCACATTAAGCTTTGATAGTTTCCCGGTGAGCTGCAGAATGCTCGAATCTTTAGCGGAAGAGAATGTGTTGGCAGAATTAACAGAAGAGTCGCAGAAGCCAGCCGGTAGATACAAGTTCGACTCTATGGTCCGTAAGAAAGAGTCGAATATTGTAGGTTGGGTGTCCTGATTTGACATGATGATCGTAGTTTGACTTGTGCACACGATTTGGCAACAGATTGGCGAGATGCCTGGGACTCCTCGTTGGTGTGAGCAGGTTAAACTGAATGCCAGTTGTGTAGCGATCATTTGATGGTTTTGGTGGAAATTTGGGCAAATTTGGGTGATTATCGTGCTGACGTAAGCGAAGATAAGGGAAGTTTTTCTTTTTTTTTTTTTTCTGTTTTAGTGACAGTTATTATGGTGGTGGGCAGGAATGAATGGGGTGGTACATGGTTTACAGAGAAGTATTGCCGGCAACGATGGGTTACCAGTGATCGTATATGCCCAGCATAACATTGTAACAGCATCTAACACCAACCACAATAAATTATATATACAACATACATAGATAATATATCAATCCAGTGGCATAGTGAGTCACTGGCACGTGCCGTGTGGTGCAAATTTTCGAATAAAAAAAAACCGCTGTGAAAATTCGTTCGGGGACATCAACCACCGCTACTCACTTTCTTCTCTTAATAAAATGGTCCAAGTCTTTGCAAGCAGTTGTGCGTCTTTGCAAAACACTTCATACGTTCCAAACATAACTTAAGAACTATTTTCAGTTCACTCATCCACAAGTATGCCAATTTCTGTGGTTTTAGGCTCCCAATGGGGGGATGAAGGTAAAGGGAAGCTCGTTGATCTTCTCTGTGATGACATCGACGTCTGTGCCAGATGTCAAGGTGGTAACAATGCTGGACACACCATCGTTGTCGACGGTAAGAAGTACGACTTCCACATGTTGCCTTCTGGTCTCATCAACCCAAACTGCAAGAACTTGATTGGTTCCGGGGTTGTCGTCCACGTCCCTTCCTTTTTTGCCGAGTTGGAAAAGATCAAGAACCAAGGGGTTAATGTCGATGGCCGTTTATTTGTTTCCTCTAGAGCTCATCTTGTCTTTGATTTCCATCAAATCACTGACAAGCTCAGAGAATCCGAGTTGTCCAATGCCCCAAAGAAGGCTAAGATCGGTACCACCGGTAAAGGTATTGGTCCAACCTACGCCACCAAGGCCTCCAGATCCGGTATCCGTGTCCACCACTTGGTCAACGACGAACCTGGTGCCTGGGAAGAATTTGAAACTCGTTTCAACAGACTTGTGGAATCAAGAAAGAAGAGATATGGTGACTTTGACTACGATGGTGCTGCCGAATTGGCTCGCTACAAGCAATACAAGGAAGAATTGAAGCCTTTTGTCGTTGATTCTGTCCCATTCATCCATGAAGCCATTGCCCAAGACAAGAAGATTCTTGTTGAAGGTGCCAATGCCTTGTTGTTAGATATCGATTTCGGTACTTTCCCATTCGTGACTTCCTCCAACACCGGGATTGGCGGGGTGTTGACCGGTTTGGGGATTCCTCCACAGTCTATTGACGAAATCTTTGGGGTTGTTAAGGCTTATACCACCAGAGTTGGTGAAGGTCCTTTCCCAGCCGAACAACTCAACGAGATTGGTCAAGCTTTACAAAAAATTGGTGCTGAAGTTGGTGTCACCACTGGTAGACCAAGACGTTGTGGTTGGTTGGACTTGGTTATTCTCAAGTACTCCACCCGTATCAATGGTTACACTTTATTGAACTTGACCAAACTTGATGTCTTGGATACTTTTGAAGAAATCAAGGTTGCTGTTGCTTACAAGTACACTCCACCTGGTGCCACTGAAGCCGTGGTTTTGGACTCTTTCCCAGCTGACTTGAAGGTTTTGAGCAAGGTTGAAGTTGTCTATGAAACTTTCCCAGGCTGGAAACAAGATATCAGTAAGATCACCAAGTACGAGGACTTACCAGAGAACTGCCAAAAGTATATTGAATACATTGAAAAGTATTTGGGTGTTCCAATCAAGTGGATTGGTACTGGTCCAGGTAGAGATTCTACTATCATCAAGGCTTGAGAATATTTTGTTTTTCTTCCTATCTTTTTTTTTTTTTTTTTTCTTTTCTTTTCTTTTCTTTTCAAAACAAGTAAACCTCGCTAGATAATCGGTTATAAATTGAATAAAAATATCAATAATAAAATATATCTTATTACCATAGTGTAATCAAAAGGGATAGATAATGAATGTACCTATAATCCAAGTCAACCGCCAGCTTTCACGTGACCGGGAGACGACACAGAAGAAAAAGAAACAGGGAAAAAAAAAAAGAAAACACCCAAAAATTGCAATCACACGCTAACTGGCATCACCTATCCCATTTGCTCATCTACCAGGCAAACCACGTCCAGCCTCTAGTAGTTTGTCCCCCCAAAAAAGGTATGTTTTCTAGGTAGTAACAATAGCAACAGCAGCTTGATTAGAATATCCCAATTTAGATAGCCAGAAAGGAGTAAGGAGCTGGACTCCCCCTCTTTTGCTATTCATCTCGTCTTTATCCCATCCTGACTAATGGTCATGATTACTAAGTGGACTGGTTGGGTGTTTTCTGTTTTCTGTTTTAGTTTTATTTTTGCCACCAACGACAGCAATACTGGAAACATATTACAAATTAAAAAAACAATCCAAGACTTTGTTGTTGTCTTGATCGACGCTCCTTCGTTTATTTTGTTTTTTTGCTATTCTACTTTTTATTGCTGTGTTGCCTTCGTCAAACACCACTCTAGTTACTAACTAATACCAATAGTTCTGCTTCATTTTCCGAATCCCCAGTTTAATTTAAACCAGCCAGTTTCGTCCCACCCACAAAAACCATAATACCCACAATGTCTAGCAGTGCGGCTTCAGTGTTGTTCAGACAGTTCAGAGAACTCACAGACCCTAAGAAGGGTATACCTTCTTTCCACATCGAGCTCGAAAACAACAACATTTTTCTCTGGAATGTTGGGGTGATGGTCCTTAATGAAGACTCAATCTACCACGGTGGCTATTTCAAAGCCCAAATGAAGTTCCCTGCGGAATTCCCATTCCAGCCCCCAAGTTTCCGTTTCACCCCTCCAATCTATCATCCAAACGTTTACAAAGATGGTAAACTTTGTGTATCCATTCTTCATGCCGCTGGTGATCCAACTTCCGAGGAACCTGATGCGGAAACCTGGTCGCCGGTGCAAACTGTGGAAACCGTGTTGATATCCATCATCTCTTTACTTGAAGACCCAAACATTAACTCTCCTGCCAACGTCGATGCCGCTGTCGATTGGCGCAAAAATCGTAAAGCTTACAATGCCCATGTCAAAGCCGAGGTCGAACGTTCGAAACAAGATATCCCTCCAGATTTCATCATGCCAACTGCAAACACCGCCTACAGTGGCACCAACCCACCCCACGAACAAAACGATACCATTGATGAAAACTTCTGGTACGACTCTGACCAAAGTTATGAAGAAGACTCCCTTATGGAAGATTTTGAAGAGGATGATGAAGAAGCTGAAGATGAGGAAGATGAAGATATTTCCGAGAATATCAATAGCGAGAATAAATAGATTGCTCTGATATCCTGTTTCTATTTCATTTTTTCTTCTTTTTCCTTTTTTTTTTCCTTCCTTCCTTCCTTCTTTTTCCTTTTATTTATTTACTCCAGGTTACTCAGTCTGTGTTTTTCTTTTTTTCATTTTTTCATTTATTTATTCCAGGTTACTCAGTCTGTGTTCTTGATTATTCCTTTTTTTTTTTTCTAAAAATTTTTTGACGGCATATTTTTTTTTTTCAAGACAGTTCTTTTCTCTCTCTATCACTTGGTTTTCCTCTTAAAAAGATTTTTAGTTTTGTTTGAGATTACTTTCTGTCTGTTTTTTGAGCATATAAATTCATTTTTTTTTTTGAATATCATGATTCTTATTAATTTCATCCTTTACAAAGGCCAAGTCTAGTATATTATTATGGATTGATTTCTACCTACCTCTTTTCCCCTTCCATTGTTTAACACAACATTAAAATACTTTTTTTTTTTTTTCCCCTTTTGAACTTCTTCAATCTTTGAATAAATTGTAACTTTGCATCTCGTGGATGAACAACCACAGAAGGAAAAAAAAAAGTTCTACAATAACCTCAACATAAACAAACATCATACAATAATATACATTCATAAGCAATAAGGTAAAACACAAAGGAAAAAAAAATAAAATATAAGTTCAACAAAAATCTTGACAAAAAAAATTAATAGATGAGAAAGAAAAGAAAAGAGAAAGAGAAAAAAAAAAAAAAATTCAAAGATAAGGCCTCCATAAATAATCCAATTGTGCAAGACTTCTTGGATTAACCGCACTGGCAATCATCTCATTCACAAATTGGGTGGTAATTGGTGTATTTGATGAAACATGGCCTACTCTAGCAATTTTGGTTATAATCAAATCAACATTAACTCTAACAATATCCCTCAAGTGGGGCCCTTGAGCACTACTTTGTAAATTCTGGGCAAACCACGAGATAACTTCGTCCCTAACAAACAAGCTCAAGAAATTCTCAATGTCAAACTCAGAATTGGACAAGCATCTCGCAAGAACTAAAACGTACACCGACAAAATACCTTCAAGACCAACAGGACCAATCAATTTCTGAATGTTTGGACTCAATCTGAATGGTACCGCCTCAGGATTGCTGAAAATCGGAATCTTTTGCTCTTTATCATCAACACTACTATTTGAGCCACTAGAATTATTACCATTGCCGTTGCTCTGCGGTGGCTTTTTATTTGGCTGACTAGTCTTATTTGGCAACATTTCAGAAGTCCACACCGATCCAGAGTTCATATTGATATGAATTTTCTGTGGTTGACGAGACGTGATACTCATCATATGGGTCATAAAAATAAAAGAGGCATATTGTGAAGTGAATTGGCGTCTAAATAACCAAAAGTCTTCGAACTTAGGGTAAGATTTCACAAAATAGTCGTGTACGATGGTGGATGGAACATATAAAGTCTGCACCGCACTAAAGATTTCGGTCATGGTACTGATGATATCAGGTTTTGGTAATCTCGGATCAAATGTAGCCTTGAGCTTCTCAGTGATGTAGAAAAATGGTTCTTCCACCTTTTGTTTCTTTTCACGACAAACCTGTTCATAAACCTCTTGTAAAGTGATATCACTGCTGTCATTAGATAAAATCCTGATGTGAGGAGAAAGTGCCACAGCGACAGGAAGGGTGAGACTAATATTTCTGGAGCGGCATTGGACATTTCGAACGAGACCGCCATCAAAGATCCGGAAGAGTTGGAAAATCCGTTCCTCACGCCTAGAGTGTCTATTGGATGGGAACTGCACGGCAAATTGATGAATGGAACCATCTTTACCTCTGATTTGCAATCTTTTATAACAGGCATTGAATCCCCGAACCACCTCCAAAGTAGGTAAAAATCTTTCAATTTTGACAAAGTAGGTATTATTATCTTTATTCAACAAGTATTGCCCAGGGATTTCAATATCTTCAAACTTTTGGTGGTGGAATTCCGTCAAATGTGGACATAAGCTTTCAAGATTGATTTTATTGAATCTTCTATCCAATTTATTTTCGAATCTATCCTTCCATTTAATTAATCTCTTGATATAAGTCTCATAACTTGGTTTGGAAATGATAAAATCTTTCTCAAACTCAGCTCGCACTTGTCTAGTCAATACCGTTTCTGCAAATTTGATAAGATTGACCACCATATGGTTCGGTAATTTTCCATCTCCTTTCACATTCAACATTCTATTGAAGGATTGCATCCCATCGTTATATAAGGCAGCGACAAGTCTGTAAGCATCTTCATCGGCGCTAGATTTGAATCGTTGTGTGATTTGGGCAACCAAAGATTCTAAAGATAATGCCAATAATGGATACGAAGTTTTCGAAATATTCATAATATCCTCAACATGTTCCCATGGATGACCATGTCCGCCAGATTTGGCATTCCCACCATCATCAGTCTTGTCAGACTCATTCACTGAACCATCATGTTTTATACCTGAATTCTTTAGCGGGATAAGAGAATCTTGGGCTATTTGCTTTTGAATGGCAAGGAAATCTTCTTTTGTGGTTCTCAACGGGAAATGAAGGGCCTGTGGGTACAGCTTAGCGATTAAAATCAAAATATTTCTGACAAACTTCGCTTCTTTATGAGATAAAGAGGTCAACAACTGAGGAATATAAGTGATCCAATACCATACTGGGATTTCACCCTTATAGTTTTGATATTGCGATGCCAATGTACCCTTTTCATCATCCAAACTGATAATCCATAAAATCAAGGCGAGGTACCTTCTAGATTTTGAATTTTTGTAAAGGCCAACGGCATGGAGGAAACAAATCAAAGAGCTTTTAGCATAATCCATCACTTCATTTAAATCAGTACTCTTATTTGACTGTTTGAACAATTTATAATTATATAACCCCCATTTAGCCCAAGCTTTTGCCAAGTTACTATCAAGTTGGATGGCAGTCGCAAATGCATGATTGGCTTTATCTTGGCTGTTTAATTTAGCCAAAAACATACCCTTGAGAACAAAGAATTCCGCCTTTTGCTGGGTGCCAAAATACGCCAAATTGGTATTACTAATAACATCTAGACCAGTGTATAACTCCTTATCATTTTGATAATAACACTTCACTTGCTCAATCAACTTGAGAAAAGCTTCCATAATTTCAATATTTGGCAAGTTATAAATCTTGTTCAACTGAGAAATGCAAACCTCATCTAAACCATGCTTTCTAGCAACATGAGCAAATCTGTTTATGACACAAGCGGTTTCGTGGTACCCACAATAAACTTGTGAATATGTGTTTCCCTTTCCAGCTTGTAAGAATGGAATATATATATTATTCACAAGCTGGAAGAAATGTTGACGCCAGACAATAAGATCATTCCAAATATTAATATCATCCCAGACATTTGGTAACCTTTCTCTCCAAGCTTGTAGGACTCTTTTGAGTTCTTGAGACTTAACTTCAATGTTCTGACTATTAGTGGTGACTAAGGAATTATATATTTGACTAGCTTCGTTGAATTCAACGTACTGTTGGAAAACATGAAGCATACTAACATGAGCTCCGGTAAATCTCGTTGGCAAGGAAGCCCATTTCTTTAATGCTAACTGAGTACCTTCATCACAAAGCTTAAGAACATCATTCATGGTTTTCTTTTGCTGGGCAAAATCCTGAAGGCATAAAAATGTTTGGAAAGTTTGACGTCTTGGAGTTGGCACATCAATGACGGTCTTTACCGATTGTTCCAACGGCTCTTTATCATCGTTCCAATTAGCCACACGCCAACCACACTCTAATAACAAATCGGTATAATTTTCGTGTTTGGAAAGCTCAGTTAGAATGTCCCAATGTTGCAATTTTTCAGCACACGAAATCCAATTATCTTCCCAAAGTGAATATTCAGATTCACTATACGGCAACGCTCTAGTACGAGCTTTAATCTGGGCATTTTCATAGTATCTCATTGCCATGTCACACATCCCAATTTGTTCAAACAGAAGAGCGCTATTTGTCAAAGCATATTTAGCCCTTCTTCTCCACAAACCATAAAACATGTCCTTATCCTCAACTGACATATAGACTTCCAAAAGAGCATCGTCAACAGATTCGTCACCCCCTGCTTGATTGAAAGTAGTGGATTGGGATTCCAAATCTTGGATTGTTGAATAGTAGGTGTTGAAGGCAGTGCTCAAATATTTCGATAAATGAGGAGGAATGTGAAGATCATCACATTTACAGGCACCTTCTAATAGAGCCTGAACCCCATTTAGTATGCTACCGCTAGCTCTCAAGTGATAGTCTTTTGATAACAATGACGTGAAACAAGTGGAAAAATCAGCCTTTTCTTTCCGTGGGATGCTTCCATAAGCAACAGGGAAAACATCCACCCATGCCATTTTAATACTATTAATATCATTGTGTAGAATTTCAACAAGTGGAGCAATAACATCGCCGGCAGTAATTGAGCGAGCATTAACAATAAATTCATTATGATTATCCAAAAATTCTTTTAATTTGCTATTCGATGGTTCCGCACTGGTAGTGGATGGTTCAGATATATCCAAGTAACCCAATGGAGCAAACTTATAACTACCTGGTTTCAACTGAATCTTGGCATCTTGGTTGAAAGAGCCAAACATCAATTCCAAAGCTTGCATTAGCCAAGGGAAATCCCCAAGGTCTTCCCAGTTTTGTTCTTTAATCACATAGTATAATCTGTGTTTTATATCAGGTTGCAAGCTGTCTGCAAGAATCCTCATAAATCTTTGTCTGATGCCCACATCAATGAATCTAGTCCCTAGTAAAAAGGAGTGCTCCAATCTCAGAGTCAAGTCAGCAGTCTTTGGGCTTTTATCCTCAAAAATTTTGATAATAATCTTTAGGTAATCCTTTGACAAGCTCATTGGAATCTCCCTTCTTGGTTCATATCCCATCATCTTTGATAATATAGCAGCTTTTTCTTTATGAGTTGGGTACGCACCAACACTAGAGAAAATCCATTTATAAACAACGTCAACTATATGCTTTGATAAGTCTTTGTCATATGATCTTTCGATGAATTGGGCCAAAATAGACAAGAAAATACGTCTGTGGTCTCCAAAGTATGAAATTCTAATGGTGGCGAAGTCCAAAATTTTGCTCAATAGCTTGGCAGTCATTCTTGCTTCTTCTTCAACTTGTGTACTATTTTCTTGAGAAATCTTTTGAGTCATGGTTATAGTAACATGATCTTTGCATAATTTACCAAAAGTTTTGATGATACTAGGAATTAACGGCGTTAATCTTTCTGGTTGATAATAGGTGACGGTAGAAAACAAAGTAATACCAGCAGCCAATGATGCAGTGTTACCAAGATCAGAGGATATTACCGATATCAACAAATTCATAAAATTTTTAACATCTTCTGGCTCTGAGTCTTCATAACTTTCTTCAGTGATAGCCTTCAAAATAATCCTCAACACCCTTTGCAACACTTCTTGCAAATCATGGTTATGTGTTTTTATAACTTTGATCAACAATCTTTGTAGTGCTTTCAAATTATTAATGATCCATTCAGAATCCTTATTCTCCAAAGTAATGCCTAGAACTTCTAGAGTGTTCCAACAATATCCCAAAATACTGAAATTACCACTATTCAAATCATTTGTTAGCAAAAATCTTTCAAAAATAACCAATGGAATGTTAATTTCAGACCATAATTGCGTCGAATCATAAAGAACAGACAAAGCCCTTCTTCCCAAATCAGTTGATGAGCATCTGGAGGTGCTAATGCACAAATATCTAATTAAGAATGTCACAAAAGCCTCTTTTTGACCAGTTGGAATCCTGTACTCAAGGCTGGCAGCCAACTTCTCATCATAATTTTTCTTATCCGCAAATTCCTTAACCCCAACATCCTTCATTTCTTCGTCCTCGTCTTTGAAATTTGGAGCACTGAGTTTTTCTTTTCTAAGTTTGTCTGCTCTCTGCTCCCATTTCAATATCAATTCCGACAATTCAATAGCAAGAATTTGATTATCTGTGGATGGGTTAGGTGAAATTGTCAACTTCCCCATCAGGTTAATAGCATTGGATAAGAATTGATTGCGAGCTTCAAAAAATAACTCTTCATGCTCAACCATGAATTTATAGACATTGAAAACATTATTCACCACGAAATTATTCTCCTGAATTACTCTTCGTGGCCATTTGATCCATGATTTGTCCTCGTCATTCTGCTTCATACGTTCCGGAATAACATCTGCTAACAAATCCAATGACTGCTTTACAAGATATCGAGCATCAACATTATTGGCCCTTAGCAATGCAAAGAACATATGAGTGGTGATCTTGACATGTGTATCATAAGCGTTGATAAAGTAACAGTTGGTCAAGTAAGCAGCATATTTAGGAATAGTATCATCAAGCTTCATCAAATTCCAACTAAATTTAATCACATCCTTTCTAATTGGTTCAATCTTCGCTGGTGAAAATTTTAATAGTGAAGCAGTTAACTGAAGTAACTCAAGTCTGTATGAATCTATTTCTCCCGCTGTGTGACCCACAATTGATTCATCCGTAGATTGCCAAATATTAGTGTGAGCTAAGGTGAGCCATTCTGGTGTGTCATCACCGTATAACAAATCAAGGTTGCTGTTAACTCTTGCCTCATTCAACAATATTGGAACACAGATTTTTTTGAGAATATAAACTTTAGTCGGGATTTTATAATTACCATCCACAGCTATCTTCACACATCTGCTCAAGAATGATTGTCTAACAGCAATATCTTTTGTCTTGATAATATTTTCGGCAATGAAGTCAACTAGTTGGAGATTGACCGTTAGTTTGTGGATTGTTAAGAAGTCAACCAAGGAAAATAAGAGATCATCGTTTTTAGAGACTTCAAAAGATTTAATCAAGACTTCCTGTAATTTATCAATTGAATAAAATATTTGAAAATGGTTTTGTTGATTGTAAGGATAATTTTGAAACTCTCCTATTATTTTCTGGCCAGCTTGGAATAAATTAACAAATAGTTCCTTATGAGATCTAGTCCAAAGGTCATCATCCACCACAACAGAAACAATATCAACAAGGTTAGCAAATTTCGTAATGCTTGTATTAAAATCATTTTCACAGGCTAAAGCTTCGAAGAATTTCGAAACATTATTTTTTGTTACCTTTTTCAATTCTGGACATTTGAGAACAAAGTAAGTATGAATATTTTGCATCTTTCTCGAAGAAAATTCTTGGAGGAAAAATTCCGATGCCTCATTTGGATACTCGTCAAGATATTTGACTATTGGCTCTCTGCAAGAGGAACCTTTCACGCGTCTAAGATTGATCTCAACTTTTTCTAAACATCTCAATACATCAGGAATAAAAATGTAAGCTTTTGGAGGCAACAAGTGAAAAATGTTAAAGATTGAGTTGAGAATTTGAATGACTTTGTTATTAGAAAGATCAAATCCTGCAATTTGATTCAACAATTCCGGCATAGCCCATGAGTTGGCATGATCGAGCAACTTTTTACCTATTTCTACCTTGAAATAGTTCACCAAAACTACCAATAATCTTGCCAACGTTTGCAAATTGGACACTGACAATTTTCTGTAATCAGAAAGATTCATTAGCATTGGACGAAGACCGCTTTGCAATAGTTCTCTTGGCAATTTGCTATTCTGTGAAAGCGCTGACTTCAAGCCAACATGGGAAGCATCTACAATTGTCTTCTCAGAGGCACCCAAAGTCTTAAAGAAAACAGCTAGAATTCTAAGCCTTGTCAAGCCTGGTTGAGTCATGGTATATTCTGGTTTAGACAAAGCCACGGTCAAGAGGTTGATACAAACAACTCTAAGTTCTGTCAACTGTTCACGGGTTTCATAATCAATTAAACGGTCTGTTGTAGTGAGCATTGAATCTTCAGCTTCAACCAAATTCACCACTTCTAACAATAGTCTCTGCATTTCGTCATTAAATTCAGCTTCCTTATGAGGAAGACCCAACCAATAGGTTATGGCTTCAATATGGCCAATTTGCATTAAGAAAGGCAAAGCCCGTAAGGGTTTGGCGAAAATTGGATGTAAGAGGACCGTTTTGCACGAAGAAATCAAGTCTATCTTCGACACGGACGAAAGATCTGACAAAATCTCGATTGCCAATTGTGAAGTTTTTCTAACTAATGAATTTGGACTTGCCAAGTCATATACCAAGGAGCTAATCAATTCGTAAGGCAATTCGTCGACTGACGTAGCACCCTTGTTACAGCCACCAATAATTTTGATTATGAGGCTTTTAGCAGTATTGGTAACCAAAGCAGGCATGATATCTGGAGTATCGCGCAAAACATAGAATAATGCGCGCACCAATTCATGTTGGAATTTTCCAAACCATGTAATTGGAATACCGGTATCATCAATCATAGTCTTTAATCCTAAGACACCACCCAACTTATTATAATACATTTCGTCATAACAAGAATGATAGAACACAGCAATCAATGAAGAGTGCAAACCAAATCTGAGACTATTTTCAATTGAGCCAAAAATGATTTCGCAAGCATCACAAATTTGTTTGACAGCAACAATACCAGCATTTTTGACCTCTGTGATATTGTTACTTAGAGCATAGTTAATAACATTAAACATGATATTAGCATCCAAATATACTTTCCCTTCCCCATCTGAAACCGTGAAACTGCGTTCATGCTTATATCTTCTGATTAAGCTTCTAGTGATATAGAGTTGGGTAAAATGGTTACACAAATTGGTAATTAATCCGTGCACATTGGGTTTGAGTTCGTTGATGCTTGAACAATAAAAGATAGCCTTCCATAATCTTTCAAATAATTGCTCTTGATTATTGAATTTTCTTTTGTCGATTATTGTCTCGGTTGAGAGCGGCTTTATTTTCATTTGTTCTTCCTTTATTAGAGAATCAACCGCAGATTCAATCAAACTTTGATAGTTTTGAGGGACTTCGCTAGTATCCACAAAAAGCATCAACACGGCAGAAAGGTACTTGAAAGCGTTCGCACGATAATGGATTGTTAACTTCAGATTAGAATGTAGTCTAGGATCTTCCAAAATATTAATAGCAGCATTAACACCAGAGGAAATTGAGACAAATGATTGTCCTTTAATACCATTGATATCAAAAACTGCTTCCACACTTTGAGTCATCATTGATTGGTCCTGTAAATCTGATGAAGGTTTAATGAAATTTCTATTTCTTCCGCCAAATTTCCCTAAGATCCTAACAGCAGTATGACTATGGACGTGTAAATGAGGGCGAGGCTTGAGATGTTTACAAAGAGCCTTCATAACATCATCAATAACCGGTTGAATGATCGGATCAAAATAGTTGGCGTTGAGATTGTCAACACATAATTCCAATGTTCTTAAACCTTGGGTGACTAACTCCAGTGAACCGTTAAGAGCCAACACAAGTGGCCTCATCAATAGATGTAGCATTGATACTAACTTACTCAATCTGACTGGGATAGATAAACACAATTCAATACAGGTATCCCTTTCTTGTGGTGACCTAGCAGACTCAATCAACTTATTCAAGGACTCTAATAATTTTTGCATTAATGGCATTACTTCTTTATAAAGTTTCTCAAATCTCCCGCCACCAATACTCTTGAATAAAATCCTAATAAAATAGAAGTATATCAATGGTTCGTTAGCTGTAGTTGAGTATTTCAACGATTGCAATATAAGCTCATTCAAGTGGGGTAATAAGAATTCCTCATTTTGAGCTGGATATAAGTTCAAAGAGAGTAAAAAAAGTTTGAACAATCGAAGTAGAATATGGGCATTCATCAAATCCAATGCACCTAATTCATGCAATCTTGATTTTAAGTAACTTATCAATATCCCCATAAAATTACCTGACACCATTTCATTGCTCAAAAAAAAGTGTGGGATGTGAAGCAAGGCAGGATTTTTATTCATTTGATCGACTAAAAGCGGGAATTGATCTTGCATTATTTCATTGAACATTACGGGATCTATCCTCATAAAAATTAAAGATATCGATTCCATTAGGTCTTTTTCATCTTTGGTGGCCGTTATTGGAATATTTGGATATTTGATATCAAATGTGGACTTTTCACTCATCTTATTTAATTGAAGTACAGCAGCCTTATCAGTTTGGAAAAAACGAATACACAAAATCGATTCTCTAAATAAATTTTCAAATATCAATAATTCTTCATAACTGAAACCTCTAGCCACACTATCCCATGCTTGTTGATTTTGATCGGTCGCTGGCGGAGCAATATTAGTTAATTTAAGATGGCCCACCATGGGTTTCAAATAATTTACTAAATTCCTGATCAAGTATTTGATATCCTTAAGAGAGTCCAGTGAGCTTTTTTTGAAAATCTGAATAGGTAAATCATCCTCAAGATGATATATCGAAAGCTTCTGGTCCTCTTTTCCATCAACGTTATCATCATCCAGATGGCCATTTTTTGTCATGTTAATGTCTTCATCGCAGGAAACGGCTTCGAATTTTGGAATATTCGAACATTCATTTGCCACAATAGCATCAATATCTAATTCCTTTTCATCGTTTAAAATTACCACTTTCTCATCCAACAAGTCATTTTTTGGCATTTTACTGTTATTGGCTTTAATGTAATCGTCTTGTCTACTTTCAAGTTCCACTTTTCTTGCTTCATACTTTCTGTGTTGTTCCATGTAATAATCATATTTGTGGTTCAACTTCGCAAACCTTCGGCAAAAAGATTCCAAAATTATCATGAATAATTTCCGGGCTTCTTCTTTAGGCAATTTCACGACCCTTTCCAATAAGTTCAATAATAATTTCGCGCACATAAATGTAACATTTGCATTCAAAGAATCATCTTGCAATATTTTGCTGAACATCAGCACAGCTTTCCAGACTTGTTCTGAAGTCAAATCAGCTCTGATATTATGAACAAAATCGGCAATAGTACTATATGCCAAAGGCCTCAATGTTTCGCGACACGTTAGACCATCGCCGAGAAGTATTGATTCATCAAAAAATAAATCTAGTTTAGGAATGAAAATTGTCTTATATGGAGTCGATAAAATATGACGGGTGGCATGAAGTAATTCTTTCTTTGCTGCTGCCAATTCGCTTGGACAGTCCTGGAGTAATCTAACCACCAAATCCGGAATAACATCATGAAAATTTGCAAAAAATTCTGGAGAGTAATCTCTGATGAAAATGTATGCAAGAAATGAAGTAGCTTTAACTTGACTAATGATAAAATCCCCATATAATGATCTGTTTTTTATTCTTTTAGATACTGAAGTATATTTATTACCCTTAGCCTCCGCTTCCAATCTTTCCTTCCTTTGAATATCAACCTCTAGCTGCAATAATGCTATGATTCTCGGAATGAAATCAAGAAGTACTTTATTCACCAATTGCTTATAAGAAGAAAGCAAAGAAACCATAGTGATTGGGCATTCTGATAGTGTTTTGAAAGAGTGGAGGGAATGTAACAATTCTTGCTTAGAGTCATCGTCGCTAGGAATTGAATTGAAATCCTCACTTTCCCCGATTTCAGTTGGTGATGACGAGGGATTGTGAGAGGTACTTGATGCATCTTCAGTGGCATTTTCATTGAACCACTGTTGTACCATTTGAGGGGAATTGGAATAAATTTCATAGATTATTTCAATGAACTCCTCGACCTTATCAAATAAATTATTTTTGTATGATTTATGAATGCTTGTTATAATTTTTATACATAACACCCCATTTTCTTCATTTTCAGATCTCAATGCAGTGGTGATGGTATCTAACATGATGGTTTTGTACTGGTCAAATGTATCATTAAGAACCAATCTTTGGATAATCTCTAATATTGATGATCTTATCTTGTGTTCATATGTCGAATTATAGAAGCTAATTGGGACTTCAGTTAAAAGGTCTATGAACATTGGAATCAACTTCTCAAGAAAATAACTGTATTCCTTAGCACCAAGGAAAGACTCGATTATATCACATAATTCCGCAAGAACTTGATGTTTGGCTGATAGATCGATATCACTACCCAACTTTTCGACAAATAAATCGATTTGATTTGTGTAACTCATGTCTTTCTTGGTATTTGATTCAAGTTATTATGGGCTGCGTTTGTAATCAACGTCTAGGAAAAAATACAAACATACAAAAAAAACACAAACAAATGGCGACTATCAATAGTAAAAAAATTGAAAGAAATAGACCCTTTCTGGGACTTCAAACGGTCGAAAAACTACCTATTTTTGATGGAGATATGCTTTATTTCAAATAGACACCGATTCCTGTATATATGAAGATGGATTATCCTTTGTTTGTGGTAGTTTTGACTGAATAATTTCTACTTCTACTGCGTTCTACAACCAATAGGTCTCGAAAATTTGGATTTTGGAGGTTTTTTTCTTGGGTCACGTGTAGAGGATGATACACCTTTAATAAGGTGCCTGTAGACTGTAGAGTTACCCTGTTTTGTAAATTTTTCACTATAAAAGTGTCGAAAATTCACAATTCAGACCTAACTTTCATGATTTCTTCTCCTTTTCTCTATCGAAAGTTAACCAACTAACTGTGAATTTGGCAGGATATTAGTATGGCAGGATATTTGTTTGTATCACGTTCGGCTGAACGAACTGATTTTATATCATTAGTCTGGTTGAGGGTGCTCCTGCTTATTAACTTAAGAGGGGTTCCTAGTGGTATTAAACTGATTCTGTATTTCATGTGGATATTTTGTTGAAAATTGTTAGAGAGATCAATATTGGTTTCAAGAATATGTTGCTTTGATAAGTGAGCAGTGTGTCCCGTAAAATCAAGACATTTTTTTTTTTTTGCATCAATTTTCTTTTTTTTTGTAAGTTTAGGATTTACTGTAAATTCAAATTAAGTCTCTCAAAAATTGCCTGATCGATAGTTTTGCACTTAAGCAGTCCAATCCAGTTTTAAGGCTGTAGGCAAGCAGCGGTTTGGTAAAAAGAAAAAGAAAAGCCAATTTTGATTGTTATATGTTCACGTGAATCTATTCTGGTTGTGAGCCTCGGTAAAGACCTGCACTTTAGGAACTGCGGTTGGAGATTGCCACCCATTGACAGGCAGCACTCTCAATAAAAACCCTCCTTTATCAAAATTATCATTCTATGATGTCATGTGATAACTGTTCCGAAGATTCATTCCCTCTATTATTTTTTTTCTCCATTTTGTGATCCTTCCAACATCAGCAATCCATCGATATTTATCGTTTTTTCCCAAGCATAATCTCTTACAATTCTTTCGTTCTTTCGCTACATATAGCTCTCAGTTTTGTAGATTAGGAGCTTTATTTAAATGATAAAATAATCAAAATATCGTTTGTTGCTTATCTCTCATTCCTTGGTTTGCATTCTTTGGCTATATATATATTATTTCTTTGCTATACCCGGCTAAGATTGTGCCCCATTGATAACAAAGGCAAACCCTTAATTTTCCAAAAACAACATACCATTATCATGAATTTTATGAAAAAAAGACCTCCGCAGCCGATCACAAGTTTACAATCTCTTTTCAAGAAAGCTACTGATTCATCAATCCAAAACTATGAACTTGAAAAGAAAAATGAAATAAAAAAATCATTCCAAGGTTGGAAATATCTTCATACAACTATTCTTTATGAGTTAGACCATTTGAGCAAGTCATATAGTTTAAGTGACTTGACTAGTGAAGAAAATTTCATCTATACTGAGATTAAATATTTAGATGGCAAGGCCAAAGAAAATATGAACCGTTTAGAAGTGTTATTGATGAGGGAAATTGCTGAAATGAATAAATCTTATCAAAACAGAAGTATCGATAGCTCAAGCCTGAGTCTGGCCAGCACCAATAACCAAAATGAACCAAGAGCAATGCTAAAGACCTTACGCTCCCCAAAATCAACATCAAATGTTGGTAACTCTTCCAAGTTTCATAGCAGGAGGTACTACCAGTCGTCCTCCAATATTAGTCCATCAGCGTCTTTGATTTCGAAAACCGCTGCTACAAAGATCTGGAAAGATGAGGAAAAATTGGTGCAAGCAACTGATGAAAAAGATACTGCTGACAATTTATTCAAGGATTTTTCTGGCATTAGTGATCTAAATGAAGTTGCTGTTTCTAAAAGTTCTAACCACTCTTCTGGAGAATATTCCTCTTTGAAGAGCAAGATATCGGCTCCAGTGCCATTGAAACCCGTTAAATGCGGTCCAAGTCCTATTTCTGAAAGAATTTCAAAGTTCAACAAGTTGAATGAACCAATACCAACACAGAGACCATTATCGCCAAAGAAATTGACATCAGAGGCAAGACCAGCTCCAAAGACAGCTCCAAAGCCAGCACCAAAACCAAAACTAAAATCGCACCATCTGAAGCCAAACGTAAAATCGCCGCAACAAAACCCAGTCTTTAGACTTAATCCAAGCGACATTGCCTTGAAAGCTTCTAAAATTTCTACTAATCAAAGCCTGAAATCACATACTGTGAAATCTCCCGCCTTAACTAAATATTCGAGTCTTCAAAAACCACCTGCAGCCAAGAAAACACATTCTGCTCCAAATTCTAGAGTGAATTCTCCAAAAGTTAATTCAAAGAATAACCTGAATGCTCTGAGATCTAATCTTCTAGCAACAGCAACAAAGAAAAGTCTTTCGGTCGACTCGATATCTAAGAAAGCAACGGAGACTAGTGATTTTAATTTTTCCAACAATGATGAAAAGGATACTGAAACCTTATCTGGTGGTAATAATAAGACTGATTCTGATGATGAACAAATGAATGGAGTTAAAGAATTGGAAATTAATGAAACTGAAGTTCAAGAGGTGATGCAGGAGCGTATCATCTCAGAAATCAAGGGTATCGATGAAGCTGCCGCCAAACAAATTTTTAATGAAATTGTTGACCAAGGTGATGAAGTTCATTGGGAAGACATAGCGGGTTTGGAAGTCGCTAAAAATTCCTTGAAAGAAGCTGTAGTTTATCCATTTTTAAGACCTGACTTGTTTTCTGGCTTAAGAGAACCTACAAGAGGGATGTTATTATTTGGACCTCCGGGTACTGGTAAGACAATGTTGGCCAAAGCGGTGGCAACCGAATCCAAATCAACGTTTTTTTCTATAAGTGCTTCATCCTTAACGTCCAAATATTTAGGTGAATCAGAAAAGTTGGTGAGGGCCTTATTCTTGCTTGCGAAAAGATTATCTCCAAGCATCATATTTATTGATGAAATTGATTCTTTGTTATCTGCTAGAACTGATAATGAAAATGAGTCAACTAGAAGAATCAAGACCGAATTCCTCATTCAGTGGAATGGGTTGTCTCATGCGGCGGTGGGACAAAATAAGGGAGATTCTAGTCAGCCTCGTGTATTAGTTTTGGCGGCGACTAATCTACCTTGGAATATTGATGAAGCTGCTAGAAGAAGATTTGTTAGAAGACAGTATATTCCACTACCTGAAGGGGAGACCAGGAGAGCCCAATTTGTAAAAATGTTATCACACCAGCAGGGTGCATCGAGTTTCAGTGACTTGGAACTTGATGAATTAGTTGCATTAACTGATGGATTTTCTGGTAGTGACATTACCGCATTAACAAAGGATGCTGCTATGAATCCGTTGAGAGAGTTGGGCGATAAATTATTATTCACTCCAAAGGAAGAAATTAGGGGCTTGACATTGAAAGACTTCAAGGTGAGTTTACAATATATCAGACCTAGTGTCAGCGAAGAAGGATTAGCGAAATTTGATGAATGGGCCTCGAAATATGGCTCTTCGGGAGCTTGAAATATAGAATACATGAGCCTAGCTTTATTATACTACAATATCCAGTTTGGCGACACTTGATACCACTGGTCTCTTTTTTATCATATCTTAACTAAAAATTAAAGAAAAGTATTGTCTTCACATTTTTTCCTCTAATTTAGTAATGATGACCGGTTTTTCTCTTCTCTTCTTATTTTTTACCGTTAGATAATGTTTTTCGATTCACCTATATCTTTTTTCTTCTTCATTTTGGTGTATTATATAATTGTTATATTTTAAGGTCATATATATATATTGCATTCATGAGTATTTAACGATATTAATTTCGTAAAGAAACATCCTTCACTCAAATGGTTTATTCATTGGAACCCTTGTATTGGTGTACATAATTACCAGCCCAAAAAAAATAATCTTGAAACCAGCAGCCCAAAAAAAAAAAACAATTGACAAGCCACAAGCAATCACCAGATAATTTCAAAAAAAAAAAAAAGATTTCCCCAGCAATTGCCCAAATTTATTGCTTCTGTGATTGTCAATTTTTTGATTTTTGTTGTGCCCTTTTGAACCATGGTTAAAGATACCGAATATTATGATCTCCTAGGGATTTCCCCAACTGCCAATGATGCGGAGATTAAGAAGGCGTACCGTAGAAAAGCGATTCAGACCCATCCGGATAAGAACCCAGACGACCCAGAGGCGGCCAAGAAGTTCCAAGCGATTGGTGAAGCCTATCAAGTGTTAAAGGACCCGGGATTGAGATCTCGTTATGATGAGTTTGGTAAAGAAGAGGCGGTTCCAGAAACCGGGTTTGAAGATCCTTCAGAGTTTTTCAGTTCGATCTTTGGTGGTGAGGCCTTCAATGATTGGATTGGGGAATTGTCTTTGATCAAAGATCTTTCGGAGACCGTGGATGTTTTGGATGCTGAAGAAGAGGGCAAAGAAGGGGCTGACGAGGCTTCTGGAAGCAAAGTGGATGAAACTTCGATGGCAGCTCATGACTCCGAGTTTGCTCAGGCCCAAAATGATGCCAAAGCTCAAGCTGATAAATTGAAAAAGAAAAAAATGACCAAAGAAAGAAGAGAGAAATTAATGAAACTTGAACAGGAACGTAAAGAAAAGAAGAAGAAAAGAGTAGACGAAGTTACAGAAAAATTGCTCAAGAAGATCGAAACATATCTCGAGGCCAGCAAGAGTGAAGATGGATTGAAGAGCTTTGATGCGAAATTGGACAAAGAAATCGAGGAATTGAAATTAGAATCCTTTGGGCTTGAATTATTACATCTTATTGGTAAGATCTACGTTAATAAGTCATCAGCTTTCATTAAATCGCACAAGACGTTTGGGATCTCAAAGATTTTCACCTCGGTGAAAGAAAAGGGTTCTACTGCTAAATCTGCTTGGGAAATATTATCATCCGCCGTCGATGCTCAAATGACAATGGAAGAAATGACCAAAGATCAAGAAAAGAACCCAGACGCCTGGGACGATATCAAACAACGTGAAATGGAAAGAACCATCACTGGTAAGATTTTGGCAACTGCTTGGGTGAGTTCGAAGTTTGAAATTCAGGGGGTGTTGAGGGATGTTGTCGACCAAGTGCTACATGACAAATCAGTGAGCTCTAAAGAAAGAGTCAAGAGGGCTCAGGTGATCCATTACATTGGTGCTAAATTCAAATCAACTAAAAGAACCGAAGATGAAGCCCAAGAAGCTAGAGTGTTTGAAGAAATGGTTGCTGAAGCAGCAAGTAAGTCGCGCTCTTCTAAGGGCTCCAAAAAAGCCCAAAAAGACAAAGAAAAATTTTTCAAGAAGGACGAAAGTAAGAAAGCAGCTTCTGGAAGTTTATTTGAAAGCTGATTGATCGTTTTTTTGTGAAATTTTCTGTTTTTTTCCTTTTGAATTGTTGTTGTTTGCTTGTGTTGAATTACTGTCCATTTATGGATATTGCTATTTTTGCCGATGTTATTATAATAGCTTTCGTTACTTTTCTATAATATATTCAGATGGTGTTATTAATACCTTTTTTGTTGTTATTTTCTTTTCGTAGTTTTTATACCAGAGTTTGTAACCTCAATCCATACTACACCGAGATTAATGAAGAGTCTAGCTGAGCCAAGCTATTAGAGGAATATATAATTATACACATCCATCGGACAACACAACAATAAGTATACTTTTCTTATGGGAGAATATTTCCTTAGATAACAACATGATGAACCACGGGATGGTTATACGGATCCACCACGTTGTCACATTCTTTCTTATTCACATGATCGGTCACGCCATCACTTTTTTTTTTTTTTTTTTCTTTCTTTCTTTTTTCGCGAATTCGCGACAAGGCCAAAAAAATGAAGGTCTAAGGCTGACATCAATCACCACTCCCATAAAATATCACAAGATAACACAAGATATTCAAATCTTTTTTCCTCCTTGTTTTGTACTCTGTTAACCCTGCTTGTTACTTACAACCACACTTTATATCTACTTCAAAAATCATATTATTAATCGCCCCTGCTCACAAGACTTCTATCAGCATAATGGCAATTCTCTCCTCTGACTCACCAAAGACCTGCAACATTGGCAGCGGCTCCAACAAGAAAACAAATGTTAATGTTACCGTTTCTTCACATTGTACTAATTTACAGGCTCATCATGATGAGGTTGAGCTTGAGTTTGATTTCGACGGCTGGCAAACTGATGGGTTGGAAGATGGCGATTTTGAGATGATGGCTGGTGACCCTCATGATGATGGCGACAACGATGACGACGATACTGGGATCAATCAGTTGTTATTTAATCACGATGACCATCTGCATGACTTCCTGATGGAACATGATGATGACGAGTTACATCAGCACAGGTTATCGACCATGAGCTTTATAAAGACATTGAAGCCCATCATCAAGCCCTCTCATTTCTCAGCGTGTTCCTTCCACCAAGTTGAAGAGCATCACAGGATCACAACGACAACAACAACAACCAGAACAAGAACTCGAAGCGTAGATTATTCATCCATCAGTGAAAGAGACTATTCAGATATGAACTACGAAAGTGAATCCTCTCAATCTTCGATATGCCTCTCCTTAGTTGATGGACAATCCACTAAACATGTTACCACCACTACTACAAAGACTGGTATCAATCAACAGCATGTCAACTCAAAGAAGGTTCGTTTCAACACAACCACATCGCTAATTGGCGTCAGTGAGCTTGATACCTCTGAGCTTCCTTCTCAGAAAACTCTTCATGAAATTTGTCGTGAACGCAGACTTTTGAAAGCCCAGCGTAATGACGATGATTATCTTCTATTTGAAAATGACCCAGATTTCAAAGACCTTGAATGTTTGACACAGAAGCTCACTAGGATAAATGCTTCTTTAACGAAACTACGTGTTTGAGCTGAAAGCATTTGCTGTGCTCTATTCTTCTTTTTTTTTCCCCCATTCTTCACGTCTCCCTTTAGCTTGATCTATTTTTTCATTCATCTATGTCAAGCTTGTACATTATTGTATTATAAATTTGAATGTTTAATGACCCCCTCCCTATTCCTTATGATTTTTCTGCATCTTGGTTTCTTTTTTTCCAAGCAGAGTGCTTGTTGATTATTACATATTCGATACAGTGGATTTCTTCCATACTCAGTTATCTTTGTAATCTACATTCATATTTCTCATACTGAGAAAATCTCTTGAGATTATTCGATTATATTATTGTACACGGAGAAAAGAAAGAAAAAAAGAAAAAGAACAAAAAAAAAGAAAAGAAAGGAATCTATCTCACTAACAGATGTTTAAAAGTTCACCAAGACATGGACTTATAAAACTGCAGATAATCACTAACGGTATTGGCACCATTAAACAACAAATAATCATTTGGAATTTCTTGACTATTGACCCCCGACAATTTTCCTTTGCTACCTAATGCCTGTAGAGCTCTCTTGACATTGGCTGGGCTTAATACTATATTCAGAATTTTAAATTCCGATTCTGCTTCGGGAACTAACGAAAGCAAATAAGCAACAACCCCCGCAACATGTGGTGAAGCCATCGAGGTCCCACTGAGCCAGGCTACCTCCTGGTTGCTTGGACCAATGTAATCGGATTGGATATCCAATCCTGGGGCCCAAATATCCACGCACAGACCGTAATTAGAAAAATCGGCTCTGGTGTCGTTTACCGTAGTGGCACCAACGGTGATCGCCAGAGGCGATGCTGCTGGAGAATAGTTACAGGCATCATCACCAGAATTTCCAGCAGCAACCACAACATGGATCCCCAGAAATACTGCTGCCTCAATGAGGTTATTAACAGCTATCGACAAGCTACCGCCTATCGATGCGTTAATCACCGACCCCCGGAACCCTGGAGTGTTGGATCTTTGATGGTGGTCATTGATGGTCCATTGCAACCCCTGGATGAGTTGGGTGCACGAGGACTGTTTATTATTATCCAAGACCTTCACCGATATGATATTGGCCTTCTTTGCCACACCGTAGAACTCTCCAGCTGCAGTACCAGCAACATGAGTTCCATGGCCTTGGAGATCACCATTTTCATCTTGAGAGAAATTAACTTCGCCAATGACCCTGCCATTGAAATCTTTATGAGATATTTGGATACCAGTATCAACAACGTAGATATTTACCCCTTCGCCGGCATAATCAGCAAATACAAACGGACCAGATGGCTGATATGGCACTTTATCACGCTGAGAGATTCTTTCGAGCCCCCAAGGTGCTTCGTATTGTGTTATGAACTCATTCTGGGCAGTTATAAAGGTATCTTGCTCGATATACTTAACGGTGTTACTCTCGGTGATTGTTTCAAGGGTTTCTGGTAAAAAGAATCCGGCATATCCAATGAAATTGTTGGTGACATTAAACTCTGTGATGATCCCACCATTTGTAGAAGTATTATTTGCTGCCCTTGTGGCATTGAAGAACGAGTGTTGAGTATCATTTATACTTGAGGCTGCAATAACTTGTTTATTTTGAATCACTTGCTTATGTTGAATCATATCGTTTGCCAGAAGATTATCTTTGAATATCACAATGTATTTATGAGGAATCAGATTTGCACCACCATTGTAAATTGGTACAGTTTCTGAGCTAGAATTTAAAGTATGGTTCAAAGAGCTTGGTGCATGATAGTCTGGTATTTTCGATTGTTCTCTTCTAGCTATTGAAGGAATCACTAGTGCGCTGCTGATTGTGAAGCATAATGAGAGAACTGTGAACGCTTGAAAGTTGAGAAATCTCATGACGTTCAGCTATAAATATAAAAGAAAAAGAGATAGAAAAAAGGTATTATGAAATATTTGCAACTGAATTTGTTGAGAGAAAAAAAAATATTAAGATCTTTCATTCGAGGCGAATACTATCTTTTTTATTTATTCGTGGATATTTATTTTTGTGGTGGAATCCTCTTGCTCATACCGTTGATGTTCAGCGAATGTCGCCAACGGCATTTCTGGAGCCTGGAAGGGAATGTTCTGCCAAATACCTGGAAGTTGGCCCATACATACCATAATATATCAACTAAACTGACAGCCAAAAAAGGATTCTTGGCAATTTCTTGGTATTTCCACTTAATTATTTTCTTCTATCGTATTATTATTATTAATAATAATAAATTAAAAATATTGAAAAATATCTTAACCATGCGTAACCTAATTCGGAAGCCCAGCGATATATCTTCCAAAGAAAAAACTAGGAAGTTCCAATTTAAAGATAATTACAATCTCTTTTAGTGCAAAAAGCACAATATTCCTTTTATTTATTACTGTATTAGCCGCAACCATTGATCACAACAAGAAATTTTGAATCCTTAGCTGACACATGCATGCATCACTTTGTGTCAATTATTTTTTTTTTTGAAAGCTTAATGTTGTAATGATTCAGTCAGCACCACGATGAATGAGCTAAGAAAATTTAAGACTCGTTGATGGCATTGGTTTTCTGTGATGGCAGTGTCAAATGTAGCAATATTCGGGACCATGGAGTCTCGCAAGTATATTTGATGTTACACATTTTATCCATTTCTTTTCCTGGGGCATCTTATAATAATAAGATTGAGAGAAATTGACCAAAGCACAAGTTCCCAATAACAGTTACAATTTCTGCACATGTATTTTTTCATATATTATTTATTGGATACTTCCCCTGTTTATCTAACAAAAGAAAATATTATGAGACACTATACTTTCTCTATTCATCCGTCTTTGACTACACCACTGACTATCGCTGAAACATTCAGCGTCTCCGAGCAAGCAATAGTGCATCAAAATATGTATCAAGAAGCGTAAGCGCAGATTTTAGTGCGTATCTGGGAAAAAGCTGAAACGCTGAAGACAAACTAACATTGTTCTGGAAATTATAGATATATAATGTTGGTTCTTTCTGATTTCGATAATCTCTTCAGCTTCATGAATACGCTTTCATTTTTCATTCTATCATAATATCAACCTATAATAAATATCATCAAGATGCAACTAATCCCAATACTATCAACATTAACACTACTTTTCTCCACCTCGCTTGCAGCCTACGATGCAAACTCCAAGAACAATGTGGCTGTATACTGGGGCCAAGGCTCCAACCAGGAGAGTCTCGGGTATTATTGTGAAAGAGGGGATGTTGATATTGTCGTGATTTCCTTCATTAACTACTTGAACTCCACTTATGTTGGTTTCAATTTTGGGAACGCCTGTTGGGGGCCAGAATGTCCTCTCATTGCTGCAGACATCAAGAAATGTCAAGCTCTTGGTATCAAAGTGTCACTATCCATTGGTGGGGACGAAAGATTAGGTGACTATGGATGTACCAGTGATGCCGATGGAGAAGCAGCAGCGCAAATGCTTTATGACATGTTCAGTCCTAATGGTAATCCAAAAGTCACCAAACCATTCGGCGACGTCACCATTGATGGGTTTGATTTGGATATTGAAAACTTTAACCAAAAGGGTCAAATTGCCATGTTCAAGAAGCTCAGAAAGCTTTTCGCTAAAGAGAAAACCTTGATTTTATCTGCTTGTCCTCAATGTCCATATCCTGATTCCAATGTCAATGACGTTATGGTCGACGAAGAAGTGCAATTAGATCTTGTATTCATGCAATTTTACAGTAATGCAGGCTGTAGTATGAACAATAAAGATGGTTTTGCTAACTCATGGAAAACTTGGGCGAATTTCATGGAAAACGTTACCAATTCAAAAGACATGAAAATGTACGTCACTTTACAGGCTTCCAAGTCTAACGAATACCATACCAATGTATCCTGGGTCAATGAACAATTGAAAGGTAAAATGTCTGACTCATTCTTCGGAGGCATTGGTCTTTGGGATGCCACAGTGGCCACTGAATGCACCGATACTTCGATTTCCGGAGTATCGCAAAATTACATTCAAGGCATGAAAAACCTTCTCAGTGGAGTTTATTCCAGTTTGGTTAAGAGGGATGAGTTGTAATCCAATTATTATCATGCTATCGGCTGTTCTGGATTCCTTTTCATTGAACCATTTTTATTTCTCAACTGGGTCTTATATCTCTTTCTTATTTATATTTTCTATTCAGTTCTACATCATACTGTATTTTGCACTAACTTATTGATTGGTTATTTCTAATAATCTTTTGCTTCTCTTTAAAATCGTATTACATTTAATTATAGAATCTTTTTTTTTCCCCTCGCGTTATCGTTAATAATAATAATAATAATAAAAATAATAATAATCATATTTAGAAATATTGAAAAATTTCCCCTGCCATCTTTACGAAACATGTGCCGCAATTTGTAGCCGAATTGGGAGGTTCAGTGATATGTCTTCCAAAGAAAAAAAATAGCAAGTTCAAATATAAAAGACACTTGCAATCTCCTTCACTTATCTTAGGAATCATAATTTGAGCTCTTATTTGAAAAAGACTATGAGAATCAACGAGAATTCTCTACTGCTCCGTTGTTTTTCTTTTGACAGCTTAGTGTTGTAATGTCCTGTTCAACACCAGCACTACCTATGTGCAAGATCATTAGTGCTACATGAATAAGTGAATATGATTCCAGATTCATTGACAACATTAGTTTCTTTGATGGCACTGTCAAGTCTCGCAAGTATGTATACTATGTTTGAAAAGCATTAGCAAAGAACAGCATTCTATATTGAGAAAAGGGATAAAACACCCTAACAGCTTGTATTAACTATTAAATGTACTCTTTTTATTCATTCCTTTTCTTGGGAGAAATTGGCGAAGCATATGAGTGATATTCAACTTGAATTTATTACAACACAAGTCCCATAACAATTACAATTTCTGCATATGTATTTTTTTGTTTCATATATTATTTATTGGATACTTCCCCTTTTTATCTAACAAAAGAAAATATTATGAGATACTATACTCTTTTCTATTCATCCGCCTTTGACTACACCACTGACTATCGCTGAAACATTCAGCGTCTCTGACAAACATTCGTGCATCAAAATTTGTATCAAGAAGCGTAAGCGTAGGTTTTAGTGCATGTGGAAATAAGCTGAAACGATGAAGACGAAGCAACATCATTCTGTAAATTATTTATATGTGTATGCATATACATATATAATTGGCTCTTTCTCATCTCTATGACCTCTTCAGTTTCATTAATACGCTTTCATTTTTCATTCTATCATAATATCAACCTATAATATATATCATCAAGATGCAACTAATCCCAATACTATCAACATTAACACTACTTTTCTCCACCTCGCTTGCAGCCTACGATGCAAACTCCAAGAACAATGTGGCTGTATACTGGGGTCAAGGCTCCAACCAGGAGAGTCTCGGGTATTATTGTGAAAGAGGGGATGTTGATATTGTCGTGATTTCCTTCATTAACTACTTGAACTCCACTTATGTTGGTTTCAATTTTGGGAACGCCTGTTGGGGGCCAGAATGTCCTCTCATTGCTGCGGACATCAAGAAATGTCAAGCACTTGGTATCAAAGTATCACTATCCATTGGTGGGGACGAAAGATTAGGTGACTATGGATGTACCAGTGATGCCGATGGAGAAGCAGCAGCGCAAATGCTTTATGACATGTTCAGTCCTAATGGTAATCCAAAAGTCACCAAACCATTCGGCGACGTCACCATTGATGGGTTTGATTTGGATATTGAAAACTTTAACCAAAAGGGTCAAATTGCCATGTTCAAGAAGCTCAGAAAGCTTTTCGCTAAAGAGAAAACCTTGATTTTATCTGCTTGTCCTCAATGTCCATATCCTGATTCCAATGTCAATGACGTTATGGTCGACGAAGAAGTGCAATTAGATCTTGTATTCATGCAATTTTACAGTAATGCAGGCTGTAGTATGAACAATAAAGATGGTTTTGCTAACTCATGGAAAACTTGGGCGAATTTCATGGAAAACGTTACCAATTCAAAAGACATGAAAATGTACGTCACTTTACAGGCTTCCAAGTCTAACGAATACCATACCAATGTATCCTGGGTCAATGAACAATTGAAAGGTAAAATGTCTGACTCATTCTTCGGAGGCATTGGTCTTTGGGATGCCACAGTGGCCACTGAATGCACCGATACTTCGATTTCCGGAGTATCGCAAAATTACATTCAAGGCATGAAAAACCTTCTCAGTGGAGTTTATTCCAGTTTGGCTAAGAGGGATGAATTGTAATCCAATTATTATCATGCTATCGGCTGTTCTGGATTCCTTTTCATTGAACCATTTTTATTTCTCAACTGGGTCTTATATCTCTTTCTTATTTATATTTTCTATTCAGTTCTACATCATACTGTATTTTGCACTAACTTATTGATTGGTTATTTCTAATAATCTTTTGCTTCTCTTTAAAATCGTATTACATTTAATTATAGAATCTTTTTTTTTTTTTCATTTACTTTCACTTTTGACTATTGTATATTGTATTGCGCTTTAGCACCGTGGCTAGTGTGCCTTTTTTTTTTTTTCTCTAGGAAAGAATGATTCCCATTACCTTGAATGTTCAGTCTTGGGTTTAAAGGAAACGTCATAGCCACCATGACTCCAAAAATATATGTAAATTCGCACCAAGTGCATTTGTCTCGCTATATGTTTGTTAGATAAAACATAATGTGAAAGAAAAAAAATAGGACGTGATTTCTGTATGGTAAAAGAAGTGACCCACCAATTTATTCCTACCTCTATGAAATCATAATAGAGCCTCTACACATGTTTCTCTTACCAATAAAACCAAATTGAACTTAGTAAACAAGATATTTAAAAGACGTCTTTTAGAGTGGTACTACTTGGTGTATTAATACTCACTGTTGTGAAAAACACGGTGTCGTTCATCGTAGTTTAATATCCTTGTATTGGTGTTATTAGTCGAAGACATATTGTAAATCATTTCTTATTTTAGCTACATGCTCATAATTAGGGAGGGAAGGATTTTTTTTAGCTCAATATATTCCACGCTGAGCTTCAGTTATCTAAGAATAAACTCGTTGGTGTTATTATTATTCTTCTTCTTCTTAATCTTCCTGCTCTAGGCTTCCTCTCCCACCAAAAGGTAAGATATTATATGTATATATACTTATTCTGGCCATAGTAACAGCTAGACATACCCAGGAAACTTATACTTGATCAAAAAGTAACTGACAACAGAAAGAAAATCCACACCACTATCGCAGTGTTCTTATCAATCCGTAGATCATTTGTCGGGACTTCAAGCAACAGAAGGACCTTTCCATAATAACACTGAATTCCGCGAAAAATAACTTGGATTTATTTTTACAATAGACAAATAAATAGAAAACGTATAGTATGATGAGTCAACATGGGCAATTTGATTATTATATAGAATCATTAACTGAGAAACCAACCCATAATTAAAACAGCGAGGAGCAGAAATTTATTCTATCTGTCCACTATGATAGAGTTGTTTCAACTATCATACTGCATCATTTTTTTGGTCATTGATAGCGATGGGACTAATCCCAGGTGAAATGTGTAAATATTCTCGGTCTTTTGGGGAAAATTTCGTCTTTAGTAGCAAAATCGTGAACGCACAGATACAAAAAAAAAAAAATCCGCATATATAGACAGATACACAGAATATTTCGAGCGATTCACAATCAATTGGCTTCAAAGAAGTCTTACCAAAGAGATATGTCATTATGAGAATTTTCTTACTTGAATGATGTTCCATAAAGATTTATCAATCCCTGAGCTTTTCATTCTGTTAAAGCCTAAGAGAGCCACCAGAGATGACTCGTAAACCGCCTTGGTATTATTATTCACAGCTAGATTGAATAGAATAGAAAAATCATGATTCTATATAACCAAAAATTTTGATAGTGTTCCTTTGAAAGCGGAAACCAATATTGGAACCACAGAACATCCGTGGAAAACTAAGATACGATGGCACTCACTCTATATGCTTATCATAATGTCTGGCCAATTTTTCATTGAATTCTTTGTTCTTTCTATTAATATACAAAGTTGTGTCTTTACCGTTTTTCAATTTATTTTTGTTCGTCTTTGTGATTTTTGCATTCTGCGAGGATTGTAAACTCCCAGTGTACAATTCAATGGTTTGTTTAGAAGGTTGATGATCGAACTGATATTCCCCATCATTGGAATCAACGCTGGCATCTTTGATACCCAAAGATAATTTTTTCTTAGAAATTTCGTTTATCTTTTTTAGGTAAGTTCTTTCTGCCAAGATGTTTTGGTCATTTTGATTCTTGGACCGTTGTTCGACCGACAGATTTTTCTCATGCCATTTCTGGTTATCCTCTACCGAGTAATTCCATAGCTTCTTGCGCTCCATCTGTTGGTTGGTGAGCGGATCGTCCATCTTTAACAAAGCCAACTCGGCATCCTGTTGTTTTTGTGAATGTTTTTGCAAGGCAGCGGGGGTGGTAGAGTTTCTAGAGTGTTCTCTGTAAACGTCGGATTTATTCTGCGATTGTGCTAGAGATCGCTGTTTCTGTAGCTGTTTGAATTTGCTGAGCTTATCTTTTGTGGTGGATGACATCATGACAGGATTATCTTTGAAGCATAATAATGAATAATCTTACCATCATCTCACGATAATCAAATGATCTCACAATGGTGATTTTTTTTTTTCCTATGATGACCGGGTGCACTACCCCACCAACGCTCATTAACTGTCGTGATGGCTGGACAAGTATATATGTTTTTTTTTTGTATTAGATGCTGTAATGGGTGTATATATATTATATATATATATATATATATCTTCACCAACGTATCTTGCCAGTCCCACCAGCCACCAGCCACCAGCCTCCCCGGAGATCGCTCGAGGAGCTTTTGGCGCAATGGCGTCTGGTGGTGCCTCAAGCAACCTCTCTCTCTAGCAAGTCTCACCTGACACAACAAGCAGCAGGCAGCGGCGGCCATCCCGTCCACCACCTCGTGCTTCCTCCCATTTCCCCGGGGCCCTTTATAAAACCCACAGCAAGCGCTGCTGCTTCCACTTCCCAACCTATTTAACATTTTTCACTTTTTTTTCCAACAATCCAATCACACAACATATATACATAATCAACAAACCATGGGTGTCCAAGACGTCTTATCAAGAAAATCGGGGGTCATTGTCGGTGACGATGTCCGCAAACTCTTTGAATATGCCAAAGAACACAAGTTCGCCATTCCTGCCATCAACGTCACTTCCTCTTCCACCGTCGTTGCCGCTTTAGAAGCCGCCAGAGACGCCAAGTCCCCAATCATCTTGCAAACTTCCCAAGGTGGTGCCGCCTACTTTGCCGGTAAAGGTGTCGACAACAAGGACCAAAATGCCTCCATCCAAGGTTCCATCGCCGCTGCCTCTTACATCAGAGCCATTGCCCCAGCTTACGGTATCCCAGTCGTTTTGCACACTGACCACTGTGCCAAGAAGTTGTTGCCATGGTTCGATGGTATGTTTGAAGCCGACGAAGCTTACTTCAAGAAACACGGTGAACCATTGTTCTCCTCCCACATGATTGACTTGTCTGCCGAATCCGACGACTACAACATCGCCACCACCGCCAAATATTTCGAAAGAGCCGCCAAGATGAACCAATGGTTGGAAATGGAAATCGGTATCACTGGTGGTGAAGAAGACGGTGTCAACAACGAAGCTGCCGACAAGGACAGTTTGTACACCTCTTCTGAAACCGTTTTCAAGGTTTATGAAGCCCTTGCCCCAATCTCTCCAAACTTCTCCATTGCCGCTGCCTTTGGTAACGTCCACGGTGTTTACAAGCCAGGTAACGTTGTTTTGAAGCCATCTATTTTGGGTGAACACCAAGAATACGCTTCTAAGCAAATCAAGTCCACCAACTCCAAGCCATTGTTCTTGGTTTTCCACGGTGGTTCTGGTTCTACCCAAGAAGAGTTCAACACTGGTATCGAGAATGGTGTTGTTAAGGTCAACTTGGACACTGACTGTCAATATGCTTACTTGACTGGTATCAGAGACTACGTCTTAACCAAGAAGGACTACATTGGAAGCATGGTTGGTAACCCAGAAGGTGACGACAAGCCAAACAAGAAGTACTTTGACCCAAGAGTCTGGGTCAGAGAAGGTGAAAAGACCATGAGCAAGAGAATCACCGAAGCTTTGAACGTCTTCCACACTGCCGGTCAATTATAAGCGTTTATGATTGTATTTAGTTTCCTACTGTAATCTAGCAATTATCTACAAATTGCCGGGCTTTTTGTATACGAATGAATCTATGAAATTACTGTTATTAATGATGACAACATGTTTTTTTTATTGTATTTTTGAATATTATTGACATTGAGATTGTTATTTTGCAAGCGTAGCACGGGTTTGGTAATCATTATCAATGATATCACCAACTTAATTATCATGAGTCATTTTTTTTATTGTCCCTTGCAAAGCTCCTCTTTGCAAGGTTATTGTATACTGCAACTGCTGACTATGTGATCTTCATCAACGTTTTACTATTCTATAACTGGATACAGAATGCGTACCTTGAATATTCCATCCACCGGATCTTTTAATGTTGTGTAATTAAAATAACAAAATAATTTGAGCATAAATATGGCCAAAACGGAGGGAACACACACCAACTGGGCGGGTGTTTACCTTATCAGAAGGAAGTGGGGGAAAAAAAATAAATATTCCACCTCATCACTTCTGTCTCTCATACATAATCATATCTTCTCATACATCATATAAAAAAAAAAAAACCATTTCTTCTTCTGTCGAAACTACAGATCGAGAAACTAAAAGTGGAGAAAAAAATATTAAAGAAAGAACAGAGAACAAAAAAAAATGTCAACTGACACATATATTGCCAAACTTAATGAAGCTTTACAAACCATCAAGGTCAAACTTCCCTTGGATCTCTCTTCCCCAAGAGTTCTCATAATCTGTGGTTCTGGACTCGGAGGTATTGCTTCTAAGATCTCATCACCACTTGAAATAGCCTACTCTGATATCCCAGGCTTCAAAGTGTCGACGGTTGCCGGCCATGCTGGGAAACTTGTATTTGGTACTATGGGGTCCAACGCCGTGCCAGTGATGTGTATGGTTGGTAGACTCCATTTTTACGAAGGTTACGAATTTAACGATACTAATTTCCCAGTGCGTTTGGCATCGTTGTTGGGGGTCTCCACCATGATCGTGACCAATGCCGCTGGTGGCTTGAACACCGGTTACAAAGCTGGGGATTTGATGATCATCGATGATCATCTCAATTTGCCAGGTCTTGCAGGGTTCCACCCATTGAGAGGTCCAAACCTTGAGATGTTTGGGCCAAGATTCCAACCATTATCCGATGCTTATTCTCTCAAGCTTCGTCAGTTGTTTTTCCAAAAGAAACTTGCCCTCAACATCACCAGAACCATCCATGAAGGGACCTACGTGTTTGCTGCGGGGCCAACTTTTGAGTCGCGTGCCGAAGTTAGAATGCTCCGTGTATTAGGTGGCGATGCGGTAGGAATGAGTACCGTCCCAGAAGTCATTGTTGGACGTCATTGTGGACTTGAAGTATTGGCAGTGTCATTGATCACCAACGAAGGATTGGGGGCCAAACCTGCCAGTGCGTTCGACAAAGAACCAGAAAGGTTGGATAAAGGAATGGCCAGTCATGACGAAGTATTGGAAAATGCCAATGCTGCATCAAAGGATGTGCAAATGTTGGTTAGTGAAGTGGTCAATGAGTTGTAAGGAAATCCAATTTGGGGGGAGCCATTCATTTTCCATTTTTTTCTTCTCTCATATTTTTACATTTTCGTTTCATTTCTCATACTCTTATTCATTATCTTTTTTATTTTTTTATTTTTTTTTTTTTTTCTATCCCGGATATTCACACCAATAGCATTTTTTTTTATCGTATCTTGTTTGTTGCCTTTCTAATAGAAACTGCATTTGAAAACCATCAATTTTGAAAATTTAAATTTTGCGGACTTCCAATCCATAATGCTTTGTAGGAAAAAACAATGATTTAGATTTATAACGGCACTGAGTTTATTGCGAATGATACATTTTTTTATATCTTATTTCAAATAACATGGTGTATTTTATTATGATACACTAAAAACTTCAAAGTACTTGATGAAGAGAATCTTTTTATTCTAGGACGAAATTATGTCAATTGAAGAGGACACCCACAAGAAAAAAAAAATGGTGTGAGAATAAGCAAATTATCGAAAGTACAAAAAATGAATAAGTAAATAAATAAATATAATGATAATAACAAAAAAGAAAACAAAACAAAACAACAACAAAAAATAGACTTTTTTTTTTCTTAGCTCACATTAAGGCAAAAATCAGATTTAACATTGACAGAACAAGATGTCTTTTTTCTTTTACCAAGAATATTGCCATGTTTTTTTTTTTTTTTTTCAATTTGTGAATAAAAGGCCTTTTTCTCAATTTGGTCCATTACCAAACCCAAACCCAGTTGGTTGTGATGTCAACATTTGCCCATTGTTACCAAAAATATTATTGTTTCCGGTTGATGAGCCATTATTGACTTCATTTCCCATTAAACTATTAGTGAATGCTTGTTGCGATGCAGTTTGTACTCCTCCAACACCAAAACTGGTTGGTGGTTGAGCTCCAAATGACGTTGTTGTTGGCTGACCAAAACTAGTTAATGGTTGACCAAATGATGTTTGAGGACCACCAAACCCAGTTTGCGATGGGGCAAATTGGTTTTGGAATAATTGGGCTCCTGTCATCTGTGCTTGTTGTAATTGTTGTTGGTGTTGTTGTTGGGCTTGCATATTATGCAACATGTTCAAAGAAGCAACTCCTGATGGTTGTTGTTGTTGCTGCTGGCCGGTGAGTGAAGTATTCTGGAACATATTGGTCATGGAATTCATTTGGTTTCCGAAAGAGGTTTGTGGGAATTGTTGTTGTTGTTGTGGTTGACCAAATGGCGATGACCCAAATGAGGTGGTTGGCATGGCTCCACCAGTCATTTGTTGCGGTTGAAACCCGTTGGAAGTCATTTGCATTGGCATAATTCCTCCAGTGACTTGCTGCTGCTGTGGTTGGAAGGTACCAAAAGAAGTCATTGGCATAGCACCTCCAGTTTGCATCATTGGCATAGCACCTCCAGTTTGCACCATTGGCATAGCGCCACCAGTTTGCATCATTGGAATAGCACCGCCAGTTTGCATCATTGGCATCACCCCTCCAGTGACTTGTTGTGGTTGGAATGATCCAAAAGAGGTTTGTGGCATGGCCCCACCAGTGGTCACAGAAACAACCCCATTACTAGTGGTGATCGAGGTCACAGTACCAAAAGAGGTTTGTGGCATGGCCCCACCAGTAGTAACCGATACCACTGGTCCATTATTGGTCCTAGCCGGTTGTAAAGGCATGATGGAGGCACCATTTCCTGGGTTGAAATTGGCAGTAGGTTGACCAACCAACACCGGTTGCATAGTTTGGATTGGCACGAAAACCGAGGCACCTCCAGTAGCGTTTGGCATGACGATTGGGGCTCCAGTGGCCATTGGTAATATATTATGGCCACCGGTTTTGAATGGATCAAGAGGTTGTAAAGAACCAGTACGTTGTGATTTAATACTAGAGCCAGTCTTTTGAGAAAGAAGTTGGTTAACTAAAGATGATCCAGTTTTTTGCTGGCCTAGTTGGATGGAGGATCCAGTTTTGGTTGGAGCAATTGCAGGAACTGCAGTATTGTTCTTGAGTGGGTCAGCAGAGGCGACGTAATTAGAATCTAATGGCTTAAGATCAACCAAGTCTTGCAATGACCCAGTGATTTGTGGTTGAGACGTGGTAGTTGGTGGTGGTGCAGATATCGATTTTGGTTTATTTTCAGTTTGGGCAACCGATGGTTTGATTGTCCAGGCATCGTCATCAGTAACACCATTCAAATTCTTAGAATCAATTCTTGGAGGTTGAGGTCTAGGAGCGGTTTCTGGAGGAACAGTGGCAGCAGCAGCAGCAGGAGCACTAGCAACTTCCGGTTTGCTTCTGTTGAATTTATTGTCCAAAAACTTCATGATCCTAATAATATCTCCTTCCCTACAGCCCAAGTTACGCAATAGCGAAGGAGTGACATCTTCAAGGGAACTTTCATCGAGTTGTTCTTTTTCAAAATTGGTGGTGTAGCGTTGGCATTGATTCAAATCAACCCCACAATTAAGGAAGAAATCAAACCAATCATATTCTTCTTGCTTTGTGGATGGGATATTGGATGATGAAGGCTTTCTTTCTTTTTCTTTGGAACGCGAAGATTTTTCTTTCTTCTTTGGTTTGTAATTATCTAATGAGAAACCAGTAACACGTTCGACATATTCAATATCTGGCAATGCCAATTTATCAGCTGCCACTGCAATTTTAACACCGTTGGATTTATGCAAATGGATTTTACCTTCCACACAACCAATGAACTCAGCTTCAACTTTAAATGATCCAGATTTGTCAACCCAAGTTCTAATTTTATTTGGATTCGGCTTGGCTTTGGATTTAGTAGATTTTGATTCCTTCTTTCTTCTTTCACGGTCCCTTCCCTCATACTCTCTATCATGCTCTCTATCCCGTTCTCTTCTTTCCCGTTCTCTGTTCCGTTCCTTTTCCCGTTCCTTTTCCCGTTCTCTTCTTTCCCGTTCTTTTTCCCGTTCTCTTCTTTCCCGTTCTCTTTCATGCTCCCTATCCCTCAGCTCTTGTAATTCCCTTGCCTTTGTTTTTTTGCTTTTCATTGAATCTTTGGTTTTTTTGCCAATGTCACCCAAAGTAAAGCGCTTATTTTCTCCGCCAACATTGACATAAGTAGATGGAATAACTCCTCGTTTACCAGTATCAATATTTTCCACTAACCACCAATCTGGAGATTTTTTATCATTAACAATATAAACCAAATCTCCATCCTTAGCATTGAGTTCATCTTTGTTTTGAGCTTTGAAATCGTACAATACCAGACCAGTTTTATAACCGTTAGCAGTAGGTTTAGAAGCAGCTTTAACTTCCTCTAAAGCCGCAGTAGAAATTGCCCCAGAGACCTCTCCAAGTAACGACAAGATTTCTCTGGCTTTGTCTTTAGAACCAGCATGAATTTCGATGGAGGCTGGAGGGCCTTTGAAATCTAAAAACACATGCTTTTTTTCGGACGAAAAAGAAATCAACTTGTCTGCTGACCAACTTCTTGGCTCATCATCATTGGAAGGATCTGGACTGAAATAAATTTTACCATTTCCGATTCCTATAGTTAATTTCTTCTTTTTCTTTCCTTCAACTTCAGCGACATTCCAGGTATAAATATCCAGGTTTCCATTTTGATTTCTATCTCTATTTCTATCCAAATCATCATCGTCATCAATTCTTGGAACGCTATCGTTTGTCACTCTTTGTCTGTCACCCCGTTTATTATGCAAGGACGATGATCTGTTGGCGTTACTTGGTCTTTTTGGCTTATCAGGCGGCAATTCACCCGCAGATTCATAATCATCATCGCCATAGGAACTATTACGAGAGTGACGGCTTATGGATTGCCTTGATTTGGCATGTTCTCTTTCTTCGCTTTCAGATGCTTCTCTGGAAAGCTTATCGGCCATGGCTTGCCTATCGTAGCGAGCTGGAGGTGGTGCAAACGATGACATTTGCAGCACCGCATTGTTAGTATTGATTACTGGCTGAGCTGGCAATGATTTGTTTGCATTGGAAGGAGCAGAATTTTCACCAGTGGAAACCTCGATATAATTTGCCGGAACAAACCCGAATGATGATTCAGCATCATCAGATACCAAAATCCAATCACCATCACTGGTATCGTAAACGTGGAAATGATCGCCTTCGTGGAACGATAACTCCTCTTCGGTTTGTTTTGTATAATCGTACAAAGCAGAAGCACTGCCAATAGTTGCTGCTGGTTCTATATAAGTGGAAGGAACGAGGCCGCTTGGTTCCTCGACGTCTGAGCCAACCATTCTCTTCTTCACTTTCCACCAATCGTCAGTGTTTGATTTTTCAATGACATAAAGAATATCACCTTCTTCAATTGCCAATTCTTCTTCGGTAGCGGGAGAATAGGCATATACCGCCTTATACACCCCAACGTAAGACATTGTCAGGGAATTCTCTGATTTGCAATAAATAAGGGTCGATAGGGGAGGACTTTGCTTTGTGTGATAATGTGGGTTAGTGAAATATAAGCTGCTGTCCTTGGCTGTTGTTATAGGGGGGGTTTTCGTCAAGAAAAATGGGCTATTTACGGATGGTCACGTGTAAAATACCGTTGCTGGCGGTGCGCGCGGGAAAAACAACAAGAAGAGGCTGATTCTTTTGGGTGGGATAGGAAATGGTTTATGAAGAGGCACAGTATAACAGCTCTACAGAAGAATATTGTAGTTGTTACTCGCTCGGTTTCATGTGGTTTCAACTAATTGGCCAGGGCCAGAGAGGTTCCTCTTGCGAGTTCCGCATGATATCAAGGCATGATTATGCAATGATATGTAACAGTGTGATGATTGGTGCTCTGTTGCATTTTCTTATTGCTTCAAGCCAAAAATACTAGCAGAGAAGGTAGATTGGCCATGGAATATTATTTGCTCCTGTTGATCGTGTATTAATGTCATGTAGGCCCTGCGTAAGCTAACGTGTTCCCATTTGTAGTTTCACGCTTACCCTCAAATGGTGCTCCTCCTCCTCCACCACCCACAAACCACTAAACTGCGGGTAACTTATCAAGATGAGTTAAAATTTTTTTTTTTTTTTTTTTTTTGCTTCGTCTGGCTAAAAAAGATCACCTATTCTCGAATCCTCACATTTCTCAAGGGAAAAAGAAAATAAAGGAATCAAATCTTTAAGCATAATGGTCTCCGCATCTAAAGCTAAGAGAGAAGCTAAGAGAGCTGCTGCTGGTAAGAAGCCAAAGAAGGAAAGAGCCTCCAAGAAGGATGATGTCACTTCCGCCGCCGAAGAGATCGAGCAATTGAAATTGCAAACCGACAAAGATGGTATCTCTGATCGTGTGGTCACTGGTGTCTTGGACTCTTTGGAAACCTCTAGAGATGTCAAGTTATCTTCTGTTTCCTTGCTTTTCCACGGTAAGGTCCTTATCCAAGATTCTGTTTTGGAATTGAATTATGGTAGAAGATACGGTCTTTTGGGGGCTAACGGTTGTGGTAAATCTACTTTGTTGAGATCCATTGCTGCTAGAGAATTCCCAATTCCAGCTCACTTTGATATTTATTTGTTGAACGAACCAGCTGCCCCAACTGAGTACTCTGCTTTGGTGTATGTCGTCAGAGAAGCTGAAGCCGAAATGAAGAGATTGGAAGACTTGGTTGAACAAATCATTGTCGATGAAGGTCCAGAATCTCCAGTTTTGGATGGTTTGTATGAAAGAATTGAAGAAATGGATCCAACCACTTTTGAAACTAGAGCTTCTGTTATTTTGACTGGTTTGGGTTTCAACAAACACACTATTAACAAGAAGACCAAGGACATGTCTGGTGGTTGGAGAATGCGTGTGGCTTTAGCTAAGGCCCTTTTCGTCAAGCCAACCATGTTGTTGTTGGATGACCCAACTGCCCATTTGGATTTGGAAGCTTGTGTCTGGTTGGAAGAATACCTTAAGAGATTTGACCGTATTTTGGTCCTTGTTTCTCATTCTCAAGATTTCTTGAACGGTGTTTGTAGTAACATGATCGATATGAGATTGAAAAAGATTATGCAATATGGTGGTAACTACGATACCTATGTCAAGACCAGACTCGAATTGGAGACTAACCAAATGAAACAATATCACAAACAACAAAAGGAAATCGCTGATATCAAGAAGTTCATTGCCAGTGCTGGTACTTATGCTAACTTGGTCAGACAAGCTAAATCTAGACAAAAGATTTTGGATAAGATGGAAGCTGATGGTTTCATTGAAAAAGTTGTTGAAGACAAGGTCTTCTCCTTCAGATTCGCTGACGTTGAAAAATTGCCTCCTCCAGTGTTGTCCTTCGATGACATTTCTTTTGCTTACGATGGAAGTGTTGAAAACCGTCTTTATGAACATTTGAGTTTTGGTGTTGATATGGACTCTAGAGTTGCTCTTGTTGGTCCAAATGGTGTGGGTAAATCCACTTTATTGAAGATTATGACTGGTCACTTGCAACCACAAGGTGGTAGAGTCTCCAAGCACACACACATCAAATTGGGTGTCTATTCCCAACATTCTGCTGATCAATTGGACTTGACTAAGACCCCATTAGAGTTTGTTCGTGACAAATTTTCTTCGATTTCCCAAGATTTCCAATACTGGAGACAGCAGTTGGGTAGATACGGTTTGACCGGTGAACAACAAACCGCCCAGATGGCCACTTTGTCCGAAGGTCAAAGATCCAGAGTTGTCTTCGCCTTGTTGGCCCTTGAATCTCCAAATGTCATCTTGTTGGATGAACCTACTAACGGTTTGGATATCCCAACCATTGATTCTTTGGCTGATGCCATTAAGGCTTTCAGTGGTGGTGTTGTTGTTGTTTCCCACGATTTCAGATTGTTGGACAAGGTTGCCAAAGATATTTTCGTTGTTGAAAACAAGACTGCTACAAGATGGGACGGCAGTATCTTGCAATATAAACAAAAATTGGCCAAGAACGTTGTGTTATAAGCGACTTTTTAGGTTTATTTATTCATATTATATATGGTTTTTACGCTTTTATATTTATTTGTAAGTTACCATTAGTATAGTGGTGATTATAAACCATTGACTGTTATATTTATTATTACATCATTTATTCACGAGTATTATAATTGGATTCTGTTGATGTTTATGAATTTTATTAGCTCCCCCCTCACACTGAATCATCAGCGTTGGGAGAACTGGTAGGGTAATCCGCATGAAGGATGAACCTTGAGGAGGAGGAAAAAAGTGATTGAAAAAAACTGAAAGCAAAATATACGCTGGTCTTGAAAAAACACCAAAGTAATTGTTGTTCCCGTATCTAAGCAGTGTTTTATTTCGTTTACATTTGGGTGACTTATCCAATTAAATTCTGGGATAAATAAATACTGTCCACGATGTCGAGCTCAGATGAGGAGAAGCCGGATTATTTGAACCGTGACGCAGAGGAATCTGATAACGGTGGTGCTATCGATTCTAGTGACGAGGAAGATGATGACGATGAAAATGAAATTGCCAAAGTTCGCGATGGGTTCATCGTGGATGATGAAGATGAAAATGAAGGGTCAGAAGACTCTTCTTCTGAAAGAAGACACCGTCGTAAAAAGAGAAAGCATAAGGAGAAAACCCCAAAAGATGAAGACGATGCGCTTGATGAAGATGACTTGGATCTTTTAATGGAAAATACTGGGGCTGCTCCAAGAGCCAAATCGAAATTCAAGAGATTGAAGAAAGCTTCTTCCGAGGATGATAAATCTCAATCGACTTCCAATAGAGCAAGTAATGCGCTAGATGATATTTTCAGCGATGAAGAAGAAGAACCAGAAGATGAAGCTCCGGCCAATGGAGGTAGAAGAAGAACCGACCATGATGAAATGGACGATTTCATTGAAGAGGATTCTGATGATGAAGAAGATCGTGATGTCAATCATGCTTCGCGTGATAGAAGATATAGACCTCAAGCCACGTCGGTTATCGCACCACAATATAGTGATATCGACCAAGAAAAATTGGACCAGTTGTTTGAAATTTTTGGTGATGGTACCGACTACCAATGGGCCTTAGATTTGGAAGACATTGATGGAGATAACGATGATGGCGAAGAAGGTGATGGGGTTCCTAAATTGACTGATATTTTCGAACAAACCGAATTAAAGGAAAAGATGTTGACTGAGGAAGATAACCAAGTTAGAATCACAGATATTCCAGAAAGATTCCAGGAAATGCGTTCAGTGGTCAAGAATTATGAACTAGATATCGAAGATTTCGAATTTGAAAAAACCTGGATCAGAGAATCCATGGCCGTGGAGAAGTATGAGTTCTTCCAAAATAATGAATACCTTATTGAACCTTTTGAACATGCTGTTGGAGATGTATTGACATTTATGTGTGAAGACAATTTGGAAGTTCCATTCATTTGGACCCACAGAAGAGATTTCATTACTCATGCTTTCAAAGACCCAGAAACCGGCGAGTTTATCCTTAAGGATTTACTTGATGAAGATGATTTGTGGAGAATTTGCCAGTTGGATATTGATTTCCACAGCTTATTGAGCAAAAAGAAAACCGTCATTAGTTTGTTGACCAAACTTGGGAAATTAGATGAATTCGAAGAAGAGCTTGAAGGATTGAAGAAAATCAATGAATATCAGGATTTCTATGACTATGTGTTGTTCAAGTTTTCTAAAGAGTTGAAAGAGATACAGAAGGAAAGCCAAAAGGATGATGACGATCTCGAAGAAATTGATGAAGATGAAGAAGAAGATGACTATAATTTTAACCGAGGCTCCAACGTCAGAAAATCCAAGGACTCTAAAATCAAGAGTAGAAGACATCAGAAATATTCGATTTGGGATAGGGTTAGAGATTCTGATTTGAATGAAATGATTGAAAACTTTGGTATCACCGCTAGTCAAGTGGCCACCAATATTTCTCAAGAAACTAGACAATATTTCACCGAAGACCCGACCGAAGAGCCAGAACGTGTTCTTGCTGAGATTTGTACCAGAGCTGACAGTGTTTACACCAACATTAACACTTCAATGAACTTGGTGAAAAAATTATACGCCGAAGAATTGTATCATGAACCACGAATCAGGCACGCTATCAGAGAGACTTTTGCCAATTATTCGGTTATCAATGTGAAATTGACAGAAAAGGGTAAAGTTAAGATAAATAATGCCTCACCAAACTATGACTTCAAATATTTGATGAATAAACCGGTCACCCAAATGATTCATGAACCTGACTTGTTTTTGCGTATGTTGATTGCAGAACAAGAAAATTTGATCGAAATTGTTTTCCATGTACAAGAATATGATCAGCTCTTAGACAAAATCTTCAGTACTTCGTTTGCATCGGATAGCGAATCAGAAATTGGATCTAAATGGAATGAAATCAGAAGAGCATCATTCGATTTGGCAATCAAAAGATTGAATACTCTTGCCCGGATGCATCTTAAGGAAGAACTTAGAAAGCAGTGTGAAAACAGCGTATTCTTATCAGTTAGAAATGCTGTGAATAAGAAATTAAACCAAGCTCCATACAGACCTCCAGGTTATGAAATTGGAGCCATCCCATATACCTTGACCTTATCTGCTGGTGAAGGTAATTTCCATTCTGACGCGGTTGTCGGGGTATATATGAACGAGTTTGGGGAAGTTAAAGAGTTTATTAAATTTGAAGAACATCCATTGAGTCCGGAGTTCATAGATTCATTCGTTAAGAAAGTTCAAAGTTTGAATCCTGATGTTATTGGTATTAATGGTTACAATGCTCGGAGCAAAAAACTTTATGATCGTGTTTTGGAGATTGTCAATTCTGAAAAACTTCGTCCGGCTGCTCAATCTGATGGTGATTATCGGGAATATGAAAATAATGAGCCACCAATTCTTGATGTAATTTTTGTTGCTGATGATATTGCTAGATTATACGAGAACTCTGTGAGAGCCAAACAAGAATTCCCTGATAAATCTAGTTTGTTCAGATACTGTGTTGCCTTAGGCCGTTACTTGCAAAGTCCTTTGCTTGAATACATTAACATGAAGGATGACGTTACTTCAGTGTTCTTCTACCGTTTCCAACATTTATTGAGTAATGACAGATTAAAAGAAGCCATCACCACGGCATTTGTTGACATTGTGAACTTGGTGGGTGTGGAAATCAACAGAGCGATCCGTGAATCTTACTACGCCTCCTGCTTACAATATGTTGCTGGTTTGGGACCAAGAAAGGCCTCTGGTTTACTTCAAAGTATCCAAACTAAGAGTTCATCTGGTTTGGTCAACAGACAACAACTTATCACTTCACAATTAACATCGAAGACTATTTTTCTTAATTGTGCAAGTTTCCTTAAGTTTACCGAAACCGTTAATGGTAGATATGCCGATGAAGCTGATGTTCTTGATGAAACCAGAATTCATCCTGAAGATTACACTTTGGCGATTAAGATGGCGGCTGATGCCTTGGAATTGGATGAAGAAGATATTGATGATTTGGAAAAAGGTGAAGGTGTTATCAGAAAGTTGGAAGAAGGCGATAATGTATACAAGTTGAACGATTTGATTCTTGAAGATTATGCTTTAGAATTGGAGAATAAGAGCGGGAAAAGAAAGAGAGCAACTTTGTATATGATCAAGGAAGAATTGTTGGGCCATTATGATGAATTTAGACGGAAGTTCCACATTATGAATCCTCAAGAAATCTTTGTGTCGTTGACCGGAGAAACCCCAGAAACTTTCTATCCTGGTATGATTTGTACTGTGGTCTTGAAGAAAATTGCTGATAAATATGTTCAAGGGGTCACTCAATTCATGGTGCAATGCAGAATTGGTATTGAGCATTTGAAAGAAAATAATGACCGCAGAAGAATTGGCGAAATTTTCCATCTTCAACAAGCGATCCAGGCGAAGATTCTCGAAATTGATTATGAGAAATTCATGTCTGATGGGTCAGTTTTGAAAAGAGATTTGCAGAATCGTGACAATAAGCATAAACAAAGAAATCCTGCCGAGTGGAATAGAAATGCTGAACTAGAGGATGAACGGACAGAAAAACAAAAGTTGATCGAAGAAAGCAAACCAAAGAAGGTGGTAGAACATCCGTACTTCCATAATTTCAACTCCAAACAAGCCGAAGATTATTTGGCATCGAGAAGCCGTGGTGATTTGGTTATTCGACCATCATCTCGAGGTGAACATCATTTGGCGATCACTTGGAAAGTCGACAACAATTTGTACCAACATTTGGATGTCACGGAACAAAAGGGAAAAAATAAGAATAATCAAGAAGTCAAGAGTTACTTTGTGTCTGGGAGAAAATACAGTGATTTGGATGAATTGATTACTTTCCACATTGCTCCGATCGTGAAACTTGTGGAAGCGTTGATCAATAGTGATAAGTTCTACAACAAATCCCGTGCCGATGCCGAGAGTTATTTGGATAGTTATATTAGAGCCAATGAGAAGAGAGGGTACTATATTTTCTGCTTTGACCACAAACGTCCTGGTCGGTTCAGTTTGTTGTTCAAAGGAAATGAAAAATCCAGCATTCATACCTTACCGATCGAGGTGAACCCCGACGGTTACGTGCTTGCTAATTACAATTACCAAACTGTTGGGTTGCTCACCAATGGGTTCAAGACTCTTGCCAAGAACAAGTTCCGTCCATTACCAAAGAATGATGGGGCCAGTTCGGTTCATAGATATAATAATGGCGGGGGTAGTCGTCATGGTGGACCACAGTATAGAGGGGGGCCTGGAGGGCACGGGGGCCAGACTGGCTATGGTAATGGATCAGCATACGGTGGGAACTATGGTGGTGGTGCAAACCGTTCGAATTATGGTCAACAAATGTATAATAATAACGGCTACGCTGGTGGTTACTAGTTTAAGTGTTTTATAATTCTGGAAGGTATTAGTATTGTATTTTTAGGAGAAGAGCCATTTAAAGAAGAAAAAGAAAAAAAAAAAAAAAAAGAGAGAAATTATGAGATAATTACAGAAAAAAAAAAAAGAAAAAATATTAATTAGTATTTGCACCACTTTTTGTGTTTTTCTATCACATATTTTTGCCTATTATTATTATTATTATTATGAGCTTTTATCATTTTATTCAATTAATTTTTGTTGTTTGTTTATGTTTTACTGTGTCATGTAGTGTTTGATGGTTGGAAGAGAAAAAAAAAGTACGAGGGGGTTGCCCTACCCTTCCATGTTTCCCATGGGAGATTTTGTCAAATGCGTTTAATAATTGTCTTGATAACGATAACATCTGGGAGGGGTACGTACTCTATCTAATTGATACTTCAACCGACCACCTCCCCATCTATTGTTTATAGATCGACAATCAAAGGTTACCTGTTACACCTGCTGATCTATTATTCATTTCCATAATTATTTTTTTTTTTTTTTAGTGGCCGTCTCCATTCATAGATCATAGATATATATTTACCAACCATCCACCCATCCATTATGGCTCCAAGAGACTCACTTAAGAAAAAACTCGTGATTGTTGGCGATGGTTATTGCGGCAAGACCACCCTCTTGTTGGCATTCAAGGACGGGAAATTTAACGATGTTTACGTGCCAACGGTGTTTGAGGACCAAACCGCGAACTTGGTGGTTGACGGATACAACATCGTGCTCAATTTGTGGGATACTGCCGGACAAGAAGATTATGAAAGACTCAGACCATTGGCGTACCCTGAATCCGATGTGGTATTGATTTGTTTTACGGTGGAGCAAAGGGCCTCGTTAGAAAACGTCCAACACGTATGGTTAAAAGAAGTGTTACATTACGTCCATGGGGTTCCGATTTTTTTGGTGGCGTGCAAAAAAGATTTGAGATTGGACCCTGCCACCCAAGCAAAGATGGCAAAGCAAGGCACCACCTTTGTGAGTCCCGAAGAAGGCCAAGGTGTTGCCAGAGCCATCAATGCGTATCGTTACGTGGAATGTTCTGCGAAAACTGGCGAGAACGTTATTGAGTTGTTTGAAGAGATTGGTAGATCTCTTATCCCACAAAAAAAAGCCGGCAAAAATAAGAAGGCCAAGAAATCGAAGAAATGTGTTATTTTATGATATGATTTATTGGTTAACTTGTATGTGGTTGTGTTTTTTTTGTTTTTTTATGGTGGTTTGGTATGTTATTCCATTAGATTCCTGTTTATTTTTCTGATTTTTTTTTTTTTGTTTCTTTCATTTCGACTTTGCTTGTGCTGCTTGTCAATATTATTACTGCTTCTCTGTTGCTCTCCACCTATTTCTATTCTATGCTGATATATAATAATAATAATAATAATAATAATAATAATAATAATAATAACAAAAATAATCCCTTTCTCTGTTGGAAGGGGAGGGTGGTCCTAGTAGATAAGTGTATGTCTGGGTGTAAGGTTTTTTTTTTTCTGCTGGGGTATAAAAGCAGCCAGAAAATTCCCAACTTTCGAAATCTTTTCCTTCTTCTTAATATGTTTTCTGGAGTTCTTTATCAAATTATTATCGTGTGTAGTTCAATATACACTGTTAATTTGTTATTTTCTTTTTGTTTTGTAAACCTTCCTCTCTATTCGATATATTTTTTAATATTTTCTTTTTTTTTTTTCTTCCTTCTTCCTTCTTTCTTTGGTTCTCCTACTTCTGCCCCACTTTCTTATATTCCACCATGGATCGATGGGTTCTGTTTACGGAGAAGATCAAGCTTTAGGACTTGCAATTTCGGATTTTGATACTTTCTGATTTTGGGTACTAGGGATCGTGTCTAAGGGTCAAGGCCAATCTCATGATGGAGGACTGTTTTTCCATGATGAGGCTTTCTTGGTTCTTTTACTACATTTTATTATTACTATTAGTAGTATTAACTTTATTCTCCATTTATTTGGTGGTCTAATGTCGATTACTGTAAGCTCGTATCATACTATTATACATTTCCCTCCCCGTTTGGAGTTTGAGTTTGATTTAGCAGTATTGATTGGTTTCCCAAGAGATATCCTCACCGCGGTGTCGAACACCAGTTTGATCCCAGTGTTTCGACAAGCAGAACATTCTACTATTGTCGATGCCCCAATTGCCTCGGCGACTCGTTGGCATTGGGAGGTGGTCAATGGGGTTTGGTCAGTGATGGCCAAGTTCTCCAAGATGGCCTCGTTGGTCCTTAGATCGGTCTTGTTAACCACCATCACCACCTTGGTGTCGGCGTTACCACCACCACAATGCTCGAGCACTTCGGGAAACCAAATATTTTGGAGATTGTATAGTGATTCGGGCAAGTCTACCGAGCAGCATAGTAGAACGATATCTGAATCAGGGTACGCCATCGGCCGGAGTTCTCCCAACTCCTTTTGTCCTGCGGTATCGATCAATTCCAAGTCAATTGGTTGGTTATCAATGATGATTTGTTTATTATGGGTCTCGAACACCGTGGGGATATAATGGGCTGGAAACCCACTTTTGGCAAACAGCATTAATAAACAGGTCTTGCCAACCCCGCCATCTCCTACCACGACAATTTTCTTAGCAACCATTATTTTTATTATTATTATTATTATTATTATTATCGTTAGTTGATGTATTTGAGAAGACTTCAAAAAGAAAAAAGAAAAAAGAAAAATAAAATGCCCCCCGAGGCATCCACCATCCCAGGGAAAATAAATAAATTATATACACAAGAAAAAATTGGCGTTTCAAAATATCTTGTGCTGCATGATGGCACACATTGGTAGATCGTCGATGATGAGCCATTGGACAATTAATGATCTTCACATATATTGGGACATACACGGTACGGTACGGTAATGGGTATATTATGATAATAATAATCCGATTCGTCTTACGCAAATCAATAATAACATAAACTCTGAATATGTCAACATTTTTTTTTTCTTATCTATATAGAACAATAATAACGGTCATAAGTAACAATAACAAACATGGAAATAAAAAATAGCATTCAAAAATAGGAAAATCCTGGAGGGATAGTAAAAGATATAATATAAAATAAATAACAACAGTGTAAAACTCATACGACGAAACTTTCTCTACTGTAGAAAGATCTTTCAAATCTCATCAACTCTTCTTTATCATTGTACTCTCCTTGTTCTTCCTCCTCCTCCTCCTCCTCTTCTTCTTTTTCTTCTTCTTCTTCTTCATCACATTCTTGGTTTTTGCCATCTTCTTCGTATTCTTCGAGTAATCTAGCAACTAACTCATCATCTTTCTTCGCCTTATCATCAACCTGCTCAAGTTTATCTTCACCATTTTCCACCGATAAAAGCTTACCAAGTAACCACTTTGGCTGGAAATCTCTATCAAATCGGTTCGAGGTATCGAATTTCTTCACTTTATGATCGCCTTTCTTATTGATCAATAAGATTTCTGCGTTAGGATTGAAATTGATTTTTTTGTATTCATGGGTTTTAACCGCCGGTGGGAACGAACGTAATTCTCTGGATTGGAAAATACCCAACGATCTCCTGCCCTTTTGTTTACGGATCGAAGGACTGCTGAGGTCATTATCTTCTTCAAAGTCATCACCAAGAGACGTCTGGGTTTTCAACACTTTAGCAATGGGGGTTAAAAAATCATCAGTAGGTAACTGTGCGATTTCACGAGGTCCAGTAGGAGTTTGTGGCTCGACAATTGATCTTTCTTCTTCTTCTTCTTCTTCTTCTTCTTCTTCGGTTTCGTATTGACTTTCTGCATGACTCTCCAATTGTTCCAAAATACTTTGTTTCTTCTGGAGACTACCGCCGCACTCAGATTCTTGTTCACTCTTCATACTGGCGACAAGCGAATTATACATATCTTGTCTTTTCTTCAACTTTGGAGTATAATCGGGGGTGATCAAGCTTCCAACCCCCGAGTAGACTTTCCTTTGAGTCTTCGGGGTCTTGGCAGTGTTTTTGGTGATGGATGGAGGTACTGATAAGAAAGTATTCTTCTTGAGTTTCATTGGGGGACTGAATGGGGTGGTGTTGGTAGCAGTAGTGGAAGACAACGGCGATGTTATATGATAGTCATCTTGTGGGGTCTGTGGAGTGATCACCAGCAATTGTTTTGAGGGTCTTGGAGGAGTAGATGGAGGAATATTTGCTAAGTTGGACATTTGGATTGATCTATTATTGTGGAGATGATGATGATGATGATGATGTATTGTAGATGTTGTAAGGTATAAATATTTTGTGATATAGTTGTTGTTGATAACGAATGAGAATAAGGATGATAAATTTTACGAAAAGAAGAAAAAAAAAAAAAGGAAAGATAACAGAAGAGGCAACAGATGATGATAATAAAGGGGAAAAGAAATGCTACTAATAGGAGAAGAACAACACTAAAAAGAAAAAAAGGCCTGCACAGACGCGTAGTATTTTTTTTTTTTTATATATATATTTATTATCAACCGTCCCAAAGAGGAAATTTCTTTCGCAAAAAGGAGGAAAAAAAAAAAAAAATAAACAAAAAAAAATTGCCACGCGACGCGTCGCGCGCTCCTCTTTTTTATTTTTATTTTTTTTAAATTAGTTTAATTTGAATATATTTTTCACCACCAGAGAGTTGAACGATTTTTAGGTGAAAAAAAAAAGATATAAATATTTATTATATCCATGTTCATCCAGCAAGCATGGCATAGCAACACTGGGTAATGTACATGATCAGAGACATTAGCGTAGATTGAAATGGGGGAAACAGCTAATCAATTAAGCAAGAGTGAGTAACATAGCATTGCAATATTGTTGCAATGCTGGGGAGGCGGGGGGAGCAGGGGATTGTTTTTCCAGTCAGTCATTAAAATAGCAGAATCATAGAAATAACACAGGTATACTATTGTTATCGGAACACTAGCACCATGCCCAGGTTAAATGGTGATTCTCTTTCTCTCACTTGTCACTGCTTTGAATTGCTACAACATCCTACTCTGTAATTTTATTTATTTAAATAAATACAGTACCATTATAATGTATATTGTGCTATGAGCAAAAAGAAAAAAAGAAGATAAAAAACAAAAAAAAAAAGATAATAATGAATACAGACAATTGGATATAATATTATAACAAGCAAAAGGGGCGGATATGAAATGATTCTCTTTCTATAGTCCATCATGCTTTCTTTCCACCCTTCTTGATCAGAAATTTGTCCATTATCTTTTGCTTAAAAGACGGTGAATTTGCATCATTAACACTGGGTGCCTCGCTATTTGTAACCTTTTCAAAATGGCTAGAATGGGTCAACACTCGGCTCAATTTGCGGCTTAACAACTCTCTTTTTTCAGGACCACCATTTTGATTTGGCGATGGGGATTGTTTGTGATTGAGACCACCAATATCGAAACTGGTCTTGCTAACGTTATCACGGTGATCTACGTTCCCGAGTGGCTCGTAGCTCGAGATGATACTGTCCAAATCGTCCATATTATCATATTCTTTCTGGGGGATTGGGTTTAACTCTGGCGGCATATTTTTTGAAACAATAGGGAATACAAACTTGATTATTTGATGAATATTAGTAAAGAATTGAGAAACAAAGAAAAGAAAAGAAAAGAAAAGACAAGAAAAGACAAGAAAAACTCTTGGGCAGTTATCTATCATATATATTTATTTATTTGCCAACGTTCATGTCAAGATGCACTTATGCAGCCCAACTGTTAGCCGAATTTTCATGACTGGTTTATCTGAGGCATTTCATTTCCCCAGATACGAGAACGATTCTAACGCTGATGTCTACCCAGGCAAAACAACTGCGATAATCATACGCAATAACATATAAACATAATATACAAATATACTCCCCCTCCTCTCTCAAATAACCTTCTTCATAACGACGCTGGTTCGAAGCACCGCGCCGGTCCTCTCACCGGCGGGAAAACTTTTGGTTTTTGGTGGAAAAAAAAAATCATCGGTGTGTGAGTGAGAGAGTTCGATGGTGATTGTTAGAAACCACAGTATCTAGATCACAGAATCTAGTCCCCTCCATAACCTCGCCTCTTCTTGTTCTTTTTTTTTTTCTCTTTTCTCCTTCTCTTTGCATCGATCTATATTTGTTGCTGCTCATTTATCGCTTTTTTTTTTTTTTTTGTCTGGTTGGATTATTATTATGCTGCTTCACCGATTAACCCTAATTCCCCTTCTTCCTGGCCAGCTCATACACAAATCCTCACTGACAATAGGAAGTAGGGTGCTATGTCTCAATATTCAAACCAATCATCGCCGATCTTTCGCCACTTCTAGGCTCCAGAGGACCAAATCGTCGTCGTGTATTGGTGACGATTTCTTTTTGAGAAACAATTTAGATAAAATATTGCCAAACAAATTTGTCATTTCCTGCCAGCCGAAAGAGGACTCGGATCAAGATAATGAAAAGAAGACCACTACTACCCCTTCTCACATTCCTTTCAAGGTGACTCCTAAAATATGCACACCTTCCAACAAACCAATATCGACCAACAAGAAACTTAATGGGTTCTTTGCCCTCACAAAACCAAACCTAACTTTTCTTGTGATGCTATCGTCAATCTGTTCCTACGCCATTGCTCCTTATCCAGGATCGTTCACTTCGCTTGTCTGTTTGACCGTGGGGACTTCTTTATGTTCTGGAGCTGCCAACGCCATCAATATGGCCAGGGAACCTGAGTTTGATCGTAAAATGGTCCGGACCTCCGCCAGACCAGTAGTCACCGGATTAATCTCGACAAAAGAAGCCATGGGCTTTGCCGGAGTCGCAGGAACCCTCGGGGCCTCGATACTTTACCTTGGGGTCAATCCTTTGGTGGCCCAATTGGGGATTGCCAATATCGTGCTTTATGCTTGGACTTATACTTCACTTAAACGGAAACATATCATCAACACCTGGGTCGGGGCGGTGGTTGGGGCGATTCCTCCATTAATGGGGTGGGCTGCTGCCAGCGGTGGGCTGTTATCTTTAGTTGGTGGTGATGCTGGTGCCTGGCTACTTGCTAGTTTGTTATACGCTTGGCAATTCCCTCATTTCAACGCGTTGTCCCACAATATTAGAGATCAATATAAACAAGCTGGTTACGTGATGACGGCGTACGAGAACCCTCGCCTCAATGCTAGAGTGGCGTTACGGTACGCGTTATTAATGTTCCCAATCTGCTTTGGTTTGAGTTATTATGGGATCACCGATTGGTGGTTTGTCGTTGATTCTAGTTTGTTGAACGGGTGGTTATCTTGGGAAGCCATGAAGTTTTGGAAACATCAAAGAAAGATCTATGGAGCAGGATACGTTGGACTGGTGGTGAGTGCCGGGGCCAGCGCTGGGGCACACGCCACAAGACAGGTTATTAAAGAAGCAGACGCCAAATTAGCCAATGCCTATGCAAAGAAGTTGTTTTGGGGTTCGGTTTGGCAATTGCCGGGGATTTTGATTTTGGCGTTGCTCCATAAAAAAGGGATCTGGGATCGTTGGTTTGGAAGTGATGAGAAGAAAGATGATTTAAATAGCGAGAAGGTTTTAAGTTAGACTATATTAATGTAAATAGATGATTATACGGTTGTTATTTTTTTTTTGTATTGCATAGTTTATACGATTTAATTCTTTTATATTGATGTTAAAAAAAAAAAAAAAGACAAATTGGATGGACAATAGAACATCTTATTAGATTAAAAAAAAGAACTTTGGAAGCATTAGAGAGCATAAAATAATGAAATGGGATAAAACGAGGTTAAACTGAAGCGACAAAAATTTTTATCTAAAAGGATAAAATAATGAAAACACATAGAAGCGAAATAAGGAGATAATATATAAAAAAAAAAAAAAAAACACTGGGGTGGGTATCATAAATAATTCCAAAATTGACGAGATTAAGTACACCAATAATAAATTGACAAGGTTATTGGTGGACCTCAATAATAAGTGAAAAGCCAACAAATCTCACCAAGTAAGTTCAAGCGATTCTCTTTTTGGTGAAATGGGTCATCAATTTATTGTGCAATTCTTTACTTTCGACCAATTCGCCAATCATGAAGGCCACAAGCATTCTGACAAAGTTCATTGGGGAGCTCAACAACTTCTTGACGAACTTGATGATCCCATTTTTGGCCTTATTGAAGATATCTGCCAACACTTCCTTGATATGGCGAGGATGCATTTTTTGCATCCCATTCTTGGTCTTATCACGTAAGGCGGTGTAAAAACGGCCATTCTTGACCCAGTTCAACCAAAGGTTACGAAGATGTTCACGGATGGTGGCACGAATACCTGGACTGACGCCGTCTGACATTTTTGTGATTGTTATTGTTGTCTGTTGTAGGTTCACTGATAGATACTTTTGTTTTGGGGGAAGAAATGAATGAGCGACCCAAGAAAATATAACCACCAAATGGGAAAACCAACCAGATTAGCGACTATTCTGTAACAGAAGTTGAGAAATGAACAGGAAAAAGAAAAAAAAAAAAAAGATAAGGAGAAATTTTAGACCCTGTTCTTATTTTTATTCTAAGTTTTTTTTTTTAAAAAAAAAAAATAAAAGTAAATTAAATTAAATTCCAATTTTTGTTTTAGGGACTGCCAATCTTTTTGACTCTGTTGATAATGATGAAAGAAACAGACAGGGAATAATCAGCAAAAGTACACACAATGATTAAGAACACACCCCACACACACACACACACAGTGAGAACACAACAATTATATATATTGGGAAACGAACAGTGAGGGTATTAACCCACCGATTATTTGTATGGCCCTCCCACTCCCAACCAACTTCCACGCGGCAGACGACCCAAGAATTTTTTTGACGGCACTAATTATCATTTAGTCAATGCGTGTAAAGGGAAACATGCACCAAGGTAAAAAAAAATGAAAAAAAAAATAAAAAATAAAAATAAAAATAAAAATTGCCATACGATTTTTGACGGGGCTGGTTGTTGAACTGAAGATTATTACTATTGTTAGAGCAGCAAGGCTTTGACTCACTCACCGGTCATGGAATCCCAATTCACCGGCATCAGGAAGTTCTTGGACGATGAAAACAACCAATCGATGGACCTTGGGTGGTTCAAGAGCGTTGCAAAGTACCTCGAGGAAATCACCATCGTCAACAGAGATCTACGAGCCTCGGTGAAAGACAACACCTCGACGTTATTGGATATCTTGCCAAGCGAGGAATTGCTCCATGACTTAATCTCACAGTTTGGTAATGTCGTGATCATCGATGATGGGAAGTTAAAAACCCTGGTGATCCAATGGCTCAGCAACAACAACAACAACAACAACAACAACAACAACAACAACTCCAATGTCTTGCAATTGTTCATTGATATTATCATTCATCATGATAATTTCGACATCGTGTACCTGGTGGTCAATATTATCAACGATTTGGTCGATGATGACGATAACCTTGATAATAACGTACTGGTGGTCTCGATATTGCTACAATTGAAATTCCCTGAAGCGTTGGTAGGGAAAATCGTCCATTATTCCAATAACAATAACGATAAAGTCACGGAAATTGAAAAGCATGATTTTGTCACCACCGCATCATCATTACTAGTATCCTTAGTGTCTGATGTTTCTATATCCGACGCATCATCGTCCCAAGATTCCTCCAACAACATCTCATTAAGCCAGAATAAAACCTTAGTGAATTATATGATATCCAATGTTTGTATCCCTATAAAACAGAAACCCCAAACATTGACTTTGACCAATCAATACGCCTCGGAATTTTTCGTGAAACTTTCCTTGAGTTTGACGGCGGTTTCTCAAGAATACTCGGCGTTCGGCAAGTTTGTTGACCTCATCAATGCGTTAATCGACAGTAATTATAAAACTGCCAAGTACTCCAACCTCATGGAACTTGTATCGTTGATCATTTTCAAATTCCGTAAACCATCATTATTCCCTCCTAAAAACTCGATCCAAGAGGAATTCTTGTCGAATATTCTTGATTGGTGTCAATTTTTATTCACCGCTCCTGGTAAGACCGCGGTCGATTGTAAACAACAATTTGTCACTGCCGAAGGAATAGATTTGATAGTATTGGTGCTCAAAAACTATTTATCAAAGGAGAGTTATTTACAAAACGAGGAGGCCGAGTTTGAGTATAAACGCTGGGAGAAATTGAGTAAATGGGGTTATATTCGATGTTTTGGTTTGATTTTAAATTTATTAACCCCAACTCAACATTCAATGGCTCCTGCTGTAGGATACACAAATAATGATGATGATGATGATGATGATGAACGAAATGGGGTTTTCCTGGTGACGATTGTTAATTCTTTAATCTCCTCGGGGATATTGAAATATCTCTACAAACCCTTAGGGGTTATCAATGGTAATCTCACATTGACCCTTCTTTTCCCACTCTCGACATCCCTCAAGTCCAAACATCGCCAAGGGCGTGAGTTTCTTGAGAAATGGTTGAAAATCATCATTTGGTTGATTAGTTTGGCGCCATTGGATTCCGATGAACGACAGCGGGTGGTCCACAAACTTATGGAGAATGAGTTATCAAACTTGAAGAAACTTGTTAGCGTCAGAAAATACTTTGTGGGGAAATTATCAACCGATGACCCTCCAGAAGATAAAGAATTGCATTATTTGAAAATCGTCGACAAGGGATGGTCGATAGTGGAATATGTCGATATCATTGTGAATTGGCTCCTAGTGGAGGAACAGTGTCGGATATTAGTTGGTGACCTCATCAATACAAGCACTAGTGAATACTACATTGGAATTGATACTTTAACTAAAGAATTGAGAGAATATTGCGGATCGAATGATGATACAGATGGGCTAAAAGTGGTGGTGAAAGAGTTGCTCGCAGTGGAGATATGAAAATAGTATCTACTTTGAATGCGTGTAATATATATATATGTATATTCTTGATGCTTTGGTATAACCAGTAGATAAAAAGAATAGGAATTAATCATCATCGAAAGACTGGTAAACTTTGTAGCGATAGCCCCTACTCACAAGACATGAAGAAGGATGAACTTTATAATTTGCCTCGCCAACAACAGTATTCAATAAAGATAAAGAAACAGAAAAAAAAAAAAAAAAAAAAAAGAAAAAAAAAAAAAAAAAAAGCATTCCAATAATAATAATATTGAAGAGAACCCCATTCATGTTAGGAAAATCACACTTTCTTTTTCTGCGAGGCAAAAAAATTCCAGGAAAAATTTTTCGCCCTGAGTCACCAATCAGTTTATCTATTTCGAGGAGTTAAGAGCTTTTTTTTTATTTTTTCTTGCAACCTTGACAGATCCTCTCTCCCCCTCTGTTCTCTTCTCTTCTTGATTCTTGCGTGTGCTTCATTTCTGTTGTATCTGCTACCGTTTCCACTGTATTTGCCCCGAGGAAATCTCTTCTTTTTTTTTTTTCTCACAAACAAAAAAACTCTCACTCATTGCTCCTTTTTAATCAAAGATGTGCGGTATTGTCGGTATTGTTCTCGGTGACCAGACCCAATTGGCCTCGCCAGAACTTTTCAACGCCTCAATGATCCTCCAGCACAGAGGTCAGGATGCTGCTGGGATGGTGACCAACGGTAATGGGGGTCGTTTGTACCAGTGTAAAGGTAACGGGATGGCTCGCGATGTCTTCACCCAAAAGAGAATGACCGGGTTGATTGGCAACATGGGGATTGCCCATCTTCGTTATCCAACCGCCGGCTCTTCGGCCAACAGTGAAGCCCAACCATTCTACGTGAATAGTCCGTATGGGATCACCCTTTCTCACAATGGTAACTTGGTCAATGGGAGTTACCTCAAAGAATACTTGGACAAAGAAGTCCATCGTCACATCAACACCGACAGTGATTCGGAATTGTTGTTGAACATCTTTGCCGCCAAGTTGCAGAATTACAACAAGGCCAGAGTCAACAACGAAGATATCTTCAACGCTCTCAAAGGGGTGTACCAAGAATGTCGTGGGGCCTACGCTTGTACCGGGATGATTGCTGGGTACTGTGTGTTTGGTTTCAGAGACCCTCATGGTATTAGACCATTGTTGTTTGGCGAAAGAACTCATCCAGAAACCGGGGTCAAAGATTACATGCTTGCTTCGGAATCCATTGCTTTGGAAGCCGCGGGTTTCACCAACTTGCGTGATTTCAAGCCTGGTGAAGCGGTGATTATTCCAAGAGATACCATGGTCCCAGAGTTCCGTCAAGTTGTCCCTGCGAAAACTTTCACTCCAGATATCTTTGAATACGTTTATTTTGCCAGAACTGACTCGATTCTCGATGGGGTTTCCGTGTACCGTTCACGTATCAAGATGGGGGAAAAGTTGGCCCAAAATATCAATCGTCAATTTGGTGGTCTCGCCAAAGAAAACATCGACGTGGTGATTCCTGTCCCAGATACCGCCCGTCATTCGGCCCTTGCTTGTGCTGGAGAATTGGGGATCCCTTACAGAGAAGGGTTCAACAAGAACCGTTATATTGGTAGAACCTTCATCATGCCAGACCAAAAAGAACGTGTTTCCTCGGTACGTCGTAAACTTAACGCGATGAGTCTTGAATTCAAAGACCGTAACGTCTTGCTTGTCGATGATTCGATCGTCAGAGGGACCACCTCGAAAGAAATTGTCCAGATGGCTAGAGAAGCCGGGGCTAAAAAAGTGTTTTTTGCTTCTTGTGCCCCACCAATTAGATTCAACCATATTTATGGGATTGATTTGGCCGACACTAGAGCCCTTGTGGCTTATAACCGTGACGATGAACAAGTTTCTAAAGAGATCCATGCCGATAGGGTTTTCTACCAAGATTTGGAAGATTTGAAAGAAGCTTGTAAATACGCGGGAGTCGACGATTTTGAAGTCGGGGTGTTCACCGGGAAATACATTACCGGGGTCGAAGACCGTTATTTGCAAGAATTGGAAAAAGTCAGAGCCCAGAATCAAAGAATCAAAGAAATTGCTGCTCGTAGAGAAGCCGCTGAAGCCGCAGGGGAATCTACTGCCATTGGATTTGATGATGTTATGGATGTTAGTGCTAAGGCTGCCGATACTGATATTGGGTTGTATAATGTGGGTGATTATCAATAGACTGTGTGTATAACCAAAAAAAAAAAAAAAAACAGGGAAGAAGAAGATTGTTGTTTGCATTTCCATGAATATGCTGATATTCTAATGCTGAATTTTTTTTTTGATTGTTTTTTTTATTGTTCTTTTAAATTATTATTATTATTTTTTTATTATTATTTTTATTATTACTATTATTATTATTTTTTTCTCTATGTGTATTTAGGTTGTCTCTTTTTTTTTTTTTTCTTTGTTTCTGTTTCTTTTGATAGAATTTATTTGATTCTCTATAATATCAAGTTCAGTTTATGTTACGTTTTCTTTCTTCATTATTGTCATTTTATTGTCTGTGGGCAGGATTTTTTTTTTTTTTCTTTTTAAGTTGAATATTGGTTTGGTGGGATTGGTTGTAGAAGCTAACTTGATTCGTACTGTATTGGAAATTTCACCTTTTGCATTTTGTTTGTGCTATTTCAATGAGATAGAAATTTTGGAATTCCATTATAATTATGATGATATGATAATAATAATAATAATAATAATAATAATGACATTCCGAGGAAAATACACCATCACCAAAAAAATCAGGTTGATAAAAGAATGAATTTACAGCCCAAACAGAAATTTCAATAATCAAATAACGAATAATAAAATCATTCTATATTATATTGATACATAAATTTTAGAGTACTATCATGAATCCACATTACACATCGTCCCCCAAAAAAAAAAAAAAAAATCTATTTCACATCAATGACAAGTTCCACAATCCATCACCCAAGTAGTGGATCAACTCAATACCAATTCCTTTATTCAAGTTCTTGATGTCTTGGACATCCATCACCAATTTCCCCACGGCCAATGCGTTTTCTTTTCCCTCGGCTTTGACAATTACCACATCATCCTTGTGCAATTCGTCGCCTTCTGGCAATTGAGCCCCTTTCGAAGTGAGCCCAGGACACATGATGTTGGCTCCACCAAGTACGAATTTGATGGCCCCTCTATCGACTTGAACGGTGTGGAATAGCTGGGGGTATTTGTGAACCACATGAAGCGATGGGAAAAGTTCATCCTTGATTTGGTACACCACCACGGTGTCGTCGATGGCATAGAGCGAGATCTTTTCTTCACACTTGATGTGGATCATCTGGGACTTCTTGGGTATGATATCATCGATCACCGGGTTGAGCAATGGGAATTGTTCTGCGAATTTCGATTTGAGGCCTCGTTGTACCGATGATTTGATGTTTGATTTGGTGTGGATGTCTTCCTTGGTGAATCTGTGAGAGGTTAGTAAATAAAGCAATACAATAACAAACACGGTAAAAAATTGCTACCTACTTCTTGAACATCTTTGAGTGTGGAGATTAATAATAATAATAATAATAATAATAATAATATAAAAATAATAACAATAATAACAATAATCAAGAAACCCCAAAGAGAAGAAGACGAAGATGAAGATGGAAAAAAAAAAAAATAAGTCAGGTGCCACAAAAATTCGGGAAGGAAGAAAAAAAAAATTGGTGACAAAAGTAAAAAAAAAAAAAGACAACAAATCATCCTTAAATCACCTTCCAGTCCATTCCTGTTATTCGAAAACATTTTTTGGATTCGCACACAACAGACAGACAGACAGACAGACAGATAAATAAAGAGAATGGATCTGTCGAAATACACATTGACCTTACCTAAATACATCCCCAACAAAGGGCTTTCCCAGGATGAACAGCGGGAAAAGGAATTCGGGTCGCTAGAATCACCAGAGTTCCTTTATGTTTCTGAACACGAACCAAACACCCCGTACCTCGTCGAGCCTTTGGAGGAACCTTCGTACTTCACCATTCTCTTGACCCATCTTAACTTCCTTATTTTGATCATTGTTGGTAACTTCAAGGATTTCTTTGGGACATTCTTCGATAAGAAGCAGTTTGAAGACGTGATTGAAAAAGATGGGTACGCCCCATACTATCTGCGTCTTGAATCGTTTTACGTCAGAAGAATGAAACGGAAGATCGATGACAATTTCTCCATTCCTACCACTGGGGTCCCGGGAAGATACATCACCTGCTACGACCGTCATTCCGATGATTATAACCAAACTTTGAAGTACACTGGGTCGGTGACCAATTGTTTGAACTTTGCCAGTTACAATTACTTGGGATTTGCACAATCCGTGGGGATTTGTACTGACGATGCTTTGGTGACCCTTCGCAAATACGGTACTGGAGCTGGGGCCCCTCGTCATCAAGGAGGAACCACCGATAAACACGCGGAATTGGAAAAACTCGTGGCAAAATTTGTCGGCAAGGACGACTCGTTAATCTTCTCTCAAGGGTTCAGTACCAATGCCAATTTGTTCGACAGTTTCTTGGATTCCGAATGTCTTGTGATTTCTGACGAATTGAACCATTCGTCCATCAGAACTGGGCTCAGAATTTCCGGGGTCACCATTAAACGTTTCCCTCATAATAACATGGCGAAATTGGAAAAAATCATCAGAACCAGCATTTCCCAAGGGCTTCCAAGAACTCATAAACCTTGGAAGAAGATCATTGTTTGTGTTGAAGGGTTGTATTCTATGGAAGGGACGATGTGCCCACTTCCTCAGCTTGTGGATCTTAGAGATAAGTACGGGTTTTACCTTTTTGTCGATGAAGCGCATTCTATTGGGGCCATGGGACCAAACGGCCGTGGAGTTTGTGATTATTTCAACATTGACCCTTCAAGAATCGATATTCTTATGGGAACCTTTACCAAATCATTTGGTGCTGCTGGTGGGTACGTTGCCGCTGAACAACATATCATTGATCGTCTTAGACTCGATTTGACCGCCCCGGTGTATTCGGAATCGATTTCTCCGGTAATTGTCTCGCAGATTTTGACCTCAATGAAAATCATTATGGGAGAACTCAATCCTGGTGAAGGGAAGGAAAGAATTCAACGTATTGCCTTCAATTCCCGTTACTTGCGTGCTGGTTTGAAGAAATTGGGGTTCATTGCCTTTGGTATGGATGATTCTCCGGTGATCCCATTATTGCTTTATGTTCCAAATAAATTGCCTGCCGTAGCCAGAGCGTTGTACAAGAGAGGAATTGCCGTGGTGATTGTTGGGTACCCTGCCACCCCGATCGACAGTTCGAGAATAAGAATTTGTGTTAGTGCTGCTTTGACGAAAAGTGATTTGGATAAAGTCTTGAGAGAACTTGATTTCATTGGGGACAAGATGTATTTCAAGTATGCCAGGGGTAAACATAACATGGAACCATTTACTGATAAACCAAATGCCACTTTGGAAGCCTTCCATTGAATTATGAGCTCTATTTTTCCTGTTTAATTCTAATTTGACCAGTTTCAACTTTCATCTTATTGATCTATTAATGGTTTATTTGATGGTCACCGTTACAACAGTGGTATGTATCGTCGATAATAATATTCCGCTACATTTTACTATACTTTTTTTTGTTCATTTATTTATTTCTTGTCTATCTATGATTGTGTCAAGACAATGTCATGAAATCATCAATCATATTATTGATGAATAATTATTATTTTTGGGGGTTTTTTTTTTCTTTAATGTTTTGCTGTTTTGCAGTAGTTTTGAATCATTTATAATTAATTACCTTCTTTTTCTCTCTGTTAGGAAAATCTACCCCCCATTCCATAAAGTTATAGATAGTATTATTATTATTATAATTCATTATTATCCAATTGTTTTTTTTGTTTTCTGATCCCCATTCTTTATTATTCCTTCTCCGATTAAGCCAATTTTTAATGAGTTACCTTTTATTTTTCTTCTTGCCTTGCTAATAATACATTCATATATTTAATACACCATTATGATACTTCATTGAAAACTTCTGTATTTAATCACTCCTCCGTATTTTATCAACCAATTGGTCATTCCAATCACAAAATCTATACAAACTCACATTTCTTTTAACACTCCACAACGACCACGCTGAAAGACTATTAAAAAAAAGTAATGATTGCCATCATCAGAAAGGGAAATATTTTCCTATTCCCCAACAACCTTGAATCTCCAACCCACCCACCACATAACAATTGAAATAATGTTAAACATCAATGATGTGATCGGCTATCGAGAGCTAGGTGAGGTATATAGTTAATGAACCAGGTTTCTCTCTTTTTGTCTTCCTCTCTTCAAAAAACAAAAAAAAAAAAAACCAATTCGAAGTTTTGCAAAATTCATCCAAAAATTCCCTCTTGGAGATATTCCCGAAAGAATACCGTCCAACGAGGAGGGGTCACGGTTAAAGTTTTCAACCAGCAAAAACACAATCTCGGACGAATCCTCACTGATATGCGTAATGCCCGTGCATAAAGATGAAGAAAAGGAAAACTGAAATCAAGACAGAAGTTGGGCAAAAAGTGGAAAATTTTCTGTGTTTTTATACTCCCCTAGGAAAATAATTATGGTTATGTGCGGTGGTGCATCACATGACTGTTCTCTCTCTCTCTCTCTCTCTCTCACTCCTTCCCGCAAAGGGCTGGTTGTTGTTGTTGTTGTTGTTTTTTGGGATGGTTTGCATCAAAAGGATTAGGGTTCAGCACTCTTCAATAACAAAAGTCCTCCCTCTTTGGTGATTGATCACGATTGCTATTGATCACCAAAGAGGACTTACCAATCTCCATGTCCTTATAGCATTCAGTACAGGGTAACACCAAATATGCACGTGATATATGCGCCCGCCACGTGTGTACCCATCTGCTGGGTCTTCGTGTCGTCTCTGTGTATAAGTGACCACTTATTAACCATACATATATTCATTCCTTATATATCATTGTTTTCTTCATTCCGGTGGTGGCATCAGCACTTTTGTAGGCTTCTTATGTTGTGAATGTACATTCCATAATGATAATTCCTCGTTCTCTGGAGCTTCCAACACAATAATCGGGCTTGTCAACCCTTCACTTTGTAACAACACTTTTTGATCAACCACTCGATGATCATCATCATCATCATCATGCACCACCTTATCATCGGCAGTTTCCTGGGGTTCACATTCTTCTCCCGCATCATCGAACAATCGCTGGATCTTACCATCATCAACCCTTTTATATAATAACTCTCGCAATTCTTCTGGAGAATAGATCAGTCGTTGCTCAGGGGCCTCTTCTGGCATCAGTACCCATCCAGGAGGTGGACTAGGAGGAGGAGAGATAATGAACGTGGTGCCGTGGCTTGGTAAATGAAGGTATTCTCGAGTATCGAACTTGTACCCATCGTCAGTCATGATGAAATCGTCATAATTGTTTTGTGAGGCGTACCCAACTTTGAAACCTGCCAGCTTGAGGATCCCGTATACTCGTTGGCTCAGTTCCAATCGCTCAAAAACCATGATGATCCGCTTGAACAGCTTGAGGATCGAGAACTGGATCGTCTCGGACGCGCTGGTGTGGTTGATTATTTGGTTCTGAAGTGATTTTATCAATTCGGTATCGAGTAATTCATCCTCGGTGAACCCTGTAAGAATCAATGTATTGGTTGGATCGACGCCCATTATATTGAAAGCAAAACACACACACACACACACACACACACACACAGATAACGCAGTGGCAATGTATAGATCCTTAAAATAAAAGATATTTGAATAAATGTCAGCAATTCAATACTGAAGATATATATATATAAGTATCAGATGCAGGGAAAAACTCCCTTTATGGATAAAGGCAAAGAAAAAATCTTGGCCAGGGCAAAAAACCAGAGTGCCGACGAGGCGGTGTCCCCGATAACAATAGCAAAAATAAAAACCTACAATCAATAACTATTATCAATTAATAATATAACAAAAATAATAATAATAAAACGGTATTGCCCCAAAATATTACTAATACACATACAAAAAAAAATTAAAAATTATATATATATATATATATCATGACAACCCCATACACACAGCTAAAGACCAAGTCAACGACTGCCCGTTATCCAATTTCAGGATATCAAATCCGCTTGTAGTGAAATGCCCTAATGCCGCACCTGGATCGAACAATGCTTGATTCAATTTTAACACATGGCCCCAAGGGTCCTCGTTTAAAGATTCCCCCACCAAACAGTCAAATTCAAATGTCGTCCATTCCTCGGCGACATACTGTTGATTCTTGATCAACATCAGGGCAGCAGTGATCGGTAACATTTGTATTCCGTGTATATATTGAACATCGGTACCAAAAAATGTCACGTAGGTCAACTTATTTTCGTACAAAATCCCCGGAACCATATGTGGTGAATATTCTTCAGGGATAACCCCGTTGGACGAATCATTATTAAAGAAATAGTATTGGTTCATCGCTCGTCTCATCACCAATAACATCAATTCTCCTGTAGCTTCCAAACTGTCAGACCCAATGGCTCTCCCCCACATTTTCAACCCCAAGGCAAAGTTCACATCTTCACTGGAACTTTCCTGATTCCGGCCATCTCCGCTGCTGACTAACCCACTAGCAAAAGAATGGCCATGATACCAATCAAACATTCTAAATTGTGGGAAGTATGGGTCGGCAGTTGAAGGGTTAGCAACATCACGGATCAACGATTCTACATAATTTTGGGCCTTTTCGGTGATCCAATTTTTGTTATCGCCTGCCAATTGTGCAGCCACTTCTCCAATCACTGCGGCAGAATGGATGAAATATCCATAATGGAAATAATGATCGTTCATCACCGAATTTCCATAATTCTCGGCCAGTGTGGCCATTGCCGCGATGGTACCAATATTCAAGTATCCAAGAGGATATTTAACACCATAACTATTATTTAAATAACCATCCCAGGCGTCAATTAACCCATCTAGAACGCCAGTAGTGGCGGTGATGTTCCCAAGAATAAAATGCGACACCGCCAACATTTGTGAATATTTATCGAGGATTTTCCCCGCGGTATAGGTATCAATATTCGTCACTAAAGATTTGATATCCCATCCAATATTGGCCATTTCTTCATCTAAAGCGGTTTGAAGGGTTTGTAATTGTGAACTATTGTAAACCACTTCTGAAGCGTTCATCGACATGGGGATCCACCCCGGTTCGTCGCCAACGGTGGCCAGTTCTTGAAATATCACTTTATTGGCCAAAACGCTGGCCATTTTCCCCTTGGTCCCCGAATACATTTCAATACCAGTGAGTGATAAACTATCGGTTAACGAATCTATAAGATGGGGTAATAAAAACACAAGCGCTGGTTTCCCTGAGTTCGTATTGTATTCGAACCCGTACTGATAATCCCCATTATTAACCAGTGCCACAAGGGTAGCATTGATAGGATAAGTTCCATTACATTGATCATAAATGGATTCCACGTCTACCGTATCATTGGAGTAGGTTGTAAGAGATGCCACTTGAACAATCAACCCCTCGGTGGCCCCATTGGTAGCGGTGATCTTAGTCTTATCGTTGTTCAACACCAATTCAATACTCAGTATAGAAATATAAATGATCCATTGGGATCCACTAGTTAATGTGACAATATATTTTCCAATACTAACATTGACCAACTGCGAAAATAATCCTGGGGCAACAATTTCTGGAATCAAGGACGATCCATGATAAATTGCCGTGATCATCCCCATCCCTTGTACCAATGGGAATTCGATGCCACCATTATTATCAGAAGTTTTAATTTCCGCAGTGACCGACATTGCTTGGTATTCATCCATATATAAGAAAACCTCTTGAAAATTCGATGCCCCAATGATCATCGCCGCCGCCATTGTGGGGTTGGAATAAGTAGTAGGTAAATTCCCATCATTGGTATAATCGTATAATCTATCGGAAATATTGACCAACGAAACCCCCATTCCTCCTCTTCCCCCCACCGAAGTTGTATAAAAAAGACTGTAAGGGTATGACCAAACGGTATTGTTTTGGCCATCGAGTAACATATTGGTATAGAATTTGTTCAGTTGAAACTGGGTAGTGTTGGTATTCACATAATCAGGGAACGTAATGTTGATGGTTGTTCTTGGAAAAACTGTTAATGGTTCTGCAGTGGCGATTGGAGAAAATAAAGATCCTGAATAGTCAATTTTTGGGATTTGAGTGATAGTCTTATCTGTATATGTAGATATACTTAAGTCAACCATTGAAAGTGAGCCTGATGAAGATGGACTAGTCAAGATGGATGAAGATAATGAGCTGGTAGTTAAAGTAGGAATAGCTGGTGAGCTTGATTTTGAATCTCTAAAACTGGAGCTGACTATCGAACTGCTGCCAATCTTTGAGCTCAAACTGATAGGCAAGGTATGAGAGATTTGAGAAGAATTAAGCACATATCCCCCTGAAGATTCGTAGTATGCACTAGAAGACAGATTTATCAGATGTGAGGTACCATAGTACGTAATAGATGAGGTTGGAGGAGATAGTGTTACTGTATTATATGGGACGCTAGAATAACTAGAAGACGTTGATGCTGATGATAATAATAATAATAAACTTGACGTATTACCATTATCTGTTCCATTATTTGAAGAAGTTTTCACTGGTAATGAAGATATAATGAAAGTCAGAATATTGGGAGATGAAGTGATTGAAATAATATTATCACTTTTGAAACTTGAAAAGCGCATGTTCGTACCAACAGATGAAATCAAAGACGTTATTTCTGACCCCAAATTTGAAGGATTAGCATTTCTAGTCAATAGTGATGGCAAAGACGTAGTAATAGAAGTGGCTGTATCATTCCAATACTCATAGCCTTCACTATTACTATTACTACTACTACTACTACTGGAATACGACGACAGGTCGGTAGATTTTGAGACAATTGTTGTGGTCAATAGACTATTCAAATCAATAGATACTGGACCATTGGATGCATCAGTCAGTCCATCATTAGTAAATATCTCGGTGTCAACGCTAGCAGAAACTAAGGTGACGGTTACCGGTTGGATGGAAGACGACGGGATTGTAGTTGTTGGGGCATTATTGTTGACACCAATGGAGAACTGTGGGCCCACTGAGATCAGAATGGCAGCAATTTTTGGAATAATTAATGATATTGAGAGTATTGATGAATGAGTAAGAGCCATTTCCTTTGGTTTTAATGAGGTGTTTTCGGCATTACCGATTGGAGCACATCAAGGTAAATACCCATGATTATATAATGGCAATAACAGCATCAACTCATCTTTTCACTCCCCGGAGCAAAAGAAGGGTCATGATATATGTATATATATTATCTATTGCGACCTATCATCTTTGAGTATTGTAGTATGATTCACTATGTTAGAAGGGATAATATGAAAGATCATATTTGTGATCTGATGGGTATAAAACGAATCTGAAACCGCCACAAGCAATTTTCAGGAGGCTTTCCCATTTTTGCAGCAGATATTCTCCTGGTGATTAATAACGGTGATATCCATTTGAAAATACATTAGATATCCAACCATAATTTCTTCAGAATGTACTCGATGGAGCCCAGCTGATGGCATTTATAGTAGTAGTCTATATGTCTTCATCCGCCGATCCTCCGGGGAAGACAAAAAAAAAAAAAAAAAAAACCTCCATAAAAAATACTCTGTTACTCACTCCTTCCATCCCTCACTCACTCATCCTGTTCTTTATTGGAACTCTTCGACACCACCAGCACATAATGGTAAGAATCAGCCTTCTTTACAGTCAATTGGTATAATTGAATAATGTTGATACTAACCGAGACCTTTTTATAGACCGCTACAAGAATTGAGACCGACGCTTTTGGAGAAATCGTGAGTTGATCATCTTATTTATAAACTGTGATTCCCCATCATTATCATCATTATCATCATCAACTTACTAACACTTATTATATAGCATGTCGACGCCTCCAAATACTGGGGTGCTCAGACCCAAAGATCCCTTCAGAACTTCGACATTGGTGGAGCTGCCGAACGTCTTCCTGTTCCTTTGATTCGCGCTTTCGGGGTCCTCAAGAAAGCTGCTGGTATCGTCAATGCCACTTATGGCCTCGACCCAACCATCGCCAACGCCATCCAGACTGCTGCCCAAGAAATCATCGATGGTAAGCACGACTCTGAATTCCCATTGGTGGTATTCCAAACTGGTTCCGGTACCCAATCCAACATGAATGCCAACGAAGTCATCTCCAACAGAGCCATCGAATTGTTGGGAGGAGAAAAGGGTTCCAAGAAACCAGTGCACCCAAACGATCATGTCAACATGTCCCAGTCTTCTAACGACACTTTCCCTACTGTGATGCACATTGCCATTGTTGGAGAAATCGTCAAGAAATTGATCCCATCGATCACCGAGTTGAGAGATGCGTTCCAAGCCAAATCCGAGGAGTTCTCGAAAATTATTAAAATTGGTAGAACACATTTACAAGACGCCACTCCTTTGACTTTAGGTCAAGAGTTTTCCGGGTACGTCCAACAATTGACCTTTGCCATCCAAAGAATCGAATCGACTCTTGAAAGAATGAAGAATTTGGCCCAAGGGGGTACTGCCGTGGGTACTGGATTGAATACCAAGATAGGGTTTGACGTGACCATTGCCACTGAAGTCTCCAAATTGACAGGAATTGATTTCAAGACCGCCCCAAACAAATTCGAAGCCCTCGCGGCCCACGATGCTCTTGTGGAATGTTCCGGAGCTCTTAATACCGTGGCGGTATCGCTTTTCAAAATCGCTAACGATATTAGATACTTGGGTTCCGGTCCACGCTGTGGGTACGGGGAATTATCGTTGCCAGAAAATGAACCTGGCTCGTCTATCATGCCAGGTAAAGTTAATCCTACCCAGTGTGAAGCATTGACCATGGTTTGTGCTCAAGTGTTTGGTAACCATGCCACCGTGACATACAGTGGGGCATCGGGACAATTTGAATTGAACGTGTTCAAGCCAGTGATGGCGAAAAACTTGTTGAACTCCATTCGTCTTATCGGTGACGCTTGTCGTTCTTTCAGAATCCATTGTGTTGAAGGGATCAAGGCTAATGAGGAGAGAATCGAGAAGTTGTTGCACGAATCATTGATGTTGGTCACTGCTTTGAACCCTCATATTGGTTACGATAAGGCCTCGAAGGTTGCCAAAAATGCCCATAAGAAAGGGATCACTTTAAAGGAGTCTGCATTGAGCATGGGGTATCTTCTGGAAGAAGAGTTTGATAAGTGGGTTAGACCAGAGAACATGCTTGGACCAAAATGAGATTCTTACAAGAAATTAAAATGTTTAAAAATGTTTTTTAGATAATCGTCAAGTAGATGGGAAATAAACACGTATGATAATAATTGGAATGAATATGGTTAACTGTGTAAAAAAAAAAAAAAAGAGTCTTGTGGCTCTTCGTATCTTCTCCTTCGGGACGACTATAAGGTTCCGAAGCGAGAAAAAAAATTTGGCTCTATAAAAAAAATTGTGCTTTCCGCAAGATGACTAAAATAGTTAAATATATCATGGTTTAGTAAATATTCGGTGCCAAATATTAATAATAATAATATCAAGGAAGATTTGCAAATGATAGGATCCAAGCTATTTCCATGGAAATCAAACGATTGGAAATCTAAACTACTTCCATGGGAATCGTCATATATGGATTCCAAGAGTCATCGTCATAACCAGGATAAGAATTCCATCAAAAATAATAACAATAAAAATAAAAATAACAATAATAATGCCAATAATACCAGTAATAATAATTACAACCTTGGGAAATCAAAAAGACACTCCTTGGACTCTCTTAAACACGGCATCACTTCGAGGATAATCAGAAGATCAGGGTCCTCGGAAAGAACCAGGGAGGTGATCACCAGAGCAGACCTTCTAGCCCACAGTCCCCGCCATTGGAGTACGACACCTAAACTGAGATCCCCAACCTTCGAAGATCTTAATGACGACGAGCATCAAGTGGTGAGTTACCAACCGGAACCGGATAATGAAGAAGAACCCGACAACTTGAGCCGATGGGACAGTAGGGACACAGGACGGTTGAAGCTACGGTTGGTGGTTGATTCAAGTATCCCTATTCTTTGATAATGATGGGACTGTTTGTACTATTATTCTCTTGTATATGATATTCTATTCTATTCCATTCTATTCCATTCCAAGGTTAATGTTTGTGGTTATTCATGTGTGAGGCGGTGGTGGTGCGATTAGTGGATATACGTCAAACATTTTTCGCACCACAAAAACGAGCATTGTTCTTTTTCATCTTTATTATACATCATCATTCTACGCTACTATATATCATTTGTATACATCTCTGCCAAAGACTGTCCCGTCATCATTATAATATACACTATATATTATCACATCAGTCATAATGTGCATCCTTCTAACAACCTCAGCGCATCACCAGTACCCGTTCATCTTAATATCCAACCGGGATGAGTATTATCGACGAGCAACGTCAAGGGCTTCCTTTAGCCACCAAAACCCCCAGATATTGGCTCCCTTTGACCTTGCAAAACCTACCCACGGGTCATGGATAGGCGTCACCAAACAAGGCAGGGTTGGGGTCTTGGTCAATTATCGTGACACAGTACCCAATGACGAATTACCCAACAATAACAACATTTTATCAAGAGGCAGTATCGTTACCGACTTTTTAACTTCTCAATTAGCTCCTGACCAGTGGCAACGACAATTCGCGGAAAAACACGGAGATATTCTCGAGAAGGTTGGAGGGTTCAGCTTTTTGTTTGGGGTATTGGATTTCCAAGAAACTGACTTGACCTCGTCTCCTCCTGATAACCATCATGTCGACGATCGTCACAGGAACTCCAGATCCTCCATAACTCCTAGACGTATTCGATCTCTCAAAATCATTTCTAATCGTGGTGGCTCCTCAGAGATTTTCGTGCCGTCACAGGACGAAATTTCTCAATTGCACACCGATCCGAGTCTTTGTGATTCGCCTTCAATCAATCAACACGCCGCCCCGATTTCTACAAACAATTCTAATGACAATAATCTGCAATCTCAGGAGACTATAAAGTCATTGACTGATGATCCTCCATCGACAATTCGTGAAAACAAATCATACATTGGTCTTTCAAATTCTCTTTTCCTTAGCCCATGGCCAAAAGTGCTCATTGGAGAAAATTTGCTCACCAACCTCATTATCAATTCTAGCAATGAAAACTGGGGAGAACAAAAACTTATCAAAGAGCTATTCAAATTGTTATCCTTCAATTGCTTCAAGAAATCGAAACGCCCAACAAATGATGATAACTTTAACGGTACATCAACCCACGCAGAGAATCATGAAGATGATGCCTTGCCATTCATGGAATCAGTTGCTGAAGAAATGAAATCTTCAATTTTTATTCCCCCATTAAAAACTAAGTATTATCATGATCCTGCCTATTCTAACGATCCATACGTTGGTGATTATTACGGAACAAGAACCCAGACCATCATTTTACTAAGGCACGATGGCCAACTAACTTACATTGAGAGAACTTTACATGAACTAGACTGTGTGGAGATTATAAATCCTAATGATCGTGATGTGAGTTATAGTTTCAACATATTCAAAGAACGGAAAATCTTTGAAGTTACTAAATTGGCAGGGGAACCAATAGAACTATCTGATACCAACGGGAAAAGAAATACCGTTGCTAATGGGGATCATAACGGTTACAAACATGATTCGGTGGATTTAGAGCCACTGGATTTTGATTTTAATGATGCTTTCGAAGATGTGCTGAATTATGCCGATGATGAAACCAGTGTCTACAGTAGGTCGTTAAAACCATAGTGACCTTTTATTGCTCATTATTATTATTTTCATACGACCAATAAGAAGAAATTCGGTTAGAATTTGATGACGTGAGGCATTGAAAAATAACTGATTATCATTTAATCTATGTGAGGTTTTTATATCCTCATATTTTTTTATTCTGCGCTTTTTGGTCAGAGATTTGTATATTGGGGTTCTCATCCACTACATCATATTTTTGCTTCTCGTTACTTTCTTTTCAAAAATATTGATTTTCTGACATTTTATCTCCATTTGTTTTTTGTTTCTTTATTATGTTGTTTTGTTTTTGTTGTTTTTTTTTTGTTTTTTTCTTCGACGCTGTCTTTGTTTGTTATTGCTGCTGTTCGCTTATATTTGTGCTTTTCCTTTGCTTTGCTGGTCTTCATGATGGTTGTCCTTTTCTGAACAGCCAAAACATTTCTGTGGTTACTATTTTTTTGTTTTTTTTCATTTTATGATTATTATCATACTCTCGTTATTTGCTTATATTTGCTAACGCGTTTTTATTATTATATCAGGGCACTGTTGCTAAGTTATCTTTCTTTTCCATTTGCTGTATCTGCGTTATTACAGGGGCCATTCTTGCTGATAATGTGTATCTTTTCTTCATTTCTTTGTTGTTGTTTTTTTTAGATGAAGTTTGATGACAGATAATTTTATCATAATTTATATATAATATAAGTATACCATCCATCAAATGATTTTGATTTATTTATTACACTCAGGTATTTTCATTGTTTGAAGAGCTATTATATACATTTATTATGTACAAGATGAGGGCCCCATCCAAGTGATGCCCTCGATTAAACAAGAGGGAGGACAGGATATATATAAAAAAAAAGAAAAAAGATAGATCAAATAATTAGTTGAAGAAAGAGAAAAAAAAAAAACATAATCAAAGATTCTAATAGTGAAAAAAAAATAGTACAATGATAGGAGTGAGAAAAAAAATATCGTGAAACCGTGAGCAAAATGAGGAATGAGAGAGGGAGAACTAGATGGAGGAAAATCGTGTTGGTTAGGCAAACTGTTGGACCAAAACCAAAACGATTAATCAATGAATTATGATACTTTATGAGGGAACAAGAGCAGAAACGGAGTTGTGGTTTTGAAGTAAACAAAAACAAAAAATTGAAAAACTGTTTGTAGGAATTTTTTATTTTTTTTTTTTTTTTTTTCTTATTTTTTTGCTGCAATTCTTTCCTTCTGGGACAACAATAAGAAATCAAAAAAATGTTTTTGAAATCACCGGTGATATAATATCATGCAAACATGCAAAAACAAAAGAGTATTTTTCAAAAAAAAAATTCAATCTAGTTTGCCAATCTCTTGACACCACACCAAGCAGCAGCGACCCCAGTCATCAAGGCAGCACTGAGCCCCATTGGTTTCAACCCTTTACTACTCTTGAAGATAGCCCCGGTCAAGAACCCTGCGGCAAGAGAGTTCCAGTCATCGTGTTTCCCCTTGAGAGCCCCGAAGGAAGAGTTTATTATATTGTAAGTGATGGCCAACACCCCGGCGCTGTTGCCTAAAAATGGACCTCTTTTGGTGATGTGGTTCAAAATGGTGTTCAATCTCAATTTCCCACTGGTGGTACCACGAGGAATGTTTCTGATCCCTTCGACGAAACCATAGGCCCCACCAAGGGAAAGCGCTGATAAGTAAACGGTCCCAGTCCCATAACACAAATCATCGTTGAACCCACGGGACGGAAGGAACCCGTTTTGAGACCCTTCAGAAGAAAGAATGGATTCCCCTTCAATGTCAAGATACTCAACCCCTTTTTCAAGTTCGGCAAGCGGGTGCAATTTCGCAGCATCAAGGTTGATCGCTTGGTTAAGACTGGACACTTGAGATGGATCGAACCCAAGTCTTTGTTGAAGGTCGTTGTTGTTGGCGGCGGCCACGGTCTTTGGCTCTTCCGGTTTGCTGGATCCCCACAAAAATGACATATTATATTATTATTACTATTCTGTTATAATTACACACACGCGCACATACACACACACAGAATCGTCTGATATCTCACTCGCCACACACAGTTAATGTGTAGGAAATTCCCTTTATTTTTTGAAAAATTTTCGAGATTTTTCCCACCCACCGGTGCCCGGTATATCACGTGATAAAATGCTAATCTATTATAATATTGATAACCCATTATTACAATAATTTTGTTGGGAAGATATATGGTGAGTTTGAATATATTATTAGTGATTGGGTAAGTAATTCTTACGATATAGTAAATATCAAAATATCATCACATACATAACGATGTCCGAGAGGGGATTATCTTCCAATCTGTCCAGAGGGTCTGTCTTACCCTGATACATATAAGCAGGGTGTAGAACACCTATCTTCTGTGGCCCAACATGGCTCTTTTTTATTTCCTTTTATTCGTTATTTAATGATACTAATAGTGGAGTCTCCCCGGTTATTGGGTTATTTTGTTTCAATGCACTATGCTATTATTCACAAAAGGACGACGTTATTAATAAATTGATGATAGTATCCACTTGGGAATCATATGGTTTCTAGAAAAAATAAATATCCTCTGATTTGGTGGGAAATAAAGAATTCTTTGAAACAAAGTTTATCCAATGATTCCAAATAATAAAGGGAATTTAATAATAATATGGAGAAGCAATAGCTCCAAATTACTTAAGTTTCCGCACGTGTCTCATGATGGAGCTCTTTGTAAACCTGTACTGTAAGTTTATTCATTGGTATTTTTAAAAACTTGAGGCTGTTTGATCTGTGACCTATGAAAGGTAATACACTATGAGGATAATACAAAAAAAAAAAAAGGTGTAGATAATTTTACCTTCTACAATGATTGACACTAAATAAACATACTATTCTTTAAGAGTTCGGTGATGATAGTGGTCAGATTAATGGGAAGGTCTCATAGGGATTGTAATACCATCATGATATTTGACTTCACAGCGACCAAGACCTTACAAGTAGTTGTCATTGAATGAAGCAAAACCTGTCTGATCACATTGGGAATAACTATTCTTGAAAATTATTCATAAATCTCTACAAGTAACTCATTAGCTCATGAAGTAATGAATATCTGCATAGAAACCAAAATGAAGAGGAATATAAATGGTTGAAAAAAAAAAAAGTGGACCTAATAATGAAAATAGAGGACACCTTATATTATCACTCTTAATACCCGTATTTAACGGCAATATCTATACACAGTGTTTTCTTACATCTTGACATTGGTATATATATATGGTGGCATACCGATGGGATCCCCACCAACAACCAACCTCCGGTCATGTGTCTATCACGTTTTCCATACAGCCGCCCCCCAATCAGAAAATAATTTCGAGGGTTATCGGTCGATATTTCTTTTTTTTTCACAAGTACACCAAACTCTTTTTTTTAAGTGATCTCCCAGCCATTCTCTTATCTTGTCAACTTATCTTTAATCAATCATGTTGGAAGGCTACTTTGCTGGCGTCCAGGAACGTGTACTTTCCCGCAGCTGGAACATGGAAGGGATTGTGCTTGCCTTGGTATTAGTCACGGTGGGGCTTTACCTCGGTGGGAGCTATGCCAACAAATCCAAGTTTGAATCTTGGATTCGTGAACAATCAAAGAACTTGGAGTCCCAATTCTTCCAAGTCGGGGTTTCCAAGAAAGAATTGTTTTTCAGTGATGACGAACAACATTATGTCAGTTATGCCAGTGGTCGTGTCAACGTTGCCCAATTTATCATGAAGTTTACTTTGGAAAGTCGTCAAAACTTCACGGTGTGGCTCATGGAACACGTTTTTCATTTCTTTTTCGAATCGATTGAGGCCCTTAACGATGAAGTGGAAATCACTGCCACTTTGCATGACGATATTAAAGTTGATCCATTTATCTGTGCCATTGTCAACAAAGATGATATGGATAAGAAAAGAAAGGACAATTACTTCTTGTCATTAACCAAGACTTCTGACTCTGACAAGTTGCCAGTCGAATACGTTTACATGTCTGAATCTGCGGAAATCAACGATGCGTTGTGGACCCCAGAATTGAAAGAATTGTTGGAACAAAACGTTGATTTGATTCAGTACATTGCCTTCACCGACCAATCATCTGTGCATCCATTTTCATTGGACGAGACCAAGCCTAAGTTTAAAGCGTATTTGAAATTGAAGTTGAAATCCGACAAAAGCTCTTTGGCCAGAACTTCGGAAATCATCAATAGATTCCTTGAACTCATTGATTTTATTGCTTCCAAGAAATTCAAGATCCGTTCAGAAGTCAGCAAGAAGATTGCCAAAGTTAGAGAAGCAGAAGTCAAGAAATTGCAAAAATTAATCGATCAAGATAAGAAGGAGCAATTGGAAGAACAGAAATTGGAAGAAATGAAAAAACAAAGAGAAAAGTTGAAGAACAATCCAAAAGAGTTGGAAAAGTTGGAAAAGAAGCAAAGAGAAAAGCAACAACGTAAGATGATGAAGAAACAGAGAGTTAGAGGATGATTGAGGAATGGCGAAGTATTTTAACTTTGTCTCCTTTTTGGAATATATATATAAATATACATGTGTATATATCTGTGTAATTCTCTTAGTATTTTTTGTTTTCTTTCTCCATAATTCTCTTGTTTTTATTTAATTTTAAAATAATAATAATAATGATTATCATCAATAATTTTTGAAACTGTTGTGTCTGGAATGTTGTGATACACAGTAAGTAGCATACCGAGAATCAAATTGCGTAGAGAGATAGAAAGATAGATGATGATGATGATGATGATGATGATGACATGGATATAGCCCCCCTCGATGTATAAGCAGCGCGCACTCACACGTGACATTAGTATGGGATACCCCCTTCACACCCGGCAAAAAGTAAAAATAACCCTGCGACAAACGAAAAAAACAAAAAAATTTATAAAAGAAAAAAAAAAAGAAATGGATATATATAGAGATTTTGCTCTAGTTATCACCAGATCATCGATAACTGGTATATTATACATAATATATATATTATAGGCCCCTGTCACGTATTTCTTGTGTCTTTGTTTGTTTTTGGTGGATCACTACTCTGACATATATCGTTCACATCGTCATTTTCATCTCATAACACATCAACAACGCTATTGCCACTTTTCACTCCTTCCGCTTTTTTTTTTATCCTGGGTGACATATTGTTCTACACCTCAAAAAAAACAAAAAAACAAGTATAATTAGCCCCAAACCTCCCTTCCTTCTGTCGTTGTATATATTATTATTATATTTATAATAATAATCATAATAATATATACAATATATAGACGGTGAACTATCTGTCAAAATGTTGGTTCTATCTCAAATAGTGCTCTTTCTCTCTTGCTGCCTCACTTTGACCTCTGCTAAAAGGCTGCTTAGTGCCTCGTCTCTTGTGCCATGTATGGAGAACTCATCCCTCACAGCCACGACTTTCGAGGTCAGCTTCAACCCAGAATCACGGACTCTTTCTTACAACTTGGATCTTAACACCACCATCAATGGTTATGTCAATGCTAAAGTTGATGTCTACGCTTACGGGTTCAAAATCATTAGTGAAAAAATCGACTTGTGTGATTTGTCATTCAAGCAGTTTTGCCCACTTTACAGCGGTGAAGTCATTGTCGATTCCGTGGAAACCATTGATGAAAAATATGTCGATATGATCCCAAACATTGCTTACACCGTCCCAGATATTGATGCCTACGTCAAAATCATGGTGTACGACTCAAACAGCACCAGCCTTGCTTGTATGGCCGCCTATTTCACCAATGGTAAAACCGTGGCCCACACCGGGGCTAAATGGGCCACCGCGGTGGTTGCTGGTCTTGGGTTGTTTGCCTCTGCCTTCTTGTCGACTTTTGGTAACTCTAACGCTGCCTCCCATATTTCAGTCAATGCCTTGTCACTTTTCACTTATTTCCAATCAGTGGTTCTCGTGGCTATGGAACATGTCGAATCGGTGCCTCCAATCGCCAGTGCGTGGGCTGAAAATTTATCTTGGTCAATGGGGTTGATCCGCGTCGAGTTCATGCAAGAAATCTTCCGTTGGTATATCCAAGCCACCGGTGGTACCCCAACATTATACTTGAAAGGTGCCGCTTCTGAAAAAGCCATCTTTGTCCAAAAAAGAATTGTCGATTACCTTAGAAAAAGAGCTCCAGCTCTTGTGGTTAACTCATCCGATTCTTTAAGAGTTTTGCGTGGTATTAAGCGTATGGGTTATGACCAAGCTATCGAAGTCACATCGATTGTCGTTACCGGTTTCACTTTCTTTATGTTGTGTGGTTATGTTTTGTGCTTGTTGATCTTGTTTGTTAAATTCTTTATTGAATTCTTGGTCAAGGTCAAAGTCATTAAGAACCCAAGTACCGCAATTTATTTCCGCACTAACTACAGAAGTATCCTCAAGGGTGCCCTTTTGCGTTATATTTCCATTGGGTTTGTGCAACTTACTGTGTTCTCACTTTGGGAATTCACCATTCACGATTCTGCCGCGGTTATTGTTTTGGCAATTCTTTTCCTTGTTCTCGTGGTTGGTATTCTTGGCTGGGCTACTTATCGTACCTGGGTGTTTGGTAAGACTTCTGTCGAACACTACAAGAATCCTGCTGCCATTCTTTACGGGAATCAATTGGTTTTGGACAAATATGGGTTTGCCTACACTATGTTCAATGCCAATAAGTATTGGTGGGGAGCCATTTTTATGTCTTACTGTCTTATCAAGGCTATCTTCATTGGGTTGTGTCAATCTAGTGGAAAAACTCAAGCTTTAGTCATTTGGCTTTTGGATAGTGCTTATCTTACCGGGCTTATCATCTACAAGCCATACTTGGACAAATCGACCAATGTTTTGAATATTGTTATCTCCAGTGTTACCGTGGCTAACTCTTTTATGTTTGTGTTTTTCAGTAATTTGTTCCAACAACCGGCTGCTGTCTCATCAATTATGGGGTGGATTTTCTTCATTTTGAACGCTGCTTTCTCTTTGGTTTTGTTGGTGGTGGTTATCGTGTATATCGCCATGGCTTTGTTATCTAAAGTTCCAGATTCTAGATTCCGTCGTGCTGGTGATGATAGAACTTCTTTCCAAAGAAACTCCGCCATGTTTGCTGATGAAAAGTCGTTACAAGATAGCATGAATGGCTTGAATAGTGACTTCATTGGTTCTCCAAACCCTGGTGCTGAAGAATTGCTTGATTTGGGTAAAGTGGCCAAGAACCATCAAAATAACTGGGAAAATGAAATTTATAAACTTAAAGATATGGTTAGTTCTCAAGGCGATTTGATTGAGGAGACCACTAATGAAGCTTTACAGTTACGTTCGAAATCCACCATTGAACAACTTCGTAATGTTAATTCTAACCAACCAAGTTATAATGACAATGATAAAATTGGTCTTGAAGATGATGAGCCAATCCAAATTGTCAAACCAACCTTTGGGTCAAAACTCTCGAACACTTTGTTCAAGCGTCAAAATTCTGCTGGCGCATCATATGGTAATTCCACCGGTGGTGGTCTAAATTCTTTGACCAGAAAATTGAGTGCTATCAAGATGTCGCGTAACAACTCTCAATTATTGAAACGTCAAGTTTCCATGAATGATCATTCTGCTTTAGGTGCCAATGGTGCCCCAGTTCTGGGTAATTATACCTCCATCCCAATGAATTCTGCCCCAAACTCTCCAGACCCATCAGCGCTTATGAGCCCTGGTAGAAATCCACTGTACCATGGGCGTACATTAAGCCAAACCCCAATGACTTCTTCAAATGATGAGGAATTCAATTTTGACAGTACCCCATCTGGAGGTGATGTGAACTTGAACTACAGTGGTTATAATTCCAGTCAGCCGATGACGGGAATTGATGTCACCATGGGTGGCCAAAACCATGCTCCTGCAAGAGTTTCAAATAGTCCAGTTTTACATGACACTTCTGGGGTCAGTGAGGCAGATAATAGCAGTGGCCGTTTAATGGGCGGCAGATATGCTAGTAACTTGGGACAACAATGAATTTCCAAATGATTTTTTATGTGTTGTCTTGTCTTCTTTATTATCTCATCACCGAGAATTGGTAAGTTCTCATTTTCTCAACTGCATTTACATTCACCTATATCCATTGATTTCACTTGCAAAAAAAAGACAAACAAACAATGACACCTGAAAAAAGGGCAAAGGTTTTTGGGAGAAAGTCTGGATTCAGTTTGCTGATTTTTTCTTTTCACCTCTCTTCTTTTTGGTGTTTGTTTTGTAGCCTTCGAGCGGGTTTCGAATCTTTTGTTTTCACCTTCCTTATATTCTCTTGTACCACTACTTCCATGATATATCATTCAAATATTATTAAAAAGATAACCTGGGTTCTCTTTGTTGATGATTTGTGTTGATTCTTGTTTTGTTTTTCTTTTCATGTTTGAATGAGTCTACTCGTATTTATTCCCTGTTTTTTTTTTTTTCTTCCCCTTGTTCTTATTCTTACTCTTATTTTTATTATTATTTTCTGTCAACTTTTTTTTTCCTTTTTTCCCCCACCCACCCTTTCTTTCTTTTCTGTTAACAATCATAGTTTATTCTGATTGATTGATTTTTAGGCGGCTGATTTTTTGATTTGTGATTGCCGTATCATCAGTGTATTAAATCCCTTTATCACCACTTGTTTTTTTATTATTACTAGTGTCTTTGTTTTCATTGCATTTTATTGGTTATATTATTATATATTACTATATTTGATTATTGAATTTGTAAGTGCATCTCATAATCAACGTGAATAACCTTTGCGATGACATAACCAAGTAAGATCCTCATTTTCTCTTTCTTTTTTTTTTTTTTCTTCTTCCTTTGACTTCTCTGCAATGGCAGTTGCAAAAATACCCATTTATGGCAAAATCAGAGGAAACAACAGACAATAGACAATAAAAAAAAGCCAGAAACATTGCCACATTAGGCATTGAAGTCCGCAGTGCACAACGGTCGCACGTGACCTGATTTCGCTTCGGACGGAACGATTATCGCTGACAAATTGGGGGAGGAGAAATTTCACTTATATAAGTCACATTGATCTATCAATAGGTTACTCTGTTGTCACTAATTGGATAAATATACATATTAGCAATCAATAGTAATACTAATAATAATAATTATATAATGTCCCAAAGCACCACTTACCAGAAATTTGTCATCAAAAACCAGCCGGTCAATGGCTTCAATTTTGACGCATCTTCTCCCGATGCCACCTTCCAGCAGGTCACCAGTGAGGTGCCAAGTGAGCTCCCTGAAGACCATCTTCTTGTGAAAACCATCTACGTGTCCAATGACCCTGCTCAAGGGTTCTGGATCTACTCGAATTTCGGCAGTGCTTACGGTGGCAAGATCCCGGTGGGGGGCAACGTTCCTGCTCTTGGGATCGGTAAAGTGGTGAAATCAACTTCCAAAGACTACGCACCAGGAGAATACATTTGTGGGCATTGTGGATGGAGCGAGTACGCTGTGCTTAATACCAAAGATTCCAAATTATTGTATAAGGTCTCCACTGCCGGGGACTGGGATCCTACTAAAGTGCCGTTGCAACACCAAATGGGGGCGTTTGGTGCTACTGGGATCACCGCGCTCGCTGGTTTGGTGGGAGTTGCCAAACTTGATATTGAAAAAGATCACGGCTTGACCTATCTTATTACCGGGGCTGCGGGGGCCGTGGGGACCATGGCGGTGCAAATTGCCGCGAACGTCCTCAAGGCTAAAAAAGTGATAGCGGTGGCCGGAGGGGCCGAGAAATGTAAATGGGTCGAGTCGTTTGGCGATAGTGTCGTGGCCGTTGATTATAAAGACGCCAATTATAAAGAAAACTTCAAGAAGGCGTTGGGCGATGACAGAATCAATGTTTATTTCGACAACGTTGGGGGTGAAATTTTCAATTATGCGTTTGATTTCTTGGGGATGAACGCCTCTGTGGTGTGTTGTGGTGCCATTTCCTCCTACCGTGGGTCTGGTCCACAACCATTTTACAAGTTGGGAATGATTGTCACTAAACGATTGTCAATCCAAGGATTCATTGTCAGTGATTACATCGCCCATTTCCCTGAGTACAAGAGCAACCTATTGAAATGGTACCAAGAAGGTAAAATCTCCCCAGAATGTACCACTGTCGACGCCAGAGGTGACAAGTTCTCCAAGATTCCTGACGTATGGAATGGGCTTTTCAGCGGGTTCAATAAAGGCAAACTCATTACTCAGGTTGGCGATGATAATTAACAGAAAAAAAAAAAATGAGAAAAGATAATCCTGTTGATATTTTCGATGTGGTTGCTTCCTGGATCATCCCACACTGTTTATGTATGTTATTTGTTTATGTAATTAACGAGAATTACCAATTGTGTGCACTTCGTAGTCTTTTTGGGGAATGTTTTTTATCGGCGGGCAGAAAAATTAATTAGTGGATTCTTTTTTTTTCGCTTATCGCAGCAGAAAATTCCAGTTTTTTTAGGGGAAAAAAAAAAAACAGAGGTGAAAGACTCATCCTTATCACCCATCCATTCTTCCCCAACACCCAACACGTTATTCTTTAATTTAGTTAATTACGGAATGCTGTACCGTGGCTCGCTGGACTTCAGTCGTTCTGGTCACGTCTTGGGTACTACTCCAGTCGCCATAGACCCCAATCTATCCTCAACTAATCATGACCTGCCCGCCGCCGCCGATGAGGCAACACCATTGATCAATAGTGAACTTCAAGTTCATCAAAAGACAGCAGAGTTGTCGACTATCGATTTCGAAAACTCCCAGAATGGCCCAATTGACGATGGCGCATTGTTCCTTGATGATGATTCCGGGAATTTCAATTATAACCCTTATTATTATCAGCAGCAGCAGCCAGCGATAACTTCACCATCTCAGCCATTATTCAACCCATTGAACAACACAACCTATGGAACCATGGATGAAACCCGTCCTCAAGACCTTGAATCATTTAATGCCCTACTAGGAAACCCCTCTAATGAAGACCACTTTGAAAATACCGAGACTCGCTCGGTATCGTCGATCATCAATTTCACCAGAAAACTCAACCGTTCGGTGTCAAGCAAACTCCTCAATATTCATGGACCTACCAACCCCCAAGATGAACCATTTGGTGCTTCCTCCTCCTCCTCCTCCCCTTCTAACTCCATCAAAGATCGCCTTCTTGACCCGCTTAGCGCCCTTGCCGTTGAATCCATGAACCTTTTACCTTGTGTGTTCCTTGGGCTTTTATTAAATGTCCTTGACGCGCTTTCGTACGGTATGATCGTTTTCCCAATTAATCAGCCATTATTCGCTGATTTGGGCCCATCAGGGCTTTCGATGTTCTACGTGTCTTGTATCATCTCCCAACTAGTATATTCCCTTGGTGGCTCCTCGTTCCGGTCGGCAATTGGCTCGGAAATGATCGAGGTGACCCCTTTTTTCCACTCCATGGCCATCAACATCATGAATCTGATTGGCACAGACTCTTCTTTCAAAAACAAAGACGCAATTGTTGCCACCACCATCGTATGTTATTGTACCTCAACATTGTTGACCGGTCTTGTTTTTTTCCTTCTCGGTAAATTCAAATTGGGTCAACTTATCGGATTTTTTCCCCGTCATATCTTGATTGGTTCGATCGGTGGGGTTGGTTATTTCTTGGTGGTGACGGGAATTGAAATCACCTCTCGTTTGGATACCACTTTCGCCTACAATTGGCCGACTTTTGTGTTTCTTTTCCAAGGAGTGACCTTCATCAAATGGTTTTCTGCGATACTTATCACTGTGCTCCTCATTCTCATGCAGAAGTTCAGCAAGCGTTTGGCATCATTTTCACTTCTATTGCCAGTATATTTCATGGCGATCTTTGGACTTATTCATTTCTTCATATGGATTGTTCCAGGTTGGGACTTACAAATGGCCCGTGACAATGGGTTTATCTTTGACATCAAGGCACCAGTGATGATGGAGAGTGTTGGATCTGCTGTATCAACCGTTGCCTCTTCTGAAAACGAATCATGGTATCATTTCTGGACTCTCTACAAATTTTCCAAAGTCCACTGGTCACTTATCGCTAGCCAATTTCCATCAATGTTGGCGCTTACATTCTTTGGTATGTTGCATGTACCAATTAATGTTCCTGCTCTTGCAATCTCCACTAATCATGATAATGTTGATTTGGATCGTGAACTTCTTGCTCATGGCTATTCTAATTTCCTTTCTGGTCTCGTTGGTTCGATCCAAAATTACTTGGTATATTCAAACTCCCTTCTTTTCATTCGTTCCGGGGCAGGTGATAGTAGACTTGCTGGTATTCTTTTGGCCGCTACTACCGCCATAGTCATGTTTATCGGTCCTGTACTTATTAAATTCATCCCAGTTTGTGTCGTTGGCTCCCTTATTTTCTTGCTCGGGTATGAATTGATGAAGGAAAGTTTGTACGACTCATATTCTAAATTATCGACATTCGACTACGTCACCATTATCGTCATCATCGTTACCATGGGTCTCGTGGACTTTGTTTACGGTATTCTTCTTGGGGTATTGATCGCGTTTATTTCGTTTGTTGTGGAAAATGCTAATCAGAATCCCGTGAAAAAGGTGTTTACTGGTGAAGTGGTTCGCTCAACAATTAAACGTAATACCCTCACCAACAGTTTCTTGAAAAACGTCGGTAGCCAAACTTTGATTGTGAAACTTCAAGGTAATATCTTTTTCGGGTCTATTGGTTCCATTGAACGTGAGATCCGTCAACGTTTCACTGACAATCAAAGTGAGCAATATGGGTTCCGTTATTTGATCCTTGATTTGGGATCGGTATTGTCAGTTGATTACACTGCAGCAGAGGGTTTCCAAAACATCAAGAACTTCACTGTCAAAAATAACTGCTATCTTATTTTATCATCGATTAGTAGCGATGGGATTTTTGAATCGCTTTTGAATGTCGGGGTCCTTGAAGAGCAAACTTGCAATTCCACTACTCAACTATTCCATGATCTTAATTCTGCCCTTGAATGGTGTGAAAATGAATATCTCACTACCCTTTATAACATGAAGCAACGTCGGGGCTCAAAGAGCACCCGTAGTGGCTCTCAAGCTAGCCAAATCGCTAACTATGGCGCGTTAAATGCTTCTTCGCGTATTCCATCTCAACAACACCAAAAATCCGCCAACCCACCTCCACAGCCCATAACTATGACCTCTTCTAGCTTGCAAATCCCAGGTGGTGGAAACAATTATCATCAACAAGAGGAATATAAATACAATCTTACAGAATCGTACTTAAACCCAATGTCATTGATGAAAAATCCAAATGGGTTTGGATCTCCTCGTCAGCGGAACATTATTAGGGCCATCACCAAGCTGGTGGATGAACAAAATGACTTTAGCAGAAACGAATTTGGACATAATGTTCCACAAATTTTTGATGATAGTAGTAACTTAAGTGACGCAATTGCTCAAACTATTAATTCTGAATCCCAACTTAAACCTCCAAGCAATGGTGATTTAGATTCTTCGATGAAACGCAAAGCATCTGGAAGTCTTAATGGTTTTAACGAACAAGAATACCAATTAGTGCTGCTTCTTAGAAAGACCTTCCAAGGTGCTTCTGCTCGTCCTGATGCATTTTGGAAACCATTATTGCCATACCTTAAACCGGTTTCGATTCCTCGTGGGAAAATATATGATCCTGCTGCCCCGGTTTCGGAATCTTTATCGAATGATCGGACCAATGAGGATGGTGATGATGATTCTGTTGGTCATTTCTTTATTCTTGAGTCTGGTTTAATTCAAATGAGTTATGATTTCAATAGCCGAGGCAAGGTACTGGAAACCCTTGTCCCTAAAACTTGTTTTGGATCACTTGGGATTAAGTCTGCTTCGGTGGCTAAGCGTATGAAGAACGTTAGAATAACTGCGCTTAAGGACTCGAAAATTTGGAAGTTGAGTCACGAATCGTTCAGCAAACTTTGCAATGGGGCAAAGACCAAAGATGTTGCCAATGAATTGTTGCTTGTTGAGGTGAATTTGTTAAGCGAGAGGTTTGATAAAATTACTGGATATATTTTGATTTCTAGTTGAGCTTTATTGTGGATAATATTGAGACGAAGACGTTTATAGAAATTTTATTAATATTTTTTTTTCCCCCTTCTTTTGCATGTGTATATATGCTTAGCATATTATATTGCATATTTCTTCTTGATTAGTTTCATTTGAATTTGTCTAATGTAGAGTCGATTCTATGTGCTCCTTGTTATTTATTTTCCTCTTCTTCGTTCCTTATTTTTTATCAATCATCGTTTTCTTTCCATTATATATACACTTTTTTTTTACTACAAAATTTTAATGAATATTAATGTCTATTAACATGTATTTAATATATCAAATATCGATCAAAATTGGGAGAAATCAATACTATAAATTACGTTTTAAGGCATTTGGATTTCGAAATAAGTCTTTGATTTGCAAATTTTGAGCTCAGAAATGAAAATCAATATATATATATATATATATATAGAGAGAGAGAGAGAAAGAAAGAGAGAGAGAGAGAGTAAAATGTATCATCATATCATTGTTATTGGAAATGGCATTCCAGAAATATGCCGCCACAGGTTGGTAAGCGTGATAGTAGGAAGGATCTTGCGGATCTGTATCTTTGTTTGCACTTATTGTATATGGTTGGATACAGTCATCGGTTTATAAAATAGTTATTAACCCAATATCAACACTAACTCAGCTTACTAAGCTTTTTGAAGTATATTATATATAGACTCATGGGTTCCTTTCTCGACCTTTTTTTTTTTCTTCACGTTGTTCTTCACAATTCGGGGAATTCGCAATAAAATGCTACAATAGTAATCAAAAGCAAACTATTTGATAGTTGGGGTGGATTTGGAATCGGAGAAGGGGAGCTTTCCCTTTTCTCCTTTTAACTTATTTATTCTTATTTTTTCAACTCTTTTTAACCTTTTATTATTCTGATTCTTCACTTTGTTTCAGTGAGTATTGTTGTCAATTCATTTTAATGTGGATTTCTAAATTGTTCTTCAATGTTTATACAACTTTAGCTAAATTGTAAATAGCAGAAAGCGTTATCTGAACGAATGCCAATATCCTTGCCATGGAAACGCAAAATAGAAAATACAAGTCATAAAATATCTAACTAAATTATGCATTGTAAAAATATCTACAATAATCAACATTGAAATCAAAATGAGAAGAAAAGAGGTGATATATATATATAATCATAATTTTCCTTTTTAATGCATATCTCTAAGCAACAACAAGGAAAGAAATCAAGAAAAGCTCAATGATACTAACGGCTTTAGTGGCCCACCATACATGTTGCACAATAAATGGACAAGCAGAATAATGGAAATCCCATTGACCGGCTTCTTTATCGAAATTTCCAGTCATCAAACCAATATTCCCATCATAATCTCCCATAACGGCTCTGACGGTGACTTCTTGGATATAATTGTTGGCCTTGGAACTATCATGTGTTTTCACCGGTGATGCCTCCCAAACTCCTGATTGTAAATCCTTATCATAAACGTTATAGCACCCTTCATGATCGTGGCCGGTCAAAATGATCCCTGGTTTATCGGTGCTACCAAAGATAATATCCAACACTTCTTGGGTCATTTCGTAAGAAATGTGGTTTTGAGAACGCAATTTACCAAGCTTATAAGGTTCACGTTTCGAAGTTTCTTCATTATAGAAATCGTGTTTTGGACCATCGACACAAAGCCCCTCTTTTTTATAGAATGGAATATGGGTGAGCAAAATTGTTGATCCTTCGAATTCCCGAGCTTTTAATTTTTGTAAGAAATGGTGGGTATATTCGACGAATTCTGGTTGTAATGCCGGACCTTCCAAAAATAATGTATTGAGCACCACAATTCTGTAAGCATATTCGGTACCCTTGTTGTACTCGATGTAAAAGTTATCTTTCCCAAATAAACGATGGTAACGGGTCATATGTTGCCAAGTGGCATCCCCACTGTACCCAACATCATGGTTCCCGGTGATGTTAATAAATAATGGCTCGCCAGTGAAATTCTTCACGGAGCTGTTGGTCCATTCATAAGTATCCTCGAAATGATAATCAAATGCCTCGTCCATACTCACCCCCTTGATTTGGTCAATATACCCCTGCCAGTCCAAATCTTGGTGTTTGTCCAACACTTCAAACACCGCCTTGGTGTGGTCTTCTGGCTGAGGGTATAATCTCGTTAAATAACGGCGGGTACGATTATAAAACTCGCTATCGCCAATCCATTGCGAGGAAAACAAGTCACCCATTACCGAGACATGGGTTGGGTGTAATCTATTTTTCATCACTTGGTAAATATGTCCCAAATAATAATCATTGCCGTAATTATCAAGACGTTTCATGTAAGGAGTGGTTGGCCAATTGCCATTGATCTGAGGATCACCCACCGCAAGAAGTTTTATTTCTTCAAACCCGTTGGAGTAATTTTCAAACTGTTTGTAATAGTAAGTGTTGATCAAGTCACCAACCCAAGGAATGGCGATGAGTTGGGCCTTGATGGGGTCTTGAAATTCTGGGGTCGGGCGATACCATGAGCAGTTTTCTGGGTTTAGCGAAGGATAGGTGTAGATATAGGCGTTCAAGGCAAGGCCGATGATCCCAAGGAACACCGCTGCCTTCGATACTGCTTGTTTTACCGTCATTTTCTTTGATGGGAGGTAATTAAGATATACTACTGCTACTATGGGAACGATGGATAGCACACACACACACACACCATTGATGGGATGTTTTTTGGGAAATTTTGACACGCTGTGGGGCACGTGAGGGTCCGCTTATCTTTTTGTAACAAATCACTGATTATTCTCTCTACTCTCTCTGATAGCGCACTGATAATTCTATCTATTTTATCGTCATTTTTACCTACATAGCAATGTCTTGTCTTCCAAACGTTTTACTCATTGGTGCCGGAGGGGTCGGGGCCGTGGTTGCCTACTCAATTGATTATAACAACCTTTCGCAATTATCAATCGTTGTTGGTAGAGACTACGAGAAGGTCAAGGATGCCGGGTACGAGATCAATTCCGTTGATCATGGAACCGTCCATGGCTGGAAACCTGCTCACATTTATCCAAATATCAATGCTGCTGCCGCCGCTAATGACCCTTATGATTTCGTGGTGGTCACCACCAAGAACTTGCCAGATATCCAGAAAGTCGAAGACTTGATTGAACCGGTGGTCACTAAAGAGATAACCACGGTGGTTTTAATTCAAAACGGATTTGATCTTGGAAGACCAATTATTGCCAAGTATCCTGAAAACGTTTGTCTTTCCGGAGTGACGTTTATTGGATCACACAACTATGGCGGAGTGATCAAACAAACCCAACATGAAGTGACCCAGATCAGTTATTTCCCTAATTCTCATTTATCAAAAGAGGTTCAAGAATCTAAGGCCAAAGAGTTTGTGAAGTTGTACCTGACCGACAAGAATTCCGTCACTTACTCTGAGGACTCCAAGTTTTCTAGATACAGAAAGTTGGTGTATAACGGGACTTTGAACACCATTTGCACATTAGTGGGGACCGATACTGGTAGGGTGGAACTTTCTGGAGGTAATGAATCGATTGTCATTCCTGCAATGAAAGAAATCATTGCCGTGGCAAAAGCCGATGGAGTGATTCTTCCTCCAACCACCATTAATGACATGTTGCACGACGATGATGGGGACTACTTCACTCCTTCAATGACCGTTGATTCACGAAAGGGCAATCCCCTTGAATTGGAAGTGATTTTAGGTAACTTATTGAAGGTGGCCGGCGAAGTTGGGGTCGAGACCCCGGTGTTGAGCGTGATTTACAGCTTATTGAGGATTGTGCAATTCAGATTGAAGGAGCAAGCAGGCTACATTACCGTTCCAAAAGAACGTCCAATTGATAAGTCCAAGGTGTGGGAATGAATAGTATTATTTAAACACATAATAGATGCATTAAGTGATGAAAAACCATCGTACTCTAGAACCAAAAACAATCAATGTAAGTGAAATGTTTTTTCTTCTTTTTTACATCCATAAGCCGATAATAATGATATATGCAACAAGGGAAAAAAAAAAAAATAAAAAAATAAAAAAACACACACACAACGAAAAGTGCTACGAAAGTTTGACAGCCTCCATCAGCATCTATTTATAACCAGCCCCCCACTGTCACTTAAAATGCCATTGAAGCCATTCTTGGGAGCTTACAAGTTCTCCAAACATCCCGTGTCGATTTATCACATTCCCGTCGAAAAACCTCGTGGTCCGTTATTGGTGTTCATTCCGGGAAACCCCGGGATTGTTGATTTTTACGTCCCTTACTTGAACCAGCTCCATACCAATTTCCAGCTCGAAACCCTTTGTATTTCCCACATTTCTCATGATTGCCTGTCGATGGAAGATGGAGATTTGGGGTTCAAGAACTCGTTGAAGAAGATTGTCACTGGGAAAAACAGTGATATCTACGGGCTCGACACCCAAATCCTGTCAAAGATTGAAATCATCAACAATTTTCTCGAACATCAAAATGGTGATCTCAACTCCCCGAAAGTTGGCAATTCTAGAGACGTGATTGTGTTTGGTCATTCTGTTGGCTCGTACATGGTGCAACGGGTGGTGAACCAACTATCTCCTAAAGCCCTGGTGAAGTTTGTAGGGTTGGTGTTTCCAACGATCATCGATATTGGTAAATCAGATTCTGGGGTATCTTTGACCAGAGCCACGAAATTATTGCCGAACCTTCATAACTATGTGTCATTTTTCACGTTACTCTTCATGTTTCTTCCGAGTGCAATGATCAGTTGGATGATTCGTTCGGTAATGCGTCCTGCTGGCGATGCGGAAACCACGGTCAAGTGTGTCAAGAAACTCGTATGTCATCCTCTAGTGGTTCGTCAAGCCCTTGGGCTTGGAAAAGAGGAGATGGGGGTCATTAAGAGAGACCTTGATTTCAATGATGATTTCTTCGACACCGCAAAACATGATTACAAAGTATGGTGTTTCTTTGCTCAGAATGATCATTGGGTGGCCCATAGCACCAGAGACGCGATCAAGGCCCGGTATTTCAATGATCAAGATGACACCAAGCATTATCAAATGTGTGATGAAGAAGAGGATCATTTGAAATTGAAGCATAGCTTTGTGATCAATCACACTGACCAATTTGTGAAGATCACCTCGGCAGCGTTGAAGAGGATGTTGGGTATTTGAGGGAGGAATTATAAGCATTATCATTATCATCGATATAAACAGTCAATATAAACAGCGTTATTCCATTCAGATAGATGTTATGTGTTAGTATAGGGGGGGCTAATATCACCCCCTGTTAGTTGGTTATGAGCCCATAGGCGAAATGCACCACAGGAAAAGAAAAAAATTATTCTCCAAGACCTCACCATCAACAACAGGACTGGCATATATGACACCACAAACACAATGCCCTACTAGATGTTCTACCCAAGGCTACTATCCAGAATATTGAAGCTCCAGGGGACCCCTTTCAAGGCTTGTGTGAAACCTATTGTTCTACTATCATGTCGTCAGCTTCTCGGGGGATCACGACACTACTATAGCACCACGAATATTTTTCAGACCGTCGTCAATAATCAAGAAATAGAAAAAGATCAATACTTTCAGCATTGCAACGACCTTATTGTGGCCCTGGAATACAAAAAACTCCAGAATGAGTTTAGTTCGGGGAAAATATTCGAAAAATTTGGAGCTGAAATTTCCAGACCAATGAAAATCATCCATCGAGTGGCATTTGTCAATCACGATGTCAAGCTAGGATTACGGCTTTTTCAACAGTATTTCCCTCAAGAGCTCCGGGAAAAATTATCACCCAATGACCGTTTCTTGTTGATAGAATTTGAGTTGCCGCTCTTACTTTTTTGCAAGAAATTTTCCGTGATTTATGGTGAACGATATCCAGAAATCATGGAACTAGTGGGGACTATAGGGAAAACTCCTGATCAAATCATTAATAGTTTGACCAAGGTGTTACAGGCAATGATGGTGAAGCAGCGCTTCCTAAGGGCTAAACAGTTTTTCCTCGGAATAATTGCTGAGAACTACGTTACGGAAAAACAATTGACAATTCTTTTCAAAATCTTTATGCAGTTCCCGATCCAACCTACAAAGATTAATGAACTCTTGGAACTCATCTACAATAAAGCCTCATTCCCGTTTAGTCCTGAATTGACGGTTTCCGTGCTAAGGTATCATCGGGCTACGATGAACCTTGAACAATATCATGAACTATATGAAAAATACGGTTCCAAATTACTCCCATATCAACAAGTAATGTTAAAGATCGATAATGAGGTACTAAGTTTGATCAGGGAAAGAGATCTCATCACCCTCTATGATAATAATACCAAAATTGTCAATAAAAAGATTGCCGAGCAATCATTGACGATTTTCAAATTGATCCACCAGTTTCTCGTCACCCTCAGTAACGAACCAAGGGTTAATCCCGAGAAAAAGTTGGCGATCCGTCAACATTTCCTTGTTACATTGTGCAGTACATTTGCCAAGAAGTATTATTTCAAAGATTTGATGAAAGTGCGAAGAATCATGAATACCGAACCGTTGACGACATCGCAAGAGAAACTTTTCAACCAAAATTTAGGTTATTATTTTCTCGTGACCCGGCAATTCGAAACTCACATTTTATTTTTACGGGAAGTCGTTGCCAAAAATGGTTACCAAGTGCTTCTGAAAGAGGATATTAGCCAATTAATCCAGAATTATAAAAAAACCTTCCGACTGAGAAAGTTTTTCTTGGGATCCCCGAAATATCGGGAGTATCGCAAGATCAAAGATCTCCTTGAATCCTTTGAAATGATCTACTATCCCAGTAAGGCTAAGGATTATGACAGGATCATCTCTATTTTGGATAAAGGGTTCCTCCCTGAAGTCAACAACTTTGTGGCGTGTCTCCATCAACAAATATATCAGCAGGACATATCCAAAGTCACGATGTTGGTAGAATTTTTCAAAAAACTAAAAGGTCAATACTCTTTTGGAACAAAATTATTTTTAATGAAGTTCCAGATTTTCCAGTACTTAAGGAACCTTGAAGCTGCCGGCAAGTTGAAGATGATATTAGGACCCGCTTTCACCAAGTTTGAAAAAGGAAAGGGAGTCAATCAATTCAACTTTAATGATGTGGAACTTAGGTTCACTAAACAGGAGACATTGGCTGATGATGATAATGACACCATCCCAGAATTTCAAAACCAAGTCAAACAGGAGTTGGAAAAAATGTTGGCGGGCTTTCTAGAGAAAAATAAATCCACATTGACGTTGTTGGGCAAGGTCGAAGTTGGGCTTTTTGCCAGGTCCCTCAAATTGTACGAGATGCTGGCAGAGATCATGGAAAGCTGTTATACCATGATGATTGCCAGGCAAGCGTCGGTGGTAGAGGGGGTGGATGCGAAGAAGGGGGTGGATGATCCCGATAAATTCATGATCCAAAATATCTTGCGAGAAAAAATCTATTCGACGTTGTTGATCGATTATAAATACTTGTTAGACCCAAAAAAATTCTTGGAGACTTTGAAAAGAGTGACTAAAGACGCCCATCTAAGAGTATCTCCGAAATTTGCTTATCGTATCAGCACAGAATTGAAACATTATGTTAAATTGAAGAATTGGCAATATAGAAAAGACTATGGGATCCTAATGACGTATCGGTACATTGAGAAATTCGATGATTTGTTATTAGCGGACATCAAGGACACGCTTGCGAGATTGCGACTCGTTAAATTATCCGAGGAGCAGCGTTTTGAGTTAGTTGATGATTTCGAGCAGGTGAAATTGTTTGTTGGGAAGTGCTACAGGTATCAACAGATGTTGCAAGCTAGGGCAAAAAACGAAATATTATATCGTGAGAAATACCTGAATCTTTTGATGGATATGGTGACTGAGTGGTCAAAATTGCAACGTTTGGACAAGATGGAGGTGCTTCGAGGGGAAGAATTAGGAAACAAGGTATTGCAAGAAGAATCAGGATATCCTGAAAAGGAAGAGGAATATGAGTTATGATAATGATTTATCAGAAAATAGCATTGATAGAGAAAATAAAGATATATAAAAAAAAAGGTCATCTTTGTGATACCTGGTGAGCCAATATTTGATATCCTTTTGGATTACAACAGCCTGATGTTTTGTTTGTTTGTTTTTGTTTGTTTTATTTGTTTGTTAATTTCTTTTTCCTTTTTTTTTTGTTGGATGATAATTATCACTGTATATATCTGCTACATCTGTAATATAGATACGACTTCTTTGTGTATGATGAAATAGCTTAAAGTTGAACTTGTATGTTTTGGAAGCCATCTCATCTCAGTGGTTGAATTCATATCCTCAACTTCGGTCATTTTTTATACGGGTAGTTCTTTCAGGCTCCATCCTTTCGTAATCTGCATTTATTCTAAGTCACAGACGTGCTCAAAGATGATAGAGATAGTTTTTTTGTTTGTTTTTTTTTGACATTTGGCGATCCATGATCTGAACAAAAGAACTTATTTGGATCACCATCACGAGACATATATTGTCTGCTGTGTTGTTCATTCTGCTTGTTTAAATTCATGTATTAGTCATTGTACTGTTCTACAGTACGTACTAAATAGCTACTAAATCAAATGATGAAATGATAAGAGATATTGGTATTGATATATCCACTTAATTGCGGGTTCTCATAAGAAATCCTTAGGATATACAAAACATTTACACATAAACTCCATATTATATATAGCTATTGATAGTTTTTGCAGTCGCGACATTATATATGTATATTTAGCAATCTTCAAGTGATCATTCATCGGCATATATATACTCCACCTCATCATTTGTAAGGATTTCTGCAAACGATAAATTGCCTTTAAGAGACACAATTCCAGGAATCGGCACCGACGAGGCATTTTTATGAGAAAACGACGAGAAACTTTTATTGAACATTCTGCTGAGCCCCAAATCTAAAAGCTGATATTCGGCAACCACCACGAAACTAGCACCGCCTTTAGAATAATATGCTTGAATGGGGTAAGTCCCAGCAACGATGATGGTGCCCCGGTGGGTGTACACTGAACTTTCACCAAAGGCAAACTCGACCCGTACTGGATCTTTGACCAATTTATCTTCCAAAAACAACGATCTTTTAGAAACCAACGTGATATTCGTCGCACTGGAGATTAGTCCTACTGGTTTATCATGCTTTTCCATCGCGTTAATCACATCTTCGGTCGAAGTCAGTGAACATTCCCGCTTCGGTAACTTGACATTCTTGTACAACTTGTTGACTTTTTCTCTGGAGAGTTCCTCCTCATTTTCCTCCTCTTCTTGCGGTGGACTCATCCTTGAGTGACTATTATTATTATTGTTGTTGTTATTATTGGAAGGTTTGCTAGGTACTGCTCCCATATCCGTGGATTCTGATTTTTTGTTGTTGTTTAATGATCCAGCCCCAATAGCGGTTTTAAATATCGTTATACAATTGCGACCATCAACACACTTATCAAGAGGTTGCAACATACTACTATATGGTTTCCCAGCAACGTGGAGTGCATTATCCCGTACTTCCAACCCATTCTGTGAGCAAAATTGTTCAACGTTAATGAGATTCACCGGGGCGTGAGGGTCGTACCATACATCTTCGACTAAATAACTGCCATTATCACCAAGCCTTACCGAGCCTTTGAAATTGAACTTCTTCTTGGTGGTAGATTGCATATTCACGGTGATTGGTTCTTTGGTCAACCGACCATCGAAAAGTGATTTGTCATTGATAAATGACACTTGGGTGGATTTGGTCAATAATGCTGTAGGATACTGACGGCTGTTGAGATCATCCTCGGTATCGCTGTTTACAATAGTATAGCAGAATAGCGTGTGGTTTTTGCTCATTTAGTCTGTGATTAGCTGTACGTACCATCATGACTTCTGTTAAGATCATACAATAAAACCGCTGACATCTTTTGATGGATCGACTGGTGGCTATGAGGGTAACCTCATCTCGTCCGCTGCGGTGCGCGAAGAGAAATAAAAAAAAAAAAATTTCACTTCAAAAATTTTTATTGGGATTTACTAACAAAGGATATTATTTATTTATTTCTTTAAAGGACAGAAAAGATGAGAGTTAGAAGTGAGTTGACTTTATTTATCTTTGGATTTGGTATAGAAATTATATCTAAGAAAAAAAGGAATGAAGGAATACAGTATTAACATGAACATATATAGAGCCAACTAGTAAGCGTACCAGTACGCGAATGAGAGAAGGGATCAAGAAGAAATCTGCTGCCCACCGTCGTAAAGAAGCCAAATTAGCCAAGAAGAACCCACAATGGAAGTCCCGTAAGCCAAAGGACCCGGGTATTCCATCGACTTTCCCATATAAGGAAGAGATCCTCCAAGAAATCGAAGCCAAACGTCTAGCTCAAGTGGAAGAAAAAGAACGTAGAAAAGCCGAAAAGGCTGCTGAAAGACAGCAAGCTGATAACAATAATGACAATGACGACCAAATGGAAATTGACGATGATGAAGAACAACAACAAGGCAATGGTCTTGTCGCCCTTGTGGAGTCCGCACAACAAGCTGCTAGAGAATTCGATGGGGAAGTGGCTGCCAATGATCAAGGGATGGACGAAGATGATGAAGAAGGGGTTGAGTACGTTGATTTGGATTTGGAAGAATTAGTTGGTGGTGATGACAATGAATTGGAAGATGACGATGAGTTTGAATTCTACAAGAACAATGACGATTCTGAAAAATCATTAAAAGCATTCAACAGATTCTTCAAAGCGGTGGTCGATGTTTCTGATGTGGTGTTGTACGTTTTGGACGCCAGAGATCCAGAAGGTACCAGATCAAAGAAAGTTGAAGAAGCGGTGTTGCAAAGCAAGGATAAGAAATTGATTTTGTTGTTGAATAAAGTCGATCTCGTGCCAACCGAAGTGATGGAAAAATGGATGGATTATTACAAGCGTCGTTTCCCAATTATTCCATTCAAAGGTAGTTCGAGTGCCGCTACTGCGGTGGCTCATAGTTTCAACAAGAATTTGAGTCAATCGGTCACCGCTACTGCGTTGCTTACTTCCCTTAAAGGTTACGCTAACAAGAGTGATTTGAAAAGATCTATCGTTGTTGGGGTGGTGGGGTTCCCAAACGTTGGTAAATCTTCGATCATCAACGCCCTTACCAGCAAGCACGGGGGTTCCAGTAAGGCCTGTCCTACCGGTAATGCTCCAGGGGTTACCACTACCCTTAGAGAAGTTAAGGTCGACAACAAATTGAAGATTGTTGATTCTCCGGGTATTGTGTTCCCACCACCGGTTTCCGAAAATAAGAAGAAGCATGCTGGTAGTTTGAAGAAATTGAAGATGCAACAAGAAGCCAAATTGGCATTACTTAATGCTTTGCCAAACAAATTGTTGAAAGATCCAACCATGGCGATCCAGTTATTGATCCGTCGTGTCAAGCGTAATGAAGCCACCTATGAGACTTTCAAAGCGTATTATGAAATGCCACCATTACCAGAACATGATATCGAAGAATTGACCAAGCAAGTACTTATCCACATTGCCCGTGTCAGAGGTAGATTGGGTAAAGGAGGGGTTCCAAACTTCCACAGTGCTGCCATGAGTATTTTGAATGATTGGAAAGATGGGCGTTTTGTTGGTTGGACCGAACCTCCTGAAAAACCTTTGGAAACTCAAATGTCTGCCAATACCATCAAGGTTAATGGTAAAGTTGACCAAGTGACCGTGGTGCAACAGTGGTCTAAGGAATTTGACTTGGATGGGTTATTCGCCAGTGTTGGTATGACTGAGTAATTGTTCTGTCTTTAGCTTATGGTTTTTTATTCATTTATGATTATCATTCTCATTATTATCATTTTTTTTTCTTTTTTGTTGTTTTATTTAAGAAATATTCCTGATTCTTGAGTCATCCCCTTTTTTTTTTATTACTTTAGATATTGTTAGAGGGGGGACTCGAAGTCTTACTGATGTATAATATTAATTAGTTGTTGTTTGATATATGTATGTACTTTGGCACATGGCTTTGGTCTCTTTAAATGCATTTTTTTTTTTTTGGATTGTCTATAGATAGATGATTGTGTAAAGAAGAATTTAGGGGATCGGCGATGGGTAATGTTTAACAGATAATAATAATGTATAAGTGCAGGAACATTTGAGCAACAATAGTTATGTGCTAGACAGATCCATAGAAATGGATGAGTGTTACTGTAATTAGCAAGTATTTGTGAGTTGTGGTTTTTGACATGTGGAATATATATCGAATCTCCGTGGGCAGAATAAGATAAACAGAGGCTTTTATTGCATTGTGATGGATAAAGTAATAATCACTAGTTGGGATCTTCAACTGTATCTTTTCAACTCTATTGTCTTATTTTAATTTGATCGGAATAAATGGATATTTTAGATAGATAGAGATAGATATATAGATCATCATCATCATCATCATTTGGTCATCTCAAAGAAAAAAAAAGAAAGAGGAAAAAAAAAAAAAATATTCTTATCAATAAATAATAAGTAGATAAATAGTCATTACATCTAAGACTACTTGCCATTTATACCCACCAACAGCTCAGTTGTTTTTTACTTAGTTTACTTCTTCCCTATCTATCGTTCCAAATAGCGAGTACATTTGCTTCACTATTGTAATAAATAGATCCGATAGGTGGTGACCGACTCAACGCCCCTATCTCATCGCCTCACCTCACCTCACCTCATCCCACATCTCACCTGTCAAAAAAACTAGTGTCAATCATATTAGAAGATATATTCAATCTCCTGACCCCTTATCATTCCAGGGTGTGCTTATCTCCTCTTCTGTGCATTTGCAAGTGATCTATTATATACTCTTGGACACTCGATACTGATCGTCTCTTTTTTATTTTATTTTTTTTTTTTTTTGATTATTTTTTATTTTTTTTTTGATCTGACTCAATTGTTTTAATAAGCGGCACCGAGCATTGCCCCCCGCCTTCAGTCTCCTCGATCAATGTCGATTATCACAAGTCATTATTATTACTATTACTATTACTATTGAAACCTCATGGACCAATCTTATTCAGCCTCAAAAAATCAACACCAACCGCAGGATGTCGGCAAAGACATCACCGATTCTCTGAAACTACACCACCAACGTGATGAGACCACCACTGGAGAAGCCAAAAGACGTAAACTCTCTTCTACAACTACTTTCCTCAGTGAAGAAGAGAAAAAGGTATGCTATAAGATGTTATTATATATTATTCTCCTAAAAAAGAGTATTCTTTCATACTAACAATTTAGTCACGTCATATTGCCTCCGAAAAGAAGCGTAGAGAAACCATCAGATTGGCCTTCGATAGAATCGTTGATCTAGTACCCAACTTAACTCCTTCTGAGAGTCGTACCGAAGTAGCAGTACTCACGAAATCAGCAGCATTTATCGATGAGCTAAGGTCAGAGAATCAGCGACTTTTACAACTTTTACAAAACAGTAACGTCCCAGTTCCAGAGCATTTACTAGAAGCCTACAACAACACCAGTGGAGCCACCAGTAGTGGAGCTCAAAAAACTAAGGAAGAACATTCTAGTGATGGAGGTGAATGATAAATGGTGACAATAAGCCCTTCTTCCGAGGATTTCCGAACTTTTTTTTTCCCAATGGTTATCATGATGGATGCCCAGTACAATTTGCAAATTCATTTGTCTTACCTTCACGATCTATTACTGCTTGACCTTTAAGGTTTATTAATTATTTTATTCCTATTGTTTGTTTGTTTGTTTTTACCTTATTTGGTATCCCCTTCTTGTTTGTATTCCCTAGGCTACTGCTCCATATTTGATACTTTTCCTGCTGTTCCAATAATGCCCCATTCTTAATATTTTTATTTCTTGAGAGAATATTCGTTTTCTATTTTATTTTATTTTATTTTATTTTACTTTATTTTCATTTGTGCCAGTTTTTAATGCTCTTTCTATTTTATTCTTCCTATTAACTCTATTTATTCTTCCTCTTATTAATTCATTTGATGTTCTCATGAGCCCCCCTTCCTCCCTCCTTTTTCCCACTATTATAAACCTCCTGTAAATTGTCGTCCCAAATATTGGTATGTATTTTGTCTATTCTGTTTATATTTTTTATTCTATTCTTCAATATAGTTGCCATTTTTACAAAACCCTGGATTATGTATGCGATTTATTTATATTGTCAGTTGAAGTGGTACTATATAATTGATAGAAAATGTTACTATTTGATAATACACGTACTACTACTACTCATCGTTTGTGATTCATAATTCAATTCAATTTGAATATGGCACACTTGAAAAGATGAATGGGTCAAAATATTCGGAAAATAAACACAGGCAGAGCACAAAGAATTATGGAATATTTCAAAACCTTCTCAGCACCAGCAGATGAGAATACTATCTATCACCAAAATAATAAGTTATCAAGCTATTAATTCGGTTTGTGGGATGGAAGCATCGATGCAAAGTAAATGAAGACAAGGCAAAAAAAAAAAAAAAAAAAAAAAACGAATTTTTTTTTACTCCCAATATTGCAATTATTATAACTCCTGATCGACACCATCCATCCATCGGTTGAAGAGTCTTCAAAAATATCCGATAACTCATTTCTTTCAGTGTACATTATGTATAGTCCTTTTCATATAACACTCTGTGAAATGGTATAATTCTTTGCTTGTTTCTTTTTTTGCATCCAATGGGAAGAGTCCTAGTGAACCATTATTAACTCATCGAAAGCGCACTTGACAGATATACACTACTGGAAATCATTCAGAGTGAGTGGATAAAGCATTGGTAGGTATTGTATGTCAATCTGTTTCTGCCAAATTCCAGTTATATTTATTTAGAAGCTCCATTATTGTTTCCCTTCCCAATGGAGTTTAAGATTACCACTAATACCTAGCGCCTGTTGTATACGATCAATTTAAACAGCAAAACAGCAAGTCTATTCAGCATCTTCTTCGTCTTCCTGCTCACCAATCAAATTATCCATATCAACATCTTTTTCTTCGGCAACATTCTTTTTCATTCTATCGGTCAAATACAAATTGATCACATCTTGTAAACTTGTCAATTGTGATCTTAACGCCCCCAAATTGGTGGAACTTGGAGCAGATGGGACATCCTTATCGACCATGCCGGCATTCATAACATAATCACTAGGACCAGAAGTCTTACCAATGGTGGAGTGGGGGCCAGGACCTGGTTCAAGTTTGATGGTGGTTTGCGAGGTATTTGAATGATACACTGCCGATGGAATTAGTGTGGTGGTAGTGTCTTTTAAAGATGGAGCAGATGACATTTTTTTTATATAGATATATATATATATATATATATATATTTTGAGTATTTGTGTGGTGGACTAAAATGGCTTGTTTGTCTATAGATGGTTTTCTTGTCTATAGATTTTTGTCCGTTGATACTGGGCCGATCAAGTTTTTTTTTTCCCCTTCCTGCTAATTTTCAACCAATTTACCCTACAGATGTTGAGAATTCATTGAGATTTTCCAGATTGAGCAACTTTCAATATCGTAGAAGTTTTTTCAATGAGCATATGAAATATATTCTTCAATATATTATTGCCAACATAATTTTTATGGCACAAACCTTACAAGAATAAACAATTAATTAATTAAAATCCGAAAGGATACTAATAATGCATTGGTATTAAGAAAAAATGGCGGATGTGCAGAAAATAGAAATTAAAAGTAGCTAAGCGAAATAATCTGAAAATCTTGATGAAAAGATTTAGAAAAGAACTAAAAGTAGTGAAGAATAGTTAAAACTATACCATTAAAGACTATAAGAATATAGTCATGATGCTAGTTGGGTAATAAAAGGGGGAAAAGTGGTACAAAGATACTATAAGATTGTTGAAAAACACTCTTACAACAACAAGATACCGGCAATACCAGCAGCAGCGGCACCAGCGGCGGCCAACTTGTTAGCGGCACCGGTTTCGACAGATGGAACGGTGGCGTTGGTAGAAGTGGAGGATTCGTGGGCGGTCAATGGACAGTAGGTGGTGAATTCAGTGACGGTACCTTCAACAGTGGAGGTAACAACAGTGACACCGGTGGTGACAGCGGTTTCAGAACACTTGTTTTCTTCACAAGAAGTGATGGTGACAATAGTGGTGGCGACGTCATCGGTGACAACGGCGGTAGAGGTGGTGTTAGAGACCTTAGCGGTGGCGGCGGAGACCAAAGCAGCAGCGGCGAAGATTTGAGCGATCATTGTTAATAGAGTGGTAAGCGAAAGTAGAGTAGTAGTGATAAAACGAATGTTATTGTTTTGATGATTATAAAAGAAGAGAACTAAATATTCACAGCTGAGAAGGGGGGGGTCGTCGGCCTTATATAGAGCAGATGACGGTGAAGGCGACAGGATAAAAATAAAAATAAAAATAAACACTGCTACTGTTGTCCAGGGCGTGTGCCACCCCCGCTCGCGGTCGAGGCCCGCGTGGCCGTCCTGCACTCTCCCTGCTGCTGCACACGTCATGGTGCATGCGTGTCTTTTTTTCTTTCGTCTTCTTTTTTTAGCCGGTTGGCGAGCGGTTGTCAAAAGGAGGCTTTGATTGGCTGTCAGACATTTGCTGTTAGACAATCATGTATATCATACAATGTTTGGGTGTGTTGGAGAGGGTGAGAAGGGAGATGTTGTTAGTGCCTAGCTTTGCTTGATACAAATTACCCAGGGTGCTTCACGACCACCGAATGTGTGTATGTGTGTAGACATCAGCTAGGGATCTCGGGTGTCTACACTAATCCAATCCCAGGTATACAGACACCTATACACCAATCAGTGACTAACACTTGTAGGCTACACTATACCAACGTGCCCGACAGCCAGACAGCCAGACAGGAGCAAAAATAGAATGTCTCTCCTATATTTATCGATTTACAGTGGTAATTAACAGCTAGTGTGATCGATCAACCATTTTGCTTGTGGAGTGATACTCTTTTGCCGAGGGGAAAATGCCAAGTGGGTCTCACAACGCTTATGGCCCAAAACAGGCGGGTGTGTACCAGTTACGGCGATGGCGCTTGCTGGAATCGTCGCCAGTGTACTGAGAATTCCGCGAGTTTCCCCTGGCTTGAACAATACGACGCACTATCGCTAATAACAAGAACAATAACAAGAGCATCAAAGATCCCCAAAATGGTGATCATAAACACAAACAAAAACAAAAACATAATCATAATCATAATCATAATCATAATCAAAAATATAAACAAAAACAAAAACAAATACATCAAAAAAAAATTTCAATTAGGCTAGGATTCAGGGGGACAAATTCCTTCCCAACCCATCAAATTACTTTTGTATATACACAAAATAAAATACATGACAGTCGTTGCCGTCTACCATCAACTTGATTGTTCAGGTATTCCTGGTGATTTTTATTATATCAGTGATATTGCTAAAATTTTATAAACAAACAAACAGAGCTATTGTCACTGGTTAGTAACCTGTTTTATAAATAGTTTGTTATTGTTTACTATTTTGGGGGAAAAAAAATAGTAAATAGTAAACAATAAACAATAAACAACAAAAAATAAAAAATAAACAGCCGTAGAAAAGTAGTCCGTATAACCACAGTCTTATATGATCTTAGCATAGACCTGTCAACTTAGGGCTCGGTCACTAACTTAGTGAAGTTTGTTTGTTATATACAAAACAGTTCCACAATTCCTTTACCACCAGTAGTCCACAAATCACTTCGGTTGTCGTCCTAATTATCTATACAAATCATAATCACCTTGTATACCTTCAACCTCATTCTTTTTTTTTTTCCACCTCATCCCAACGGTGTGTCTAGTAATTGTCGAACCATTGTATATATAACCACTATATAATAATTATTGTAAAATAAAAGGGGTGTCTTTCTGTACAATAAGGGTGTTTCAACTATTTTTATTCAAATCTCCACCACCAATCCCATTGAATTTTTCGCAAAAAAAAAAATAGTCTTACACCACCAAGGTGGAAAAAAAAAAAATCTCATTTATATAATGTATGTATGACTGTCAACATCCATTTCGTTAACCAAACCATGATCAATATTTAAGAATCGCCTTAATGGTTTTCCCTTGTTGGATCTCTCCTAACGCAACCATATAATCTTCAAATGGATAAACTTTTTCAATCTTGTCTACTGGTAATTCACCTTCCAAATACCACTTAATCATCTTTGGCACAAACTCTTGGGGAACAGCATTACCTTCCAAACATGAGATAAGCGTCTTACCCCCAAGTAAGAACGGCAAAACTGGAATATTGACAACATCAGTGAGAGCAGAAACCCCTAAGTAAATCACTTTCCCCAAATTACCACAATTGTTAACGGCAGCTTCGATGAATTTGCCACCTCCAATACATTCAAAAGAAAGATCGGCCCCTCCAGCGGTAAGTTCAAAGATCTTATCATGCACTTCTTGATCGTTGGCCCCATTGATAGTGTGGGTGGCCCCCAAAGTCTTTGCCAACTCCAATTTCGAGTCTACAAGATCAACCGCAATAATTGGTGAACATCCCGCCATCTTCGCAGCCATCATCACCGCAAAACCCACCCCTCCCATCCCATAAACCACCACACTTTGACCCTTTTCTGCTTTAGCGGCATTGATCACTGCACCCACCCCGGTTTGAATCCCACACCCAAATGGTGCCAACTCAATCATTTGTTGTTCTGTCAAGTCAAATTCTTTAACATTTACAACACAACTTTCATTAACCACGGTGATATTAGAAAACGACGATTGGCCAAAGAATTTCCCTTCGGCACGTTCGCCAGCTTCGGTCATAAAAGTGGTGTCATCATCAGTGCCAAAAAGATTCTGGGTGCTCATCGAAGTACAATATGAGTTTCTGTCAGTTTTACAGAATTTACAATCCCCGCAACAACTGTATGAAAGCACCACCGGATCACCGATCTTGGCCACACTAACCGCTTCACCCACCGCTTTCACGTAACCGGACCCTTCATGGCCCATGATTTTAGGGATCGGGGTCTGCATCCCAAACGCCATATCGGTATGACAAATCCCCACAGATTTCAATTCCACAAGCACTTCATGGGGTTTCAAGCTGGTTCTGACTTGGACGGTTTCTAATTTCCAATTAAGAGACTTCCCATCCGGAGAATTATAGGCAACAATAGCCTTAGAGTCGGCAGAAGGAGTTATCATTATTGCGGGTAATTGGTATGATTGATGAGGCCAGTAATTAAACAAATAAAGATCCACTTATCTTTCCCTAAAACAATATGATGTAAATTGAGGATACTATATTATAGTATTTATTAGTGGTAATAGAACGAGAAAAAGAAAAGGAGAAAAAAAAAAAAAAAAGGAGGGAAAAAAAAATTAGGGGCTGCGTGGAAGATCCGATTTTCGATGCGGATTCTGCAGTACTCAATAGGCCATTTGAGTACCCGAGAAGCCAGGGGGCTGATATCTAACCACTTTCTACTTGGAGTGAGAGTATAGAACGATGAATATCATTTGTGGGATAATTGTAAAGATGTCTCAGAGAGTACATGTATCAAGGTTTTTTTCTGGTGATATGTGGGCAAGGTTGGTGTGCCGGACTTTTTCCGACCCGAGTCAAAAAAGTTCGACGATTTTCGGAAGTTGCGATGGCCAGAGACGTATATGATACTGTCACAATTTGTCTGACAGGAATATCTCAAATGAGGTCAAGATTTCACAATAGGACAAACATTCAATGTTATGTGACACTGTAGAATGTCCTGATCAATTATGTTGTTACCTACCCAAATCAGCCATCTTCAAGCTCTGTTTTTCGATGGTAGCAGTAGATAAATAAAAAGGTATAATGGATATTTTCCAATACTCCGAATTACCCATTTAGGAAATATAATGAGCTGAAATGGTGAACAACATTACGTAAATCTACTGTCAACTCTTCAAGCCTTATCCTACGGTTTTCTGTTTTCTGTTTTCTTAAAATCTAAACAAATTTGTCGTTTACAATAGCGTAAATCGAAATCTACTAATTGAAAACTTTTTTTGGAGTGTGCATAGATGAAACAAATTGCTAGGTATCATTTAATATATAATAATTTTTCTCCTTTCATTGAAATCTTACCTTTCTCTATTGCCCGCCGCTGTGGCTAATCATTGGCGTCATGTTCAACACCTGTCGCGTATATCTTTTAGGCCTCTAAGTCTGCGTCGACCAAAAATGTATTAAGATGAATAGTTGATAGCAATGTTGTCTATTGCTCAAGTATGGTACCAGTGATGTTCAACCACTACGTAATGTATCCATATGGTTATATCGGAATCACATATAAGCTCTATTTTTCAGCAAAACTTATTATATTACTATAAATAACTGCTATCTATATAAGAGAAACCGATGTATGTGCTGGCTGTGCCAGAACTATGCGGTTGTTGAGCAACGACCCGGAGAGCACTTATTTTCTAACAAATACATATCATTTTGATATTTCAAAGCTAACTTGACTCCTCTGCTACTAAATAATGCAAATTATTCCCTCAATAGACCAATATGATGTGAATTATTTGGAATAGAGGTTATGAGCCCGTGATTAAACTAGAAATTAATGTTGCCTATCTACGTGTAAAACTATTACCTTTCATAATGGCACGGTGGCCGAGTGGTTAAGGCGAAAGATTAGAAATCTTTTGGGCTCTGCCCGCGCAGGTTCGAGTCCTGCCCGTGTCGTCATATCTTTTTTTGCTTTTAGGTTGAACAACTTTTTTTCTTTTTTTTCAGCCCATCCTTATCTAATTTTTCTTGGACATTTGATTTTTCAATCTTAAAATCTCACGATTAATTCAAAACGTTTTACTTTTTAATTCATTATGTTTTTACAAAGAGTTTTTAAAAAAAAAGAAAAAAGTTTTATCGTATTATTGAGTTATGTATTATGCAAATAAATAATTTAAGCCAATGGGACACCAGCATAAAGTTTTTGTTCTTCGGAGAACTTAGGGGCTTCTTGTCCGTGGAACCCATAAGTGTTATAACCATCATCACGTTGGACATAGAAAGTGTCTCTATCGTAATAAACAGCATCCCAACCGTTTCTCAAACGTTCAACGATATCAGGGTTAGAAATAGCTGGTCTACCAATACCGATCAAGGTACGGTCGTTGTTATTGACGTCTTTAAGCAAAGCAGTGAATTGTTTATCGAAACTGTAGTAGGTACCAGAACGTAAGACCACCCCTTTGAAAAGATCAAAGATCCATTCGTTGTCACCAATGACCTTATCTTTTTCGATGGACAACACCCCACTGACACGAGGTTCGACAATACTGAGGTAAGCCAAACCGTATTTTTGTCTTCTTTGTTCCAATTGTTCGACAATGTACCCGAACTCTTGCTTAGTTTTTTCAATACCACGGGTGTTACCTTCCATACCACCAAAGAAGGCCCATGGGGAGATTCTCACGGCGACCTTAGAACCATCACCCCCGAGTCTGGCAACGATAGAATCCAAAACTTCAAAGAAGAAACGGGAACGGTTTTCTATCAGTTGAGGGCCGTATTCATCGGTACGTTTATTGGAAGTTTCTTGGAAGAATTGGTCAAAGATATAACCGTGGGCACCGTGAATTTCGACGAAATCAAACCCAGCCCCTTCGATGGCGTTTTGCGCGGCATTTGGATAAACGTTTTCCACGTAGTTCTTGATTTCTTCCTTGGTGAGTGGGGTCAATGGGTTACCGATTTCCTTGGCTTTCTTTTCGGTTTCTTCGTCAATGTAAACGTCAGATGCACTCTTGTAAGCAATACCGACTTCTTTAAGTAAAACTGGGTCAGCTTGACGTCCCAAGTTCCACAATTGACAGGAGATGAAACTTTTGTTGGCGTGGACCTTGTCATTGATTTGTTTCCAAGCCTTAACTTGACGATCACTCCAGATCCCTGGAGCATGGCCCCAACCAACAGCTTCTGGACAGACAAAGGTACCTTCAGCAACAATAAGTGATCCTGGGGTTTTAGTACGGTCATCGTAATATTTGGCCATCAAATCGGTTGGGACATGGTCTTTGGTGGCTCTGGCTCTGGTCAATGGAGGAATGGCAATTCTGTGAGAGAGCTCGACGTTTTTGTTAAGCCTGATTGGCTTGAAAAGGTTAGATTGGGCGACTTGTTCAGTAGACATTTTTTATGACGTTATTATTGTTTATTTGAAAAATAAGATTTAATAAATAGCCGTTATCAATGACAGACTCGGAGGATGCACTTTATATATCAACATTTCTTTTTTTTTTGAATTATTAATCAACTATGTTTAGCAATGAGGTGTGCATAGTTATGTTTAGCAATGAGGTGTGCATAGTTATGTTTAGCAATTAGGTGTGCATAGGATTAGAAACCTAAGAGCATATAAATGTGTGTTGGCAGGTAGTTAACAATCAAAGATGTGCATTGCTTACTAATTGGAAAAAAAAAAAAATATATAAATTCTAACAGCAAAAAAAAAAAAAAAAAAAAAAAAAAAAGATATAAGGACGTCATCAAGAGCTTGGTTATCATCATCACCAGAATGTTATTGAAAAGATTGGAGGCAATGGGAAACTTGCCTAATATTTTCAGTCATAATGACAATACTACAAATTTATTCTGATGATATTATACAATTATTCAGAAGATAATCAAGAATAATGTATCATCTATGGGCGGTGTCCGCAAGAAAAAAAAAGAAAAAAAGGTAAATAAAAAGCAATGCAAAAACTCCGCAAAATTTTCCGGGACTCCTTCTCCGGATTATTTTCCACGTCTCCGCTGGCAATTCAAAGATCCATGCATGCGTTTGGACAACGATTCTCATTTTCTTTACAAAACCATCCCATCACCAATTGTAAGTTTTTTGTGATCTTTCCATTTTGGCACCAAGAACTGGCCATAACAGAAAAAACGATCAACGCAAGCTCCATGGTCATTTCAATTGTAATAGATTTCAATGAGACTTGTTGGGAGAGCTTGTCAAAACTGCCCACGATGAATATACTTTTATAAATTCTTTTATAGTTAGGGATGTATAGTTTCGGTGTATGTGGTATATTTTGCACAGGTAGTTGGTCCCAATCTTTCAAAAGTTCTGAAATTTACAGCATGTATTGCAGAATAACTACTACGGAGCTCTATTCCATTTCTGAATGAATTCTTTAGAGAATGGATTATTAGTTTTACTAAATTTGTATTTGTAGATAAATTTCCCATATATACTTCTTACTCATAAAAAAAAAACTCGAACAAGATTATAAGATCCTTCAATAGTATCTCCAAACTTCCATGATTAGTGGAAATCTCTTCAATAACTTGTCATGACATACCATGACAGTGTTTTTTTAGAATAGAATCACGACTCATTGACAAATAACGCCTGTGTTTAGTTATCATCAACGCTCTGAACTTTACTTTCTATTTGAATATTATTATTTTTAGATTCTATTGAACCTAGATATATTAAAGGGCGCTCCCTATCATTTGTCATTAAATTCAGACTTTATTAGTTAAAAAGATAGAACGAACTTAACTAGATCTGAACCTCAGCTCATTTCTAAGAAGCAGACCAAATAATAAATAAACTAATTGACTAGTCTTAACAATCAACCAACTTTGTAATAGACATTTCATCTAATCCTTCCACCACAGCATCTAATGATGCTTATGAATTAGTCATTTTAAATCATTATCCACAGAAGGTTACTCGTATTATTTTTATGACTATACTTCATATAGGTGGTATTGTTGTTATTCATTTTTTATTCTTTATCACTCCTATAATCATTTAGTTCTCACGGGTGTGGTGTTTCCCATTGGTTTAGTATATAAACCAAAATCCCTAATTATTCATCTTTCAATATTTTAAATATAAACTATCGATAATTTCACAGTACGGCTAAGACTGTGTGAGCTTCTTCAAGAAGTTTTATTTATATATTTGATTGTGTGGCCTGTTATAGAAAAATTATATAGCAGAAAACATAAAAATAGATATAAAAAAAGGGGAACGTTTTTGCAAAAAAAGGGCCGAGCAGGGAATTGAACCCTGGACCTCTCGCACACTTGTGTATTTTTTGATTCTTGAGTGTTGCTCAAGATCGCTACCCAAAGCGAGAATCATACCACTAGACCACGCGGCCACTTATGATTGCAATATAATGGGGGTGATATAACCCCTTTGCGATAAGCCTCATGAAAAAAATGTATATGGATTAAGACCGAAATTTCACAAAGTATCAAGGCACGGTGGCCGAGTGGTTAAGGCGAAAGATTAGAAATCTTTTGGGCTCTGCCCGCGCAGGTTCGAGTCCTGCCCGTGTCGTCATTCGTTTTTTATCATGATTGAACAATCTTTTTTTTATCAGCTCATCCCATCCTTGTTTGATTTTTTTTTTTTAAATGGTTGTATATTTCTTCAATAGTCGAGTCAAAGTATCGACGACAAGATTTATTTTTCTCGCGTTTTCAGTTTTTCTTGACAATGAATGAATATTTTACTACTATTTACCAAAAAAAAAAAAAAAAATGTAATAACTACATGCAAATTACGAAGCTCAAAAGAATTGGAAACTTGAATGTCAAATTATGATGTACTTCCCACAAGCGTAAAGAAAAAAAAAAGAAAAAAAAGAAAAAATGAACCTCCAAAGAAAACAAGGGACAAAACCAAGGTTCCTCATTTTCATTTTATTGTCCCACATACGTAGTCCATCATCCTCTCAGAAATAATAATAATAATAATAGTGATTTCAAACATGGCGAGTATTACACTATGAATAGTCTCTCAATTTGCCAATCATATGAGTGTTTGTAATTCTTCCCTTTCTTGGTTTCTTTTGTCTCTTTTTCAATCTAGCGTTGTTACCTCTTTTCAAAGAACTTGGGTCGACACTAGTAGGTTTGATACCTCTTTCATTTAATTTCAAAGGTAATTCATTGACAGAAGGTAGTTTTACCTTATTCCACATCTGCACGAATTCAGTATCAATGGCTCTCAATGCCAACTCACGATAATTTATCCATACGTATTTCGGGGTGTTATCCTTTTTAGCTCGAAGCACCAAAATTTTATTTTTCTTTTCTAAATCATTCAACGCAGCATTACAATTTGGCCAGCCATCTTTCAATTCTTTCACTGTAATACCTTTAAAAATCACTTGAGAATTTAAAAACTCCAATAATGCTGAAGGTGATTTGATATTATGAGTGGAGACGTACTCTAAAGTATGTTTATCAGCATTATATTTGATCCGATCGGTGTTTTGAAGGGCCATTAATAGTTTGGAGATATCATTGGTCTTGAGTTCTTTCTTCAAAGCCTCCAAAGTGATTGGCTTTCCCGCCCCTTTAACCACTTCTACTGCTAAATGTAGATTGGTGGACAAATGCAGACTAGATAAATCATATTGTGCTGCAAAATTCTCTGCCTCAATTCTTTTTTCAAGTTCTAACCTAGCACGCTTTAACGGAGAGATTGTGGACTTCGAGGGCGACGTGCCGGTTTCTTCTTTTATTAGCTCATTGGTACGTTTATGACTTGCTGTGCTTGTATTGAGCGATGAGGACGATGAGTTATCGGGTTCTGGCTTTTTACTCACAGTGGTACCGCTAGACTTAAGACGCTTTCGAAAATCAGAGATGGAAGCAGAAAGGTCACTCATGACTGAATGAATTTACCCACTTTTTATGAGAGAGTTATATAATGATGATAAGAGATCGAGCTAATAAGAAACTATTAATTAAATAAGGAAACGCATTTTTCATATCGATGGCAAAAAAAAAGTGCCAATTAAAAAAAAAAAAACTCTCAGTTTTTTATGCATTTTTATGCATGAGTCACGCGTATAGATCCAGCCACATGGCGCGGTTTCAGATGACTCGTTGACGTACCATGGTCGAGGAGGCATTGGGTTTGGGCCCCTTGAAGGGCTTCATATATTTATATATAAGATTGGGCACATTTCCAATGGCTTCTTTTTGTTTCAAAGATGGGCCCTGGGGCTTTTTTCTTCTCAATAATTTTTTTCTCTCATTATTTTGACCGCTCAACTGAATTCAATATTAATATTGAAAACCATAAAACATGAAATCATTCAACTTCATATCTATCTTTTTATTACTCCTTTCTTCGTTAGTGAAAGCATACTCCAGTCCACCTGCTTGTGTTTTGGCATGCGTTTCACAACAGGTTAGAAATAGTGGCCAATATACTTTTAACCAACAAGCTTCAATCTGTTCAAATTTGGGTAATGCAATCATTAGTTGTTTTTCCAGCACTTGCCCAAATAATGGGGCCTCTGCAGCTACTTCTTACTTCAAATCATTGTGTGGTAACAATTTAGGTGGAAATTCCACTAACTCCTCATCATCAATTTCCTCTACATCAACCACTTCATCAGCCACTTCATCCACAATGATCTCATCAAAATATTCATCTACTGTGATGATTTATGGGAACGAAACCTCAAATGAATATTCTAAGACCACCCTTTCAAACGAAAATACCAGCGCTGCCACAAGCACCGGTAGTTTTGAAGTTCAAACAACAAAGGCAACCGAGGATGTTTCTTCCTCTCAATATGATACTGCTACAACTTCAAAATATGAAACAACTTCTAGTATTCATACTAATATTGCCATGCAATTAGGCGAGGCGTCGTTGGTGACTCTAATTTTGGGATTCTTTTTTTCATTGCTCTAAATCTGTCGAAAATAATGAAAGGATATTCTATATTTATACAACACCCTATTTAATCAAGATAGTCCAATATACAATGATAGACAAATTATCTGGGAAGCTTTGTAAGATCAAAAAAAAAAGTGGTACTTCACCTAGATTTGCGCATGTTGAAATCGATGCTTATGCGCACCACAGCAGAGCACCGATTTTTAGTGATTTTTTTGGTGAATTTTTAAAATATTTGATAAATGTCAAAATCTCTATCGAGGCCATCAAGTATGAATGTAACCAATATGATACTGAGAAGATGCTTTTCTACCACTATGCAACCGGGCTTACTCAAAGCACTCGGCAGCACTCTTAAAAATACTAGTCCAAAAAACTTTGAAAAGAAAGAAGTCATTAAGCCAGTGGGGCAAGCACAAAAGCCAAGCTCGACCGATGGAATTGACACAAGATCATTCAAACAAAGAAGAACTGATTGGATGAATAACGATAACAGATTAAAGAGAAAAGAAAATTTGGAGAAAGAGTTTGCCACCAGCGGGATGTACGATATGTTTATCTTTAGAAAAACTGGAGGCAAAGTGTTCATTTCACCAAGATCATATTTCAAGAAAGAAAAATCATTATACTTCCCCAATTTTATTGCAGACGAGAACTTAGAGAAGGGCAAAAATATATCGACGTATGATGTGTTCACCAATTCTGGGGCTAATGATAAGTTTAGTATTGTGAGGATTTTCACTACTGCCATTGGGCAGAACTTCACCAAGAAATATTTCGATATCAATAAATTTAGTGACTTATCATTGAAAAACAAGGAAGCCTCTGATGGCGCTAAAAACTATTTACAGTCTAATGAAACGTTCCAACAACTTAAAACCAATTACCCGAATCTCCAGATTGTTAATGTCACCCTTTATGACAATTTTTTCAAGAAATGGATTTTCAAAACTTTTGCGAGTAAGGCCATTAAAAAGAATGTCAGTGATCCCGAATACTTGAAGAATTTCCTTATTTTGAACAAGAAGTATATCGATGTCCCAACCAAGGAGAGTATCAACTATTTGAATGGGATTACTGGTTACATTTACATTATCGACAATGAAGGTAAGATCAGATGGTTGAGTTGCGGGGATCCAGAGGAAAGCGACATCCAAACGTTGTGGAAGACGGTGCAAGGTCTTCAATTAGAGGTTGGGAAGAAGACCTCCACCAAGATATTCTGAAGGTGCTAGCAGTTTGTGTAAATAGAATAGAATAGAATAGAATAGAATAATAATAATAATAGTAATAATGATGAATAAATGACGGAGATATATAGAGTGTACCGCTCCACCAGGGCCGCGCAACCAAATTGCAGCTGGAGAACCGCATTTTTTTATAGGGTGATTTTGGAGATTCCCCTCAAGCGACTTTTTTTTTTACTTTTTTTTTTGATGATTTTTTTTTTTCCCATGACACAAAAGTACCCACAAATCTCACAGCTTTTGTAAGTCAACTAAACAGGGGAAAGAGTACCACACACACAAACAAAATATATATAAACAATATTCATTTGGAAATATATCCCCCCAGCGAAAATTGGGCCTGTTCCATAGCAAAACTTCTCCATTTGAGACAGACCAAAACAAAACAAAACAAAACAAAACAAAACAAAACAAAACAGAAAGACCCAAACAAAACAAAAAACAATAACAATAGTGATACCGATTATTACAAAAAATCCTTGGGAAACCCTAGAAAAACGAAAAGGAAGTTAATAGCTAGACAATGGCCGATCTATCTGCGACCTCAACATCATTGAGGCCTTCTTCCTTGGATGCCTACCTTAAATCAAATTCTTCAAGAGAAAGCCATCACACATATTCCAAATTATATGGACGGTATACCAGAGAAGAGGAAGAACAAGATAATGATGATAGATCTGATATCGAATTTGATGATGAAGATGATCTTGTTGATGTGACACCGGTAGTTACAAGGACCAAATATAATTCGGGAGCAAGAATGTCCACGGCAGACTACAGTTTTGACGATAGCTTTAACGATGATGATTCCCATATTGATGATACCAACGATACAATTGATGAATATGCAGAATTCAACGACCCTATTCTTTCTATCATATCCAGTGATGATATTTCTCCCGAATCTTTAGCTGTTGTGTTGAGAACTTTACCATTATCAGATAAACCACTAGTGAAGTATATAAATAAGGCTTTCAAAGTACTCCAAGATTTAAATAACTTGATCTCAATGATAACCACCGGATGGGAATTCATTGCATTAGAAAAAGATATTCAGCGAGCTATTAGACCGGATTTCAATGCTCAAAATACACCCAAAAAGAAGAAAAAAAACAAAAAGACTAGAGAAAATAAACATAAGAAGCACAATTCAAAGTCTTTATTTTCAAGTCCTATTGATCTTTTGGCCGGTATGGAGATTGACGGGGAAGAAGAAGAAGAAGAAGAAGAAAATGGATATGGACACTCAAAAATATTTGATACTCATGTGGCAAAGACGGTTCTCAATAAGGCCTTGGAGTTCCACCAAAGTCTTTATGAACTAAATGCCATTATTCTAGACATCAATAGGGTTTTGTCAAATTTCAGTCCTTTACAATATGTCAGTGATGCAGGTGTACTTCTCACCAATATTTCCCTTAAAATCATTGAGTTGAAGAACCAACTCAGCGAAAAAATCAATGTTTCTTATTCCCAATCGAAATTGATTATTATGGGATCTGATTTGGAGGAACTTCTTCAAGACTTTAATATGGATAATGCTGACGGAAATGATGCTGCTAGTAGTATTATAGACGCCGACCATCCTATTATTTCAAACGATTTGGCAGCGACCATCGAAGGGTATAAAGATTTCGTTATTACAATTTTGAACCAATTACACGACGCCCAAGAAACCGAAATTCCAGATGAAATCAATGAATGTTTGGCAGTAATTGGTGATTTAGAAAAGATGTTTGATGCCTTGATGAAGCAAGTCTATGAACCAGAATATAAAGCATCCTTTGCTAACACCACAACTGCGGATGATGATGATGATGATAGCTCTATAGGAATGGAGTCTGATGATCTGTTTGAGCATATTCCAAGAACTGAACATGCCACTCATACTCGCCAGAATTCTAAAAACTCTCCTTTCGGAGACCACACCTCGACTCCAAATGATAGCCGTCGTCAACCGCAACCTGCATCTGTCAGATCAGACTTCTCAAGTCCTGCAAACAGCTCTAATTTTGATAATGATACCTTATACGAGTCTGATCAAGATCTTCACAACATTTCTAATAACGCTAGAAAATTGAAGAGTCAAGTAATGAATAGCAATTACAAAACGCATTCCCGAGAACCTTCTACTTTATCTTCATCTGCAACTCTCGGCATGATGAGTAGATCGACTTCAAATAACAATTTCCGTCACAATATCAACAACGCCCAGGGAAGAACCACTTTAACGGAAGAAATGCCATTCTTGTTACAAGCTTTTGATAATGCCAAGGAAGCAGAACTTGAATTGAAATCGCATATGTCTAACAAGAAGGCTCACAAAGCTTTAAATACTTCACCAACAACCACTGATTTAAAGAAATCGAGTCCTCCTAGAGAAACAAATGAAGAAAATGAACTTAATGAAGACCAATATTTTAACCAATATGATCATCCAAGCATGATTGCCTCAATCAATTTGCCTCAACGTGGTTTAGGCTTTGCTGGAGGTGAAAGTTCAACTTCTAGTATCGCAAATAATTTGTATACTGGCTCAGCTTTCATTAAAAGACCAGTATTGTTCAAAACCACCAATCCTATCAACGCTTCAAATCCATTAGTTATTAAAGAAGATATTCCCGAACCACTGGTTTCTCCAGACACACCTTCTTTAGCTTCCTCAATATTTGGTTCGTGGTTTAAGCCGACCGGCAGTGAACCTTCTCCTAGTTCGGCAATGTCGCAATCTCTCCCGACATTACCATCTAATCCTGCTCGTCCAGCATTACCTGCGCCTGTGCCAACCCAGTTTAAGCAGCACAATTCCATTTCTACCTCTTCTTTATTGATGAGACAAGGTTCATCTCCGCAAGTTCCTCAAGAAATCGCTGGACCATTAGAATTGACCATCGAAGACGATATTGATTGAAGGGATGTCTGATATGCTTTTCATATAAAATTTGGCGATGTTTCAGAAATGCTGTGTGATACTATTCTTTGCTTTTTCTTGATTTTTTGTCTCTTTTCTTTTTTAGTTCGGTGATCTGTCATTTGCGTATTTTCAGCATTTTGTATTTATACTTTTATTTCTTATTTCTTACATTTTTTTTTATATTTTGAACTTCTTTTTTTGCGAAGCATATTCATTTTTCCATTCTCTTGTACAAAAATTACACCACATGCATTAATCTTTCTTTTTGTGAAGTTGCAAGAAATTTAAACCAACGTAGAACTTATATTAAACAAAATTATAACCTTTTTCGAAAAAAAAATAAAATAAAACAAGAGAAGAAATAATAACCATAAATGACGACGGAAGCAAATCAGAAAACTGTTTACTTCTTAGAATCACTTTCAACCTTCTGCTCACTGGATTGTCTTTCCAACTGTCTTGATCTATCAAACCAAAGATTTGGATGGACAATATTACTACCTTCAAACTTGAATTTACTATTATCTAATTCATCCTTGTGCAAGATCTCGAAAACTCTAGTGATGGCAATGATATAATTGCCTTTTGCACAATCATCCAAGATGACTGTTAAGTCATATTGGTCTGTAATTCCTGCTTCCTTTAATTCATTGACTAAGGCCTCTGGTTTCAAATCACGGAAAATCAGGCCGTGGTACTCATTTCTCCCAGGCTTTGGTTTGGCCAAAATGGTAGCGTAGTCCCATGGTTTATAATTAATTCTAGAACCTTCTAAACCATAACAATGACGAATATTATACTTATATTCTTTGTAGAACTTCTCTTGTGTTAGTTTGCCATTCATGGTAAACCATTTACAGAAAAACTTGACACTTTCATCAACACTCAACCCGATACCTTTTAAAAATAAAGTTAATTGAGTACGACCCAAGTACTTCAAATGATTTTCTCGCATCACGGCCTTCATCAAGTATTTCATTTCGAGTGGGAAATGTTTCATTATAGGTTCTGTGGTGATAGATTCAGCATTGATGTCCCCGGACTCACCACCTCTCAGAGCATATTCTGGCTGGTATTCAATGGAGGTGTAATTCGAGGATAAATGGTTCAAGATTGGCAAAAGTCTGTCATCTTCATCAAGCCGTGGATAAATATAGGCGGTTCTTACCAATGCTGATGATAATTTTTTAGAAAATTCGTTGACCAACAAACCCATCGATTGCGACGCCATAATGTAGGCGTACCCGTTTCTTAAAAAAACAGATCTATTAGATACGGACTCCATCACCGAATCAAACTCCACTTTGATGAAATGCTCTTTAGCAAACTGTTGCTTGATGAGTTGATTGTTGACCTGTATACCCGAATTAGAATCGATATTGGATTTCAAATGGAACAAGATATTCGCGTAGTTGCTATCGTATAGCTGGTCCAGAAATTCCTGTTTTTCCCGGTCGTTAACTGGGTCGAAATCGATATTTAACGTCTTGAGGAATTCTGCCTGTTCCAGATTGGTTAGGAGAGATATGTATCGGATTTTGAAGAGGGCAATTTCTGCCTTGACGAATCTGTCTCTTAGTTCTTGGCTTCTGGAAAATGCTAATCGTAAAATGAAATGTGAGTAGTGATCTTTGATTCTTTCACTCACAACTTGATCCTCGTTTTTACCATTGAAGGCCGATAATGGTAGATGTTTGGCCAATAGCGGTTTCAATTCTCCAATCATCTCCTTCATGGTCTTATTCCGTGCCAAACAACTTTCAATTTCGATCAACACTTTCGAACGATCAATTGCCCATTGTTCGAAATCCTCAAGAGTGATCTCACTGATTGGGGGACTTTCATAGAATGATAATCTTGTATTATATAGCGACGATAGCGATTCTTTTTCCAAGTAGAAAGATTTCAATGGATTGGCCTCGAAATTCTTTCTACCAGTTGTGGTTCTGATTCTTTTAGTTTTATTAAACATTGAGATTTTTCTCTTTTCAAGGTATCAATGACGGATATAATCAATAATTATTGGTGGTAAATCTGTTGAAGAGAGTTTCGCGTTTTATTCAGAGATCAAAAAAAATCATTGAGCTGACGCGTCGAGTTTGTGCCATGACGTTGGAACGCGAAAATTCACGCGCGCTAAAATGAGAGAAAAAAAAAGAGGTGGAAGCAAGTGAAGCAGAAAGGTCTTCTCCAACAACAATTGTCCAGCTATCATTTTTGCTTTGAGGAAAATAGGAGTGTGAGAAGTTAGGACAGATAATAGACAACAATGCCTACTGATATCGCTCTGTTTTTTGGAAAGAAGAGTGGCAAACCGAAGACAAAAAGGGTGGCTGAATCCTCGGCTGCTGGGTCAACCGTCAAGAAACAAAAGAAGAATACAAAACCAAAAGATGTTGAGGAATTCACCGATGATTCCGATATTATAGAGATCGACGAGCCAGTCGTAAACAAAAGACCACAGAAGAGCACTACAAGATCTAGGGCAGCAAAGATTGTGGAAGATGATGAAGACGATTTGGAAGTCATTGATTTGGATGATGAACCTAAAAAGCCAGTGAAAAAGCCAGCAGCTAAGAAGGCCCCTAATAAAAAAGCAGCTCCTGTAAAAAAAGAAGCACCAGCTCCTAAATCTTTAGCAAGCTCTTCTAAAAAGAGCTTCACAGCAGAAGATGCCCTTGCTATGATTCCAGATTGCGAATTACCAGAAGCCCAGGCTGGTGAAAAAGTTAACTTTTGGGCAAAGCAATCAGAACTAAAGACACATGCCACCGATGAAAACTTTACAAAACCTCGAGGAGCCCCTGATTGTTTGGCAGGGTTGACTATCGTATTCACTGGTCTTTTACCTCATCTTAGCCGTGACGACTGTGAGTATTTGGCCAAGCAATATGGTGCCAAAGTCACGAAATCAATCAGTGGGAAAACCAGTGTTGTAGTGTTAGGTGAAGATGCTGGTCCTTCAAAAGTTGCCAAAATCAAGGCATTGAAATGTCGACATATCGATGAAGCTGGGTTTTGCCAATTGATCGAAGCAGCTCCAAAAGAAGGTGGTGAAGGAAATGAAGCTGCGCAAAAGGTTCTTGAGAAACGGAAAGAAGAAGAAGCTAAAGCAAAAGCTGACGCAGAGCAGGAAGTTAGGGAATCAGAAATGAGAGAAAAGGCTAAACGTGACAAATTGTTAAAAATTCAAAAGCTTAGAGAAAGTGATCCGCGTGCATCGACGGATACTTATGTCAAATCGATTGATCGCCCTGATGAAGAAAAGTTATGGACTGTCAAATATGCCCCAACCAAAATGTCACAGATTTGCGGTAATAAAGGTCAAGTTGAAAAACTAAAGAAATGGCTAACAAATTGGAACTCCTTAAAGAGCAAAGGTTTCAAATATTATGGTGATTCTTTCCCAGCATCATTAATTAGTGGACCACCAGGGATTGGTAAGACTACTTCTGCTCATATTATTGCTAAAGAGATGGGTTATGACATCATTGAAAAGAATGCTTCTGATGTTAGAAGTAAAAACTTATTGAATCAAACAATTAAAGATGTTTTGGACAATGAAGGGGTAATGGGATTTTTTTCCAAGAAGGAAAAGACTACAAGCAAGCTTATATTGATTATGGATGAAGTTGATGGTATGTCCTCTGGTGATTTTGGTGGTGTTGGAGCGTTGGCCAGTTTCTGTCGTAAGACTTCCATCCCAATTATTTTGATTTGTAATGATAAATCTTTGCAGAAAATGAGACCTTTTGACAGAGTGACTTATGACCTTCAGTTTAGAAGACCGGAAACTAAAGCCATTAAATCAAGAATAATGACGATTTGCTTGCGTGAGAAAATTAAAGTTCCACCAGAAATTATCGACAGATTGGTTGAATATACCAAGAATGATATCCGTCAAATCATCAATTTATTATCGACAGTGAGTAAGACTGTTCCAGAGCTTAATGATAAGAATTTTACAGAAGTCATCAAAGGGTGGGAGAAGAACGTGGCGATGAAGACCTTCGATATCACTTCAAGATACTTGTCATCTCAAATTTGGAACAATAATTCTAAGGTCTCTATTAATGAGAAGATTGAATATTACTTTGATGATTATCAATTTGCCCCGTTGATGGTTCAAGAAAATTATTTGAATGTCAACCCTCAAAAGGCTGGATCAAAGTTGGAAAGCTTGGAATTGGTGGCGAAGGCTGCTGACTCTATTTCACAGGCTGATTTGGTGGATCGTAAAATCCACTCTGCCGATCAAATGTGGTCATTGATGCCATTACATGCCGTCATGTCCGCGGTACGTCCTTCGTCGTTTGTTCATGGACAAGTGATGGGAAGAATCAATTTCACCTCATTTTTGGGAAACCTTTCCAAGGGTAATAAATATAACAGATTGCTTACTGATTTGAACTACCATACCAAGTTGAGAACTTTGACTAACAAATCAGAATTAAGAATGAATTACTTGAACTTGTTGGCCCAAAAACTTTCTGTGCCTTTGATGCAAAAAGGTGCCGAAGGAATTGAAGAAACCATTTCGATTTTGGACAATTATTACTTGACTAAAGAAGATTGGGAGTATGTCTTGGACTTTGGAGTGGGAACGAATCCTTATAAACTTGACATTGTTCAAAAGAAGATTGCTTCTACTGTCAAATCATCATTTACCAGAAAATACAACGCGTCGACCCATCCAGTTGCCATTTATGTTGTTGGTACTGCCGGGGTTGGAAGAGGTGGAGCGTCATCTGCCAAACCAGATTTGGATGAAGCGGCAGCTGAAGATGCCGAAGAGAATAACGATGAAGATGATGAAGAAGAGCAAGATATCAAAAAGGACAAACTTATTAAACAAAAGAAGGCTCCAGCAAAAAGGGCAGCCAAGAAAACCGCCACAAAGAGGGCCACGACATCAAGAAAAAAGAAATAATGGGACATATATATATATATCACTTTTAGGTTTTTTCATTTTTATTTTTATTTTATTTTCTTCTTCTCTATAATTTTGTAATTTCATGCTTTTTATGTTTATATTTGTGATCAGCGCTTCTGTAAATATTTTTCAAATCAGTATCATTTCATCATTTCATCATTTTACATTTTGAGAGAATAGAAACATTCAAAAGTCATTCGATATTATACAGGATTTTATTATACAGCTAATCATCGTCCTCTTCTTGATGAAGATGACAGATCCCTAATCTTTCTCTAATGAATAAATTATGATAATACGCCCAAACATTATAATCATCACAATTTTCCACCATTAAGGTCCTTCGTAAATCTTTCTTCTTTTTATTGCCGCAAGCAATCTTGATGGTACTTTGGACCCACGGCTTGGGTAATGGGAAATCAGAAAAATGAACGATTTTTGTTTCGTTGAGCCGTTTAAGATAATCATGTTTGATAGTATCGGTGTGACACCAATAAGGCTTTGACTCGTCACTGCTGGTCCAACTAGAACATTTCTTTAATGAGTAATTGTTGATGAATTGTAAGTCTAATGGGTCGGCCAAGTGTAAATTACGACCGTGCGGCGACAGGAAAATATCTCCGGTGATCATAAAGTATCCTCTATGGGGTAATGTTAGCCTGCGAAGGTGTGATACCGAATCAAACACGCTATTGACAATATCCATATCATAATCGGTATTGGACCTGATCGATAACCCTTCGTTGATGGCGTCTGCCAACTTTGCGGATGGGGTCACCACCATGAGGGCGGTCGACCATTTCAAATTGTAACCCCCATCTTGGATTCTGAAATAATTCAAATGTTTGCGTTCCGATGGCGCGAAATTCGGTTCGGTGGAGGGGTAATTTGATAATAAGTTTTGATAATTCTTTGCTGGATCGACAATCCAATACGCCAATGGCATGGCCACATCAAACTCATTGGGTAAAAAAAACAATTCATCGAGTTTATCGTTCAAGTAAATGTCGGAATCCATATAGACCAATTTTGAATATTTTGCAAGTTGCGGGTATTGCGCAAACTGGAACAACGCCAATTTATTGAAACTTGATTCGAAATTGGTGTCTTCGACCCTCCCAACGTGGATGGCGTCCATATTGATCAATTTGACCCCTAAACTGTCCGCAATGGTTTGGTAATTGTCTTCAAAAGCCACGAAATCACTGCGAATGTCATGATCCATGTGATCGAGGTTGTAGAATAATACCAAATCTGCTTTTGTCTTATAATCATTCTTCAATTTCTTGAATAGCATAAGCGAGGCACACAAATAATTTAGATCCGTGGCGTACGACACATACGCATATTTGTTCCAATCAACTGGGCTTCCCTGCTTAGTGATGGCCTCATGGTAATTCAGCTGGATCACTTCGGTGGTGATTGATACCAAATTGTAATTATTGTGATCCCTGTAGTTGCCACTATAATACGGATACGTGGTATAGACTGCGAAGTCGTATATCTTCACCACGATAAAGAACCCCACCAAAATCCACAAAAACTGCTTGTTTCTCGAGATATACCTCAATGCTCTGGTGGTTGACAGGAGACTCGACCGCGGCTTCTGCTGCTTCTTCTTCAAGTCGTAGAGGTACTCATCGTCTTCGTCATCCTCCACAATGATGTTACTTGGGTCAATGAGCTCGGCGTCCTTCAATATATCTTCCATATTTCTATCGACTAGCCCCGTGGTCTCGATTGCCATCGTCGCCCTCCAAACGAAGACCCCAAAGGAATATATGATTTCAAATTGCCTCCCACTATCCTCCCCCCGGAAACACACGTGACTTATGGCCGGATACCATGTTTTATGTTTTATATTATTATAATAGCATATATATTGGTAGAATTCTTTATAATAGGATCATTTCATACAATCTATTTCGTTATGATGGCTGGTATATAACGTAATTGTCACTGAAGGGTGGCACGGGCAATGAATTGAGAAAATTCACTGATAGGCGAAAAACCCTGGCTATTTTTATTTTCATTTATACATAAATCAACGCTGTTCAATTTTTCGCTTCATTTTTTTTTTTTTTTCCCTCGTTCTCTACAAATCAAATTTTGTACAAATAATCACAACAGGAGACGTGTATATTGTTTATATATACTCTTCCGAAGACATACCAATCTTTGAGATTCCATCCACAAAAGGTTAATTTGCTATCTGCCTTTTTTTTTTTTTGATTTCATTGATAAGAGATCAATAACAATCGTCGTTAGATCAATTGGAAATACAGAATAAATCATGAAGGTAACACAGTTGATCTGTTTGTTACAAGTGGTATCATTGGGATGGGCAAGCACCAAATACCCTGAAGAAGAATACGACTTGGTCCAGCCTGCTTCAAACATCGACACAAAGTCCCTTGATATCGATATCCAACCAGATACCGATGTCGCCAAATATAGTGAGAAAAAACATCCAAAGGGAAGAGCCGGTAGTGTCACCGAAATCAAACCAGCCAAGGTTGCGTCAGACGAAGGTTTGTTAGAAGATGCTCCTACTTATCTTAAAGAAGCAGACAAAAAGAAAGAAGACAGTACCAAGGTTGTCGCCGATGAAACAGCTCTTGACGTTGAACCAATAAAATCCAAAGCGGAGAAAAAACTTGAATCGGAGGAAGAAAATAAACCAGACGAGTTCCACTCATTCATCATGTCAGTATCCATGATTTGCGTTTCGGAAATAGGGGACAAGACATTTTTGATTGCCGCATTGATGGCCATGAGATCTCCTAAATTGGTGGTGTTTAGTGCTGCTGCTTCTGCCTTGGTGGTCATGACGATCTTATCTGGGATTGTTGGCCATGCTTTACCAGCCTTGATTCCTCAAAGATTGACCCAATTCCTCGCTAGTGCTCTTTTCGTTGTCTTCGGGTACAAATTGTTCAGAGAAGCCAAAGAAATGTCCAACGAAGTCGGGGTCAGTGACGAAATGGCAGAAGTCGAAGAAGAAATCGCTCTTAGTTCTATCAATGAAAAAAATGGCGATTTGGAAACCGGATCTGGTGGTTATACTAAAGCAAAGAGCAGTGGCTTCCAGGAGTACTTGTCGCAATTCAAGCAACTTCTTGGGTTTGTATTGTCGCCAACTTGGGTTCAAGTGTTTGTTTTAACTTTCTTGGGCGAATGGGGTGACAGATCCCAAATTGCGACCATCGCCTTGGCTGCCGGTAGTGATTATTGGTTTGTGATTTTGGGTGGCTGTGTAGGCCACACCATGTGTACCGGGGTTGCGGTTCTTGGTGGGATGTTTTTAGCATCAAGAATCAGTATGAAACAAGTCACTCTTGGTGGTGCTGTCACTTTCTTGCTTTTCGCTGTTTTATATTTCTACGAAGCTATGTGGGGCGAACATTAGAGAATGCTCCCCATCATCAATTACAAACACCGCCATATATATCTATAATATACCTACAATATATTTTCATTTGTACGTGTTTTGGATTAATTAATATTCTAGTTTTCTCTCCCTTTTTGTTTCTCCATGATCCGCTGATTTTTTTGACCCTAATATAGAACACTTTTTTTTTTTTACTTTTGATAGGAAACATCCATTGCTAGAGAAGCCTATTCTCACATACTAAATAGCACCATAGTTTTTATTCCTTCTTTTTTTTTTTTTTTAAGTTATAACGTTCTTGATTAATTTTTTTCTGCTTGTAATCGTTCCTTGAGCAACGTTCGTATCATTTTATTAGTCTGAAGCTCCAATTTTATTTTATAATCCTTCAAATCTTTTTCAAAATCGCTGGTCACTTTGATCTTTGTGGAAACCGCTTGTTGTTCTCCATCACTTTCCTCATCATCTTGATCTAATCGATACCTTCTAGATAAATCATTTAATATCTGGTTTTCTTGGTTCCCAGAAATCAACTCTACCGTTTCTCCGGTGTCGAGTTCCATGGCCAATACTTGTGAAGTAAAAGCGTTTACTGGAAGCTTGGTTTCTGGATCAAGGTTTCGCGAAACAATGGGTTTCTTTGGTTTATTTTCAGTAGTTGGAAGTTGTTGTTGTACGTCATCTTGGTCATTCTCATCTTTGGGGATTCCAGTTAATTCTGGGGCTTGTGCTATTATTGACGATGTTTGGTCTTCTGCTATTGGTGACGATGATGATGTCGTTTGTTTTTTTCTGTTCCTTAGCTGCTGAAGCCTATTCTTTCTCTTTAACGATTGTTCTTCAAGCGATGACATTTCCTCTGTTGTCAAGATATATATATATATATATTATTGTAATGATTTGTAAGCTAATCTAATAAAGATGATGTGATGATCTTCCTTTACTTCTGGCTGGTATTTAACTTTTTTAAATCATGAAAAAATAGGCACACGCAGTACGGCTTGCAACAACCTCTACGAAATAATCATCATAACGCTACAGGAAGAGGTCTAATGTGGTTTCCTTCCTTGTTTAGTCATTGTAATTTTTTGTTATAAATACTAACTTTTGTATTTCTCGATAATGGCAAATTGAGTGGTATTTGTATTACCAAAGAAAATCACCGACGTTCAGCTGTCGAGTATAGTATCCCTTTTGTTGGACATGCCTTCTCCAAAATCTTGTGCATTTAACAGCGATATCATATTATTAATTCGCTATATATATATATATATTTATATATAATGTTATATATTACTTTATGAAGTACCAATTCTTTCCTCAAGCACCTTTAATGCCACTTGACGACGTCTTTCGGCAATATTACTCAGACTACTTCTGCCGGCCCTTGCGGTACTTCTCCTAATGGCCCGTTCATTAGACTGAGCCACGTCTTCATCATTGAACCCATGGATCACTCCGATAGACGCCATTATTTGATAAATAGCGTTGAAAACCGGCGAGACGATCGGATGGATCACGTCAGGAAAGAAATAAGCAAATGCAAAAGTATCCGACGCGTCCCCTTGAACACGATGCACCCCAAATTGTAGATTATCAGAGATATCATTGGTGGTATCACCATTATTAGCATTAGAACTGGCGGTGGTACTGGAGGTCAATGGGATCAAGGGCTCCAAAATCATCGATTGGAAGAATCTGAGGTACGTCCAGGAGATTCCAAAACATAATAGCGAGTTCAAAGTAGGATAATAACTTTTTGTGATGAATGGCAATACTAGCAAAACAATTAAAGAAATGAACGGAACGTGCTTGACTCTAAGATGGAACGCTCCTTTGAAGAAAATCAAGTTGTGTTCCGGCAAGTGTTGTTTGAACGCCACCACATACGCCAAAATCAATGAGAAACAACCACTTGCGGATTTATTTAATATAGATTGATCAGCGGTATTTGATTTCCATAATGTGAGAAACACCGCCGTCAACAAATTCGTCAATGTTGACACGATCAATAAAAACTTGATCGTCTCTTTCGTGCCCCAGACTTTTTCAAAATACCTTATTGACACCACAGTATTGGCAACGGTAAAGAAAAACCCGAGAATTGTTGATTCCAAAAAACTGGAGATCACCAATGTCCACGGATTCTTAATCACGCTTGATGGGATCAATTGGAAAAATGGAATCGACAACCCTGCAAAATCAACCTCCTCGGTGGTGGCCGGCTTCCCCGACGATGTCAATTGAGCGTATGCTTGTGATTTATAGTAAAATACAATGATCGACAAACTGATATTGAGAGCCAACACCAACCGCGTGACCTTGGGTAAACTGAAGCGTTTAATTATTGAGTTCATCTTTTCGTTAGATGATAACTTCTTGAGGAGCAACGAAGCAACAAAGAATGTGATAAGACCCAACTTGTATAAATAAAATGAAAATACGAGAAATCGCAAGTGATAAGCAGTAGTAGCAAGGCAAGCAGGAAAGGGATTGGCAAATATGATGTATGGGGGGAATATTGTAATAAATCTTCTCCAGATCAAAAAAAAAAAAAAAAAAACAACAACCTCTTCTGTTTTTTTTTTTTTTTAAAAAAAGCGATGTTTTTGTTTTCAGCCTTGTTTTTCTGGAGGGGCTTTCAATAGAGGGCGACACACCCTGTGAGGATATAATTTTGTGTGATTGTTATTCACACCATCCATCTCTTGCAACTGAATGAATGGTATCTATCTGTTAAATTCACCATTCCACCTCCTACACAGCCAGATTGTTGCTATATAGAATAAATATTTCATTCACCTATAACGAAAAACAAACAAAAAAAGAAAAGGTATAAAATAACTCTGTCAAAAACGACATAATAACCAAAAAAATACCTTATTCACTACAAAGCTGGATGGAGTAAACAACCTAATACTGACCACCATCATTAAAACTCATGGGGTGGGAGTCTAAAAAAAAAAAAAAAAAAATATTCACAAGAATTTTAAAATCAAGCGATTTCCTATTTCATGCTTAGAAAACAAAAGCCTCCCACATTGAAGCCAATCGACAGAAAAAATGTGAAAAAAACAATAAAAAATATCCCTACTTTTCAGTTTTCACAGTAGCATTTTCCTTGACTTTCCCACTGGTGATCCAATATGGATCGATCAATTCCTTCTTTTTTGCAGCCAACAATTTGTAACTGGTTTTGATTGTACCTTCGCTAACCCCCGTGCTGTAAGAGATTCTGGTAGGATTCAAGTCAGATTCAAAGAGAGTTGCTGCCATGTAAATCACGGCAGCAGTAATGGTGATTGGACTTCTACCCCCCAAAACGCCCAATTCTTTAACTCTTCTGGCAATGTACTCTGCCGCATTAGTGACTTGGTTGTTGAGACCCAAACGTGAACAGAATCTACGAATCAAATCTTCTGCAGTAGTTTGTGTGGTTTGAATAGATTCTGGGTTAGTGCTGTTAGAACTGTGACCCTTTTCTTCAATGATCTTTTTGATCAATTTGAAAGTTTTGCCAATTTCCTTCTTTGGAACTTTAGTCAACACCCAGATTTCTTTAAAAGTTCTCGCGACATTTGCCTTTCTACAACCAATGAAGATCGCCGCTGCCATGATTGCCTCTTGCGATTTCCCTTTAAGAGGTTTTTCTTCGTATGATAACTTATACACCTCTTTCGCGGCATCTTGGACAATCTTTGGCAACGCGTAGGTCTCGCACATCTGCGAGATCTTTGAGAATGCCGCTGCCAACTGATTGTCCTTCTTGTCGACCAAACTCTTGCTCTGGGCTCTATTCAATTCTCTGCTGGCTCTAGAGTCCTTCTTGTCAAAGGAAATCAAGGTTTGCAATTGATCACCATCAAGAAGCGGGTTCAGGGCATCACCCACACGACTTGGATCACCACCATTCTGATCATCGTTAGAGAAGGTACGCCATTCTGATCTGGTATCGATGATTCGGTCGCAGATGACCAACCCACATTGCGAGCAAATCAAGTCGCCACTGGCGTACGCCTCGATCAACTGCGGTGGGTAAGTCTTGCAATCAGGACATGTTAACGTGATGTTCAAGTTTGGTCCGGTGAAAGAATCCTCTACTGCTGCTGTGGACATCTAAAGTGAGACGATCGACGATGATGATGATGATGATGATAATGGTGATGACGACAGTGAAGGTAATTATTAATTTTTGATCGTTTAATAAAACAATTTTGAAGAAAGGAGGCAGGGCAACCCTTTGCACCTAAAAAAAACAAACCCAGTGTACCACCACCGCGGAACATTCAGCCAGACAAAAAACCTTTGGAAATATCTCATTATCATTATTATCATCTTTATTATATTATATTATATTATATTATATTATATTATATTATATTATATTATATTATATTATATTATATTATATTATATCATACCACCGCATAACATATATATATATATATGAAGTCCAATAGACATTTCCAGTCCTCCAGCAACTTGGTGGCACAATCAAAACAAAAACCCCGAACTTACAAGCAGCCATGGCGGAAACTCATGTGGTTGGACCAGAACTATCCTGATAACTACGTCGATTCGTCGTTCTTGTCCCAATTGAAAAGAAACACCACGGTATCACAATACTCGTATTGGAAGCTTGTCAGTGACTTCAGCTTGATTAGTATGCACTTGTGCGATACCTCCATCGTCATAATCATCTTTTACGGGCTCTACAACCGCAATTGGTCCCCGTACATGCCCACGTTGATTTGTTCGTTGCTCACAATATTGGGGTACTTTGCCTGGGATTTTTTGGCGATTCTAAAAAACAAGGTCAGTGGTAACCTCCAAGAAAAGCTCTCGACCCTCAAATCATCGCTTTTGATCGTGTTCACTATCTTGACCTTGTCTCCCGTGCTTAGATCTTTGACGAAATCCACCTCGTCGGACTCGATTTGGGCCCTTAGCACCTGGTTGACGATTTTCAATGTCATCTGTCATAATTACGAGTTCGATATCTCTAAAGAAATCAAATACCGGGCATCAGTGCTCTCAACGAACATCTTGTTCTCGAACGTGATTGTATTATCCTCGAGACTCAGCTCCAACATGTCGGTATTTTGCTTTATTTTGGTGTCTATCCAAGTGTACGGGTTGTTCCCGGTATTCCAATATAGACTAAGAAAGAATTTGAGCCATACAATATGTTCGTGGCTTGGGATCGTGTACTTTGCCATTGTCAGTATGTTGATGTCGAGAATAATCCAGAATTATATCATTGTTTTCAGCTGGTTTTCCATCAACTTCTTTATAATCTTTTTTTGTCCCGGGTACTTTATCTTCCTACAACAGTATAAGAACGAGCTCCAAGGACCCTGGGATCCTGCTAGACCAAAATTCTAACGACTCTTTATACTTTCATATTATGTTATATTATATTATATTATAAACGATTAATGATAATATTATTGCCATACGGATATGGTACACCATATCCTGTAGTGCACGTGAAGGCGTAAAAAAAAAAAAAAGGCGGATAAATCAACAATGTATGGAACCAAACCTTTTGAACTTCAATCATTCTCTTTCCAACACCAAGGCAAATGTCCCAATTAGAGAGAATAAGAAGCTCTCCTATATACGAACCAAGAAGAAATGACCGTGAGCTACTGATCAGTGGGTCTAGCAGTATCCACGATTATGATCCTCACAACACATCCCAGATCTCCGTGAGCAAATCGACCAAAGATGACAATTATCTCGCCAGCGTCTCACAAAAACGAGCCTTTTCCCAACCGATGATCACTGGTAGTTCTCAACCAGCATCAAGGTTCAATTTCAGAAAAACTAGTGCCGACTTTGCTGGGTATGGCAGCTCGGGACCTAAAGCAGGGATTCCCAGAAGAAGCACCGCCATAGGTAGTGGGAGATACGATATTAGCCCCCAGATATCGAAGTCTAGTAGCACCAATGTTTTCAGGGATAAGAGTTATACTTTTGATGAAGGAGCAGAATTGGGGCCTGCTTTTGAAAGCTACGCGGCGGGAGATAATCTTGATGACTCGAAGCGAGGCAGTAGCGCTTCCAATAGAGATTCGTTTTATTTCCGTGATTATTCTGATTTGGGTATAGCAACCGGCTCTGCTTTGAAAAATTCCAAGAATAATAATAATAATAATAATAATAGTAATAACAATAGCAATATTAATAATGCCTACGATACAGAGTATCCTCGCCAAGTGGATAAGATTCCTTCTGTGCAGCCAACGGTGAATTACCAAGATAAGTTATGGACGCAGATTGACGTTTTGGATGACGTTAAAAAAATGTCAAATGAAGCAATTGAGAATAATTCGTTCTTCACCCCGCAATATGAAAACAATTTGAAAGACTTGAAGAAAACTCAGATGAATTTGTTGACTTCGGTTAAGAAGTTGGAGAAAAAATTGGACAGCAGCTTTGACCAAAAGAAAGTTTGGTTTGAATTCGATATTGATTTGGACAGGCTCAAAGAATTGAAGTATTTATACAACAAGGACTATTTTGAGAATGTGCAATCTAGTATTGAAGATGTGCGGAAGAAATTAGATGACGTGAGCCGGTTGATGAAGACCGAAGAAAATGAAGAATGCTCAGAAGCAATGGGTACAGAAGACAATACAAAAGATACTTTACTGAGAGAAATTATGGATAAATAAAAGAAAAAAAAAAAGGGTGTAAAAAAAATAAAATAATATTTGCATCAGTTGGGGTTATTTGGGTTTTTCATTTTTTGGTTCTTTTTATGATAATGGGTAATCGAGTTTCGTTTCTAATTTTGTAGTATACATATAGATATAATAATGCTTTCTTTTTCGGTATAATGATAGCCAGAATAACTATTATTCTTAATATGATTCTTCTTGTAGTTTATTGACCCTATAATTTTTTTGTAGCTTATTTTACCATCAAGAGGTTGTTGTTACGCGTACTTCAAAAAAAGAACAAAAAAAAAAAAAAGAACAAAAATCACCAAATTTCGTGTCAATTTGATCACAATATAAGATAAAGCCATAAGAAATCTTTCTTTTAAAAATAACTAACGGAAATCAGATAATATAATGGAAGTGGAAATTATATCGGATAGAGATATCGAAACTGTTGATGATACGGGGGGAGCTATTTCGATCGACTCTCCAAGCATGATCCAAGAAGACCAAGATAACGATTATGATGTTCTGGCGCTGGTCACCATGAACACCACAATAAATGAAGCAGAAGAACCGCTGCTGTCAGTGATCACCGAGGCTACAAAAGAAAAATATTACATATGGAAGAAAAATGCCCCTTATCTCTATGATTACCTTCAAACAAGTGCGTTGACTTGGCCATCATTGACGGTGCAATGGTTCCCAGATGTTGAAACCAACCCGGTACAGAATACTCGGACGTATCGTTTATTATCAGGGACCTTCACTTCGGGGAATGCTGAGGAAAGTTTGAAACTCTCAAGTTTGACCACTAAGAAATTGGAAAATCTCGCCTCGCTCGATAAATATGACCCCGATACCAAGGAATTCATGGCCACCGACGCTGATAGATCGATGTTTCAAAAACTCAACAACACTTTAGATATACACCATCAAGGAGAAATCAACAAGGCCCGGTATATGCCGCAAAAACCGGATCTTATCGCGACCATCAACAATACTGGGAATGTGTACGTCTTTGATAGAACCAAACACTCATCGGTGAAAACTCTCGATCAAAACCCATTCAAGCCACAGATTAGATTGAAGTATCATCAATGTGAAGGGTTTGGGATTTCTTGGAATGTGCAGAAAGAAGGACATTTATTATCGGCGGCCCTAGACGGCCATGTGGCCCTATGGGATCTATTATCATTTGACAGCAAGACTAAAGAATTATCCCCACAAAATACTTTCTCACAACTTCACGAAGGCGGGGCGAATGATGTGAAATGGCTTCCCAAACATGACTCGATTTTTGGGTCGGTTGGCGAAGATAAGGGTTTGAAAATCAGTGATATTAGAAAACCACATAATTCGGTAGTACTGGAGAATTATGGGGGCCATGATGCTGGAATCAATAGTTTAAGTTTCAATCACGACAGCCTTTTTTGCGTGGCTACTGGTGATTCGTCTGGGAATATTCTTGTATGGGATTTAAGAAATTTGAATCGTCCAGAATATACTATCAAACATGCGCATAATGGGTCGATCACCGTAGTTGATTGGAACCCGAATCAGACAAAAATTCTTGCTAGCGGTGGCCAAGATGATAATCTGGTGAAGTTGTGGGATTTGGGACAAATCGGTAATAACAAAGGAGTGGATTTGGCGAAGGATAACAACCCTGATGAGTTATTGTTCGTGCATGGTGGGCATATGTTGGGGGTTAATGATTTATCTTGGAATCCTAATGATGATTGGTTGGTGAGTTCGGTAGCCAACGATAATTCTTTACATATTTGGATGCCATCACTGACGATAACAAGGAAATCTACAGAAAAATAATCAAATTTTTAATCGGATAATGGGGGAATGTGTAAATTGTATAATATAGAATATAATATAAAAGAAGGATTATTTTTTTTTTTTTTTTTTTTGGCAATCGTATATGCAGGTTATTTATTCATTGACATCTTTATAATTTACCAGTGTAAATGAAATTTAATGCTTGATTGACATCCATTCCCATTGTTGGGACATCTTCATCAACTTTGTTGTTGATCTTGTAAGGGTGGGGCTGTTGGTTTAACCCATTATCGATTTCCTGTTGAGTGAACACACTGAAAAAATTATGGTTTTCCTTTTCCTTTTCCATGATCTCCAAACACGACTCGATGAAATCTTCCTTATCTTCATCATCATCATTATGTTTTGTCACGTCGACTCCTAATTTCGTGATGAATTCCTCGGCGTTCTCGATCCACGCAGTAACTTCCGGAGACGGTTTTTTCCGGAGTAATGTCGTCAATAGCCCTTCTTGCTGGGTCACCGGGAAGTTGTTTAACGGATACACGTTTCGACTGGCCAACGTATCGTAGTTTTGGAATATTTCTGCCGATATCGCGCTTAATTGGGTGATCACCACGTTATATTGACTATGTAACGATTCCCAGCGTGGTAGTGTTGCTCCTTGGGCGATTTCGTGCTGGAGTTTGTGTAATGATCGCGTCAAGCTGAGGAGCTTGATACGGGTGGCCTCGAGTTCGTTTATTGGTACACTCGAATAGTCATATTGTGGCGGTAGTTGTTGGGCTTGAGGGGTGATTCCTCGTGGACCAGCAGGCGGTTGAGACATTTTGGAGTTAGGCTAAATGGTTCAAAAGAAAAAAGAAAAAATAATAATGATATGGATAGCAAGTAGGTTGGAAATTGTAATGTTGATAGTTGGCTTGAATGTTTAAATATATGGATATACTAATCAATTGGTTAAGACTAAGTGTGTCTCCAAACAGGTTGTCTCACTGTGTGTCTTTTTTCACTTCAAATATTTGGTCACGTTGTTAGCTATCTACAACATGCATAAGTCAATGATGATGGTCTATTTCAGCACCATCTTAGTTCTGTTTTGTCAAAGAAAGATTCCGGTTACGCTAAGGATTGAGATACTAATTCAATTATCTTATCAAAATAGTAATGAAATTTCGCCAGGGCTTAAAGACCTTGGCCTGGCAAAAGCCCATGGCGACTTTCTTTCTTGACCGTGTTGGTGGAGTATAAATGCTCTTATGGGTAACAGGATATTTTCGATGAATCTGCGTGAAACATCAAAGACATAATAATAGTATCTTTTACAGTTGTATGTAAAGTATGGGCTGTTATAATACTTCTTCTAAATAAATAAAAGGAACAACCCCATCACTTATACGCCTACCCCCAACAGCTAGCGGAGATATGAAGGGAAACAACCACATTTACTGTTGACGGATGGGATTTTTTTTTTTTTTTTTTTCTCTTTTAGTACTCATAATGAGCTCAATCCATTGGAAAATACCTTTAGCTTTCTATGTGTTCTGCTGACTGGTAGCCCTATATTGTCATCACTTCCTTCATTTTCGCAGCCCTAATAGCTGACCCCCAGTTTACTCGATTTGTTGTCGCCTGTTATCATTTACGCCCTATATAGACTCGTGTGCATATCACATGTATGATTTTCTACCGTGACGTGTGATATCAGTTTTTTGTGATTAACACACGTGACTAACGGACATCCTCTTACTGCCCCACGCACACCGGCAGCAGCAGCAGAGTGAGAAAAATGAATATTGAAAAATTAACTACACAACCTTTCTTGAGACCCACCATATATCTTGATTAGTGTCAAAGGGTAAACTCAAAGAGTAACTAAGTCAACATGCCACGTACGTATTGGAAATTAACAACATCAAAGCTAATATAGAGAATGAGAGTTATTGAACCAGTTGGAGGGAAAGAAGAAATAAGGATTCAAACGACAAGCCCAACAGATAACAAGGGACGAAAAAGAAGAACAAGAAAAAAAAAAATTAATCGAATATTTTGAATCAACTTGAAAGAATGGACATAATCAATATCATTCAGAACAATATCAAGACTTTTAGTCAAATCTATCAACCAATTATACCAAGTTTTCGAACTCAGAACTTTCCGAATTTGAGTTTCGATAGAAGAAGATTATTATCATCAAAAGATAAAGCTGGAATTGAAACTTTTCAATCAAAGAACAATATCAAGAAATACATTTGATAGGAATACCATTGACAATATCAATCATTACATTGTGGATCATGAAATATGCTTTAGAATCTGAGTGAGAAGAGAGAAAAAAATTTTTTTTCTCTTATCTTCAGGTATCAAAAGCAAACTAAAAACTATTGGATAATAGCTCCCCTTAATATCGTTGAATCCTTTTTCTGAATTCCCAAGCTCCTAAATTCTATATTATATCAGTTTATTCGATTCAATTTACTAACAATTCTTATAGGTGCTCCAAGAACCTATTCTAAAACTTACTCCGTTCCAAAGCGTCCATACGAATCCGTTCGTTTGGACTCTGAATTGAAATTGGCTGGTGAATACGGTTTGAAAAACAAACACGAAATTTACAGAATCAACTTCCAATTGTCCAAGATTCGTCGTGCTGCCAGAGACTTGTTGACCAGAGACGAAAAGGACCAAAAGCGTTTGTTTGAAGGTAATGCTTTGATTAGAAGATTGGTCAGAGTTGGTGTCTTGTCAGAAGACAAGATGAAGTTGGATTACGTCTTGGCCTTGAAGACTGAAGATTTCTTGGAAAGAAGATTGCAAACCCAAGTCTTCAAGTTGGGTTTGGCCAGATCTATCCACCACGCCAGAGTTTTGATCCAACAAAGACACATTGCTGTCGGTTCCCAAGTTGTTTCTATCCCATCTTTCATGGTTAGATTAGACTCCCAAAAATTCATTGACTTTGCTCCAACTTCTCCATACGGTGGTGGTAGACCAGGTAGAGCTAAGAGAAAGAACCTTGCCAAGAACGCTGGTGCTGAAGATGATGAATAAATAATTTGAAACTCTTTCCTGATTTTAAAAAAATATTATGTCCTCCCTCTTTATTTTCATGAAATTTTTCGAATTGTTTAAATAATAATAACTACAACTCCTTTTTTATCGTTCTGTATTTTATATCTTTTTTAGTTTTGTAAACTGATCAAAGAAAGACTTTTAAACAATTTTGGTTTCTTTCTTTTGAAAGCCCAACTTCTTTTGTCTGCATTTTCCAAAACTCAATATTGTATCTATTGTAGTTAAGGTTGATAAATGAATATATTACACAAAAAAAAAAAAAAAAAAAAAAAAATTGGAAAAAATTGGGAAAAATTGCTTAATGGAAATTTTTCACGCAGCTCAAAAAATCTTATGTTAGCAAAAAATTTTTAGTGAAAGTTTTATTATATAACGAATATATTATATTTCAAACCATCACTTTTTTTTGAATCAAGAATACGAGGGAGAATTATTGGGAGGTAAATTCCGGTGTATTTAATACTTCTAGAAGAAAAAAAAAATTCATATTCAAAAGAAGATCACCCAGAGAGTTATTGATTGCAAAACAAAACGAACAGTGGAAAACTGACAGAAATTTTATGGTTACTTTGGTTTAACTTACAATAAAGATAAGATGTCGAGACTCAGTGAAAAAGAGCGGTTTGCTTCTCTCGAACAAGAGGCAATTAATTCCATGCCTTATCTTGGCTCAGATGAAAAGAATTTGAATAACAAGGAGCCGATCATATTGAACGCTATCTCCGGAAATGTCAGTAATAAAGCATCATTATCACAAGACGAGCTTGCGCTACAGGTGAAAGAGGTCCGCCCTTGGATTCATTTTGTTGCTGGAGGGCTCGGTGGTATGGTGGGGGCAATTGCAACTTGCCCATTTGACGTGGTGAAAACCCGATTGCAATCGGATGTGTACCGAATCAGTTACAATCAAACCATCAAATCCAACAACGCCATCATAAAGGGTGCCCAGCATTTCAAAGAAACTTTTGGAATCTTGGGGAACGTTTACAAAGTTGAAGGGGTTAGATCATTGTTCAAAGGGTTGGGGCCAAACTTGGTCGGGGTGATTCCGGCAAGATCGATCAATTTCTTTACTTACGGGTTGACTAAGCAATTTCTCAGTAAAAACTTCAATCAAAACAACGAGGCCACCTGGATCCATTTGGTGTCAGCGGCGTGTGCTGGTATTACCACCAGTACGGCAACCAACCCGATTTGGTTGATCAAAACCAGATTACAATTGGATAAGAGTAAGAGTGGCGAGGCGAAACAATACAAGAATTCGTGGGATTGTTTGGTCAAAGTGGTGAAAAATGAAGGGGTGGGGGCGTTATACAAAGGGTTGACGGCGTCGTATTTGGGGTCGTGTGAAGGGGTGATCCATTGGGTGCTTTACGAACAAATGAAGAGCGTTTTGAAAAAAAAATCGATCCAAAATTCCCAAGACCCAAACTATGTCAGATCTAGTTGGGATGATTTCAACGAATGGGCCGCCAGATCGGGGGCTGCTGGGTGTGCCAAGTTTTGTGCCTCGATGATCAGTTATCCTCACGAAGTGGTGCGAACCAGAATGAGACAAGCACCAATGGAAAATGGGAAGTTAAAGTACAAAGGGGTATTTCAATCTTTTGGGTTGATTGTCAAGGAAGAAGGGTTGGCATCGATGTATGGGGGGTTGACACCTCATTTGATGAGAACCGTTCCAAATAGTATCATTATGTTTGGTACTTGGGAAATTCTTATCAGATTCCTTTCGGATAACTTTTGATGAATAACGAGAAGTGGAAATGGATTTATTGTGAATTCCATGGGTTGTCGCTTCTTATTTTGTGGTTTTCCTTCTTCACTCTTTTTTTTTTTTGTTGTGTTTTTGCTTTGTTTTGTTCCTTCTTCATTGTTTTTTTCTTTTTTTTTTTGTCTTCATTTTCTTTGGCGGGGCCTGTAATTTATCTTGTATGTATATGCTTTCATAAAGAAGGAGAAGAGAAAACGCCTTATAAATATCTCTGTCTCTTTGAATTAATTCTCTTGTTAAATAGCCGCTGTTTGGGGGTATCTTTGTTGTTTTTTCATCAATTTTTTTTTTTTTTTTTTTTTTTTTTTTTTTTTTTATGTTTGCTGTTGGTGTTTAATATAATCATCTATAAGAATGTTAATTCGGTTGGTTGATGTTGCTTGCTTTCCTATTTTGTTCTGGGACTTTCCTGTTGACATGGTCGTACTATTCAAATTGTTATTTTTATAGAATCCATATATATATATATATATATGCGACATTCATTTTCTTGTATAATTTGTTTTGTAAGAATAATTTAGTATCGAGATATATATTGTATATATCTAAATATATCTAAATATATCAATATTCATCATCGGCTACAGTTTCTAATTTGACTTTCTTGGAATTGTCATTGATTGGTTGTTTTTGGTTGTTTCTTTGACGTTTCTTTACCAATAATGCAGTGGGTACTAGTCCCCCGGTACTGGCGTTTTCATTGATGATCTCTGGGGCTTGGTATGATGATGATTCTGATTTCTCGTAGAACTTGAAATATTTCGGGACGGGTTCCGAGGGTAATGGGATCGATTTCACTTTGTCAGCGGCCTGGTAATCATGGGAGTATTTCAAAGGATAGTAATGGTTTTTGAGCCCATGTGGGGCTATGCCTTGGGGGTTTAATTCAGGGTCGAAGAATACACTTTTGGGTCCCAATTTCCGGTCATCAGTGATGGAAGAAGGTTTGGGATACTTGGGCTGGTCCTGATGATGATGATGATGATGATGATGTTGTTGTTGTTGTTGTTGTTGTTGTTTGAGCTTGTTTTTATTCTTATTGATTTCTCTTTTCTTTTGCTTTTTTTGTTCTTCTGCTGCTATGTTATAACCTTTCTTGATCATTGTGATGGAGATGACAATAGTAATGGTGATGGCAACAGTTATAGATAGAAAATCGGATCTTTTTTTATTTTTTTTTTTTATCGGCTGGGGGAGGGAAAGACCCGCGGTGCTGGAGTGCCCATCGGATGCATTACATTAAATATTAAATATTTATGGTGCTAATGATGCAAGTGCCCTGCTAATAACAATGTATGGCTGGTGGATCAAAGCGTTGGAAATGGTTGGTTGGTTTTGGCTACAAGAGAGTAAGTAAGAGAGTATGTAAGCATTATACAACCCTAGATCTTCAGATACTTGACACACACCCACGTAGTAATTGACGATGCTGCCGAGTAACTAATTGGTACATATATATATATATATATATGTATAATATATTATATATGGTGACTGGGTTTGGTTGCGGTGCGTTTGATCTGCCTAAAATGACGCGTGAAATGTCTGGAGATCGGCAGTAAGTTCGTGGAGATGTCAATCAATCAGTTCCTTAATAAACCACGATATAATAGGGATAAATATAGACTAAACAACGTAGCACGGCCCTCTAAAATTGGACAGGGACTTTTGCAATTGAATTGTGTAATTGAGTAATCGAGCAGTTGCAAGATGGATCAGTATGTAGTGCAATATAATATAAATAGCATCCTATAGAACACAACAACATCTAACATCTAACATCTTCCGTATAAAGTACAGGCGGCCAGTCAGAGCGTGCCTGTGGTGGTGGTGGTGTTCCCTGTACAGACACACAAAAACGCGGGCAGACGAAAACTGGTGCAATCCGCGTAAAAAAACCCCATCAACATTGCAGCAGACTTCTTCCCATCCATCCCTTTTTGCAATAAGCTTTTTTTTTTTTTTTTTTTTTTTTTCTCCAACCGCCAGCCATTATTTGGGAAGACCTTGAAAATTATACTAAATTGTGCTATTTCTTCTTTCTTCCTTTCCTCTCCTTCTCATCAATTGCAATTGCTCATCCATTCTGTCTTTCTTTCTTTCTTTCCTTCCTTCCTTCGCGTCTCTATCACATAGTAAAAAAAAAAAATAAACAGTTGCAAAAACAAAAACACACACCGCTTCATTCCACACAATGCCGGTGTCGAAATTGTCATTGAAAGTCCTTGACGAACTAAACGTCGAAACTAACTCCCCAGAAGCAAAGAAAATCGACATCGCCATCAGTTCCAGAAGCCAATACTTGAAAGACCTTAAAAATAATGAAAATCTATACTTGGTCAACTTGGAAAAACTCCTATCCTACTCGCAATCCGCGTCGTCCTCGGGAAAACCGTTGGTCCTCGCGACCCAAAACATCATCCGCAGCCATTTGGATCTTTACAAAATATTAGACAAATATATCAAGCCAGAGTCAAATATGTCCCAATTGGACGAGATCTACTGTCTTCGAGACGTCAGCAATTGGTGCTTGATATTCAACCGCCACTACATCGCGTACTGTCAACACTACAATTACGACCCTTTCTTGCCGGAAATGACCTCCAATTTAACCAAATTGCCATTCATCAGATATAAAGCCCTCGTCAAATTGTTGACGAAATTCTATCAAATGTCGCTTCATTTTGAAAACTCCTTGCCAGATTTCAAGTTCACCGACATGTCACTACGCTTGATGTTTGTCGAAATCACCAACAACTTCCAAAAAGCATCAAAATTCGCATCGATTCAATGGGAAATCATCAAGGATTACCTCAATAATGAAAAACTTTATGTCGATTACTTCTCAATTAACTTTAACATGACCAGAAACCTCGAAACTTTACGACAAATCGACCCGCACACCTGTCAGTTCAACCCCAATAATATTTTAAAAAGAGATTATTTTGAATTCGAATTCCATCATCCAAATGAAGTCACCAGCAATAAGAAAATCATCGAATTGATATTATTGAGTGACAAATCAGTCAATGATTACACAAAACTTCACCAATCTCACGCTTCCAGATCGTTGGAAAAATTAGCCAAAATGAAATCACGAGAAGACTTATTGAGCGCTGCTAATGACGAAATCATTGATACAGTATTCGATTCAATTCTTCAAGGCTCCGGAATAAAACAAGGCTCCGGCAATTCTCACAATCGCGAAACTTCCGAATTTTCTATGGTGTCTACTGATGTCGTTGAAGAAAGCTATAAAGGTTCATTAGATTTCAAATTCACAGAAATCGCAGGATTAGCAATTTGTGCTATCGACTCTAGTATCGGCAGAAACTTGATTTTCCCAACATTCCAAAAAGATCAACTTTCCATCAGATCGGTCAATAAATCTGCCAATGAAATCGTCTTGGTTCATCCTACCGCACCCAACAGCGAACAATTGATTACCATCAAAATTTCTTCTTTGGATGAAGAACAATTCAATAACTGGCTGCCGTTCTTGAAAGTATTATTCCCATTCTATTACGAGCAAACCGAAGGTTTCTTCAAGCAGCATCAAATGTTGAAAAATCAAATGGAATTCAAGGACGCGTTAGGAATCAATTTGAACATTCCAAAGAGCTTTAATGCTATTCCTGGAAAGTTCAATTTGCAACACCACACCAGTATTAAAAATAAAGATCAAGTTTCTCCTTTGAAATTCCTGAAGAAATCATCACCGGTTCTCAATAATTCCGTGGATCCTTCAAATAAAGCCCAGCGGCTTTCTGGTGACATGGCCATTCCTGAGCTCGATTCATTCTTGCAACAGTTGGAGTCTGATTGCAATGCTAATAAAAATGCTGCTGAGGATGTTTGCAGTCCACCTTCTGATGGGTTCCATTTCAACGAAATCAGTTACAGCAACAACGCTACCCCAACCCTTGATACAGTGGCCAACACCTCATCATTACCAACAAATGATAACCGTGTGTCACGATCAACAAGCAGATCAAGTCGTCTTTCCAGATCCCAAAAAATCAACAATTTTGATAAAGTTTTGAAAGATGATCATGCCGTGTCTTTGTACGATAATGAAAGTGACTGGACTTCGATTACTACTAATTCAGCCATTAGCTCCCCAAAGCTTAATGACTCATCTGATGTATCAAGAGTGGTTAATAAATTCTTCAACGATGGTAGTAACAAGAAAGACTCTGCTAATTACAATAGAAAGTCTACAAGGGCCTCAGTTTCAAGCATTGCGACTGGTGACTTCATTAACCTTCAAACTTCTCCAACTTCTCATCCGGTCAATTCCTTAATTTCGGAAGCCCCGATTGATGAAGCCGAAGAACATGAGACCACAACAAACCTGGAAACAACCGAGCCAGACCTTCCGGTTTCTATTTCTGCAAGTACCATTTCCCCAACCGCCTCCAATAGGCCAAAAACTCCTTTGCCTCAAGTGCCAACTAGTGATCCTGCCTCAATCAGTGCCTATAGAACTCCGGCTTTCACAATACTTGGCAAGAATAAAAGTACTGCAAATCTTGTTAGTTCTTCCAGTCAGGATGATGAGAAATCCTCTTCTAAAATTAGTTTGACAAAAGCCGTCGATCAATTAAATGAAGAGTTTGCTAAACCACAAAATATAGAAGATGGCAGCAAACCTATCGGGGAAAATGAGGAGATTCCTGATGCTAATAAGGATGCGGCATCACCATCATTGTCAAATTTCTTTGGTAGGAATAAAAAGTCTTATGGTACTCCATTGTTCAAGAAATTGTTTTTCAGATCCACTAAATCAAAGAAACTTGAAACAACTGCCGTTAATAAGAGAGATAGCTTCATTTTTAGTATGGATCAAACCACCAAATCTACTGTTATCAAGCAATCTGATGACTCAATGGAAAGCAAGAAGAATGCCACCATTACTAAACCATTGTTGGAAACCCCTGGTACCACTGTGGTGTATCGTGGCGCTCACCAGGCTGCTACTGTTTCTACTTCTGTTCCTAAGTCAGTGATCAGCAAAAAGAAGGCTCTTGATCACCATAATACAAACGGAACCAAGGTATTCAAGTCGGAATCTCAAAAAAGATTGTCTGTTGTTGCCAGAAGACGGAGTCAATTGCCTGCTAGTAGTTCTGAGAATTTCGGCATTTCAAAGGCTGGTTCGGTTACCAAGATCTCAAAATCGGGCTCTAACCCTAGAATTTCTAGAAAATCATCAAGAACCTCTTTCCAAAATATTGGCGCCAATGTTAGAACCCAAAGTAATACTTCTCTGGGCGTGTTGAAACACAGTAGTAGTGCCAAGAGGTTGAGCACAATTAATGGTAAAAGAAAAAGAGTATCTACAACTATGCAATTGGAAATCACCAAACAACAAAAGATATTTGATGATTTAATATTGAACAACCCTGCTCCAAACCTTGGTGATCTCACTGACAATGAGTCTATTGTTTCATTGCCAAGTCCAAAGTACACCAATATTGTTATTCCAAATAACTACTCTGTTTCTTCTCTCTCAAGCAATGATAATAAGAATGTCACCGAAACTATTGAAGACTCTCCAATCAAGTTGAATATTAACAATTCTGAATCTTTTGGCTCGAGTCTTAACCAATCCGGATCGATGAACTCGACATTTTCTAGTCCAAGAAAATTGAATTTTGCTGGTAGCAACCATTCACCAAGTAAGAGTAGTTTCTTGTCCCGTACAACAACTGTCTCGAATTCTTCATTTGTCACCGGTTTGACTCACCAAGAAAACAGTAATAGTGACTTGAAGGCGATTGTGGAAGATGAACCTGCGAATAATGGCTCACTTGCTGATTTGAATGACGCCACTAGAAAACCTGGCGATGGTATAAATTCTGACGATGAAGATATTCCAATTCCGAAAGAGGATTACTTGAAAGAAAAGTTTGGGAAAGGCATTGCTGGTGATAGTGCTCCAATCGCTGCCGATGATGGTAATAATGATGCCGATGATGAGCAAGATGAATCTATTCACAATATCAATTATCTAAGTAATTTTGGGAAAGAGTATGAGCCTAAATTTCTCAGTGCTTCACCTTCCAAGAAATTCCGGGGCTCAAGGTTGTTATCTTTGAGAAGAAGAAAGTCTGTTGATTTTGAAATTGTCACCAAGTCACCAGCAAAGACTCCTAACAGTGTTGGTGGTAATTATGCTGCTTCACCTGCTACTTCCTTTGTGAATTCTCCAGCCTCTGGTTTTTCCACCCCGATTAATGGCTCAATGATTTTCTCTCCTCCGGCACTTCCATCTGCTAAAAAAACTAAGCCATATAATCTTCTGGAAAATGAGTCCAAAACAAGTATTGTTAGTGGCAATATGCAAAGAGCCAGTTCGGTACGCACCGTGAGATCGAATGGTACAAATTCGACCTTCAACAATACATCCAAGGAGACGACGTTGACGAAATCCAAAGACGCCATTCTTAACGACTCCAAAGTTTCCCTCAAGAGAAAAGGTTCGTTTGATGCTTTGAAAAAAATTGCCTCGCCAATTCCAAATGCTTTTACCAGAAAAGACAAGCATCAAAGAGAGTTATCCGCAAAGACTCCTGAGAAGCATCACCAAGTTCCATCTGCCAAACCAAACTTTTCTCCGATGAAGCCTACAATCAGTGCTTCCGCCAGTGGTTTCGCATCGATTACTGATCAGTATCTTGCTAACGTTGACAATTGCATTATTATCTACAAAGATTTCTATCATGTTTCTTTTTGGAAGTTGAATCATTGGGCACCAATCAGTGACGAACTCTTGTACATGGAAGTTGCTATTTCTCTGGAACAAAGTTATTTGTGTTTCTATAAGAGTGACTCCTTGAAATCTTCTTTGGTTTCCATTAAGCCATTCGTGATTTTGGCGGTTGATAGTAACAGTGTCGTCACCAAAACAAAGAATGATTCCTGCAATATCATTGAAGATCTTCATGATGCCAGTGGGATGTTTGACGTTCAGCTTAAAACATTTAATGAATTCACCAAGAAGACCAATTTGGTTTGCTTGAGATATAAGAATTATACCTCCTCGATCAATTTGCTCCAAGCCCTTGAATTTGCTCAACAAGATCACACCAATAACTCGATGATAAAGACTAGACAACAGTTATCAAACAATTCTGGTAACTCTATGTTCTGTGACGGGGTCAATTCTAGTGTCTCGGGTGATACTGCGTCTTCTGTTTCCGTGCCACCATCGGAATATGGTAAGAAACCTAATCTCACCATCAGCGTCTCAAGAGATTTTGTGTATGAAGAACCACCAATGACTGCGATATCCGCAAACTTTGAAGTTTCCACCCCTAAATCTGAATCGGGGGCAAGCTATCTATCTTCACAAACTCCAATGACCATCACTCCACCACATTCTTCTTGTTCTTCTTCTTCTGCCTCTTCGTCTTCTCAATTGAACTCGATCAATTCCCATTTGAAAGGGTTGAAGATTAGTACGAACCACGATACGGTAACTATTGTGAAAAAAATTAGATTCCATAAGAAATCCAGCATTTCCGGTAAATGGAATCCTATCGCCATTTCCATGTTGAAAATGCGCCGAGTTTCTCCAGGATCCAAGAAGTTCCATCTTGTCATCACCGAATTTAAAACCGAAAAAGTTTTGATTGATGCTAGTATCGATGGATCTACAACCTCAAGAATTGGGAGAACTGGGGTTTGTATTGCGGTTCCGAGTATGGATGGTATCACCGTGCCTAAAAGACCTAACTACTTGGTGGAATCAAGAAATCAATTAGAAGCCGATGAATTATTTGCGATCTTTACTAGTACCAGATAATGATACTCTGGAGATTCTGTACAATATCAATACTATGAAAAACCGTTGCAAATTATCCATCTTTCTCTAATGGGTGTTTTCCCAATAATAATTATTATTATTTTTTTTTTCAATTCATTTCATTTCTTGATCTATTAAATTATAATTAGATTTTCTCTTTCTTTCTCACCTGTGTTTTTTTTTGCTTTTTCTTGTAATGTGAAGTTTATAAGTGTATAATATCAAATATTAATGAATTTATTATGTGTTCTGTATTATTATGTTAATATATAATTGTAAATAGAAAATTTGGAACCCTCAATCAATAATTTAATTGTGAATAAAAAAAATTCTAGAATCCCAGTCAACCCAGTGCTCTTACTTTCCCCAATTCAAAGAGAATTAATTACCAATAATGACTTTCTTATTTATTTCATCTCCCTATAAATTCAAAAAAAAAAAAATACCTAATAATAATAATAACTTTCTCATTTATTATTATTTTATTTTTCTTTCCCCCCCCCCCTCTCTCTCTCTCTCTCTCTGGCTATACGTTTTTCATGTTCTGCAATTATCAACTTTTCTGATCCTCAAACCGCTCCACCCATTCCTGCAATTAATGCCAATGAATAAGTCAAACTCATCCCACCGTCTAACCATCCTCGGTTGAAATTCTGCTGGGAAAAGAAACTCCACGCCATTTTCGGATCCATCAACACCGTGTTCAACATCAAAATCCCTTTCCATCCATCATTCACTTTCTCAACATGGTTTGCCAACAACTGGTCCCATTCTTGTCTGACAAACTCCTGGCTTCTAAAATACGATGACGCCGCGGTCAAGGGGATCATATGGATCCCTTGGATATATTCCAAATTGGCGCCAAAATACGTCGCGTGGTGACATTTGTTTTCAAATAAGATTCCCGGGACTTTATTACCAATGAAATTACGCGGTTGGTTGCGGTTGGAATCCTTCATCAAAATGTAATTGTCACAGACCCGTTTAAGGATCGCTAGTTGTAAAGTCGACCGGAACGTAAGCGTTGGATTATTGGCCACTTGGCCCCAAAGTTTGAGACCATAATAAGCATTATAATCTTCACTGCTACTTTCTTGGTCTTTCCCATCAGCAGACGCAAAGAGCCCTTTGGCCCAAGAATGACCGGCAAACCAATCGAATGATCGATTCACCGCGAAGAATTCGTCAGTGTCGGTAGGATTGGCGAAATCACGAATAAGGAAATTGATGTATTTCTCATTATTGACAAGCCAGTTCCCGCCTAATTCTCGATCGATTTGTCCAAGGATTGCTGCGGCATGGACATGGTACCCATAATGGAAATGATGATCATTACAATAAGAGTTCCCGAAATCCAAGTTCGGGTCTCCGTGAAGCCCAGCTTGGGAGATCAAAGTTTTGAATTTTGTGTCGTAGACCAACGGCAGAATTTGGCGGTTTTGAATGAACCTATCAAATGCCTTTTGCAATTTTGTCATGATTATTTGGGTCTTATTGGCGTCTTTTAAAATATAATGGCTGACATAAAGAATGTACGCATACTTATCAAGCTGTTTCCCACTAAAATACATCGAATCTAAATTAGAAAAGCCTTCAACGTCATCATTGACTTCAACTTCTAATGCGGCAGCGATTTTATTCAAAGCATTGGAGTTATAGTACTGACCATTACTGACATCAGCGGCGTTGAAAGTAGGCAACGACGACCAGGCCTCAAAATTAATATACGATGGCAAGTCATTTTCGACGAATTCGAATTTATCGTTGATGTACGCCTTCATTTTCCCGCAAATTGTAGAATCCAATATTAAATCCGTCGAACAGTTTTCCATTGTCGTGGCAAATGAATCAATATGGTGAGGAAATGCCCACATTATTGGTTGGTTAACCAAAGATGACCCGGTAGAATTGAACTGGAAGCAGTAGTTGGCACTGGTAGCAGAGTTCTGTTTTGCCCTTAAATCAATTGAAGTGACATACGTCCCAGCAACCTTGTCATAATAATCACTGAAACCACAACAAATCTGAACGGTAACTTTAGAGAATTTGTCAGCTGAAGTGATGTGATTATTATCAATTTTTTGAATTGGGTTATTATTTGCCTCGGCACCACTCAAGTACAATGACCAAACCACATCATTGAAAAGGGTGATCCTGTATTTTGTAAGACTATTAAATTCATTCAGTAGACCAACCCGTTCAAATTCTTTGAATCCCACTACAGAATTCAAATCTAACGTCAAATTCTCATAAATTGCGGTGATGAACCCCATACCTTGCACCACGGGGCTGGTGAACGATTCATTTGGATTACCACGGTACGAGAAATTTAAATCAGCACTGAATTGTTGCAAATTATCCATGGTTAATTTGACATCATCCTTCGATTCGAATTCTTTTGCCGATAACACAATTGATTTGATGCCAATGGGGTTCAAGTAATATTCGACCGGATCACCTGGCCCATAAACTTTTTGGGCATCGGTGGTATGGTACACTGCTAACCCAAACTGATCATTTCTAGAATAAGAAAGGGAATAAGGATTGGTCCAAATGGTGCATGTTTGGTCTTCCAACATCAAATTGCCGTAGAATTTGTTGGTTTCAATCGGTTTGGATTGCGCCGCTTGGCTAACTACATGGTCAATTGGTAATGGATGAGATGTTGAACCAAAATAGTCAATTGGATTATCTGTGGCTACAGGAGTCAGGAAGATCGAATCATCGTAGTCGCTGTTGTTGTTGTTGTTGTTGTTGTTGTTGTTGTTTTGATCGTAAGTTGGCTGGAGATGGTCCACTTTCAATTGTTCGAATTTTGACACCAAGTTCCCAAACAAGTGGTGGTGTTTTTTAGCGCCTGGTAGCGGCATTTCCGGACGGTCGTAAGCCATTATAACCGTATAATGGCAATATATATTATATTTTATTATGTTGTTATGTTGTATGTGAAAGACGATGACATATCAAACAAAGAAAACAGTGGTGGGGTGAAGTCATTGCTATGGGCACCTTATCTGCCAAAAACACCCAGCACTAATATATAATATTATATTATAACTACAATAGATGACTGAAAAAGCATATCAAATATTAATATATTATTATAGCTTACTGAGGACCGTAGTAGACCCAGACACTGTGACCCCAGGCTTGGTTTCCCTTTTGCAATAGGCAACCACCCCATTCTTGACGACGATCGCGTACCTGCTAGTTCTCAACCCCATCCCCATCTTGGTCGAATCTTGAGTAAACCCAATGGCCGTAGAAAATTCGGTGTTGGAATCACTGGCAAACAACACTTGAGTTCTTCCCTTACCTAAAGTTTGCTTGTCGAAGTTATAATTGGCCAAGTCCACGTTGGTGGTGCTTATCAACAGCTTCTTCCAGTGATCCATCACAAACGCATCGTTATTGGAGAGCACCACTACCAAATCAATGCCCTTCTTTTGGAATCTCGGAAGATCCGATAAGAATTCCGGAATATGAAGGTCAGAACATGTTGGAGAAAACGCTGCCGGGACTGCCACCATAACAATAGTTTTCCCTGCCAATAATTTGTCATCGATCTTCAACACCACCGGGAACTTACAGCTTGGATCCTCCGAATTGCTGGAGGCAATATATCTGAAATCGAACCCCACCGGTAACCTGTCACCCAATTGAAGCATTCTATCGGAGATTTGTGGATGGTTTTTGTGCTTGTAGTACTGTATATTTTTGCTTCTCTGATAAGGATCAAAGAATAATAATTGATAATACCCTAAAAAAAAAAAAAAAGATTATGGGGTAAAAAAAGTCTACCTGACTCGGCCAAGCGAGTGATCAATAGTTTACACCCAATAGATAAATATATTACAAAGTCATCATGGAATTTTCACGAGCTTACTCATTGAATTCTGTTCAAGTACGAGTTCCAGCCAGCCTCCTGGTATCTCTTTCCTTCGACCAATGGGTCTCTGCCCTTGCCAAACAACCCACGTCCAACAATGATGATATCACAGCCCTCTTTGCCAACAACTTCGGACACAGTTCTGTATTGTTGACCCAAAGCATCGCCCTTGTCATCTAATCCTACCCCTGGGGTCATGACAACCCAGTCCTCTCCTTCTTGCTCCTCGACCTTGTGTTGGGCAATGAAACCAACCACAAAGGATTTGTCGGTTCTGGCAATGTCAATGGTTTGCTTGGTGTATTCCCCGGTAGCAATAGACCCCTTCGATGACAATTGCGCCAACATGAGCAATCCTCTTGGTTCAGTGGTGGTTTCTTCGGCAGCAGCCTTCAAGCCAGCAACGATCCCTGGACCAGTGACCCCGTGGGCGTTGGTGATGTCGGCCCAAGTACTAATCTTGTAAACCCCAGCAGAATATTGTAATTTGACGGTGTTACCAATGTCGGCAAACTTTCTGTCTTCGAAAATAAGGAAGTTGTGCTTCTTCTTGAGCTCCAACAATGGCAAGATGGTGCCATCGTAAGTGAAATCGTCCAAGATATCAATATGGGTCTTGACCACACAAATGAATGGGGCCAATTTTTCAATCAATTCGAGAAACTCTTTGGTGGTGCGGACATCGACAGAAGCACACAAGTTGGTCTTCTTTTCCTCCATGATGGTGAACAACTTCTTCACCAATGGATTGCTGGTCTTGGTGGCTCTTTCTGCGTACGACATACTGGACATATTGGGCGGGTTCTATTGATCAGCACAGAAAATAATAATAACAATAAGAATCGTTTTGAATCAAGGAAGAGAAAGAGGAAAAAAAAATTGCAGAAAAGAAAAAGAAAAAGCTGAGTCGCTATTGATATTACGTAATGCCTCATATGTGATTACGTAACGGAGGGCAAAATTTTCATTTCTCAGAAGGAAGAGAAAAAAAAAAAGTAAAAGCCTAAGGGTGGTGGTGACGCCAAAAGGTATTGTTGTAATCATTATACAAATTACTACAAAATATTCGCTAGACTAAGATGGATCAATTAAACGGCCGTGAACAACAAGAGTTCCAAAAACTCGTGGAACAAAAACAAATGAAAGATTTCATGAGAGTACGTTAGAGTTTATAAACAATATTGAGAATTTACTTTCAGGTTGGAAGATTTATTTATTGTCGAGATTATTTTCTACTGTAACTTCTCGGTATTTTGTATTATATGTATTTCATCGGGGTTTTTTTACTAACATGGCATTTTAGTTGTACTCTGATTTGGTTCAAAGATGTTTTACCGATTGCGTCAGTGATTTCACCACCAAGACCTTGACCAGCAGAGAAGAAGGTTGTGTTTTGAAATGTACCGAAAAGTTCTTGAAACACAGTGAAAGAGTTGGTGCCAGATTCCAAGAACAAAACGAATTGTTGATGAAAAACATGAGATAGGTGAGAAAAGCCAGGGTATTTCAATCTAAAAATTCCTATTTTCCCAAAAAGACGAAATTGATTGACTTTCGATTTAATTTGTATATATTTTTATGTTTTTATGGCCATATTAAATGCTTCTTTGTCTCATGACTTCTTATTGGTTGCAATTGTAAAGTTCCAACAATGATTTTTAAAATCATTATACTGTACCTAATTATCATTGAAAACGAAAACAAATGTATTTGCATAAACAGTACATGGTACAAACTAATGGAATAAAGAAAGAAAAAAAAATATCAAAGGCCAATGACACTAATCACAATTATTGAAGTTACATATTCCTTATCAATAACTAATCATCAAGAAAAGTCAACGAGTCTAATAAAACAAGTCATTAAAGAATTAAGCAAAATTCAACAACTATAAAAAAAAATAAAATAAAATAATAATAATAATAATCTCATAACACTTTCCCTTCCTAATGGCTTGACAACTTCTTCTTTTGTTGTTCAATAATATCACTGGCTTCAGTGATACTCTTCTTCCAGTTTTTCAAGTTACCCAAGATGAATTTCCATTCCTTGGATCCCAATTTATTGCTGCAGTCGTCGTCCTTTTCACCCAAAACAATCACCAAGTTGATTTTGTAAATGCAGAAAATTTGTTTTATTTGATCAATTTTACCTTGGAAAATGTTCAACTTCACGGCATTGATCAACAATGATTCAATCTTGACCAAATCGTTTTGGTAGTTCAATTCATCGGATATTTGTTTATAAGATAATACTGGAGCAATGTTAGAAAATTTTTTAACTGCTTCCTTGTTGTCGGATTCAATGGTGGCTTCGTAATTGTTAGATTCCGCAGCAGTCAAGGCCAAGTTAGCAATTATGAGGAATTCTTTCTTGGAAATAAGAGTCTTAGATGAAACAGATAATTCGGATTCAATTTCTGATTTGTGGTCATTGACAAATGAAGTGAATTCCTTCAAGTTATTCTTTGTAGCGGTGTATAACTTCAATAATTCGAGCACAGTTTTGTGGGTAATTTTAGAAATGTCAAATTGGTAAAAGTAACTCAAATCAATTTCTTTTGGAGTCTTCAAAGCTTGGATCGCCAAGTTGGTGATAACTTCACTGTTTGAGGCCTTGGCACCGTATCTGATGGTAGCCAACTTCAAGATAACTAAAGCTTCGTTGAAGTAAACTGGTTCGATCAATTTGGCAAGAGCGGTGGTGAATTTGATAATTTCGTCTTCGGAACTTTGGCATTCGACCAAATATTTTTCAAATACAAACTTGGTGGAATCAACTGAAGATTTCTTCAATAATGGCTTGATAAGGTACAAGTTTTCTTTAGCGGAGTCTTGATCTAATTTCCCGTAAATTTTCACAATGGTGTTCAAAATTTCGAGTCTCAATTTGGATTTCTCGTCAATCAAGTTGAAGAAAATACAGAGTACACTCAAAACACTGGTGAATTTGATAGAGACTCTGTCGTTGAAAACTGGATTAGCTGATGGGGAAAGCTCGTATAACTGGTTTAATAATATTTGGAATCTGGCGATGAAAGTTGATTCTTCTTCTTGTGTTGATTCTGATTCAAACAATGGTTCGGATATAAAGTAAAACACCAAGTTCAAAGTCGATTCTAATTCCTTATCTGGCAAACCTTTCAAAATACTGACCGATTCAAGGACTTGTTGATAAAATTCTTCGCTAGTTTCAGAAGCTGCCAATTCATTCAATTTGTTGGAAACTTCGTCGTTTTGCGACACCGAAGAAATGATCGAGCCATAATTGGCCACGGTTTCTTGGAAATCGCTATCAATAACGAGATTTGGCTTGACAAGAGTGGTCATTTTCAACTATGTTTTTTTTGTCCCCTTGGGTTCAATTGTTGTAGGCCACCACGCAAACTCTCTTCACTTTCGCAGTGTGATTTGTCGTGAAGAAAAAAAAAAAAAAAAAAAAATTTTTTCGAGTGACACGCGGGTAACTCCGTTCTGGGACGGATTGGAAATTTTCATCAAATTGGAAAACCGCAGGATAATACCAATCACCATCTGGTTGCTGGTTATTGCCAAACTGTTTCTGTGGATTATTGTCATCATATTATAATGAGCACAGCAGGAGCGGCTAAGCAGGCCATTCTTTTGGGCAATTTGCTCAAGCAAAAGTCTGTTCCAAAAGAATTGGGAGTCCAATATAAACAATACATATTGAAAAATATGTTGTTGAACATGAACAAATTGAAAGCACAACAATCACAAGCCAACAAGTTCATTCCTGAGATCAGACGTCAGCACTTTAACAAGGCCACCAACTTGCAATCGCCAAACGATTTGGCAATGTTCAATCACCAAGTATTCAAGTTCAACAAGCATGATGAAATCAACAGCGTAATTTTGGATCGTCAAGTTGCCAAATTGATCAAACAATTTTTAAACGTCAGTGTCACCATGAAGGGCGATAAGACCGCGGCTAACAACTCCAAGGCCTCAGCCGGTGTGGATAAAAAATCTATATGCCCAATTTATATCAGTGAGCCAGTTTTCAAGCACAGTACTACTGAAGTGGAAGTATCGTTCTACTATTACAACAACTTCCCTGACAGCTCGGGGCGTACTCCAAACGTCTACTACAATGAAGACGCCAAGTATTATGTTCCAATCGTCAATAAACTTTTCAATACCCTTTGTGGTACTACTGATAAAGGTGGATTAGCCAACACTTTTGAAGAATATTATGGGAAGAAGGTTAGAATTGTTCCAAAGAAATTGATCTACCCACAAAACAATAATGTCATCTTTGCTAAGTATTTATCTAACCAAGCTCAAAAGAATGCTAGCTATTTGAAGAATATTCCAAGAACACTCAGCAGATGTATGCCAAATATCGCCGATGAAACTGCCGCCATCGATTACAATTTGAAATTGATTGGCTCGGCCGAGGACAAGATCGCCAAGGTGGTATCCCAATCAAAGAACTCTTTATCTGGATCATTGGATCTCAGTAAGATTTATGGTTCTGATTATAAAAATATCTCCAAGAGATTGGTCATGTTCAAGTACCTTATTGGTGCCCAAGTTATTGCCAAGGGTAGATCTCCAGCTAAGGCCGCCATTTCCAGAGCTCAGAAATCAAAGTCTTTCAGAGGTACTTTCAGAAACAAGGTTTACAACAGTAATGTGTTGAGTAATCAATATAAATTGAACCACTTAAAGAGTAACATCACCGTTCACAACAGTCCTTTCGTGACTAAGTTCGGGAAATTCAATGTCGGTGTCAAGTCAAACTATCTTTAAGGTGGGTGTTTATATTTGTTTATATTTATCATGTAAATATATGGAGCTAAATTATATTGAGAGTGATTACCGTAGAAATTTGTTGTATTGTCAAAAACGGTGCTTGAATATTATGCACAATGTAGTTTAATAACATTCAAAAAAGAAACAGCAAAATGGAAAATGGAAAATGGAAAACGGAAACTTGTTTCACTGATAAGTTGTAGAGTTCCTTGTGATCTGTAAACCAGGGAATGATATTGTATCAAAGTGATGAAAAGAATGAGAGTGAAGAACTCATTACCAAGTATAGACGCCTTTGTAAATATGTAACTATATTTATTCTGAAATTATTGGACGTGATATAAAGCGAAAAATTATTTAATAATTTATGAATACTTCTGCTCTTTAAAGTCACACCTTCCTTTTATCAGCAAATGTTTAAAAATCCATCATTTGTATCGCACAGTGCTAGAGCTTTAGATTATCATGGTATAGTCTGGTATAGTCAAAGATTCATCATTCAGTTAAGAAAATAAAATAAAATAAAAAAGATTTCTTATTATTATAGATAGATTATATGAAGCTTTCACTTACTGATATTCCCTAATCAATACCAGTATCAAACTGTAACATTGTAGTTTTCTGTAAGACCCCAAGCATTTATTCTCAATATTATATTGCCGTGATGAAATTGTAGTGAGGAGAATATTCCTCGGTATAAATTCATAACAATACAGTCTAATTTTTTTTTTCTTATTTATTTATTTTATAATAGTAAGCTGCCAATGAAATAAAAAGCTTCATTCATTCTGATCTACTTGACATGTTCAACACTTGCATATCACACTTTCTCATGAATATTTTCAGCGTCCCCAGCATTTCGAAATTATACAATTCAAATATCGCCATCTCCACAATTGTTTCATCACAATATGAAAGTGATGGATGACCTGGTTTACGTTCATATTTGGAACAACTAGACGAAGTTTCCAACGATTTACTTATGATATTAGTGCAAACGGTGGGAGTCCAATCATCCAAGATGGAAGAATCTGATAATTGCTTTATTGTTTAATGTCATACCACCTCTAAATTTATATATGTTACTTCAATAGACAGTTATTGGATTGTGAGATATTAAATAAAAACATGGTGGATGCTCCAAATATATTGGTGTGCAGAACCCCCATGATGAATTTATTACGATATTCGGCAGTGGGAACTTTCCCTCCACCAAAGTTGGTCATATTTTGAGGCCCAAATAGGAAAGGTTGTTGCAATCAATATGCGCATTCACGCATGAATGCCAACTGAAGGAACAGAAAGAAATGGTGGTAAAATAATTAATGGTAGAAATTGATATTATCATATATTTTCCCAGGTAGCTGTGGTTCCAGAGGCAAATTTATGATCTAGCACATATGACCATTGTTTTAGAACCATTCTTGAGAGGACATTAGTGGTAATGATTAGTGAAAGAAGAAATCCAGCTTCAAGCTTCAAGCTACCTTCACTCCGATTTTCAATGAGTTTTACGAAATCTTGCGAATTGCAAATGTCATAATATCCTAATACGCCAATATAGGTTCACACGATACTCTAGAATTTGTCCCGATAAATTAAAAAATTCTTAATATATGGAAAATACCATCTTTCAAAAAAATGCGACGAAAAATAGGGTTCATCATGATATCTCAACAGAGCAATGATGGTCATAAATTTGTATTGAAGATACAAAAGAGCATGACGCTTTCTCGAGAGCTCTCATCTTCCCAAACAACAAGATCTGAAATAGTTCATGTTGACCATTAATGAGTGCGCTAGCAACTAGCCTACCCCTCAACCGTCCTATCTAACAGTGTGCTCTGGGTAATATCAAAGTGATCTAATAATTATTCTCATAGACCGGCTCATGAGTCCGACTTACATGTTATTTAGAACCTCTGCCAAATCAAATCAAATACTAAGTATTTTCAATGTCAATGGCCGGGTAACACCACTATTACAATGCAATCTATTATTCTCCGAAATCATTTAGTCATCTGACTTCGTGGCCAAGCTGGTTAAGGCGTGCGACTGTTAATCGCAAGATCGTGAGTTCGATCCTCACCGAGGTCGTTTTTTTCAATTTGAAAGTTCTCTCATTTTTTTTTCACAATATGTTTCTCTACACTAGGTTGGCTTATTGACGATAGTCCTTCATTTGGCTTTTCTTCCTTTTGAATTTAAGTTTAGGAAATGCTAAATCTGAAAATGAATTATGAGAAGAAAAGTTTCGTGACCCTTTTTTAGTTTTATTTTCCTTCCCAGATTGACAGTCACTGTGTCCGTTCAATACTTGACTGAAATTTATCTCTGATTTGCTATTCAGTAAAATGCTTTTTTTCGACTTGTCATTTGATGGTTCCAAAAACATGTTTATATTGTCCATTACAACATTCGTGTTTTTGTGTTTTTCTTCTTTATCCAACTTCTTTTGATCAACCAGTTCATCGCTGAGAACTATTGTCTTAAGACGTTCCACTTTTCGCTTTTTCTTGCCTGAAAATGCATCAAAATCTTTTAGAACCTCATTGATAAACTTCTTTTCATCAAATGACTCATCAATACCGAGTAATAAGTGCTGGGAATCATGTTTCTGTTGTATGATTATTCTTCCCATATTGGTTTCTTTACATGCATTAGACAAGTTGGGACCACCAAAAACATACTGCGAGAAGTCTCCATTATCTTCATGACTATGCAATGTTGGATTTGTGTCTAAGTTCTCTAGGCTTGCCATAAATGTTGGGTAATAGCGCTCATCTTTTCCTTCAGTTATTATGTAATCCAACCACTCAGTATTATTTGATCCATCAAAATATTTCTTCAATTTCCACAAATAGTTCGAGTCCTTGCAAATACATCTTGAATGGGATGAGCAGGTAGAGAGGTGCTGTTTTAGTAACAGGTCTTTCTGGAGAATGTTGATATTATGCTCGTTTAAAAGCGAGTCTAGTTTTGCTGCCAATTGTGCCGCCATAATTTAATTAAGAACGCTCCAGTGATTTAAAAAGCTAGTTTTCCGTGATAAAAATATCATTAATTATGTATAACTTTGATTTTGTGATATATCAACGTCGGTCATGTTGGGGAAATTTCGTGATTTACCCTATTATCGCACTTCGGCGTGCGCAGAACAAAAAAATTTCAACGATGGACGATGAGAAATTAAGGGAAGTTGACGTTTCAAAAAAAATTTATAAACCCTTCCATCCATTCCCCCTAGATAAAGGAACAAAAACTAGACAAGATCTTCTCTTGCTTATTTAATAAATAGCTAATTATAAAATGTTGGATATCATTGATTTTATCGAAGAAAAGGGTGGTAACCCTGAAATCATCAGAACTTCTCAAAAGGCTCGTGGGGACTCTGTTGAGCTTGTTGATGAAATTATTGAAGAATACAAGTACTGGACCACCGTTAGATTTGATTTGGATGCCAAGAACAAGGAGCTCAATAAGGTACAAAAGGAAATCGGTATGAAGTTCAAGGCCAAGGAAGACCCAGCTGAATTGATGGCTGTCAAGGATACCCTCGTTAAAGAAAAGGCTGAATTAACTAAGAAAGAACAAGACGTTGACAAACAATTGAGATGGAAGGTCAACCAAGTCGGTAACATTGTTCACAAGTCTGTTGTCGTTTCTAACGATGAAGAAAATAACGAGTTGGTTAGAACTTGGTTGCCAAAGGGCGTTGAAGAAGTTGGTGATCTCGCTACTGCTACTGGGAAGCCTGCTGCTTTATCACACCACGAAGTTTTGTTGCGTTTGGATGGTTATGACCCAGAACGTGGTGCCCGTATCGTTGGTCACCGTGGTTTCTTCTTGAGAAATGCCGGTGTTTTCTTGAACCAAGCTATGATCAACTATGGTTTGTCTTTCTTGGCTAAGAAAAACTACACTTGTTTGCAAGCCCCAGTTATGATGAACAAAGATGTCATGGCTAAGACCGCCCAATTATCCGACTTCGATGAAGAATTATACAAGGTTTTGGATGGTGATGATGAAAAATACTTGATCGCTACCTCTGAACAGCCTATTTCTGCCTACCATGCTGGTGAATGGTTTGAATCTCCAGCTGAACAATTGCCAATCAGATACGCTGGTTACTCTTCTTGTTTCAGAAGAGAAGCCGGTTCCCACGGTAAGGATGCCTGGGGTATTTTCAGAGTTCACGCTTTTGAAAAGATTGAACAATTTGTCTTGACTGAACCAGAAAACTCTTGGGAAGAATTCGACAGAATGATCGGTAACTCCGAGGAGTTCTACCAATCCTTGGGTTTGCCATACAGAGTTGTTGGTATCGTTTCTGGTGAATTGAACAACGCTGCTGCTAAGAAATACGATTTGGAAGCTTGGTTCCCATTCCAAAAGGAATACAAGGAATTGGTTTCTTGTTCTAACTGTACCGATTACCAATCCAGAAACTTGGAAATCAGAAGTGGTGTCAAGAAGGCTGCTAGTGCCAAGAAGGAATACGTTCACTGCTTGAACTCCACCTTGTGTGCCACTGAAAGAGCTTTGTGTTGTATTTTGGAAAACTATCAAACTGAAGACGGTATCATTGTTCCAGAAGTTTTGAGAAAGTACATCCCAGGTGAACCAGAATTCTTGCCATTTATCAAAGATTTGCCAAAGAACTCTACCAGTCAAAAGAAGAAACAAGCTGGTAAATAAATTTAATTCTCTTAATGATCATTGGTTGATGAATGTGAACTTCACATTTTTTTTTGACTATATTTTGTTTCTTTTTCCTTACTATTTTCGTGATTTCAACTCCCTGCTGGTAGCGGCACTACCCTACACTTATTTTGCTAATTATTACAAGGACTACAATTATGTAGCTTGTACTGTCGGTATTTTATAACTTATTCATAGAAGCTTGCTTGCTAAACATGAATTATAATATATTTTTTAATTGAAAAAAAAGCAGTTTATTTTATCATGTAGCGCGAATGAAGATCAAAACAATCAGAAAAAAAAAAGGTGATACAGGAATTGATGGGCCATAATGAAGGTAGGCAGAAAAAAGCAATGGGAGATACCATCAGTAAAATGAAACAGAAAAAAATACATAGGAAATTAGAACCTCATTTGTTTTGATCGCTGAACATAGAATACATGTTAGAATCATAATTTGAAGGGCTATTGTAGAATGGGATACCAGCCTGCGAGTTTTGCATTCCAGAGTTGTCTTGTTGTTGCGATTGTTGGTAAGATACAGGTTGGGATGGTAAAGGTGGGGCTTGTTCATATCTAGAAGGGGCTTGTTCATACCTAGAAGGGGCTTGTTTTGGAGGCAACGCTGGTGGTTGGCTACTATAAGACCCGTATAACATTGATAAGCTTTGGTTTGATGAAGGCTGTTGCAGAAGTGAATGCGGAGTATATTGTTGCTTTATATCTTGAGGAAGTGGAAGGTTTTGTTGATAATAGGAGGATTCAGGAGTGCTCATCGAAATGCTTGATTTTTTTGGGATTAATGGCGATTGACTCCAAGAGGTACTAGAGACGGAAGAATATCTATTCTGGTTAGCAATATCCGAAGAATAAATGTTATTACTGGTAGTAGTTGTAGTCGGAGGTCCAGCTGTTGAAGTACTCAAGTTCAATCTAGCCAATCTTTCATTGAGGTCATCAGATGATGATTTTGGTGCGCTGCTAAACCCTTGCAACTTCCTGGATTCCTCATTTCTGGCAGACACAAAAGAAGTAGCCTGTGATTCTAGTTGATTCAAAAATCTTTTCAATTCATCATAGAATTTTATACCATTACTAACGCCAGTGTTCACTGCTCTGTATCGACTTTCAAAATCCTTGAGAGTTTCGTACATTTGGAGCTTTTTTCCTTGTTTCTTAGAAAACTCTTGCTTCTTATCTTTGACTGTAGAATTACTATTCAATGCACCAATATTAACTTTAATAGAATTCATGATCGAATTACGTTTTTGAATGATTTTTTCAATTCGAAGTTCATAATGTTCAAATTTCTCAAGCTCTTTGGCAAATAAAACCTCCTTAATTTGATTCTCTGGCATGTCTTTATTCATAACCAAAACATCAGAAATATCATCTTCATGGATTGTAAGTTTGTATTCACTAAACATCAATCCCATCTCTTTTTGCAAATGGGCCAAAGCGCTCAAATCAGCTTCGATAGTGCCAATCAAATCTCTGGCATCAGATGAAGACTGGTCGTCGATGTCTAATAAAGAATTTGAATTAAGATCAAGTAATGAGGCTGCCTTGTCAGCTGAACTACTATTGGTAAAAAAGTAATCTCTCAACTCTTTTTTGAAGGCTGAGGCATTTCTTAACAACTTATACAATGGTTCAATTTTGGCAAAACTTTCAGCCATTTGTCGATCTGATGACTCAGTTTGAATCAAGTTTCTCTTAACTTTAATTAAATCATTCTTGATTTCCATGGACGCCAATAACGAATCTGTCTGGGACCACGAGGCCCCATATTTCAACTTATTCTCGTTGTATTTTTGCTCATCAGATCTCAATAAACCTTCGCACCTGGAAATAATATCAAGAGAATTCATCCTCTCTTTTTGAAAATTTTGAAAATTTATTTCAGACTCCATTTGAATTTCTTTACTCAACGGCTTCAACTTGTGCTTATAAAACTCCTTAAATTCCCCATCAAAGTCCAAAGCACCACCACTATCATCATCTTTAATAATAGCCTTTATGTCATTTACCGATTTCGGTAAATTCCAATATTCACAGAAGGAATTCACAGATTCATTGGAGACCTCAATTTTTTCATCAAGAGTTCTTAATCTTTTAGCCTTTTCTTCAGAATAAATAGAATTATATTCATGGACCTTTAAAGGAACTATTCTTTGAAACAAGTTCTTGGCTGACTTGTACTTGATAGTAGGGGAGCTGAAAATAGATTCCAATTTGGTGGGTCTCACAGCGTCCATTGCTTTGATAGCGTTCAAATTGAATTTTTGTGGAATAGAATCATGATAAATATAATCGTTATCCCTCTCCAATGCCACCAATTCTTTTGCGACTTTTTCCACAAGGTCTTTGATAGATTCCGCTTTAACCAATTGAACAAAGTTTTGCTTAGTGTCATCACTAGACGAGAAAGCTGTCAAAGGAACAGCTTTTGCATCATTCAAGGAGTCAGAACAGCTTTTCATATAACCAATGGCCTCTCCAAATTTGTTTGAGTTTGAGAAAACCAATGATTGATAATAATTGGCAAGAGCTTCAAAGTAATGTCTCTTAATTTTGACAATATTACTCCAATTCTGGTGAGAAGTGAACCAAATATTATCACTAATTAAAGTGGACAATAATTCATGGGACGCCTTGTAGAGATTAGCTGCGGATTGGAATAATTTGGCCAACAAGGAGTACTTCCCGTTGTCTGGCTGATTAATCACTAAATTTAGAGCGAAAACTTCCTGAGCCTGAGCTAGCATCAATTTGGCCAAAAACTTAACTGTAGTTTGATTCATATCGTTGCTTGGGGCATGAAGGAAATTCTCAGATACAAATTGGAATACCCCGGCGGCATTTTGGTAGTTTGATAGAGCGTTCTTGAAGTTTTGGGTACTATTTTCAACATCTTCATCAGTCTCGTGGTCATTATATTGATTATCCGCTATAACTGAAAAAAGAGCACCTAAATTGAACAATACTGATGCCTTTTCAAAAGCGATAGAATGTTGAGATACCTTTGCGCTTTTATTAAATGAATCAGACCAATTAAACTGAGCATGGACCCCACCACCTTCTTTAGGGGAAATTCTCATCTCCAACAACTCCAATTCAGTGTAATAGCGCAAATAAAAACCTAACCCTACACTATCTTGGTTACAACCACTCATCTCCTCTCTCAACTTATTGAATTCCGCAGTCTCCTCAGAAAAGTCATTCCAACTACCATAAACTGTGAGAAGATATTGTTTAATGGCCTGCTCCCAATCGACAGATTCTGTTTCCTTCAAAGGAATCCTCAACATCGGTAATTGCTTCATCTTTAATCAGTTATTATTTATGTTATTATCGTAGATAATTAAGTATCTTCAGCTGATGACCGATGCTTCGTGGCTATCAATAACTTTTGCCGCTTGTCTTTTCATGGGCAACCATACAGGGTCTGACACCCTGTATAATTAAATCACACTTATCATCTTGATTTGATATAGCAAACCACCTAGAGATTTGGCTAAACCACAGATAGTAATATCAGAAAACAAAGAATAATTATAAACAGATGACAACATACAGTAATTTATAAAAACTAGCTATCAGATCACTAAATTACATTTGCAAATTGCATCAGATAAAAAAAAGAAGAAAGTTACTTCACCAATTCAATTTACAAAACGATCAAATATTGTGACAACGTAGATGAAAATAGTATATTAACGAATATCCATTAAATGCAGATGGTGGTTTTTGATAGAGTTTAACAAACGATGTGATATATGAGAATCCACACAATCATTATATACGGAAATGCATTGAGTTTGGAACATTTAGAAGGGATAGGATTGTAAAAAGCATGGCTGTAAGTATTTCAAGGATAATTTAAACATTGACTCTTTCCAATTCTTCTCTACCAGCCTTAGTGTACAAGTATTCATTGTAGTCTCTGGCATTAGCCCAGACGTACCAGACCATGGAGCATGGAATGATGATGTACAAAGCTTGAGACTTGATTCTTCTGAAGGTGTTGAAGACAGCGTTGTGGGCAACGTGAGCCAAAGGTCTTTGGGCAAATGGAGAAACAGTGTAAGTGGTGACACCCTTTTGCTTTGGGGAACCTGTTTGTGTGAACGTTAGTATTATTATAACCTATAACCCATACGAGACGACTACTCAACCAACAAAGAATACAATGATATTAAACATACCGATGTTACCCCACCATCCCATATAAGTTTTACCGCCGTGACCGCCAGACATTTTGAGTTATATATTGATAGTATTAAGTAGCGTTACGTTATGTGTATAAGCTGTAGGCCTTCTTCATATTTTCACTCTCATTTTTTTTTTTTTTTACCTTTGCCTGACTTTATAATTCCCTATTTGTCATTGGCGGCCCACTGGTTACAGATACCCTGGTCCGCACCTCCTTTTTTTGGACCTCCACGGAACGGCACGGGATACCGCACCGGTATTCTATTTTTTGCTCCAACATCACGTGACTGATTCAGAAAAAAAAAAAGAAAACACACACAAAGTAAATCACCACAAGGATGAAAAACAGGCACACGTTTGAATGATCTGTTTGGGGCAAGGAACTATAATCAAGATCATATCATAATTTAATATTCACTGTACTGACCCTTCTTTTTTCTTTCAGCTCCTCAGATCAGTCCGTTAAAACCTTAATTCTCGTATTTTATTTGTTCATTCAAAGATTTGTTTGGTTTATTATTATCATCATGCATTTGGCCTTTCCTCAAAAGAATTTCAAGCCCAAAGCGGGAGGGATTTCGATATTTGCAAAGCTCCAAAGAAATAAGAAGTTTATTTCAATTATAATATTCCTCTTCACCCTCTATTACTTATTATTCCGCGAGAGTTCATCTGCTTTCTTCAATTTGGATTCAAGAAAATTACCAGAAGCTCACGGGTTATACAATGACGAAACATTGACCACAAGAACCCTCATTTTCCCACCAGTTGAACACGCTCCATTATTGAAACAACTTGGTGTTAGCTTGTTATTCCCAGTCGCCCATAATGGAATTGACAAAAAAGCTATCTACGATCAAGCTCCAGCTCTCGAGGAAACTGCAAAGGACACCCTCGAAGATCAAACCAGAAACGTCAGAGAAGCATTCAAGAACACTGGTAAATTGGTTTTCGACCACAAAAATAGAAAATCTCCAGAAGTGGTCATTGTGACTGATATTGATTTTGAAAAATATGAATTGAATCATCTCACGAAAATTGTGCAAAACAGAGTTGATTATGCCCAAGCAAGACACTATGGTATCTACGTTAGATGGACTCAAGAATTTTTCCCAAGTGTCAGCGAAGATAAAAATGATAATAGCTGGGTCAGACTTCTCATATTGAGAGCCGCCATGCACGCCTTCCCAGAGTCCAAATACTTTTGGTATCTTAATCAAGATGGTGTTATTGTGAATTATGACGCCGATATCATTCAAACATTATTGACTCCAGAAAAATTGAACCCATTATTATTGAAAGACCGTCCAGTTGTTCCTCCAAGTGGTGCCATACATACTTACAAAAATACCAAGCCGGAAAATGTCAAGTTCTTGATCACCCAAGATGAAAGAGGTCTTAACACTAACTCTTTCATCATGGTTAATGATTTATATGGAAGAGCTTTGTTGGAATTCTGGTCTGACAAATTATACAGAAACTATAATAATTTCCCACTCAAAGAGGCCAGCGCTTTGATGCATATTTTACAGTGGCACCCAGTTATCCTATCGAGAACTGGGTTAATACCCGCTAGAACAATTGCTTCATCCCATAGTGTGGTTGAGAATACCGATGAAAACAATGATATCTTTTATAAGAAGGGTGATTTGGCTGTTATCTTGAAAGACTGTCAAATTAGAAAATCCTGTGAAACCGAGTTTGATACGTATTGGAGCAAGTTGCATAAGTGATTGCTTTCGTTTTTGTTTTGGTCATTCATTCTTCTAATATTTGCTAGACAGTGGTATGTCATAATTTATTCATTATATGTCTATCTTCTTTTGTGTTTTTATACTTTTCTCTTTTTTCCGCTTAAATATGAAGGACATTCTTTGTATCATTTAAAGCTTCTTTAATTTTGAGTTTTTTTGTTCTTTTTTTAAATCTTTTCTTTCAGCAAGATCTGTGAGCTAAATTGTTAATGGATATAAGGAATGAAAAATATTATTAGTACCAATAAATCTATAAATCACAAAAAAAAGAAAGGTAAAGATGTAATAATGCTGTTATGAATGTTTCATTATATATTCTTTCTCTCTTTGAAATCTTGAAAGTACTTGTAAATTTGTCTTTTCCTCTCATCACTTAATTTTGATTCATTGCTTAATCTCAGCTTCTCATGTTCTTCAAAACACATAAAAAAATGTTCAACACTAATATCATCGCAATCCATTGCCCTGCTTTTTTCTCTTTCTTTATTAACATTCTTTTTATTTTTTAATATTGTAGTTACTGGTTTTTCGTGGTTCATGATTAACGTCGAGCCGGATTTCAAATTTAAAGATGACGAGGATGAAGTCTTTGTATTTCTCTTTCTAATACTTTTTGTCATATCTTCATATTCATCTTCATCATAAATTAACAATTGGGAAGTATTATTGAATTGAATGGAAGTGCTCTTCTTGACTTTTTTCTTCTGACCAAAGAAAACAGATTCTTGTAACAAAATATCAATTTGTGAAATTGAACTGGTTGACTGAGCACTTGAACTGAAATTGTTTGCTGTCCCAAAAACCGTGTCTATATCTTCATGTCTGATAGTTCCCTCATTCAAATTATCAGCAATATTCCGAATGTCGTCATTACAATTTCTAAACGTTGGAACATCAACGATCATTGAAATCTCATTAATGCCTTGATTTGGAGGACTTGGACTCGTACTTGTTGCCGATAAATTGATTTTGCCCAAAACGCTTTTCATCAAATCAAAGACCTTGGAATTTGAATAAGGACTTCCTTCTGACTTATTTTTCTCACTTGAAATTGAACTATCATCGATAGTATCTTCAAAAAAAGTTAACGGAATGCTTGATGCTGCCGTTCCTTCACTGGCTACTGATAAAATAGAGTCTAAATCTTCATCATTTTTCAAAAACTGATGGAAGTTACTGCTTTTGCTCATCTTGGAATTACATTCTTGATCTGAAATATTACTACCAGCCATTTTGTCACAGAATTTCATTACAACGTCTGGATCATTTATCGAAGACTCATTCACGGAAGAAAAATTGGTAAATGTAGATCCTACCCGAGTTATTTCAGAAAAAATATCAGATTCTGGCTTAATTCCAAACTCTTCAGTGACAATATCTGAGCTTTTAGTTCCTAATAGAACAATTTTATCTATTTTTTGAGGCACACTTTTGAAGGTCTCGTAGCAGCTATATTTTTTATCTTCAGATTGTTCCATATCATTCTCGCAATGAATTGGAAGATTTTCGTTATTTGTTTTTTTTCTATGAGGGTTCTCTTTACCCTCATTTAAAGAGCTTTTTAAAGAATGAAGTATTCTCGAATCTTGTGCGAATTTTCTTCTCCATGATCTTTCTAATACTCTTTTCGGCTCTCTTTCATTACTGAACGCATTGCGTCTAGTGCTTGTAATATAGTTTGAGATTGAGATTGGCGATGTATTATTTTCTTTTTTTTTATACCCTAAGCTAAGCCAGCCTTGTTCTCTAATTTTTCGTTGACTTGAGCGAAGCTTCCCTTTTGAAATAGCCGGAGAAAAGAAAGCAAATGGGTTGGAAGAGTTATCGGAATCTTCCAAGAGATCCGCTATTGGCTCGAAATCATAAATGTTCAAATCCTCATCATCACTATCAAAAAATAACTGATCTATGAGTTCTGAGCAAAATTGAATATTCTGGTGAATATTGACGGGATTTTGGTTTGACACTGAATCCGAATCGCACAATTCATTGTTTGAAGAAGAGTCTTTGTTGGATTTGGAATATGAATCTTCGGAAAAGTTGGAAGAATTTGGTGATAAAATAATCGGGTCTTTGGGATAATTCTTTCTGTGACGTTTGAAAACGTCAAAAATTCCTGATGCTCTAGAGTTAAGCTTTTTAAATCGAGTTTTTCTTTTCCAGCAGGACTTGTGGCCATTATAATAGTCCGTGGTGGATAAAGTCGAGAAAATAGAGCGGGGACTTGAGTGCATTTTTATTTCACTCACCTAGAAGTGACTTTAAGATATTCTCGTGAGAGGCGTTGTTGTTTTGTTGAATTGTTATTGGTATTAAGGGCAAATATTACCTCTTTTATTTTTTGTAAGTTCAATTGATCAATCTGATAAAGTATAAGAAAGATATTCAAAGGGTTTTCACTGGCCACTAAATCAGATGACGATTTTAGCAAATTAATATGGCAAGAGCACTGAAATACCCTCTCCGCTTTGTTTTGGGAGGAAAAAAAGGTGGTCAATGATGACAGCAATGAGGAAAGAAAGATAAAGGAACTTTTTGTTTGTGGTAAGGGAACTCAAAAGAAAAAAAAAAGTAATCCAATAATGCATACATCATCATTTCCTTTCGGCATATAGTTACATTTGCTAAGCTTCAAAACTATTTACAAGATCATATATTGTGTGATTGACTTACGACAAAGGAAAGCCGACATGCTTTGCTCACTTGGTTATAGGCAAATCTATAATCGGATAGTTGGAGAACGAGTTTTGGACCTTCACATGTTGACACAAAAACGTTTGAAGCCCCGTGCGCCAAAACTTGGGAGAGAGGCAAAAAAAAGTGGTCTTCTGATTTGATGTTGTTATAGCAGTAGGCAATGTGGATATATATCTTTGAATTGCCCGCAAATATCCAGTTTTTATTCGATAATGACGAAAAAAGACTCTGTGAATTACTTGCCTGGTATGTTTTCGTATTTTTTTCAGAATGGAAATGGTTTTGTGCTACTTTTATATTTGTACTCTCAGAGATAGAGATCCATACTAACATGATTGTTCTACAGCCCTAGCAGATGCCTACGAGTAAGTTAAGACTATTATATGTAATGTACACGAATATTATTGTTATTTGAGAACAATTAACTAATTATTTTTGAAGTCCGTTATCCGCGGAACAATTAGAGATTTTAAATCAACAGGTCATAAGCGAAGGTGAGATGGCCTCAGTTCAGTCAAAGTTCAATTATGCCTGGGGTCTCATAAAATCAGATCTCAAAGAAGAACAAAAACTTGGGGTTAAAATCCTTACTGAAGTGTTTAAAGACTCTCCACAAAGGAGAAGGGAGTGTCTATATTATTTGGCCATAGGAACGTATAAATTGGGAGACTACTCAGATTCTAGAAGATACGCCGAAGCCTTGGTTAATCACGAGCCTGATAATGCGCAAGCTATTGCCTTGAAGAGAATGGTGGAAGACAGAATTTCCAAAGAAAGCTTGATTGGTGTTGGAATTATTGCTGGTACTGTTGCCATTGGTGCGACCGTCTTGGCTTCTTTATTGAGAAGAAGGCGCTAGAGAGAATTTTTTTATGAGCTCATATTTATTGATTTGTGATTTGTTGTTTTGCCTTTTTGTTTAATACCCTCTTTTATCTCTCTCTTTGGATATACATTCATATTCATACTTTGGAAAGTTCTACCTATTGGCTGATAGGTGTGTACTCTAACTTCCGCATCGACCTGTGGATCCGTTTGCGGCTTTAGAAGTCTCATATTTCTCTTTGTATCTTTCTCTCTCTTTGTGTAAATAGTGCTGTTTTCTTTTCAGTTTTCTTTTCTTTCGTCAATTTATTTTCTACTTATAAGAACAACATTTTTGACATTATTTATGATTTAGTATGGGAATGGTTGTGTTGTTACCCGTAGATTGTAAAATGAATTAGCATATTTGTAAGATCAAATAGGGAACCAATTTCATCATAGTAGCTAGTCATCTTTTCCTTTCTCTTTTCTCTCGTTTTTTCTTCCCTGTGAGTATTGTTGACTTTAGAGGATTATCAATAGAAATATCACACATTTTTAATAATCAAGGAGACTTCATTTTGCAGTGCATCATACCGGTAAAAAAGAACCAAAATACCATCTTTTCAATTTCTTACACTCTTTTTTTTTTTTCCAAACCATTTTTTTTCAGTGTGGCTATAGAATATCTTGAAAACCATCATGTACCATTAATGGTGTCATTAGTGACAAGTTCTGCGAGATTGATGTTGATTTTATGCATATTCTCAGACCGATGTAATACTTATTTTATGCCCAAAGATGTAAAACATTTGATTTGTATAATACCATGGATGTCTAATGAAGTCTCTAGATTAATCCAAGTGGTATGAGAAACTTCAAGGTCACCTTTAGCAAGTAATGTTAGCTAGCGCCTCTAAAACGTTTTACTTGCACGGAATGCTTGCAAGGGGTCGGGGGCTTTTGGTCAACCAAGAAGTCTCCTACTTACAAAGAGAACCTATATGAATGATGATTGAGTGTCAATGGTGTGTGACATTTTAAGAATAAACTCTGGTTGGCAGAATATTTTCTTTATTTTTTTTTTTTTTTTTTGGTTAAGCTTTTTGGCATCAAGTATATTTAAGCTTCTTGTTTAATTTTGAAGTTATCATTTCTAATATTCGGCATTGTTACTAAATAATAGTTGAAACCAGACATTATGATAGATACATTGTGGGTCTAAAAGTAGATAAATTGCCATAGATCTCACTAAACAAATTGGGCATTAGAGCATATTTTACTAGCGTGTTTTCCAAGATCGCTTTTTTCTTTTTCTTTTTTTTTGTTTTCAAGCTAGAACATGATGTTTTTGATTAGAGCCATTTGTCAAAAGAAATAAGAATGTGGAATGAGAGGACTTATCAGGTAATTCAGAAAATAAGGTTAAGCTTGACATCTGGCTGAACCAATCAAATAGACATACCGTTATTTAGTGACCATGCTTGTTTTTGATTGTATTTCGGCTATACTGTTTGTTTCAAAGACGATGAATAAAAGTTTTTCGAATCTGAAACTTTAATAAGCCAGATATCGTAGAAAAACCGATATCGATATTACGGGTTTTTATCTGTTAGTATTCCCTTGCCCCTATTATTATGATTATTTTATTGTTACTACATCGAATATAAACGCACACGATTGTTGCTATTATAATAACTATTGTGGATTGTTTGGTACCGACTGTTCTCGCATTATTAGTATTATGGAGAAATCTCTCCCGTGTGTTTCACTGCATTTGTTCTAGACTTTTTTTTTTTTTATTGTCAACTTATGTTGCAAATCAAGCACAACCATACGACGACGCAGTGATTAAGGTATTAAGTGATAAAGCTCACTCAAATGTGTATTACACGAAATAAGAAGATGGGATGCAAAATTAAGAGTATCTTCTGGGAGCGGGGGAGATACAAATTTTATGAAAGCTTAGCTAACTATATGACACAATAAATATGAAAAAGTATCATCCTGATGGTTGTTGAACAATTGATCGTAAATTGGTACCCATGACCTTTGGTATACGTATATACACGCGCAGATACCAGCATGGTTGTGGAACATGGTTTACTTATTGATTTGTGCCTTAAATAACACCAAAAAATTATGTAATACGATTGCACAAAGTACTGGGTGGGCAATTAAGTAAGTGGAGGAATATAATAAGTGTGTTTTCATTCACTTTTCCACAGCGATAATCATAATATTTCCATTTGGTGAAACAAAAAAGACCTTAGAAAAGTGAGATAGATCTCCCTTGATCTTCGCCTGTTCGATCGATTAGGGAGATCGACTGAAAAATCAGATTCGATTCGGTCAAGGATGTGGACAAAGCAGGTACAGTGCAATGTCCACAGAATACACCGATGAAGAACATTGATGACAAAACCCAGATTCATGGTTGTATAAATAATACCTTACCTCCAATAAACTTCCTGGTAGAAAATCTGTAGGGAGTTCCTGATGATCCTTAACAAATTAAAGACATAATTACCTGGTTTCCTTTCGTTCTTGGTTCGTCTCTTTGTTTCTGTTTTCCAGATTTAAGGAACAATCCTGGTTGCTCTGCAACAACAAAAAAAAAACATAAACAAAAAAAAGTGCTTTTTCCAATTGTCAAAGGAGAAGATCCGATTTTCTCATCAAGCATAATCCAAAAAAAAAAAAAAACAAAAAAAAAAAAACAGGGATCTAATTACATCTAAAAATAATTACTTTTTCTTATTCAACCTGAACCATTCTGAGAGTGATTATTTGGTATATATATCTTGACAACCACCACCCTTAACCAAACAATTATACCCGAATCCTGAGTGATTTCTTATGTTTCCTCATTTGCTAGCCTCGTCAGCAGAGAGCTAAAGTCCAATTTGTTGTGCAGCTGTGCTTTTAACAGTGGTGCATAATTCGGAGGTGACGAGCGTCAGCAGTGTGATTAGCACTCTGCAGGTCTCAGAGCTTAATCTGGATTGAGGACCTCTTTCAAGGTAAAAATCCATCTCACACGCGTAGTTGTATAGATATATGTAGACATATATATATACACTCTCGTTCTCTTATATAATCATGATGCATCCCCCACTTGATCTTCATCTGTTGATAGATGAAATGATTTGCTTTTCTATTTGTTTTGTTTCACATTGATTATCACTGTACATTGTCCAGTATCACAAAAAACCTACAGAAAAGAAGAAAGGAAAGAAAGGAGAGAAAAAAAAAATGTCGAAAATTGAACTTTACCTCAAGCTCAAAGCTGGAAAACCGCCAGGCCAGGATCTTTTGAGGGTGGTGAATGAATCACAGATCAAAGAAAATTCCATCGATGTGGTTTCCAATAATGAAAACAATACCAAACCTGGCAACAGGCCAACCTCATATACAAAAACACAACAACAACAACAACAACAACAGCAGCCCCTATCAACTGATAGCTCAGTATTTTCCTTCGACAAAGTTTTCAACGAGCAAGTTTCCATAAATCAAATATACCAAGAAGTGCTTGAACAATCAATACATGATTTAATTGGTCTACACAATGACACAACATTTTTCAACTTTGGGCCTCCAAATTGCGGGAAGACACATTCGTTATTCGGCAAGAGTTCCAACGGTTTGTTGGGTCTTTCTTTGAAAAATATTTTCCAAAAAATAGAGCAAATTAATGGCCCAGACTTCGACAGTGCTGTTTACCATGAAATATTAGGGTCACATTATGGTGGATTACTCCTTAATGCTAATGATATTGTTGAGGACCCAAAGAAGTCTTCTTCGAATAAACCTAAACCAATAGCAGAACAACCAAGTGATCGTGACAATCGCAGTGATGATACCAACAACAATAACACAAAACGTATTATTTCAATCAGCATGTATGAAATTTACAACGATTCCGTCCACGACTTGCTCGAGCTCACAAAAGACTATACCTTTTTGAAAAAACAAATCAAAAAACAAGTCCATAAATCAACCGAAATTTTTGATGATGCCAAAGATGGCAAAACAAAACCTTCAAATATTTTCACAATGTCGGTATCTTCATTCGAGCAAGCAATGCTATTGATCAATTCTGGGTTGAAAAATAGTAACGTCTTGCCAATAAGTCAGTCAGCGAGGTCCCATTTATTTGTCCTGGTCAATGTCCATGCTATCGATACCTCTTCTAAAACAACCACCAAGAAAAAATCAGCATTCAATTCCGCCACAAAAGGAATATTGACTCATGATTCAGTCCCAGGAAAACAAATAAAAATTAAGACTTCTAGATTGACATTCTCTATGGCATCTAGCTTGGAAAGAACCAGACTTTCTTCTAATCTGGGTAGTAGAACTAGTTTTTCGGAAAATAATTCTAATGATCAATCATTGACTGATCTCTGCAGGGTGTTGGCAATTTTGAACAAAAGCAAAAATAAAACTAAAGAAAAGTACCATTTACGAAGTGATAAACTATCAAGGTTGTTATTGAGTGATTATATTGCGAGTCCAAACAATAAAATGATGATATTATTGAATCTTGATCCTTATGGTAACTTGAACTCAATCAATTCAGCGTTAAGGCTAATTTCCCCATTTCCAAGGGCCAGAAATTCCTCCACCTCCGGTTTCAATTTTAATAGAAGCTCATCTTTCAATTTCAAATTAGGGTTCAGGAATAGAGAATTAAAGCTAGCACCATCGCCGACAATGCTGAATCATGGAAAACAAGTCTCTAGAAACTCAGTGTCTCCAACCACCTCAAGAAATCACAGATTTTCAACTCACAGTCCTGCCTCAATTAATACTAGATCACCACAAAGTACAGTTGAAGGATTAACTCATGTTCGTGAAAGTTCAAATTTATCTATCACACCATCGCATGCCAGTACTATGGCCACCTTACCTGAAAATGAATCCACAGTTGCATTTAGAAGATTATCAATGATTCAGAAATCATCTTCACCACCATCACCAATTTCCCTTAGAAATACCGGATATTCTGCTTCTACAAAAAAGAAGGTTAGTACTTCACCATTAGTTGAATCGTTCACTGCCGCCAAAGTTGACAGGCTTCCTCCCTCGTCGTCTTCTCATTCTCCTACTTCGTCTCCTCCCCTTCCACCTACCCCTCCTCCACCGCCACCTCCGACTGAAGGTCCAAATATTAGACACCAAAGTATGGTTGATAAACGAAATAGACAGCATTCCAATGGTCCAATTAGATCCCAATCATTCCCGCATAAACAACAACACAACTCCATATCTTCTAGCAACTATAATTCTCCAACAAATTCCAAGAATTCTAGTATCATCTCCAATAGTAATCTGACCACCAGTACCCCGGGATCTTCTTGGCCAAGCGTGATGACAGTTTCCTCATCATCCAGTGTTGTTAACAATTTTATCAAATCAATGGATATAAATACCTCGGACAAATCACAGATATTAGAGAAGATTGTTTATAGATGCCAAACTTTATGCGACGAGAATGCTTTCTTGAAAGGTAGAAACCAGCTATTGGAAGGTAAAATTCACGATTTGAATAACGAACAGAAAAGTCGTGTCCAGCAAATGGCTGAAGATTTAACTAGTTCAAGATTAGAGATTGACGCACTTGAAGTTGAGAATAAGAATCATACAGACAGGATAGACGAATTGGTGAAAGAAAACTATGTATTGACCAAACAACATACAGCATCAAATAAAGCCAAAGATACCCTAATAGATGAATTACGGAGCAAAAACGATGACCAAGAAGTCCAATTATCAGATACCATAAAGCAGCTCAATGCAGCTAAAGAAGAGATCAATTACCTAAAGAATGAGCTTCGGTCAACCAATGGAGATTTAGAACAAATCAAACACAAATTCACCGTGTTGGCGTTCCAAAATCATGAATATTATCAGAAATACAGCCAGGCAAAAGAAAGTTTGGCAAATATGAAATTGGAAGGAAAGACGAATAGTGATAGTAATAGTAATTCCACCATTGAAGCGGTTACTCCAAAGAAAACAAGGTTCCAAAAAGCAAGAGAAAAAATCAATTCTTTTTATTTCGAAGAATTTTCATTCAATTCAACTTATAACGAGGAGTCTGATATTTCTAATATAATAGAAAAAGATGACTATAATCATGATGAGAATAATCATGATGAGAATAATGACAATGATTGTGAGAAGTATTCTATGTTACTGAAGGATTATTTGATTGAGCCATATTTCAACAAGGATTTCGGTTCTGGAACCCATGAAAATTCTACCAGCAATAGTTCAATGATTTTTGATTTTGATGATCCCCGTCATGAAAAGAATTTGGCCACCTCGGCTTCGAATTCTCAATATGAAAGTGAGTCCGAAAGTCATGTCAAGATAAACTTCAATTTATCCTCTTTTTCCCCGGCAATTAAGAAAGCCTCAGATGATCGTTGAAAAATTCTCCACTGTATCGATTTATAATATACCCATAAATTTATAGCATTAACTAGCCAATATTAATTAATAATCTTCACTCACTACCACCTCTATCTTTTTCTTGTAAGTAGTCGTTTATCCGTAATTTACTTAGTAGTGTTAACATGAATCCAGGATTTTGGAACCTTTTGATCATCTTGGTGTCCGGGTGTTTTTGGGATCTCATACAAGTAAAGTAATTTCATTTCATGAGATTACTTTTACTTCTTGCCATTTTTCATTTGTAGCCACTCCAATTTATCTATCCTATTTCCAAGGGAAAAAAATGACCGTTACTATTGTTACTGGAGCCTCGACTGGTATTGGTAAGTCAATTGCCAATTATATTTTATCTAGTTCTTCGACCTCAAAAGTGTTTTTGACCGCAAGAACTGAAAAACCATTGGCAGATTTTGTCCAAGAGTTTGGATCCGCCAGGGTTGGGTATTTTGTTGGTGATATTTCTGAAAAACAAACCCCACTGGCTATTGTATCCAAGACCATTGAGAAATTCGGTGCCATTGATGCGATTGTTGCCAATGCCGGGATGTTGGAACCAGTGGAATCAGTTCAACAGGTCAAAATTGATAACTGGAAGAAATTGTTCGATGTTAATTATTTCTCAGTGGTTGATTTAGTCTCTCAGGCTCTTCCATATTTGAAGCAAACCAATGGTAGTATTATCTTGGTTTCCTCGGGTGCTTCTACAAAATCATACTACGGTTGGACTGCGTATGGTGGTTCTAAAGCTGCCATTAACCATTTTGCCATTTGTGTTGCTAGTGAAGTTCCAGAAGTCCGTATTGTATCTGTTGCTCCAGGTGTGGTTGATACAAGTATGCAGACTTCAATCAGAGAAGTTTACGGCAAAAATATGACGCCACAATCTTTGCAAAGATTCATTGATTTGAAGGCCAATAATCAGTTGTTGGATCCCCACTTTGTTGGAAAAATTTATGGAAATTTAGCTCTCAAAGGTGTCTCCGAAGAGTTAAATGGGAAATATGTCAGATACAATGACAAGTTATTGAAAAGCTATACTGAATAAATGATCATTACTAGTTTTAATTTTACAAAAATAAATAGGTAAGTATGTAGCAACGAGCAAGAGGAGAAGATCAACAAGTGAATGATAAACAAGCACCAAGATAAAAATCTCTTCATGAACTGACTAGTTGCATTCTTTCTAAGAAACCGGAACGAAATATTAATTGTTACTTTACTGTTAATAAAGTCAAAAAATATTCAACTATAAAGCTGTGGTTGATAAATATATTGCTAAACTCATAATAAGAAAGCAATAATTTATATAGGCTCCTATGGAAATAATAAATAATACGTTAAGTATTACCTACTGATGATAAAGAAAAGAAAAAAAAATCAAAAGAAGGATCGAAATGAATTTGGAGAATTTTTCTCCCTTTTATAGTTTTTCCCGAGCGACTGGAAAAAAAAAATGCAGTAGTGCTTATAGTTTTGCTATGGTAGGGTAACGACCGTTGCACCCATCAACAGACATTGAAAATTTTGAATAGTAATGATGTAGATTAACTATTTTTGTCTATTAGAGAGTGTTCATTTATTTTTTCCGGTTCTGGTTTTATGCTATGGCTCTATGGCATTGATATGTTGGTTCACGGTTAGCGTCTCATGAAAATTATTCATCCGTACATCGTAAATAACACCCGTACACCGAATGAAGTAATTACAGAAATATATCACTTATATGTTTAGGCACAACCGTAGCTATCTATTGTGCTGAATTTACATTATAGGATTCCAGAGATTGATACTGGGAGATCTGATCTAATGGATGATGAATATCCTTACTCCCAGTTCCAAATACATAATTGTCCTGTGACTTTTTTGACCTCTTCTCCCTCAGGAAAACTTGTGCTAGCTGGTTTTGAAGATGGAAAGATCAAAGTTTTGAATTTACAGAATAACGTTCGAAATGAGGAAATGTTCATGAATTTGACCGATACAATATCCACGGTTTCAAAAAAGATCACCAGCATAAACTTCAATTTGTCAACTAATCTCAATGAAATCTTATTATCGTCTGGTAACACCATTACTCAGTTCGACTATCACAAAAGTGAAAGCATTCGAAGAATTACCGATGATAGAAGTTGGTTGATTAATAATAACTGTAATTACTTGAATAGCGATTTGGTAGCTGCTATTGATAACGATAATAGTTTGAAATTGTATGATTTGAAAAATAAGTCCAATAAGCCGGTCCAAGTTTTCCGTAATTCAACCGATAGCTTGACTTGTTTTGATTTCAAAAAACAAAGAAATTGGTTCATTGCATGTGGAACCAATGACGGTAATATCTTCAGCTATGATTTGAGGATGGAGAAATTGATCATTGATAAATTTGCTTCATATATTAATGAAACAAAAAACCATTCAAATGAAAAATATCCCATCACTTCGGTATCATTATCTGATGGTCCAAATATTACAAAATCATCTTCAAAGTATGCATTAATTGGAAGCCTTCACAATCAATTAAAACTTATGGATCTTGATATTGGAAGCTTAACCCAATCGTCGACAAAATTTATTTCCAACTATAATGAATATTCCATTAATAGAGACATATCAAACTTACAACTGAGGCAAGACTTCGATAGAAAAATACCTGACAAAAGTTATCAAATTGAAGCCAAGATTTTCAACACTGATAAAAATGTGATCTCAGGTTCAGAGACGGGCGAAGTTTACGTTTGGAACTTCAGTAATCCAAAAAAGGGCAAAGACAATTTGATACTAAAAACTTACAATAATTACATGATCAATGAGACCCAAAGTAATAAACTTCTTCTGAACGTATCTCACCTTGGAGGGGTAAATTGTGTATTAGCTGGAGGAGGCGACGGCAAGTTACATTTGTGGGAAAATGTCAACTTGAATTGAACTTAACTTAATAGATTTTTCATTAGCAAATAAAATGTTCAAAAATTTCCCCAGAGCGAGCAAAAAAAAAAAAAGAAAAAAAAAAAAAATTTCCTCTTAATCGTAAAAAATCTCATCAATTCTTCTTACCATTCAAAAGATGATTCAAAATCTCCGATGAGTGGCTATTCTGATGGTGGCCTTCAAGAAATGGCTTGCTTCCAACCAACCCTGGTGGTGGAATGGCATTGGACACAATTGTTCCTGAAGTAATATTTATCGCTTCGTTAGCATCAGTAGCATTTATTTTACTTGTTCCGTTAGTCATAAAATAGTCTTCTGCTCTGGTATTCAAAATGATTGAATCAACCAATTTGGTTCCAACTATTAAATAATCGATCTCCTCATCTTTTGCAGGCTCCTGTAAATTTTCTTGAGGTAGAAAAACAAATAACTGCTCGAAAGAATCTGGATCATCGTGGAACCTTTCCTTGAAACTATCTGTTTTAAATTCATAATCAATATTTTCGAAACCTGTTTGTAACATTTGTAAAGTTTGGGACATGAATTTAGTTGATGAGGCCTCGTTAAGAACTAAATCATCAATGTTATCCCTGAGCTTGTCTTTGTTAGCATTAGAACTTTTGTCTCTCCTTTTCTCCTTGTGGGTTATGGTATGGAGATTAGTTCCGGAATTATTACTTCCTTGTAAAGCAGTTTCAGCTAAAGTAGGGAAAGCTGAAACATTTGCCAAAGTTGCGTTCTTGGGTTTTGGTGAGTTATTTTGTGAATTTCCTGTTCCAATATTTTTTGCCCAAGATGCCGTCGGTGGCAATCCTACACGATTATGTTCATGATCATTTTCGTGAAGAGAATCATGTACATTGCCATCTTTACCGCCATGAGCTCCATATCTAATTATTCCTCCCTCACGATGTCTACCTAATTCATTTCCTTGATGAGTCGACATATCCTGGCGATTAAATGAATCAGCCTCCTCACCAGGTTCATGTAAGAACATACAGTTTGGATTTGGACACGGAAGCCCCCTAAGATAAGAAGAACAATATTTTGTGGTGCCATAAGCCGCTCTAATAACTCTTCCATCCATTATTGATCCATCAATTGCTCGAATACATCTATCGGCATCCTCCGTTTTCGAGTAAGTCACGTAAATGCCGTATCCCGTGTTTCCAACAGAATTGGCATTTTGATTTCTTTTGTTGATAACGAGCTTTAGGATCTTCCCATATTGACCAAAATATCTTTCTGATCTCAAAGTCGGTTGTAGTTCTTCTGGCGTTACTGGAGGGTTCAATCCAACAACATACACCAAATTTTTCTGGATCACCCTCATATCTGCCAAATGTTTTCTGGAAGCATTTTCATGTTCTCTCCTCTCTTTTTCTTTTTGTTTCTTTTCCTTGTCTCGATTTGCCTTCCGTGAGCTCTCAGCCTTAATTTCCGCTTCAGTGAGTTCAATGTATTCCACATCTTCATCTCGGTATTTTCTTCGACAAGCCGGACATCTTCCATTCAATTCCGGGTTCTCTCTAATATTATTGTAACAAAATTGACATATTTGATATCCGCATGGACATGGCTTGAATCGCTTATCTGAGCTATCCATTTCTTCAGCACAAAGTGGACAAATATCCTCCTCATCGCTCAAGTAGTCATCACTATCATATTCTTGTAACACCATTTTCCTTTCAATGTTTTTTTTTGATGTAATTAGATGTTAAATATATTCTGAAATGAAATAAATTTCACAGGAAAGAAACATAAAATAAAATAAAAACTCAGAATTGATTGATTGCTATAATTTGTTGAAATGTATGTTTATTATTGTTTGAGTTTAGCATATAACAACTGTGCATATTTGTTTTTTTCTTAAACACAAAAAACATATACTTTACCCGGTCCAAATCTAACATAGACTGACATCGAGGAACTTTTTTTTTCGAGATGTCAGAGTGCATGTTTGATTGAATTACACTGAATAAAAACTTTCTGTCCATAGGGAGACATAACTCAAGTATATAATCATAATATTGCCTCAAAAATGAGTAACGAAGACTTTCTGCTTTCTAAATCAAAGTTGGGCACTAAAGAGTATTGGAATGATTTCTATAAACTAGAACAAACAAATTTCCAATCCAACAGTGAGGATACCGGTGAATGTTGGTTTGATGAATCAGATGCTGAAAACAGAATGATTGATTTTTTGGTCAGCAATTTCCAAGAATTACCTACTATTAATGAAGACTCGAAGATAATTGATTTGGGAACGGGGAATGGACATTTATTGTTTGAACTATATCAACATGAAGATGAGGTTTATGTTAACAATCGATTAATCGGGTTAGACTATTCGGAAAATTCCGTAAATTTTGCCAAAGATATTGCTAAAAGTAAAAACTTGGACAATATACTTTTCTATCAAGTAGATTTCCTCACAAAGTACAAGGAGTTTTGGGGAAATGAAATTTTTCAAAATGTTGATGTCTTTTTAGACAAAGGTACACTAGATGCGATTGCCCTTAATGATGCAAAATATCCATTTGAAGATGGAAAATCATATTTAGGATATGAGCTATATCCTAGGATTATTGAGAAGTCCATTAAGCAAGAGGGTATTATTCTTATAACAAGTTGCAATTTCAGTGAAGAAGAGTTAGAGAAAGTTATTCTAGAAAATAGCACCAGGCTTAAAGTCTGGAAGAAAATTAAATATCCTAGTTTCCAGTTTGGTGGTGTTAAAGGTTCTGCTATTTGTTCCATAGCATTTATAAAAGAGTGATTTCATATTGCCCAGTTGGTACATCTATTGAAGATTAATGAATGTTTTTTTTTGTATTCCGAATGATATGGAGAGTACATCAAGAACTTCATTGGCTATTTTTTCTTTTTTTGTAGATTTAATAGAATCCCTTGAAAAAATTTGTAGATTTATCATGTTTCCAAATATTATGATTCATGAAATTTGTTTCATTTCCACTTTACTAGGTTTTCACCGGCAGCCCAAATTCATTATTTATTCTTTCTTGTTTATTCAGAACTCGTGCTCTTTATCGTGCATTTGGAACCCTTTTGTGATCAGCTTACATAACCTTTAAAATGTATAGATTGTAGTGACAATAGTTAATCCAGTGCAGAAGTGGAAGTTTAATGCAATATTACATATGTCAAATAATAAAAACTCTCCTGTAATTCTTTCTTCCATATGATGAGAGTGACGGTTCAATTTGATTATGATACGCTGTTAATGATGTTTTAATATTGGGCTTTCCCAATTATTTAATCTCTCAAAGGAACATAAATGAATAAATGTGTGGATCAATTATATATTAAAGAGTCGCGGAGTCTCAAAGTAACATTTAAGCCAGGCTCATAAGCCCCCACATCTGAATTGAAGATTTTAGACACCCGCAATTGAGTCACGCTTTGGTTGTCTTGGAGATATGTCCCTCCATCATTTCCTAATATTTGCACCAGCTTTTTCGCCATTTACGCGAGTTATTGCCAACCAATCAACACCTAATATAATGCAAGTGAAATAAATCAACACAAAAAAACCAAATTGCATAATAGTTAGAAAATAATGTTTCACGCAAAAATGAAGCTCTGAAATGGTAATGAATAAATAAACAAATAAATGAATTGCAATTAATTTTAATTAACGGTGATGTGATTAATCCTTAAAGCAAGGAGTGTGAGGTTGTGAGAAAGTTATAGTATTTTACTTAAAAATTTTTTTTTTTTTTTTTTTTAAAGACAAAATTCAATATATTAATTAATTATATAACTATATATCTCATAAACTACTTAATGTAGTTTGAAAATTAAAGTGTTAAGGGAAAACCATTAATGGTGAAAAACCCTATTATTGAGAAAAAATGTTTTTATGCGTTTTTAAGGTTTTTAATTGTTGTTTTTTTTTTGATTTTATTTTTTTTTTTGATTTTATTTTCTTGTTTTTCCCCACCTATTTTTTCTTCTCCGCTTAAAAGATATTGCTTTCAAGCAAGAAGATCATTGAATCAACGGCCATATGACAATTGAAATGCCTTTTGGATTTCAATCTTGATAATTTTCGTTGGAAACCTAGATATCTATCGATCATTCTGGTTTCGTTCATGTTGGTGGCAGGGGTAATGATTGTTTGCCAGGTTAATGGGATATTCAAGTCAGTTTTTTTCCAAAGTTTCTGGGCCAATGGACATTCAATAAGATGGTGCTTCATGATTTCAAATTGGATTTCCTTTGGGGCATATTGGGGTTCATCATATCTGGTTAATTTTTTGCTGCAATAGTCACAATGATTATTTACGTAATTGTGATTTTCAATGCCCAAATGAAAGATGTGAATATTTTGATATTTCCCCGGGAAATGTTGGTTGAATTTTTTGAGGTTATGCCAAAAGTTATCAACTTGTTTCTGATTCACCCCAGTAATATCCATGAGTGTTTTTGACATCTTGTCCACATCTTGTTTTTCCCGTTGTTTTTTACTTCCTTTAGTATGGTCAAAATCCTTAATTCTAATTGGAATGTGTTGTTGATATTTTTCAGGAATCCCTTTTTCAATTGAATTTTTCAAATCTTCAATTCCAATCTTCATTGGCTTCAACCTGATTGTACGTTTCTTTATACCAAGAACTTTTCTGAAATCCCAGTACGCTGTCCTTTCAGCATCTGAGAATGTGCTGCTATTCATAACTTCCAAGGAAATTGAATCATTGGTATTCTCAATGTCATCCGCTAGTTCAAGTAATACCACCCACCAATAATGAGTTTTGATATAATCTTCCTTTGGTGATTTTGTTGGTGATGTTTTTTGAATGATGTTGTTGATACTTGATTGAATTTTGAAACGTAATATCTGGTTATATTTAGTGTGACTATCCAAAAACAAATCCTGGAAAATTTTAGCTCTTCGGTGTTGGAGTTGAGACTTTAAATCAATCATTGAGAAACCGCCTTTGTTGTTGTGTGTCTTGAGTGTGTCCAAAGAAATAGGTGTATCTTGCTTGACCAATAATTTAATCGATGTGTCAATTTGATTCAACTGATTGGGTAACAAAGGTTGGTGTAGTTCTTTGTAATAGAACTTGGATGCAATATATGTGTTGAATGCTTCTATTTTTGATTGAATCAGCAAGCTGGTCATGTTTGATAACTTGTACTTGATATAGAGGTCACGCTGCAATGTTTCCGGCCAAAATGTCACTGATGGCCCAATAGTTATCCCCAAATATGTCAATTGAAAGTTTTCATCAGCAATCTCAAATGGGAATGGTGTCAAAAATGGATAAGTATCAGTTGGTATGATTAGTTGGGATTTCTTTTCATTGAGTTTGCTGCCACTGAATTTTTCAAATAGTCTAATACATTTCATTGTTTTGGAATAATCTCTTTTATCTTTGAGGAAAACTGTGATATCATCAGCAAAAGCAAGATAATGTTGACTGCTATATGCTTCAGGTATCAAATCTCCTTGGTAACTATGGCCTCTGGTATTCTGTTTGATAGATCGTAGTAAAGGTTCTACTGCTAATGCAAATAATGAAGGGGAAAACGGATTACCTTGGAGGGTACCATTTTTTAAATTGAATAATGGGCCGGTCATGTTGTTGATGTATAAGGATCCCGTTGTCTGCTTGAGGATGTTGATGATTAACTTGGCTAATTTTTTTCCAAAATTTAAATGGGACAATAGTTGTTCCATATATTCGTGAGATATCCTATCGAACGCTTTCTCCAAATCCACAATTAGTATCAGCTTTTGTGGATTTGGTATTATATGCGTTTTATCTTTTGGATGAATTAGACTATCTAACATTTCTCTGAAAATGGTGATGTTGGAGAACGATGACCGGCCTGGAATAAAACCAGCTTGATCTTCCCCTATGATATCAGGCAAGTGCTTCAACAACCTATTATTAATTATTGTGGATAATAATCGAAGATTAGTGTTGATAAGGGCTATCGGCCTATAGTTTCCAATGTTTTCTTTTGACTTTCCAGGCTTTGGTATGATGTTAAAGAGTATAGTTCGGTAGTGGAATGGTAAATTTCCTTCAGTTAGAATGTGGTTAAATTCTTGAAGAAGGATGTGTTTGATTTGGGGAAATAATTCCTTATAAAATTTGTATGGGATTCCATCTATGCCCGGTGTGGACTTCAAATTTGCCGAATCAATTGCCAGTTTGAGTTCTTCCATTGTTATGGAGGAATCCATTTTTCTCTTCTCTTCAGGAGATATTCCTTGGGTTGGAATCACGTCCTGAAGATATTTATGTATTTTTTTTGTGTCCTTTGTTCCTCTGGTTCCATCAAACAAGTCCATATAATATTCAGTTGCTATTTTCATTATCTCTTCATGAGATTGAACTAGTGTCCCTTCTACATCTTTTAGCTGTTTTATTGGGCGTTGTTCTTGATATTGGTGGAAAACTTGGTTAATATGTTGATAATATTCCGTCACTTTATCAAGTTCAGGCACTTTCACTTTTTTCAACATGTGTTTGAGTTTTTCTGCTTTGCATTTAATATCAATTATTAATTCATCGGTTCCTTGGATATCTTCATTTATAGATTGGTGCCTGAGAACATTAATGATTCTATCGGTTAATCTATATCTCTTCATATTATAGTAAGCCTTGGATGAAGTTAAAGTCAACTCCACTGTAACTGAATCATGTGTGGATCTTTTCCCAAAATGATTTGTTTGTGTCATATTCCATTTGTTTTCTTTGTTTTTTAAGAAGCTCCCAGTGATATAGAACCTATCCAATCTCCGGCTTTTCCCTAATTCTGATGCTTTATTAGTGAATGTTTTCTTGATGTTATGTTTGATTGAATTGAATGAGTCCTTCAAGTTCAACAAAGTAATGAGATTAGTTAAGGATTCAGCAACTGAGTCTTCACGGCTTCTATAATTTAGGGAGTCCGAACGATCAATAAAATTATTAAAATCACCAGCTAACATGATGTTGATTGTCTTTCCTGGGAATCTAGTTTGAAGATTCTGATGTTGGGCAAGTAAACTGAGTTTGAGCTGATCATGGATCTGATTTTGCTTTTGGTATTGATTTGGATTATACAAGTTTATAATCCAGAGTGCTTGGTTATTTTCTAATTCAATTAAGACATCCGTGATGTGTTTTTGGAGTTCATGTTGGACAGTAATACCTGCTAATTTGGATCCTAACACTGGAATAGAATCATCAACAATTATTGCTGTTCTGGAACAGGTTGAATTATAGTATATGACTTTGTTATCGAACTGAAACGAAAAGTCTTCTGATAGATTTAGTTCTTGGAGCAAAGACACATTGGATTTTTGGGTGAAACTTATTACCAACTGGTCGCTGATACGACTCCGTTGTATATTTTGAGTATTGATTTTAATAATCATTATGTTTATTCATTGGAATTTTGATTTGTCTGTTTGTTTCTGGTTGCATCAGCTTCCAGAGTTGACAAATCATCATTGGTTGGTGTTAATTCTGTTTTCTCATGTACTGGAATTTCATCACCCAGTAGCATTTCATCCTGCTCATATTCTTCTGAATCCTCATATTCGTCTTTTGCATCATAGATGTATTCTCCATCATTTTCATACTCCTCATCATATTCTTCGTCATTATCATTATCAGGTTCTGCACTTGATTCAGACAGGGTTGGCTCTTTAGAGCCAGTTTGTGCCAGTTTTGATGTCACTGATGGGTGTGGGTCTTTAATGACTAACTTAATAGATTTTGGTACAAATGGTTTTGGTGCTGAAGGCTTGGTGGTGTTAATTTTGGTCAAAATTGGGGTAGAGATTGGGGTAGATTTTGGGGTAGATTTTGGGGTAGATTTTGGAGTAGAAGCTGGGGTAGAAGTTGGGTTGGACAAGGTTTGATTAGATTTTGGGGTAATTGGATGGGATCTAAACACATTCAACTTAATTCCTGGTTTTGCTGACTCTTGCTTGGTTTCAGCTGGTTTCTCCCTTTGAAGGATTTTCTTTGGTTTGACGGATGCCTTCTTTTTGGAGGCCTTTCTAACTTGATTAACCGGAGGAGGGGTGATTTGATGCTTTCTGTTGATAGCTGGTGTGGTAGTTTGAATATTTTCATAATCATCATCTCTTTCTTTGGATATTAATCCCAATTGGTGGAATGGATTCTTCCATAAATTGCTCAGTTCATTTTGTGGTGGTTTTGACTGTCTGGATCTAGATGAACCATGAACCATGGTGAACTCGGTAGAAGGAACTTCAATCACTGGTGGTTGATTTTGCTTCTGTTTGGGGTTCTCATGACGATCATCTGTAACATTTTTCTTTGGCCGCTTAAAGTAACAGTCTTTAGCTACATGGCTAGGCTTTTTGCAAATCGCGCAAGATGCTTGCTTGCAATTGTATCTGGTGTGTTCTCTTGAACCACAATTGATACAGTGTAAGCATTTAGTAATAACTTTAGAAACAATGTTGTCTTGGTGAATAACCGGGATTTGTTTTCCTGGTTCCATTTCCAAGTAACCATAAA